TAGTCCTAGGAGACGTGGAATAGTTCTTGGGAGTACGAGTAATATAAAATAGGGAAAAGAAGATAGTATCTCTCTTATATAATATTTATATTAAGAAGATAGCTCAGAAGTTTAATATAATAGACGGGAAATGCCTTAGCACGCCTCTCCTGTATTACAAGCTAGTTAAGAACCTTAGTATAGTAACTTTTAAGTAAATCAAGGAATATCAAGAGAAGGTTAAGTTAGTACTATATATAGCTATTATACTCTAGCTAGACGTCGCTTTTATAGCCTCTTAACTATTATACTTCCTTACTAACCTAAGCGTACTATACTTAGAGGCAGTTAATTAGACTATATAATATCTATTTAGCTTAAGATTCTTAACTATTATCTATAGTCAGAAGGATAGAGAAATATACCTTCTTATTACCTTAGATATATCTTTTATAGATAACACTAAATCGTATTATTTCTCCTAAGGATTCCTGATTATACTATTTAAAGGAGCTATTATTTAGAAAGCCTCTTAATAAGATACTATTACTACTTTAATAACTAAGGCAGAGCTTCTTAGTATAAAACAGACTACTAAGGAGGTAATAGCGCTTTAAAAGTTCTTTAAAGAGCTAAGGCTTAATATAAGAGCTCCGTGGAATATATTCTGCGATAATAAATAGATAATTCAGCTAATAGTTAAAGAGAACTAGCGAATCTTGATAAAGCTTTAGTATATTAATATACAGAATATATAGCTATGATAAGAGTATAAAAAAGGGAGTTTTCAGGTAACATATCTCCTGATAAATAATATACTAGCTGATAGCTTAACTAAAAACCTACTAAGGCAGAAGTTTAAAGTATTTATCACTCTTTTAAACCTTTAAGACTTTTAAGCTAATATTAAGAAGCTCACTTAAGCTATATAATCTATATAAATACTTTCTTTTATTATATTTCCTTTATTTTATATTTATAGTTCTTAAACGCTATTAGAGAGGAGAGAAGAGATAAAATTATAAGACTTAATCCTAAGCTACTACTTCAGGGTTATAAAGCCGCGCTAAAATAACACGAAGAGTAAGGGACCTAATCTTAAGCTACGACTTCTAGGTTATAAAGCTATACTAATACGCTAGCTCGAATTATAATAATAAAGGGGTAATATTCCTAAGCTACTACTTAAAGGTTATAAAGCTTATACTACTTATTAAGAAAGGAGGAGAAGGTTAATTAACTGCCGGGTAGCGCTAGCTATAACATTAACCTCTACTAAGATAGAGGCATATAAAGCTAAACACACCGCGGGGGCAACAATAATAGCTCTTATAGAGCCGGAGCTTATTCCTATAACGCTAAAAACAGGGCGAGGAAGGGGAAACAGCAGTCTCTCTACAGAGAGTAGAGGCAAGAGTAGGGGTAGCAGCTAATATTAACAGTTAGATAACATCTGAAATCTATAAGACTACTATTACAACTTACAGATAGCGGTATAGATCTTATCCTTATCTTTATCCTTATCTTTCTTAGCCTCTAAGGCCTTCCGAATAGCGGCCCGGCGGATTATAAAAGTTTATATATATTATAGAGTTAGCCTCGCTTAGTACTTTAATATTAATACCTTAATACTTCGTTATTCTAACACTATAATATAAGGAAACACTTATATATATACTCTCTAGGAGGGCTTAGGCTACTAAGTAGCTGGCGAAAAGTTCAGTAGCGCAGGCGGGGGCAGCGATATAACCTGATTTATTATTTTTATAATAATAAAAACAGCGTGAAGCTATCTCTTTATCGCGATAAGGGTCGCCTAGCGCACCTTATAAACTACTGCGAATATAGTAGCTATAAGGTATAGTACAGATAGCCCCTACTACAGTAGGGCGGCGGGCAGGAGTTAGTACTAGTACTAATAGTAGTGATAGTGATAGTAGTAGTAGTAGAGTAGCAGTAGCAGGGGAGCTACAGCAGCTATAAGCCTATTTTATAAGTATTAGCGTAGTTCTAATGATTCCTTATAACACTAATTATATCGGAATCTTTAAATTAATAACTTATAATCTTCTTCTTTACTACACGAGTAGTAGTAAGGTTAGAGGCGCGTAAAGCGCAGGTAGCGCGGGAGCTTTTAGCTATATTTACTAATATTATATCGAAGTTATTATTTAAAGAAAGAGCGTTCCGAGGGACCTACCTAGTTTATATATTCAGAGCTACTAAGCGCTTAAGACCTAACGCTATTAGTTAGTATTAACTCCTATTGTAGTTTAGGTAGTATTATCTATACTATTTATATCGCTTCACTTACTATTATAAAGCTAAGCGAGGGGGTATATTATGCACCTAACGTACCTAAGGCACTCCTTAAGGCGCTCTAGCTAACCAGAGGCTACTTATATAACTAGAACTCCTAGAGCTTCCTCTTATAAGGGAGCTCTAGAATACCTTAATAAATTAAGACTTTCATACTACATGAAGCTCCTCCCTATAGTACACGATATTAGTACTACTACGTCTAAAGGTACTATATTACGCTTAATAGACCTAACTAGTACTTATAGTCCTGCGGCGCCCTTAATAGTATTATTATTAATTATATTAGTTAGAATAGACTAGCTAATAGTACTATTTACTTAGTTAAAGAGGTTCTAAATATAGTTATTAAGCGCTATCTATTTAGCTAGCTTATTCGAGTACTCTCTTATTCGAGCTTCCTAGAGTACCTTAATATCTTTAAACTTAGCTTCTAAGGGCTTATTTATAAATACTAGTAGTTCTATTATACTCTCTCTTTCCTTAGTAGTAGTAGCGTTCTATTTCACTAGTAAATCTAAGTTAGCTTATATTAATAATGCTATTTACTTACTAAAGTAACTATTTATCTCCTCTTATATAAAATTATTAATACTAAGGAAATTTAGTTATTACTTAATAATATTTCTAATATTATTAGCGTTAGAGTTAATAAATCTCTAGATTCCTTTAAGTTTAGTATAATACTAGAAAGTCGTCTACTACTAAAGCTACTACTTTCTTTAATTAAGAGTATTACTCTTATATTTAATTAACTTATCTTAAAAGTATATCGATATATTAGAGAGGCTTTCTACAGAACTAATAGCGTTAAAAGTGTTTTAAGAAGTTCAGGGAGGTATTTAAAAGAGTTCTTTAAATAGTAGTATAAGTGTCTCTTAATACTACTTATAACTCTACTTATACTATATAGTATACTTATATAATAGCTTAAATAAGCGAATATAGCTCTTAACTATCGTATACTATAGAGAAGAGCTTTATATAATATAAAAGTCTTAATTTATTAAGGTATTCTAAAGCTCCCTTATAAGAGGAAGCTCCAGGAGTTCTAGTTATATAAGTAGCCTCTGATTAGCTGAAGCGCCTTATAGAGTGCCTCAGGTGCGCCAGGTACACGACACTTTGATTATAGCTTCTTTTATCACTCCTTTTAAAAGTACACTTATATTATTATTATTATTATTATTATTATTATTATTATTATTATTATTATTATTATTATTATTATTATTATTATTATTATTATTATTATTATTATTATTATTATTATTATTATTATTATTATTATTATTATTATTATTATTATTATTATTATTATTATTATTATTATTATTATTATTATTATTATTATTATTATTATTATTATTATTATTATTATTATTATTATTATTATTATTATTATTATTATTATTATTATTATTATTATTATTATTATTATTATTATTAAGAATAATAAAGGAACTTAAGCTATAGCTCAGGTCCGGACGTTAAGTAGCTTAAGCAGATCTAATATAAGGTAAGCCTTAGGTAGTAAGGTAAGAGGCTATAACTAATAAGAAAGCGAGTGATAGAAGATTAGTTATACCCTAAAAGTTTAGGACTAATCAGGAAGCGAGAAAGAAAGCTTAGCAAAACTTGAAAATTTGACCCCCTCTGCTACCCAAAATCCGGTATTCAATCTGCCTCACGTGCGGGCGCGAGAATTTAGTAGAACTAACGTTCAATAAAGTGCTTGGCGTGGGGGTCAACAGTTCTGAGGAAAGCATGGAGCTGTTTATGGTATTTCTTCCCGGGATACTCGAAGACGTTTGAATTTTATTTTGATGAGAGAAGTCGTGTTAATACTGGAGCGGGTTGGTTCTTTTGGTTCAGTCATTCAGATGGCTTTCCGCGCCTCGATTGTGCTCTATCAATTGCTGTCGGTTGGACCACTCTCTTCTGCAATGCCAACCTACCAAAGTCTGAATACTTCTTGGAGTCGAAATAGGAGCACGTCGGTCTCTGGGTCCAATACTACAAGCAACTTACATAGATCTTAGCGCAGTTCCCAGAACGTACCTCTCAAAACTCACATAACATATCCTTGTTCATCCACGGGCTTAATCGACTTCCCAAAGTTCGCAGGCCCCAAAAGCTTCTGGACAGCTTTCCGGAAAATCTAGAATTATGGATGCTTTCCAGAACCTTGGAATATTCCGGTCTGGGCTTCCAGGCAATCTAGAAGCCAAACCTTACTGTAGCCCCGAGCCCTCCTCCCGACACGAGCTTCGACGTTTCAAGCACTTTCAAGAAACGATCGAAACGAAAGGTTGATATATCTGGAACTGTGGCGTCTGCACGTCATGATTTGCAAGAAAGAATTGGATTGGATTACAGTGGATTTGGTTTGAAACTCGGAAATGACAATGATATCAAGGCAAGTGTTGATGTTGTGGATTTTGGAAGAGAGAGAGAGAGCGACAAGCGAGAGACGGAGGACGGGATGTGGGGCGAGTCAAGCATTCCAATTCTGATTGCAAATCTGATTGCGACTCGTGCTGCCTTCTACCGCACGTTTTGTCAACAGTGATTCAACAACTCTTGTTGATAGACGGGATCATAAGTTAATCTTCTCCTCTCCTGGCAGTTGACAAAGTTGTCTTTGAATTGTAGTCAGCAATTTCCTCCAAGCACTTTGTTAGAAGAGCCAGCCTGTCAACATGGGAGGAGAGACGATCATCGTATGCTGCTCCGAGTGAGCTGTTAATATATTTCAGTTCTGATACCATGAACAGGCTGTGGGCCAAATGTGCTCAACCTCGAGCATGAAGCACAATCTATCTCAGGTTCAAATCCTTGTCAGCAAAGCAGTGGCAGCTGGAGCCAAGGTGCGACCCTATGACGAAATGTATCGACCAGTCTCAGATGATTATAGGCACTCTTCCTTCCAGAGGCATCCGACTGGATCAGCCATTCTGGCGAGGAAACATTAAGTCTCGTCCGCTCAGTAGAAGATAGTCTACATGTCCGTGGACTGCAGAGTCTGGCCCAGCAGCATAAGCTAGCTATCACGGCTGGAATTCATGAACCAGGCGAGAAGGGTTCAGGGAAGGTAAAGAATACTGCGATTTGGGTTTCGGAGGATGGGGAGATTGTTCAGAGATATCAAAAGTTACATTTATTTGACATGGAACTGACCAATGGGCCGCATGCTCATGAGGGAGAGTATGTATACTTGGTATGGGTGTGTTTATGAGCTGACCCATGGCAGTATCATTGAAGAGGGAATGGAGATACATCCTCCTTTTGAGACACCTGTTGGGCTTGTTGGATTATTGATTTGCTTTGACGTAAGTACTCCTGTTACGAAGATAGTGTGGAAACATGCTGACAATTCTAGCTTCGCTTTCCCGAAGTTCCGTTGTCGTTGAAGAGGCAAGGAGCTCAGATCATTACTTACCCCTCGGCCTTCACGGTTCCAACTGGGAAAGCTCACTGGGAAATTTTGCTTCGTGCCCGAGCTATTGAGACCCAATCATATGTGATTGCAGCAGCTCAAGCTGGATATCATAATGATGTCCGAGTATCGTACGGCCACTCGATGGTAGTAAGTCCATGGGGAGAAATCGTCGCGGAACTGGGAGGGGATTTCGGCGGGCCGGAGATAGCAACAGCGTCAATCGATCTTTCGGAAGTAAACAGACTAAGAAGAGAAGTACCGCTAAGACGGAGAACAGATGTGTATCCAGAGCTGTAGAGTCAGGTAAGACGTCAATACTTTTAGAGAAGCATTATCGCTGTCGAGAGGTCTCGTCGGATGGCCGCATGAATTAGTTTCTGCCCAACGTGCAGTGGGAACCTGGTCTTGAAATGAACAACACGACTCGATAAAGCTGGACCCGTCTGTCTGATACAGACTTTAAAAATCGCATATCCAATTGTTGAATTGCACATGAATTCGTCGCTAGGAAGAACCTTGCTAGACACACACCCATGTTTTGCTGACGTAGCCAGCCCTCCTGCCGCACCGTGAGTCCGTGACGCGAGGCGAGGGCGAGGCTCACTTGCCTTCATCAGAATTTCTTCAGAGGAAAGACATCCCCTTCTTCTACTACAACCCTTTTCAACCGCAAACCCCCCAAAAATCACCCGCAGAAATCCTTCAAGATGATGAGCTGGGCGAAACAAAAGTGAGCTGTACTTTTCCGGTAACCCCGCACCTTGCTAACCACTTTTTTCTGCGATAAGGCTGGCTGATGTCGCCGGCACCCGTGAACCAATATACGGCCCGGAGGCCATTCAGTCTGTTGCGAAGCAGACAGAATCTACCCCATATACCGAGCTTACCAGAAAGGACTTCACATGGTCTCATTTGAACACGACATGCGTGGAGACCGAGGTTTTCTACTTGATGTCAGAGGGCGGGCAAATTGCTTTTGTGCAGGTCATCTACAGCAATGTTGCGTATGGGTCTCCAAGACTTCTTCGGATTAAATTGAATGCTAATGTTGAATGAAGCGGTCTGCGGACAACGTCCCAGTTCAACTGCAAAATCTACTACCCAAAGAGCGCCAATAAGCCCAGTCTCTGGTCCTCGGATCAGCTCTCAAATGTCGACTTCAGCGACGACGAAAACAGCTTCTATGCCGACAATCTCGCCGTAGAACTTTCGGAGGATGGCAATACATACACGATCAAATCTCTGACCAACCAAGCCTCCGTAGTCAACCTCTCGGTCACCAGAACCGCACCAGCTTTCCACGTTGGAAAGGACGGCAATTCGACTTTCGGCACAGATCCAAACGCACCATGGGGCACTATGAGACATGCTTTCTGGCCTCGAGCTACCAGCTCAGGAACAATCACAACGGCAGATGGAGCGATTGATTTTAAGGGGAAAGCCTGCTTCATCCACTGTCTACAAGGCATGAAACCACATCATGCTGCTGCAAAATGGAAGTTCTGCAATTTTCAGAGTGAGAATTACTCTGCCATCGCGATGGAATACATCACTCCCCCATCTTATGGATCTACAACTGTTACTGTTGGTGGAATCATAAAGGGTAATGAGATCGTCTGGGCTGGATCGGATTGCAAAACGACCTGGAGCAAGGTCAAGGATGATGCCGAAGTTGGATGGCAACCACCTGAGGCTGTCAAGTTTGAGTGGAATGGAAAGACCAAGGATGGAAAGGCTGTGACTGGTTTGATCGATGGGCCACTTGATGAGCATTATGACAGAGTCGACATTATGGCCGAAGTTCCCGGCTTCATCAAGCAGATTGTAGCTGGAGCAGCCGGGACCAAGCCATACATCTACCAGGTTAGCGTTTTCCTATCCCTAGCGCCCTTTCAATACTAACTCAAAGTAGTATCCCAAGACTACCATTTCGCTGAAGGTGAAAATTGGTGATGAAGAAGTGGTTGAAGAGGGAATTCTGTACGCAGAGGCAACCTTCATATCGGAATGATGGAATGAGAGCAAGTTTGCTGGCGCAGTTCACATAATGCATGTTTGTTTTGTTTTATCACGATTATTCCCTTGGCGTTCGATAGAGAGGCAAACACCACATTCGTTGCATATGCATATGTACAAGGGCATTGTTTGTTTGATTGATGACTGATTGACGGCTGGCAGCGCCGGTGGAAATAGCGCGTAATAGAGTCTCTTATCAACAGGGACTTGGAACATGAATCACATAAATCAACCTTTGAATAATCTGTCGTCTTGGCTCTTTCCCTAACGTACCTTTTTTTCATTCCTGCTCCTTATTCTCGATTCTAAAGGGGTTTTTTTTCTGAACAATTCAAGTGTTTTTCTCGACGCCTAACCTGCTTGGAGTTGGTTTCAGGCACCGAGACAAGGAACCACAGTTCTCTACCCCGCTAATAAGCCTTGCTCGGGAGCTAGTCTTAGCGTCCCCGTCGCGTTTCCATCAACATTTCGTCACTCTCAGTCTCAGTTCATGTAAATATTGACAATCAACAGCCGCGACTATTCTCACAAGTTCATCTTCCATTGTACAGTACTCTGCCCCTTTCTTCAGCAACATCAACAGTACCGACAAGCAACCGTAAATCACTCACCATGGCTCCGTATCAATCACCGGCCGCCCGGTCACAAGCTGGTCCATCAGGTTCCCGTGGCACTGCGCGTCCAATAGGACGACCAACACTCGCGGGAAAAGGTCTTCTTGGAGGGGGTTCGAAGTTTGCTCCTGGACGAGGAAAGGGCGCGAAGGGTTTGGGTCTGGGAAAGGGATCGAAGAGGTCTCGGTACGTATCACGACTCTTTACAATCCTTTGTTGAATTGTTAACGGAAAATCACTGACATTACGTGTTGAAACAGAAAGATCGTTAAGGACACCATTCAAGGTGTTAGTAAGTGGACTTCATCTTTGATTTTCTGCGCAATGTCATCAAATATGGCCTGCTAATCTGTGAAACCATCTACAGCTAAAGGTGATATCAGGTACGTGATAGTTGCGCTTCCCCCTCCTTGTATACAGCTCTACTAGATGTTCACCTTATGCTACCATTTGAACTAAAACTGACATCTTCGTAGACGTCTCGCTCGTCGTGGTGGTGTCAAGCGTATCTCTGGTGGCATTTACGATGAAGTACGCCTTCAATTGAGGAAGCGACTTGAGGACGTAAGTATACTAATTTGCGCCTTTTCAAGTTCACCTAGCTGACCAGCCCCTCTGCTAGATTCTGAAGGTTACTGTTGTGGTCGTTGAGTACCAGAACAGAAAGACCGTCACTGTTATGGACGTATGTTATTTAATATCTGGCAAAATTACACCGGTTTGGCACATACTGATGCATGTACTTAGGTTGTGTTCGCGCTCAAGCGTCTAGGCCGCCCCATTTATGGCTTCGATACTGACAGCTACGATGCCAGTAGAAAAGTCAAGAAGGCGACCCGCTAACCGATTCCAACGGGATTTGGCTTTGAATCTTGACGAACGAACCACGACAAAACCATCAGCTACGAGAGCTTCTGCCTTTGACAACGTCGATACGACATGTCTCTCGGACACTGGGACACGAACCCTTCTTGCCTCTGCGTACGAAGGTTCTCTGCTTACCGACGCTCTTCAAGTGACCGTCAGCGTATGTCGTGGTACATATGGTTGCTGAACACGGCATTCTTGAATTTGTTTGCTTTTGCACTCTTTGGCATGCAAGATGCCTGTACATATTTTTTGCCCGGAGTTTGGAGTGCTTTTACGTCTAGCTATGGAGCAGATGACTGGAATGGGAGGTTTGCCTGTAAGCGTGGGATATCCACGGTCATATGAAGGATGGGACGGGAAGGATACCTTTCGGTCAGCTTTCATGAAATGGAATGATCAAGGAAACATGCTTCTACTTGCCTCCATTCTGCATTTTCTCAAATGTGAGTTTGGAACTTCGAATGTTGATCTGAGATTATTGACATTGAAAGCCTCTCATCGTTACAGTAATTGACACTAAGGCCTCCACCACTTCTTTCCTCCACTCGTACTCGCAACCATACTTTCCTCCACAACCATCTCACTTCCTCTCGACCTACCCATTCCCATACCCAACCCACTACCCCTCTTTCCCTCCTTCCTCCTGACCCTCATCATCTCCTTCTCCTCCGCCACCCTCTTCTCCTCCCTCCACAACTGATCCACATGCCTTCTCGTCGCACCCCCATTCCACACCTCCTCGCTATAAATACCCGTCTTCCTACCTCCCGGATACCTCCCCTTCTTAACTTTGTGTTTCCGGTGGAAATACGTGCACGTTACGTAGAAGCCGTGGATGTGGCCCGGGATCACGCCAGCAATGAAGAAGAGCGTGTTGATGAGGCAGTCCATGCCTGGGCCGGCGACGAGAAGTACCGAGAGGGGTGGGCCTGTGGGAGGAGGTTAGTGAGTAGAGTCGATTGGGTATGGGGGGATTGGGCGGGACGGACAGCAGATGTTGATGGTGAAGATTAGGATGCGTTCCATGATTGCCATGGTGGGCAGATTTGTGCCAGCCGAAGCTGTATTTGGCCTTTCTTGCTTTACTTTGTGCTTGTGACACTATCGATCAGAGGAAAAACCGAGGCAGAGCGTAACATCGGCAAAGAAGTAACGTGAGTGACAAAATACAGAGCAGAAGGGTATATCGCGGTTGCTAGCGCATTCACAAATTAAAGGCGCAAGCCGAAGAATTGAAGATCAAAACGATAACAGAAATGGACACAGCCACATATATCAACTTATCTTATCATCAGACCATTCACGGAATTTCAGGGTCTTTCACTCTTGGCCAGGATCTCCAACAATGACGAAATTGATGCACAAGAAACAGGAATTTATATTGTGGCTTGCCGAGGACAAGGGTCCTGGGCCTTGCTTGGCATGTTGTGGATCTTTCGGGGTGGCTGTGGCTGTGCAGTTTCTTCATGCATGTCTTGCGAGCCGCCAGTCTGCAACGGCCTCTAATCTTCTTTCTTAAAGTCACAGCGAGCTTCTCAGCTTCCCATTACTCCTGAATACCCGTTACATGGCTCATGATATACAGACATCCCTAGTGGTCATGGTTGAGATGGTGGAGGAACTCGCACAATATGACCACAGATATCGATGCAGCACTGCAAGACGTGCATTCCTAATCTGGTATTTGAAATAAATTCAAACCACTTCAGTCTCGCTCAATTAAGCCAAGAGGGACTTACGAGAAGACTCTACCTGCTTTTGTTGTCAAAACTTCAATCAGCTGTTCTCTGTCTTTGCAGATTTTCGAAGATACCACATCCGCCGTACATATCTGAGGATCTAGCGCAAACTGCTTAGCAGCAATTTAAAAGGCTGATCTCGTAAGCTGACAGGAGGATCCCATAATTAGACAGGCTCTATGAATGGTACATGTAGTGTGACGAGAAGGGACCTCAATAGAATTCCAAGTTCCTTTGCGTACATCTGGAGCTCTGTGGTTATGCATCTGATATGTGCGACGGACTTCTCAGGAAAGCTCATCACTAAAGAAAGAATGGTTCATTCTTATAATGTAGTTTTGATAGACACGATGTTCTAAAAGCTGTTAGACGCTAGCAGAAGCCTCCAGTATCACCTTGGGTAGTCTTGGGTCGTTTCGATTTGGAATTCATCGAAGCTCAAAGAAGTCGCAACATGACAAACAAAGGAGCCAGCAACGACATATGAGCTTGATGACTGAGTGTAACCAAATCAGAAAATCTCTCCTGGTGAAGTGCCATCGGTGAATATAAATTCGAGTCCCGTCAAGTCAGCACAGGCAGAGATACCAAAAACCCCTATCCCCGAAGACGAAATTAGCCCAACCAGCCCAGCCGGAAGCGACCCGTGGACCCGGTCCCCTACTGTAGAACCCTGGCCTGTTGCACAACATCACGACGCGTCTCCGAAAAGTTTAAGCCATCAGACAAGTCATCAACTATCAACATCATTCAAGATGTCCAGAAAGCGCGCTGCATCGTTTGTTGATCTCACAGGCTCGGCATCAGAAGATGAAAATGCTGGCCCGCAACGAAAGCAAGCGCGTACTACCGGCAATCCCATCCCAGGTACACAGCCGCGAGCAAGCCAGTCCTTGACGCGCGATGCGTGGGGCGCGGAAGTCGATGAAGAAGATGAGATTATTGGCTCAACTCAGGATCCTGATGAGGGCTTTGGATGGGTCTGTGTTGGAGCCATTGATGGCAAAATCGTTGGTATCAGATATTACAACGGTTATGCCACGCCTGGTGAACAGGTCATGATTAAGAGAGAGCCAGGAAATCCATACGATTCGAACGCAATTCGTATCAACAATGTTCAGGGAACCCAGATTGGACATTTACCTCGAGATCTGGCTTCGAAGCTCGCAGGCTTTCTGGTCAGTCCTTAGAAGTCACATGCTTGACAACGGACATTACTTACTTAATAACAGGACTCAAGAGCTATCATCCTGGAAGGTATTCTTGCTGGAGAAAAAGGTCAATGGGACTGCCCTATACGTCTGCGAGTATACGGTCCAGGTGATCCAGCTGCCCGAAAGCTCCTTGAAGATAACATGAAAGCGAAGCGGGTGCCCATCAAAAAGCAGGGAATAGCAGCACCCAAAAAGCCAACTGTTCCCGTACCGCCGCCAAGGAGACAGCAAATGGGTTTCCAGAGCTCCCAGTCATCAAGCAGTCAGCCCGAACCAGAGCCAGAAATCGATATCCAGCATTTTGTGGCGAATAGTGAACGCTTCAAACCTCGTGATGTTGAGAAGTTGGTCGAGGCTTGGGGACAAGGTGAAGAGGCTTTGTCCAAGATGCCGATGGCTGAGCAGCCTGAAGATCTGATTGCGACACTACTTCCGTATCAGCGTCAAGGTCTGGCTTGGATGCTGGAGAAAGAGAACCCAACGCTTCCTGCCGCTGGATCCACCGATGTTGTACAGCTGTGGAAGAGACATGGATCTCGCCCAAATGCATTCCAGAACATTGCTACGCAGTTTGTTACTTCAGAGAAACCAGCTTTGGCCAGAGGCGGTATCCTTGCGGACGACATGGGTCTCGGAAAGACTCTTCAGGTTATCAGTACGATTCTCGAAGGAGGTCCTGGCTCAACCTTGATCATTGCTCCAGTTAGTGTAATGTCCAATTGGGCCCAACAAATCGAGCGACATGTCAAGAAGGAACGTAACATGAAAGTCCTTACATATCACGGCAGTGGTCGCAAACGGATGACCTTCGAAGACTTCTCAGAATACGACGTCGTTATCACTACATACGGCACATTAAGCACGGAATATCTTCCCAGAAACACCAAGAACCCAGAGAAACTTCCTCGAAAGGAGGGAATCTTCTCCATGAACTGGACCCGTATCGTGCTCGACGAAGGCCACACCATTCGCAATCCCAGCACTAAGTCCGCCATTGCTGCTACTGCTTGTCTTGCAAAATGCCGATGGGTCTTGACAGGCACACCCATCGTCAACACAATCAAAGATCTTTACTCAATGCTCAAATTCCTTGGCATAACCGGCGGTCTCGAGCGCCTGGAGCTCTTTAACGCGATCCTCACCCGCCCCCTCGGATATGGCGACCGCAACGCCGACCTGATCCTCCACTCCATCATGCGAACGATGTGTCTCCGCCGTAAGAAAGACATGGCTTTCGTGGACCTCAAACTCCCTGAACTCTCAGAATATGTCCACCGCATCGCCTTCCGCAAAGACGAGCGCGAGAAATACGACGCTCTGCAAGCCGAAGCACAAGGTATGGTGCAGAAGCTCAAAGCCGCAAAACCAGGACAGAACGTCTACCGGCACGTTCTAGAAGTGCTGCTCCGTATGCGTCAAGTCTGCTGCCACTGGAAACTGTGCGGTACACGCGTAACGGATCTGTTAGCCTTGCTAGAGAACGACGAGGTCGTTGCACTTACGAAAGAGAATGTCACTGCTTTACAAGCTTTACTCCGACTCACCATCGACTCTCACGAAGAATGTTCCATCTGTCTCGATGAGCTGCACAACCCAGTAATCACAGCATGCAAGCACGTCTTCGGGCAAGAATGCATCGAGCGGACCATCGAACTGCAGCATAAATGCCCAATGTGCCGCGCCGAACTTAAAGACAAGGATTGTCTCGTTCATCCTGCCGTTGAGGAATCAGCTGTCAAGGACGAAGATATTGACGTTGACACGAAGAGTAGTAAGACGGAGGCGCTGATGAGTATCCTTATCGCGTCAAGGAGAGATCCGAAATCTAAGGTTGTTATTTTCTCGCAGTGGACTTCGTTCCTTGATATCATACAAGCACAACTCGTCGAAAAAGACATGAAGTTTGCGCGCATCGATGGAAGCATGTCAGCCACTATCCGGGACAAAGGCATGACTGCGTTAGAAAGCGATCCGGATTGTCGGATATTGCTCGCCAGTTTGGCCGTTTGTTCCGTAGGCTTGAACCTCGTTGCTGCCGACACGGTCATTCTGGCTGATAGTTGGTGGGCACCAGCTATTGAGGATCAGGCTGTGGATCGGGTGCATAGATTGGGTCAGACGAGACCGTGTACGGTATGGAGATTGGTGATGGAGGACAGTATTGAGGAGCGGGTACTGGATATTCAGGCGGAGAAGAGATTGCTGGTTGGGAAGGCGTTCCAGGAGAAGGCGAAGGGTGGGAAGCAAAAGACTACCAGGATGGGAGATATCTTGAAGTTGCTGGGTTAGGTCTTCCATTGCTCTCGCGGTGTTTTATTTTTGCCAGTTGCAATTTTCACAAAAGCACATTTGATTATTTGGGCTGTCGGTTGCTTCATGGTGCCACAGATACTGGCAGCCTGTTTTGCCTTTGCTGCAGTTTCCCTCTTGATGGGAATTTCTTGTACCAAAATCTTGGAGTTTTTCCTATCACTGTTGTACATTACATTCTAGACGGATCGCGCCAGCGCCATGTATACCAAAAGCCCAAAATTTCCTTGTCAAGAGCAATACAAACTCAGCATAATCAATCCACTGCATCCCAGGCAATGCATTCCTGATCACCCCCACACTCTGTGTTTTCTCTCTCTTGACTATTCTCCGACTCAGCAACCTGGCTAACATCCGTCAACAGCTCGCCAGCACAGCCATACAGATCAGCCCAACACTTCGCGATAACATTTCCCATGTGGCCAACTCCTTCTAAGCAAGGCCACTTATTCTTTTTATACAACAAAACTCTCTCTCCATCAGGAAAGTTCCCCCACAATCTCTTCCTCGCCCACATCTCATAGCACACGGTTCCAACAGCCCATAAATCATCTTGGATAGTATAGTGTCTTCCCTCACCGAAACTATCATCGCCTTCATCTTCGACAAATTTGTACCAGCGCGAACACCTCGTCTTTCCGCCTTTCGCCATACCATCCATCATCGAGCTACTGAAATCGCAAAGCACGACGTCGTAAGATGATGTGATGAGCGTATTGGCTGAAGAAGTGTCGCAGTGCACAATACCGTTCTGATGAAGGAACTGCTCGCCCTGGGCTATTTGTTGAGCCCATTTCATTCTATGTTGAGTGAGCTGCTGGATGTGTTCGTCTGTCACGCCGAGTCCCGTGTCGGCTGCTCCGTGGATAAACATGCGCAGAGCACCAAGCGGGTGGTAGGATAGTACGATGCCGGTGTGTAATGTTCCGAGGAAGTGCAGTATACTTGGATGTTTGAAGACTGAGATTCGAGTGTAAATATCACGCTCGTTCTCCAAGTCGATCAGATGGTCTTCCATTGGGAGTTTGAGGACTGTAGTTGGGGTCAGGAGGTGGATCTTGCCGGATTGGCCTGTTCCAATGAGGTACAGATGTGGGAGGTAGCGTTCTGGGATGTGAGGGTAGGTTTCAGGTGGCGCCGTGGATGGTCGAAGAGGTGCTGGAGTGCATGCGCGTGTTGAAGTCTCATTGGGAGTGAGGCATGGAAGAGATGGACTCGTAGACATCGAGCGGGGTCTGGTAGACTGTTGAGGACGCTGAGGGTTGGGTCGACATATTGGAGCAGTTGTCATTCGACATGCTGAGGGTCGAGTAGCGTTAGTTTGGAGACTTGAAGATTGCTCGATGCGGTCTTCTGCTGGATCGCATCTAGGAGTGCAGGGACATTCAGATGACATCGCAGTGATTCAACAACTATGGTATGAGGATAAAAATAATGGATCTTAGGGACGACGAAGAGAGGAAAGTATGAAGGTGAAGTTGAGGCATAGCTGAGGGACTGATCTATAAGGCAGATGGGATATGTCAAGTTGGCTGCAGAGGTCGACATTTCAGGAAGGAACAAGTGATAGGATCAAACAACATCAGAACCATGGAAGTGCAGGGCTAGCATGATATAAGAAGTTTCAAGCCCACTTGAACTTCGGCAGATTTTATTTCCAAAAAGCACTGTCTGTTGTTTCACTTGTAATCCAAGAGTTGCCATTCCAAACGCCTTGATAGCTGATAACGACTTCCGATCCAAGAACAAGTACGCGGTTCAACGGCTCTTCACAACACATTAGGATAATCTACAAATGTGCATTTAAAACATGCGTCTAGCAGCAGGACCGGACATTGTCCGGGAAAAGAAATCCAGACGCGGAAAACTAGCGAGATTGAAGATCCATGTGTAAGGTAAACAATTGAAACTTGAACGAAATAATACAACTCGTCCTCCTAGATAGTGTTCATAAAGGTAATGCAACGAACTACTGTGGACATAAGCCCCGTCGCTTTGGAAATTGGCTAGCTTCTTGCTGCAGACTTCGCCCGGGACTTCGCAGGTTACTTGACACTCCCCAGCCTGAAAATATAGCGTATAGTATTATGTCTATGTCTTATGAATATCCAACAGAAGGGTATCAATGCCCATATACAAAACTGAATCCAACATATGGTCAAAATAGACAATCAAATCAATCTACCCTCCCGCCCCCGATCATCATCCTAGTCTAACTGCAGCACATCCTCTTCCCCCTCCCTCCTCTTCCTCTCCTCCACACTCTCCCCCTCTCTAAACTCTGCATCGAGCTCAACCTCCTCACCAAGCAAACTCTCACCCTCCAGTCCATTACCATCCCTGTCTATACTCCTCCTCTCCGCACTTCCAACAACGTCCTTATCCTTATCCTCGCCCTCATCTCTTCTCCCGATAATCACATTCCCCGCAACCAGTAACGACGCACCCAGGAACCACATCGGCGGCAGGGACTCGGAGAATATAAGCCAGCCCATGACGGCCGTGAACATGAAGTTTGCAGATGTGTTGAGGATGCTGACTTGTGTTGTGGAGGTACCTCGTGCAAGGGCTTTGGTAAATAACGTCCACATTATGCCGTTGAAGATTAGATTAAGGCCGAAGAATATCTGCGGATTGATAGGCGATTAGTTCTCGTTGTGTATATTGGTGGGATCTGGGAGACGGCGACTTACTGCTCTAACGACGACTTCTACGCCACCTTCTACACCCCCGAGTCCTATTGCATCGGCGATCCATGTTGCGAAGCTTGTTGTTAATTCCGTAGTTGTTCTGCAATATATGTTAGTCTATTCATTCCTGCATAGAAAGTACAGCAAGTGAGTATCCAGCCGCATTTATCCCGGCGAGCCCAGAATCTAAACCAACCACCAGCTCCTGGTATTGCTATCCTCCCAACTCCAACCACGCAATTATTTTTCTTTGAATGACACTTCTTCCCTCTTCCTCCAATTCCAATTCCATTTCTTCTCACACAAATTCCATAATCGCAAACAAATATCATGACGAAATCGACAACCTACAATTTCGCAAACACCCCATTAAAAGCCGCACACCCACCGCTCGCCAGCGCAAGAACAATCCACTGACTCTTCCTGCTCAGATTCTCCATTTCAACAGTATTTTCCTGCTCTAAATACTCCTGCTCCAAAACCCGCTGTTCCGGTTGCGACGAGGGGTGTACATGTCGTCCAGATAAAGCTTCCGGGTTGGTCTTGGCGTGCAGTAGAGGGGTAAGCGTGTTTGGTTCACACATTTTGGATGTGGAGAGTGAGGATGGAGGGGACGTGGTTGTGGATGGAGAAGAGGATTTCAGGGATGGAGTGTTGGAATCCCCCTTTTTGGGTGGTCGCTGACGTAGGGTGGGCATGGTTAGTTGGTTGATGGTTGTTTGATTGGGTTTGGGAGTGTGGAAAGGAGATGTTGAAACTTATGAACGGTTGCTCGCTTGGCATAGGTTCTCGTTCGCTACCAATATCACTGCAGTGTAAAATTCATATTTAGGTTGGGTGTTCTTCTGTATTTTACAGGTATTTAGTAAGTACGGCATTGTGAGTGAAACATGTGCGTGTACGAATCGAGTGAACAGGACTTTATTTTTACCTAGATATGAAAGTAGGAAAAGTGCTAATAAAGACAACATCCCAACCTCCTGAAAAGGGAGAATCCCAAAACATCTTCCCCTAGGCCATTTGCTTCCTCAGACCAAAGCGTCCAAAAGCAAACCCAGAAATCTAACATCTACCAATCGCCACTTGACCTCCACAGTGGAGTTTCCACCAGACCTCAAGTCAACGGAAAGACTTCCTAGCACAAGATTAAATTCTCACTTCAAAGTGAAAGGGAGTGGACGCTACTCTATCTTCGTTCCTGCACGGTTGTCTCAAAAAGACTTCTCAAAGTCGCCCATCAGTCAAATACCGGCCGGTCACATCCCATGAAACCCTGAGCAGTGAAGACTTGTATAAATCATCGCTTCATTGATACTATATGCTCAATGATCTCTTGAGAGTATCCATTTTTCCAAAATGCATCTAGCCCATGCCATAATAACGCCTTAAATCCGTGAAAACCATACCCTAGCCTTGTGTCTATCCTGCCTGCTAGACGTGGTATCATTCTGGGAAGGCGGCAGTGATGAAAAGAGCGTAATCGAAGCAACCGGCAGGCGGTGGACCATATTCGAGGTATGGCGAGGTGAGATAGAAGCATATCCTTCTGTCCCGCCTCTACGAGCCCGGAAACCATCCTCTTCGCCTCCAGCCTATGCCCACTATTGGGGGTCACCGGGTCTCTTGCTGTTGCAGCTCACGATCTTGACTTTGTCCGCCTGAACCGTCTGGCTCGAGTTCTCCATCTTGAAGGTGACATCCTTAATAAGGAAAGTCCAGACTTCATCACAAAAGCGGTAGGTATCGAGATGGCCCTTCAATCCATCATTAGCCCCTGCCTTTCCCCACAGTGTCAGGCTCGAGCAAGCCATACCTTGAACGTCAAGCGCGCCTTGACCTTCTCAGCCAGCACCTCCGTGATACTCCTATCGAAGTTCGCCAGGATCTTCATCGCGAGCTGCGGCTCGATGCGACGCTCGCTGATCAGGTCGTCGAGGGTATCCGTGAGAGCCATGCCGATGCTAGAAGGAAGCGCAAGGTCAGTACTGGTAGCAAAGTGGTTGGTAAAGCAAAGGCACAGTACCTGCTACGGCGGTAGAGCTCGTAAAAGGACTGTCCCGTCGTCGCCATGATTGCTGTTCTTGTGGGGAGCGACGTTGTAGAGGAGAAGTTGTCTTTGTTCCAGGCGGCTGTGATATGGTCGGGCCCATGACATAAGCCGGAGCCGCAGACGCTAGCGCCGTTTGTACGGCAGCCTGGATCTCGCCTGGGAGCTTGGTGATTTGACTGAAGATGAAAGCAAGTCAACGAATAGCTTCGCCATTCTCCAAGGACCTCAACAACCTTACAATTGTGCCGTCAAGATGAGTCTCAAATATGGAGTTGGCGGTGCTACGACTGCATTGGCAGTAGTGGGAGCTTGTGAGTACTTGAGAAACGAGAGAATGATACATCTAATGTTGACCAGATATGCTCTTCACTGGTGACGGAGAAGCTTTCAACGTATGTTCGAAGTCGGCAGACCATTCGGGACCGAGTATTGACGTTTGGTACAGTTCGGACAATTCTTGGAAGATGTATCGCCGTATGCGTGGGCGGATTCTGGCATCGGATTGTGCATTGGATTATCAGTTGTCGGTGCAGCTTGGTACATACCCCTCAGTACAGGAATCAAAAGGGAAGGGCTGACGGGTGCAAAGGGGAATCATGATCACAGGTTCCTCGATCCTCGGAGGTGGAGTAAAGGCTCCTCGCATTAGGACGAAGAACCTGATCTCCATCATTTTCTGCGAAGTCGTCGCTATCTACGGCGTCATCATGGCGATCATCTTCTCCTCGAAAATCAAGGGCATGGACGCAGATGCGATTTACTCGGGAAGCAACTACTACACCGGATACGCTGTATTCTGGGCGGGTTTGACTGTAGGAATGTGCAACTTGATTTGTGGTGTGTCGGTTGGTATAAATGGAAGTGGTGCTGCGTTGGCTGATGCTGCGGATCCAAGTTTGTGAGTATAGAATATTTGGTCGCCATCATCATTATTAACAGTTGATCAGATTCGTCAAGATTCTCGTTGTCGAGATCTTCAGCTCGGTCCTCGGCCTGTTTGGCTTGATCATTGGATTACTGGTTGCATCAAAAGCTGCTGAGTTGGGAGAGTAAGAAACGAGGCTAAAGGCGCCGACAGCATCGATGAAAAGAGAAAGTGGAGGCGGACAAGAGTGTGTATATCAGCTCGGCACAGAATGAAGGGCGTTCAGGTAGAAATGAGGCATTTTGGAGCGCTGCACTTTCCTCTTGTAATGCTGCTAGACTGTATGTATTATATTCCTAACGGCAGCTTGCTTGTGTTAAGTATCGTCATTCTTCGTTACCATTCTTGGTCAGGATCTGTGGGTCAATAGCCTGTTCAGCCCAACCCCGATGACTCTGAAGCTCGAAGTCAGCTGCATTCGGTATCTCCTCTCCTTCGTTTACTTCATTTCGCTCTTCAGGTGTATCTTGATCAAAATCATTATAACCATCACGAAAGACATCCTCGGCTCCAAACATCGATGCAGACACATTCGGTTCTTGATCAGGACCAGAAGAAGTTCCAATAGCTTCGGCAAGTGTCTTTTGAACCTTGCCGTATATAATTCCTTCCATTTCACCTGTTGGAGCATCTTGCCACTCCAAAGAATTCGGAAATACCTGCGAGGCTTGACCACCAAGACCAAGATGATTCTCACCTGCGTTAGGCATTTGTTGATCACCGCCATGTGAGACTTCTTGCATTTCTCCCGTCGCAGTTCTTCGCTGCTCCGGCAAGTTTTGATCAAAGCCCAAAGGGTCTTCATCCAGTGTTCCTGAGAGTGGTTGATCTAGGTTTATACCTTTTCCTGGAGAATCTTCAGCACGATTGAGGATATTGACATACCCAGCCCTTTCTGGTTGAGAAATGCTTTTTCCACCAGGTGGTGATAATGCCGATTGATCTAGAATATCATCACCCGCAGCGAGGGTGAATGATTGATAACCAAGCGACTCCAGTTGTCCTGCCGAATTAGTCACTGCTCCAAAAGGTGTCTGTGGCCGGAAGGTTGGAGCTTGCTCAGAGATGCGGCCAAACAGTATCGCATCTAGGTCACGATTCCCAGAGTCGATCTCACCTCCACCAATGGGGCCGGATGGCTCAAATGAATTGCCGGCCCGTGCAAATTCTGCTTGTGATAGAGGCACTGACTTTTGAGCAGATATTTGTCCATCCAATAGGTTGGGTGTGTGCCGATTTCCAGAGTCAACATTTCCTAGGGCTATCCCATCTATCCCATCCAGCTGTCCCGCTGGATCGTGAGTCGATCTAGACGTTGCTTGGACCGTAGAGACTGGTTCTTGGCTAGAGACATATACATTTAACGCATCGAAAAGCTGCTGGTCTTCAAAGTGGACACCACTTTGAGCAAAGTTACTAAACTCTTCTGCTGGATCAGGTGCCAATACCGGAGCCACCGCTATGGTGGAATTAGATTCTTGATGTGGGCGGAGTCTTTCATTCGTTAGTTCGAAAGGCGGTTGATCTACCGGGTCGGCCCCATCTTGAACAGGGGCTTGAAATTGTACCGTTGGGCCAGGTGCCTTATGTGCGCCGGAGACTGGACCGTCGCTGTGCGAATTTGCACTCAACATGTCCAAACGTTGTTGAGTTTTTGAGTATACTCCACCTTGAATGGCGGCATTAAAGTGTCCTACCGGATGAACTATCGACCCAGCAGCCATCTGCGTGGTGGGAACAGGAGTTTTACGGTATCCATTTGCGTTTGACATTGCCACGAACTGTTGTGTTTCTTGGATAAATGTACTCTGCTTTGGAGCTAGGACTTGGCTCGTTGGTTCAAATGCCGATGCAGAGGTTGTCTTCGCTCTAGACATTGTGGGCTTGACTAACAGACCTCCGCCTGGGACAAGCGGAAGGGTTTGATATGTGAGGCCCAATCCACTTTGGTTTTGTCCTTCTACAGAAGGATTTGTTACAGGAGGCATGAACTGTCCTTGGGAAATTGGGGCAAATCCAGTCTGATTGACACCGGTCATCTGCCCTTTTACAAAAACATTTGTTGGAAAATGGATGGACTGTCCTTGCGGAACGCTTGAAAAGGGCGTCGGACCAGTTCCGCCGTTATGGATGGCACCCGTTTGTCCTTTTATGGAAGGAAATGCTGCAGGCGAATTGAACTGTCCTTGTGGGACACTGGAGAACATCGACGGGCTAGATCCACTTTGGCATTTATCATCCATCTGTCCTTTTGAGGAAGGATATGGCAAAATAGGTACAAAGCGTCGTGGTGGACCTCTTGATATATTCGATGAGCCACTAGATTTATTTTGCACAGTTGCTCTGTTGCTGAGGGTAACCTGTCCCATACTTCCGAGGTTTTGACCGCGCGAAAGTCCTGTTGGAACGCTTGGGAAAGCCAAAGGGTCGAAGTTTTTAGTCTGCCCAGTGGTATATCCTATATTGCTGGCAATAGCCTGCTCCGTGTGACGGAAGTTTTGGTTTCGTGGAAGCCCTTGTGGAAACCTTGACACAGGCGGCGGGTCGAGATTACTCGTCTGTCCAATGGTAGATCCTGCATTGCTAGCATCATGTCCCCCTACGATACCGATATTTTTATCGGATGCTCCAAAGTTGTTGGTTAATGAGACCGATGAGTTTGGTATCCATGGTCGTGGTGGTGGTCCTGCTTTGTTTATTGCGTCGAGATTTCCGCTTGGAGAGCCGAATGATGCCTCACGGGAATCTTTAACTTGTGACCCCAGATGATTTTGGGACCCTGCTGCGTTATTCTTGTCCTTTCGTACGCCTACATCACCAGGATCTGGGCCCAGTTGTGGCTCTGAATCATTTCTGTCTTTTGCTGCGACTGCCTCACCTGGACCTACATTCAGCCCCAGCGCGTTGCTAAGTTCCGATAATGGACGCAACCCTTCTATTTTTCTTGAATCTTCCAGATCCCTCCTTCTTTGAGCAGCGGCTGACTCTGCGTGTAGCTGGTAGAATTTGGCACAGATACTTGCAGCGTCGGAGTCACCGGGGAAGCTGTGTTCTCCTTTCCTGCACTGTGCCTCGAATTCTCCGAGCGGCATACCCCGTGGTTCGAAATCAGTTCTGTGTGCGTGTTAAAATAGTCTATAGACTGCAAATTGGTGAAGAGAAACTCACTTCCATATTGCTTGTTCATCCTTCCACGATAGCTGAATACGAATAGACTCTCTGTCCATCACAAGTAAACCTCCATTCTCAATGAAGTATAGTTCTAATGGTCGAGCGACCCCTAACGCCTTTATTGTCCACGATGATTCGGTTTGATCAACATATGGAATGAATCGAGGTGGGAACACAATTTTATCGAATAGAGCAGCAGTCTTGTCGTAAAGCTTATCGTTGAACCCAAGAAGCTCGGGTAGGGTAGTAGTAATACCGGGCAAGGAGACGAAGGGTCGTTCATGCGGGATCGGCGACATGGAGTCTTTTTTGAGTAGTTCCAGCGTATTCGGGGGCCTCATTGGTCTATATTCTCCCGTCGCTTCTCCGTATGAGCCCACTGCCGCAAGCTGAGCAGTCAGATTGCCGACAGTGGCGATACTCCGTAGAGTGCTTGCTTGTGTGGTTGCAGGGCGTTGCAGTACACAATTGGCGCATGGTCCTGAAATGACTTGCCATTGAGGTCCTTGATACATGTACTTCGATATATTGTACGTCGTCTCAAAGCATGGCCGAAGCTGCCGCTTTATGCCTGCCATCCACTGCTGCATACGACAATACTCGGCGACGTTGACGACTCCATGAGAACACTGCTTGAAAATCTGATACTGAAATTGGCACATTATGAATATTTAGACACGAGCTTGGGATACACTTGGTGTGTTCCAAACTTGAGCAAAAGAAATCTTAGATCTCCGTCCCGTCACTTCCCTTTTGGTACATCAACTCCTTGAAGAGTGCAGGTACGCCCATTTGCGGTGTGAAGGAAAAACACATCATACAAGACTACAGTATTGAAGGGGAAGGTGCAATACGATTATGCGCGGGGAGGACAACACCACTTCGCACGAAATGAAGATGATTACCACAACTGGAAAGGCAGGGCATAGTGAAAAAAAAAGTAATTCCAAAAAGACGAAGAGCTGTAAATTCTACAGTATGTCAAACTCGCTCCTGAGCCTACCCATCAATAGAGCGTCAACTTTCGATGCTTTGCTCAAAGTCTCTTCTGCAGCTGGCAAGCAAAGCAGCGCATTTGCACTCTTCAAGCTCCCAACCCTGGAACTTCGCTGCCCACCAGTACTGCTAGCATGCATTAAGCCATCCTTTCCCAAGACGACAATTGCACGGTGATATTCTGATCTCTGGGGATCAAGTCGGAATTTGTGGTCTAATGTGACCTGGACTCTGGGTAATCCAGCTGGTGCCACGCCGGATGCATGATGCAGAGAGGGCAAAACAAATAAGTGAAGAGTTACAATTGCAGAAACTGGATTTCCTGGCAAGGAAAATATGACTTTTGATACTCTTTCGCCGGCATTGTTCTTCACTGGTACCGTCGCAAATGTGGTGGGCTTTCCTGGCTTCATCGAGACACGCCCAAAATGGATGGTTCCCCCAAGTGATCGCTCGATTGTAGGCTTAAGCAGATCAAGTTCACCCATTGACACACCGCCTGAAGTGATTATAACATCAACTTTGCGAAGGGCATCCCGCAAGGTCTCCTCGAGGGCTCCAGGTTTGTCTCTCGCGATTCCCAGGTCCACAACCTCGAAGCCCCAACCTCGAATAGCGGACATGATGGTTGGTCTGTTGCAGTCGCGGACCTCCCCTAGTCTCAAGTCGCCAGGTCTTCCGTGTTCTATGATTTCGTCTCCCGTCGATAAGACCCCCACAACTGGCCGGTTATATACTCTGACTTCTGCTCTACCAACAGAAGCCAATAGCCCCAGCTCCCCACCGATAGCTGAGATCTCATCTCCTCTGCGCAGGACCACCTCACCCTTTTTGATGTCGCTTCCGACCTCTCGTACATTCTCGCCGGCTTTGACCCCTTCTGCTAAGATCTCAATCTCGTGTTCTTCTTGCCCATCTTCTGTCATCGTCTTGAGAATAGTGTCTTCCACCATTACAACCGACGTCGCACCAGGAGGGAGAGGAGCACCAGTAGTGATCCGTGCAATCTGTCCCACCTCAAGCGGTGGAATCTCTCCAGGTGTAGCATGAGATATCGAAGCCACAGGAAATACACCTTTGCTTGAACCGCCATCTTCGGGTGCGATCACAGCATAGCCATCTACTATGCTTGCTCGATACGCAGGAACAGCTTCTGTAGCTGTAACATCTTCTGCGAGTACACAACCAACCAAAGATCCATCGACATTAACAGTGACAACTTGCGGAGATGGGGTGTGCTCTTTGATCAGTCCGATTGCATCGTCAACAGCGATCATAGGATACGGAGAAGAGCGGTTTCGTCTCGTTGGGCCAAGTGCGGGGTCATTAGAGCGAGGATTCTCACTTGATGCTGTATGTCGAACGGGCATTGCATGGCCATGGCTGTGCCCACCATGAGAATGACCGTGTGAGTGACTATGGCTGTGAGAATGTGCACCAGAACCGTGAGCACTGACCCCAGCTTCTTTCTCCAGTGTCTTGACACCACCGGCGTGAATTGTTCTGGAGTCGGCACCCGCTGCTTGTATACAAGCGTGAGGGAGTAGCTTCAATACCGATTGGAGATTTTCTTTGGCGCCTTTGGGAGATCCAGGAAGTGTGATTATGATGGTCTTGCTCCGAACTCCGGCGACTGGTCGTGACATCAGAGCGACTACGAAGGATCAGCTGTATATACCTTTACGCTGAGAATGAGCTTACAAGGAGTAACGGCTAACGAAGCTGCAAGCATGCCGTGGACAAGCCCAGGTGCCTGCTTGTGGAGAAGTGGAGTAACAGCCTTCCAGAAATTAGTCACAACCTCTCCATAACAGAGAATATTTAACAACCTCAGGTGTACTATCATGGACTGCAAAACCGGTCCCACCCGTGGTAATGATCAAATTCGGAGGATCTTCTCGGTCGGCCCAACCAGTGATCGTACGTTGGATATCCAGCACCACATCGCTGACGATCTTTGTCTCGACGACTTCCCACTTTCCCCCACCTTCTTGCTCAAAGACTTCCTCCAAGATCGCTCCAGACAAATCAGCCGATGGATCTTTGGAAGCCGTTGTAGAGACAATCAAGACGGCGGCCTTTAAGGTGGCCATGGTGAGTAGTGAAGATGAATGAAGGTTGAGATTAGGGAAGCCGAGTGATGAAGTACTTCGCTTAGTGAGAAGCGGGGCATCACATGACCTTGTTGACATAGGTACTACTGAGAGGCCTTTTCTCTTTCTGATGTGGAGGGTTTAGGCTCGCATAAGCAGGAAGAGAAAATTGCCATAGCAGTAAGTTAAGTGTAAAATGGCATGTTCTTCTAAGATGTCTAACCTTTACAAAGGGTGGTATTCTCCACCACAAGGGTTCCTTGGTTATTCTGCTTCTGTTAGGCATTACCAAAATTCGGGGGATACTTGAACTTTCATCATTGCCCGTCAGCTGTAAATATACTTAAATGTCGAGTGTAATGTATTGTAAACCAATCGTTTGGCTCTCATCTGATGTACTTCTCACAGAACTGAGCATTACCTACTGAAGAACATACTCTAGTAGTTGTATACTCATCTGGGTGCAACAAAGCATTGCTTACCAACGAATATTCTTGTATCCTCATGAAGCGACACTCAAATTGCATTCACGCCTCGATCTCTTCCATCGTTGTTTTCTTCTCACTTCAGCCAGCATGTATGACGGAGGTTGAGGGGCGGAACCTCCTTGGAACAACCATCTCTACCTAGTGGCTAGCCAAACTTCTGCCATGCCCCGTCACCGAGCTTCACTGCCCAGTATAGGTGCAGCAGTTCTGCATTATTTCCCTTTTATTTTTCTCTGCAGTTTACAACCTGGAAATCGATCGTTATCGTATAGATTTGGTGAGTCGATTCTTTATCCGGTTGGCTGTTGTTGATTCGTAAGCGAGACTTTGAATGTGATACCGTGCCTGCTGAGCAGACAATGGAAAGGGCAAGATCAGCAAGAAAGTAAAGAAACGTCTTGCCTCTAAACTATAAATGACTACAACTCTTGCAAAATGGAAAGAAGTCACACTGTCATATATGGGTTGCTTCTGGGACAGCGATCAGGCTTCGAACTAAGTGCTGTCCTTGTCATCAATCCCACCTGCCTTTCGGCTGTTAACCAATACCTAGGTCCTCGAAGAAAGCATCCATTTTCGGCTCCTGACCAAGGAAGTCAGTCAAAGTCTTCATCTCATCCTGACCTCCCTCTTTCTCAAGAACTGCATATCTGTATCTCCTGCCTGCCTTGGCATCCATAGGCTCTTTCTCGAAGACTGTCTGGAACATGTCGTCCGCAAATACTTTCGAGCTGAGTAAAACCTTAGAATCGGGTCAGTATAATGTGCAAGAGATCTTACTATAGATACCCGTACAAGCCAGCGTCATAATCTCCGACGAGGTGGCCCATATTACCATCACCATGCCCCCATTCCCAACCTTCGCCAAGCACTTCGGGACCACCCATACCTGTGAGGTCTTTCCGGATCTTGTTGTATTGCTCGGAGAAGTTCATTTGATCCAATGCCTCGTGAGTCTCAGGTTGATGAATCATCATGTCCAACACGCTGGGATGCAGGACGCGTAGCTGGAACAAAGTACCATTGACGTTCTTAGCTCTGATCAGTTTCTCGATCATCTCATCAGGAATAGTCTCAGTCGGGGGCGGATTTCCATTTGCCTGCTCTTCCCACGATCTAAGGCATCCCTCTGATAGGGTCGAGTAATGCCGACTGAGGGACTTCAGCGTCGCTGGTGTCCAACACCAATTCTCCAGCATCTGACTAGGTGCTTCACCAAAGTCTATGACGGTCATCGTGCCGTGGTATCGAGAGAACTGAGTCTTCGACACCAGATCATGGATGCCATGTCCAAGCTCATGAAATAGAGTGACGACCTCGCCATGTTGCAGTAGGGTCGGTTTTTTGGGTGTCGGCTTGGAGAATGCGCAAATCAACACTGTGGATGGATAGTGGCGGGTGCCATTCTCGTGAACAAACCCCTGCTAGTGGTCAAATCGCTGAATGCGTTTATACGGGATGTAATACTTACGGGTTGCAAGTTCCAATTGCTGGGATTCGAACATTTGTTCTCCCGTGAGTACAGATCCAGATACAGGTATCCAAGGAAGCCACCACCCTCATCTTTACTATCCCAGACAGAGTATAATTGAACATCTTCATGCCAGGCAAGACCTTCTCCGCCGTCATATTTTGAAAACCCGCTGCTCTCGGCACTAGGAATCTCCACGAATGCAAGACCAAAGAGCTGCTGGAAAGTCCGCAGCATCCCTTTGATGGTGCTTTGCAGTGGGAAGTATCTGCAATATTTTGCTGGTCGACCGAATATTCCTTCTCCAGTAGGAGCTGACCATAATACTGGTTATCCCAGATGAAGTAGTGACCATTGAAGATCTCTCCTCGAGATTCCATATCAGACTTCTTGAGCGCCTTCAAGGCCTCTAGATCTTTCCGTCCACCAGCTATGAGTCTAGACTGTAGGTCCGTTAGGAATGCATTGACGTTTGCCGGGTTCTTAGCCATATTTTCCTCCAACCTGAAGGCAGCATGGTTGGGATAGTCAAGAAGACGAGCCGCCTCATCACGTAGCATAACTATTTCTTTCAAGATAGGAACGTTATTCATGCACTTATTCTCATATGCGAGCTGGAAACGCTTGCGAGTCTCGGAATTTTCGCATATTTCATGGCTGGGAGGAAGTGCGGGAAGTCGGAGGTCATCAGTAGCTTTCCCTCGTGCTCTCCAACACCTTTCTCCAGACCGTCGTTGATATCCACAGGAATACCATCGAGTTCTTGAGGCAGGAACCACAGTTCAACGCTCGATTCGTTCAGGTTCTTGTGGAATTGGATGCTTAGCTGGCCCAGTCGTTGTTGGATCTCCTTGAATCAATCTCGCGTCGATCCCATTGGCAACTTCAAGCCATTTCGGATGTAATCCCGATGCTTCTTCTCTAGCAGTAAGGTAGATTCCGTGTCCAGCTTCTCATCCTTGCCCACTACAGCATCTACGAGATGATACAGATCCTCGCGCATAGAAGTCTCGATTTCATACTTGTTTACGAGTTTCTCAGCTTCGGCAGATGCATCTCTTATGTCCTTGTCTAGTGATACATGTTGATAGAATTGAAGGATATGAGAGTTGAGCTTGAAAGTATTTTCGGCACGCATGAGTGGCAGCAGGACATTGGCAAAAGTAGCTTCCTCCTGGCGAACGTTTTTGACGATTTGCTCTTGAGCCTTCCGAGAGGCAATAATACGCTTGGCATCATCAATGATTGATTTTGGAGTTCCCGTAAAACGATGGGGGCTCTGGGAAGGGGTTTGGTGGTTATAGCTTGCCATGATGTATTCAGAAGGATTTAATATGTAAACGAAATAGAATATGCAAAGCAGATGATCGAGCATAAAGAGGAAAGTGGATAGTACTCGGCCATAGCTGTGCCTTCGGGTAGGAGTCTCAATCGAGCACTTTCCAACTGCGGAGCTTGCATGGTTTGTGACAGTAGTGCTTGATGCATACTCTCGGTAACCATTCAAAGCGTAGGAGCTATCGCTGTGATGGCTCACCGGCTTTAGAGCAGGGCTATCGATTTTTTCCCCCGCATATCAAGCGATAGTCAAGCTGACAAAACGATACGATATGATAGAAGCGAAATTTGTACTAATGGAGAGCAGGAAGAGAATTCTGGTTGAACAAATTTCCCGAAGATGGTTGCTTCCGCTAGATAGCAATATGTACTTACAAAGAAAGAACGGAATGAGAGTAAATGAATAAAGATGCGATACGATTGCGTCCCAGAATATGAAATGGGAAAGAAATAAAGATGAGAAGGGAGAGAAAGCTACGGCATGCAGCGGACAGCCAGCACATTATGACATCACGTGGCTTGTCATTCTCGCGCGACTCACTTTTCTTGACGTCGCGTCTCCTCTTGCACGGAAGCAAGCCAAGTCAACAATATGGTCCGCCTCAAGCACCGGTATCTACTGGTGAACATATTGTATCCAGAATTAGAAAAGAACCAATCGAAGTCAAAGGTTCCAGATGTAGTGGTCTTCAATCAGCCGACCTCGAGCAGCCTCACCAATCAAGTGCTGCTGAGGGGTCTGCGAGCAGCAATATCTAGCTTATTTGGGGACTACGGATCTGGTGCTGTGTCTGAATCTCTTAACGGTAATGGTATTTGCCCTCTCAATATCTGAACGATACTAATTATATCTAGTTAAATACTTGTCTCCTGCGACTTCGACATTTATCCTTCGAGTGGCGCGCGCCCATTACCGAATCGTCTGGGCTGCGTTGACGCTCATGAATTCTGTACCGATCCAGGATGGAAAGAAGTGCGTATTTAGGGTTGTGAGGGTCAGTGGGACAATCAGGAAAGCCGAAGAGGAGGCAATTCGAAGGGCAAGAGAATTGATCCTGAAAGCACAACGGGAGGCCGAGGACAAAGGAGAAACGGCATTACAGGGAATATTCGGCGCACAGGTTGATGAGGACTCTTCGAAAGATATCCTCATGGTGGACAGATCCGATAGTGAAGGCGACAATGATTCGGATGTAGGATGAATTGGGGTATCATTGGTTTTTACGAACTACCTTTACACCGCTCCCACCTGGAGGTAACGACATATCCTCCATATCGTCGTCCTCATCCTCGAGATGTTCACCAAGCTCGGCTTGTTTCGCAGCTTCGGCCTCTGCTTGCTTCTTCCACTGCTCCAGCTCTGCCTTGTCATAGTCGTCTTTGGCATCAATCCACCGCTCCTGGACGTCCTTCACATCCATTGTGGTAACACCTTCCCGCATCGCAACTTGCCAGACAGTATCATTTGCGCCTTCGGCTCCACCGAATGCATACCCTCCTGCTCTGTCTATGACCTGTAGCAAGTGCATCATACTCTTCTTGTCCTCTACCGCCAAAGTCTCAAACCCTACCAATCCAAAGCCTTCGACCAGTTCCACGATGGCTGTGTTCAGCCCTTCGAATTTCGAGCCAGCCATCACGGACGATTCTTCTTGAAGATGCGGGAGAAGATATGAGAGGTCTTGTACTTCTGTGTAGAAATCGAGGTTGAACGGGAGCGGGCCATAACTCGAGATCTTGTCGATTTTCGTGAGGACGTTCAGATGTGGAAGATCCATCTGTAGCATAGCACGCAGAGAGAGGATAAGATTCGAAATGTATAGTGAAGGCATGGTCAGGCAGTATGAGTCGGAAAGATGGAGGACTACAAGCTGTACATCAGTCAGCATGCAACCAAGAACATGGTTTTGGGAATCCAACCCTGTATCCCATTTTCTGCACCTTAAAGAATATGTTCCGTAATGATGAGTGATGTGTGTAGAGTTCAACCTGTCCCGGGCAGTCAAATAGCACATAATCTTCTCCGAGCTCATTTAATCCCTTCTCAAGCCAATCTATGTTCTGTTCCAGCTCCTCGAGAGCGTACAGCACGCCACCATTAGGCCCTAACTCGTCGTCTTCCATGATCTCCTCAAGCTTGACTAGATCACGTACGTCTATTGCACATGGGTAGCTGGTCTGATCGTTTGCTGGGTCGAGGTTCACCACAGAGCATTTTCGGCCTATCGCGGACATGAATTGTTGCACTGGAAGCCCGTTAGTCTCTTTCGGGAAAGTCCAGAACGATATACTAACTTCCATTGCAGTATGTACTCTTTCCAGATCCCGGACTTCCAAGAACAAGTTGGGCGAACGGCATCTTGGAGGAGCAAAAGCTCAAGTACGCGCGGGGCAAGAGTCCAGATGAGGGGCAGGTGGGGTGTTTCCCTGATAATGGCCGTGCTGTATTGATGTTTCACAGTCCTAAAAGTTATGAAAATTGGGTGTAGATATTCTAGATCGTGATAGATAGTCAACGAGATCTTTCCAGGTCGTCTCAGAGTGTGCTTGTTTATTGCTCGCTTTCTGGGTGCTTTGGAAGCTCTTCAAAGCTTCAGGAAAGCTCAAAGCGCTTTCCCCTTTCTGGCGAGCCGAAGGCGGTCTGTCGCGGATCAAATTTTGGCGCATCTAGTCAACATCAGTGTCTAAACATCAGAGCCAAAACAACTCTTGCAGTCTCTCGGTGAATTACCAGACACTATGGCTCCTCGTAAGTCTGCTAGCATACCTTATACTCTTGTAGTCCTAAACAAGACCCATCTAACAATCTACAGAAGTACAATTCAAGCTCTCGCAGCCCCCGTCCGACGCGGTATCCTCCCTTAAATTCGCGCCCAATTCTCCAACACGGCTACTGGTCTCTTCTTGGGACAAGAATGTTTACTTGTATGATACACAAGACCAAGATGCAGGCGGAAAACTGATCGAGAAGTACGAGCACCGAGCCCCCGTACTCGATGTGTGCTTCGGCGCCGACGACAATGAAGCCTTCAGCGCGGGGATGGATTGGCAGGTGAAGAGGTATGGATACCATTGTCGTTTTTACGGATATTCTGCTTACGAAATTGTGAAGGATAAATCTGGAAACTGGAGAGCAGACTGTATTAAGCGCACATGGCGCACCAGTCAGATCTGTGGTTTACAGCAAAGAACATTGTAAGTCTCTGGCCACTCTATACAACAGTAGTCACTAATTGTTCCAGCACTTCTCATTTCAGCTTCCTGGGACTCGACTTTACATTTCCACGATCTCAAGCACCCCGAAAAAGAACCAACAACTATCACACTCCCGGCGAAACCCCATTCCCTCTCGATAACAGCCTCGAAACTCGTTGTTGCGATGGCCGCTCGCCTTGTTTACATCTACCAGCTCCAAAGCACCGCTATGCTCGCCTCACAAGCGAACGGTTCAACCGCCGATCTACAGCCCTGGCAACAACGAGAGTCTTCCCTGAAGTTTATGACCAGAGCGGTGGCATGTATGCCAAACGATGATGGTTATGCTACGAGCAGTATCGAAGGCAGAGTAGCAGTCGAGTGGTTCGATCCCTCCACCGAATCTCAAGCCAGGAAATACGCGTTCAAGTGCCATCGCCAGCCAGACCCCGAGGGTGACGGAACAGACATTGTCTATCCAGTGAACGCACTAGCCTTCCATCCGGTTCATGGAACATTCGCCTCTGGGGGAGGAGACGGGGTAGTCGCCTTGTGGGATGCCGTTGCGAAGCGGAGAATCAGACAGTATCAGAAATACCAAGCTAGCGTTGCGGCTGTCGCTTTCTCAAGCGATGGGAAGTACCTGGCTGTCGGTGTCTGTCCCGGATTCGAGAATGGACAGGAAGATTACACGGGAGAGGGAGAGACACATGTCTACATCAGAGAGCTGAGCGAAACCGAGGCAAAGGGCAAAGGAGCGAAGTAATCAGTCGTAACTAATAGGGTTCTGCAAGTCTGTCAGTTTAGCAAGGCGTTCCGGTTAACCAAAATGGAACTGAGATCGATCATCTATTTTCAATTCCCACATTTTCAATATCAAGCACATCTGCATTAAATACATAGATTCATTTTCTTCTATACAAGTGTATTTTCATTCATATACATTGTGCTTTAATGGATCTCAAATTCCTTCTCAGTTGCCTTCCCAATCGCAAGTAGATCCAGAGCCTCTCCATCCATAAGCCCATGGACATAGCACTCCCCAACAAGTATGTAATGTTTACCCACCTTCCTCAATACAATAGGAACCGAGCACCCATAAAGTACACATATCAAATCACCCTTCTTCGCAGGCACGGGCCCAAGTCCAATATACCCTTTCTTCGAGATCATCAACTGCCGATGCAGTACATTAGCACGAAGCACATTTAACCCCACAGCCAACTTCCTCGACAGCCCGAGCTCAACAGCAGACTTCCAAGCCTGATTCGCCAGATACCTCACACCCTCATTCGACTTCCTGGGAAATCCCAAAACCCTATCAAGAAATAATGTTCTCGTGTAAGCCTGCGCAATCGAGTATCCCCTCGCGATATATTTCCCATGTCTCCACCGCCTATCGGACATTCGACGCGCGTAGACTCTGCCGCGTATTCGTTCCATGGGAAGACGCATGATAAAGAGCTTGTACATGCTTTTTATCATTTTGTTTCGTGTTTCTTGCAGGACGAAGGCTTTGGAGAGGCAGATCTTGTGGCATTGGTCGAGGATATGGAACATGTGCTGTTCGGGTCCTTCGCCGAAATGCCGCATCATGAGTCTTTCCCAGGGAGAGAAATCGCAGACGAGGAGTCTCCTATCGCGAAATGTTGGGGCTTCACCGAGGTGTTGGATCCGGTCGATATATATTCCTTTTGCTGTCAAAGTGGGTGGCGATTTTGTTATTTTCGTGACTGGTGAAGTGTTTCGAGAGGCTTGCCAGGGTGGTGACTTTGGATCTTGTGTGAGTTGGTTGAGGCCGCGGTATTTCATCAGAAGTGGCTTGTTGATCAAGCTATTGCCTTCTATCATGTCGAAGCCATGATACGAACTCCCAGTACCTTGGGTGTCTGAGCTTGAGATCCCGCTTGAGGTCCAATCTGGGACCCAGGATGGCCATGATCCGTCCAGATGATCGTAGTTACGTCGCATGCAGATAATATCCAGGCTGCCTTGTGATATGCAATATGCGACAAAGTCTCTGTATACATCCACCACGGATGTTGCAGACGAATAGTCTGGTGAACAGATAGGATGGCTAGTCGGATCGCCGATATTCCCAGCAAGTCCCAGAAGTGCATAGACCATATCCTTGGGATCAGTGGCAACCATGATACGAGTATTGGCGACAAGATCTTCAAGACTCCGTAGGGGTCCTTTGGAAATATGCATGTGGATGCTCAAGCGCTTCTTAAACAGGATCAATCTCTCCGTCGAAGGCCCTGACAGGTCCGGCGCAAGGGTCGCTATAGCAGAGAGTGCATTTGAGAAGAGCCACCATGGCATCTCATCATCACCGCACCTTACAACGATTGAACGAGCAACGGCAGCTTCTTGAATGACCCACACTCTCGTCCACCACGGTCTCGAAGCAATATCGTTGATGATGCCTCGCAGCCCTGTGAGAGACGATCGCCTATTCAGCAGCGTTTGGAGTCCACCGAGAGCATCTTGTGAGAGTGATACAGGTCCTTGATTTTCTTTCTGCTCCCAGAAGCTGCTACTCCCGAAATCGAGTTTTCGTATGAGAGAGAATGAAGCTTTGCTAGCCATGGTACTTTCCCCCAGCCAGACAACGACTTTCGATGCTCTTTGAAAGACATCACGCATCAGCAGGATTTGAGAGGACCTCTCTTCTGCATTCTGTTGATCAATGCATATTGCATCAATCCACAGCGTCCTTGGTTTCTGCCCGTCACGGAGATGTCGAAGAGCTCGAGCGAGATTTGTGGTCACTCGGAATGACTTGCCATCCAATATGATCTCTCGAGTCCTGTTCGGATCTCCCCATACATAAGAGAGTGCTTCATATGGCGGTGCTTCATCCAAGGACACAGTGTTTAGAGAATAGCGGATCTCAGTCCCGTCACCCTCGTGGACCGTCAGCAAGCGAATCTCCCTTTGACTTCCATCTTGCTTCGGTAATGGTGTGTAGGTAAACACAGGTCCCACATTTCTTGACTGGCGGTATTGACACGGCTCTGAAATCTTGCGTCTCCTCTCATTCGAACGCCAAAGGAATTGGTACAGCTGATTCCAGGCCTGACGCAGGGGGCTGGCAGTCGAGTTGAAGCGGTGCGTAGGTCGTCTCCTGAAGCAGTGAGCTTGGCCTTGTCGTGATTCGGTCAGAATTTGGCCAGATTTTTGCAATAGATTCTTACATGCAGCCCTTCGTACCTGCATTCTTCGAATTGAAGAAGACTGGCAGGTTCAGACGAGTTCAGGGGGTTGGGAGCCCCACGGGGAAATGTGATGGTCCAGCGCACAGGCAGTTCGGACTGGCAGAAGTGCCCGATAGGTCAGCTTTTATTGAATCTTTTCCTCAATAACCTCACTAAGCAATCTATCTCCAGATATCGATTCCTCAGAATACATCGTTCAGAGCATGCGAAGATCTTGAGCTGATTCTAAAAAATTCTGTGCTGTGGCAAGAGCCCTGTCAGATACCTCGCAGCTTGGTAATCCCACTTTGTCACCTGACCATGTTGACTGTACGGTCTTGTCTTTCCGCAGCATCCATTATCACTTCAAATATAGCTAGTCCTCTTTGGCTTCGTGGATATAGCTCACGGTACGAGTCAGGTAGGTAGGTATCGATGGATACCTAATAATTCATCCGGCAGAGCCCCGTATGACCTTTGATTATGAGATGGGAGATTTCATTGAAGTCGGCAAGGACGATATATAGTATGTATTCTCCGACGTGAAGATTTAATGAGTACTGTGAGCGAAGAATTTGAGTGTTGATGTTGATAGTAGTGCGAAACAGAAGAATTTTTTATCATTCTTGTTATGCTATGAACCATTGACAGTGCTGAAATGGTAGAAATATGTATGGACAACTCTAGGTAGTAAATAGCTGCGGATATGAGATACCAATTTCCCGCTGCGATTAATTCATTTGTCCCAGTAAGAATGAAAAATACGGGGTATCTATCTCTCTCTCCAGTGCTCATCTTCAGCAATATGAGTTTAGCAAGCCAGCACACTGACTATTCGCTTTCTAGTAAATTCCATACCTAAAGATATGCCACTTCCACAACCAAGTACATACAACTCGTCCCTGCCTATACATAGCAACTACTGTGCATCAGTAATACTTCCAAAATTGTGAAAATATCAGCATGTTCTCAATTCCTATGCCTGTGAAGTCTGTGGTGGTTTTTTGAAAGGCGGATTGAAAGACAGAGATACTGTCCTCCTCCTAGCACTCCCATGCAAAGTTCCTAGTCCCCGACTAACAGATCTTGTTAACTCCTTCAATGTCCGAGGTTGGCTTGGTGTCCGGAGCTGACTCGATTGTCTACTTGGTGAGCTCTTGACCGGTGATGCTGTGTGCTGAAATGCATCCGACATACTGATTCCACCCGCCATCAAACTATTGCCACTCTCTCGTTGGTGAAGATCGAAATGAACTCGAGATCGAGAACGAGTTGGTGTAGGTACTGTCCGATTGACAATAGACGTACGAGGACGTTGGCTCAATTGTTGGGATGCCTGGCTGAAGTAGCTTCCCTCAAGGACCATGAAGACCTGCGTTTCTTTCTTCGTCCTCCTCAAATTGTGTCTCTGGGATATCCGCTGGATAGGAACGACGAAAGTTTTGGGTATCCCCAAGGATGATAGATCCTCCTTGGCTATCGTGCGTGATTGCGGGCATTATTTGTGAAGACCCACTTTCTGGCAATTGGTCGACTACATACAAGGACTGGCTTCTGATACTTGGTCGTCTCCTGAGTGATTGACGACGAGACGAGGCAGCTCTTTCACGCTCATGTGGCGGCGTCGGACTATCAAAGATCTCCTCGTCAGCTTGCATCTCGGACCCGCTCGTCTCAGGAATGCGAGGTCGCCAAGAGCCATCGAGATCGTTGGCTGAATGCTGTGAGAGTTGACTGGACAGATGCTCTAATTTCAAAGCTTCTGAGGCAATACTCGCGAGTATTGGCAATTGCTGGCTTGGTCGAGGCTCCTGTCCTTGAGTCTCATACTGATATTTGCCTTTCGCTTGCTGGCTTGTGGGAGGAGCTTGAAGCTTCTCTCGGATCCTCGCCTTCTCAGACTTCGTCTGCTCGTTCAATTCTGCTACTAAAATGTCAATCTCCTGCCGGTGTACTTGGACTATTGCGTTGCCACATAGCTGGTAATGTGTGCTCGAAGGTGGTCGAGCTGATCCTTCCTGATCATCCTCATCTACCACAATGTCGCTAGGAACACTGGTGAAATCATTTGATTTCTCCTCCGTGTCATCCGCATAGTCTCGCTCCAGTGAATTCTCAGGTTCTGACTGTGGATTCGATTGCTGGGACACGTTATCCAGCCCATTTCCATCCTCGTTCTCAGAAGGTGTATTGTTCGCCTCAACCTCCCGCGATGCGTCTTCACTTCTCGTGTCTGGGTCGTCATCACCATGGCCAGCCGTAACTTGGTCACAAAGCTCTGGCTCTGCCTCTCTCCTACCATGCTTGTTAGTTCGTTTCATGGTAACTAGACTAATTTCTTGTGAGGCGATTTGATCATTCCGCCTTCGCCTCTCAGTTTTAGGCTTGGTAAGCAGAGGAACAGTACTCGGTGGCAGTTTAAGATGTTCCTCTGGCTTTTCAGCAACAGATCTTTGGGTCATGGCTCTCGATTCCAGTTGATTATTGGCTTTAGGGTCAAGACGCATGCTTTGTGATTTTCGCTTCGGTGGGGATGTATTACCTGCAGGTGTAATGGACATCAGACTTTGATTCGCAATTACGGGTGTGTAAGGTTGTGCCACAGCCTCCGTCGATTGCTTATTCTGAGCAATTATCGCGCCTTGTGCGGAATCCTCTTCGTCAACCATAAGCATCTGATCATCCTCTGGCTGGTGAGGGATAGATCTTGGAACCTTTTTCCTCAATCTCTGCTTCTTCTTCCGACGGCGTGGACCTTCTGGCGGATCTTCTGATGGGTCTTCTGGAGGCCTCTCCTGGACAAGTTGAAGCTCTCCATATCTGATCGTTCTATGATTATAGCTTTCCTTTCGTCGACTTTGCTGTTTTACTGGCATCAATCGACCAATCGGCTCTCTTTCTTTCCCACTGAATCCATCAGAGTATGTAGTAATCTGAGCGAATCGACTTTGAGCATTGGGGCGTTCTGGCATGCGATACAACGATATGTCCACCTCTCCAAAGCCTCTGGGTATCCTGATGGTAGTCAAAGGACCACGACGGTGTCGTCTTACATCATCATCGTCTCCGCCATCAGATGTCTGGGAGATTGGATCTTGCGATAGCTCTAGTGGCGGAGCTATGGTGGTACCAGTCAGTGTTTGCTCTCTTCCAGTAGAATCAACGACTTACTAGGCGCAGATTCCACTTCCAGTTCTTCCAGTCTCTCTGGTGCCGTCATCAACTCACCACGGTCTGGAAGTCGGCGAGGTTCTTTGGTTCGCTTCTTGGACTGACTAGACTTCTTACTCTTCTTTGGCCTTGTTGTGACGTCGGGGCCAATGTCTCTAGTCTGTCGTGAAGCTTTTGATACTCTCCTATCACTCAAATCCCGAAGAGCGGCTTTTCGAACCTCAGCACTTGGTACCCGACGCTCGGTTCGTCTCCTTTTGACATGAAGTTTCTGTTGGTCGGCATCCTCAAGCCCGTTTCCGTTTCCTTCATTCTCTTGGCTGCCTCCGCCCTCCTCAGAACTACCCTCGCTTCTTGGTCTTTTAGGGCTTGAAGAGGTTGACGGTGAATAGCTGTTATCACAGCCATCAACCATTTCTAGTAGCAGAATTTCCATGTCGCTGAGTGCTTCCCTTAAGAATAAATTATTAGCTGTGACTTTCTGCAGGAACAATGAGATGTCTTCAGAGCAAAACAGTACCAGCTGACCAGGGACGGTTAGTGAAGATGGAAAATCGCACTCACTCTTTCAGCGTCAGATTCTGCATCTCTTCATTGTCGTTCTCTTGCTCCTCGGGTTCATTCTCATCCTGCTCTTGGCGAAGCTCATCAATAAGCTGCTCATCAGAGTGTGATCCTTCAGCTTCATGTGGTTCATTGGAGTGACATTTGCCGAGATCTTGAGTAGCTCGCTGTCCACCACGTAGGTATTCCTCCAGAGATCTACTTTCCTGAGATACCACAAGTGGCGAACTGTCCTCAGGATATTGAAAGCTACTCGTGGCAGGCTCCAGATCACATCCAATCTTTGTAGGTTTGCTCTCAGGAAACACAACATGTCCATCCTCTTCCGCGTCATGGTCAATGACATTACTCTCTTGGGACTGCTTCGGTAGTGTGGACCTGAACTTCGTCTTGTAAGTCTTCACAGCTTGAGTCTTTGGCTTTGGCTTAGGGAAGACAGGAGCTGGAGGTGGTGGAACAGGATCATCTAACTCCTGGGTAGGTCTGACCCGCCACTGAGCAGCAGTGCTCGCCACATCACGAATTTGAGAGACAGGGAGTGAACGTCTGGGTACGCCTCTGTGACCATTTCGGAAGATCACACTGAGAGGTTGTCGTGGTGTCTTTTCGGCAGCTTTGATCTTGGGCTTGGCAGCAACTGGTGTGGTATTGCTGGTCTCAACAGCAGCGTTCCGAACTGGAAGTCCCGTTACAGTCTCTCTCATCCCACCATTTCTCAAGACCACAGCTTCTGAAGCTAGACACTCAGCACATGGTTCATCAGCAGTCTCGATATTCCTCGCCACTTCATCTTGCGGTGTGAAGTTGTCCTTTTTTGAAACCTCATTTCGCCATGATTCCACTCTGCTCGACTTCACAACCTGTCGCTGAAATACCCGTCCTGGCAACTTCTTAAAGTGACGTTGGGGAGTGTAGTCAGATAGATCTTGCTCCAATGCGGGTAGTAATCGCTCTTTTCGGACTGTCCTGGGTGATGTGCGCTTTTGTTGCGGCGATGTCTCGGTAGTCATGGTGGTCAGCGTCTTCTCTGGGACGAGGTGATGATCATATGAGAGGCTGCGAGGAGACAGTGTGCCAGGTTGAGCCCGCACCTGGGACCATATGCTGCTATATGAAGAAGATGAAAGAAAACAGGATCTCCGCGAGAAGGGTCCCGTCCTGATTTAGAATCAACCGAAGAAAGGAAGGAACGAGGACAGGGTTTGCACGTGACTTTCAATATAAACCCAAATCCGGGCTCAGGAAGGAACGATATAAACTCTCACATACTTGCGTCCACAATAGGCTTCCCTGTATCAGCCTCCTGGATGTAAAGTCTGGACATTGAAATTAAAAGAGACTATCAAACATAACCCAATTGAAGGGTTCTACAACCAAGCGTGGGCAAATTTTGTTTTACGGGTAGGCGGGAGGCAGTATGTACCGAACACACTCCAGCATTGGGGTATCCAGCAAGACTCGAGCACAGAGCAGACAGAGTGTAGGGATGTATGCCGCCAATCCAAACACACTCATGAACAAACGCCAGGAACCCTCAACTGAAAGACAAAATGGAATCTCCGGTCTAGTGTACTGTAACCCTTCAGAAAGCACCAAAGGCATATTGTACAGCAGCGCTATCATGTCGTTAGTATGGCTTGTGCGTTAAAGGAAGTGAAACTTACCCAAGAACCAACGTAGCACTAATTCCAAGTAAAGCTCGAGTCTTGATGCGCTCCTTCTTGAGCTCTGTAACTTCCGTCTTAGCCTTCTTTGCAGGAGCTTGAGCAACAGACTCGCCTCCATCTTCGTTCTCCTCATCCTCTGCCTCCTCAACCTTGCGCTTGCTCCTCCGTGGGAGAGCAGCCGGTTCTTCTTTCTGAGCCTGCACCGCTGCCTCAACCATCTCTTTAGCCCTTGCGATCATCGCTTCAGTGTCCTCAGGAAGTGGTAACTCGGCAAAGCCAACTGGCATCTCCACCTCAACATGAGTGTGCGTGATTTCCGAGTCGCCTTTGACTTCCACATCGGTATCCACGTGAACGCGAACCTTAGGCTCCTCATCTATTGTCTCTTCCTTGGGCTTTTCAGCGTCCTTCTTTGATTCGGACTTAGGCTCAACCTCCCCATTGGTCTCGGCAGCAGCAGCTTTCAATGACTTGTTGAGGTTCTCGCTCGCAGTTTGTACCGAAGGCTCAACAGATTCCGACTTGACAGACTCTGATGTAGCCCTGGTCTTTCGTGCTCTCGTTGATCCAGCTGTCTTCTTTGGTGACGCAATCTTGCTCGGTGAAGCTGCTCTTCGAGGACGACCACGACTTGGAGTCGGCGCTGCCAGTGATTCTTGGGGCATCAGGAAGTTGGGAGGCGGGGAAATTGTCTTTGGTGTGGCATCCTTGGTAGGGTTGGTCTCAATTGGTGTATTGTCCAATAGTGCCTTGATCCAAGGTAGAATTTGGTATTCTTCAGCCAGCTCGAGCGCGTAGTGGGGTGGGATCCAGACATTGCCAGCTGTTTCGTCCGTGCTGGTTGTCTCCAAACTCTTGATGTACTTTCGCTCTTGTTCCTCCTCAGCAGCCTCAGCGTATGGGAAAGTAGCCTTAAACATTCCAGTCGCACTGATATACCCATCATGGCTTCGGCGCATGAGGAAGTAGGATGCTGGCGAAGGCTTGAAGATGCCAGAATGGATGCCCTTGGGAAGTGGTGCTCGCAGGTGCGCATAATCGAAAGTACCCAAATTCTTCGGCTTCGTCGAATTGGATGTACCCACTTGACCGGCCTTTACAGTCAGGTCAGTCTGACCAAGTCGGCGGCGCGAAACGAGGACCGAATCTGGATTGTGTTAATGTTTGAAGCTATTGTCGCAAACGTCGCGTCTTACATTCAGGGACGGCCTCGGTCATGAGGGGGTTTACCCGCTCCGGAAGTCGACGAGTAGGCGCCATTGTGCTTTTTAATTAGAATGATATAGAGAGAAGATGCCGGGGTCGATGATATTTTCGAGTTCCTACAGCGCCGCGAAGGGTCTCGAGAAGTGATACGTGGAGCGCGCTTTTTGCAACACCAATGTCAGCACCGGAATTTCCAACGCGCATGAAGCGCATTCATTACTTCCACCAATATTAGTATTGCGACTTACCTAAAAGCACTGTCCTCGCGATGAGTTGCGACTGCTAACAGCTGAAGCCGATGTCGTCCAGCGTCTTTTCGCGCAAAAGTGGTATCGAGGCTCCGTTGACTGTTGATTGGAGGAGGAGTAGACCTAGAAGCTGATGGCGCCAATCGCGAGATATCAAAAGGAGTGGAAGCCAGAGGACGAGGCGATAAGAGGCAAAACCCACCAAGGCGCAGGATTAATGCGCTGCGATAATGAAATCAGGGAATGGGGATTATGGGTTGAAGAACAAGACAATCCCTGAAGGGGAGGAGAGGTTCGCAGTGTTCACACCACGAGGCTGGGGTGCTAAGAGCGCGGAGAGACGGGCCTTTCCGAATTGAGAGAGCAAGGACCTATGTGCTGTGCTGGCTCCGTCGCCCGCAATGCCCAAATTGCGCTCTTGCGGCAAGCAAGGTGTGGAGAGATATGTAGAGTGGAAAAGGAGACAATTGAAGGAAGCCCAGGTAGAAACTATCTGATGCAGTAGATTGCCTTCCATTTGTCCAACATTCGTCTTCATTATCTGGCCCCTTGCCGTGCACTTTTGTGCCCGGAATCTGCAGCCCCCTTTAATCACGTGACATCACTGAACCGTAAAAGAACCTTTGGCCGCAAACGTTGCTTTAAAGCCCCAAGGTTTAAATTAACATTTAATAGTAATACAGTAGTCTTCCCATGACGAAGCAAGATGTCTTGAAGAAGAATCACAGTGTTCGTCCTCAAAGTTGATCCCGCGATGCACGTGTGCAGCCCCTTGCCCTTGCGGAAAAGGCGGTGGACGTGTCGCATCTGCAGTCAGTGGAGAAAGACAAAGCCGCCGCCGTCACAATTAATAGGGGACTGCAGGTGCCGCTTTTGAGTCAGAACCAACCCCAACCCCACTACAAAGCACCAACAACACACGAGGGGTCCAGCCCAACTCCGCCCAGCCTTCATTCTGTTCTCCATTTCAACCTCACAACGCCATAGAATTTGAAGAGAAGCCAGCTCAACCGATTGGCAGTACATTGCAACACAAAATATCAACCAGAATATCAACCGCAAACATGGCATCCTCAAGCAATGATCAGGATCTCCTGCCTGAGCAGACCGAGGGGTTCAAGGTGGGAGAGAAGAAGACCATGGATGAATATAGCAAGCTTGGTATGTTTGACAGCTACTTACATACCTGCAGCCTTGATTTATGCTCTGGGAAATCATCTTCTTCAATTTTTACTCTATCTTTCTGTTTGTTCTCGAAGTTCGGCTTTTATGGTCTGTTCAAGAGACCTCGATGGTATTGAGGTCAAGCTCCCCTTATCACCATCACGTGGAATGGCTCCACTTCATTTTGTCTTCGCTTGTACCTGTCCAGATGCTACGCTTTCTCTTTTAGACTTCTGTCAGAATTATCGGCTCAAACCTAATCAGAAGTCTGACTTTGGAGCTCTGCATTCGGAGCAATAATTGAGGTTGCAGACTTTTTGGCTTCTGAAACATGCACATATAGCTTCAACGTAGCCCCTCCATTTGTTTCCGTACTTGCACAGAATGGAAGACTATGTATTATGAAAGTCTTCTGAAAGGCCATGTAAATGCAACCATCACATTTTGTTCATCCAGATTTTGTCACTGCGGTGGCAGGGGTTCAAAGTTTTTCTCATTTGCCATTATCCTCGTCATATATTCCATTCTTTTCTTCTTAACCCAAGCATGTATGTATTTCACTTACCATACCACCAGCTAATCCTTCCCAGATGCCGACGATGAAGCGATGCAACGCTACAAGCAATCCCTCGGTCTCGGCGGCGGCGGCAAAGACCTCTCCGACCCAAATGACCCTCGCCACTGCATCATCCTCTCCCTCTCCATGGAATCCGAAGGCCAAGCTCCCGTCACCATCGACCTATCCGCCAAGGACGCCGAGAAGACCCTCAAGGACAAGCCTTTCAAGATCAAGGAAGGTGCCAAGTTCCACATGACTGCGAAGTTCAAGGTGCAGCACGAGATCTTGTCAGGTTTGCATTATGTCCAGATTGTGAAGAGGAAGGGTATCAGGGTTAGCAAGGATCAAGAGATGATTGTATGTGCTCTTTCACTTTCTTTATCATTACCAAAACGCAGACCAACGAATTACTTGCTGACATGGAAATAGGGTTCATATGCCCCCAACACAGACAAGACCCCAATCCACACCAAAGCCTGTAAGTCACTTCACCATCCCACAATTCATACCTTACAAATCCCAACCTAACACTTCCACCCCCTAGTCGCCGAAGAAGAAGCTCCATCCGGAATGCTCGCCCGCGGCCACTACACCGCCGTCAGCACATTCGTAGACGACGACAAGAAGAAGCATCTAGAGTTCGAATGGGCATTCGATATTGCCAAGGACTGGTAAATCTGTTCACAGACACTCTCCTTAACTAAAAACTTGGATCCGGCGATATGGCGGCATGCATTCCTTTTCAAATTGGTGTTTGGTGATAGATTCATTGCATTCTTTAGTGCTGAGACGTAGTGCGGATAGGATTGACGAAGGTTAGATGACTGTGGTTGGCAATTGGTGGGGGACGAGAGGGATTTGAAAGTACATGAGATATGAATATACGTGATCATGGAACCGCCTCATTCAATTCTACTCTCATATATTGGCTTATATGCGTACCCCGTTGTACCAGGTATCGTTACCATCTCTTTATTTACTTTTCCTTGACTCGACAGTAAGCAGCTGCCGCATACGTTTCTCCCCGCCATAATACTTCAATGGAGTATGTATATATTGCTGCTCTCCATACTTTCTCTTCCCTCACAAGTATCCGAAACTAAACGACTGGAAGGAATAGGTAATGCTGATAGGTCAGCTTCTCGCCTAATATAGAAGCCGGAACTCTACCTTTCTAGAGAGCAAATCAGATGCACAATCGGCCCTCGCTTGATGTGTTTTACATACATTTCCTACTTTGGAGAACCTGAGTAAGTAAGTAACTCCGGACTGCTGTGCAAGAAACTAGCATAAGGAATGACAACATAAAAGTGATCGACAATGAAATATTCTGTCAGCAACAGCAACGTCTTGATGCTGTCTGCTTGCCTGACTCCAGATCTAGGTATAAGTTCCAAAGCGTCAAAATGCTTTCTCACTCTACAGGGCATCCATATTTCCCATTGAAAATCGGCGAGTTTGGCGGACCGACGGTGGTCAGAGACTTCCCTCACGTTGCCTCGGACCCAACGACCTGACAGAGCGGCCTGATATCTTGACATTTGCTGGAAGAGATTTGCTGGAAGAGAAGAGAAACAGGGTAGGAAAGATGAGATAATATATACTTACTGCATGGGACTGGACTTCGACCTGAGTTGACGTCAATGGTGTCACCGAAAAAATCAATGCAAGGTCCAGATCAAGCGAACTTCAGTCAATTCCACTCACTACCAACACAGTACAGTACTAACTTCCATTCACTCAACAATGACCGTGAGTAAATCAATACCGCGTTTATAAAAAGGCATCTTGCGCGCCTCCTTTGCTCACCCTACCCAGCTCGCTCAAGGGAACCAAACCGGCCACATATCTTCCCGTGCCAGTGTTTGAGGGACCACATCCAGCACACCTGCAGGTTTTGGGTCTGGCTGCTATGGTACAAGAGTTCATTTTTCTATGACAAGTACCAGAGGGTCAGTTTGCGACCGCATTGAGGTGCTGTGTGTAAGAGATGATTGGAAACATTGAAGATAACTTCTTCTCTTACAACAAACTGCACGTTTCTCCTCATGCAGCGAATATTCAGACATGCTGTACAGTACACTGTATCTCTGCGCACAAACATCAATTAGGACACGAATCCCGCTAGCCATCTGTCTCAGCTGTACAAGCAAAATTCCTCGTCTGAAGCTAGAAGCCAGATTAGAGCCACCATCCCAGCTCTTCGATCACATTCTAGATCTCTTAACAAATCCCCTTCTCCTGTCTCTAGAGTCCGTCCTTATATATATTAGGTTATCACAGAGACTTTAGACCTGCTTTGTACGCTCTTATCTTGTTCCGAAGTTTTGATCAGGTGGAGGGTAATGCGATTTTTATCTCAATGGCTAAGTTTGAGTGACAATTGATTTCCTCGGCATTGACTTCCTCACGACACAGCTAGAACAGTAAATAACCCATTCGCTCATTTCTCTTAACACCCAGATCTCTCTACGAAGAGACAGAGAGTACATAATCTCCAATTGTTACCTCGTTTCAGGAGACCAAGGTCGAAACAACATTTCTCCAAACAAAACCTATGGCTCTCCTTGGTGAAAAATTGTGGCGGCATAATCTTTTTGACAGATGTATTCAAGATTTTGAAGGATTGGGGGACTGAGATTTCAGGATTGTCATGGCAGAAGATTAGTCCAATTGTATGTAGGTTTCGATGTTCAGATATCGAAGATAAAGGCAGAGATGTGTAAATTGGCAACACCTGGGCACTGGACAGCATAATCCCAAAAGTTTGATGGATCTAAAGAAATACCTGAATAGAGGACGAGCAAGCATTTTTTTTACAGCTTCTGCATGATCATTCGAGCCTTTGGTGAGGACCTGAGGCAATCCAACATGCTCTAAACGAACAGTTGGAGTCGATGAGGGCCAGAAATGCAAGCGCAAAAGAAAGGCAATGCATCGATTGACAACAGAAAACGAAACCAAACCCCTGCGCTTACCCTTCAATTAAGCTGAAGGACATCGATAATTTATTGATCTTCCCAATTCATAGCAAGTCATATTCACAAGCTGCGTCATGAAGCTGAAGCCAAAGCCTACCACCAGTGTCGGTAGCGATCTCTAATTGACTTCTGGCATTTCTGATTGCATGGTATCACACAGTTGGTATCCCTGCTCACGACTTCCATGAATACTTATTTATACCTTTGGACAAGCATCAGAACAAGCATAGTTCTAATCAAGTACCCACATTCTGTTCTATGAGGTGAGAAAAGTCGAGGCAAAAAAAAAAAAAAAGGTACATACAACAGTGGGTATTCGCTGGTGGTCACCCACCCAACTACTAATCCACCGATTTGAAGCTTGAGTTTGGCAGAGCGGACGGGATGCCCTTTTCTCTTCAATCTATGGTCGTATGTGACAGCTTTTATCGTATTTGTAACCATATATGCAGGGATTGTGGTGTGTTTCCACTGCAAAGCGAAAAGGAGTTTTGGTGATGTGAAAAGCACGTCTAACTTGGGGATTGAGCTTGAGCCTTCGGGATCGTGCTGTTAGGCCGTGGGACTATCTTGATAAATTAGCTGAATTATTTACTTGGCTTCGCGCCATAATCTGTTGAAAATGTTGGACTTGGAAATCTGCGAAGTCTTGCAGCTCACATTTCTACCTTCTCGCTTAATTGTCAACAAACAGATTCACAAACGACAGGGGAGTACACTTGGCAGCAAATAGGATAGCTCCGAGCAACGATCGCTGCACTCCAGGTGAAAGCTAGGAACGAGGATTGAAAACCTGTGTCAGTCGTCTGCTCGTATTTGAGCTGCCTCCCTCTTTGCCCGCCCAAGATATACAGGACCCAGGCAAGGAGAACTCGGTGCTCTGCCTATCTGTCATGATGCTATCCCAAAAATGCTTTCTACATGGAAGAGATTAATGTTGAGCATTTCAAAAGCTTTATAAAAATTGTTCAACCAGGTCTGTAGGATGTAAGAACTAGTTAGCATCATTCACTATCTTAGCATTTCACAGATCCAGGCTATTCACTCACAGTTCAAGCTAATTAGCCAGTGGTACTAGTTCTATGAATCAGCTAATTTTGAGTGATGAAGAGGTAGTAAAAAAAAATGTCACAAACAGAACATACGGGAGCACGGACTGCTCACGCCTTTTGCTGCGGCGAGCATTGCTCGGAGGCTCTGAAAAGGGGAGGTGAACTGACCGGTGCAGCAGAGTTAAGCGTCTGTTTTGAAAGACATATGCATAGGCTTATATAATGCTCGAGAGAGGTTCACCAGAAGATGACAAGCAACAATGCTTTGACAACCACCTACCTCACGCGCCGGAATGTAAATATCAGGTGCTGTGTGATGAACTTGATTGACAATGGTGAAACTGCTATAATACCAGTCTGTGGTCAGTTTCATTGATCGTCGACAACTGTCATTTTGCGGGTTGCTCAAAATCGTTTCATACTGGTCTCAATTCCCTTGAAGGTATGATCTATTTCGCGATTCCTGAATGACGGCAATGGTATTTAGCTAAATAGACCCCTTGGGGGCACTCGAGAAGAACAGCAGCATTCGAAAATATCAATAAACGTGGCACTTGGAGAGCATAATTGATTGGAGCTCGCTGTAAGTTTTACCAGCTGCCCACTCACACCGTTGACTCGGGATCGTTCTGGGATCGAAAGACACGATACAAGTACTTCAAGGAAAGCTATCGGGAATTTAAGATTGGTATATAAACTCGAAGTCTGGGTACAGATGGCATCACCAACACATATCAATCCCCTCAGCCTTTCTGGCCATTGGGGAAGCCCAAGGCGCATTTTCTTTACTCCATCGGCCATCCAACAGACAAATTGGGAAAATTTACTGTACAAATCGACAATATTACAAGGCACAGTTGGAAAGTCTATCTCAAGTTCCGTGTGTTTATATAAATTGATGGTGACGTGAGCCACATCGACAGCCAACCAATGATCGACAATAAGAAATCCGGGAATTGGCCCATGGGGAAATGAAGCGACCAGCTTGAAGTAAACATAAGACGTAGCACAATCCACTCCAGCACCTGCAACGTGAGCTATTCTGAAACATGTAGATGCCCGTACTTCCTACCAGCTCGTTACTTACGAGGTAGTATCACAGAGAATGTTGACATGAGTCCAAGTGTCTCTGCTGAGAGAAGATTACACAGGCTTTCTCTGGCTGTTTGAAAATATCTCTTATCAGTCCAGGGATCAGCGAGAGGAGCATAAACTGGTCGGGAAATCTATAACGCTTACGACCAATTGATCGCGTAAATATTCACTTCCCACCTCAGTTATAGCAGAGTTGATTGTTGAATACAAACCCATCATTCACTCCCTCCTACTACCTTAGACAGTCGAATCCGGAACGAAGTCTAGGAAATTGAGCAGCTTCTCTTTCCATATATCGGTCTTTATGGATTCCTTTCGAGATGTTCGCATGACGGAGAGGAAACACACTAGAGAATCTTCATGGCGTACTTTCGAACCTTCTGAAGGAATACTTGGCTCAGATATTCAAAGAACATTGCTTGCAGTACGAAAGGTACTTGAATAAATCTGACGCATCGTCATAGTCGGGATGCCAGAGCTCGCTCGATAGACTTGTGTCGAAATCAGCCCCGAAATCGCGACAGTGAAACGACAGGATGTTTGCTCTTGACAACAAGAAAGCCCCACAAGTCAATCGAGGACAAAAACAGCACCGCTCGAAAGAATCGCAAAAGGCAGAAGCAGACGGCAACTAGCCGGCCCTGCTAAGTTTTGATGATCGGTCATCATTGACTTCAAAAAACAGTTTCTAGACACTCGTGTGAAGTTTCTTGAAACATTCGGGAAGTGCCAAGTGATGGAATTAGTTGAATCGATGTTCTGTTTATATCTGCCCATAGCCGAGTGAAATTTTTTGCTGCGAAAAGTATATTGGGCTTGGAGAAGCTTCTTCATTTTATATCTCTCTCTCAACAAGAGTCTTTCTCGTGATACAAGTGTCTCTTCATTCAGCTGAAGCTGCTCATGCCAAGCCTTCATTCATAAAACTCATTCCTTAGTCATCACATACTGTACATCATCCTCTCCGTTCGTGTTATCCTATCATAGGAAGTAATCCGGCAACTGACTACCATCAGCAATCTTATCCTGACCCTGCTGATCCTTATGCAAATCATTCTCCGGAGCGGCGGCAAACACATTGAAGAATCTCTCGCCCGTATCGCTGACTTCCAGCACACTTGCCATATTACCACATCGGTAGCAGTAGTTAGGCGCACTCCAGACCGTACTCAGACGATCATCGTATAGGACTTGGTAGCCTTCTTGGCAGAGCTGATGCGCGCGGAGGATATGCGACATATTATTTACTTCGAGGAACTTCTTTACAACCTGTGCGCCGAAAGTATAGCCTGCTCCGCGTGGGGAGAGGGAGAATTCATCACGCTCGGGATCGGGATCTGACCAGACAAGGTCGGCCATGGGACCTTCGTGGGGAATTTCGCGGAAGCGGTCGATGATTTTGATCTGATCTATTGAATGGATTGAAGGGGAGAGGCCTAACACGTTGCTCATTAGTCAAATGTCTGACGACCAACATCTAGGGGCACGCAAAACCTCACCTCCATGTACACAAAAGATCTGATCATTAATCACAACACTCAGAGTGAGGAAGTCGAACATATCCGTAAAGTAGTGCCATACGTTGGCATTTCCATATTTCCTCGAGCATTCGGTATAGAATCCATATGACTGTGTTACTCCTCTCGATTCATGATTGCCTCGAATCAAATGCACGCGGTGAGGGTATCGTAGTTTAAGACAAACAAGAAGGGAAATCGTCTCCACGCTGAACATGCCTCTATCAACATAATCGCCTAATAGAGTTAGCTTGCTTCACAGATCCAGAGATCTCAAGCATACCGAGAAATAGGTAGTTGGTATCTGGACACCATCCTCCAATCTTAAATATCTCTATCAGGTCATAGAATTGACCATGTATATCCCCCACCACTGTAACGGGAGCTTGGACGTGGACGACATTGCTCTCTTGCATCAGCAGCTCCTTAGTCTTCGCACATATTGCCTCGATGACAGATTCGGCCAAGAGATTCTTCTTGTATAGGCTTTCTATACATTCGTCCAGATCGACCGAAGCTGGAATGGTCAGTTCTGAAGCTATGGAGAACCAGGAAAGTGCCCCAGCTTACAAGGCAGGCCAGGCATATTGTATGCTCCGAAACGAAATGCTTCGAAAAATACTCCCAGAAATTATGACGACAAGGTGCCAGGGATTATCGAGGACGATAGCCGCCACGAGGCTCTGGTGTTGACCGCGGGTTAGAGCTTGAGCGGGAGCTTGATGAAGATTCTGGCTGTAAAGAGTGCTGGCGCAACAACATGGTCGCTCGTACAACAGGTCCTAGGTCATTCTATGATTGGCCGATTTGAAAAGGAGTCTTCTGGCTCAATAATAACTTCCCAAGAGCATTGTATAAGAAATATCAGGTCGAGGGGGGCGATTATTAAGAAAGCCGGCGATACACGCGAGGTTGAAAGCTGCGCTTCCTGCAGTGCAGTTTCTTTGAGCCACCGTAGCTCGCTTCATTCCCCTGCTCCCCTGACAGCTCGGCGAGCTCGGGCCACTAGCTCAAAGGTTAATCCGTTCCGGTCTGGCCGCCCTGGGAATTTGTTCTCACGTTATCTGAATTGTTCACCTTCACCAACCTTGATCACTTCCATTCCCCCCTCTCCTTCATCTGTACTTCTACTATTGTTGCATTGTCTGCCTTTCAAAGCTTTCCTCATTCTTGCGCTCAGTGACTTGATTGATTTCTTTGCTTGCGTCGTTGCTGAATTTGAGGCCAATACATCGTCACACTAGACTAGAGTTGCTGTTGAGCGAACGGGACGATACATGCCAACTTTGTCGTACCATCACTGCATTCTTTTCATTGTTGGTACAAATCCACTTTGGCGACATTTGGAAGTCATTTTTCGAATTCTACATCCTGCTGGTACCGCACTTCATTCGGATTTTCAGCACGCGCCTTACACCACACGCTGTCTCTATGATCCCTTGCTACGTCAGTCTTTGAGCTGCGATGGCCACGACACCGTGGCATCAAGGGAGCCAGCCTTTGGTGCAGAACAGTGGTTACTATCAACAGCCAGTCCAGCAGGCAATTCAGCAACCAATTCAACCGCCAGTTCAGCGCAGGAAAACGAATCCTCCTCCAGTCTGCTTCAACTGTGGAGTTGAAGGACACTTTCTCGTCGCTTGCCCTGAGGCAACCCGCAGCACTCCCGGGTAAGTCTTCTGTTCAAGATGCTGGATTCACTTTCAGAAGAGATTTGAGAAGTTGGGACGAACCGCATTGGTCTTAGCTTGTCGACTGCACTACACGTGCCTCGAGCTCGGAACTGCCTTTTATCTTTGCGTGCAATTTCTCACTCTACGCAGCATCGATCATGACAGCAGAATTTGTCATTGTCCCCAGATCCCGCACCATTCCTTTACGTTATGGCACCTTTAAAGGGAACATTCAAGGGACGCTTTGTTGACAGTCGCAGGGGTTTCAATCCACCACCCAGGCCGTACCAACCAGCTCCTGGTCCCAACCTGCAGAACCAGCCTTATCCTCCACAAGGGGGACCAGTTCAGCACGCTCCATATCAATCTACTCAACAGTATGGTAATCCAGGGCAGCAATACTCATACAGTCAACCGCAACCACAACAACCGTACGTTCCGCCTCAGCAATACAACCAAGCTCAGCAGTACAGCCAAGCTCAGCAATACATCCAACCGCAGCAATACAGCCAACCACAGCAATATAGTCAAACACAGCAATATGGCCAACCGCCGCAAAGTAGTCAACCTCCGCAGTATGGTCAACCTGGCTACCAACAACCTCCTTACAATCCATTTCCTCCTGTAGGTCCGGCTCAATTCAATTCCACAGGCTACCAGGGACCACCTCAACAGTTTGCTCCCGTGCCTCCCGCGCCATACCAACAGCCACCAAATACCTATCCACCTCATAATCCTGGCTATGTAGGACCTCATCCAGCACCTTCCGCACCCTATCAACCACCTCAGCCACAATGGCACAATCCATCACCAATAGCAAGACCTCCATATCAACAACAGCTGCGCCGCAGCTCTAGTCAGCGAGGACGCTCTGGGACCCCGAGCCATCCGGCACAAGGGCAACGGTCAAGATCTCAGCAGCTTGACCACAACTCTGAGTTACGTCATCAAACCCCACAGACGCCTGCTTCTACGCATGGAAGTATTCGTCACGCCTCACGCAAAGGTTCTCTCATGACTCCTGATGGTAAGCTGGATGATGGATCAAAAGATTCGAGCCGAGCTAGCACGCCTTATGGCCGCACTGGAGCTGACGACAATTTGCCTTTGGATAACTTTAACACTGCACCAACCCCAACGGCTAGCCAGAGCTACGACAAGGATAAGCCCGAAGATGGCGAAGTCGGGGAATCTGAAGATGAGGAGGCGATGTTTAATTGGGAGTTCAAGCAGGTCTTTAAGGAGCCTGCGAGAGACGAGACGGTAGCACTTGCTCAACCACTATCCGCAAACTTCAGATCCACCCCGGTTCCCCTGGTCCAAGCTTGGAGCATGAACGTGCCCTCAATCTCCAGATACGCAAGAAAAGATAACCAGAAGGAGTTTGTACGTCCTATTCGAGAACTGCCCCAGTGGTCGTACCTGCAAGAAGATCCGGCCTTCGCAGAAATGGAGCTTGACGGCCCTTCAATATCTCTTGAAGACCTTCCTTCTTGGATTGTCACGCATCACGAGCAGATGGATATGGAAAGTAACGTGGAATTAATGGATGATTCGCTTCAGGAGCCCATAGTTGAGCAATCAGAATCATCTCGAAAACGCCGATCGGATGAAGTGGCAGAATCGAATAAAGACCATCCAAGTCAGAAGACTGGTGGTATCAAGAATGAAGATACAAGCGACCGAGATGAGGGGACTTCGCGCATCAAACGCCTGAAAACTGTAGCCGAAAAGGATGAAGACGACATGATGCAAATGCCAACTGTCCGTACACCAGTCATTGGGTATAGAGCAGGAACACCTTGTGTTGAGACTGAGGGCGATGCCTGGGCTCCAGAGCCAGGTGAGACCGCCAGCACACCCCAAGACCCAACAGAAGCACTTCTGGCTTCGTTGGGAGTAACTGGCTCTCCAAAGCCGGTTAAGAAAGAGCCTATTCCAGCCTACATGAATGATTTGGAAGAGCAACCACATCATTCCCAATCATCACAACAGCGCGCTGAGACCAGTCAAACCCCCATTCCGCCGCCAAATCCACCTCCAGTCAAAGGGCTCGAAGCCAACAGCAATGTCCCCTCCAATGTCCAGCACGGCCATCCTCCAAACAATCTACCAAGTCCTCCGATGAACACCAATGGGCAGAGAGCTCCTCCTGCGAGTGAACACCATCATCAAGGACCGCCAACACATGTCCAGCATGGATTTCCTCCAAAAAACCCACAGCAGTACACAGCATCTGCGGGTGGCACTTATCTCAATGGTCAACCTGCAGCTCCATCCTTTGTCAATCCACCAGTTGCCAATGTTCCGCAGAGCGGCCAGCAATATGGCTACCAAAATGGCCCACCGAATTATAACAATGTTACATACGCACCGCCAGCCACTGTACCAACTTATGTCAATGCGCCACCTCCACCTAACAACTTTGGACCTCCTAACAACTTCTCACAACAGGGTCCGCCTCAATGGGGACCTCAAAATCAGCCCTACAACCATGTGAGTATCACCGTATCTCTCTGTATACCTCATAACTGCCTTGAGACATACTATGATATCATTAGGTAACACATTCGGAGTGGTCAATGTTGACTTTGAATTTCCAGGGACAGCCTAGCAATGCTCCTCAAAGCTATGCGTCATATCCGCAACAACAAAATGCCCCATATGTAAACCCACAATACACTCCTGCGCCGTACCAAAATGCACCTAATCCCTACTATCCTCAAGAGATCCCGCAGCATGGTCACCAGCGAAACCCATCAATGCCTGGAAATTATGGTCCACCGACACAGGCCAGCCCAAACCAATTCTTCCCGCCACAAAATGGACAAAACGTGTTCCCCCAGAATATTCCGCAACCCCAGATCAGCCAAGGTCCAAGAGATCAGTATGGTAACACCAACGGGTCACATCATGGCAATCAGTTTCCGAATGGCCCACCTCAACAGCCATTTCGCCAAGACTCGGGCTATATGAGTGCGCGAGGTTCTTACAGCAATGGCGGCGGCCAACCAGGTTTCAATGGTAACCAAAATGTACCCCCAGGTCCTCCCGTACATTCGACAATGGATGGAACTTCAAGTCCCAAGCCAGAACCATCACAAGGCGAAGCAGACGTCATATCAAGCCAGCAGATGTCCCGTAAGGACAGTGACACCGGATCCCCAGTTACTGATTCTACGGGAACTCCACTGAGTCCTACTTCGATGGAAATTCTGGGCAAGTTGGAGCGAAGATCCAGCGATTCGAAGTCTAGAGAGAAGAAAAAGGCGAAGGACGCGGCCCGCAAGGCAAAGCGACCACAGCCAGTGGTTGCCGAAGCATACAGGTCAGTGATACGTTTTGTTGGATTCACGCAGCTAATATTCCTGTAGCCGTCGTTGGTGAGGGATGACGTGTCAACCAGCAGATGGACACAGCTTGGACTAGATCACTGGCATCTCGAGCATACATCATGCAGTGTTGCAACGAGCCTCTTTCAAGTTCCGCATGCCTTCAAGTTGATGGTTGGTCTCTGACCACATGTTTCTTTTCTTTTCTTGTAAATTATGTCTGCACGTGGCGATCGATTGAGCGTCGCCGATTGGCCAGTCTTCATCCTGAATTTGCTCGTTTGGCGTACCGAATAGTTGCTGTTTTGTACAATTGATTTCTTGCATTACTGCATTGCGAATTAGCTTCCATTGGCTTCGATTGGGAAAATTTTCCGCTTCTCTGGTGTTGTCGCTCCACCTTGTTTCGGCTTGGCACAGCCATACTCATGCTGCCCAGAGACGCGTGACGACGCCACCTTTTGCCATTTCAAGAGATTTTTGTGGACCGGGCTCAATTCAGGAAAGCTTCTAGTTCCTAGGTTCGTTCCAGAGGCTTTTGTTTTGCAGTGTTCTTGAATGTCGATGCCAACTTATCTCTAGGCGTATGATTGAAATTGAAACATGCACTTCGCTTCCTCAAGATACCAATAAGCCTCAAAGTCCGTGGCTACGACTGATTGTATATCTGCAATATCTGGAATTCCGATGCGTACTTAATGTCTGATTCGAATTACCTTAATTCAATTCATTTTACAAGTTTATCATGCTCGTTATCATCGCTGCTTTCCTCTTCAGCGTCCGATGCCTCGTCGCTGGACTGCTCTTCACTGTCATCTTCGACTTCCTCTTCATCATCTTCTTCGCTTTCTTCCTCTTCCGTCTCTTCTCCTTCGTCGGCCTCGTCCTCCTCCGCCAACCAGTCATCAAGAGTTTTCTCTTTACCCGCTCCGGCCGCAGCAGCACCAAAACCATTTGTAGCGCCTGGTGATGACCCCATCCTCGCCTCCTTAATAGCCGAATCTAGACGCTCACCAGCAGGTATCACTCTATTCGACTCATATTCGGCCTTCGTCACATCGCTCTCTCGTAATGATGGGTCGGGCTCCTCCCCTGCCTTGACCCATTCTGGTAGTGCCTCGTACCCGCGCAAGCCATGAACACCACCGACTTCACCTATGACAAGACTTGCCGAGCCAAGTGTGAATCCCGTCCGATTTTCTGAAGGGCTGGGAGTATGTGGTACTGGTTTGGGTGCGAGTAGCATGAGGCTTGCCAGCTGGGTAGAGGACGGTACGCCCAGAAGAGACTTGTATAGTCGTGTGCGGTCTCGCAGATCGTAGGAGGTATCGTACCGTGCGAGTAAGAGGATATAATTCCACAAAAGAACGATAGGATGTTCCGGTTCAGGAGGTGGAGGAGAGAATGATGTTTGGGATGGGCCATCAAGCTCCGCAAAGCCCTCATTTCCAGCAGATGAGTAATCGGGTGAGGCAATTTGTGTTGCAACGGTAGGTTGGGGAGGTACCTGTTCCGAGCGGTTGAGATGATGAAGGTAGACTTTAGCAGCCAGCAGGACGATTTGCAGCTTCGCTGGCTCTGCTTCATCTGCAAACCCCTTGGCTAGAATACGCAGCACATCTGCGGCAATATTATCCTCGCCATCATTGCCAGCAAACTCTCCAACCAGCCAGATGATTGAAGCTCTGGCTCGAGGATTTGTCGCTGTATCGAGGTTCTTGGCTAAGCGAACAACGGTATTTGTATGCGAAGCGGGGTCTTGCTGTATCAGATGTCTGATCACAGTCAAAGACTCGGCTACCAGATTCCCATGCAGACTGGTAATCTGTTTGAGGAGAAGCCGTAGACAACGTGCAGATGTCCTGGCATCGCTCTGTGCACATCGTCCAATAGCTCGTACTGATTCCCGGACCAGCTCTTTATCTGAGCCTTGCGAGAAATGCTCGAGCTCGTTCAAGATGAGGCTTTTAAGGTAGGCGTCGGAGTACGGGAATATCAGGGTAAGTAATTCCAACTTCAATTCCCAGACTTGTGGTGGATCTTTAGAGTGGACTAAGAAATGAGTTGCGTATTTGACGAATGCTTCTGGCCGTGTGAGACACACCGAGACGATGTTGAAGAGTGCCATATGTTGAATATCCTGTGGCCCGCGTAACAATGCTACTAATGGCCCGATCGAAAGATTGATGTATTCTTGAGTGCCGAGATTGACGTAGCATCTTGTGACCGCAACCACTACTGCCGAATTTCGACTTTGCAGAAGAGGTTTGATGTTTTTCAAAAACGTCTCCAGATCCGGATCCAGAACCTGCTCTACCTCATCCGTCTCATCCTCTTGCTTTCCTTCACCCCCTTCATCATCGTAAAAGCCCTTGGTAGTTGCACTCCCATTACTCTTCTTCACTACCCTCCTCGTCCTCTTAGGGAAACACCTCCTCGCATAAACCGTCATGAGCCTCAACGTTGCCAGCTGACTCCACTCATCCATATCAACGATCTTCTTCACCAATCCCCTATAATGCGGATGCACCAAATCCAGCCTCTCGGGGCACACCTCTAGAAACGCAGTCACGGCCGCCCCAGCCACAAAATACTGCCTATCCCCAAGCAACACCGCCAAATACTCAATCAACTGATTCCTCGTGCCCGGATCTAATCTATAGCACTTCGGCACCGCCAGTGCAGCCGCCTTCCTGACATGCGGGCTCATATCTGCGAGACCTTTCTTGATGGCTAGCGACACGATCTGTGAGATGACCGGGACCCGGATGCCGGACATGGTTTTGAGGGCGAGGGCACGAATGGCGGGGGATTGGTCGGAAAGGGACTTCTGGATGGTATTTATGGAGAGGAGGGCGAGGTCTGGCTCGGATTCGGCGTGTGCGAGGAGGTAGATGTAGACGAGCTTTTTGATCTCGATGTTGGGGGAGGCAACGTTCTTGACGACAGAAGAGAAGAATGTTAGGGTTGGGAGGGAGCGGTACATCATCTGTTTATTGTAGATAGTCAGTATAATATACTGGAATGCTCTCCGGAGAGTACGAGATGGTGGTGGACATGGTTTGGGATTGGAACTGGTGTTGAAAATCGCCCAGGCAGACGTACGGAGATGACCTTCCTCAGCCCTTCCAACACTTCTCTCTCATTCCTGCTATCCAGCAACTTCTTGATCTGCGCCGCTGGCAGCGTCTTGACGGCGGAGCGTGAGCTCCTTGCTGCTGATTGCGCAGCATCGAGAGTCAGTTCTCTTGCTACATACAAGGAGACTTGTCAGTGTCTGGTCTTCTGCATATCTAGAGTCGCTGGGTAGAGGCGAAAAACATACCGCTTTCCAGCAAGCTGGATATTCGAGATATTGACTCCATGGAGGAGAGTTGATTGGGGAGTGAAGTCGCGTGGAGGGGAAACCTAGAGCTTGATATTCCTTGGTGGGGCTGTCAGTGATGGCACCGTTTTGACAGGGGGTGGTGTGTCCGCCGATTCCCCAAGATTACTAGAAGGCCAATCTGGGTTCCAGCTCAAGATTCAAGATGCCACATTCAAGACAATGAAAATGTTGGATGACTACTGGGAATTTGATACACCATAATCTCCATTTGACATCAATTAACAACCAGCACTAATCTCAAGCTCGCATTTATCCAGTACCCCGGAATCTCAATCTCAACCCCCGGAATCTACCCCTCCATTAAGTTAACAACGTTCCAACAACGACTTCAATTCAATGCCACAACGACAACCACAGCCCCTCGCCATCACGCCCGCTCTCCCCTCCGAACTCCTCACCTATATTCTAAGCCACCAAACCTACCCAACAACCCTCCTAATCTGCCAATCGCGCGCAAACTTCCTCTCCTCTCTCCAAAGATGTATGCCGAACACTGTCCAGCGCCAGCCGCCTCTCTACGTAGAGCAGTCATTACCGGGTCATGGCCAGAATGAAGGCGAGCCAGTGGAATTTGAGCCAGAAAGGCAGGGTGAGAGAGAAGCCCAAGAACGTCAGCGCGTAATCCACCATCCCCTCCTCGTCGCAACACTCCACCAAATCGTCGCATCACGATTCGTGAATCTGGTTTTCATACCTACACTCTCACACTTACGTGCTTATTTAGCTGTCTTCTCAGGCGAGGCAGAAAAGGGAAGGGAGACGACAGGAGAAGGACCACCAAAGCAGAAGTTCGAGAAGATGAGTAATAGGTCGCCGTTGCTGGTTGTGTATGGGTTGGTGGCTTTGCATAGAGACACAAGTGAGTGGAGTGCGCAAGGACTGGGGATCAGCGTTGCGGCTTTGGTGGAGGCTGGGTGGAGGGGAGGGAGGGGCGTTGTGGTGATTGAGGAGAGGGAGTGGGATGCTGATGGTAATATTGGCGGTAATTATAGTGATGGAGGGGAAGGAAGGGAGAGCAGGACGACGGGTTGGGAGGAAAGGTTGCCGATGTTGAATGGCAGTGTGAAGCGTATTGGACTGGAGAGTGAGGATGGTGGGTGGAGTGGGAGGACGGTAGAGGTTGGAAGGGTTCTAGGGAGGTGGTTTAGATTTGAGAAAGGGGATTGGGCTCAAGAAAACTAAGTGCTGGACAGGTTGCTCCTCTGATAAAGTCTACTGAAATATATTGCGGTCATAATCATGCTATCAACAGGTATACCAGAACGCCTTTACTATCCCAGCCCCAGTATCCACCATTCCCGACCCTACCTAGCCCAATAAACAAGAATACAAGAACCGATGCACACTCAAATGGATTGCTCCATCTCTTTTATATACAATTTGATGTGAGAGTCCATTTTCAAGAATTCATCATGTGAACTGTGAATCTCGTTCTCGATGTTCTCTTTCAAGTCCGCCATCTAAGATTGTCAGTGTATTTCTTGGAAGCGGAAAGGAAGCAAACCGTACCTTCTTCTCCGTTTGTTCAATCCGTACTCTCCTCCTTTCCATCTCGCGGCCCTTCTCCGACCGCTCCTCAGTCAGCTTCCTATGAACTGCCCGCAGCTCCTCCATTCTCTCCTTGGCGCTCATTGCCTTCTCCTTACTGCCTTCGCGAAGCTTATCCGTCCGCTCCATCCACTTAGAAAGTTGGCGTTGCAGTAAGCCTTCTGTTCTCTCAACTTCGCGAACATTGTTGCCTCGTTCTCCCAGCGCATCTCTCTGTTTTGCGATGCGTACATTCTCTTCTTCTTCCTTCGCTAATTCCGCAGAGATCTCGTCCAGAAGCTTGATGCATGATGCTACATCTGTAGACACAACAGAGAAGGTATCTGTGGATGTCTGAAGTGCTCTTGCCCGTCGATCCATAGCATCAATCTGGCTCTTTTCCGCATTCAGCGCATTGCTCAACTCGGTCAAAGATGCCTGGAGAGCCGCAGGTGATTGGAGAACATAAGGTCGAAGTTTAGCACTCTCTTGTCTCAGCTGCAGTATCGTAGCAGTCTTGTCCTCTAGCACAGCCGTCATCTCGCTCTTCTTCGTCTTAACATTTTCGAATCGACGGGTGACCTTCTCTTGGCTCTGGCGCAAGTCCAAAAGACGTCTCTTCAGCTCCTCATTTCGCTTCACCTTGTCTGCAACATGGGCCTCCATGGCCTTCTTGTTGCGCCTCATCTCCTCCAGGCGCGCCTCCATATCCTGGTTCTCCATGTACAGCGTCTCAATCCTAGCCTTGGTCGTCTCCGCCTTGTTGAAATGTTCGTCAATCACAGGCGCCTGACTTTCCCTGAACCGGACGAAATTGATTATGTAGGAGAATATCTTGACCAGGCGATCATGCGTCGGCTTGTAAAGATCCTGAAATGAGAAATCCATCACGCCGCACTCCATTAGCAGTTTGCGCAGGCTGATATAGAATCCCATCAGATTTCGTGTCTCCGCAGGAATCATATCCATATATTCGCCGCACACATCTTCCGCAGCCGCGCGCATCGCTGGGTCGACTGTTTCTCGAGTCGCGTTCATCAGTACTTCCGCAAACCATTCGAAGATTATCTGAATTTGCTGAGGGTTTGGCTTCTGGAGGTCTGCCGCCGTGAATGGAACACCGATATCGTTGATACACCCTACGATTTCCTTATCTTTCTGTTCTAGCTATTAGTTTGCGCTCTGAATAAGTGAAGGGCGTGAAATCGCATACCAGAACGAAATCGTCGCCTTCCTCCTCCTTCTTTTTGCTGCGATTTCGCTGTTGCATATTAGGCACTATACTCATGCGCGGATTGTACGACATGGTGTATGTTTTGGGGTTTGAGAAGGCTTGGTGAGGTATGTGTTGAGGTTGTCGCAAGTTTGGATGGCGGGACTGTTTACTTTCGTTGCAACGTCAACATTGGCGCGCTCGGCGCAACGCCGGCTAGTCACCAACCCACGTGGTAGATTTTGGACCGCACGACGCAAACAAAATAGAAAGAGAGTTTGCATTCAGGTTTTTGGATGTTCTAATAGAATCAGACTCATTTTCACGAATTTCCGACTTGGCCCAGTCTCTGGACGAAGGTCTCTATAGTCTCACGTGACTTCTAGCATGTCCGACGATGGACGGTACCTTACCTTACGAGATGAGAAGTCGAATCAGTAACTGCTCTCATTATCCCAGGCTCCATGATAGTTACAGATGACATCCGGAAACGTTCAGAGGATCTCACAAATTGTATACGGCTTTCTGGGAAGTTTATTTGAGGATTGCTGTGAAGTTTGTACAGCCGTTTCCCTTGTCTTAGAATCACAACTTCCTTCAGAAGTACAGTTACACCCACATATTCGGGGCGGGCGGGTGTCTCATACGGTCTCGGACTTTAGCTGAGGTTGCACAAGATATCTGAGCCAGTCAAGCAAGTATTTCAAGTTTACCAACGTGGCCAAGACGAATACTTCCAAAACAGCATTCAAAGTCACTCTGTGTTGGTCAACTCCATGGAGTCACTTTTCTCATTGGAGGAGAACTTATCCTCAAAAACATGTTGTGTTACTTGCGGCTACAGGAGTGCTCTGCTTTGGATCGATCCATAGCTCTCTTGAAAGCGGGCGACAGTATGTGCACGAATTTCCCTATGCGTCTCCCTATTTTCTCCACCTCGTTGCTAATTATTCTTGCAAGTGTCTTTCTCCAAGCCTCGCATTGTCTGAAGCTGGTAACTCGTATTATCATCAAAGGCTTTTTGAGGAACTCCGTGTTCCTCTTTTAATGATGACTGATCCAATATCAATGAGAAGATCTCACTCCAAACAAACCGTCCTCGGAGCTTCTTGCTTTCTCAGCTAAGTACATTCTATTGCTGACATGACGATATTTGTCACCGGAAGGAGGCTTCAATAATAAAGCCAGGCCAGCGCCACCAACTCTTCTTCCCCCGCATCAGACCCGCCATGACAGGGTTCAAGAGGACTTCCGGAGAGGATGAGTGGCACTACATGTGAGTCCAATAACCGCGTCATCCTCCAACAGACGCCTCTGCCTGCCCTTCCTGGATTACCCCTCCACACAATGCAGAGAGCTCCTTCGGGGGTTTTACCCCCAGTTTTGGATGAAAACTGTGTTGTGCAGCAACTCAAAGTTGGTAGCAGCTCTCAGCACTGCCCGCTGGGGCGAGACTGTACCTTACAGGGCTGGTTTGTCGTTGCAGGCCGCTGTCGTTTGACTTGTGATAGACGTGGCATGGGACAGCCATGGCATTCCTTCGCTGCACGGGCCAGACACTTTGATTCCACATCAGATCTCAAATCTGGCTGACCCATCAAATTTTCCTGACGCCCGGCAAACTCAATCTTAACAACATCAGTAACTACTGGGGCTCAAATGGCCCGTTTGGAGAACCCGGTGTTCCGTCAAGCGGACGTCATGAATAATCGTATGCTGCTAGAAGTAGTTCCTATTCGGCGGGGCGATCGAGGGGTTGAGATGTGAGTTATTAATGATGAGGTCACGCTTGACGCTTTTGAGCGTGGGGGGCTCTTATTATGCTGGTCTCCGGGATCTATTGCTGACTGCGGGGCGAGGTTTCTGCATTCCATTGTCCCATTCAGGTACATTGGGCCCAGGCTTCGATGATCGATTCAAGGCGCCGTTCCATTTCGAGTGGCAGCTAGTGTCTCCAGAGTCCAGGGCCAGTGCCCAGGATTGGGCGTTCTCCAATTTAGGATCTCCATTCGATATGTGCTCTTTGGCGAAAGTCGCTCAGCGGACACTATATATTAGTTCTTCTTTGTTTCTCTTTATTATTTGCTCCCAAAACCCCATGTACTACCGTGTATCCATACCCCACCTCTAGCTTCATTTTTACCTTTCACGCCCTTCCACTACATTAGGACATCCCGTCATGGCTCCGATGAGCACAGTATTCAGTGATGCTCAGTATATCGAAGTCAAAGGAGTTCAGGGAACCAAAAGGGCCGAAAGTCTAGAGTCCCCAGCAGCTCTTCATCCCAAAATGGCGCCAAACGTAGATATCATTGATATTCGCCACGATGCGGTCGAAATCAGTCTCAAGGATGAAATCTTGAACTCTTTGAACCCGCAAGAAGGCCCAAGACGGCTTCCAACACTACTTCTGTACGATGAGCGAGGTTTGCAGTTATTTGAAGAAGTGAGTGAACCTAACGGGTTGACGACTGCCGGGAAACCGCTTATGTGGAACAGATAACATACTTGGAAGAATACTATCTTACCAATGCGGAAATCGAGGTCCTTACAAACTCTGCTCGTAACATTGCAGAGGCCATTCCATCTGGCTCCATGGTTGTTGAGCTAGGCAGTGGGTTGGTCGAATGAATATGGACTTTGCCAATGTCTCAGAACTAACACGTGACAGTAACCTTCGTAAGGTAAGTATTTTGCTTGAGGCTCTTGATTCTGCTGGCAAGGACATCGACTACTACGCCCTGGATCTGTCTCTGAAAGAGCTACATCGGACGCTTGAACAAGTACCTGAGTTCAAGCATGTCAGATGCCATGGACTGCATGGCACATACGATGATGGACTGGACTGGCTGAAAACGCCAGAGAACATTTCTCGTCCGAAATGTGTAATGTCTCTTGGATCCAGTATTGGTGAGTATTCGTCCACTATTCGAGCTCACCCATTGACAATTGCAGGGAATTTCTCCCGTGAGGGTAGTGCCCAGTTTCTGAAAGGGTTTTCAGATATTTTGCAAGCTTCAGACTCGATGCTTGTAGGACTGGATGCAACAAGTGATCCATCGAAGGTTTAGTAAGTTCTTGATTTGCCAAAGATGAGAACTTCTCACTAAACAATTGTCTTCAGCCATGCGTATAATGGTAAGAATTGAATTTTCTGATGTTCATAGTTTAAGCAAGCTGACAAGGGCTGTTAAAAAGACCGCGAGGGAATTACCCATAGGTAGGAGCGAATCTTCTTTGGCACTATTAGTCTCAAGCTGACGGTTCCGATAGGTTCATCATGAACGGACTTGTCAACGCAAATGGCATATACAAAGAGAAGGTTTTCGAACTAGAAGACTGGAAAGTGATCGGCGAATATGTGTTTGACGCCGAAGGTGGACGCCACCAAGCCTTCTGCTCACCCGTCCGCGATGTGAGCATTAAGGGGGTTGAGATCAAGGCTGGAGAAAGGATCCAAATCGAGGAAAGCCTGAAATATTCTCCAGAAGGGGCGGCTCAGCTTTGGAGGGCCTCAGGATTAGTTGAAATGCAGCGGATGTCAGCCTCATCTGACACATACAGTAAGCTTTTTCGTGCTATTTCATACTTTCTTATTTCACTTTGCAGGGCTGGGCGGTTGACGCACACAATGCTCGGGCCGTAGGTGAAAGTGAGTGCTGCCAGATGAGGCTCCCTTACTTTCCATTGACAGCACACCCTCTTTCTTGGGGCCAGAGGGCTGGGTTGTAGATCGCATGACCATTCCGCCACAGCGGAAAGTGTGGGGGTCAAACCCAGGTTGACAACGATCTTGGCTTACACTGCACGGGCCAATGTTATGTTCGGGGTTTGCCTCTTTGCACTAAACTAGTCTGTGGTTCATGGTATTACTCAACCTGCTTGGTGCTGCACTGTGTACCTCTATCAAACTTGTTGACGTACTTGTTGAAATATCTGCTGATATATAATTCATCTTCTCAGGCCTTCACTTACTCAAGCGAAACATGGCGTTCAAAACTGATCCCTCGTTGTATGCTGCTTCCACAGTCCCAACCATGGAAGACTGGAAGGGCTTGTGGAGTGTCTGGGATTTGGTGACCAGAGGCATGATCCCCGAGGCCGAACTGAACGAGAAACCCATCAAGCTCCGTAATGCTTGTATTTTCTACCTGGGACATATTCCAACATTCGTGGACATCCAGCTCACTAAGGCTACGAAACAGCCCATGTGTGAGCCTTCGTACTACCCCAAAATATTTGAAAGAGGTATTGACCCAGACGTTGACAACCCCGAGCGTTGCCACGACCATTCCGAGGTTCCTGAGGAGTGGCCACCAGTCGAAGAAATACTCGTATATCAAAATCAAGTCCGGGCTAAAATTGAGAAACTCACAACTGCCAAAACAGTTCCTCGTGAAGTTGGCAGGTCTTTGTGGATTGGATTCGAGCATGAGATCATGCATCTGGAAACTCTTCTCTATATGCTTCTTCAGAGTGACAAGACCTTGCCACCATCTAAGTTCAAGCCTGACTTCGAAGGAATGTCATCCATAGCTGAAGCCGCCAAGGTTGATAATGAATGGTTCGATGTTCCGGAGCAAAGGATCACTATTGGACTCAATGACCCGGAAGACAACTCTGGTGGTGATAGCCACTTCGGATGGTAGGTAACTCGATGCTGAGAAATGGCCACTGCTGATATGAGAGCAGGGACAATGAAAAACCTCCTCGGACTGTCCTAGTACCAGCATTCAAGGCCCAAGCAAGGCCCATTACCAATCAAGATGTATGACACACCACCAATTCCCCATGATGAAGCTTTGCTCACTACATTATAGTATGCTCGGTATCTGGAACAGACTCACAGCTTTAGCATTCCAGCTTCTTGGACTGGTGCAACAGCGAGTCCAAGCCATACAAATGGCCATTCCCACGTGGTGTCGAATGGGAACTTGAACACTCTTGGAGGCAACAGTTCTTTACCTCTGACACAGGCATACCTCGAAGGCAAATTTGTGCGTACCGTGTATGGTCTGGTTCCGCTGAAGCATGCCTTACACTGGCCAGTTTTTGCTTCTTATGACGAGCTTGCGGGCTGTGCCAAATGGATGGACGGGAGAATTCCAACTTTCGAGGAGGCTCGAAGCATTTACAGCCATGTAGATGGTCTGAGATTGAAAGAGGCGGAGCAGCATTTAGGAAAGACTGTTCCGGCTGTCAATGGGTATGTGACTTGAGCCAAGGTGAAGCCAAATGCTGACCCAATTCTAGTCACCTCGTCAATGATGGAGTTCAAGAAAGCCCGCCATCACGCACTTCTCAACCTGGTGAGGGCTCGCAAGAGCTATTCACCAATCTAGAAAATGCCAATGTTGGATTCAAGCATTGGCACCCTGTTGCTGTGACGGCCAATGGCAACAAACTTGCTGGCCAAGCCGACATGGGAGGTGTGTGGGAATGGACCAGTTCCCCACTCGCAAAACATGAAGGTTTTGAGCCCATGAAACTGTATCCTGCATATACAGGTGAGAGAACCATATCTTACTTGCCCGGCTATTTGTATCCTGACGACTGTAGCCGACTTTTTCGACGAGAAGCATAATATAGTCCTAGGAGGCTCGTGGGCAACTCACCCACGTATTGCAGGGCGCAAGACCTTGTAAGTTAATTTCCCGGGTGCTTGATTGGACAAATTCCACTCTTTGAACGATTTTTTGCTCACTGTGTCAGTGTCAACTGGTATCAACGCAACTATCCGTACGCTTGGGCCGGAGCTCGACTAGTCCGCGACCTGTAGACTGGATTTGTGGAAGCTTACCAGTTCAACACTGGGCCAGCAAGCTTGATGTTTCAATGGGCAAATCAACTTTGCGAGGGTCCAGAAAAGTGTCAAAAGTATCTGGGTGTGGCTGGTTTGACATCGGATTGGTTTTGATGGGTGGTGTTCTGAGCATGTATTTGGTAGTGTTGTCCCAATCCACTTTTCCTTGAGTGCCGTGTACATGGTTCCTGATCTTCATGGTATATGTGATAGGACTACTTCGAAGAATGAGACCAGTCCAGTGGCTGGCTGCATATTTTGGAGCAGGCATGTAAGTTGCCGTTCTCGCTCTCCGTCGTGGTGTTGAGGCGGTGTGTACGGACCACTCTACAAACGGAGTTGCCCCAAATGAACCCCTTTCCATTTCTTCACATCTCGTGAATGTTGAAAGATTGATTTGGAACATTCATTGCACAGACACAGAAGATGATCGATTGACTCTATCAATCATCTTGTGCCTCGTTTACGTTCTGTTAGCGTCCCTGGCCTGATAAGACGAGGACCCCGCGTGATTACCTAGATAGGGAAAACCACAACACTCCTCCCTCCTCTACGACGTGTTTTCCTTATTCCTTTCAACGTCGAGTTTCTCTACAACACCCCCACGCAGCACCTTCTCTTGCACAACAACTTCGAAGGCTTCGTTGATCGAACACCAACTTGCTCGAGGCTCCCAATTCGCTTTCACGCAGAGTAGCATACACAGTACGTCTCACTCTCCTCTTCGATACCACAATCTTCTCTCCTGACACTGAGCGCGGTCTTGCCAGCCTTTCAGTCATCGCAACCTTGAATTACGTTCTGTTGCTCAATACTAAACCAGAATGTGCTGGATAGTGAGCTTAAGCTTCATTATAACTTACAAATAGCCTGCTTTCAATACTGCCACTAATCTTGCTCGAGCAGGCTGTCTACTTCCAATCCAATCCAGTCCTTACCTCCCCATATCATCACCACAATGAACTGGGCAACGATTGCTCCCGAGACCCGCCTCTACAAGGGAAAAGCACTATTCAGGTGGGAAGTGTCTCCAGGCCTTGGTATGGTCACATCATATGAGTCGCTATATTCGCAGGGGGCTTGCTAATGGGACGTAGAACACCACTGTGGCATCTGTGCTACGCCTTTGCACAATGGACGTGCCAAGACAAGTTGCATAGGGAAGCATGTTGAGCCTTGCTATAGGTTCCACCAGCAATTACATTTCGTTGGTATGTTGTATATTCTCTTCTAGAAAGATATTCCATACTGATGTAGCCCGATAGGCAAATCGCACGAATGTTTTGGGTACGAACAACCCCACGTCAGCAGAGCTTTAGCTAACGTTCCTCAGCTGCAACTCCTCCGATGAGCTGCACCATAGCCGCCACAAGGAAATTCTCAAGATTGTACGACAAATCGCAGCCCTAGACGAGCCTAATACTGTCTTTCCGCCTGCCAAAGCGTCCAGTTCAAGAGGGAGACGTGGATCTTCAGCGACAAACTCCAACAGCACCTTAACAGATACGGGTTCGGAGTGTCCAAGCGTAGATGATACAAGAGTTACCAGACGGGAAAAGAAGAAAGCCAAGAAATCGGGGAATGGTAGAAGAGATAGGAAGTCATTCGAAGCGTTTCCCCTAGACGAAACCGACTTCATCAGTGAAGCGATACACCTAACCGTACATGAGAGCAAGGGAGCTTGGGAGGGCACCTATGTCTACGACTACAGTGGCACTGCTGTTGACGAAAGCCCAGTCATCGAGGAAAATGATGCCGAGTACGATGAGGAGAGCATGGTGGCTCGTTTCGAATCTTTCGCGGTCAAGTCTCCTGCCACGCCATTGAGGGATATGACACCTCGGCAACGAAAGATTGTCAAGAGGACGAGTACTCCAGTAAAGTATGCTAGCCATGGTCTCGGATCCCGAAAGTACTCCACCCAGTTCGCCGCCGCCGCGACAGACGCCTATGATGGTGTCGACCCTGAGATTTTCTTCCGTCTCGGCATCGAAGTTGTTAGTCCTCCCAAGAATTCCAGAACACGGAAGGATTTGGTTGCCAAACTCGTTGCTGCGGTCAAGGAAGATATAGAGATCATAACCAGAGAAGATAAAGAGACCGAAATGAGGGCCGAGGGATTCTGGAGGTGGGCCGGTAGAAACGCATACAACACCATACTTCAAACAAGAGAGAATCTGGATTGGGCAACGGGCCAAAAGAAGGGTATTCGCCTTCCGCAGTTTGAGCACTTCGATGATGAGGACATGGAAGAAGATGATCAAGCGCCGGGCGGACAAGCTGAGAAGGAAAAGCCTAAGCCAAACTTGGACAAAGCGATAGCAGAGACTGTCCTCAAGGCTAAGATAGTTGACGAAGATGGTTTCACAATTGCATCAAGCAAGAAAGGGTCCACCAAGAAGGTTCAAGGCAATTCGAAGAAGTTCACCAAGCTCCCACTCAATTACAAGCTTGCCAATCACTCTCTGGAAATCGATGAGGAAGAGGAAGGAGAAGATGTTGTTGAGATGCTTCGACGGTATGAGCAAAAGAAGTGTGGAGAACGCAATCTTGGAGGTATCTACGATGGATCTACCCCTGATCGTCGCCCTGGACGTGGCAAGGCGCGGACCCTTATAATCAAGTAAGGTGTCATATGGTGGATGTTTTGATTACATGTCGCACTTTATTGTTTCTGATTTCACAAAATTCCCCTCTCTTTCCACACGACACGACGAGGAGCAGGTGCATTCCTCGTCGAATGATTTTCTCATCTCCTTTTTGATCATTTTAGCGAGCGACATTCTTTGCTTCACAGGCGTTAAACACCCAGGGATCACGTCATGAGATACGAAGGACGATGGGAGGAGCTATGGCTGGCAGATTTCTTTGTTTCTTGGAGAGTAGATCTCTTGAGGTGGAGCTATTTCCTTCTTCAGCTCTACTTTGCTATGGATGGCACGAGCGCAATCCAACAAACAAGATCACGGATCACTTATGAGGTCATGGTATGTAATGAGTAATTGCAAAAAAAAAAAAATATCCGGTATAGACTTTTGATTCTCCATTCGTGAACAATTGTGTTGACGTTTGACAAAGATTTAACGAGTCGAAGTTGACAACTCTAAGCTCCCTACTCAATTCAAAAGATAATGTCGTCTGATATCCTTAGTAATAACACTCAAACACAGACCCAAGAAGGTGGCGATTGATCAAAGTTGTTTTCTATTAAGCCTCTAGGTAGACATTGGTAGGCTGCCTAGATGGTGAGGATAAGGATTGGTCGCGGAAGCTAATTCGTCCAGGGTGGGCTCAAAAACAATGCAAATCTATACGCTACAGGAGCTAGGATAGAACAGCTGGAACAAATACCATGAATTCTCATTGTGCTTACTCCACAAAGGTTCTGAGCACTTCTAATTGGTCAAACACTTCTTGAAATCCTTTGTTAGTTGGGTTTGACTGCCCTCTTCGCTTATAAAGGCGGGACTGTAAACACGATGTCTCGGCAACCATGACTTTCGCCCAGATGTGCTCATATACCCCTCCTTCTCTCATGCTGTCACTGTGATAGAACTCTTCGTGCAAAATGAAGAAACTCCTCAAGCATAGACTGGAGATTTCGAAGTGCATGTACGAGGATAGAGAAGTGAGGGGTCTTTGGGGGCTGTTGGGGGCCGTTGAGGCCTGACGGCTTTGCCACTTCTCACCGCCTGATTCTGTGTTATTTTGAGTTCTAATCGGAACCCGGCTTCCTTTATCAAGAACAATTCGACATATAAACATGGGCACCTTATTTTCGCTCGAATCACTTCAATCGAACTTGCAGGCTTCTCTGTGGAGCTAATCGAAAGCATCGTTGCACTGCTTCCTCCTGCAGACGTGGCCAACCTGAGATTGACATTAGAAGCCATGGCGGCCGTCATATTGTCCGACAAGGGCTCTTCAACGGCCGTCTCACCCTGCGAATTTGCACAAACTTGTAGGCATCGGTCCTTGTCCATGGCTCACGACATGTCTCCAAGAAATTGAGATGCTCGCGGGAGAGGTCGACTACCATTATTTTGATCATGGCTTCCAGGGGACATTGACAATAAGTCACCATCTGGTTTCACAGCAACGGAATCAAAGCCATTGACTCTTGCACAAATGCTACAGCTTAACGCTTAATAAATGCGACTTGCGTTGTACAACATAATCGGATATTGGATCAAACCCTGGAGAACGACAGGTACTTCCCTGAATCCGATGGAGCCCGGTCAACACCCAGGTACCACAATTCGTGATGTTTGTTTGGCTTTTTGGAAGCGATATCATTTGCTGGGAAACCCAGCCGCAGCCTCGCCAACAATACATTTGTGCGAATCTTGACTGTATCGAGCGAATCCTTCAGATAACACAATGTTGGTCTGCAGGCTCGCGAATACGGCGAAGCTTCGCCAACGTGAAGGATTCCAGGGGGTTGTTGTTGGTTACGGTCATGATTAAAAACCCCGCGACACCATTGCGAAGGGCATTGCCTTAGAAAATTCTGCTTTGTGGAAACAGACACCATACGTATAAATCGAATTGCTTCATCATGTCCATACAGTCGCTCGTTTGGCTTCTCACTTGCAGCCTTGTTTACTTAGTCGGCTCCGGCTCCGCAGCGAAGGTTGTTTCTTACCCTGTCACCAGAGCCTTGGCTAGGAATGAGCAATTACTCCGTCGAGAGATCTCTCAACGCTCTAACTTCCAAGAGTTACTATCAAACAATAAGTCTCGTGGCATCTATTATGCCTCTGTTGAAGTCGGGACGCCGGCACAGAAGTTGTCATTGTTGTTAAGCACGGGAAGCAGTGACATCTGGGTCATCGCAGATACGGCAGCAGCATGCAAAGAAGGAGGTTGTCTCACGTCTTGTAAGCTCTTCTCCTCACTCAAATAGATTCTGCAGAGCCTTGAAGCTGAACAGACATTATCTGTAGTCAACCCGAATACCTCACAAACCATATCTACAGTCTCGGCTGGTGGCTTTAACATCACTTATGTAGATGGAACCTTTGCAAGAGGCGATTATATCAAAGACATTTTTGCAGTCGGAGACAATGGTGAAGCTCGAATTATGCTCCAGATGGGCCTCGCTAGTAACATGACTGGCGTCCTGAGCACTATTGAAGGGATAATGGGAATCGGGTACTCAGGTCAAGTCGCCACGTCGATTTTATATCCAAACTTCATGGACCAGATGGTCAGCAACGGACTTACAAATACGAAAGTCTATAGTCTGTGGCTAAATTCCGTTGACAGCGATACTGGTAGTATCCTCTTTGGAGGCGTCGATACCGAAAAATACTATGGGACGCTGTACTCGATGCCAATACACAAAGACAAGAAAGGAAATTACACTACTTTCACAGTGGGGTTGACATCAATGTCCATCACTCCTGAAGATGGGACGACCATTCCAATCACAAATCCCAGCTTTTCAACACCAATCATCCTCGAGTCATCTACGACAGTGATATACCTACCAGGTGAAGTTGTGAGCACAATTTACAGCTTGTTCGACGTCACTTTCACAAATAGTACACCTTATGTCGATTGCAAGTACAGTAACTCATCATATATGACTTTCACATTTGAGAGCGGCTCAGTGGTCAAGGTCGCTTATTCGGAATTGATCAACAAGATTTTCGTTTCCTCACCTGAACCAACCACCTTGCCATTTTCAGATGTTTGCATACTGGGGATATTGGAAGGCTATGTCCCGTAAGTATTTCTAAATATCACATTAGCAACTATAACCTGCTGAGTCTTTCCACCTTCTAAGGAACCACTTGTATCGCGGTTGGGTAAACAATGCTGACTAGGATACAGAGGTGGCTACTTGCTTGGCGATTTCTTCCTCCGATCAGCGTATGTTGTTTTCGATCTGACGAACAACCGCATCGGCATTGCCCAATCGAATCAGAAGTCTGTCACAAGCAACATTGTGGAAGTCCCACCAGGCGCAGCGAGCATACCACAATCCACCGGCGTTCCATTTCCCAGTAAGACGCCCGTTTCAGCCCCAAGCGAGCTCCCAAGCACACTGTCATCAAGACCTTCGGAGAGCGCCACCGGAAAGTCTTCTGGCAACAGCCACACAATTGCAATTGGTGTCGGCGTCTCAATTCCAGTAGTCGTACTCCTTGCTGCCGCATTTGGATTCTGTTTTTGGTGGCGCCGTCGTCGTCAATCTCAATCTCGATCCTCTCAACCACCGCCTGCACCAGTCCCAGTCTCAGAACTCGCTGACCCGTCCAATAAGCACAATCATACGACGGATAGCTATTATGGAGGGGGAGGTTTGTCTCCTACGATTAATGCTTCAGAGCTGCACTCTGCAAGTCAAGCCCCTCACTCGCCTGAGGATGTGCAAGGAAACGTCACTCCGTCAGCGCCAAATGCGGGCGAGTTGCCAATGTATCATGATGATAGGCTTGATAGACCAATGTCGCCAAACTTGAATGATTATCATGACGATCGGAGGCCAGTATCGAACCTGACGGCAGTTCCGGAAAATGATGCACCAGGTCGGTGATGAGGAACCGGTGAAGGATAAGTGGCATGGTCATGAACATCTGTGTTGCCATAATATCGAAAACTCGTTAATAAAGAAACATTGTATCTATCTCTTCCATCGGTATTCAGGACAATATTCTCAAGTGCTTGAAAGTATAGATGCTTCCTTAGCTCGATATTGGGCCTAGTCACCCTTGCATAATCATCACCATCACCACCGATAGACTTGTCCAATGCTCCATAAACGCCAAAATCCTGCCACAGCTCTATCTCAAAACATTTCTTCCAGGAGTTCAGCTGCTACTAAAGGCTAAGTTTCTAAAGCCCGCACTGACGTCCACCCTGACTTCTCACGGCATAGAAACAATCGCACTGTGAAACTTGACGTCAACCAGCGCTTTCAATCCGCCTCGAACAGCCAGTGGCGGTTCCACGTTACTCTCAGGATTCCACACAGGCGTAAGGTGCACCTGATTGAGATCCTGCCACAATATCTCCTTCACACAAATAAACCTCAGCTTCTCCTTCAGCTGCTCATTCTTCTCCAACAGATCCCGTGCCCAGGCTGCCTGCAAATCTCCACACAGGTGAAGCGACTCTGAGGCAAAATTGATGTAGAGCGTGATACTGGGCGGAATACCGATCTGATCTGCATGGAACTTGAGGACCTCGAATTTCTGAAGAGCGATGTAGCGAGACTCGGAGCACACGCAGAAAATCACTGGTGCTTTGCTGTGAGAGAACCAGCGTCCTTCGGGAATGTGAGACGCTGTTGGAGTGCATGTGACTTCCACCACTCGAGGCTCATCAGCAACAGCTTCCCAAATCTTGAGTCTGAGTTCTGCTGGTAGGAGAGGAAACAGGGTGAAAGAGTCGGAGGATACAGCTAGGCGTTTTTCTCGGGAGATGACGCAGTGATGGGTGTGGTGGTACATGAAATAGATTATGCGAGTAGACATGGTGAAATGCATTGGGTTGAAAGACATGAAAGGGGCAAATACGACGTAGTGGGAATAGTCAAGAGATGGCATGAATGGTTTGTTGACATCAACGGGTACTTAAACGAGATGGCCTCACGTAAGTTGTCAGACGTATGCGGATATCAGCTCGTCGGGTATATTTCTGTAGGCGGAAAAGAAGATTCGGGTATTGACCTAAGTCGGTGATTTTGGAGGCTGCTTCATCCAGTCGAAAGCCTTGATTGGGAAGTCTGGAGCAGATCGAGCTGCAGATACTGTTACCGTCTCGACTAGATCTAGGGCTGACAGATAGAGTTGACGTCGTAGGACGGGATTATCAACTCGCTTCCAAGACATACACATGTCACACTCGATAACATCGTGCTTCAGACCACTGAATGTGCTATGATTTGAGCTCGGCGTATTACCAGACGGGCCAGTGAAAGTAGTCCATCCGCACTTATTACCGTATTCAAAGCGATCTGACAGCATGGATTACCAGACCTCGGTGGATCAAAGGTCTCAGACTTTCGAGTGCGTATTCAGAATGACGAAGCGCGAGACTAATGTTGATCTGTTCTCAATCATAGAGGTTGATCAGTTTTGCACTCGGAAAGATGGATATGATGAAGATGCCAGGAGCCAGCAGGAGGAAGTGAAACAGTGCCGGGAGTTGAAGCCTCTCTCTCTGAAGCGGCCGCTAGCGCCGCTGTTCAGTGCCCCACGAAATATTTCCCCTCCAAACTCCCCTCGAGTCCATGTTCGTGACAACGAAAACTCGCAAAGACAACATGGCTCACGATACTTGGACTTTACGGCCAACGCTACCGGTTGAAATTACTGGTAAGATTTATTCTGTCCCCCAATCTGCCGCACAAATAAAGCTTACCACATGGCTATAGATCTTGTAGCTGTCTGGCACATCTATCGAATCCCGATCATCCTCACCACGGTAGTAACTTTGATAATTGTTCGAACGTTTTTGCATCTGCGATTTCCTCGACACAAAATTACAGACACGCCACCGATATCCCCCCCTCTACCAGCTTTGAAAGAGAAACCAGCTCCAGCAGAGAAGAAGCCCACTGTAGAGAAGGTTCCCAGAAGGATTGTAGGCGGGCTTAAGAAGAGAAAGTCTTCTCAGGAGGATATAAAATCCGACAAGCAAAATATCAAAGTTCTGGTATTCTTCTCCTCGTTAACTGGCACAACTGAGAAGACTGCCAAAGTTTTTACAGAAGCTCTTGCGAAGAGCACAAAGAAGCTTGAGGATACTACCTCTACCACTTTTTTGGAGCCCGAAATACTCGATTTATCATACATAGATTACGACGAGTATTTCATCAATCCTCCCAAATCGGATTCTGAAGTTCGCTACTTTTACTTATTACTACTGCCTACCTATAACATCGACACTGTGCTCGACAACTTTCTCGAGCATTTGCAGGAAACACATAATGATTTCAGGATAGACACGGCGCCTCTCTCGCCACTTTTGGGATACTCGGTATTTGGATTTGGAGACAGGGAAGGATGGCCTACTGAGGAAGAGGGATTTTGTTCCCAGGCTAGAGATGTGGATAAGTGGATGGCGAAGTTGACCGGGAGGAAAAGAGCATTTCCTCTTGGAATGGGAGACACGAAAAAGGATGCCGCAGACCGACTCGCAGAATGGAAAGACGGCATCGAAGACGTTTTGAATCATATTGCGACGACAGGATCTCTGGGAGAGGGGGTTGTTGGCAGTGGTGATGCCGTGGAGAGTGACGTTGAGGACGTGGATGAGGAAGGTGACGTGCTATTCGATGAGGAAAACGTCGCCCAAAGGAAAACCAAAGCTCAGAAAAAAGACGCTCTGAATGATCTTGAAGATATTGGAAGTACTCTGAATAAGACAGAAGTCCCAGAAGCCGACCTGGAAGAGCTTGAGTTGGATTTCACAACATACAGCAAGAAACCAGGGTCAAAAGCAGCGGCGGTCATCAAGGAAATGGTACCTAAGAACTCACCAACTTATACGGCACTAACCAAACAGGGTTACTCCATAGTTGGCTCGCATTCGGGTGTCAAGATATGTCGATGGACCAAATCAGCACTTCGAGGCAGAGGTTCCTGTTACAAATACTCCTTCTACGGCATTGCTTCTCACCAGTGTATGGAGACAACACCATCACTGTCATGTTCTAATAAGTGTGTCTTCTGTTGGCGTCACGGAACCAATCCAGTTGGAACAACCTGGCGGTGGAAAGTCGACCCTCCAGAAATGATATTCGACGGTGTGAAAGCTGGCCATTACCAAAAGATCAAGATGATGCGTGGCGTACCAGGCGTTCGAGCTGAGCGGTTTGCAGAAGCCATGCGCATCAGACACTGTGCTCTGTCACTAGTTGGCGAGCCCATCTTCTACCCTCATATCAATGAGTTTACAGCCATGCTTCATAAAGAGCATATCTCCTCCTTCCTAGTCTGCAACGCGCAACACCCAGACCAGTTAGCAACCCTCAAGCCCGTTACACAACTTTACGTCTCCATCGATGCCTCAAACCGCGAATCCCTCCGCAAAATCGACAGACCTCTCCACCGAGACTTCTGGAAGCGATTTAACCGCTGCCTCGATATCCTGCGCGAGCGCCGCTTTGAACAGCGCACTGTGTTCCGCCTCACGCTCGTGAAGGGGTTCAACATCGAAGATGAAGCGGAAGGCTATGCAGCTCTCGTCGAGAAAGGTCTCCCCTGCTTCGTCGAAGTTAAAGGCGTGACCTACTGTGGTACCTCCTCCTCGGCTGGCGCAGGTCTCACAATGCAAAATGTACCCTTCTACGAAGAAGTATGTGCTTTCGTCGAAGCTCTCAATGCTGCTCTCGCCCGCCGCGGTCTGGGCTACGGCATAGCTGCCGAGCATGCCCATAGTTGCTGTATTCTGCTTGCGAGCGAACGGTTCAAGGTCGAGGGGAAATGGCATACTCGGATTGATTATCAAAAGTTCTTTGAGTGTTTGGAGAGTGGTGAGGATTTTAGGCCCGAGGATTACATGGGCCCTGAAACGCCGGAATGGGCGACTTGGGGAAATGGAGGGTTTGATCCCAGGGATGAGAGAGTATACCGGAAGGGGAAGAATAAGATTGCTTTGACGGAGAAGCAGGGCGAGGTCATGGAGATATGAAATTGCACCTGATGACTTCGAGAGGGATGTTGTTTTGCTGGACTAGCCTTTGATTAAATTTCAAAAATTGGACATCTAAAGTGCAAGTGAACATTGAAGTAGTGCTATTTTTTCTTCTTCTTCTTCTTCTTCTTCTTCTTCTTCTTCTTCTTCTTCTTCTTCTTCTTCTTCTTCTTCTTCTTCTTCTTCGTCCTCCTCCTCTTGTTGTTTTGCAACATCGTAGTGGCTCTTATTATAGCGGAAACACCTCCTGATCAACCAGATTGACGAGTTGTCTAACCAGGATCTTGATTAGGATTACAACTACAATTGTTTTGCTTCGACTTCAGAATAAGTCCATATAGGACAACTTCAGCAAATAGCATGCACCTTTCGGAGTCGAGTTGGAACGCCGTACCGCAATGCTAAAAGACGAGAATTGTAATGTTTCACCGATCATGGAGAGCATACTCCCGGTCTTGCCGTCTCTCTTACGTCTTGTTACGTTTTCTTTTACACAGACCGCTCCGTACCTCTCAATAACTATTTCCGGACCAGCAAATGACTTATGACCTATTCTGGATCTCTGTCTCGTAATCACACTGAAGACGAGCCGCCTCATTGGCCGTCAACGTTGACGACTCACTCAACCTCGGACTATTCCCGGGTATGCGTGGAGCAGGTGGTTTCTCCAGCAGTTCCGTACTCGGCCTCTGACCAGCATCCACATTGTCCTTTCCGGTCTCCATCTCGACATCCTTACCTGGTATAGAATGTCTAGATCTTCTCGATCTTGTAGACCCCTTCGACCTTCGCGACGACGTCTTCTCTACGACCACAAATCCCCCATCACCAAAGACCTCCTCTTCATTACCAATCCTCGTCATAGATCCTCCGTCGCTATTCCTCGAAAGTCGCCTGTCCAGATCCCCATCCACTGACCCATCGTTCCTCCGGAGATAGTCACCGGGTCGCCGACTCCCGTCTGGGACGTGGAAACGCCTGTCTACTCGCACAGCTGCGAAAATGGCTATGACAATGATTTCAACCGTGAAGTTCACGATGTAGAAACAGGCTTTGTCGTGGTACCATGCTGGATCTGTTTTAGGCCGAGGGACGTATGCTATGCCTGCACGGAATGCGGCGCCGAAGGTCAAGAGAGCAGAAGTTACAACCAGAATCCATATCTTGGTTCTGAATCTTCCCGAACCGAATTTCTCAACTCGTGGAGCAGAAGGTTTGTATTTCCTTGGTATGAGGAAGTTTAGAGCTAGGAGAGGAATGGGTAGGAATGCTGCGACGGCGAAGTATGTTGAGCCGACGAGTTGCACGTCTCGGTCTATACGCCGGATGTTGGTGTCGAGGGTGTAGAAGCCTTGGACGGTACAGAAGATGAGGGCGATGAGCATAAGCACTATGGAGACGTAGTAGACTTTGAAAATTACTGAGAATGGCTTGCTCCATGCCCAGTGCGGATGAGTTGCTCTGACCACTCTTTGCGTGAAGATCAGGTTGATGATGAACAGTAGTAGCACGCCTGCTGCAACGAAGATTTGTGCTGCGATGGCTATCGACACGTTCCGTGGGTAACTTGCGAAGACAAGACGCATGGTACATGTCGTTATTCGAGCCATACAAAAACCGAAAAGCAAACCTGAGATTATGAATTTATGGCCGCGTTTTAGATTGGTGATGAGAATCGTCATGTGTGCAACAGCACCGAGCACAAAGAGGAAGAGGAAGACGGCTGTTATGGGATCATCGATGGATTTAATAGGAAGGCCGCCGAGGTTAGCCATTGGAAGAGGGTAAGGTGCGTGAAGTGGCATTGAGGGCATTGCTGGCGGTCGTGGAGATCCCGACAGTGTCCAGTTTGCTGGCTGAGAAGAATTCAGGTTGATATTTGGAGTTGGGCTGGGAAGAGTAGATGTAGCGAAGCTGACTACTCTTGTACCGCGAGACGCCATTTTTAACGAGGATGCCTGGATTTTCAAATATTTGGTGTGATATTCGTATCACAAGTCGAAATGGGAGTGATTAGGCTACTGATGCCTGTCCGTCGCGATCTGGTTTCTCTCGATCCGTTCAATTGCCCAGCCAAATCTCAAATCTAAGTTAACATGAGTTCATCTCTTGATCTGTTTGACCGTCAATTCCGTGGAATCTGTCTCGAGCTGTGATTCTCGTGCTCGTGGGGCGATGTCGTGCCGAATCCAAGTAAACAAACCCCCCAACCTGGGCACACCTCCTCTTTATCTCCCTCCAGCCCAGTACCACACCGTCCCATGCTGCATACATATCTGTCTTCTTCCTAGTGATAAGCTCCGACGATCTGACAAGCCGCACGCACGAAATGTGGATGAACTAATTGCAGCACGGAGTGTGTCCTTCCCCTGGTTGAGGATCTGAAAATATCGGTGCTGAAGGAGGCGAGACCGGGTTTCTCGTTTGTGTGGCCAGTTGGAAGCAGGAATGTTGCCAAGGATCGGACATGAAAGGGAAGCTGGGAGAGCTTGAGGCGGCGTCGACTTTAACATCGATTTGGGATATAAGAAACAGATGCATCGCAATCAAGAGAGATTTAAGTTATAGAAAGTTGCCATATCTGCATAAGAGTCACGAACAAGCAGATTTCAAACAATACCAGTATTACAAAAGTACTACAGCACATCCATAGAGTAGTGTTGAAGTGTCTACAGCGCCGCTTTTACCTTCACCGGACATCCCACAATAGAGTCCGGATGGCTTCAAGACATCCATTCCCGTTACGGACACAAATACCTGTCTCGTACTACTAGAAAATAGACTGACGTGCATCAAAGCTGTAAGGAGTGCGTTCCCGGTTTTGGCTGGGCCAGACGGATCCAAATCTAGACAGCATCTGTGCATGCTGGTTTGGCTCAGTCTGGCTGTGAGCTTGGGGCTGGAGATGCTATATATTGACTTCTGGAAGGAAGACAGGAGATGAGAGATTAAGACTCTATTCAGCAGTAGAGCTCTTTGTGTGGATCACGAGGGCAAACAAGAAAAGGAATGATCCGGTTCATCTCATCACGCAAACACGGTGCTATCGCCTCGTCTCGTTCCGTTCGCTTACAGGAGCCCGAGAGCTTTGCCCATGATCTCATACCACATGTGAATTAAAGCCAAAATAGATTTCCCACACAGCCCTATCATATCAATCGTTTTTGCATTCATATCAGAGTCTAATGCAAGTCTACGGTACAAATGTGTCGCGCTTAGCACCTGGATTTGCATCCCTTTGCTGAATCTCTGAACTACCCCGCCATCTCGAACCCCGGAGCAGTTCGGATGATGTTTTGTACGTACACAAACAGAGCACTGCTTGTTTTGTAGCATGCTCTCATAGACGAAGTGGGGGCCGGTCGATCGTGATTTAGAGGAAGTAATCGGGGGTTCCTGCTGATAGTTAGAAGATTACCTGGTAGAGAGGACTTTGATAGGCTTACGTCGTGAAACCATGGGTTCGCCAGCTCTTGGGCAAGGATCGAATTGCAAGCTGATAAATGTCAGTCATCTCTTTCGCAAGGCCTTCAATTGCGACTCACAAGGTATACTTTAGGTGCTCATCGATTTCCATGATAGCGGCTTGGTTACCACATCTGTAGCAGTAATTTGGAGCTGCACAAGTCAGCCTTTGTATACAATATAAAATAATGATCAACATACCCGAGAAGATGGTGACCACATTTCTATCCTGCGACCAGTTGTAACCCTCCATGACCAACTGATGTGCCCTTGCAACCAACGTCAAGCCATTGTTGTGGTTGAATGCCTCCGAGATGTCTTGCCCAAAGGTATACCCAGCTCCTCTAGGAGATATTCCCCATCCGCATCTATCATCTGGATCTGACCATAGTAAATCGCACATCGGACCTTCGTGTGGAACCTCTTGTATACGATCAAGGGCACGGATGTTGTCGAGAGTATCGATACTGGGGGAAAGACCTCCGTGAAGACAGAAGATTTGTTGGTCGATAAGGGCGGTCAGGGGGAGGTAATCGAAGAGGTCTGTGAAGTACTTCCAGACGTTGGCGTTGCCATACTTTCGGAGACACTCGTCATAGAAACCATAGACTTGCGTGATCTGGCGGGATTCGTGATTTCCACGGAGGATTGTGATTCTTTGGGGATATCGAATTTTGAGAGCAACGAGTAAAGTAACAGTCTCGACGGAGTAGTATCCTCGATCAACGTAATCGCCTAGGTAGGGTCAGTTTCACAAGTTGCCTAAGGATTAGGGGCGTCATACCCATGAAAAGGTAGTTGGTATCTGGGTTGGGACCGCCAATTCTGAACAACTCCATCAAGTCGTGAAATTGACCATGAATATCACCGCAGACTGTGACAGGGCATTTCTGTATTGTGTGAGCGCGTGGCAAGCAGGATCTGGATTGAAAGCATACCACTGGTTGGACGTTGGACTCATCCTGTAAAACCTCTCGAGCCTATTCATCATGATGTTAGACATGTACTGTACCTAAAACGCGCTCTTGACCGTCTGACAGCACCATTGAGATCTGCGAAGACCACATACCTTGTTGCAGAGCCTCTGGACGTCGACCTCAGCCAATTGCTTGCACTTCATCAAACTCTCGATCCACCCATCGAGAGTAGGTATCGTCGTGGGCTCCTCGACAGGAGACAGTTGAGACGGCTCTGGCGCTCTGCCAACATCCTCCATGTTGGTATCCATGGCTCGTGATATTCCTTGTGCACGTTGCTGTGGCGGGGAGTTGTGTTGAGGGTAGGCGGGGAGCTTGAGCTCGAATGACGGAACGCGGTGAGGTTCCCAGACGAGGCTGGACGGTTCGTGTGCAACGAAAATATCGCGTAGGCAGGAAGAGGTAGGGTAACGTGGGGTAGCAAGGTTGCGACAGATGATTGCTTCGCGGCGCGCGGGGTATCACAGAGGTTGGCTTTGAGGAGGAAGAGCCTTGGTTATCGCACCTGAAATCGTGAGGTCGAGGCTAGCTCGCTTATTTACTGGACGGCAAGAACATAGCGTGCAGACTGAAATTCCAGAGTCATTGGAGGCAAATTATTCACAAAAGTCACAAAAAGATCAGAAGGCTTTGTCATGCTGACCTAGATAAGTTTTGTGATTCTCTACTAGACCAAGCCCAAGCCAACTGGCGTTCCAGTCTGGCCTGAATCGGAAACATCACGCCCTACCAGACTTTTAAAGTCCAACCCAACCTCTGACAACATCTTGGCATGCTCTTTTGCCTGGTTCATACACTCCGTCCACAGCGGTCCTCGTCGCTCCGTACTGCTTAGCTGTCTGGCGAGAATGATATTGAAGGCATCAACTTGTTCCTTGGCCCATTTGACACAAACACTCATCACTGACGCTTGAAAACAAGCCTGGAATGTAAATACTGTGTTGCGGATAATGGTAAAGTACACAAAAGACACTTCCCAAATATATTGGTGGAGATTTCCTTCAAAGATGCATTGCCTGTTTGACATGTCAGCGAAGGATTTATTTTCGCAGGGACGTCCCAATTACCTCGATCTTTTCTGGATAATATTGCTTCGTGCTTCCAAGTACGCTTCTCTGGCGCGATCCTCAAAGCCAAGTCGAGCAAGCCAGAGAACGTTGCGTCGCGTTTTCTTGGGTTCGTTATGGGTGTCGACAAGCTCGCGGGTAATGAGTCCTGCCAACTTCGTTGCTCTCTCATCTGCCTTGAAACTGATGAAGTCTTGTGCAACTACATTGCTCTTGAGGCCTTTGGCAAGGGCATTAAGCTTCTCAACACGCTGTACTGCAGTATCAAAACGTTGCAAGGCGATGTCGATGTCCAGCTCGTCTACTTGACTCTCCACCCAGCGTAGGTTTTGCTGTTTACCGTCGACTTCGATTAGCATATCCTTGATATCCGACAAGGTCTCAAGCAGTTCAGTCTTCTTGAGCAATCCTGGGTCGCGTGAGGCAAAGTAGTTGATAGTCTCTTTGGCCTTGTTGCTTGATTCCATCTCGGATCGAAGACCCTTTCGTAGCTCTTCCACAGCTTTCCTGAAATTCATCATCAAAGACTGCTTCTCGTTGTCATCGGGCTTTTCTGTTCGATAGGTAAAAGACTCCTGTCCAACTCCTCTGATCATTATCGCGTCAGCTACTTTGTTCCGCCCGCTTGTCGATTCGCTGGTCCCAGCCAAATCAACCATTTCAATGTCTAGTAATGGCCAGCAACGATCCGCAACCAGTTTTGACGGTGCTTGTCGTTGATCAGCGCCGTTACCCTCAACCTTACGCTTTTTTCTCGATGCGATTAAAAGATGATCATTCAACAAAATAATCTGCATAGCTCTTCGAGATTTCCAGGTGGCATTGTCTAACTCAATCCAAAGACCAGCATTCTGCACAACATGCCGCCCTTGTACTGCTGGAAGAAACTTCTGTGACCCCTCAATTGTTTTCCACAGCGCCTAAGACTGTCAGCGTACTAAGAAGTATATACTTAATTCCAGCACTCACCTGAAGTTGGGAATTCCACATTGCAGTTCGGTCTGCAACCGAACTGCGCTTGTCTCTCTTACTCAAGGTAGACGGAAACCCAGATTCAAAGTCATTCGAGGCAGCAGGCCCTTGAGACGAAGCTGCCCTTAGAGCCGTTGTGTTGGTCTTCAAGTCTGACATCAAGTTTTTGAGTGCCCTCATCTCTCCTTTCAGTTTCTCTGCCTCTTTACTGATCTTGATAAATTGTGTTCGATTTTGATACACATTCTGTTGCAAGTCAGTTGAGGCACGATTCCGCAGCTTTTGCAAAGCCTGCTGATATTCGTCGATATCTTGCTCGGAAGCATCACTCAAGAGCCCAGCGATGTATTGCTCTGGTCGGAGGTTGGGATCTCGTAAAGCTTTCACATCAACATTCAACCCGGGACCTCTGCCAGGCGAAGGGCCACGTCCTCGATCATTGGGCGGAGCGAATTGGTTTGGTAGCGATGGCATCGACGGTACCGGGGGAGCGGCTGCATCGTAATCCGCAGGAAGGTTGTTGAATCTGGTAGAGTATCTGCGCTTGACTAAGTCGGACGTCTGGGCAAGCTGTTAGGAAAATAGAATTGAAATATGTCAGAGAGGTTCTCAGTACCTTCCCTCCCATCTGCGGTCGTTGGGGAGGGGGATCAAATGCTGCTTGTCCGCCATTGCTTCGCGGCGGGCCTCCTGGCTGCTGTATTGGGCCGGAGATCTGTTTGGGAGCACTTATGGCGGGCCGTTTGCTTCGTTTTGTTCGGAGAGAAATCCCCTTACTTTTTTCCTCCGACATGGCGGAAGATTATGGTAGTGCAGGCTGTGTCAAAGTTGGAAAATTGTGCTGAGAATATTGGACTCGAAGCTCTGAAGTCGCGACGTTGAAGCTTCGGAAGTGAAGCTCCAAGGCATGGTCCCGTTGCCAAGACCGCTGCACCCACCTTGCCTGCCTCAGGACGGACTCGGACGGAGCAGACCAAGGCAGGGATGCTTCGTACCAAACTCAAAAAAAGTTCCCAAAAGGTCAAGCTCCTCAAAGCATCACGTCTCGCCCAAGCTTCCCGTCAACACTCTCGTCACCGCGTTGCATCAACAGCTTCGGTACACACATATCCAATTGAATTATGGTGCAAACATCAACAATCGTTGCCGCCACGGTTGGCACATTTGCAACAGGCTTTGTTGGTATGTCCTCGGGATATATGCAATGCTGCACACCCGGCTGACAATGAATGAAATAGCATACGCCGTTTATTTCGATTACAAGCGCCGCAATGATCCCCAGTTCAGAAAGCAGTTGAAGAAAGAGTCAAAACGACAAGCTAGAGCCGCGAAGGAGGAAGCAGAAGCTCATACTGTCCGACAAAGGCAAGCCATCAGGGTGGCTGTGGAGGAAGCTAAGGAGGAGGGATTCCCATCAGATGTCGAGGAGAGAGAGGCGTATTTCATGCAAGAAGTTGCTCAGGGAGAGGGACTGGCAGGAGCTGGTATTTGCAACCTTGAGAAGCCCGGAGACCAGATCTAATGATTTCTAGGAACCGATAACGTCGAGGCTGCTCTATCCTTCTACAAGGCATTGAAGGTCTACCCAACACCATCGGACTTGATTACGATTTATGACAAAACAGGTATGTCTTATTGTACAGCTCAACTTCCGAGTAGAGCCTAGATAGCTGGCATTCGAACTCTTGGGGGAAGAGAATATCTGCTAACTATGACTGCAGTGCCAAAGGCGGTCCTTGATATACTCGCAGAGATGATAGCAGCCGATACAGAACTCAACGTTGGACCATTTGGAGGTGGACCTGGCTCGGACATGGATTAGACCCCCATTCCATGATACACCCCCGGACTGCATTTCTTCTCTCTCCTCTCCACGAACACTCGACCCGACAGGCCACCAACCCACCAAATCTCCTCCTTCAGGAGCGACCTGGATACCTACCATCTACAAAGGCGTTCCGCTCCTGTGTACATCATCTGGCGTACCTTCGATTCTCTGTCTCACTTGTACATTTATGACGGTAGAATATACCATACGACTGTATTGATGAAAAGCGATCGTAATACCAATAAAATCAGGTCGATACCACACTTATTGGTTTATTTCATTCTGTGTGTATCTTGACTTTCAAGACCCTAAGTAGTCTCCCATCATGGCTTTGGCCGTCTAGTATCTCTGAGGGCATTGCACTTGATGGTTCGAGCAGATCCTCCATGATATTGCTTTTGCAGCAGCCTTGCTCCCCTGCACTGCTGTGAACGTGCGCTGGACGTGCGCTCTATCTAGATGTGGAAGCAAAAGTAACGTGCATGCTGTCATCGGTCATATTATTCGGAACCATGTCATCAAATATCTAGATTGTCGTGATTCGGGAAATGATTTATTGCCTCTCTTCAATTCGTAGTTCTGTTGCTGCAGGCAAAAGGCGCTAGTAATGTAGTCGGCAGGCTTCAGGGGCAACCCGTTATCGCGTAGTCTTGTAACCAGTACGCGACATGTGCATATGATAAAAGTCAACACTCCCTTTCCGCCAACACACACCAAACCGCATCAACGCAGACTAGCTGATTCCACTCCGTCACCAGTGGACATTGAGAGTCTGATTATGGACGGTATTTGCGACTATTAAATCCTCCTCACCCGAAACAAACATGATGGAGAGCTTGGTAGCTTCTCCTGGGCCAGCCAGTCCAAAACCGAATGGCACCGACGCATTTGCGGTAGATCCTTCGATAATCGTCGAGTACCTCGCCAGTGTCCTTGAGATAACTTTGGGAGCTACGAGGAAAGAGTTGGAAAATGCCGGGAGTCTGCTGTCACCAGAATCCAGGATACATACCATTCAGAGATGCTCAAGGTTTGCCTCAGAGAACCAAGTGGCACTTTACGTGACGAAGGATATCGCCGCGGCCGGTGGAATAGACGGCATAATAGATGAATCCAGTATGTTTGTGGAGCTGAGGAGAGCTGAAGGAAATCGCTGACATGAATATAGACACGGTGACTTACAACTACTTCGTTACTACAGACATTTCTTTCTCTCCTTCAACGACTGCTTCGATCGCGCTTTTGAAACGGCCATACCCTATAGATCCGACGATACCCATTACTTCGCAAGTACAAATTATTAATTTACCAGGTGCAGCATCGCTGAGCAGTACCACAAACGGACAGGGCGGTGCTGCTGTCAGTCCTTACGAAATTCTACATTCAGTCGTGCATCTTGCGCTGGCGCCTTACTTCGATGCATACACCAAGAACCAGCATAGTGCGAATGGAGTTCGGGGCAGATCAGATGTGGAGGCAAAGACCGGAATTCCAGTTACGAAGAAGAGGATAGCAGAGCTGGAGTTAAGCTTGTTACATCTTCAGCAGAACATCGAGATCCCTGAATTGATCCTACCTCTACATCCTATGGTCCAAAATGCTGTTGACGAAGCTGCCGCACGAAATATGAAGCCCACACCAGAACTGGTTCCTGCGAACCTGCTGCAGGACAGTGCCTTTCTCAATAGTCTGCAAAGCAATGTAAATGGTTGGATCAAATCGATACAAGCAGTCACGAAGATGTCTAGGGAGGCATCCAGCGGGACAGCTACGCAGGAAATCAACTTTTGGCTTTCGATGGAATCCGCGTTGGAGGGGATCGAACAGCAACTTCGAAGCAGTGGTGTAGCCCTCACGATAGAGATCCTCAGAACCGCGAAACGTTTCCAGGCAACTGTCAGTTTTAGTGCGGATACTGGTCTGAAGGAGGCTGTGGACAAAGTTCAGAAATACAACCAGTTGATGAGAGATTTCCCACTGGACGAGTTACTCTCTGCGACATCATTGCCCAAGGTTGAGGATGCTATTAGCTTGATCTTCTCCCATCTCAACAAAAAGCTCAGAATTTGCCCATATCCTATTCGGAGAGCCTTACCTTTAGTCGAACTCATCTCGGCAGATCTCGATACCCAGTTACATTCGTTACTCCATGGCCGACGATTGATGCATCTTGATTACCGGGAATTCAGAAATCTCATGGCAACAGCTGATTCCATTTGGAAGAGTTGGGACGAAAACGTGAAGGAGTTCACCAATGTTGCCCGAGAAGTTACTCGCCGGAGAAACGAGAAATTCATTCCAATCAAAATCGTACCAAAACACGCCGATCTTCAAGCCCGACTTAAGTATGTCAGCACTTTCCGCGATAATCATGAGCAGCTGCAGCGAACCATTGTCAATGTGCTGGGCCCAAAACTTGGCGAAGGCGAAGGTACTACCAATGGGGTGGTTATTGTAGAAGAAATGGGCGACGTCGATGCTGTGGAAGAAGTCCAGCAAGCTTATGCAGCGTTGAACAACGTGGACTTGCTTGATGTTACTCCCGAAGGCACCCGAACTTGGGTGCAAGCTGAGATCACTTACAATGAGCGTACCTCTCGTGTCGAAAATTCCATTATCGCCAGATTACGAGACCGACTGGCAACTGCAAAGACTGCCAACGAGATGTTTCGGGTCTTCTCAAAGTTCAATGCCCTCTTCGTCAGACCAAAGATTCGTGGTGCCATCACAGAGTATCAAACACAACTCATCGACAATGTTAAGCACGACATCTCGTCGCTTCACGAGCGGTTTAAGCAGCAGTATGGCCATTCCGAAGCACATGCAATGGCACAACTTCGAGATCTTCCTCCTGTGTCAGGTGCAATCATCTGGGCTCGTCAAATCGAGAGGCAGCTTGATGGATACATGAAGAGAGTTGAGGACGTCCTTGGAAATGACTGGGCTCTCCATTCCGAAGGACAAAAGCTCCAAAGCGAGAGCAACCTTTTCCGGAAGAAGTTGGACACACGACCCATTTTCGAGGCTTGGTTGCACGATGTCCAGAGAAAGCAAATATCCATCGCAGGTCGTCTTTTCAACATCAACAAGATTCGAGCATCCAACAATGCACTTGAATTGGCTGTCAACTTCGATCCTCAAGTGATTGCGCTCTTCAAGGAGACCCGGAATCTGCTGTGGCTAAATTATGCTGTCCCTCACCAAATCAACAACATCTCCAAAGAAGCCAAGCGAGTTTATCCATATGCTGTTAGCTTAATGGAAAGTACACGTACATTTGCTCAGACCAGTCGACAAATTTCTCAGATGTCGGATGTTGCTTTACTTCTCAGCGGATATCAGAATGACGTCCAAGCTTTGATAATCAAGGGTATTCCCTTGAAATGGGAGTCGTTTGTTCACTCATTTGATCTCCACGTGAAGCAGACTTCATCTTACCACCTTGCCAATGGCAATCTCGACCATGCCATCGGCGGCCGTAACGAGAGCAAACACGTACAATTTGTTCGAGAATTTGCTGCCTCGGTCTCTCTGCTGCAGAGTAAGACTGCTTCACTGGCTGTCTCCAACATTGCCATTCAGAAAGCACTCACTGAACTAGAGACTTGCCCATATGACGCAGCTGAATTTCAAAAACGACTTGAGGCAGTGCAGATGGCTGTGGATCAACTAAACCTCGAGAACTATGTCAATTTGTCGTATTGGGTCAGAGAGATGAATGCGAGAATCAAAGCCACTCTCTTGGTGCGTCTTCGAAAGGCTATTGCCTCCTGGATTGATGCCTTTGAGAGTGAGCGTTCGGAAGGAGTCAATGATGACAGTCGGCGAAAGCATCTCAGCGTCACCACGACATCGGGCCAAGACCAAGGCCCATCTCTGAAAAGACTGGTTCACGAGGTGTCCATGCGAAATCAAGTTATCTATTTGGATCCACCGCTTGAATTTGCTCGGGCAAGCTGGTTCTCGCAGCTACACGAATGGCTTGGGATTGTGTGCAATCTTTGCAAAGTCAAGGCTTCAAGATATGAGATGAGCCTGACCAATGGGAATGATACCGAAGCCCGTTTCACTGATCTTCCAGGGTCATGTACAGACAGCCTTTCTCTAGTCTACACAAGTATTGAGACGAAGCTCAACGAGATCAGCCTCTACGTCGACAAATGGCTTCAGTTCCAATCGCTCTGGGATCTGCAATCCGAGCAAGTGTATGAAGCACTGGGTGAACAATTATCGAAGTGGCTCCAAATGCTTCAAGATATTCGGAAAGTGCGGTCCACTTTTGACACCACTGAAGTCAGTCGCTCGTTTGGCCATCTTTCGATCGACTATGACCAGGTTCAGACCAAAGTCAATGCCAAGTACGACCAATGGCAGCATGAAATCCTGACGAAGTTCGCTGTTCGCCTTGGCAATCGCGTTCGTGAAGTCTATTCCGAGATCGAGAGAGCACGAAAGGATCTTGAGGTACAATCACTAGAGGCAACATCCACAGCCCAGGCTGTACAGTTCATTACCATTGTGCAGACATGTAAGCGCAAAGTCAAGGCCTGGGGCCCAGAGGTGGAGATCTTCAGACAAGGCCAGACAACTTTGGTTCGGCAGCGATATCAATTTCCTGTAGACTGGCTCAATGTTGAGCAGGTAGACTCGGAGTGGACTGCTCTCAACGAGATTCTCTCTAGGAAAGCCAAGATTGTGCAGGATCAGACGGATGCTCTTCGGGCTAAGATCACAGCCGAGGATAAAGTTGTGGGAGACAAGATCCTTGAGATTACAGGCCAGTGGAACGAAGAGAAGCCAGTGTCTGGCACCATTGTACCAGAAGTTGCGTCAGCTACACTTATGTCCTTCGAAACTCGTATCACTACGCTTCACGAAGAGTCCGAGATGGTATCCCGTGCTAAAGAAGCATTGGATCTTCCTTCTAGTCCCGCCACAGCCCTTGCTGCTATCCTTGAAGAGGTTCAGGATTTCAAATCTGTCTGGGCTGCTCTATCAACAATCTGGAAGAGTCTCAATGAACTCCGAGAAAGTCTATGGACAACTGTTCAGCCTCGGAAACTCAGATCTGCAATTGACGGACTTATTAAGATGACTAAAGAGATGCCCAGTCGTATGCGCCAGTACGCGGCCTTTGAGCACATCCAGAATATTCTTCGACAGTTTCTCAAGATCAACCCTATCATCGCAGATTTGAAGTCCGAAGCCGTCCGTGAGCGTCACTGGAATAAGATCTTCAAAGCTCTCAAGCCCGGCAAGCGCTACTCGCCAATCTCCATGACTCTCGGTGACGTTTGGGATCTACAGCTTGCTGCGAGTGAAGTCGTCATCCGAGATATTATTGCTCAGGCTCAGGGTGAGATGGCTCTCGAAGAATTCTTGAAGCAAGTGCGCGAGATCTGGTCGAGTTACTCACTTGACCTTGTTAACTATCAAAACAAATGCCGACTGATTCGTGGCTGGGACGATCTTTTCGCGAAATGCAGCGAGAACCTCAACTCTTTGCAGGCGATGAGACACTCTCCATACTACAAGGAATTTGAAGAGGAGGCTTCGTCTTGGGAAGATAAGCTCAATCGTGTCCATGTGCTATTTGACGTGTGGATCGATGTTCAGCGCCAGTGGGTATATTTGGAAGGTGTTTTTACTGGAAATGCAGACATCAAGCATCTACTTCCAATCGAATCGTCCCGGTTCCAGAACATCAACTCCGAATTCTTTGCTGTCATGAAGAAAGTTTACAAGCAGCCTTTCGTTCTTGATGTACTCAACATTTCCGGAGTCCAAAAATCACTAGAGCGCCTCGCAGAATTGCTGAACAAAATTCAGAAAGCCTTGGGAGAGTATCTTGAGAGAGAACGTGTATCGTTCCCCAGATTCTACTTTGTCGGTGACGAGGATCTGCTCGAGATTATTGGTAACAGCAACGATACGCTTCGTATTGCCAAGCATTTCAAGAAGATGTTTGCAGGTCTTTCTGGACTGATAATGGATGAAGACCATCTCATATCCGGCTTCACTTCTAAGGAGGGTGAAGAGGTGAGACTGAAGAAAGAGATCTCCCTCATCAAGACACCAAAAATCAATGACTGGCTAGCGTTGCTTGAAAGCAGTATGAAGTCCACCCTTGCCGAGTTACTTGCAGAGGCAGTTGAGCAATACGAGCCAATTTTTGATTCGGAGGAAATCGACCAGGCGGCGTTGAATTCCTACATTTCTGCCTTCCCAAGTCAAATTGTTGTCCTAGCCACCCAAGCTGTATGGACCTCGACTGTCGAGCAGTCACTGGAAGCTGGTGGCACCACTCTTCAACATCTCTTCGATCAAGAGGTCAAGGTGCTGCGACTTCTTGCATCCACTGTCCTGGGTGATCTTGATCCAATTATGCGCAAGAGATGCGAACATCTCATCACTGAATGTGTTCACCAGCGGGATGTCATCGAGAAGCTCAAGAACTTGAACGCTTCAACACCCAACCACTACTTGTGGCTTCTCCAAATGCGTTACGTTTACAAGGCCGAGGGTGATTGGCTTCAGCGCTTGCACATCAAGATGGCGAATGCCAAACTCAATTACGGCTTCGAGTACCTTGGGGTTGCGGAGCGTCTCGTGAGAACACCGCTCACCGATCGTTGTTTCTTGACCCTCACCCAAGCACTTTGTCAACGACTTGGAGGTTCGCCTTATGGTCCTGCTGGGACTGGTAAGACTGAGTCAGTCAAGGCTCTTGGTGTCCAACTGGGACGTTTTACTCTCGTCTTCTGTTGCGACGACACTTTCGATTTCCAAGCCATGGGTCGCATCTTCTTGGGTATCTGTCAAGTCGGAGCTTGGGGTTGTTTCGATGAGTTCAACAGACTTGAGGAACGCATCCTTTCCGCCGTATCTCAGCAAGTTCAAAACATCCAACTTGGTCTAAAGCAAGGAATTGAAGATGAGAAGTCGCAAATCGAGCTTGTCGGCCGTCAATTGCGAGTCAACGCGAACACAGGCATCTTCATCACGATGAACCCTGGATATGCCGGTCGCTCCAACCTTCCAGACAATTTGAAGAAGCTATTTAGAAGTGTTGCAATGTCGAAGCCTGACAAGGAACTCATTGCAGAGGTCATGCTCTACTCTCAAGGTTTCAACCAAGCGAAGCAATTATCGAAGCAGACAGTCCCATTCTTTGACAGCTGTGCTGCTAGGCTCTCCAAGCAGGCCCATTACGACTTTGGACTTCGTGCTCTCAAGAGTGTGCTTGTCAGTTCCGGAGGACTCAAACGTGCTCGTTTGACAGATACTGGCGGTGACCTTGGCCCAGAGGAAGAAGTAGAGCCTCAGATTATTGTCCAGAGTATTCGGGAAACTATTGCCCCCAAGCTGATCAAAAGCGATGTCGAAATTATGAGATCCATCGAAGCTGAATCGTTCCCGGGTGTTGAATATGTCCCGGCCAGCTTGAAGGATTTGAAGGCAGCCATCCACACGATTGCCAACGAGAGACACCTTGTTATCAATGAAACGTGGATGACAAAGATCCTTCAGCTCTATCAGATCCAGACCATCCACCATGGTGTCATGATGGTTGGAAATTCCGGGGCTGGAAAGTCGGTTGCCTGGAAGCTCCTTCTCCAAGCCATGCAGCAAGTGGAAGGTGTTGAGGGAGTTTGCCATATCATTGATTCGAAGGTCATGTCAAAGGAAGCATTGTACGGTAATTTGGACTCTACCACCCGCGAATGGACCGATGGTCTCTTCACCAGCATCCTCCGCAAAATTGTTGACAATCTGCGTGGAGAAGAGGCCAAGAGACACTGGATTGTGTTCGATGGCGATGTTGATCCCGAATGGGTCGAAAACTTGAACAGTGTGCTCGACGACAACAAGTTGCTCACTCTTCCGAACGGAGAGCGTCTTAACCTACCTTCGAATGTTCGGATCATGTTTGAGGTTGAGACTCTGAAATATGCCACTCTTGCAACTGTCAGTCGTTGTGGAATGGTCTGGTTTAGCGAGGATACAGTGACATCCGCCATGATGGTTTCTAACTATCTCGACACATTGCGGACCGTTGCTTTCGAGGACCTTGATGAGGACTCTGTTTCTACTGGACAGACTGCTGCAAAGGCTCTTGCAATCCAATCACAGGTCGCAGACCTACTTGATGCGTTCATGACAACAGATGACTTCATCACTAACGCTCTGGAACGTGCCCAAGGTTTCAACCACATTATGGAGTTCACAGTCGCCCGTGTCCTAAACACTCTATTCTCACTTCTGAACAAGGCAGTTCGAGATGTGATTGAGTACAACAACCAGCACGTAGACTTTCCTCTTGGCCCTGAACAGGTCGAATCTTTCATCGCGAAGAAGCTTCTCCTTGCTCTGGTCTGGTCATTGACTGGAGATTGTCCTCTTGGAGACCGCAAGAGTTTTGGGGACTGCTTGGCTGGGCTTGCTACCTTTGGATCGCCAATCATGGGAGACAATTCATCCCTCATCGACTACGACGTCACTTTGCCGAAAGCTGAATGGACTTCATGGCAGAACTCGGTCCCAACCATTGAAGTCAACACACATTCCATTACCCAGACTGATGTTGTCATTCCAACACTCGATACTGTACGTCACGAAGATGTTCTGTATTCATGGCTTGCGGAGCACAAGCCTCTGCTTTTGTGTGGTCCACCTGGTTCTGGAAAGACGATGACATTGTTCAGTGCTCTTCGCAAACTTCCGAGTATGGAGGTTGTCGGACTCAATTTTTCCAGCGCGACTACCCCTGATCTGCTCATCAAAACCTTCGAGCAGTACTGCGAGTACAAGAAGACAGTCAGCGGAGTGATCCTGTCGCCCACTCAGATTGGGCGATGGCTGGTGCTCTTCTGTGATGAGATCAATCTTCCAGCCCCCGACAAGTATGGCACACAGAGAGCCATTTCTTTCCTTCGACAACTTGTAGAACAGAATGGATTTTGGAGAACTTCCGACAAGACATGGGTTACTCTAGACCGAATCCAGTTCGTTGGTGCCTGCAATCCTCCCACCGATGCTGGCCGTACTCCAATGGGCGCACGCTTCCTGCGACACGCACCGCTCGTCATGGTTGATTATCCTGGTGAACTTTCTCTTCAGCAGATTTACGGGACATTCAACAGCGCTGTTCTCAAGATCATTCCGTCGCTCCGAGGTTACTCTGAGTCGCTCACCAAAGCCATGGTTCAGTTCTATCTGGAATCTCAACAGCGTTTCACTCCAAAGATCCAACCTCACTACGTTTACAGTCCTCGTGAATTGACGAGATGGGTTCGAGGTATCTACGAGGCAATTCGACCACTCGAAACGCTGTCAGTGGAGGGACTGGTCCGCATTTGGGCTCACGAAGCCCTGCGTTTATTCCAGGATCGTCTTGTTGCAGAGGAAGAGCGCAACTGGACTAATGATGCCGTGAACCGTATCGCACTTGACTTCTTCCCGACAATTGAGCAGGACAAAGCTCTCGGAGGTCCAATACTGTTCTCCAACTGGCTCTCTAAGAATTATATGCCAGTCGACCGCGAGCAATTACGTGAATTTGTCAAGGCAAGACTGAAGACTTTCTGCGAGGAGGAAGTTGATGTTCCGTTGATATTGTTCAATGATGTCCTCGAGCATGTACTTCGTATCGATCGGGTCTTTAGACAACCACAGGGACATCTGATCTTGATTGGAGTCAGTGGTAGTGGAAAGACAACCCTGTCTCGATTCGTCGCTTGGATGAACGGGCTCAAGGTTTTCCAAATCAAAGTTCATGGAAAATACTCAGCAGAGGACTTTGATGACGATCTTCGAGATGTTCTTCGCCGCTCTGGATGCAAGGGCGAGAAGATCTGCTTCATTATGGACGAGTCCAATGTTCTCGACTCCGGTTTCTTGGAGAGAATGAACACTCTTCTGGCGAACGCTGAAGTACCAGGCTTGTTTGAGGGTGATGAGCTCGCGTCATTGATGACGGCTTGCAAGGAAGGTGCCCAACGCCAGGGTCTCCTTTTGGACTCACAGGAAGAGTTGTACAAATGGTTCACCGGACAGATTGTCAAGAACCTCCACGTTGTCTTCACAATGAATCCACCTGAGGATGGCCTGTCCTCGAAGGCTGCAACCAGTCCTGCCCTTTTCAATCGTTGCGTCCTCAATTGGTTCGGAGATTGGTCGGATCAAGCATTATTCCAAGTTGGTACTGAGTTGACGCAATCTGTCGACCTCGATAGGCCCAATTTTACAGCTCCCGATAGCATTCCTGTTGCATACCGAGACCTCATCCTTCCAGCTTCTCACCGTGCGGCGGTTGTCAACTCGATGGTGTACATCCACTACTCACTCCATCGCTTTAACATCAAGCTTCTCAAGCAACAGAACAGAGTCACTTTCCTCACGCCTCGCCACTTCTTGGATTTTGTCGCTCAGTATGTCAAGCTCTACAATGAGAAGCGAGAAGACTTGGAAGAGCAACAACGACATCTCAATGTTGGTCTCGAAAAGTTGAGAGATACCGTTGACAAAGTTCGGGACTTACGAGTCAGCCTTGCGGAGAAGAAGGGACAATTAGAGCGCAAGGACGCGGAAGCCAATGAGAAGTTGCAGCGTATGGTGGCAGATCAGCGAGAGGCTGAACAGCGGAAGACAACTTCTCTGGAGATCCAAGCAGCATTAGAAAAGCAGGAGGCAGAGGTCGCTGAGAGAAGAACATTGGTCCTGAACGACTTGGCCAATGCGGAGCCAGCAGTCATCGAGGCACAAAAGAGTGTCAGCAACATCAAGCGCCAACATCTGACGGAAGTGCGATCCATGGGTAATCCACCAGCAGGTGTCAAGCTTGCCCTAGACTCCGTTTGTACTCTGCTGGGTCACAAGGTAGACAGCTGGAAGACTATTCAGGGAATCGTTCGAAAGGACGACTTCATTGCCAGCATTGTCAACTACGACAACGAGAAACAGATGACCAAGAATCTTCGTGTCAAGATGCGGAACGAATACCTGTCCAACGAAGACTTCACATACGAGAAAGTCAACCGTGCCAGTAAGGCTTGTGGCCCTCTCGTTCAGTGGGTACAGGCCCAGGTCAACTACTCCGAAATTCTCGATCGCGTTGGCCCGCTTAGAGAAGAGGTTGGCATGCTAGAGGAGCAGGCACTACAGACCAAGGCTGAAGCACAAGCCGTTGAAAATACCATCAACACTCTCGAGCAGAGTATTGCAACCTACAAAACTGAATATGCTGCGCTTATCAGCGAGACGCAAGCCATCAAGACCGAGATGTCTCGTGTACAATTCAAGGTTGACCGAAGTGTTCGATTGCTCGACAGTCTCTCCTCCGAGAGAGTCCGTTGGGAGGAGGGTAGCAAGTCCTTCGAAACTCAGATTGGAACCCTGGTCGGTGATGTTCTTGTCGCAGCGGCTTTCCTAGCATACAGTGGTCTTTACGATCAGCAGTTCCGAAAGAATATGATGGAAGACTGGTTGCATCAACTCCAACTATCCGGTATCAATTACAAATCACACAATCCCATCACGGAATACTTGTCAACGGCTGACGAGCGACTCGGGTGGCAAGAGAACTCCTTACCTGTTGATGATCTTTGCACCGAGAATGCTATCATATTGAAGCGATTCAACCGATACCCACTGATCATTGATCCTTCTGGCAGAGTTACTGAGTTCCTCCAGAAGGAGAGCAAAGACAGACGCCTAACGGTTACGAGTTTCCTGGATGACTCGTTCACCAAGCAACTGGAGAGTTCCCTGCGTTTTGGAAACCCAATTCTCATCCAAGATGCAGAGTACCTCGATCCCGTGCTAAACCACGTCCTCAATAAGGAGTATCAAAAGACTGGTGGTCGTGTTCTCATTCAGCTTGGAAAGCAAGAAATCGATTTCTCTCCAGCTTTCAAGATCTACCTGTCCACCAGAGATCCATCAGCAACTTTTGCACCTGACATCTGCAGTCGTACCACCTTCGTCAATTTTACCGTCACACAAAGCAGTCTTCAAACCCAGTCCCTGAACGAGGTTCTCAAGTCAGAACGTCCTGACGTTGACGAGCGTAGATCCAACCTCATCAAGCTGCAGGGTGAATTCAAAGTCCATCTCCGACAACTTGAGAAGCGCCTGCTACAAGCTCTCAATGAATCTCGCGGCAACATTCTTGATGATGATAATGTCATTGAGACTTTGGAGACTCTCAAGAAAGAGGCTGCTGAAATTTCGGTCAAGATGAGCAATACGGAGGGAGTTATGGCCGAGGTCGACGAGATCACTCTTCAATACAACATCATTGCGCGATCTTGCAGTGCAGTCTTCGCTGTCCTGGAGCAGCTGCACTATCTCAACCATTTCTACCAATTTTCACTTCAGTACTTCCTGGACATTTTCCATTCAGTATTGCATGGCAACAAGCGATTAGCGGGTGAGACAAATCACAACGTACGCCGTGATTATATCATCGAGGAGCTGTTCATCACCACCTATCAACGCACATCGCTTGGTCTTCTCCAAAAGGATAGAATCACCTTGGCCATGCTCCTGGCACAAGCTGCACCCTACAAGATGAACAAGAGTCTCATCGACGTAATCCTAGACGAGAGTGTCGAAGGCACTGATGTCTCAACGGAGTCCTACAAGAAAGATGAAGTATTGGCAAAAGCATCAAAACTTCCGGTACTGAAAGGCAAGCTTGATGCTATTTCGTCTGATACTTGGGACCGTTTCCTCTGTGAGGAAATAGGAGAAAATTATGTTCCACAAATATGGGATCCAGACTCGGAGAAACGAGACCAAGAACTTCTGTCTCTGCTCCTCGTCAAGCTCTTCCGTCTCGATCGATTTGTTCCCGCCGCTGAACGCTTTGTGACCGCTGTGTTTGGATCCGGTCTCTTCGACACAAATGAAGACCTCAAGGAAATCGTCGAGCAGGTATCTGCAAGCCGCCCTGTCGCACTCTGCTCAAGTCCTGGCTTTGATGCCAGTTACAAGGTCGATAATCTGGTCGAGCGTTCGCGTGCCGCCTGTACCAACATCGCCATGGGTTCCAATGAAGGTTTAGCTACTGCCGATAAAGCCATCGCAAACGCTGCTGCGAACGGCTCGTGGGTTCTGATCAAGAACGTTCATCTTGCTCCAACGTGGCTGCAGAGTCTCGAAAAGCGAATGGACTCTCTCAAGCCACATGCCAATTTTAGACTCTTCTTGTCGATGGAGTCGAGTCCGAAGATTCCAGTGAATCTGCTCAGAGCATCTCGTGTCCTAATGTACGAGCAACCAGCTGGAGTGAGAGCAAATATGAAAGACTCCATGGCCTCGCTTTCCACGAGAGCTACGAAAAATCCAGTCGAGAGAACTAGGCTTTACCTCCTTTTGTCTTTCTTGCATGCTGTGGTCCAAGAAAGATTGAGATATGCTCCTAATCTGGGATGGAAGGGCTTCTGGGAGTTCAACGATAGCGATGTAAGTATCTTTATTTCTTGCCAAAAGTCGAGATATCAGTGCTAACAAAGCTTAGTATGAATGTTCAGCATTCATTATCGATACATGGGTAGAGTCTGTCGCTTCAGGCCGTACAAACGTCGCCCCCCAAAACTTGCCATGGGAGATGATTCGCACGTTGATCACGGAGACTTACGGCGGCAAGATTGATGACGAAGGTGACTTCGCCCGTCTCACACAACTTGTCAACACATTCTTAACTCCTGCTGCCTACGATATCGGTCACAAGCTCGTCGAAGGCGTTACGGGTAATGGTGTAAATGGACTGGACGGCAGCTTGGTCGTGCCCAGCGGGACTACTCTCAAAGACTTCACGGACTGGATCAAAAAGCTGCCAGAACGCGAACCGCCTACATATTTGGGCCTGCCAGCCAATGCGGAGAAGCTATTACTTGTTGGACAGGGTTTGAGCATGATCCAGAACCTGGGGAAGATTACGGAGCTGTTGGATGAAGGCGAGCAGCTAATGGCTGAGGCGTCATGAGTGAGTGATGAGGATATTGTGGAAGAGGGAAGACTGTAATTTTCTGGTCTAGCTTGAGAGCAGATTGGTCGTTGTGCATTTGCGATTTTGTTTTCTCTGCCATGCATTGCTTGCGGAAATTGTATTCGGGCTGTATTGATTTGAAAGGGATGGGCACAGGACGGAAATCTGGCGGTCATTCATTGTTATTATTATACCCACAGTCTTGCTCTGCATTTGTTCTGCATTGCATAGACCTTCAGATTACAATTTCTTTTTGTGCAAATAGTTGTAGCATAGCATGCGTCTTTGGCGTTTTTGCCAAATATATTGTGTTTTATCAAATATTTGCGTGTTTAGTTCTTACCTGCTGGTTTGTGAGTACAGCAGAATCGTACTAAATCATGGTATCGATCAATATTGAACAACCGCCCTCGTCTTGCTTGCCCCCGCGCCTCGAATTATCCATTCAGTATGACATCAGCCGCCTTTTCACTAATCATCATGATCGGCGCCTGGATAAATACACCCGGAATACGAGGAAACACACTTGCATCCACGACCCTCAAACCCTGCACGCCTCTCACTCTAAACTTCGAGTCCAGTACCGCCATCGGATCGTCATCCGCCCCGATAGGATTGGTACAGGACGCATGATGTCCCCAGGCCCTGTCTTTGATATACTGGCCAAGAGCCTCATCCGAAGTGACATCTGGGCCAGGTTCCTCCTCCACAAACGCATCTCCTAGAAGGATGGAGTATTTCTTGTACTCCTCTAAAGCCTGCCTCGACATCTTGATAGCCTGGATCATGGCCCTGAGATCCAAATCATCTGCACCGCCCGTAGTAGTCCCTGTATCAAAGTAGTTGAAGTTGATGAGTGGCGTATCTAACGGGTCGCTGGATCTTAACTCAACAGTCCCAGCACGGTTGCGAGTGTGTGCTTTCAGCGTGTACCACGAGAAATGTTTATGATCCGCAATAGCATAATCACCCCACTGTGGGAAGTAGCCTATGAAGTTGACAGGACCGCCAAAGATAAACATATCGACATCAGTCGTGGACGCGAAATCAGATCTCACGGCCATGGTAGCAGCCAACCCATTCGTAGCATAAGCACCTCTGCTAGCGAGTAAATACGGATTGTTCTGCCATCTTGTCAAACACTGATCCTCGGGCTTGTTGTCGAAAGTGCAGCCGTTCAGGATAGAGAAATCAGTCCCATGTTTGACATTCACCCCGATTTCGTAGCGGTCTTGCATATTAGTGCCGACGCCTGGGAGGTCCTTGATTACCGGGATGTTGAACTTCTGTAACTCTGCTCGCGGACCAATACCACTGAGTTTCAGCAATTGAGGAGTGTTGAATGCTCCACCTGAGAGGATAACTTCCTTTGTAGCTCTAGCCGTTCCAGGAGTCCCAGCGGCGCCACTCAAAGGACTTGCTCTGTAAAGCTGCTTCCCATCGAGGAACTCGACACCGGTGGCGACAGGTGTGCTGCCGCTGGTGTTGAAAGTGACCTTTGTCACGAAGCAGTTTTGGCGGATGGTCAAGGGATATCCACCTTGCACCGTAGCAGCGATGAAGTCTCGAACTGAGGTACGCATTCCAGTTTTCATAATCAGTGGGATTTGGAAGAATCCTTCTGTTGAGTCACGAGCTGGGTTTGCTCGGCCGTTTGGATCGACAAGCAATGTTCCTAGAAGTCCGGTCACAGCGTTCAAAGGATCTGGTCCGAATCCCATGACTGCTGCTCCCCCAGCTAAATGCTGAGTGAGTTTGAGATCACGGAGAAGAATCGTAGGGTCAGTCGGTTGCGTTGGCTGCCATTCGTAAACTTTATTGAGGTACTTGTTCATGTTCGTCGCAGCCCATGAATTGTCGCCTGTAATCGATGCAATACCGTCCCAATCACTCGCATGTGGCGTTATAAATATAAGGGCGTTATGAGTGACGCATCCTCCAAGTGTTCCTGCTCGAGGGTACAGAATTCCAAGTGCCGTTGCGTCAGATGGCGGATTGGGACCAACATGGTAAGTGTATGGTGCGGTCTCATAAGAATACTTCGGGTCCCGCCGCGCTCTTGTCTGATCTTGGTAATGGTTGACGAAAAAGTCCCAGCGTAACTTTGGATCTTGTGTTACAACGCCTTGATAACCCGGAACTGTGATGTTGACGTTGCCATTCTGAGTTCTCGGTTAAACAGGGGGTGTTGGACGCTTAGCCAAGCACTCACCTGGTCATCACCTGCTTCGATCAAGAGAGTCTTATGTCCTGCCATGGCCAGACGACATGCCAGCGGTCCACCCCCGGCACCAGATCCAACAACAATATACTCATACTCAAGATTCACGGCTGCTGCTGGGGCAGCGGCTAAGAAAGGCGCGATAGCTGCCAGCAGCACAGGAAATACACTCCACGACTTCATGGCGAAGAATCGGAGAACTGGAATTCGAGGAAGATTACAAGAAATCAGCGACCCAGAAATAAATCGTTCACTTACAAGCGGATCATCTGTTTCTTAAAGAAGCAGTCAAATGGGTGCACGCTTCGGGATTAGTTCCAGGTACCCCCGTACGCTACGTAGGGGTTGTGTAGATCGAATTGAATGTCTTGCCCATGACAAAGGACGATGCTCCACCAGCTGATGGATTTCTCCGACCTTGCATCACCACGCACGCTAACTTTCGTACTAGAATTTTGATATTGGCCTGAGTTCCGATCCCAGAGTTCCTGGTGGTGGCGACCATTCTCATCCCCAAGGCTTGTTCTATGTCATGGCCTCGGTAGCTCTAAGTATTGCAAAGCACCAGCAGAGCCTAGCTACTTTGAAGTGCGGGATGCATAAGAGAGTCAGGTTCGCCGACCTCGGCTTTTTGACCTGTTCGTCCCCTCCTTCCTGTTCAGGACGAAATTTGCTTGGTTGGTGTGGGCTCCTGGTGCGCATGGATAGGCTGAAGTGGGTCATGCCATGTACTCAACTGTTGTTGTAACTTTCAGCTTTAGCTTTGTAGAAAGCTAAGACTATCCCATGATATCAGCGATGAAATAGTAGACAAGTAGGGCGTCTGTTCTAAATGGCAGGTCTAACATCTAGTTTGGATAAACTCCACGGCAATTGCTTTGGCGGAATCTGAAGCCAGCCACAGTGTCGGCCAAGCCTCCGAAAATGGACAGCTTGGGGTTTGCTCCACCAGCAGTGTCCAAATTCACATCGCGGAGGTAAAAGTGCCGGGAGAAGGATGTTTTCCTGGAATTGTTAATTGTTGTTTGGTCTTCAGACAGCCTGTTCATGTTAAGGGACCCAGGATGATTGAAAATTTGTTCGTGGTAAACCGGTAGTTTCGCCTTTTCCCTGAGTGGATGCTATCTGTTCATCTGAGTGGATAAAAAACAAAGCTCCAACCCCGCTTCCCCAAATATTCTTGAATTTTGTCGCCAATTCTCCAATTTTCCAATTCATTCCCGAATATGGAACGAAGTCATCATCAGACGACCGACCTGAGTCGTAAATTCAGGCTTTCCAGGCTTTCACATGTACTTTTATGTTCACTCGTTGTACTTCCTCGGTACTGACATTCGAATCATACTGTTCTGTAACGTCCCACCCCACCATTCCGCCCACCCCCCTATTCCGGCCACCTCGCTTAACTCACCGCCAGTTCTTCCTACCTACTTCAATAATTATTAATTCCATTATTCCTTAATAGATTTCTTTGATATTTAGAATATGAATTGATCTTATTATAAAGCCTTAATATACCAAGTATAACGTCATATGTGCACTTAGGGACGTAGCAAATAGCAAGTCCTTACGGAAGGCATCGCTTAACTAGGGTGTTCCAAGGTCTACACTTCGTGACCGTAACATAACGACTCTATCATATAAGGAAGCTGTAAGTTACTTACAAAGACTCCCTATAGTAGTAGAGAATCGTTTAACTAATTAGGTTCTTACTTAAGAGTCTCTTAGCTATAGAGTTACACACACACAGATTCGGGTTTTTAGAGAGAGGCTTCTAGCTTTACAGGGAGACTACCGACTACTTAGGAAACACTAGATAACTCGATTTCTAGCACGTAACCCTATTCTAAAGACTAAGAAGCAAATATACGTTGATTCCGTACATATCAATTGCGCTTATTCCGAAGTTATATAGCCGTAGTTCTAAAAACTAGAGATTCCGGCTATTAAAGCGATTCCAGCTCACTAACGATAGAATATAGACGAAACAGGTATTATAAAAGGTTATAGTCTTAATGGACTTATTATAGGGAGTACCGAATCTCGTAAGATACAAGGGAAACAGCCAGGTATACGTGTTTAGACGTCAATTATTAAGTGTATATCTATAACAGCTAGTTCTATATACTCAGCTGTAATATACAAGGGAAAATCAGTCTAACAATAGTGGTTTCCGTCTTAATTAGACCTATTCGATCAGTAGCACTTTACTACCACTGAAAATAGGTAGACAACTAATACTATAGCTCTTAAGTAGCTAGAGAAAGTCTTTATCCCTTAAACGTAACCACGTAATAATTCAGCAAGGCTTCTTATTCTAGACAGCTATAGGAGTCACGAAACTACAGAATTCCTTTGGAAATGCCTTAAAAACAATATCTACCTTCTGTTCCTACCTGCATATACGTCACACGTTCTATAACCTCTTAATCTAACAGTTTTCTCTATTCTTAAACGTTCCTACCGGAAAGAACTTCAAAAGTTAAGTTCTCTAATCGATTCCACTCTAATTAGTAAGCGCAATTTCCTTATATACTACTATAAGGCACGGCAAGAGAGTTTTACCCTATCTAATATTAAGGCTAGGTAGAGAACTACAGGGTTATAGCCGGTATCAGTTGTAAAGCTATTGATAAGCCCTTTACTATTAGAAAACAATAACAAATCGATAGATCTAACTTCTCTAAGGCCTTAAGATACACTAGTACTACCTATAAAGGTTTCTAGCACGTTAATTAAGATACAGACTCCGAAGGCTAGAAAAGAGATCTACTTATAACTACACTCCTTAATAGCTAGGTTACATAACCAACTTTCAACACGTCGTTTACTTTTTAGGAAGGTTTTAAAAGGATTTAATAAGAAAGACTATAAATTAAGGCAAGTAAATATAAGGATTAAAGAGTTAGAGGCACGATTAGAGCGATTAAGACTAAGGAAAAAGAGGAAGGTTCAAATAAGCCCGAATTCTAAGTTTATTATAACACGTGCTATTAGGGAAGCTTAAATTACAGCTAGAGAATATCAAATTGTACCTATAGAACCGGAATAATAAGAAGAATCATATTCTATAATATCTAATTAAAAAGATAACACAATATAGAGTTATTAAGTGTTAAATAGGAAATACGGAATATAAGCGAGGTGGCCGGAATAGGGGGGTAAGCGGAATAGTGGGGTGGGACGTTAGAGCTAATATTCCACTTGTCGATCAAAAGGCGGGGAGGCCACATTTATTTTAGGAATAGCTTCATCTGAGTGCCGGTCTGGGCAAGATCATCGCTCTTGGTAGATTTCTTCAGCATAGGCTTGCTTAGTCCTTCTTCCTTTATTCCATTAGCACTCAGTTGTCTTTCGGCGTTAAGAAGACTAGAAACTTCCCACGCTGACAGCACGTTTTCGATACCATGTTTATTAGGCACGGCAAATTCCATGGCCTTCGACCTGTCGATCTCTTCGAGAAGCCCAAAGGTCCCATCTAGCTCTTCGTTAATTCCAACTGCCAAAGGTCTCTACATTGACCTATCCTGGATGTCATAGGATAATGATATCAATGAAAGGCGGCGTCGGCAAGGATTTCCTGTTGCCAGTTGCACTGGTAGACGATCCGAGCCATTTTGTCTCAATGTACCGAAAGAAAAAGACTAGGAAACAAGCAATAGTACTATTCTCCATTTCATTAGTGGTCGAAAAACGAGGCTCCATGTGAGAGAAGTTTGTTGTTATTTGGGAAGACACTCACTCCGCTGCCGCCGATGGCTGTGCGAAACCATCAAGAATCGGAGGACACGAGGTACCAATCTGCCACAATCCTTCCTAGTGCATATTTTCGTGCTTTCCCTCTTCGCTGAGTTGGCTCTTTTCTATCCTTTCGTTACAAGCCAGCCTGTATCCAAAAAACACATTCCTCGAAAGGCGTCAACAAATTAACTTCGCATTTGACACCCAAAGGAAGTTTTCCAGAGGATTGTGCTCTTGCAACCGTGTCACAGAGTGGAGGTGCCAATCCAGGCGCGCCACTGAACTGCCCAGAGGGCTTGGCGAAGTTCAGATACCTTCAAAGTAGAGGAGATGGCTCCAACTTGTAAGTGCCTGATAATTTTTGAAAACCAAAGCAAAGACTAACGGCTTGGAATTCCCTCCGTACATCCAAGCCGGTAATCTTACTACAGCAAAGCCATCTGATTTTGCCTGTCTTCTGTGCCAATTCGTTGCTGGTCCACTTCCGTCCTCCAGCTTGAATGGACTCGTTACACCGGCTGTGACTGCCTTACAATCTGCGGTTACTGCTATTAGAAGAGAATGATTTACGTTTACGAAGTGAGAGATTTCCCTTGGAGTGGTCGGTTAGAACACGTGATGTTTTCATTCGGTCCTACCTAAGGTACCTAGAGCTAGAATGCTCTGCCGTGGAGCGTACTGTCTCACCGGCGGATGTACGAGATTAAATCCAAAAGATTAATCCTACTAATCTCACTGTTGACGGCCCTTGCCAATCCTTATTATTGACGTGCTCCTTGACTTCCACGTGACATGCACTCTCCACGATTACCCAATTCCAAGATCTACCTAACATCCGCTTCGTTTTCGTTCTCTTGGTCTGATTCCAGTCTCTACCGATATTGATTCTATACAACCTCAGGGTTAGATCCACTCGCAGACAACTATAATCATGACAGCTCAAAATCATCCCGCTCAGCCGCAATTTCCATTGGCGGCCCGTCGCGGGCGGCCATTTGGCCCCCAAAATCTCTATTCCACAGCCTTGCGCCTCGAGCCTTTAACATCTCGACATCTTGAGACTTTACAGCTCAAGAGACCTGACATCTCCGGAAATTTGCATCTCAAGCTCATCGTGGTCCGGTATCCATCTCTGTAGTCTGCTCCGTCATGTGGCTCATCAACACAACGACCATCCAGCTTGAGGAGTTCTTCGGATCCGACACACCAAGATACGCCATTCTATCTCACACTTGGGAGGAAGAGGAGGTCTCCTTCCAAGAATTCGGATCTCAATCCTCAGTCCTGAAAAAAGGCTGGTCCAAGATCACGAAAACTTGCACCAAAGCACTCCGTCACGGCTACGAATATGCATGGGTCGATACGTGCTGCATCGACAAGAGGAGCAGTGCCGAGCTGACCGAGAGCATCAATTCCATGTTCAAGTGGTACCAAGATGCCGGAGAGTGCTACGTGTATCTTCCTGATCTTCCACTAGACACGCCAGCCGAAGAAGGATTGAAGAATTGCCGCTGGTTTACGCGAGGATGGACGCTGCAGGAGTTGATAGCTCCTAGGAAGATACGATTCTACGATCAGAATTGGAAAATGCTTGGAACGAAGAGGGAGTTTGCAGAATTGATCTCGAGGATCACGGGTATCAGAGTACCTGTTTTGAGACTAACGAAAGGTCCCGAGATGTATTCCATCTCGACAAGAATGTCCTGGGCAGCGAACCGAGAGACAAAGCGTGTCGAAGATATGGCGTACTGTCTCCTGGGCATATTCGATGTTACCATGCCGATGCTCTATGGCGAGGGTATACGAGCCTTTGGTCGATTGCAGGAGGAAATTATCAAGCGCAGCAACGACTTGACAATATTTGCATGGTAGGTTTGAATACCACGTTAAATTCCTAGAGACATTCCTTCGTCTCTTCCCAAGACATTTGGGGAGTAGCAATTAATAACTCCATGTTCACCTCCAGGACCAAGCCCGAAGGTCAAAGTGAAGTTGCAGCGGGAGCACTATTCGCACCATCTCCTGCCTGTTTTGCCCAAACTGGCGACATCAACAGTTTCGGCAGACGGTACATGGATCTCGACTTCGTGTTAACAAACAAAGGCCTGCGAATTGACAAGTGCGTCGACGTCCACGAAGTCATCCCAAAGACCGATACCAGCACACCTCATGCCACCGGGTTTGTTCTGCCTCTTGGCTACCGCAAGACAGCAGGGCAAGCGTCTGAAGAATACGATATTTACCTCAACCTCTGGAAAGTCGGGCCGAACAGTTTCCTTCGAGAATCCATCTCGCGACGACCAGATGGCTGTAAATTCGTCCCTTCGCCTATGCCCATGTTTTACATTGCCTCGGATACCCATGATTTTCTCTACTTCAAGCTCTCGAAGCTGCGGAACGCCGTACACTTTCCACGGAAAGACAGCTTGCGGATCCAGAATACAATTCCTCAAAGCCACTGGGATCACTCAAGACAGCTATTTTTTGCCCCAGCAGAAAGTGTCGATCTGGTTCTTGCGGCTTCGATCACTGTTACCCTAGCGCCCGGTCTTGAGGCGCAGATGATTCTCTGCGTGGATTTCTCGCGATCTAAGTCTGGGTATTTGGAGCCTCGATGCTTGATCTTTGACGAGAAATCTCATGGTCATATCTCGGTTTGGCTGTTTCATCATAGGAGACTTGGGTATAATGGCCATGATGCTACTTGGAGCGATGTCCGAGAGAATGTGAAGGAGATGCTTGATTTTACCAATTGTATCCAGGTTTCCGTAGGAGGCTCGAGCTTCGCTGTGAAAGTTACGCTCGTAAAGGGTGTTGTTGAGTCTATTTTCGATGAGCCTATATATTCTGTGGACTTTACTATAGATAAGGTTCCTTAGATTACTTGGTCCGAAGCTTGACATTTATTAAATGCGCGGGATACCAGGCCCATGGCTATCTGAGGAAGTCAAAAGAAATAGAGATAAATCTTAGTGGCATGTAGTGCAGCGTCAAAACAGGTCCGCCTTGGACATTTAGGATCTGGAGAATTACGGACTGGTATGAAGGACGGGTCTTCTTCCCGCAACAATGGTGAACCTCGACAGGTTTCTGCGTGTAGATTATGTTACAAATTTGAAGGATTGTGAAGAAACTTCCATCGGAATTTAAAAATGCCAGGCACTTTCCAAGACATGCTTAGATCGACAAGACAGTGAAAATAGAATTCAAACACTTGTTTTCAATACTCGCATTACAACAATATACATTTGACATCTTCAAACTATCGACGTCGCAGCTCCTATCCGCGATCTATGCATATGGAAACACCTCCCATGCATCAACGAACATCAACATCAAGCAATTCGCTTAGACAAACATATTTTGAATTCCCACCCAGACACCTCAGCCGATAGATGCCCTTCATTACCCTAGCCTTTAGAGGCATGCTTACAGCATAAGAAGATCTCCGTTGGAGCCACGTCCCATTGTAGGTTGGTAGACCTGCTCAGGCGCACTCTGATTAACCACATACTGCATCTCTCCTCTCCCTACGACTGGACTGCCTCCGAACCCATCGTCGTTGCTACCATTGATGTTCATGGCAGCCATTTGGTGACTGCCGACACCAGCGAAGAATTCATCTGCTGCATCGACAGCCGCTGCAAGGTCCCCATTCTGGGGTGGCCGAACTGTTGGTTGGCCCCCCATGCCAAATGTGGAGAGAGACTTTTGCCCATCGAGACCATTGGCAGTAGGGAGCATGTGTTTCTGGAGAGCTGGACTGTCTTGCAGTCTTCGTGGTCGAGCAGAGCGGAAAACTTGCTGAACGGGCTTGAGGTACACTGTTGCTAGGGTGCCAACATTCAAGCACATCTCTTCCAGTGTGGCCGGATCCAGTTTCTCAGATTCGGCCGTGATCGGTGGCTTCTCGCCCATCACGATGGATTTTGCAGTAGCCATATCTGATGAAAGAAGACGCCAGTACATGTAACCTCTGTCTCTCAAATCTGGATTGTCTGTATCTTCCGTCGCCCACTTCAGCACTTTCGGAACGAGATCTTGGCCTTTTGTTGGCCGTTGTATGAAGAGTTTGACTGTAGCCGTGAGGAGTGCAAGCTGGACCTCAACGGGCTCATCTGCAAATGAATACAGGAAATCCTCAAGGAGAACATCCGAATTCTCAATTCGCGATGCGTACTGTCCGATAACCCAAATCATAGCCGCCTTGGCTTCTGGCTCATCCAGAGAATCAAGGTTCTCGCATAACGTTGAAATGATCGACTCGTATTGATTGGGATATTTTCGGAAAATGTTCCTGATCACGACTGTCGCTTCTTGGACAATGTACGTAACCTTTGTTGCCACGAGTTCCAATAAAGTGTTAATACACCTCCTCGCAGCAGGCTCAATCTTGATGGCCAGTTTCCCAATAGCTCGTACAGATTTCCGGACGAAATGAACATCAATCTCTGTCGCGTATTCTCTCAACTCGGTCAACACTTCTTCGATGTTCTTCTCGCTTGCCAGCATGAATATCAATTCAAGCTTGGTAACCTTGACATAAATGGGGTCGTTGTACTTGCAGAAAAATACTCGAATATCATTCCTCAGCACTTCTGGTCGTCGCTGCAAGATTAGTAGTGCATTTCTTAGCGCAAGATACTGCACTTCTGGCCCCTTTGCAAGCAGCGTTACCAGAGGAGGCGAGAGCTTGCGGCACAGTATGGAGATCTGCTTTTGATCCGCAATGTAATTCATGAGATAGAGAATTACTCGTATGCAAGTAAGCACTACCGCAGAATTCGAATGTGACAGTCGTGGGGATATTCGCTCGGCTAGTAACAGGGCCTCGGAAGACTCTTGAGGGACATAGGACATCAAAGCTTCCAGGATATATGTTTGCCCCCACCTGTAGAGAGTTAGCTGCGTCTACCCAGCACGGCGCAAAACACTTACTCTGAACAATCCGGCAAGATCTGCACCATTTTCGAAGCATTCCCATAATCGATTGTCAATTTGATCGCGTCGCTTCTTTCCCAAATATCCATCAAGCTCGCCAGAGCACTCGCCACAACCGTCGGATTATCGTCTCTCAACATCGAATTCAGCCGATCAATAAGATCTGATGCTTCCACTAAATGTCGGTCGTGATCATATAATTTCGCGACGCAGAAAGCTGCTGTTTTCCGCACATATGGGTCTGCATCTCGTAGGAGGAGTTTAGTTGGAGGAACGGTGGCTTCGACAAATTCGCGAACGTGGATATATGACATGGTTCGTAATGCCAAAGCTCTGACCAGAGGATTCGAATCGTTCATGTCCTAGACACAATCAGTTATTGATATCACTTGACTCTAATTTCCATACCTCTTGTAATGTAGGGAGGGCTTTCAGCGCAACTTCTGGCTTCATGCGAGCATAGTTCACAAGAAATAAGAAGCACCTATGGCATTTATCAGTACGACTCCACATCAGCACATAGTATCCGCAACCCACATCTTCTTGATTTCCAAACTCGGTATTTGCATACACCCCACAATATCTGGAAACAAAGCCACCATGTCGTTGTTGCTCATGGTCATATTGGCCACGATCTTCTTGAGGGCGATCTTCTTTGCCGCATGGTTCTTGTCCTTCTTTCCCCCGCTATTCAACTCCAATCGTAATTCGGCGACTTTGCCCTGTGCAGAACGCAAGTATGGTGAGCCACCAATTCCATAGCCCATGGGAGGGATGTAGTGAGGGAGGAACATTGCCATGAGGGCAGGGGAGGGAGACCGTCGTGTGAGCTGATATGGGGTAGATCAATCACTCGAGGTGGGATGTTGGCGCCGTCAAAGCATGATAGGTAATTGGAATGTGGTGGCACAATGTGCGCGTTGCAGTACAGTACAAGGACAATAGAACGGGGTATAGTCTGTGGTGAAAAGAATAATAGCAGCGCAAGGGACAGAGACAGACGGATGTTATAGGACAGTACGTACTCGAGCAAAGAGCTTCGCATCTCCGCCGCCTGAACTCATGATGAGAAGAGGGAGGACGCCTCCTCACGCTTGCCGTCGCAGATAGGTGTGGCAGATAGTCAATATTGGTACTCTGCTGTCGGGGATAAGGTGCTGCTGCTACCCCTCCACCGTCGACCAACGGGAATCGACTCTTGGAATAGGACAAGACGCAGAAGCCGTCACATGCACTGCGCCAAATAGATTTGATGGATCACCTCCAGCACAGAAGTCCGCAGCGTTGTAGACGGTGCTCCATGAGTCCAGGGGGTATTTGAGGATATATTTCGAGGTTCGGCAGCGCTCAGCAGCTTTTTTGAGACGTGGTTGAAGCTTCGAGGGTCCAATAGGAGAGGTACGGAGGAGGAGCACCCACTGGTAGCTTGACTAGACTGGACGTGCCAGGGTCTGATCTCGCTGGTGCTGACGAGACGAACACCCGCGATTCAAGCGCGCCGCCTGCTGCGATCGAACATCAATCAATGATTGACGACTGTCACTCCTCAACACCACGACGGCAACGGCTTCGGACATTAATATCGCAAAGTATCTTGAGTATTGCGCTCAGTAGAATCAGATATGGCCGTCCCTCCGCCACCACAATGGGTTCTTGACCTCAACTCTCCCCCCACCGCGAAATCAAAATTTCCAAGCATTCCGGACCCCCCAGGATTTACAGCAGCAGCAGGAAACAAGGCATGTCTCCTTGTTTTTTCAGAAGACATTTGACTGACCGGAGATAGAAGCAACAATCCTCCTCATCCTCCTCCAAAGCCGCCACAGTCCGCGCCGCTCCCACAACCGCCGAGATGGACACCTTGAAGCTCAAGAAGGCATGGGAGGTAGCTCTGGCACCCGTCAAGCAATTACCCATGACAGCAATCATGATGTACATGTCTGGAAACTCGCTGCAGATATTCAGTATCATGATGGTGGTTATGGCGTTCAAGAATCCATTCATGGGTTTACTGGCTACCAATCAGGCATTTGAGAAATTCGAGAGCCCCGGGACGAACGGACAGCTGTTGATGGTGAAGGCGGTTTATGTGGCGATGCAGATTTTGGCGTTGGCTTTGGGCGTTTGGAAGGTGAATGGGATGGGACTTTTACCGTGAGTTTGATTGCGACGATAGCTGTGGGATATTTGCTAATGATTCACAGGACTACGAGATCAGATTGGTTGGCTTGGGAGACAAGGAGAGTACCCATGGAGACTGCGATTCCAGCATTCTGAGTTGGTGTGAATATAGACCGACGATGGAGAAGCGTTTATGTGATTTGGGACATACTTACCCAGCTTCAGCATTAGCCTTACTGAACTCAATACAAAATTCGCTACAAAACTCCCCCCGATATATCTACTCTAGGTGAACATTGCAATCTGTATTTCGGTCAAGCGAGGTATAGATACCGGCATAGATATTCATTTGCCCATGCATGAATTCCACCTGAGCCTGAGAAACACCTTACTGGCATGGCAACCAATACTGGTCTGACCAGCTATTTTTTCCGGAATTCCACATTGAAAAGTAGTCAGACGAGGTAAGTACCGTTCAATAAAACCAATGTGACTCCATCATAAGGAATCAGAAGTACAGGACGGGGGAAGTGAACTTGACAGTCACACGGGTCTTGACAGTCGCAACCTCCAAACAATGACGGTGACAACATCGTACATACTAGGACCCAGCTGGGGGTCCCATTGACGGTGATGATGAAATAGACATACCTGCCAGTATTAGTCAATCAGAATTGTTTCAATCAGGTATAGTTCCAGGTATACCAATCCGACTCTAGCTTGAGTTTCCGAGATAAATCTGATCTGAAGCAACATATTTGTGAGCGTAGGCTTGCATATCTATAAAGACCTGCATACTCCCAAAACTGGTATAAAGGGAAAGTGGACTTGAATATGCCATCTATGGTCTTTGATCATCGTGAAGTAGCAGTTGAAGGAAAGTATGACATCTCATCAACTTCTGATCAAGGCGTGCTCCCCTGCGAATCAGTACTAATGTATAAGTCTTAGATTGGGCATCTCCTTTCGTAGTATAGCCCGCCACAGCACCAGAGTTTACTTGGGTGGAGATGAGAAGCTTCCATGCTCTTTCTGGTGTGCCAGGAGCGTTGAGAGAGGGCTTTGAGAAAGAGTTGTGCGGTGGCTCTTGTTTCCTCAATTGATGGATAGCAGAGCTAGAATCATTTGTCTTGCAAGTAAGAGAGGTGACAGCTGCATATCAAGCGGCAGTATCACAATGTTTTGGCGGCGAATAAAATCACTTAGATCCGAGCAACCAAGAAACGAAGGAAACCTTCCAACCTGGTCAGGTAAGCATGCTTCATAACGTTGCATAGGCTTTTTATGAAGATTGATTCATAAACATATAAGAATGTACTGACCTCATCTTGGAGACAGACCCTTCACCTAAATCCACCAGGTACTTTTCGGAAATCTTGGCATGCCTGTTAGGCGCCAGGCATTGACATACGACCAATACCCTTAGACAGTCTCAAATCTGTAATTGTATTGGTGACGATTCTAATGTCTAAAAACATAATGGTAATCTCCAGAACTTTGCCTCGACATCATAATATCTACAAAAGGCACAGCTTCGGTTCGGCTCATGCGAGTTTAAATCCTCCAGGAACCAACTTCTGAAACACCCCAGCAGGATCATACTTCTTGCTGACAGCACGAAGCTTAGCCACATTTGCAGCCCCATAACCCTTGATTGGATCTTGCGTCTTGTACGCATAGTTGAGATACTTGTACGAGTTTAGCTGTCCCTTTGAGGCAGCCAGCGCATCAGCAGCGGCATAGAATCCAGAAACGGCAGCCAGAACAGCCGCGTCGTCAGCTGTGCTTGTCCAACTGGCGGTGATGAGTCCAACTACAAGATATTAGTGTCATGTATAGAATACGGGATTCATATTGAGGTGAGCTTACGAACGAGATTGCCATCTGAGCCGTCAAGTCCGAGAGGGTTGCCGCCAGTTGCAGCACTCTTTGTGGTGATTGCCGTGACCAGAGGCTGCAGACTCAAACTCCATGCTAGATCTGGTACGCTTGCAACTGTTTCCAAGGACTGCTCACTGAGTGCAACAATGTCTGTCAAAAGTTGGAGATCATTGCTCCAGGTGCTGGTGTAAAAGAGTTGCTTCCTGGATCCGGCATTGGAAGCGGCGATCTCGAGTGTGAAGTCGGTCAAATTGGAGATCCTCATGGTACTGACGTACTGCGGTTGAATGGCCAAGAAGTCTTGAAATACCGGAGGATTGACCTCAGGCTTTGTGTACTCAATATTGTTCGCGATGATCCAACCACCACTGGCTGCTGACCAGGCATACGAATGAATCAGGGCTCCGTAAACATCGTAGGTTGATTGTCCGGCAAACTTGACGAAGGCAGCTAAGTTCTCTGCTTTCGCAGAGATAGGGTATATCACAGAGCCTCCCCAGAAGTTGCCGCTGCTGAAAGTGACGAGGTCGAAACGAGTGACGATACCAAAGTTGTTGGATCCTCCTTTCAGAGCAAAGAAGAGGTCAGGACGTGATGTGGCGCTTGCTTTCACTACCGATCCATCGTAGAGGACGACTTCGAAGCTGACGACATTGTCGGCTGCAAAGCCGTAGCGTGCGGAGAAGAATGAGATTCCACCTGGAAAGAATGTGAGTGAGAACTAGGCGAGTGCAAGTGATCATTTACCGCCAGTTACAAGCCCTCCGACACCGACGGTGGCAGCACGACCTCCGATTACCGCGAGAGACAGAGCATCAAGTTTCATATAAACATCCACCCATCTTGCTCCAGGGCCAATAGAAGTAGTCTTCTGATCAGCGGCAACTGTCACTTGGTTGATAGCGGATAAGTCAATCTGAATACCAGATTGGATTGTAGCCGCTCCTGCCCAAGGAGTATGTCCCCCACTTCGAATAGCGAACTGGCATTGAAGCCCCAGAACTCTGAGTAAATTGATTGCCGCAACAGTTTGAGAGACCTGAACAGTCGTGGTGGGGGATACCACACAGCTAGGAGCTGCACTCTGGGCTTGAGAAGACCAGTAAGACGATGATGAAGTCTGGTATTTTGTCGACCCTGAACTTGAAACCAACGAACCAAAGCCGAGCTTGAGCAGCGTACACTAGTTCAAACCAGTCAGAACACACGCCAGTGACTTAATCTTCATCTCGAACAGAACTTACACAAGCAGCACCGATGTTGTTATTGGTTGACTGTTTAATCTCTTGCACACGCGATTGGGTGATAACAGATGCAATATCAGCAGGAGCTGCATAAGATCCATGAAGTAAGGCACCGAACGTCAGAATAAGAAGCTGCAACCATGGTTGGCTTGTGACGAGTGTGAAACGCATATCTCCTCCTGGATTTCCGGTTCAAAGGAATGATTTGATACAACAGAAGTTTGAAAGCACACACTTGAAAGATGAGCCAGAGATACCGGTCTTATGCCATACGGGCTATTGATTTCCATCTTCATCAAGACCACGTTGATGCCGTCTTGCAGCATCCCTTGCAGAAGAAATTGTTCGTCCCCGCGGATGTTCGTCTGGAACAGGAAGGCCATTGTGGTAAAGTGGTTGTTGATCCATAGCTGCCCCTGAAAAATGATATGTATGCCCCTACTAGCCCCCTGTTAGCAAGGGAGAAAGAACGAATACGATTCGCACATCTTTACCTGTCACAAAACACTGACGCCACCACCATTCGCTGAACCTTCCGACTGGACACAACTGAGGCCTAGCCTTGATCTCGCTTATTTTATTTATTCTTCAGGGACAGAAGGGATGCAGTGTTCCGCGACACTTTATCATCTGCTTTCTGGCAACACGGTGACAAATGGTCATGGAGATCTTGAAATTTCAGACTTGATACCGAGACGTTGAGTCGACACGCCGGTTCTTGCTGATTAAGGCAAAACTAACACCTTGTTATCAAGCGACTCCAGTCTCTCTATCTTCCCCACGGCCCCCACGAAGGGACGGCACGCACCGACATTCTCGAACGGTTCTTCAATCTAGACTGCCTGTGCCGCACTCCTAACCCGTTGATTTACGGCAGGACCTCCAAGGTTCTCATGTACGCATGCATGTTTTACTGGTTTACTCATTTGCTAGCAATTTCGTGTCGGTCAAAGTTTTTCCACGAAGGAAGGGTCCAAGAAATCCGTCACCTCAAAAGGCAAATATCACGTCGTATGGGCCGGCGATCTCATCCGGGCAACCTTCTCGGGACACAATTCCGAGATACATATTAGCAATAGCCAATTGAGTACGACGAACCTCGACATACCAACAAAATGCCCCACAGTGCATGAGGGAATTTTGATTCTTCAACGGCTGTCCCGGACTGCCAAGTTCTGGGTGCTCCGGGCCACATTTTCTCGCCATCCGAGTGGATACGGCCCCGACATGACTGCAGGTACGACCAAGCACATACAAAAATTCATCTTGAATCCAGCCGATATCTTGTTTATCTGGTTCGAAATCCTTGTACAAGATACTTGATGGCTGCAAAAGAAATGTAGATATCGTACTATTATGCTCTGGACTATAGGTTGAGCTCAGCTGTTGGGTTGAAGTAACTTGGAAATATCCACATTCTAATCCTGAATGTAACAATCAAGAAGACCCACGACAGTATACTTGACCGAACTTGAAAAAAATTCATTGAACACAAAAGCACATGGCAATGCCTGTTGATGATGCGCCAACAGACACACGTCCAGAGCGGCCACCGACCGTGAATGAATTGACTTTAATGGTAACTTACCATTTTCTTCAGATCCTGAGCTGGAAGATCGCACGCTGATTTTCTTCGAGACTATTGTTTGGTTTGGCGTAGCCAGTGCAGTATGTTTTACTGCAATCCGAGGATGGATACGCATCAAATACGACGGCCGCGTGAAGCTAGACGATATTCTTGTTGTTTTCGCACTCCTCTTGCTGATCGCCTCAGCAATCATGTACACTATCATTCTCAAGCCGCTATACACAATGAGCCGGGTGGCTGCTGGACTGTCACCTATGCCTATGGATGCCATTGGAGTCGCAAAATTCATTAGCGACACCAACTTCTACCTGCGTGTCCAATTCGCGATAACTCTGGCGTTCTGGACTTGCCTGTGGGTGGTAAAGGCTTCATTCTTAGCCTTCTTTTTCCCACTTACCAATGGTTTGATATGGGCTAGGAGGTTTTGGTACGCCGTTGCTGCATTTTGTGCTGGTGGTTACATCGCTTGCGTTGTCAGCTATCCCATTTCTTGCTCAGAGTTCACTGTTGGTCAGTCTTTCGCCGCCCTAGTACTAACATGATATTAATTCAACCCAGGAGCATGTGCAACTATGCGGCAAATAGACTTATCTCTTGTTAGCCTGCGTATGAGCACTATTCTTGACGTCTCAACAGATCTTGCTAGTAAGACTCCCTAGCATCGCGCTGTTTTCCAAAGAGATATCTTGTAACCAATGTTCAATAGTTATGGCGCTGCCTTGGAGACTTCTTTGGATCGTAAGGCTTTCGCGGAAAGAAAAGCTGGCCATCGGATCCATCGTCGGACTCGGCTTGATCATCGTCGTCTTCGCCGTCATCCGCATAATTGTCACGAACACATCAGGTACACATCCGGAAGTTATATGGCTTGCTCTATGGTCTTCAATTGAAACATCTGTGGCTGTGGTTGTAGTTTGCCTGACATCTTTCAAGGTCTTCTTGAAGAAGAATGGTATGCCAAGTACGGGATATAGAAGCCAGCAGTATACGAGGGAGGTGGGGTTTACAAGAAGTAGAAACACGAGGGATGGAGAGGGGAATGGGTCGATCCCACTATGTGACGTACCGGCTAGTGGACCCTTTGGCACCCACAAAGGACACGATATGGGCAATACAATGGAAGGGGAAACTACAAGCAATAACTCTAAAGAAATTCTTGTGCGATAAAACGGCATGTTGTTCGTCAAGTTCCAATATTGCCGAGTTGTGACGTCTTACCGTGTGTGATCCAAATGAGAGTGGGACCCCCTTGAGCAAAAACCTCAAGATTCTCCTTGGCTCGCCAGGTAGCCACCGAAGATTCTACATAGAATTCACTGTACAGCCATGTGGAAGTGACAGATAAAAGCCAGCTTCTGGAAACTGTAACACCTCCACAAGGAAGCCATATTGGTGGAACGAGCACTTAGGGCGCAAGAGAAGTCGGAGTTGCTGTAATATTGGTCCCAAGTATTTAAATCTTAGCCTATTGTTGGCTCTCAACGGTCACCATGGTATGATCAAGAATTAATGTTGCAGCGTTGTGACCGTGCATGACAAAAGTATTTCCACCGTCATTCGATGTTTTGTTGTCGTCCTTAGCACGCCTACCCAAGAATTGATTTAACTAATCCACACCTAGCGGCATCTAACCGAAGAAAAAGCAGGTCCATGATCAGGAAAGTCTCATACCAGGTTTCGACCAGTTCTCCAGATAGAAGCTTTTGGTAGCAATTTCATTGTATCAATACCCACGAGCCTTTGAGATACCAGTTTTTAAGTTAGCATTGCAATTGGGATAAACATTGCCAAGAAAATGCGTGATAGCAAGCGAAACTCTAAACTTGCCTAAAGTAAACAACGCCTACCAGATAAGCGAGAGCCCTAGACTTGACCCTATGCGATTCTATTGCACTCATCCAGACGGGGCCCCTTACTATAACATGAAAATACCACACTACATTTCATCGGGACATCTTGTGAGGAAATTGGCCAGCCTCTCTGCAGTCTGGCATAGGCATTCACCAGATCGTGACAGCTTCCAATATTTACAGCAACGCCTTTGACCGCTATTGAATTTGTGAAATTGGTGTTCATATCGGCGTCTGGGTTGAGAGATGATTCCAACTATGGAGCTGATCAGGCGCTTTGTATCTGAGGAACAGAAAGAGTTGTTGGTTCTGGCCCTCCATGGCCAAGAAGTAGACGTCACCACTCGCCATTGTCAGCCCAGTGCAGAAAGGAGCCGTAAGAGTGTATAGTCTCTCCAGCTTGAATGCAAACTTGGAAACATAGATCCACACTGCCACATGTCTCAGTTCGGTCATGGTGAGTAGATTCACTGGAGACAGGAATCACAGGATTTACCTGGAATCTAGTCCAGCAGAAGGACTGAAAGATGGGGGCCTACTTGACCACTGACAGCGAGTGAGACATGTCACCATATAGCAGTTGCCATTCATAGTATATTTATTGATAAAGAGATAAAAAGTTGAGAGCAGACCCTGTATCGGCAAGACAATGGGAAATGGCACCAGTTCAATCACCAATAATTATCGAGTAGTATCGCGCTGCCGCCTTATGAAACTAATCTATATTTCTCTTCACTTCTACTGTGAATTATACCTTGGACATATGCAAATAATAAACGAAACAGGAAGCGGGAGAGAGAAGAGTTACTTCCACATACTCCCTATGCTTCCAAGATACGTAGATGTAAGTTGGTTTGCAGGACTATTCTACTATCAATCTCAGTTTTTATACCGCTCCCACCTTGAGGCTGACCCCTTTGCAAATGACTGAATTGCTAAATTACGGACAGTGAATTTATGCCTTTTATGTTCTATTACCTCGAGTGATTTTGAGATCTTGCCAAAGATTCACTCACCTAACAACTAATAGCCGATCACGAAACAGTTGAACTGCAAGACTCACCCCGGACAACCTGCTCCTATCTCCTTCGACCCTGCACCTCAATACCACACTGACATTTGTGTATATATACATATAACTCAAACGCCGGCTAGAACACGCTCTGCAAACTTGGAACCGTCAGAATGAAACATCCAGGGAGACGACGCTCGTCGCTCCACCGTGACTTGAGTTCTATCTATAATCCCGTTTCGACTTGTAGTCTAAAAGCGGGCTTGAGATAACTCTGTGTTGACTGAAAGGACAGTAACTCTAGAATTTCTTCTGATAAGACAGGAGTCCAAAAAGTTTCTCGCTTCATGGGTGGTAGACGAGTGGAAAAAGATAATAGCTAACTCTTCTGATGACAAGAATCACCTCTTGTTGTCATCTGCAAACTTTTAATCATCGCCGCGCCGAATGATCTGAAATTCAGCATCACAGAAACCTGGACCCATACAACACGACGTGGGTAACAATTGACTCCATTCCTAACCTTTGGATGAGAAACACCCAATTGCTTTCTACACAGACGCACAACCACGAACTGAGGAGCACGTTTACTCTGTTCTTGACATCCCTTCAGCAGAGAAGTGGATCGCACCTTATATGTACCCCTACCCATCACATCTTATCCCACAGTCTCTCTTGTTGAATAAGCATAACATGAACCATTCACTGGCCAAGCAATAATTGGTAATGATTCCAATGTATGACAGAGATTGAGCCCAATCAATTAAGTTATAGTCACAGCCACATGAAAGAATCAAAGAGCGAAGTCAACACATCGTGAATGAACCCTTGATTTATATTCCCCAACGCCGACCTGGATCAAAAAACGCCATCGACTTTGTAGAGGATTTGATACCTACTGTACAAGACCACAGAACACAACAGATAGACTCCAACATAGCTCCGAACTGCAGCCCGAGGTAGATCAACAAGATGAACACCACATTTGCAGTTCAAAATTTTCTTCCTGTCATGACAATCATCATTTCCCAGTATATTCCATCCATCCTGTGGTGGTCCATTCCAGCCTAGCCCATATCATCCATCCATTACCCATACCGAACCAGACCAGACCAGACCAGACCGAACCGAACCAAACACCCAAAAATCAAGCCCTTTCGCCTCTTCTTTCTATCCACCACAACCTTCACACCTCACCCCTTCCTACTCCCCCCAACACTACTCATCCCATCCCTCCACTTCTCCCCAACCCTCTCCCCAAACCCCCCCATCCACTTCGGCGCCTTCATACTAAACTTCACCCTCCCCTCCACCACCGCCTCCACACAATTAATCACCCCAAACGTACTACTCCCCAGCGCCCTAAACAGCGCCAAACTCGCCACGCTCCACAGCACAATCTTCAAATACGCATTATCACTGACAGCTTTAGGGCCATACGTCTCGCTCACCGCCATGGCAAGGATCGCGTTCGCAACAAGCCAGCATACAACCATGTACGTGCGCACGCTCTTGTAGTAGTCTTCCTGCTGCTGGGCTTCGGAAGTGGTGGGTTGAGGGACCTCCAGGCGGTCGCGGAGGTTGCGCAGGGCTTCGTCGTAGCCGGAGTCGATGTCGAGTTGTTCGGAGGGCATTTCCAACTCGACGGTTTTGGAGTCGCCGGAGCCGTGGCCCGTGGCGGCGCCGAGGTCGGTGTGGATCACGTTATCTCCTTTGGTGCCCCAGGAGATGTCGTGCGTGTTGCAGAAGGCGTAGACTTGTAACGTGCAGATGTAACTTGGGAGGAGGATGAAGTATTGTGCGGAGGAGGTGAACATGTGCCAGGGGTCGAGGTAGAGGAAGCTCATGAGGAAGTAGAGGCCGATTGTGGAGGCTGTGGAGACGAAGAGATTGGTGAAGGCGTTGTTGCCGAATTTGAGTTGGGAGTCTTTTGCTGTGAGCTGCTTGATGATGATCCAGAAGGCGGCGAAGATGGTGTACATCATGATGATAGCGTAGATGATCATGCTCATGAGATATAGCCTCTTGGCTCCTTGCGGACGATTGCCCATTGAGAGGATGAATTGTGTGCAGATGAGAAGGATACACGTGTATCTGAAGATGACAAAGATGACTTTGCCGATACCGTGGCCGAAGGGATCGATTGTTGGATCAGAGAGGGAGCCAGCGACGAAGTAGAAGGTTAGGTAGAAGTTGGCGAGAGAGAAGTAGGTGAATAACAGGTTGATGAATTGGTAGACGAATTCGATATGAAGCAGGATCTTGCGTCCGATCGTGTGATCGGTGTGCCAGATTTGCCGGAAGTGTACCAGGGAGTAGACTGCTGCGAAGAAGGCTCCATTGAGCCAGCGACGGCGTTGGGAGATGAATTCGGGAACGGCATCTGCATACACAGGTCAGTACACACTCTTCCATTGAAGAAAATAATATAGTGGAAAGACAACTCACCAGGAACATCTGTCTCCCCCGTACAACTCTTCACATACTTCAACACCCACTTCTCATCCCTCTTAGCAACCAGCTCCCAACACAGAATTCTATCTTCAGCAAGGTACATATTCGCTGTAAAGACGTCTGCGTTCTGTCCATGCAGCGTCTCTCCCTTGAAATACTGGCTCAGCGGCCCATGACCCGTATGATCATTCTGCAAAGCATGGTACCGATACGCACTCAACGCACCAGGTAACACAGTGATATAGCCGAACACCGATTCGAGCGGTTTGTCTAGGATATTGGATAGTTTGTATTCGAAGTTCTGGGAGGCAACGAGGGGGTTGAGGAGACCTGTGCCGTATTTGCCTTTCATGGCTTTAATTTCACCACAGGCGCCTGCGACGTTCGAGTCGGTATCAAAAGCTTTCCAGAGATGGTAGAGAGAGTTTCCACCAGGTTTAGTGCCAACATCGAGGAGAATACAGATATTTGGTGTAAGAGCTCTTCCGAAAGCATTGAAGAACCAACGATGGGAGTTCAACTTCTTAGCGTTCTTCTCCTTCATACAGAAGATCATCTGACAGGGTACAATACCCTTCTCTGCACCCTTGAATTTGAGTTCAGAGTCGAGGGATACCTGTGTAGTGTACTCGTACACGTGAGCCTGAACTTCTTTCTGGTTGACGAGATTCTTGGCAATGCCGTCTTGATAGACACCCATTGCTGCCAGAGCATCAAGAGTTCTAGGATTGACTTTCTGACGACCATCGGCGATGACGCAGACTACTATTTTCTGCCATCCATGTTCACCCCAAGTGCGGGATTTGGACCGGCCGCAGAAATGAGCGACGTTCTTCATGACTGCATGCATTGTACGCGTGAAATCGATTTCGTTCTCGTTGTACATGGTGATACAGATGAAGAGTTCCGTTTCTCGGGCTGTCGAGCCGATATTCTGGCGGAGTTTGTAGCCTTTGGACACGAAATCATCGGGGTCGCATGTCACGGCCGTGTACCGCATGTGAGTAAATTCGATCTCGTCTCTCCTGGGCAGGAAACTGTAGAGAATAGTTGGGATCTTACACTCGAGGATCAGCTCGCCATTGATGAGCTTAACCTCCTTTTTCGCCATTTGTGCCTGTCTGGCACCGCGTCTCTCTTGCTTGCCATCTGGGGCCGGGCCATAATGTTCGTAGTCGTCCTCGTACTGATCGTCATCTTCATTTTGTAGAGTCACACTCGTCATATAGGAATCGCGATTTTTCAGGCCATGTCTGGCTCCGGATTTCGTAGGACTTGATGGACCGAACACGTCGTCGCCGTCACCAATGTCGTTTTCAAGTGGGATGGCAATCGTGGCGTCATCTGCAAAGGTCGAGTTTCTTGCTGAAGCACCTGGACCTGAGAAAAGCGGTGCAGGAGGCAGTGGTCGTCTCGGACTTCCGCCATACCTAGAAGACGGTGTACCAGGCCTTGAACCACCATTGATCTCCGACGGCTCGAAATTGATATTTGGAGGAGGAGGTCTGATATATTCAGCGGATCCCCGCGAAGGACTCCACGATCTTGTAGGCGATGTACGTCCAGAAGGAGAATAAGGTATGTATGTCGAGCTCGGAGGTGGCATGTCTGGCGCAGAATCGATGATGGAGGGAGCCGTTTCTGAATTCACAGACGGCTGGTAGGATCTGCGGGGTGTGTAATGACTATGAGGGGAATTATGTAAGCTTGACTGATTCTTCAAAGAGGCTTCTAATTGAGACAGAGGGGAGTGGATGGGGTGCCTGAGACTGCGTCTGCGAGAAGGACCCTCTGGGATAGATGGCAAGCCGTGCACGATGTCCATGTCTGTGCCTATCAATGCCGCTGACGCTGTTGCTCTCGGTGAAGATCTTTTCTGCAGCTTGCAGGTCTTCGACGAGGAGACAACCTCTTCTTCTTCCTTGAGAGATGCGAGGTGCTCGGGGGTTGAGAGCGGGACTGGTCTCTGCTGGACTTTCTTTCTTTGCAGCTTGACTGCCAAAGGTCGAGGTAGTAAAGTTTTGGATTGGGATTCAGGTTGAATCTGGAACTGAGATTGAGACTGGTACTGAGCTGGTTGTACATACGGACGCATCTCCGGCTCGTCGACGGATGTCAACAATCGGACGTGTGACGAGTTGCTTGGTTGACCTGTTGGTGTGGAACCATCCTCTTCACCGTACGATGGGGGTTCGGAATACATTGGAGGACGTCCTCCTGGAGTGTTTGGGCCGTCCATACTGATTGTGATGTTGGAAGCGTATTGCGCTGTGGAATGCGCCGGGCCGCAGTTGAATAATGTTTGTTTACTTTGTAGTCATCTGCGTCATAGGATTTCGTGTCTGGAATTGAATCTCGAGGAACAAGCGATTGTCCGACAAGAATTGACAGAATTTAGATGTCTTGAGTAGGAGATGGTCTTGAATGAGACAGCGCGCAATATGAGAGCAGTAAAGCAGGGCTATGAGAGACAGTATGATGTCGGCTCGGGTGTTTTTCTCGCTGGGGCGCCGTTGCTACAGCGACAAGTGCAAAATCACATGGTGATTAGACCCAACCGGGATAGGGGCATCCTAGTCAGAAAGGAAATTTGTGATTGATTGGACGTGTCTAAAACACCAGGGGGCCGCAGCACAGTCCATCCGCACGTAAGTTTGTCCAAACAATCGGACCCACAGCACCTGTCACGTCTCAGAGTCTCTGTACGCAGCGTACCACATTTTCAGGCCCAGGATATCACAAAGTCACAACACAGCCAATAGTCCAATACAAATCGCTTTTTATTGGAATCCTTAATCATCGGATCGTAAAATATACAATGCCTCTTGACTCCCCATTTCTTCCGCTGTATGCCCCAAGCCTGTCTCCTCCGCGCTACTCTTACTGAAATAAGCCTCTGATCAGATCAAATGTCGAAAATAGTGACAGCAGATCCTTATCGATGCAGAGGGGGTGAGATGGCGTCTACTAACGCCGAGATGAAGCTTTGATGACAAGAAAATGTGGAGCGCCTTGCTCAGGATCAGACACCAATAGTGCTGATATGGTTTGGTTGTATTGTACAGCGAGGTTTAGTAGATCGCGAGGCGGGTGATGGGTATCAAAAATAGAGCTGGAAAATATTGACTGGTATATTATGTGATTGCTCAGTTCCAGCCAAGGGAATTCTCAGCCATCATTGGTGCCGAGATTTGTTGAGTGCGTGCAGAATTACCAGTTCTTCCGCTTCCCCTGCTGTTTCTATCGTAACCGGGGGTAGTTCGTCCACCAGACATGAAGGCACCACCTCCCATCAGTGCTGGGCTGCCAGATTGTCTCATCTCGCCACCGTGGAGAACAGAGCTTGATCTGCGATGGCTTTGCTTGCGCTTCTTGTACCTTCGAGCAATCAAGAACATAGCAGCACCATAGGCTGCTGAGCCACCAATGGCAGCCATTGCGATACCAGCAGTTGCTCCCGTCTTGCCAGGAGATTGGGTTTGCTCATTTGTATCACCAAAGACAGAGTTGCCGTTCCCTGAAGGGGAGCTGGAAGAAGGCTCGTTGCCACCTGAGGTCCCCGGGGTTCCTCCACCAGTCTCCACGTTTGATCCTGGAGTGAGGGGGATGGCGGGGTTGATGTAGTTCATGAGCGTGTTGATGCTTGGATCGTCATTGTTGTAAATTGGAGCAGTCGGAATATGGAGATCCAGAGACAGAGTGCTGACCATATTGCTGGGGATGTATGCCAACGCCAGAGTTGTGATGTACTTCATTCTCTGCGTAGTGTCCAAAGGAACAAGACTGTGCATGGTGATCTGATCTTTTCTCAATCCCAATCCATCAGAGACACCCTGTGGCAAGTACTCGAAAATCTGAGCAGACGACAATGGATTGTCCACAACGAACTTGTAGTTCAAGGGGAACAAGAAACCAAGTTGGATCTGGGTGGTATCTTCTGGCTGCACAGTAGCATTTGGATTGGTAATGACTCTGGGTAATTGGGGACTGATTCCGGTAGGCGCAGCACTCTCGGTTTGTCCTGCAGATACAGTGGGTGACGATGCTGCGATGATCGTTGTCGGGAGCCACATAGATGTAGCAGAATTTGTGGTGATCGGAGGAATAGTCTGAGGAGCCGAGGTGGGTGTCGGTACAATTGTTGTAATAGACAAAGACGTCTCAATCGGAGCAGCACTTGTGGATGGCAATGAAGTTTGCGGCACTGTTGGCTCGGTAGCATTTGTAGTAGGTGCCGTGATAGTCGAGCTAGGAGTTCCAGACAAAGTCACAGATCCACTTGGGAGACTTATCGTGATATCGGTGCCATTGGTCGTGCTCACAGATGTCACAGGCTCACTAGTGACCACGGGAATACTCGAATTATTCGACGTGGTTGGAGTATCCGTTGGGATAGTAGTCGGTAGAATGGTGGTAATTGGGCCCGTGGTAATATCCGTTGGAGTTGGGTCAGCCGTGATAAGTCCAGAAGTGGTGGTTTCCGTAGGCGCGGGAGGAATAGTGGTCAAGTCCGTGGGTGAAGTAGTGACACCTGTAACCGTTGGAGTGTATGGATCTGGAATCGTGGTGTTGAGGGTGGGCTCAGGAACAAGGGTCGGCTCAGGAGTGGGAGTCACGGGCTCGATGGTGGCTGTACCGGAACCCAAATCACTGGTAGCAGTCTCAAAAATACTGGAAAGAATGCCTCCAAGATCGGTCGTTGGGGAAGATGTCACAGTTGGCTCAGCCGACGGCGAGATGATAGGTGTGATCGTAGCTCCGGTTCCATCAGGGGTGGTCGTCGGAGCGCTGCCGGTACCGAGAAGCGAAGTGAGATCAATAAGAGGAGTCGTGGTAGGCTCGGCTGACGCTTCCGTGGTCGTTGTTGCAGTACTGCCAGTACCAAGAAGAGAGGTCAAATCAATCAGAGGTGTGGTTGTAGGCACAGCATCAGATGTGGTGGTAGCATCTGTGGTTGTGGTGGGCGCAGATGATTCCAGCGCACTAGTTGATTCAGCAGCTGGCTCAGTGGTAGATGTCGGCTCAGGAACCGAAATAGAGCTGATGACTGATCCAATGGAAGGCAAGATTCCAGCTGGAGTGTTGGTGGGTGCAGACGCTTCCTCGGTCGTGGTTGGAACCAAACTTTCCACTCCTGTTGGTCCAGCTGATCCAGAGAAAGAAACCCCATCGCTAGTGCTTCCAACTCCACTTTCTGGAGCTGCTGTTGGAGTGGCCGATGTAGTTCCATCGGTTAAGATTCCACCTGGTCCAAAAGTAATTCCCCCAGCAGAAGTCGTTGTTGGTACTGCGATGTCAGATTGAGACGAAGCGGTCGATGGGCTTGGTGTCGGTTGGATGATAACATCGGGAGTTGATCCAGTCGGGGTAGGGTCCAAAATACTTGTAATGAACCCCAAGAACCCCCCCGACTTGGTTGTTGTATCTGGGATCGAGGTCTCGATTGGTCCAGTCGACTCACCAGAGCTGGAACTAGACGACGACGTGGGCTGAATTGGATTGAAGAAGCTATCCAGACCTCCAGTTCCTGCCGCCGAGCTGGAGCTTGATCCAGGTGAATCCGAGGTCGAGTCCTGTTGTCCCGTTATCGAATTCAAGAAATCCGACAATCCTCTTTTCGTGGACGAATACGAACTAGAAGAAGGTGATGAGGACGACGAAAGCCTCTCCTGGCTTGTCTGCTGCGGCGCAGTCGTGATGGTCGAATTGAAAAAGACTTGTCGTTTGATTTGCCTGGGGTAATAGAATTTAGGTCGCTGAGGCTCCGCAACAGCGAAGGTAGAAAGGACTGCCACTGAGGCCACAAATAGTGTAGGTGTATGCATCCTGGCAATTGGTATGAGATACGCGTTGGTATTGTTGGGACCACGAGGTTGGTGAGAAAAGTAAGCGTTAAGATCTGGACCTAGAGTCAGCCAAATGAGCGATGAGGTGTTGGTTGGCCACAACGCAAACTGACTGTCTCAGTAAATTTTTATGTAACGAGTGTACTTGACAAAAATGTCAAAGAGGTTCTGCAAAGGTTGAAGTCAGCATTCGTCATTGCTGGACCTTATTGAATAAATCTTGAATGCGTTCGCACGAATGATCAACACATCCTCAGCCGCAAAAGAGACCGCGAGAACTAGAACCATCCCCCAAACAATCCATCTTCGACCTTTCCCTCGCAGATTCTGGAGAATACTCACTAATTGAGATTATTGTAGCAGTCGTAAACTTCGAATCGCAATCTTAAATGAGCGTCGTGACGAGAAATCGTCGAGAGGGTGGTTGGGTCGTTTTCAGCTTCAATTCGTCCGCTATCATCAATCAAATGCGATCAGCGAGCCACAACCATTATCCGTCTGCCTCCCGAGGCTCCTTGTCGTCTGTCTGGTTCGATGCGTGTTGTCGAGCAGTCTCGTAGAAGGCGTGCAGACAGGTTGCACGTCTTTTGCGTTGAAGGTCCACGAGGAGAGCGGGTGGTCGAGGAGGGTGAGGGTGAGGGTGAGGGTGAGGAGAGAGAAGAGAGGAAGGGTGGTGGAAGGGCGAGATTAGCAGGGCGGTAGCGCGAGTATTAGGCGTAAGAGCCGTGGCCGTGGGTGGGCACTGGGCGAGGAAGGAGAGGAGGGTGGAGGGTGGAGGGTGGAGGGTGGGCACGGGGCACGGCCAGCAAGTGAAATTTGAGTGTGTTGGGCAACGAAGTAACTAGGGGAAAGCTGCAGGGCACCGTGTCCAGGTCCAGTGCAGGCGTCAGCGTAGCGGAGGCAAGCGTAGGTATGAATTGAAATGCACCAAATCGGCCTGGCGCCGAAGTTGAACACCGCACTGTTTCTCGGCAGACGCTCCGAATTTGGCAAAATTGGATGGTGCTGGAATGATGCGCGCGCGCAAAGGTCCTGCCTGGCGCTGAACAGTGAACACGCTTTGCTGACCGAAAAGTCAAGTATAAGGACTTATCCTCCTGTAAAAATACGGGGCAGAAACCTCGGACGGTCCTACAAATACGAGATGGCCAGGCGTCTGTATTTGGATCATGGGAGGACAAAGCAGATGGACGGCATGGGACGAAGAAGAGACTTCAGTTCACCTGGACATAAACTCAATATAGACTCTACATCAAGGAGGTACCTCGGAGGTCAATGAATAGATTTGAAGTTGATTGTCTACAATAATCACTAAATGGCAGCGCATTATTCTTTTCGAGGACGCGGCGATAAGCCATACCGTGGGTTGATACAGTAGATGCCAGCCCAGCCCGCAGCCAATATATTTGAGATCTGACAGGGCAGACGGAAAGGATGCACTCGTGCCACGGTATTCGAATTTGTCGAGTGCCAGAGACACATCGCATCGCCCGTGTAACCGGGCCAGAAATCTACCAGATAAGACCGGGTAAAGAGAATCACCGTTGTATTCGGTGGTATTCTCTTGTTGTTCTGCATTGTTTTTGGCGGCTGGTTTCTTTCTTTATTCTACTTCAAGTCTTCATGTCGGTGTCGGTCAAGGCTGGGGATATCCGTACCGAAGAACATCAACATCAATAATCCCACCACTTACGCGAGCGCAAAGGACCACCTGGGCAGTGCTATCCCGCGGCCCTGCAGCATGCTTTGCTTTGCTTTGCATAGCATTCATCTCACCTGCCTTTTCCATGAATCCACTCTGTGATCGCCGCGATAAACAATCCCTTTCTTTGACCCTCAGATATCTTACCTTATCCAACAAATAAATGTCAACATCCACCTGAGTCTATCCTCACATCCACCCACCCCACCAAACATTTTCCAGGTTTCCTCCCTCGCTCCGCCAATCCGTTCCCGTTCCTCGCTCCCCTTTCACAGCCCCAACCTGGACCCATATATTTCGCAATCCCCACCACTCACTGCAGTCCGTCCCCTCAACCCCTGGCTTCTCCCCTGGAGCCAGCAAGGGCCGCCACGGGACGGCATGAACAGGGCATCGCTCACCCTCGCTCCGCAAGACTAATCAAAGAAACCCACAAATCCCATCACTTTCCCAAGGGATATCCCTAGCCGACGGCTCTACGCGACACAACCGGACCAGTTAGGGTAGCGAGTCGGGTCCTGTAGCGCGTTTGAGCATGAGCCCCAGCGAGCCCTAGGAGGGCAATTAATTTCCGGGTGCTGCGAGTTAGTCGCTTGTTGGTACAGGGGACTGCTTGTCTCTGCCTTATTTGGAGAGGGGTGCCGAGCATCTCGAGGCTTGGAGGTCGAGGTCGAGGTCGAGGTCTTTTGTTTTGATGTTGGTGATGATAGGAAAATATCATGCCATCACAAGAAACATTTACTAGAAGAAAATCAAACATTTCAGCATGTCTTATTTGGTTTCTAAGCTGTCTTGCTTCGTGGAAACGAATCAACTCGACACCAACATCTCTCCCTCGCATGGGGCTGAGAGACGACGCGCACCCCTCTTCTCAATCTGGATAATATTTATGCACGTACTGTATTATGCCGCAGTCCTGCCTGAAAGACGGATTGGAGGCTGCTGATCTCACGATAGCCAATCAGAACTTTGTCCTCTGCGAATTTCTACTTCTCAGCGCTCACAGGACTCACTGCATCGGATAATCTATCTTGCTTGCATCATTTGCAGTTGTATGATCAATGTTAATATACCCACGAGCAGACAGCAGCGTAAATCCATCACCTGCTCGCACAATAAAATCCAAAAGCAGCATTTGATAGACAAGTTGCTCGGATGGCAGTGACAAGCAAACCAGACTTCTGCATCATGAAAACTTCAAGGTTCATCATACTCGCAAAAATCCCCCCGAGCCGCGCTCCTGGGTAGTGAGCGCCTCCTTGCACATCCCGTCCATCAACAAAAGTGAAGGTTTAGAGCACCACCTCATGCTCTCAGGCTGTCAGAAAACCAAAAATATCCACACAGCGAAACCTTAACTCTTTTCAATACCTCATCTTCAACTTCTCAACACCCATAATCAAGTCACAGAAACATCCCCCCCATTTTGGTGGTTTTGCACTGATTCTCGTGGAAGTCCGGACCTCCGACTTCACCCACCAATCAACAACACCGCGCAACGCTTTCCCTCCCTCGCCTCCCCTTTCTCGCCAAGACACCAGATCCGGATCTCGTTCCTGGATCTCAGGCCCATGTGGAGCCGTTGAGCGACCGAGCGCTTCACGAATAAACCTCCAGGTTGCCCTGACTTCTGCAAAGCAAGAGAGCTTCACGATCGTCAAAACATCTCCAGGCAAATTTCGAGAAACAAAGCATCTCCAAAGTCTAGACCTTTTCTATCCTTACAGGTGACAAGTCCCAAGCAAGGAAAATAAAATGACGTCCCTCCCAAAAACGCAATCATCGGCAAAACTTACAACCCAATCCGTCCATTCAGACGATCAGTCCTTCTAGATGCGTGTCTGTAATTCCGGCACTTGTTCATCATGACTCGGAATAATCTGGTGAACAAATTTCGCAACTTCCTACGCGTAATCCACGTGCATTGTAAATTACATCTAAATCACGACAAAATTAGCCTCCATTCCTTCCCTTCGTATCTTTGAATCAAAATCACACAGCATGTTTTTCTTCAACATCATCTCCAATCCCAAGCACGTTTCATCTTCCCCTTGTAAGAGTCCACCCGCCAAGACAAAACAACGGATGGAAGAACCTAAATACCTCCACACAAGGACAAGGCCTTGTTTCAGGATAAATGGAGATGGAGTATCGGCCGAACTGCGCTGCGCTGCGCATCTCTTTTGTCTCCACAATTTGCACATCACCAAACATGCAGGAACGACATGACATCGCATCACGAACACTCCACATTGATAAAGCTTGAGTGACTTTGACAGCTTCGGCTGCTGCGACAGCTAACCAGTGCATATTTGAAGATATAAAATACGAATCTTGCCTACTGTACGTCCAGCCGTCTTTCCACGTAGATGTAATTTACTTTATCTGTAGCGATCCGGCTGCCACACCATGAATCGAAGCTGAAAGTCGAGGTCACTGTCAAGCCCATACTACACCACAGCGTTTCACCAACCCATCCGTCAAGCTTCTTCGCACATTCCATTGTTCCCCCATATTCTAGCTAAGTAGCTTCCAAAACGGCCATGCCATTTCACAGCCCCTTCTCCGTGCTACAAGACACCGAACAGAACAGTACGGAGGTACGTACCAGAGTCGCACAACCAAAACCCCTCACAATGGTTTCACCCGTGAACCACCTCACAAGATACGCAAAGATACGAGGAAAGAGGGACAAAGAAAACTGCAGGCACAACCGAGTAGTTCTGATCCAGTTTGCTTCAGTTGAGCTTCAGCTCCAGAACCAGTTCATCTCAAGCAGTCGTCGTCCCATCTTCCTGCTTCACACCTGTAACGCCTCTCACTCCAACAAGGACCCAACCACCCCACCCCATACCATCCATCCATCCACCACAAAGATATTCTTACTTTTCTCTCAAAATCCCTCAAAAAAAGGTATATCTATCCATCTCTTTGATTAGACTTTATGCTGATATAATAATTTACCAGAACCTTCCACATTAAAAAAAAAATTAAACTTCATATCCAACCCCCCCACCCCGCCCCCAAACTAACAAATCAAGCATTCCTCCTCGTTTCATCGTCGTCATCCTATCTCATCCATTCCTCCCCCCTGAATAATAACTTCACTTCACTTTCCGAACTCTCTCCACGCACTCACGTGTCTTAGACACGAAGGAGAAGGGGGATTCATACCTAGGTATCTCGGAAACAAAGTTCTCTCCGATCCGAAATACTTCCTATTAAATGCTGTGGAATCCGCTTGCTTGAGACATAACGTGGAGAGGCCACCAGAGGCCAAAAGACAAGCCACGATCGTCATAACCAAACATTCACGAGATTTAATGGCATTATTTCATGCCCGCCACAGGTGAAATGATTGCAATCATTTCAAATAAGTTTACTTGGAGATTAGAGACTTCGGTAGAGACAGAGCCCGGTCGCTAGCTGGCGGTGTGAAATGAAGGTGAGATGAAGTTCTTGCGCTTGATCTGGCGTATTCGATAGTTTGACGCCTCGTGTTGTCACCGGCTTCATTATCCCTAAGATTAATGCAGAAGCCAAGCTCGGTAGTAAACTCACTACTGTTGACTACTTCTCACTATCCCAGCTTGCAAAAAATCAAAATAAACAATCGACTTTACAACACGAGAGCCTCTTCGAATTGCAATTCCGATGTTGATGCTTCACGTGGCTTCTTGACAGAGATGGCCTCAGGGACCATCTCAGGAAACCTGCGAAGAGAAGGGGCACACACGTGACATATCCATTTTCCATGCAGGTGATTTCTTGGAAGTTTCAACCAATGACAGCCCAGATTCAGCGTAATGATAATCGGTTTGTTGCACGTCGCAATTCGAATTATGTCCACGTCACTGGAGTCACACCACAATCAGTTCGCACTCTCTCGCTTAACCCAACGTCACTCTCTTTTCCCCTCCTAGCAACAACACCTTCGCTTTGCCACCTCTCATTTCTAAATCTTCATTTCTCATGGTTATTTGCTCGTGTTGCATGATCTTGGCTTTTGATTCCTTCCATCTCTGGTATAATCAAGATGCTCTTGCCAAGTGGCACAGAATTTGAAGTCCCGAAGCAGATCTCCTGGTTTGTTTGTCTGAGTGGACGGCACTTTGAGAGAGCACATCAATGGGAAAGGTGGCAGGCTTGTAATTTGATCTCGCTTGGGGAGAAGGTTGGCTTTCTAAAGAGCTTTGCTCAATTGGCTTCATTTCAATTTCAGGATGGGTCACTCGGAAATGTCTAGTTCTCGGAATGAAAAATGTGCAATGGGCGCAAAATGAAGCTAATTCTATTTCTGAGGGTGGATAACTAACTAAGGTATCTATATATAGTAGGAAATTTGAGGGGAAACAAACGCAGGTAAAAGAGTGAATCGCTCTATGTTAGAAAATCCGAGGGAAGGCAACAGCAGACACCGATAGTTAACCTTCCAAAAGTCTTTGCTTCAGTCCCTTGGCCGCGAGCTTGCCATAGTTCTCCAACGCACCCAACGACATAATCTCCAAAACGCTAATGGTTGTACCAAACATCTGGTTCCAGAGACGTCGCAGCTCAACAGCCATGAGCGAATCAAGTCCGACATCAACCAGGCTCAGCGAGATATCAACCTCTTCGACAGGCTTGAGCATGAATGTGTAGACACGCTTGCCCAGTTCAAAAGCAAGGAACGCGGCGCTCTCAGGGGCATCGAGTTTGCTTGGGCTCACAGTAGCATCTGCGATGAACTCGCGGAAACCATCGCCTTCGCCAGAATCGTCCTCGGCGCCCTCCTTTTTAGGAGTGTTGTGGTAAAGACCCATACGGCGGTCTTTCTTCCAAGCTACGTGGTTGGCGGCGTCATCCAAATGCGTATCAGAGTGAAGGCCCATGATGATTGGTGTTGGCCCGCGATGCAGAATGCCCAGGTGGATGTATTCAAGCACTTCGCGCTCTGTGAGGAACTGTAGACCGTTGGAGCGGAGGTTGCGACGAGCTTTCTCGTTGCCAACTACCACACCAATATCGTCGATAGGACTGACGGCGATGGCGGATGCGGTGAGTCCCAACCCATTTCGGTATTGACAGAAGGCCTCCAGGAAGGTGTTGGCAGCGTTATAGTTTGCTTGACCTGGGACGGTGATGGTTGAAACGATGGAGCTGGTGACAACGAAGAAGTCCAGCGATACATCTTTCAGGGCATTGTGGAGGTTCCAGGCACCATCAACCTTTGGTGCGAGACTCTCTTTCCAGCCTTCATGTGTCATTTCGGGGAAAAGAGCATCCTGAGAAGATGTTAGCACTATATCCCCGTCTCAGCGATCCTTTGGTACGTACCCCAAGTGCCATGGCTAAGTGAATGACACCCTTCACAGACTTGGGTGAATGTGTGACTGCAGAATTCACCAACTTGAAATCCTGGACAGGTCCAGCAACTGGAGTAAGAACGCAACCCATGCTCTTCATTTCGGCAATGAACGACTTATCCTCTGCTGAACGACCAGCAGACCTGGAGATTATGGTGATAAAGCGAGCACCTCGCTCAGCCATCCAAGAGCAAATGGCTTTCCCAAGACCACCGAAACCGCCAGTCACAATGTACGAAGCCTCGGGATCGAAACTCAATGCACCACCAGCGGTATGAGAAGCGGCGGTACCGTTTGGAACGCCCTGCTGTGCGGTTAATTGCCTGCTCCAGTCTCGAGAATGCTCTAAGCTTACATTTGGTTGGGTCTTCCGCCATAGCTCCGAATCAATTGAGAATGGAATGTATCGGCCAACCTCGATGGTATTGTTCTCGACCAAGAACTCCCTGTCAGGAAGCAGCTTGTCAGATAATTGCTCGTTAAGAACTTTGTTGAAGACATTCGCAACATGGCCTGCCAAATCAGCATCGGTTGGATCGACTTCCAAAGTCGACAGCGACAAGTCTAGTTCTGAGCGGACAGATCGCAGAAGTCCAATCGATAGCCCAGCGTTGGGGTTTTGGCAGTTCTTTTGTGCTGGTGGGAGTAACCACAGTAACTTTCGTGACGGGTTCGATTCGCATTTCTCCATTAGGCTCTTGAAAGTGGCCCAATCCTGCGAAGAGATATCTTCGAAGAATGGCTTCTCCAGATCCAGTGCGAAGATAATATTGTGTTGATCGGCGATGTCCTCGGTTAGACCCTTCTTGATGATAGAATGGCCAGATTTTGTCAGTCCTTCGACCAAATCGGAGGAGAGCTTGCTCTTGGTATCTTCGCAGATCAACACGACAGGGAGACTCTTCTCGCTCGCAGTGCGGGCTTCAGGTTGCGTAATGATGGTTGACCAGTATCGGTACGGCACTGGTGCGTCATACACAACATTGTCTGCGCCAGTGAAGCCGGAAGCCTTGAGTTCATCATTCCAACGATTAATGGAAACAAAGGGTTCCCATTCACGGCCGTCAGCCTCACCAAACCACCATGATGCAAACGTTCCAAAGATGAAATTGGGCGATCTTCCAATAGCTGCAGGTTCTGAGAGAAGAAGGCGGCCATCTGGCTTCAGAACCTTATGCAAGTTCTTCAACGTTTGCTGAAGATTGGCAGTTGCGTGGACAACATACGGTGCCAATATGAGATCGTATGAGTCAGCTTCAAACCCTTGTGAAAGAGGATCGTTGCTGACATCAAACAACTTATACTCAATGTTTGGCGCATCGCTGAAACGCTCGCGGGCTCGCGGGAAGAAGCCAGGCGAAATGTCAGTGTATGTGTACACTGAGTAAGGAGGCAATTCGCCCTCCCGGACGATCTGGGATAGGATGGCTTCAGTAGTACCGCCTGCTCCAGCACCAATTTCAAGGATTCGAAGGGCTGGCCGGGAGTTCGACATCGAGCTGATGTATCCGGCATAATCGAAATTGATCGCACTGTATATATTTGGCAAGATATCGTCCTCCATCAAAAGCTGTGCTGGATCAACGGAGCCAGTATATAGACCTTCAATGTTGTCTCGGATTTGTGCTATCGCAACCGCGTAGGGAGCTCTGGAGGGTGAGTGGATCAGTCGAGAATAAATGTCGTCAATCAAACTAGACCTTTCGCTGCTGGTAAGCGAAAGAAATTTCGATATCCTCTTCCCGATGACTGGTGAATGTCCGGTGGCAGCTATTTCAGACTCTAGAGAAAGCCATCTTCCGTACTTCTCAAAGTGCGCATTGGTTGGCTCTTGGCCCTTGAGTCGATTTGCGGAATCCAGTATGCACAGCTGGGTAAATTCCTCCAATAGGCGTGTGCTAACGTCGTCTGATGGAGGTGGCTTAACCAGTGCGGTAGTCTGCTTTTGGAAGTCGAAATCGGGTCGCCATTCAAGATATGCTCCGTCAGTATGGTGTTGAGGTCCGGCATCTTCGTCAGGCAAAAGAGTGAAGTGAAGACCGCGGATACGCATCAAGGCTTTCCCGTCTGCCACGCATTCGATATTCATAGCTGAGCCATCGTCCGAGCTATGGGCAACAGCTCGCATTGATGGCACGCCACGATACACTTCAAGTTCATCGATCGCGGTGGGTACCTTGAGTTCAGTGTAGTTACGCGGCAATCCTTTCGATCCTGCGATGATAGCAAGCTGCAAGCAAGCATCCATGGTTGTGGGGTGGAAGAGGAATGGACCCTTTATGATCTCGTCTCCAGTGTTCACCAATGCAGATGCAGCATCGTTGGTTGTGGCTGCGGACAAATTGTCAAGGAGCTGAAATTTGGGTCCATAGTTGAAGCCGACTTTGGCGAAGGTCTCAAACCATCTTCCCACATCTGCTGCTCGATGCAGCTCGACTGGTGCCTCGGTTGCTGCTGGAGCACCATTCTCAACGGCCTTTACCAAACCTTCACAATGGGTAATCCAGGTCGATCCATTATGAGACGCGATATTGAAAGCATAGTATTCCGAGTTTGGTTGCTGTCGGAGTGCGGTCACAATTTCTTTCGGTGTCTCGGTGAGAACTAAGCCCGTGGTGACCTGGATATCCTTGACCTTGTACCCTTCCTCGACTCCAGTGAATTGGCGGATTGCTTCACCTACCATGCTCACATAGGCCGCAAAAGGAACAACTATGTTTTCGCGAACCTTATGATCGGCAATCCAAGGAACATGGTCGAGGTTAAGGACTAGTCTCCAAGAAGGATTGATCGTAGTGCTTTCAGCAACTTTGCGCCCAAGTAACTCATGCTGGCCATGTGGACGAAGACGCCATTCTCTTGATATTCTTGGCTCATACCAATATGTTTCTTTCATAGACCAAGGATATGCCGGAAGGTTTGTCAGGACTCGCCCAGACGGGTATAGGGCAGCAAAATCGACATTGATGTCTTGTTGGTAGAGTTGTCCTACTGCAGACAAAAATGATTCTGTGCAGTTTTTGCCCCTTAGCATGGTGGGAATATAGTCGAACTTCTTGTTGAGGCTGGTACAAATTTCGCGAAGGGGTCCTTGAAGGGTGGAGTGGGGACCAATCTCGAGGAACAAGGGATTCGAGACCTCCTGCAAGATGCCCTGAACAGCTGAATTGAAAAGGACTGGATGTGTCAAGTTGTCGATCCAGTATTGTGGTCCAAATTCTCGGGCATCTGTAATCTTTTTGGCGTGTAGGCTGGAAAATAGAGGGATTTGCAGCTCGCCATCAAGTGTCTCGCGTCCTTGGGTAAAGCTTGTAAACTCATCGCCCAAGCGAGACTCGTACGCCTCTGATAAGGCGACCATATGATCTAGTTCATTTTGTCAACAACTGCAAACCACCACCGCTTCACAACAGTAATACAAGAGCAGAACTTACGGGAATGATAAGCCATTTCCACCTTAAGGGCTCGGGCAAAGGTATCAGGCTGTGCGGCTTGAATGTTCGCTAGTGCCACCCGTAGCTGATCTGCATCCCCCGAGATGGTGGTGCTTGCAGGGCTGTTCTCACAGGCCACAACGACTCGATCAGGAAGAAATTGACGCGTCTCTTCAGCTCCTAGACCAATTGCAGCCATTCCACCTTGCGTGGTAGCGTCTTTCGAAACGTAACCACGGTAGTAGGCGGCAGTGACGGCTTCGCGCAAAGTGAGTGCGTCTGCAGCATATGCAGCGGCAATCTCACCACTGGAGTGACCAACCACGGCCTGTGGGCGAACCCCCAGGCTCTTCAGTGCGTTTACCAGACCTATCTGGACAACGGTGGACAGAGGTTGCGCCAACTCTGCACGATGCAATTGACTCGAGCCGGTGGGTTTGGTCAACTCCTCTGCGACGGTGTTAGCTTGGCGAACAGGGTAACCACTCCTGCAGGTAGAACTAAAACTTACCGATAGCTGTCCACTGAGGGCGGAAGGGAGCTTCCAAGCTTTGCAGGATTTCGTCCATTGCCATCACATCTTCTTTGAAGCCCGGAAGCGAAGCCAGGAGGTCATGACCCATCTGTGGCCATTGGGACCCTTGGCCGCTGAAAACCATAACAACTGTCGGTTGCCTAACGGGCTTGTTGGTAGGAGGGGCAAAATTCACAGTGTCTAGGTTGGAAAGAGTTGCAAATGATCTCCATTTGAAATGCTCCCGGCGTCGAGAGAGTGTATAGGCGAGATCCGGTAAACAGTCAGGATGGCTTGCAACATACTGCTTGAGATTCTCGATCCCGGCCTTCAGGGAATCTTGAGAATTCGCAGAGATGACAGCAAGTTGAGAGCTTAGCTGAGATTGCGCGTGATCTTTGAGGTATTGTTCAGCAGAATCGAGAATGATCTAGGATGTGCGTAAGTGAGTGCAAGTAGAACTATCTCAAGGAGGAAAGGATGAACACTTACATGCGCATTAGTGCCCCCGATACCAAAGGAATTGACACTGATTCGATGTGCCTTTCCTTCGGGCCACGGCATGGGCTTGACAGGTACCGTGATTTTCTTCTCCTCAAATGGAACTGTAGATATGTTAACTCTTCGTTTCTCGAAGCCAACCTATGCTCGACTTACTTCGAGGATTTGGAATCTCGAATTTGATGTTTGGAGGAATGATCTTATGCTCCAAAGAGAGAACAGCCTTCATCAAGCTCGAGATACCAGCTGCAGCTTCTGCGTGGCCCAGATTTGGCTTGACAGACCCGATATAGACGCCTCCGCTTGGTACACCGAAAACATTGCCGACTGAGATTGCCTCGACGGGATCGCCCACAGGAGTTCCTGTTCCATGACACTAAAATAAACCGTCAGATCACTGTAGGGTAGCAGCAGCAGCGGATTCTTACTTCAACCATAGCGGTATCAACTGGGTTGAGACCCGCGCCCGCATACGCTTTTCTCATCAGGGCTTCCTGCGCCACAATGCTGGTTGCGAATAGGCCAACGCTTTGACCGTCTTGGTTACAAGCAGTATTCCTGATAACTGCTCGAATTGGGTTGCCATCTCGGATTGCATCACACAGTGGTTTGATGTAGATAGCGTTGACTGCTTCACCACGTCCATACCCATCGGCACGTGCGTCAAAGGTCTTGCACGAACCCTCTGGAGACATGATACCTTCCTGAGTCATGGAAGCGGTCGTGATGGGCCCCATGTTGAGATTTGATCCTGATATGATTGCGGCATCGCAATCGCGATTCTGAACAGCTCGAACTGCATTGTGCATTGCAATCATGGACGAGGAACATGCCGTTTTGACCACGTAACTTCATAGCACTGTCAGCAGATCATTTATACTTAGGGAAGGAGGAACGACCTACCATGGGCCACGAAGGTCATACTCAAAGCACACTCGATTCGCCAACATCGGGTCGAGATGGCCTGTAAGAACATACCCAGTCGCATGCTGTTCTTCCCTGGATTGTGTCTGTAGCCAATCTTCGGAGAATGTACCAACGAAAAATCCCGTGACGCTTCCTCGATAATCAGTCACACCCGCGCTCTCCAAACATTCTCGAACAACCATTAGGAGAAGACGTTGTTGTGGGTCGGCCTTTTCCAATTCATTCCTGGTCATGGTGAATAGACCAGCGTCGAAAGCAGCTAGGTCATCTTCCAGGAAGTATGCCTCCTTTTGCTGGATGATATTCGTCTTACCCATGGAGTCATCAAAGCCTTTGATGTTGTAACGGGAAATTGGTACTGGCTCCCTCAAGTCTTTGCCGTTGACCAATACATCCCAATAGGCTTCGGGAGTCTTGACGCCGCGAGGAAGGCGCATAGCCATTCCGCAGATGGCAATAGGCTCAGAATATTGTCCATTTGGCCCGACCATATTGCCGTTGTTTGGTATTGTCGTCGTCTGGTATTGTCGTCGTCTGGTATTGTCGTCGTCTGGTATTGTCGTCTTCTGGTATTGTCGTCGTCTCGTCTTCTGGTATTATCGTCGTCTGGTATTATTGTCGTCTGGTCTTGTCGTCACTTGGTAGAATCTAATAGATGTAGTCTACAGTGTATGAAGATGTAGGTAAAAGTGTATGAAGGTAGTGCGTTGCCAGTTTTCAACTCATTCACAGACGATGGGAGTGCCTACTTATATGTATCACACAAGGGACCACTAGTGACAATTGGAGATAATGGAAAGGATATTCTCCGCTAGCTTATCGCCATCACTACTCTTCATTTCTCATTGGAGAATTTTAGGGAGCGGTTGAGGCGGCTGCTATGATCTTTGAATCCGCCCGCCCGCCCTTTCTTGATCTGATAGACAACCATTGCATCTTAGAGATAAGGAAAGCATTCTTCCATAGTATCATCTGTATCAAAGTGCAATGTTTTAGAAAGCGGTTAAAGCGCAACGATGGCTAAATCCGCTTGTCCTTTCTCGATTTGATGGACATGTCACATCCTTTCTGATATGATGGACAACTTTTGCATGTCAGAGATAAGAGAAGGATTCTTCTGTACTACCATGCATATCAAAGTGTAGTATGGTAAGGTTAAGGCCGTAGCGATCTTTGAATCAGCCCGTCCTTTCTTGATTTGATGGACAACTATCGTACCTGAGAGATGATGGAAGAATTCTTCCGTATCACCACCCACATCATAGTGCGGTAGTCTAGGAACGGGTGAAGCACGCAATCATCCTTGAATTATGTCACTCTGCCTATGTTTCTTATCTACAGGTCCAAACAATATCAACTCAAAGGTCTTCGTCCACATAATAGCGCCACATTACTGTTTAAATATTCTATATTTCGGAACGGAGCAGTTTGGGAAACTGTAGAAGCTGCAATTATTTCTAAATTTGGCAGTGCCGCGGTCTCTCATCGTCCTTACTGCCTACAGATCGGACAAGATCGAGTCGATCGACTGTAACAATCTTCAGCCGTGAGCCGCACCTGGTTGACAATTGCTTAGAAGCCATAGATCTGCAGAAAGCCGAATACGCAATACCTGCATGAGTGAGATAACAGCTGTTCTGCGTTAGGAAGTTAGGAAAGGTAATGCAGGTAGTGCTCTACGAAAGTAACGGTCAAAACCCAATATAAGGCTGCATAACGGCAATATGCCAAGAGTCTATCCCGCGTGTTTATACTAGTGTCTTGACATGTGAAGGAGATATCTCCATACGCGGTACAATAATCCGGACCTTTGAACTCTGAGTTCCGAAGAGCTTTCTATACTACATATAGTAAAAACCTGCCAATTCTCAGGCTCCCATTGGTTGTGAAGCACAGACGGAAGATATTGGATGACTACGGCCTGTGCGAAAGTAGGACACTGGTGCAGAAGACAGAAGATCGTCATAGTTAAGAGCTAAGAGAAGTGCTACAAGATGGCAAACGACGCTCTGTTGTCTCAACACAGTGTCAGCCTTAGCCGTTGACGCTTGTTTGCCGAGCGCGCTTCGGCCCGCCCCATGCAAACCCAACTAGGCATTGGTTATCTCGGAGATGCGGGCCTAGTGTGCCACTGTACCGGCAGATACTGGCCAGATGCAAATCTCAGTACAGTAATCCGAACTAGGGTTATTTTACTCCGTTCCGGGTTTATTCTATTGTGCATAACACAAGCTTATCGCTTGAGCCGACTGATCCACCAAAACACTAACTGAGTCGGAGGACCACCTCGAGGTTCTTGCATAACGTGTTACTGACCTGTCACCTGTGAATTTTCAACGCCATCTGCGCGTGCATTTAAATGCAATTGTCAAAATGTGTTTAGTGACGACGTGCGGACAATAAACGAACCATGAGCCCATAGTTTGACATTATACGAAAGGAAGCGAGTGGTTGGACGTGGTGCGTGTAAAAAGGTGGTAAAAGCATGGAGGCAGAGAAGACCTTTACGCTATCTATATTCGTCCTTAGCGTGGATCTTCCTGATATAGCCAGCTTTTGCCGTCCTTCATACAAAAGAACTGTATAAACCCCATTTCAGGAGAAATACATATCATATTGGCAAGCCAAAAATACCTTCGACCAGATTTCGCTCCTACAGTCCTACTCAAACATGACGCGAGTGCTTCTCACCGGTGGCTCAGGCTTTATTGCAGCCCACGTCTTAGAGAGTCTGCTAGCTCATGGCTACTCTGTCGTGACCACCGTTCGCTCAGCACAGAAAGGCCAGCAAATACTTGATTCATACAAGCAATATGGCAAAGACAAGCTCGACTACGCTATTGTCGAGGATATCTCGAAGCCTGGAGGTCGGTCACCCTCCTCTCCAGACAAAAATCACAGACATTGTACTGATAAAATAATATCACCTAGCCTTTGACTCCGCTGTGGTATCAGACCCACCTCTCGAAGCGGCTGTTCATTGCGCCAGCCCATATCACTTCAATGCCAAAACCCCCGAGGAGATTAACCAGCTCATCACTACAGCTGTTGATGGCACAACCGGCATTCTGAAGGCAATCAAGTCCCATGCTCCCGCGGTAAAACGAGTAATCATCCTTTCCTCATACGCAGCAATGGTTGATTATGGTAAACCAATGACACATGTCTACACCGAAGTAGACTGGAATCCCATCACCAACGAGCAAGCCTATTCAAGTGCCCCATTCGCGTATTTAGCAAGCAAGACCTTTGCGGAAAAGGCAGCCTGGGAGTTCATCAAAAGTGAAAAGCCGAACTTCACACTCACTACTCTGAACCCACCAATGGTCTACGGCCCTGTCATCCACTCACTCTCCTCCCTCGACTCAATCAACACCAGCAATGCACGATTCGTCAGCCTCCTCAAAGGTAGTCCCTCAACTCCTTGCCCTCCAACTGTCAACTATCTCTTCATCGACGTGCGCGATCTGGCCTTGGCGCACGTCTTAGCACTGGAGAACCCGGAAGCAGAAAACCAGCGTTTCTTGGTCACCGCAGGAAACTACAGCAACGCCGAAATTGCACAGGTTATTGGCGAGGAGTATCCCGAATACAAAGAAAGGATGCCGGTTGGGGAGGCGCTGAAGCCGGGTGAGAGGCCAGCTACTGGTGTGAATGGGTACGATAATAGGAGAAGCATTGAGATTCTAGGCATGAAGTATAGGCCGCTCAGAGAGTCGGTGGTAGGGGTCGTGGAAAGCATTAAGAGATTTTTGTAAATTGCATTCCACGAAAATCACGCAATCAATATCACGCGTCCTCATTTTGTACTCGTTGAAATGCTAGGAAACAAATGAACATATTGTCCAACTCGAACTTGTCTTGAGAGCTATTTCCTCAAAACTCTAAATGTTCATGACTGTTAGACTGCACTATACCACACCGAGTAGATTGGAATGGTAAATCATGATATGCGAATGGTGTAGGTGTAATCCGTTCTGTTAATGTTCGCTTGGAGGTGAGGTTTCAGTAGCGAGATACGGATGTATCACGTGATATAAGTCAACATGAACTGAATCAACAGAATACTGCCGATGAGCATTCCATTGAGATCCATTGATAATACCATCATGAACAGCTTGGTAAGCAGTAAAGGAAACTCCACTGGAAGTTACTGATAGGAAAATCGGGCCGTCAAGCGGGATTTCTTCCCTTTGCCCATGCATCCTCCTCGAATACCATCTCTTTCTCCAAGCACTCACCTCTAATCCTTTGGTGATGTCAGAGATCGGGCTGAGAGCAGTGTATATAATATCACATGCATGCTGGGGCATTTTAGTAAACGTACACAGGGATTTGGAGATACAGGAGGGCACTCAATCACAATACCTAATTAGTTCATTGAATCATTGTTGCTTCCTTTGCTCTGCAGGAGTTCTAGGTATGCATGCAAAATACGCCAGCTCGGAGCGGACTTCAGAGCTGTCGAGCCTGTATCAGTAGATTATGCACCAGGAATGCACCATGATGATGTGGATTCTGGATTTTGAGATTGTGAAGCAGTTTCTCGTTTTGGTTGCGTTTTCCTGCAAATCGGGTCGGGTCGGGTCTTTGGTGCGTTGTCGATCTTTCTCTTTCTATCTTTGGCAAATGCCATGAGCCATTTAGTAGCCAGACTTATCAAGAGTTTCCTTGTCTGCTTTGGAGAAGGTCTTTTTGTTTCCCGATTCGGTGACATCTTTCGAGGCGCTAGATCTGCCGAGGCTGGTGAGGCGCCTCAGCGCTTTGTTACGGTGATGTCCAACTGGCCTATCGCTTGCTTTGGTGTGGTGCGCGACAACGTAATCATGCAGGTTCAGACGAAGCTCTGAGCATTCGTTGGCACAAAGGCTGGTGAAAGGGAGTTGTCAGAATCATATCTGGTAAACGATATGCTGGAAATGGCATAGTGCCGGGTAAAATCCCCCCTGCCATTCCCTATGTTTTGGCAAACGCGGAGAATAAGTAAGCATTTTTGATCGGGATTGATTAGGCCGGCCCACTGAAGTCCACAAATTAAGGCTGCATGCAGGTGCTGCCGTATCACTCCTGGTGAATCCTGCTGCACCTTATCTGCGCCACCCGCGTTTACTGCTCGAAAGATGATTCCTAATCGGGTGAGATAAAGCAGCCATGAGGCTCACAAACCAAAACACTGACTAATACACCCGTGCGTCACTGTTTAAAGTTGGGGCTCGAAAGATAATACCGCATTCGGACTAGCGTCTCTCAAAGGGACTATGGTACTTCCACCAGTTACTCCTCGAACTTGAACTTCATCCTTCGTTGAACTTCATTCTTCGTCGATAGTCAACTCCGCTGTGGAACCAGAAGCAACACGCTATTCTCCCGTTCTTCGTTTGCCATGATGGAGTCGAAAGTGGACACTGATTCTCAGGCTCCTACCTTGAACAAAGGCTCGCAAGATCACTTACACGACGATTCAAACCCACAATTAGGAAGGTTGGAAAACGGTGACCTCGAGAAGAACAACGTTGCAGAGCCCCCATCAAAGCAGGCGCAAAATTCAGCTCCCGCTGGACAAGATCCAAACGAGTTCCCGGATGGCGGCTTTCAGGCATGGTTCTGTATTGCAGGAGGATTCTGTACCGTATTTTCAAGTTTTGGCTGGGTAAATTGTATGTTCCATTATTATAGACTTGCTGTAAACATTGTGAACTAACAAGACAACAGGTATTGGCGTTTTCCAGGACTACTACCAAGCCAACCAGCTCTCCTCGTATTCGCCAAGTACCGTGGCATGGATCCCAGCAACAGAATCATTCATGCTCTTCTTCTTCGTGAGTTCATGGTACACGCCTTTGGCTAGAGGAATTCTAATGTTTTCGCAGGGTTTGTTCTCCGGCAAGCTAAGTGACAGCTATGGTCCGCGATGGCCGTTGCTTGTGGGATCATTTATGCATGTTTTTGGATTGATGATGCTCTCAATATCCACCGAGTACTATCAAATATTTCTTGCCCAATGTATCTGCAGTGGAATTGGAACGAGTTTCCTGTTCTACCCTAGTAAGTACATCCATGACTCTGTCATTGTGAAACCCATGGCTAATAGCGCTCAGCTATTGCTGCGGCTGGAACGTGGTTCAAGAGACACCGAGCACTCGCATTCGGCATCATGGTGTCTGGTTCCAGTATGGGCGGTGTCATACTTCCAATTATGGTCCAGGAATTGATTGGGGAAGTCGGATTTGGATGGGCAATGCGTATCACTGCATTCCTTATCCTTGGGCTGCTAATCTTCGGCAACATCGCAGTCAAGTCTCGTCTACCCCCTAAGAAAAAGCCGTTCACCTTCAAGGAGTATTTCATGCCGTTCGCCGAAATACCATTCCTACTTCTCGCTATTGGTTCGCTCTTCGTCTACATCGGCGCATTCTTGCCTTTCAACTTCATCATTGTTCAGGCGAAGCAAGCTGGCATGTCGACCAGACTCGCGAACTATCTCGTTCCGATCATCAATGCAGCGAGTGTCTTCGGTAGAATCTTCCCTGCTCACCTTGGAGATGTGTATGGTGTGTTCAACGTCTGCATCATTTTCACGTTGTTTAGCGGAGTCATAAGTCTTGCTCTGTGGCTACCAGCAGCTTCCAACGCTCCAATCATCGTCTTTGCAGTGCTGTACGGATTTGTGTCGGGCTTGACACTTGCCATCATTCCTGCTTTGGTGGCTTCGATATCCGATATCCAAAAGCTGGGCTTCCGCGTCGGCGCGCTCTATGCTTTCTCTTCATTCGGTGCTTTGTTCGGCAGCCCAATTGCTGGAGCGATTGTGACTTCACAGAATGGGGGCTACTCCGGCCTCAAGATCTTTTGTGGTGTTATGCTGATCGCGGTAAGCACGTCAAGTGCAACATCTCTATCATGAAGACTAACGATCGTAGGGTGGTGTGTTCATCGCTTTCTCGCGGGTCATATTAGTAGGTCCTGGACTGCTGGTCAAGAAGTGAGTGACGTGTTTGGGTTCATGTATATTAGAATGAAAACTCGGTGAGCATATTAATGAGCGTCAGAAGGAAGCGTCATGGCATATTAAGGCGCAGGTGGAGCAACAGTCTGACTTTCAAAACAACAATTGGGGATTCCATGGGATTTGTTTAGTGGAGAAGTCTCCTTCGATTCTTCTCTGTAAAATAATGTACTCTTTCTCACAGTCATTGACGACAGATGCTTTGGACATTGATCGGTATTGCTCACCGTCAATTATTGAATATTGATTACAGTAGCGGGGCGAAGTGAATACAAAATTTTGAACGCCAAAACCCCCATTCGCTGATTGATATGTAGCATGGAATTTCATATTGTGATCGTTCCCCAACTCGATTTCCACGTGTTCTACTCCCCAAATCCCTTCTGGTGTGCCCTCGCTCTGCCTTGCTCGTGTGAGCTCTTGGGAGTTCACCAGTAGTATTTCGACGAATCGCAATAGCTGCAGAAAATGTTACAGGATGACATGCTGCGCAGCAGCTCAAGCCTTACCTTGACCAACCTCCCAATGGCTCAACAATGTCTGCGAATGCCATCGTTGACAGTCCCCAACGTGTACCAGGACCTTCCATCTTGTGCATATTTTGCAACCATGACCACTCTTGCTCGTGACCCGGATGCAGCCGAAAATACTGTCGAGCGCTCCAAGACGGATAGGTGATTCCGTGGCTCCCGTATGTTCCCATCTCTATTCGATGATAATACTCCATTGACTGACATATGTTGCGCGCCATCTTTGTACCCTCGCTTTGAATCTCTCTTAAGAGAGTGTTCTGACTAGAAGCTTCTAACCTGCTTGACGCATCTACCACAGTAGTATCAACTTGAGCCAGGAGATCTTCGAGCGCAATGTGACGATCAAGTCTTGCTTGTACAAGGGAATGTATCTGAATAACATTGCTGTACAGCTGAGCGGCGACCGACCAGCACATCACAACCGTGGCAGCGACGCTGAGGGATTCGAACTCGAAGCAGGACGAGAAGACTTTGTTCGTAGGGTCTACATCAGCAAGATTCGATGCACAGCTTGGGACCAGCCAAGATCGAGGAGTCGGCGAATTTTTCCAGAAGTTATCGTACCACGACTTGATAGACTTCACCTTAGCTAATATTGATCGTACAATGTCGGCCGACTCCTTCAGGAGAATATTTCTGTCACCGATGGAAGGGAGTGATACCACTTGCTCGAGCAGAGTAGGAATATCTGCGATCATCTGATAGACTTCGCCAAGAGCATCGTCAAGGTTGGATTCGTTGACAATTTGTCGCCATATATTGTTTTCGAGAAAGTCAGCTTGTCGCTTCGTTAGAGCTTCCAGAGTCTACTAGATCGTTAGATGGAAAACAAAGATGCTTGGCTAAACTTACGCAGACAATCCTCAGACGTGAAAATAAGTGTCGCCAAGCCGGAGTACTCGCCATTCTCTGATCACGCAATCGTAGGATCTCTGCAATGCCGCGTGCGTGAACGCTCCAGCCATTTTCTGTAGGACACACAAAGAGCTAGGAATTTTTGTCAGTAATTCTATACCTGAAGGGCTGGGTGGAATTGATAGATGCGCCACATATTATCTAAGCTACAGTTCACAGTCTCACCACGATGCTTCACAGGATCTTCTATACATACCTCACACGTAGATAGTACTAAAATAGCGGCCAATGTTTCTTCTAGAAATTGTCTTTCCGGATCGGCTAGATCGGCGTAGAGGTGCTGCAGAGCAGTGTTGTACTGATCAAGACATTCGTAAAGTGAAGCATTACCTGCGCCAGTAATGTGCAGCTGGACAAGGCAGAACGCGAAGAGGGCAGTATTCAACGATTTGCTAGGTGCCACTAGATCTTTCAGGCAGTATACCCACGAGAAGCCTCCTCCGCTGGTCTTTGTATTGTAGCTGCTTGACACTGGCTTTTTCGGGAGATAGATAGCTTCTAATAGCTCGACAGCATAATGTCGAAAATCGCGGCTTTTGTGCGAGGACTCGGTAAAAAGATGATGCAAGTCAGCCTCTTTCTTTGCGTCTTTCAGCCTCTGCTGAGCCTTGATCTGTGACAGCACTGATGTCGCGGTGGACGAAGGGTCCGAGGGGGTCCTGTTGACAAAAATGAGATCCCGGTCGTAGCCAGTACAAGCTCGATTTGATGTGGTGCACTTTAGGCAAGAGGGCCGTCCCAAGTCGCACTAAGCAGGGTTTTCGATTAGCAAGATATACCATTTGCTTACATGATCTATGAATGGTTACATACCTTTACTCTCCTCTTCCTGCAGGTGTTGCAAGCCTGCGACTTCCCAGCGACGCCGACCATGTGTAACTTGACGAACAGAAGGAGAGTGTGAGATAAGGCAGACTTAACACGCACCCTTCGAGATGGATAGTACGACTGAAGAGTTTAGGAACAGTTGCTGTGCAAGTGACCTGAACCTTGGTGCAACCCCGCCAGTGATTATAAAGATGACGGTGGAGGTATCTCCGGCCGAGCTAAGCTTAAAGAGCACTAGTGCTGTTTACATGAGGCGATTGTCTCCTGATAGCCACTTGGACGGTTTTTGTTCTAGAGTTTGATTCTACAAGTCGGCGTGGTCTTGTAAATTTGTTACTAGCAAGTTTTCAACGTTCTATCTTTAGCGATTGAATAAAGACATGCTATTTGCTAAGGTACGAAGGTGCGTGGTGCGTGGGTCAGTGGACCTTAAAGGCGGTTGGTGCGCTTTCACGGAGTTTTGCTCGCGGTAGCTGCTCCTCCCCTTGCTGTCAAGTTGTTGACTATTGTCAAACCCACAGAGCCGCTCTCGCATTCAATGACCATTTAAATTTAGTTCTTTGGCGAAGAGTAGGCCTCTAGATCTGTTTCACTCGGCATCAATGAGATGACACTTCAAATCAGGGCGCTGGGCATCTATACAGAATCTATGTAAAAATTAGTAAACCTGTTTAGTACTATTCTATGCCTATTGCCAATCTTCAACTACAATACTAGTGCACCCCCAAGCTTCGTCGAGGTCTATTGACGATTACAAATTGCAAGATGTCTCGGCTGAATGCCAAAACCCACAACATTATGTAGACATGTTGGTCCGAAGCCAGATTCGCCAGGGGATGGCTAAGAGAAAACAAAAGACATATGAAGGGTTTTCTCCATGCAATTTCCTACATAATCCTCGGTTTCATTGGTCGGCTACCATATTATGAAGACTGACATCCGAGCGCCCACCCACAGGTGGTGGTGTTGTCATGCTATCGCCAACGGTTGCAAACCCACCGACGCTCGCATCTTCAATCCTGGATTTGCCTCGAGTGCTTTCAAACTTTTTCAAGTAACCATCAGACACAGGCGTGACATATCTTCCGCAGAACACACCGACTTCAAAACGCTGGTTTGGTCGAGGGCTGAGTTCCGCGCAAGCAGCTTCGAGATCTTCTAGGCTGAGAAAGACCACTTCATCTGCGTTTATCGATGCCGCAATCGCTTTGCGATCGCGGTTGTGAGCGACCATTTCCGATGATGTGGCTAGATCTATGCCGTAGATATGTGGATGTCTAGGATATGTCTCAGTAACCATCTGCCACACAGGCTAGAATGTGACTTACGTAACCGGGGGAGCAGTATATGCAAAGTATACCTTCTTTGCTCCGGCGTCGCGTGCCATATTGCAAACTCGCAGGCTAGTGGTGCCTCTCGCGATTCTGTCAAGTGATTAGCTTCTCGAACCAATTAGCAGCACTCGTCACGTACGTGTCATCGATGAGAAGCACAGTCTTCCCCTCGAATTCCCTTCTCTGTGGATTGAGTTTTGACTGGACACTTTTACGGCGTTTCTCTTGACTCGGCATGATGAACGTCCGGAAAGTGTAGCGATTTCGAGAAAATGCATGTCTATACGGCTTTTGGAGAGATTCAGCAACAGCTAGTGCGGACACAACTCCTGAGTCGGGAATTGGAATCACTACACCTATCAGTAAAATCCAAAGTGGGCCTGCTCCAAGGATTGATACTCACCAACATCAATGTCATCTACGCTAGATTGCCCCAATATCTCCCAAATGGTGTGCGAGAGTTTGTACCCCATATTCTGCCGACTCTGGTACACAGAAATGCCATCAATGGTTGAGTCTTCACGACTGAAGTAGCAATATTCGAAGATATCTGGTGTGTAACTCAATTCTGGGTGGACTTGGCGAAAGATAGGCTTCCCTCCCTTGGGAATGATTACTGCTTCGCCAGGCCTGATGTCCTGAACATCAGTAAATCCAAGTTGTTCCAAAGCAATGGACTCGGAAGCTAGCATGTAATCCACCCCTTTCCCATCCCGGTTATTTCTCGATCCCATCACCAGAGGTCGGATCCCGTTGGGGTCTCTGGCACCAAAAATTGCAAAACCTGCAACCATGCCGCAGAAGGCGAAGCCTCCTACAGTCATCTTGAACCTAAAGTCACGGTCAGATCTGAGTTCCATAGATGCCTGCTATGGAGTGGTCGAGTAGAAGCTCACATCTTTTCGAGGCCAGTGAATATATCATCAGCATCCACCCTCCGCTTGTCTCTCTGCAGTAGCTGAGAAGCCAGAACTTGCAACATAATCTCAGAATCACTGTCTGTATTAATAGGAGGATGTGCTTTACGATCCAGGTATTCCTTAAGTTTGTCCGTATTCAAGAGGTTGCTAGAACTGGCGTCAGTGACTCGATAAAACACTACCGCGCTGCTCAGATCACTTACCCATTATGGGAAAATAATAAGCCGTACGGCCTTTGTCTCAGTCAGTAAGTATTGAAAACTTCAGTAATCAGCATAACTTACGAGCTGACATAAAATGGCTGACTCGCGGCGTTCGACGAAGTACCTGCTGTGGGATAGCGGAGGTGGCCAAGGCCCATGAATCCAGGCAGCTCAGGAAGCAGAGCACTATCTCGGAACACCTTCGATGCGAATCCTTTCCCTTTGCAAGAGTACATTCGTCCAGACTTGTGGGATGTTGCAATGCCACACGCGTCCTGTATTGATTTTGTCAGGTCTTGCAGGTAGACGTTTGATGATGTGCGACGATGGCTTACCTGACCACGATGGTGCAGTGCGTAGAGAGCATTATGCAACTCGATAGCTGCATCTTTAGAGTCCAAGTTCCCAAGTATCAGTGCTAGAACACCACACATTTTGCTGTACGAAGTGGAGATTTCGTAATTCGGGTTTTTGGGTTTGTATCCGGTGAGGGTGTTGGATGAGTGCGCTGGATGAGACTGATGACACAGAGAGAAATTTTCAATTTGAGGAAGTACTTGTGAAATATAACCAAGCTGTTCAGTCGGTTTGATAATGATTGACTAGGTGAAATTTAGCCAAGCTGTTCAGTCGGTTTGATAATAATTGACTAGGTGAGTGTTAAGTGCCGAGACTAATTTGTGACAGTCTTGTGTTAGCGGATCATTTCACCCAAGGACTTGGTAAAGGCTATTCTAGCTCCCAGAAACGCACTAGCAGTTTTTGACTGTCATGAAAACCTCGGTTAAAATAATAAATACCGTAGGCAGTCATGAACAAGTGCAAAATTTAATTCAAGTATCGAGACTCAGCCAGGCTAAGCCCTTTTACCAGGCCAAGTTTCTCACAAACCCAGTACATACAAAGCGAAAGGATGGGCATTACGAGTCTATGATTTCAAGTTCATTAAGTTATATTCAGGTCAATGCGTGACAATTAAATTGCTCAGAACATGTGGGTGAACTGTTTCTACATCACTATGGTAATGGTTATCGAGTAAAATAAAGGTATGTATTTCCCAGGGAAGAATCTTGATTACACGAGTCTGAACTCTTTCTAGATAGCTTTGGTCATCATTTGACTCATGAACTCTGATTGTTGCCGGCCTGTCTCCCCAGAAGCAACTTCTGAGTTTGAGATACAGAGGAGCCTGCATCCTGGTTGTTGTTCTGGGCCGCTACTCTCTCTCGCCATTTCTCGGCTGCAATGCAATCAGCACACTGATTGATTGGCTCTATGATTCCTTTATATGGAGATACACAGCTCAGCTCGCAGCGATGAATGGTTTCCTGGCCCCAACCATGACCGCAGGAATAGGGATGGAGCGCACGGTGACACATGTTGCTCGCTGCTTCGAGATTTGTCGATGAAAATGTAAGTACACAACTGGGAAGTTATTGATGTGAGAGAGACTCAAATATTGCTATCTGAAGCAAGATGAAGTGCCACTGACAGTTCGGAAGGAAATTTTGATCAATTGATGGCAGAGAGGAATTCGGGTTAATTGGACTGAATTAAACTAATGTAGTGCTTCTTGACGTGTTGTTTCCCAAATAAAAACAGGCTACGAAATGTCAACAGAGTTAACAAAGGGCTTAGAATGATACATTGTATGTCTTTGATGAGTGGCTGCACTTTGTTGCACCTGAAAGAAAATACGGCTCCGCCGAACTGTTTGTTCAAGCGAGCCGCCATCCGATGAACATCACACACCTTTCATTTATTCTCTGTGTTCATGCCTACAAATTCAACAAAATATACACGAATCTATTGTCTAGCTTTGGGGATGTACGAAGTAAATCAGACGGAACTTAAAGCATTCATTGTTGAACAGAGTCTACGCAGCTACTGGGAGGCTTTCAGCTCTGGCCTCTCTGGCCCTGCGGCGAAACCAGCTTCTGATAAGCGAAAAGGTCGCTGAAAACTCACCATGAATCGTAATGAGATCTCGGAAGGATTTCCCATCACAATAAGGTTAGCTTTGTGAAGGAAGGTTATCCTCGACGCCCTTCCCGTCTTTTTCATCTCCTTTCCCTTCCTTCCCAGCTTCGCCTTCTAGCTTATTGACTTTAGAAAGCCAATTACCGATCTTCGAACAGTCTGGACACTGCTTTAGACTGAATACATCGTCAAGCTTAACCTCCCTATGAGGAGCACTGCAAGTATTCTCGGCTCTGCGCCTGGCCCAGCAGCGAACGAGGCGAGGAGTGCCAAGCGAGATGTCGTGCCCGTGACCGCAAGTGTATGGTATGACCTGCACATGGCACATTATCCTGTGTTGGGAATTGAGAGCTGTGAACAGAGGAGTTTTTATATCGGAATGCGAAGAGATGGGATTGTGACAGGGTGCGTGATTGTCATGGTGAGTATTCGAATGTCGGTATCATGTTGATGTTTATACACGCTTGGGAGCATTGTTCCCCTATCCAACAGTGATACAGAATAGTCCACTGTGGGACAAAGCGCGGTTGGAAAAGGAGTGATGTCTAGGCCATTATGTAGATTCTACCTAGATTGGAGAGTGCCATCGTGTACGCCGCTTCGTAGAACAGCACCATAGATTCTTCATGACTATCTCAGTACAATCTCCCGATCCTCACCAAGAACCCTCCAATCTCCCCACCACCCCTGCGGCGCAACAACACACACCCTCTCCCAACACCCCGGATACGACACCGACTCCCTAATAAGCAACCCCATAGTCCTCAACGTATAATCCGTCATCGCCGCCCCCGTCGCAGACCCCACCTGCGCAATAAGATAAAGCAACCTCACTCCCTTCCTCTCCGCAAAAAATCCCCAATCTTCCGCCGTATCCAGCGCCACAACCGAAGGATCGGCCGTATCTCCTCCCCCTTGACGCGGGGACCTCAGTAACAAGTGATACATCTCCCCACCCCGCTTGACCTGGTAGATTCCCCTCCGCTCAAACGACTGCATGTTAGCATAACTGTCAATCCTCGGCGCCACGCCTTCACACTCATCGACAAACACCTCGACGACTCTACTCTGCACGCGAACCATACCCGTCGACACAGGACCCATGGGGTTCTCCCCAGAAGGCTCACAAGACCCTTCCAAAACCACCCATATCGGCGTTGATGGATGCTGACGACTATCCGTCCCGAACGAACAGAACGCTACACCTCCTTGGATGGAAGCCCACGACCAGGACGGCGCACAGTACGTTTCGTGTCTGCTGCACGGAGCGGCGGGTCGGTTCCAGCCGCGCCAGAGGAGCTGGCTGTTTGCGTCTTCGCGCCAGATACCTGCCCAGTAATTTTCTGGTGGACGCCCGAGCTTGGATGCTACTCCCGCGAGGGCCGACAGCCTGTCGCTTTCGTAAGTGAAAGTTCGCTCACCGTACATCTCGACGAGCTTCTTCCAGGATTTGTTCAGATCCGTAGTGCGGCCGGCAAGGCGTCTAGTGCTGTTGCTGGCTGACAGGCCTCTTGTGACGATGCCGTCGCGGCGTTCAGTTAAGAGCAGGTTTCTGGTCAGGTCGTTGTCGGTGAATCGGGCTTCCGTGAGGGACTGCAGACCACATTCGCAGCGGGATATCGAGGCGCATTGCCAGTGGAGCTCGGTGCTAGAGAAGCAGATCTTGCGGCGGGAAAGGATTTCCTCTTGCATGATCCAGCCTCGATTTTGGAGCTGCGAGACAGCCTTGTCAACTAAGCAAAACGCTTCGTCTGGAGCGAGAGAATTGGGATAGTATGTGTGTCGAGTGGATGCCAATATCCAGCAACTGTCACCAGTCCGTGGGTCTTGATACTTGATTTCTCGTATCAATTCATTCGTGGTACTTTTGTCTTCTTCAGTCGAAAAAAGCCCCTCGTCGCAATGACTCGCTCGTTCAGCAAAGAGTGTTGCGTAAGCGTTCTCATAGATGTCGCCCATCCTAGCAGCCTCAATCTCCCAGTCCTGGAAGTCATCCTGGACGATACACAGTGAGTCGATCCAGAGATATTGTATTCCAAGCGAACGGGATACTTCGATTGCGTGTCTAAACGTCTGAGGAAACGAAGCCATGGGAATACCGCGACAGAATTCTTCGATGGATGCCCGTTTCGTGACCAGCATTTTGACTTGGGTGTCCAATATCCCCCAACGATGGCTGAGAGCTAAGTATCTTCCAACCTCACCATTAGTGATCTTGAGCGCTGGCTGGACTGTGCTACTTCCCACATCGATGATTCTGGTAGGAAGTTTCGGCAACATGTCCTGCCGACACGATGGATGGTTCACCAGACAATCACTAATCCACGCAGAGATATTCTGGGTATCTCGTAATTGACCCCTCTCAAACGGAGACTTGGTAACGTTCGGTAGCCACGGAAACGGCGATGGAGATCTCTCTATTCAGATTTAGTAGAGATAGCCTGGAAGATGGGTCAAGTCACTCACCTCCATCCACGGCGAGGACAACAACGGCAACAGTGGCGTCAGGTCTTTGAACACCTCCTTCAATACTCTTCGAGATCAGGTAGACACCGAAGCCGCCTTTGCTGCCGGACCAGGATGATAGATAGCCGACGGAATCATTGCTGTCTGCTAAGAGACACACACTTGAGAAGAGAAGACAGATGGAGCAATGCCCGTCAGCAGACCTGAAAATGTCTATTGTTGAGACGGGTTGTTCAGTGCATGTCGTGAGAGGGCCGCAGGTCTCGCACAGTGTTGCCGTGCTAGGGCCTTGCGAGCCGCTCGTTTCCTCATCGTATATTGTGATTGTAGGTAATCCATCGACAGCAGGCGTAGAATGTTGAAAGGAGGATGATTGCTCAACCTGTGTTCTCAGCTCAGGTGATGCGACTTCGGCACTGTCTGGAGATAGTCCCGCCGGCCCGGCATCATTTCTTTGCTTAGTAGTAGAAATAAGCCGGCCAAGTGCAAATTGCTTCGCTTTCTTGAACATCTTGAAGCCGACTCAGCCATGACTTGTGAGATGTGACAGTCGCCAGCTTGTGAAGAACGACTGGGTTGCGGGGTGGTACGCGGGTGGCTTGCGCCAATGTCAGTCAGATTGGCGCTAAATTGCTTTTGATTTCTGAGAACATTAGGACAGGGTGCTATCCAGTGGATCTTGACTGAAGAACCAAACAGCCTCTTCGTCTTTGTCCATCGTTCTCATGATATCTGGTTGCATATGGGCGCAGCCGTTGTCAACAATGACTTGGTCTCTTCAGAGGGGTGATGCCGAAGCGTACGCTGTCAACGTATTTTGTGTCATGCCGCTTACCTGCACTACCACCTATTGACTTACTCCGAACTCATCATCTCCCCACAGGAGATATCTCAAACTGAACAAATGTACGTTAGACTGTCCAAGGTTCAGCTGCACAATCCCAATGATTGAGAACTTCTATCGCTTAGCCTTCACTGCCAACAGACATTCACCTCAAGCCATGGATACATACCGGTATAAATAGCGGCACCACGAAACATAATGGGAGGCCCTATTCACACGGCCATGGACATGTCTTCTGCCGATATCTTGCAAGAAAGACTTGTGAGCAGTAGTACTATACAGCACAGTGGATCGCAATTCTTGTGCACAACCAGCTCCTTTCGTCTGTTGATGTAGGACAGTCCTGGAAAAATGGAAAGACTGCACAAATGAAGAAGTGGCGACAGTATGTTTTGACAGCAAGATTGCCAATGACAATCAGATCCCAAATGACAGCGAAGGACATCTTGAGACTATTTCCTTCAACCACCAAAGCCGCCACTTACGGCGAGGAAGTGGGATTTGTTGGAGGAGAGGTATCTAACCACCGTATCTTGTCACCAACAAATAACCAAAACCACTATTCATACCTTTCCCAATGAGACTCTCCACCAATTTCAATTGAAGATCTTCGCTTCTTCGGTGAGGTGTGAGGCTTTGAGCGAAAGCAAATAGATACATGTCATAGTGCTCTTTAAGGCCTGGCCAAGTGGCATGAATGCGGGAGGAACCTTGGCACCCTTGACGAGGCGAAGCAAAGTGCTCCTACAAGAATCAAATCTCCAGCTTCCATATTCAAAGATACAGAAACCAAAACAGGTGATTCTCAACTGTCATGTAACGCAAAGTGAATGTAGTGAAGTATATATACCCATACCCTCACACAGGACCGTGTGAAAGTGCAAACAGAGACTCGACTGCCACCAGTAAACACTGTTCGTGATGTGCCCCTGGGAGCAAGAAGTAATTTGAGAACTACGCCGGGCTGCAGATCGTGTAGTAACCAGCCCCCTTCAGAGGAATTTCGAACCGTATAGTATAGAGAACCTCCCTCTCATGGAGATAAGACCTTCTCATACTCTGTGGAATATAGATATTTGGCAGTCGAAGTCTTGACAAAAGATATGCAATTGACGACAGTGGGTTGCCGTATGACGCAAGCAAGGCGCAAGCTCCTCTTCCCTAACCGTCTTAGCTTTTGGTCGAAATCCGGAGTCAAATGTACGTCGCAGATGTAACTACTCGTCTCCATGCTATCCTCCCATTTTCGCTGCAGCCAAACGAGGTGTAGCTCATGCAACTGGGCTGTATTTGTTTTGGCAACGACATGCAAGAGGAGTCTCAGGAGACGAGATCTGGATATGTGCTCCAGGTTGTTCTGCGATTTCTCTAAAGTCGCCAGTGACGTTTGTTATGTTAGACTGCATCGCCGAGGGTCTATATCAAGCTGGCTCGTGTCTTCTGTCGATGCGTGTCGGTAATAGAGGAAGGTAAAGAGGTAGAAAGGGATGATTGCAGAGCCCGACAAGTATCGATCTGTGTTTCCTGAGCGAGTGCTGCGATAGCATCCTATAATCCACAAACAGCCAAAGCATTAAGCTCGAATTCCGAGACACCTTTCGTCCTGGAGCATTGAAGGGTCAAGAATGAAGGAGGCCAAGATTGATGCTTCACAGCTGAGGACCAGGCCTCGTGCCCAAGGACGTTCGGTTACACTCGGTATGGTGTGATGAGGCGAGGCTTCAACGACGAAGATCGTCTTATAGATTCCTTAGAAATGCACCGCGAAAGTGGATTCGCTGCGCCTGTTGTTCTTCAGAGGAAAGCCAACGGTGGCAACCACTGCGGCACAGGAGGGGGTGAAGATGGCACTGGACACCTGTTCCACCAACGAATTGTGCTCGTGTTATTCATGCCGCAGGGTTCAAAGACAACTGTCTCGCTTACAATACCAAGATCACGCATCAATAAGTATGAAAAGTATCAAGAGAGCATGGTCTGTATCCGCAATCTCCTCTCTGCCCCACAGTAAGACTTGTGACCTGGTTTCTTTATCACGAATTCCAAAGAAGATCCACAGTGGTCAAGACGGAAGCCGCGCTACGCTCATCAGTCAGAGAATACGACAGATGACAGACCGCCATCAAAGGTTGTCTAGATGGATTTGCAGTGACGAGCCAAGAGATATCCTCAATGAAGAAGCGAAAACAACACCGAGGGATCTTCTGAGAGGAGTCTGCTGCGTTGCGCAGCCACACCGAATGCACACATCTCCGAAAGAAGCAAGCGCCCCCGTCATAATCGGTTCCTTGAGCTAGATATGTTGGAAGAATGGCGGTACCACAGTTCAAGTAGAGTGGGACATCTTCACCGTGCGGGGTCAACGAAGACACTCGACACATCTGGCCAGAAGAGACATGTGTGAGTTGCATTAGAATCCCAAAGATATACCCATGACAGGACGAACAAGGTAAATCAATACTGCATCTCAGTTTTGATGTGTACTCAACAGCGCCAGCTGTTTGCACCCCCTTGTGGAGCGGTGAGTCGGATGTTCGCAGTCTGCAAGGACTGTTACCAAGATCTTCAGCGGGTGACATAATTACTTCTGAGAAAGGGGCACGAGAACCTTGCCTTTGCATGTAAGCATGTTTGAAATATAAATTCAACTTGATTCAATCGTATTAATGGAGCGGCAGCAGATAAACCGAGCAGTTCAACCAGATGGTATTCGTGTTATGATCAACCAAAGCAGAATAGGCATTAAAAGTCTCGAATGTCTTAGTCTTGCATCTAATCAAGAATTCAAAGTTAGAGATATGGATGCGAGTTGGATCGTGCATGATGTGAGAATAATAGAATCATGAAGCAATAATATCGCGGGAGCAACCGTCCGGCTTCCCGGAAGTCATCAATCAGATGCTGTATTGACCAGGCTCAGGCGTTAACTATAGCTCGCCGGATATTTTGTTGTTTCTATTGTAATTTGAAACCCGAACTAAGAGGCATTTCTTTGGTCCAACGGCAAAAACAAAAGAGCAGAATGCTTGCTTGTGACTAAATAGCAAAATTCGCAAGACCGGATATGGGCCCAGCTGAGTCCTCGGAAGACTAGGACTTGAGATGATGGTTCAAGGGATTACAGTGACATACAATGGCGCATAACGTTCTAGGATTACCAAAAGTGCGACGTCAAATATGCGCCCTTGACTCGGAAGAGTTATGATAGCCGAGTAACGTGATCAAGAATTGCTGTACCTGCCCTGCTTCGTATTGATTGTGGCATAGCCGTGGCTGGCCAACCTCCAAGTACAATGCTTGGATAAACTACCAGGGAAAAACAGGCAGAAATGCTAAACGGAAGGAAAGATGAAGGTCAAGACGGGCTGAATGAGTCCACAAGGAGTCCCGGACACGGCCTAGAAGAAACATATTGTACTGTTATGAAAAGACTTCAAGTACGCCCACACCTTGGCTTTTTGAAAGGGAGGAGGGCCCTATATCAACGTCGGGATTGATCCGGTAGGTCAATGGGCGGCAAGACCGATGATATTCATGATAGGATTGATAAGATGACATAAACATAAGGATATGTGGAGTCCACAAAGCGTTGTGTTCTTTGCGGTTGGTGACCCGAGCAAATTTCCAAAGAAAGTTGATGCTAAACCGAAGCGGCGTTAAGCTTAATTGCGCCGTGAGCTTCACGACCGGGGCCCTCAAAGCCTTGGGAAAGGTATCTTTAATGCTAGTGTAAGGTGAGGCTGGCATGCGTCACCAACGGCCCATAATCTCTGTTGATTCCTAGCATCTTGCATGTTTCTTGATGCTCTTCCAAGCAATCAAAAAAGGCGTTGCAGAGTATGCGGCCATTAATGGACAAGTAGAATGATAGCACGACACTGCTCAACAAGACGCAGGAAAGTGCGCGTAAACCGCCGTAAATGGTGACCATCTGTTGGTCGGGTTCCTCCTGCAAAATATGCAGGGCAATATTGAGGAGGTTTCCAGCCCGCCAGTCGGGTTGCCGTTGCCACCATCTCGGTACTTCCAGCACAAGAATTGATTCTTGCTCTGCACGCCATAGGCCGTCTTCATGTCATAAAACCGGTCCTGTGGCTCTGTGGCTGCTGTTGCCATCCAGCCTGCCAAATGGTAGAGTCCGATCTATGTGTTGCAGGTCCAGGGAAGCCACATCGAACCATGCCCACAGTGTTGTGGATAGCCGCGTCTAGGTGTGGAGAGCCAATGTTTGTTGCGATACTCTCTGTATGGATGACCGCAGATTGCGGTGTAACTTTTGCTCACAGACCCAGGTGTCTGTAGCTCCGCGGATTCTTAAAATGGGCAGAAAGAATTCGAGGATTTACTGGCGGCAAACGCGAGTAAGTATCTTTTTGGTAGCGGAACTCTGCAGTTCACTTCGGTGCAAAGTATGGCGTGGACAGGCAGCTGGTGGAGGGCAGCAATTCAAGGTGGCTTGCGGAGAATAGAAAGTCTGGGCTTCACTCGGACGGTAGACTAGCTGCTGATTGATTGTAAGGCAAGGGCGTGGAAGCCGGAAGAGGCATGGAGACACAGGTACCGATTCGGCGGCGCGAGAGTGAAGGTTTGGATAGCGAGGCTATTATTATTCTTGACTTGAGACGTGATGATGGCTCGGATGGGCAGCCCGGCATGGTAGCGGCACAACCGGAGCGGCAGGACAAGGTACTGTCAGGTCAGCACTGTACTGTACTGTACTTTGTTCAGAAAGAGTGAGGCTTGGTCTTGGTTACCAGACTTCGAGAGCTCGTAAGGCGGAGGAGAGACTTGATCTGCGTCGGGTAGGCAAGTCATGGTAAGGTATGGTAAGGTTCTGTGAGACCGGAAGGACTGGAAGACCGGGAGTCTGGGAATCTGGAAGTTTAGGGAGGGGAGGGGAGGCTCGGGAGGGGAGGGAGGGGAGGGAGGGTTGATGGTGGTTCGTCGGGCTTTTGGGGGCTCGCAGGCTCGGTACTAAGGTACCTTTCGTACCTAAATTTACCTGCTGTACCTCCGTAGAGTGAGAAAGTTCGAGGCGGGCTGCACCCCAACCCTGGGCCCTGGTCTGACCTGACGTAGGGAGGGGAGGGGGAGGGGAGGACAGAACCTGCGCCTCTGGCAGCGAGGGAGGGAGCAAGCAAGAAGCTGCACCGCACTGCACTGCACCGCACTGCACTGCACTACACTGCCGACTGATGCCTGTAGCACACCAGTGCAGGGCGGGCAGGATGGGATTCGAAGGCAAAAGAGCCCGAAGTTCTAAAATGGACTGCGACTGCGACTGCGACTGCGACTGCGACTGCGACTGCGAAAACATCGGAAAATTACCTTTCAAGTACCGTACCGTACCGCACCGTACCGTACCTACAACAACCGCCATGCCCGCCGGGCAGGCAGCTAACGCGAAGGGTCTGCACAAGTTAGCCCGCAGAAGCACAGAGGCACGAATGCACAAAGACACAATATGATATGCCAGTTCCCTGTACGCCCATGCCCATGCCCATGCCCATGCCCATGCCCATGGCGGGACGGTATCGCACATCCTACCTTAAGCCAAGTGCGTGGGAAAGCGTTGTGAGGGGTCGAAGAGAGAAGGGGGAAGGGGGAAGGGGGGAGGGGGAGGGGGAGGGGGAAAAGCGACAGGGCGACGCCTACAGTACAAGACGACCATGCCCCGTGGATGGCCCACTACTGTACCAGAAAGTATCAAGCCGGATACATCCCCGGAAGGAAAAGAGGCACGCAGCTCAGCTTCCCAGGTCTACCTACCTTACTTAACAAAGAAAGCTAGCTATACACAGGTAGCCTGGCTCCTACACTAGCGAGACTAGGAGGCTAGGAGGGCGTAAGGCAAGGGTTGACAGGGTTGCTGGTACCTAAGAGGAAGCGACAATTCACTGTGCCGAACAAACGACATCATCCGCCTCGGGCAAGCAGCATAAAGACCTCTGCTCTCCCGCTTGCTTACCTCTCTTTACCATGTTCTCTTCTTCAGCATCAAGACTTCTCAGATTCGCAAGGCCATCTCTTCCAACCACCACCACTACAAGCTCAATCCGAAGCTTCTCTCGCACATCAGCAGCTATGGGTGTCACCAAGACTGTTCTCAAGGAGGGCGATGGAGCTATCCCCAAGGTCGGAGACAGAGTCACCATCGAGTACACTGGTTATCTCAAGGATACCTCCAAGCCTGAGAACAAGGGCGACAAGTAGGTCTTTTCTGCCAATGACATTCTCCCTCTCGATTGGCGATTGCAAGAGCTCTATTTCCCTCTGGCTTGGCTCTACGACATAGCTTCTGACTTTGAGCTAAAATATGAACTTTGCACATTCGCTATCTCTGCCCCACCACCTGGCAGATTTGCAGATTGAACCATTTGCTGACATACGGATTTCCAGGTTCGATTCATCCATTGGCCGTGGAGCCTTTGTCACAGAAATCGGCATTGGCAGAGTCATCAAGGGTATACCCTCCAAGCAGAGCTCCACGACACGTCCCGGAATAGAGAACTGACAGCTTCACCATAGGTTGGGACGAAGGTGTCACCACCATGAAGGTCGGCGAGAAGGCCACACTGGACATTACCAGGTACGTAAACCATTCATTGATCTTTCTTTTGGGTAAAGTGACCAATGCTTATAATTTCTCTTACAGCGACTTTGCATATGGCGACCGGTAAGAGATCCAAATATTCAAATACCTTTTGCACACAATGGTTATACGGTGTCTTCGTACTCCGTACACAACACACGGGCATATTTGGCCGCATGGCGTTGGACCCTGAACCGTTGCCAAATCTGCGTTCCCACACCGCATCCCGACAAAAGTATACCACAGGACCACCACAACTGACATAACCCAGTGGTTTCCCAGGTCACATCCCAGCTAAGGCTGATCTTATCTTGTATGTGCTCCCTGCAGTGCCCCTTGCAGCTGCTGACGTATGGCGTAGCGACGTTGAGCTTCAAAAGATCAACTAGAGGATTCTAGACCGGTACTTCCTTTTTCTTTAGACGTTGATATCATGGCAGCAAAGCTCAGGCTTGGATTGGAATTAGGGAATTGTGTCATTACGACCAGTTCGTTCAAGGGATGCTTCTCAGTGGACAAAATGAAATGCTTTTTCTGACAAGGGTTTATGCATGCAGTGGTGAATTTCATCAGCCTTCGGTCTTGGCGGGGGGTAAATGTGGTGTGGTGGGAGCTGGTGGGATCGCCTTGGTTTCCTGCATCACTGTGCCTGACCATCTCCAAATCCTTCCAAGTTCATGCCACGTGTATTTTCGCTTGACCCAAAATATCTTCCTGCTGGGTATTGGGGTTTAAACTTCCAGATTATCAGCTAATCGGAATCTCAAGCCTATGCCCATCGCCAATCTTTAATACTGGAGAGAAAGCGAAACGGAATCGCGGGGTTCAGGATGACTTAGATGCCGAAGATTGACCGCTTCGAGAAGAGCGCTAGAGCCGCCACGTCGTTTGAGTCCAGGGTTGCTCTGCTCACTCGGTGAGTAGCTTTGGTGGAATATTAATATGAAGGGGATGAAAGCAGAATCTTATCATAAGCCAAAAATTGCCATGTGGAGGTCTCTCGAGGCAAAATATGCGTTCAAAGAAGTAATGGAAAACGTGACTTCTGCCTGATCCATGCCGTGAGGCCTGAGGCATAACGGGATTTCAAATGTCCCCTGCTGTTATGTCATTAGCTCCAGACAGTTCGATGCGATGCTGTGAGGCCCAGTTCTGTTTTGTTGCCTTCTACGACCCTACCTGAACAAACCCTCAATCTTCCATATTCTCTACTGCACAGTCAACTTGAAGTATCTGCGATCTCTACTAGCAATAAACACACCCACAAAGCCAACAATATTGGTTGACTTTTCTTGGGACCGAAACTAGACCTCCCGCGATCAGGGTCCAATACCCACCGTACCTGACGAGCATCAACACCTGGGACACAAGTCAAACGCCACAATTCCATCGCAGGTGATTCCGAACGGTGACTGCAAGCTGGGGAAACGTAAGCTGTCAAATCCAGACTTCTCCCAGCCTTCGAAGAAAGCCATGACTGTATGTTGATTTACCCCTCCATCGCCCAACAAGCTTGCAAAAGAGCTTCCTTCTGGCATGAGATGGTTCCAATCTACGTGTGAGATATATTACTGATGCTTAAGGCCTTGCAGGACTCCAAAGACGTCGATATGGAGACCAAGATGCAGGTGGACGAGTCGGTGGTAGGCAACAACGACATCGATGAGTCCCTGTACAGCAGACAGCTCTACGTGCTAGGACACGAAGCCATGAAGCGTATGAGTGCGTCGAACGTGCTTATTGTCGGTCTAAAAGGACTTGGTGTTGAGATTGCAAAGAACATTGCTCTGGCAGGTGTCAAGAGTCTGACCCTCTACGACCCCGCCCCCGCCGCTATCGCCGACCTCTCCTCCCAGTTCTTCCTTCACCCTGAGGATGTTGGAAAGCCTCGGGCAGCAGTGACAGCACCACGTGTAGCTGAATTAAATGCCTACACACCGGTTTCTGTTCTTGATTCTACCAGGTAGGCTGCTGAGTCCGTGTGTTGTAAGCATCAGCTAATTCCCTAAGTCTTACCACAAACCTCCCACAATTCGATCGCTTCCAAGTCGTCGTTCTCACGAATACCCCCATCAAAGATCAGATCATCATTGGAGACTATCTACACCAGAAGGGCATATACTTGGTTGTTGCGGATACATTCGGCTTGTTTGGATCCATATTCTGTGACTTTGGAGAGAAGTTCACTGTTATCGATCCTACAGGAGAGACCCCGGTATCAGGTATCGTTGCAGGTATCGACGAAGAAGGACTGGTATCAGCCCTGGACGAGACTAGACATGGTTTGGAAGATGGGGACTATGTTACTTTCACGGAGCTGCAGGGACTTGAGGCACTCAACTCTGCTGAACCACGGAAGGTTACAGTTAAGGGACCATATACGTTCTCAATCGGAGATGTCTCCGGACTAGGGCAATACCAGAGAGGCGGTATTTTCACACAAGTCAAGATGCCAAAGTTTGTTGACTTCAAGGCTCTGTCAGTTGCGCTGAAGGAGCCCGAACACCTCATCTCCGACTACGCCAAGTTCGATCGCCCATCACAACTTCATGTTGGATTTCAGGCCCTGCACGCATTTGCTGAACAACATGGCCGTCTACCTAATCCACATAATGAAGTCGATGCTGCAATTGTGATTGGATCTGCCGAGGCCTTTGCAAAGCAGGAGAAGCTTGATGTCGAAATCGACAAAAAGCTGCTTGGAGAGCTGAGCTACCAAGCCCAAGGTGACCTGAGTCCTATGGCTGCTTTCTTTGGTGGTCTTGCTGCGCAAGAGGTGTTGAAGGCTGTCTCTGGAAAGTTCATGCCCATCAACCAGTGGCTATACTTCGACTCCTTGGAGTCGCTCCCAGAGAACTCGGCTAGATCCGAAGAACTCTGCAAGCCTCTGAACTCCAGATATGACGGCCAAATTGCTGTGTTCGGACGAGAATTCCAGGAGAAGCTCTCAAATGTTCAAGAGTTCTTGGTTGGTGCAGGTGCTATCGGTTGTGAGATGTTGAAAAATTGGGCTATGATCGGTCTTGCTACTGGACCAAAGGGAAAGATCAGCGTAACAGATATGGACTCTATCGAGAAGAGCAATCTCAACCGACAATTCCTCTTCCGACCGAAGGATGTTGGACAGCTGAAGAGTGACTGTGCTGCTGCTGCTGTTCAAGCAATGAACCCAGAACTGAAGGGCCACATCGTCACTATGCGAGACCGCGTCGGACAGGACACGGAACATATCTTCCACGAGGAGTTCTGGACTGCCCTTGATGGTGTCACCAATGCCCTGGATAACGTTGATGCTCGTACATATGTCGATCGTCGCTGCGTGTTCTTCCGCAAGCCGCTGTTGGAGAGCGGTACCTTGGGCACCAAGGGAAACACCCAAGTCGTCATTCCCAGCTTGACCGAATCATACTCCTCATCTCAGGATCCTCCGGAGCAGTCTTTCCCTATGTGCACTCTGCGAAGTTTCCCCAACAAGATCGAGCACACGATTGCATGGGCCCGCGAATTGTTCGAATCATCTTTCGTCAAGCCCGCGGAAACTGTCAACCTGTATTTGAGCCAGCCAAATTACATTGAGACAACCTTGAAGCAGGGAGGTAATGAGAAAGCCACTCTCGAGCAAATTCGAGACTTCTTGGTCGACGACAAGCCTCTAAGCGTCGAGGACTGCATTAAGTGGGCTCGATTGCTCTTTGAGAAGCAATACAATAACGCCATCCAGCAATTACTCTACAACTTCCCTAAGGACTCAGTCTCCTCCAGTGGACAACCTTTCTGGTCAGGCCCTAAGCGAGCTCCTGACCCATTGAAGTTCGATCCAAAGAACGAGTTCCATTTTACATTTGTTGTCGCTGGTGCAAACCTCCACGCTTACAACTATGGTATCAATACCAAGGACCTGGATGAAGCTCTGATTCTCAAGGTCTTGGATAATATGATCATTCCCGACTTTTCACCAAACGCGTCTGTAAAGATCCAAGCTGATGACAGTGAGCCAGTAAGTATTCTGTAACCCCGATGAAGTTTCCAACACTAACAATACCAGGATCCAAATGCAAACTCATCTGCTTTCGACGACAATGCAGAGCTTGAAAAGATTGTGGAAAAGCTTCCACCACCAAAACAGCTTGCAGGATTTAAGCTCGAGCCGGTTGAGTTTGAGAAGGATGATGATACCAACCACCACATCGACTTCATCACCGCTGCCAGCAATCTTCGTGCCGAGAACTACAAGATCGAGCTTGCCGATAGACACAAGACTAAGTTCATTGCCGGAAAGATCATTCCCGCGATCGCTACTACTACGGCTCTTGTGACTGGCTTGGTCATCCTGGAGCTCTACAAGGTTGTTGATGGCAAGAACAAGCTCGAGGCATATAAGAACGGCTTCGTCAATCTCGCTCTACCATTCTTCGGCTTCTCAGAGCCTGTCGAGAGCCCGAAAGCCAAGTACAAGAGTCACAACGGCGATGTCGCTATCGACAAGATATGGGACCGTTTTGAGGTCGACAATGTCACTCTCAAGGAGCTCCTCGAATACTTTGAGAAGAAGGGTCTCACAGTCACCATGCTCAGCTCCGGTGTCAGTCTCCTCTACGCCAGTTTCTTCCCACCTTCCAAGCTAGCCGACCGGTACGCAATGAAGCTGAGTGAATTGGTGGCCCACATCTCCAAGAAGCCAGTTCCTGAACACCAAAAGGCTGTAATCTTCGAGGTTTGCGTTGAGGATCAGACGGGTGAGGATGTTGAGGTTCCTTTCGTTACAATGAATATGGGAAAGTGATAGATATGCATGCATACGTGGGGAATGATTGATGATAGGATGGATGAAAGGGTGAATGAGCGATGAAATTCTCGGTGTTTTCTCTCTTGTCTTCTTGGGCGGTTGTGTTTGGTGGATGGATGCGCGAGCTCATGAGACCTAGACAGAAAGCAAGAAAGTACCGGTGTATCTTCAGATTGCGATCAGTTAGCGCGTAGCAAGTAAACAAAATAGAAAATGCGTTCTCCTTGACACTGTCAAATGCACTTACCAATTACAACAAGTAACTTGCATGACCTACGAACATTCCCTCGCTGGTGCTACCTATTCTTCCAGCATCTGGATTCTACTTTCGTGGATTCATCGCAAATCTCAAATAGGACAACGCATCAGCCAACAAACCTCTGACAAATTCCTATCTCCACCAAGTTCAACAGCCCCTCAATACAGAAAACGCTCTTCTATCACTAAGGTGGGGAAAGAAACAGCACAGCAAAACTGCTTCCCCATAGCGGGGCAGCAATGCCCTTTGTCACGCTGAGTAATCCCCCTGCAGGGGCAACCCTCAATGTTTTGCAGGACCCCGCTCTCCTCTCTAGGGGCTGACGCTGACCTAGGCCTAGCCAGTTAGCGAGGAATTGTGCCGTCATCATTATCAAGCACCCTGGTTGGAATTATCAACCAGTACTCATCACTCAGCGGGGAGGTAGGGATACCGAAGGTAGAGAAAGTACTTGGAGCTTTGGACCCCGCCTTCAATTCGACTCGATAGATACTTGCAATTTTACTGCACAGCGCTTTTTGTTGAAGAACTATTTAATGCTCCTCTGTTCCCGCTTCGGTACAGGTACAGTTACAGTGCAGAGAAATTCGAACTTGATATCTGGGTTTAGGAAGGGAAGATTTGATTACAAGGGATTTTCGAGTAGGAGCTTGGGAAAGATGGTAGGTTGAGCTACCCCTCTCCTCCTTCACACCCAATTTTTGGGTTTTGGTATGGCAATTGCATTCGCGAGCTATGAGGAGCTTCATTAAAGAGACGACAGGAGGAAGATATGAGAGAGAAGACTGAATAATTGCTAATCTGTGTGCGACGGACAGGCAGCAGAAAAGATCACCAACTGGGTAGCTCCCAATGACAAGAGCGGAGAGTTCAAGAGAGGACAATCGCAATTCCGGAATTTCATCAAGAAGGGAGGGGAGTTTCCACCGGAGGCGGGGAGATATCATCTCTATGTACGTTTCCATTGAACCCTCACTTCACCCTTCTTCTTCTCTTCGCAAAACCACCTTCTCCAGATTCTAAACTGACTTCGCTCCAATACAGGTCTCCTACGCCTGCCCGTGGGCACACCGCACCCTGATCGTCCGCCAACTGAAAGGTCTCCAAGACATCATCCCTTTCACGTCTGTCCACTGGCACATGCAAGAGCTGGGCTGGCACTTCGCATCCTCGCCCAACGCGGACAATTCTCCCGGCGAGAACGTCCGACCTGATCCTGTCAAGGGCCATGAAGGCTACAAGCATATCCGGGATGTGTACTTTGAGGTCGATCCGGAGTATAAGGGGCGGTTTACGGTGCCGACGCTGTATGATGTGAAGCAGGGGAAGATTGTTAGTAATGAGAGTAGTGAGATTATTAGGATGTTTTATACGGAGGCATGTCTTTCCCCCTTTCATCTCCTCAAATTATTCAAGGACGATATATGGAAGCGGTCTGTTCAAAGACTAATGTATCTTCTCGGACAGTTCGACGACCTCCTCGCCCCCGAATACAAGAACGTATCCCTCTTCCCCTCTGCCCTCCAATCACAGATCGAAGCTACAAACGAATGGACCTACAACGACATCAACAACGGTGTCTACAAGTCTGGATTTGCAACCACACAAGAGGCGTACGAGAAAGCCGTCAAGACGCTATTTGGTAGTCTAGATAAGGTTGAGAAGCATTTGAGTGAGGTGACAGATGGACCGTTTTACTTTGGGAAAGAGATTACGGAGGCGGATGTTAGGCTTTATACCACGATTGTGAGGTTCGATGTGGTTTATGTGCAGCATTTCAAGGTATGTTTCCTCTCACTTACCATCTATCTCTCCTCTTCTCGCTCTCACCTCCCCCCTAACCCAATAAACCACCAAGCCACATACTGATACAATCATCACAGACCAACCTCCGCACCATCCGCGCCGACTACCCCTACATCCACAAGTGGCTGCGCAACCTCTACTGGAACATCCCGGCGTTCAAAGACACAACTGAGTTCACGCATATCAAGAATCATTACACCAAGAGCCATACTCAGATCAATCCGTTCAGTATCACGCCTCTGGGACCGGAACCGCCGATCTTGAAGGTTGATGAGGAGGTCCCGGCCGTGGCGTATGCGTTGAAGATGACGGGGAAGAAGTAGAAGGTGCTTGGGAGCTGGTGAGGTGATTAGGAAGGGGATGTGTATACCTAGGTAGCTAGTCGAGTAACGGACCGCTTTATATTCTGAACTTTCTAATGAAACCTATTTCTCAAATTTAATGATGCGGGCATGTAGAACAATGTGCAATAACACGTGTATTAACACGAATTCAGCAGAACTCTACTTCCCAGATAGGTAAAGTGCTTTCCTGCCAGTATAATCATGAAGTAAGAGGACTGGTGCTCACCAGAGATGAGAAAGAGGGAAACGCTCAACCCATTTCCCCAATCCAGCGCGGCTTCTATGTACTGCATAAGATGTACTTACTGATCAGTGAGTTCCTGAATTTGGATAGATTGTAATCAGGTCTGGAGGATAGAAGAGTTGCAGATTTGAGATTCTTGGACGAGAGAGCTCTGTTTTCTCATGTTGACTTTTTTGACATAGAGGTTTTCTGGATGTCTTAATTGGTTCTAACCCTGAGAGTTCTTTTATTGCCAGATATAGTCTTTAATTGTACTTCAACGAGACGATAGATAATGTGATTATTCCGTGTTCATATTCAGATATGAGGACCATTTCCATGGTGACAACACTCGCTCGCTTAGACTGTGCTGTCCATCCCTTTTTCTCACACCGCTTCTTCCACCTACGCAGCGTACCTAGATAGATACATACACTCCGTCCTGCTAACACGACACCACACCACGGCGCTCACTATCTCAATCTAGAAGGAATCATTACGGTAGCCAAATCAGCTCTGTTTGTCTGTCTCTGTCTCATCCCCAAAAAATGTGCAAAAGAAAGAGTTCCTCGCTCAATACCTGAGACCTAGGTAAAGTGACTTCGGCTAAGCCCCACTTGCTTAACGCAGAAAAAAAAAACCCCTACCACAACGCAGTCCTTTCTTCCCCTCAAACATAAAAGCAAAAAAGACAAAAGAACAAAAAAAGATAAGTTTTACTGTTGCGTTCGCCGGGAATCGAACCCGGGGCCCATCGACGCTGGAACCACTCTTGGAAAGAGAGTCAGTCACATGGCAACGATGGATTTTACCACTAAACCACAAACGCTTGTTGTGTTGTTTGATGATTGCTCATCTAATCGGCTGGATTTGCTGATTGGATGTTTGGGTTATGCTTATTTCGTTATATGATAGGAAAAGGAAAATTTGAGTGTGTGTGCGTGTTTGTGTTTGTGGAAGAGTGGGGTTGACGGGGTGTGGTGAGGTGAGGTGGAGATGTGGGTTGATTGATGCGCTAAGGAGGGGAGACGGAGGGAAGATGCCGGCGGGTGGTTAAGTTAGGTAGGTAGGCTTTGTGCTAGTGGTGGCGGAGTGATTTGAATGGGATGGAATGGAAAGTTGGAGGCTCATGGATGAATGGAGACATTAGCGCCTACCTGAGAACTTCTTTTCAATCTTAGGAGGGGGAAGTTCGAGAGATATTTTGGGGGTTGTTTTGACTTAGTGGATCAGCCAAGTATCGTGATCTCAAAGAGTGAGATAGGTAGGCACAAGAGGAGAAGATGATAGAGCAGGGTAACACTTGTCATGAAAGACTTCTTTACTTCTGTGGCTTCTGGTCTGAGATTCTTGGACTTGTTGTTTTCAATGATATCTGGACTGGGGTCTGCTGTCTGAGCCACGTGACGGACGATAAGGTATCCCCTAATCACAGTCACCCAGAGTTTCTTATGCCTGGCCAGTGGACATAAATACTTTATTTGCTATCAAGTACAGGAAGTTGAGTGACATATGTTCTCAGGTCATGAAGTCAGGAGCTAAGCTGGACGGAGAGAGTTTACTGAAGGAAAGCACGCAAGACAGGTATGCTGTGTTGATTCTCGCTTAATGAATATGGCGGCCAGTACCTCCGTATTATCTAGTCAATAACTGCAACGTTGCAACATCGACGTAAAAGCTTATGCTATTGGTACATGCCGGTAACTCTTCCTCATTCGGAACAAAATACTTGAAATTCTTTGTCGACCATTCATTGAGCCGCATCGAGCTGCATCCTTCTCGATTGAATATCAGAGTCCTCCCAACAAAAAAGTACTTGTCGCCTTGGCGACGAATAATTGCAGCGGCATCACAGTTCAAGAAATGGCAAGTGAAGTCTCCTTCTTTCGCTTCAGCGGGAGCAATACCCATGAGCCCGGACTTCTCGAGGAAAACCTTGAACTCGCCTGCCTTCACTTCGATACTGTTTCGTCTCTTGACGTTGCGTCCGTGAGCTTCGGGAATGAATCCTCCATCGCTCACTTGTTCTTCGTCGCGAGGTTCATACTGTGCTGGAGACCAGCCTCGCATGCCGTAGGAGATTCGACTGTTGAAGGAAACGACTCTCTTCTGATCATCCTCGTCGAATCCATCTACACCATGTTGGAGAATCGTTGTCCTCTTGAGTGTTTTCCTCGGTCTGCAGTGATATGAAGGAAGTTTTCGGAATGTATCTGCGACATTTGGGATTGATGTGTCTTTGGTGTACGGATGGGTATGAGTGAGGACTCCGCCTAGAAGTCCTTTGATCAGAATTACTCCAGCAGCCATGGACCGTGGGATGGAGAGAGATGCTGATATTGCTTCCAAGACGTCTTGCTTGATGTTTAGGGAAACATCTCCAAGGTTTCGTTGAACAGCCTGGCTAGCCCGCACAATGGACTTTGAAAAACCGAGATGTCGAGTTCCAAGTGGTGTTTTGGACTCATAGTTCCGTGCGAGGAACCAAGTGACATCCACGTAAACTTCAAGTAGAGGCTTCTCGTAGTTGGCAATGAGAGGTTCAGGTGACGAGAGGTCGGCAAGTGCTAGAACTGCGTAAATCTTGTCTCGAGGCTCCTTGCATCGGGAATGCTCAAAGGCTTCCAGAAGAAACTGTAGACTGAATGTTCTTCGACCTTGGCTTCGAAGTGATGCGTGTCTTGTTGCGAGACTTTCTCGGATGGAATCAACAGCGCTCGGAAATGGCTGGTCACGATCGTTCGGCTTGGGAAGTTTCTCGATCTCCTGACAGACTGCCTCGAAAGGTTCCCAATCCAGATAGTCTTCTCCACATTGTATTCTGCGTCGGGACGCGAGTGCGATCTCTTGGATGATCCATCGTCTTTTCCAGTATCTTCTCTTACAAAGATCATCAAGAGCCCACCACTTGTGCAGATTCTGTGGGTCGTTGATGAAATTCAACAAAGTGTACTTCCGCAACTCTGGGTCGTTCTCTGGGCCATAAGGACACATCAATTTGTAGATCTCTCTGACGAAGGAGAAAGCCTGACGGCTATTGTTTGATTTTGCACCAATGTAGATGAACACTTTGTCGGCTTGTTCATAGATCTCGCCCATGCGAGGAATCTGCGAACTGCGCTCTTTGTCGTTTGATTGATTGATAGAGATCGCGTCAACCCAAAGCACCCGTTCGTGGCACTTCCTCCGGAGTGACAAGAGTGAATCGTACAAATTATCTCGTACACGCGCCGAAAAACCATCAATCCAGATATCATGATGCTGATCTTTGCTACTGCCCCAAGAATAAGACAGAGCGTCATAGCTGGGCTTGGATTCAAGATATTCCGAGATGAGTTTGCATTTGATTCTATCGGGCTGAGACCCAGGAAGTATCTTGAGGAGACGGATCTCACCTGACTTCAGCGTCTCATATGGGTAGGGAATGTGGATCGATGGTGTATTCGCCATTCTGATTTGAGTCTTGGCAGCCTTGTTCGAAGGTTGTTGTCATTAATACTTCGTTGCATCTCCACGATCGGCATCTGTGGTCGCCCGCTTTCTCCAGACACGAAGAAGCAAGTAACTCTTATATCTTTGCGAAGAGGTTAGATGATAAGGCTGCGGTGATTGAAAGCTGTCATCACATTCCCGTTGCGTCTTTTAACGAAGAAAGTATATTTTGAAGGATGCCAACGTGACCGAGGATGGCTGCAAGTCTCGTCAAGCGATTTGCTCGCTAAATTCGCCCTTCAAATCATCATGAAGATTGACACACCATGAAGTAAGGGCAGACAGGCTGCAGACTGGGCAGACTCCCAGATTACTGGTATGAGGGTATGTCCGCTGTAAAAGGCCATCTCTTCGGGGCCAAATCCACCCCATCTCGAGGCCATTTCGGTGAAACCTAGTCTCATGATCTTTGTGTTGCCCGAAACTGCGTTGGCATGGCGGTGTCACCGTCATTCATTGTTTCAGCCTGAGCGTGACAGATCTGATCTTAAATGCCAGTCAGCCTTATTACATGCTGACATGAGACTTAAGTTGGGATGCTTACAGGTTCTCAGCCCTAGTGTAATAGAGCCTTGTTGACTTTGAGCGACGGTTGGTGACAGCTTGCTAGAGATTTGAGGAGAACTGTTCCAGAATGCTCTTACATGTAGGTCTTATTGATCAGGTGGGGCAACACTCACATTTTCAGCCCAATATCTTGCGATCTTGCTCTGTAGGCATGTCATGGACTCTAGGACTGCCTTATGCCTAAGGATGAAAAAGATCTTGAGCAAGGGCCAATATCATTCCTATCAACTTCGCCAGCTTAAATTCGTATGTGTCGCTTCGGAGTATATTATGTTTATGTTAGACCAAACATAGCTTTCAGAGCTTCTCATTGAGTGTTGAATGTGGAGGTAACTGGGAAAACAGACGGACGACATGGATGCATTATCAGACTTGTCTGCGCCACCTTTCGAACCTGTCTCTTAAAAAAAAGGGAGCATAAACAACCCAAGACTAATACATAAGAAGGGTGAACTACCGTTTTCACACGGCCCGGCGTGGTGTCTTCTTTCGTGGTGATGGCAGCTCCGGTCAATACCCCGCACTTTTTGAGAAGTAGCTCTGCAGGGAACGTGAAAGTCATGCCTCACATGAGAAGCAGAAATTAGTATCTGTGTCTGAAAAGCAGCAAAACTGAAGCATCAGACACTGTCTAGCCGAAAAATTGGTTCCTCGACGGCAAGCTGTTCTCAAGGTGGGCATATTTAACAAAACGCGGACTTCCTCCGCAGAGTTGCACAAGCTCCTGCAAACCCCTCACACAGCCCCTCAGAACTCGTGATGCCGTCACCGAATCACAGCTACTTCCGTCTACCGACTTGATGCAATGCAGCCGTACATGTTTACTTCCTAGTGCTCTCAAAGCCACAACGTCACAGCACAGACTCGCTGACTTCAATTAAGCCTTCTGTCATGCCGCCCAATGTCTGGGCATTGCCAATCTTTGACGATGCCCAGACTGTAGCTCTTCATCGCCGTTTATTTAAACGCTTGACGTGCAGATCTCATGGGGTCCCGTTGTCGGGATATCCTCTTCTCCTATGGAACTTGTCGGTGCATGTCAATCGAGTCAGGCTGCAAAGTAATGGTGGGGTATCGGAGCGAAAGACTTGGAACGTGATGTTCGAACTCTATGACAGCGCTAACACGAACAGTAATCGATTCTCCAGCCGTGCAACGGTCGAGGGAAATACAAACTATGAATTAAGGACGTTACCTAGCCTTTATTTAGCTCGGTAGCGGTCGAGATATCCTGGTTTGTTCTCATGTTCTTGTACCAATCCTCTTCAAATTGATTACGAGAATGCTCGAATTCGAATGGCCAAAATCGCTCATGTCAGGTCCGGATCTTCTTTTTTCGCCGATACTGTTAGACCAGGCTCATCTGCATGACAGAAAACTATTCCAAAATGCGGCCTACGCCCAGGTTAAAACTGTATCTGCCACGGATCCATTCTTCCAGGCGATAGAACCAAAACTGGGGAATTCTCGGGATTTCGTCGACAGGACCGTTGAGAAGCATGACTGTCCTAAGACCTCCTTGGTGATTGGATAGCACAAGAAAGACAGGGTAGAGTACCAGGGGAATGAAAAGAAGCTATTTCCAAGAGTCAGCCACCTCACTGGCCAAAGGCTTGTTTTTGGTGCGGGGACAGTCGTCTGGTGTGGAGCGTTAAGGGTATGACGACGGGGCTATATAACACCACGGGCTAGGAAAGGTCATGATCGTCACCTAACAGTGCAGTTTGTTTGGTCTGTACGAGGTAGGACCACTTTGACGGCACGGTTCACAGGGACTAATGTAGGAGGGACAGGGTTGCACTTCCGTCCGCCTCGTGGTCAATGTCGTCGAGAGATACGATAAACAGATAAGTCGTGGAGATCCCTTGTTCTTTTCTTCTAATTCTTCTTCAACCTCGTCGTGAAGGTGAACTTCCCTTACAGCAGAAGTCAATACCCAAAGGTCCTTTGGTAAGTGATAACGAGCATCATCGTACCTTCCCTGGTTAGATGTCCCCCTCCGTCTCAGCTGAACAATAACCGTTCAAGGACAGCACTGACACCACCAGCACAACAACTTCAAGTCCACGTCAAAATGGCAGACCAAATCAGCGATGAGAAAATCGCTCGTCCGAGTCACAGCCCTGATGCTTTTCACGAGAGTCATGCTCCAGAGGAGATGACTGTGGCCGAATATGCAACAACACGATTCAGCACCCTCAAGCCTCCAATGCACAAGGCACCTAATCCGTTCAGGCTACTTGCTATGCTGAACACCAAACAATGGATGTTTTTCTTAGTAGCTTTCCTTGCTTGGGTATGTCCCTACTTTTTTCCTTGCCTATCTCCCTTCTTTTTTGGAGTATATTGGCTGATGAAGCCGTGCAGACTTGGGATGCCTTCGATTTCTTCACCGTCAGTTTGACAGTTCATGATCTTGGGAAGACATTCGACAAAACAAATACACAAATCACATGGGGAATCACGTTGGTCTTGATGTTCAGGTCCGTCGGCTCCATCATATTCGGTCTCGCAGCCGATCGATACGGGCGAAAGTGGCCTTTCGTCGTAAACAATATACTCTTCATCATTCTCGAACTAGGTACCGGGTTTTGCCAAACATATCCACAATTCCTTGCCTGCAGAGCCCTGTTTGGAGTCGCAATGGGTGGTCTTTATGGAAATGCCGCTGCTACAGCACTTGAAGATTGTCCTGAGGAGGCTCGTGGTCTGATTTCCGGTATGCTGCAGCAGGGCTACGCTTTTGGGTATCTTCTCGCTACTGCGTTTGCGAGAGCTCTTGTCAACACCACTTCCCATGGATGGCGACCACTCTTTTGGTTTGGTGCTTGCCCCCCAGTTTTGTTTATTGCTTTTCGGTTGTGCCTTCCCGAGACCGATGCGTACAAGGAGCGAGTGATGGTCCGAAACGAGCGTGGAAATATCGGAAAGACCTTCATCGCTGAAGGTAAAGTCGCTTTGAAGCGCCATTGGCTCCTCCTCATCTATTTGGTACTTCTCATGGCTGGCTTCAACTTTATGGTAGGTTTTTCCATCTTAAGTATCAAGATCTTCATTAACAGTTATCAAGTCTCATGGATCTCAGGATCTGTACCCCACCATGCTTCAAAACCAGTTCAATTTTAGTCCCAACGCAGTTACCGTAACCCAAGTTGTTGCCAACCTCGGAGCCATGACGGGAGGTACAGTAATCGGATACTGCTCTCAGATATTTGGGCGTCGCTTCTCCATTATCATCATCAGCATCATCGGTGGTGCTCTGCTTTATCCATATACTTTCACTAGCAGCAAAGCTGTGATTGCTGCAGCATTCTTTGAGCAGTTCTGCGTTCAGGGAGCATGGGGTGTGATTCCCATCCATCTCATGGAACTGTCCCCAGGTTCCTTCCGTACTTTCGTAGTCGGCACGGCTTACCAGCTTGGCAATCTTGTTTCATCTGCATCTTCCACCATCGAGTCAACAATCGGATCTCAGTTCCCGCTTCCTCCCAAGGCAGACGGCACCAAGAGATACCAATATGGCAAAGTAATGTGTATATTTATGGGATGTGTTTACGCGTATGTCATCATTTTGACGTTCGTTGGACCGGAGTACCTGAAGCGAAGCTTTGAGGTTAGGGAGGATTCCGATATTGCAGAAGCTGCGGGACATGACACAATCGATGCAGCTTTGAGACGGAGACAAGAGGCGATGGGTGTTGATAGCAGCGACACTGAGAAGGGAGCCGCCAGGATGAGAGAGAACTTGTAGGGTGACGGGATTTGATCATGACAGTCGAGGACCCTACGACGGAAAATCCAGAGGGGAGCAGCGAGACAGATTGGCACACGCACATATAGCTTTCTGGCATGGAATTGATGCTGTATATATGAAATAGAATTTCGTTTCAAAAATGACATGTTCCGTTGTGAACTTGTATCTATGTCACCAGGGAACTTGGACAGACGTCCTGGGCTGCTCGTAATAGTCTAGCGAATGGCTTGCTGAAGAGTTCCAGTCTCTGAGGATCTCCGGAGACAACCAGTATCATGGATAAGTGCCAAAGGGAGAGCTTTGTTAGGCTGGGCTTGGTGGCGCTTCAAGAATCTTGTGTTTGGCCGAATTCACGTGACCGGTCCAAAGTCTTCCCGCTTCGGAACGCCACTCAGGCTTAGCGACTGGGGGACATTTAACTTCAAACAATTGAAGACCCGATTTCTTTCCTATATTCACAGCTTTCTCAAACCACATCTCAGAATAGAATACCAAGTGGTATATCTACGGCCGTACCTTATCAATTTGTTATCTGCTGTTCTATTTAGTGTTTGCTCCACGTTTTTTGACGAATCATGCTTTGGATTCATCTAGGTACGCAGCTCCTTCTCAGCCGAAATTAGCATGCGGCGTAGAACGGATCTGCTTCTCTCATACGTGTACGTACAGCCTCTCTTGGCCGATCAGCTCAAGCCACTGTAGCTGTTCAATTGTCGTTTGATATTCATGCGATGCGCCGCCGGGCTAACCATTAGATTTGACGACCTCCTCATGTCGCGGTATAGGGGCATTGATTCTGAGGTGTTTACATGATAAGGAGATATATAAGTCTAGGTGTTTTCTAGTTATTTTGTTTCTTCATGCTCCATCTCAATCTTTCATCTACTACATCAACCTTCTGAATAACATCTTCACCTTAAAATTTCAAATTTCAAACATCAACTATCCAGCTTTTCAGTATTCAAATAACCGACCCCGCACTTAAAATGTCAACATCCGCTCAAAAGACAGTCGCCATCTTTGGAGCAACAGGAGGAACTGGACTGGCTAGTCTCAACCTCGCCCTCAAAGCAGGACACAGCGTCAATGTCCTTGCCAGAACTCCCGCCAAGCTCGCCGACCTCTCATCTCAATATCCCAATCTCCACATCATTAAAGGCGATATCCGCGACATCGCCGCGATCAAGTCAACTCTCACTATCAACAACCGAGTGGTCGATATAGTCGTCTCAGCAATCGGTATGGTCATCGAGCTTAAAGGCCTGGGTTTCACTGCCAGAGACCCCAAGATCTGCGAAGATGGCACGAAATCCATCCTCTCAGCGCTTTCTCAACTGGAGGCGGAGAAGACGGTGCAGATTCCAGTCGGTGGGCCTGAATTCGTCCTTTTGAGCACAACTGGTATCAGTGCCAAAGGACGCGATATCCCGATAGCGATGATGCCCTTGTATCATTGGATGCTAAGCACTCCTCACAAGGACAAGAAGAAGATGGAGGAGGCGATGATCCATGGCGAAGGAAGGACACGCAGGTGGGTCTTGATCAGACCTAGTTTCCTGTGGAATGGGGAGAGCAAGGGAATTGGAAGGATTCGCACTTCTACTGAGACGCCTGGTGCTTTGCCGGAGACAGAGAACATTAAAGATGTGGCTGTTGGGTATGTGATTCATCGAGAGGATGTGGCATTATGGATTGTGGAAGAATGTATCAGGGGCGATGGTTCCAAGTGGCATGGTAAGATGGTCACTTTGACCTACTAGTGGGTGCTTTGTGATAGAGTTTTGGTGGAACTTGGTTTTCCTATAACAGTCTCGTTGTGTCAACATAATTTTAGATGATTTGCGAATAGACGCTTGTTCAATTTTAGCCCTCCGTCCAAGACTGTCAAACACGTCGATCTGGACCGTGTCACTTGCTGTTCAAAAAGATGTACCTAAACGAAGTAGAACCCCTGAAGATCAACTGAGTACTTGTACTGTTGACTAACGTCCTGTGCTCAAGTTTGCTTTGTGCTTGTGGAAGGAGTGTTCCGACAAAATTTGAAGCCTTGGTGGATTGGAGACATCCTGATCTTTCTGTAATGTGGCTTGGTAGTAAGCGTCTCGTAGACCAGTCCTACTAAGCGTAAGACTAGGTCATGGCTATCGAGTTGAAATGGATAGTACTACTGCGTGTTTCAGAGAATGTGCTCAGATCTGGACTCGGTTGATCTGACATTTCTCGCTTAGCTATGTTTACTTGTATGAGAAATACGGCTTCTGAGCATGCACTGCCCCCTATGCGTTGTAATATTTTATCTGAAACCCCAAAAGCAATCAAAAATAAATTCGGATTCAAAATATCATGGTCGACTTTGGCCGCTGAACTGAAATCGTTCAATCAGCGTCTGTTAAGCGTTATATAGAGCCCATTCTAGTGGGACTCCTCTTCTCTTCATCAAATCGAACACAAGCACCGCCGATTTCGATATGGTTCTTGCAATATCTGAAAATAAGTCTCACAGTAGTGTATGAAATCGCTTTTCTCATCTTCAGAGAATGGAAGTTGAGATAGTTCACATAGGATTCCGGTACTGATTTTGGGGCTTGCGAGATATGAAGTGTATATCTCACAGAGCAAGAATTCGTGTCTAGTTCAATGGCAACAGCCTTTTGAGAATCCCTTCTTGCCATAATCTATCCATCTACAACAAAGTGTTAACCCATAAACTTTTAATCTTGCTGCTCTCAAACGCCTGGTCCCGTACTCTTCCCATCTCACAATTTCGCCTTCCTCTCCTGTCTAAATTTCCGAATCCTAACAAAGGTCAGCAAGCCCACTCAAAAACCACACAAACGCCAAAAGAAACTCAAATCATACATCTCCTCATCCGCAACCTCAAACCGCACATCCTTCGCCCCCTCCCAAAGCACCAACTCCCCCAACCTCCTCAAATCCTCCGTCCCCTCCGTAACCGTCAAAAAGTGGTTCGCAGCCAACATGCCCATCTTACTCGCAAACGCCACGCCTCCATAACACACCAGGAATTCCGTTTCGGAGATCCCGCCTGGGTACAGCAGGATCTGGCCGGGTGCCGGGTGGGCGGTGTGGTTCTCGAAGGGGAGGTCGAAGTTCGTTTCGCCGAGGGGGATCCAGAGGCCCTCGCCGGACCAGCGTACGTGGATTAGCTTTTGCTGGTAGGGGAGGAGGGTGAGGAAGAGGGAGACGGTTTGGGGGGCGGAGGGGGAGAGGGTGGAGAGGAATTGGTAGGGGCCTGCGGTGATGAGGATTGTGGGGAGGGGGTCGGACATGTTTGGTGGGTGGTGGAGCGGGGCGAGGGTTTTGGTAGATGTTTTGGTGGGTGGGTAGGCGAGCTGATGTTTACTTTTGATCTGAAGTACCGGGAACGTGAAGTGAATGGCCGAAAGGTTGTCCGGAACTGCAAGTCACGGAACTGGAGCTTCCCAAATGGGACAGTCAAGAGTGGGGGGTTGATAGCCGGTCGGGACATCGGCATCGGGCCGAGTACTTGTTTACCGAGCATTTGGCCGGCAACGTCCCTATCCTTACCTACTTGTCTACATCAATGAACGTAGTGACTGGAACTAGACATAATACTGCATTAGAAAAGCATTACGAGCGAAAGTCTTGCAATTTTAAAAAATAGAGATCACCAAAGATCCGAAAGTCAACCATTAAGCCATACCAGGAACGTTTGCCACCATGTAACAAAACACATATCCGACCTAAACCATATGCAGGGCGTTCCAATTGAGTATCGTCGTTTCAAGATCGAGATATGATAGTTACTCCTGTGATGTGTACCGAGAATTGAGTATTTCGGCGCCAAGAAAATTGCTGCTGAGTGTGGAGAAAGTGGGAGGTTGAAAGTGACTGGGTGAGGGGATTGCTATTAGGGAGGTAGCGGTCGAAAATCTTAAAGGGCTTGATACATGAATTGTCCTCTCGGGATGGGATTTCAACTGAAAATGTGAAAAGGTGGAATTCGAAAGACGGTGAAATTTAGTTGTAAAAGTGGAACCGCACAACTCACACTGCAGCATTTCGAATCCACCATGACATCTCCACGTGTTGGGGTATCCGCAAACAGCGCTTTCAAAACACACCTTTAAAGCACAATGAATGTAGGATAGAGAGTATATGTAAACCGATACTCGTATCTCATCACAATTTTCATTTCTCTTGTCCGGGTTTCTGTTTTGGAGGAGACCACAGCTGTACTTGGAAGATGACGATGACCCATCCACACTCACGACTCACGATCCACACATCCACGCTCTTTGATCCCAGACAGAAGAAATTTCTATCCGATGTCTCCATCACAGTTGATACAATCACTGGATTGATAACAAGTATCATTACTCGAGATGATATGGCTTTCCCGCTTCCAGATCCATTACCTGATGATGCTATTGACCTTCGCGGGAGGTTCGTGATGCCAGGCTTCGTGAATGCGCATACACATATCTTCTCTCAGAACACTACACCGATCGCTCATCCAGATTTGAATCCAGGACTGAACCTTCGGAGCACAGAATTAAATGTCAGATTCGGAGTGGATACACTACTCAGTGCTTCCTGGTGCGGCGACACGGAGATATCCTCGTCAACTTCACCTACTCTTGGCTTCTTAAAGCGGGAAGAGAGTTCGACAGAGCGCATCATCCGCGCTGTAAATCATGCTCAGACGGCTCTCCTCGCGGGATATACGACATACCGAGATCTAGGATCCGAGGGGATGAAAGACGCAGATACAGAACTCCGCAACGCCATTTCCAAGGGGTTGATTCCAGGTCCTAGGCTCTTCGTCGCCACGCGACCACTTGCGAGCGGTGATACATTCGGAATGCACGATGGGAGGAGTGCGAGGGATAGCTGTATACCTGTTGGTGCAGAAGGTGTGAATGGCGTCGAGGAGATCAGGTATGCGGTGAGGAAGAGAATCATTGCCGGCGCGGACGTGATCAGTTTCTTCGCCGACTATCCGAGGAAGACGAAGACGAAGCGAGCGCCATCGAGGCAGCAGCATCCATACACGGCAGGAGTGCTCTGTCTACTGAAAGGGCTGAATCCGGATTTCGTGACGTTCTCCCAAGAGGAGATGGATATGATTGTTGCTGAGGCGAGATTAGCTAGGCGGCCTGTTGCTGCCAGTTGTGAGAGCTTGGAGGGCGCGATGGCGGCCATTAAGGCGGGTGTGAGGAGTATTGAGGGGGGCTATGGGGTTACGGAGGGGATTATGAGGGCTATGGCTGAGAAGGGGGTTATTCTTGTGCCGAATCTCGCGAGTGCTGAGGTTTTGCAACCGTTGAGGTTGCCGGCTTTGTCGAAGCAGACGAAAAGGGCGTATGATCTTGGAGTGAGGCTTGCGTGTGGGGGACGTACGGGAATTCTGAGACATGGTGATAAAGTGAGAGAAATGGAATTGATGGTCGAATGCGGGATCCCGCTGGAGGATGTGTTGGAGAGCTGTATGGTTGGTGGGTGGGAAAGTTGTGGAGGTGCTCTTTGTGGTCGGAGGTTTGGGTGGTTTGAGGAAGGCACGCAGGCTGATATCATTGCTTTTGAGATGGACCCAAGGGTGGATATTGGTGCATTGAAGAGTGTGGATTTCGTGATGAAAGATGCAAAAGTTTGGAAGTTGAATGGAAATGCAGTTGAGAATCTCTAGAGCTCTGTCGGAATTATCGCACCTACAGGTTCCAGCAGAACTTTCGTGCTTGTTTTGCAGTAGAGAGAAGACAGGAGTTGGGGATGAGATAGAACCTGTGCTTATTTCATTTGCCAGTTTCATATCGGCTATACGGACAAGGAAGGCGACAAGGGGGCCAGTGTGTTGGTTGAACCTAATCTTACTACACCCTTACCATAACCCAAAATCTCGAAACTTGGTCATAGCATTTAATGACAACTCTGAGGTCAAATTTGAAGTCTTGCTGTGTGTTCTTCGCCGGACACATCGGTCGACAACTGTCTACGTAGGGAGTGCAGATGAATCAGGATCTGAGCGAGGCGGAGTACATCATGTGTCTTTGATTCCACTCATGATTCCAAATTATTGATAATGAAAAGAAATCGTGAAAGTAAGCATCATAATAAGAACATGACAACAGAGACTATTCCTAAACAATGTCTAAAAACTGACTGCAGCCAGTCAGAGTCAGACTTGTCTCGCTTCAAAGGCAACACAAACATGGAATCTGGCAGCCACTCGGCAGCACCCCCTGATTTGTGGCACGATGGGAAGGCATTTGCAAAACAGTACGACGATGCAATTTTGAAATGTAACTCGGAAGAAACCCCAGCACGTGGAATGAAGAGATAAAAGAGAGGTAAAGCTAGGCTGCTGAGGTATCAAGCCATAGCCACGCGCCAAGGAAGCCAAACAGAGAGAGAGTGTGTGTGAGAGAGACACAATGATAGAAAGATATCCATGCGGCAGTCGAGTGACCCCTAAATGCAAGCCCAAGCCCAATCCCAACCTCAATCCATGCTGCACCCCTACTCATACTTTCGTCGCAGTGCAGTACAGAACCTTAGTTGCGGGAGTGCCTGGGAAATTACAGTAGTGTTGGCGAAAGAAAGGATCGGGGGAACGTTTGGTGTGGTTGTTCAGGATGAGAAAGGGAAGGTCGTTGAAATATTCGCCTTCCAGGCCAGGCATGACAGTGCTGGACGAGACAGGGATGCGACACTGTACAGTACAGTACAGGACAGTAGAGTTTCAACGCCAAGAAGCGGTTTCCCCAGATTCAGAATGGGTCCTGGTGGTCCGCCAGACTCAGCCTATGGCTGATAGCCAGATGCTGCATTCGAGCATTGGCAGCTGCGTCAACGAGTGCACTTGCGTTGCACCTGACGCCGGATAAGGCTTCGGAAAATGCTATTTTCACATGGCTATAGAGTAAGTTACTGTATGCTCAAAAGTCCCCCACTCAAAATACCGGCAGAGTGAGAGAGACATTTGGGGGTGTCTCATGGTCCATGGCTGTTGTCGTCAGGATCAGGTCTCTTTGCTTCCCCCCGCCCGCCGTTCAGCACATAGCCTGGGCCGGACGGGACGAAGCCGAGCTGGAGCTGGAGCTGGAGCTGCTAGGCGAAAGAGGCCTAGGGAGAACTCAACCACCACTCCACTCTCTCTCCACCGTTCTGTGCTGAACATCCAGCCGGGCGAATAATAGCATCACCACCGCCGCCCGCCCGCCCAAGACCTACAGTAGCAAGATCCAAGCCAAGCCAAGTCCAGATTCTGGCCGACTTTCCTTGACTTGCTCGCCATCACCTCACAGCCCCAATAATAAAACAAACCACTTGCCTTCTATTTGCCAACCTCGTCGTCCAGTCGTTCGAACCCGCCAGATGTGAGGGCATTCCCGTCTTTGCCTTCGCCATTCCAAACCTCTGCTGCTGACGAGCCAGAGCAGCCCGATATCATTCAACATCCGACCTCCTTTCGGATCGGATTGCTTACTCACTGAATTGATTCCTTGCATCCAATCCAATCTACTCTGCAGCACGGTGGCGCTAGCCCGTATCCCCCATACCCATCTCCGATAAACCTGCCTCAGCCCAGCATCTCGCATCCACTCGCCAGCAACACCTCAGCCAATAGCAAGATGGAGTCTTCCGGGGCAGGCCATGCCCATGCCTCACAACCTCTCTCGTCGTCGACCACCGCACAACAACCATCCCATATTCCCGTCGAGATGACCGACCTTGACGTTTCGAAGAGGCCGGCAGCAGGAGCAGCAGATTCAGGAGCAGGCGCAGGTTCGCAGGGCCTCCTCAATGACGTTTCGATTCCCAGCTCCTCACCCATAGACACTTCTTTCGCCAACACCTCCACCATGGCTCAATCAGCTCCAGTCGATGAGAATACGAAGCCCGAGCCAGCGGCCGAGACGTCACAATCAACATCGACTCCGTTACCCACGGCTAAGGAGGCAATTACACCTGAGGCTGGAGAGTCAAGTTCAGCACCTGCGATCAAACGGTTGGATTCAGAGGCTATCGGTCCATCTACAGATAGCAGTCTTGTAGTACCAGTTGCTGAAGCAGGACCAGTCTTGGTCATCACACTGCTCCTTGGAACCGGAGCACGGCATCCATACAGAATTGACGAGAAGTACTTGACGAAGAGGAATGTTACTGTGCCGGGCATGACCGAGAGTGGAAGAAAGGATCCATTCAGCATCAGTGTGTATACGTTGAAGGAGTTGATTCTGCGGGAATGGAGGGAAGAGTGGGAGACTCAACCTAGCAGCCCAAGCAGTATACGGTTGATTTACTTCGGCCGATTATTGGATGATAAGACGCCATTAAAAGGTATTGTTATTCCGCTACTTTCATATGAAACCACTAGCTGCACAGGTCTGAAGTTACATTGCTAACATCCATCCCTACTACAGAGTGCAGGTTCAACGCCGAATCAGCAAATGTGGTGCACATGACAGTTCGACCACAAGACATCGTCGACGAGGAAGATGCATCGAAGAGCAAAACCTTGGCTAGAGATAGAGAAGGTGGCGAGGCTACAGCAGGATGTCGATGTGTGATACAATAGGTGGGAGGGCAACAATCAACCATCCCATCACATCCGGTTCCAAATTCAGGGGCCACGATAATAGAGGACTTCCAGCCACTCTACCAGGCTGGAGATGCATACGTACAAACGGCATTCATTTTGGTTCGGGGACTCGACACGTAGTTGATAAATGCGACGGACGAAGGTCTCAGAGGGCGTTACGGACATAGTATTCCATTTTCTTTGGTTACAAGGCTTGGTCTGAAGCAGCGATTTGGCATATCTGACTTGTACGAATCAGAGCTGCATGGTTTGGTGTGAATGGCTGTGGAGGGTGAAGTGTAAAGTTACGAGGAGTTGAACATTACATATCGATAAGTGTATAGTGGTAGTTAGGTTGTCTGGGTTTGGGCTCGAAAGACCCTGGATAGAATGCGGTCACTGTTTACTTATCCACTTCCATCCGCTTTCAGAGCTCCATCGTCACTAATGGTAGACTTCCAAGTGCAAGAACCCATGTCTGATTCCTCTATGGCCAATCCTCAACGCCATCGGGAGCCCAGTGATATTACAAGCCATCGATTTCACCCATCTTTCAATCCACCCATCATTTTCCTCTCTCGCACGCATATTGAACCCACCATCCATCTCTCAGCTTATCCCATCCCAATCTACTGCATCCGAACTTTCCTCTCAACCTCATCATGGAAGCCCGGCACGCTCCTGAACTCATCCCCTTTAAACACATCCTCCCACGTAATATCCATATCCATACCCCTTAAAATATCTTCATGCACACCTCTCTCCAACCCACCTCCAAGCACAGCAGGTCTCCACTCTCCCTCCCTCGCAATCTTCAACTCCATACCGCGACGGATCGGCTCAGCGATTCCGAACGTGCGGCGCAGACCCTCCATCTTGAGCGCGGCTTGCGTCTCTTCCCATTTCTTGAGGCGGTTCTCGAGCGGGTGCGCGGAGTCGGGTGTGGATGATGGGGAGGTGGATGTCGTTTGGGAGAGGGAGGGTCCGACGCCTGCGCGCAGTGTGTCGTGGATGCCCGGGGCGGAGGGGGCGCCGATGTTCTTGCTGGTGAGGTGGCTGTGGGTTGTGGAGTGCCCGGAGGCGGGGGCGATTCTCATTGACTGTGAAGAAAGAAGAGTGTGTGTTAGCGATATGATATGGTGTGCCTCTTGCTTGATTTCGAGCTCCAGTGGAACAGCCTTGGGATTCAGAGCAGCTGTTGGAAGCTCATTGCATTGCTGCTGGAACGGGAGATGCTTACCATGATGATGTTTGTCAAGGGGAGTTGACTTGAGAGGTTGTTGTGGTGTTGATGGGAGGTTCGTGGTTTGAGGAGTGTGGTGGTTGATAGAACAAGCTCCAGGCACGAAAGCGGACGTGGAAAGCTCAGGTCCACGCCTCACTAGCGCGGTTTCCAAATTCTGGGGTACGCAGCCTCGCTAGCCTCGCCTGCATCATTTACGACTTCAAACATCACCCCTCCGAAACCATGTAAACACAACAATTGCAATGCGAATACCGACAGCACGAGTGTTTAACAGAGGTGTAATACCACGACGTCAATATGGCACATCAACAACTCGACCACCGGTAATCAGCATCGTCAATGGCACGTTCTACCGCCATCACCCAAACTCCCACCACGCAGCCACGCATTCCAACCCCCCTCTCTTCCCCAACCTGAGCTTCTCCCTCCCAGCATTCGCATCCAAACCCGAACACTGGTCCATCATCGGTCCATCCGCCTCCGGCAAAACCACATTCCTGCAAATCCTCCGCGGCAAACACCTCTGTCTCCTTGCAGCGGCACGGTCATGGCCATACCTCGAATCAGACGAAATCGAGCAGAAGGACCATAGGTTGAGAGATCCGAATGCGGCGATTAAACAGGTGGGATTTGATGGCGAGCAGGGCCTTGGACAGCAGGCGCCGCAGAGTGCGTATCTCAGCGCGAGATATGAGTCACGGCGTGAAGACACGGATTTCAGTGTATTGGATTACTTGCAGGGGAACACAGAACTGAATCCGTTTTCTGAGGAGCTTAAGAAAGTGGATCCGGAACTGCTGGGAAGGGTGGTCAGGGATCTGAGATTGGAGGAATTGGTTGATATGCCGGTCTCGAATTTGAGTAATGGGCAGACTAGACGGGCGAGGATTGCGAGTGCGTTGTTGGGGGATCCGGAGGTGTTGCTGCTTGATGAGCCGTTTATGGGGTTGGATCCACCGACGTTATTGAGTTTGAGTCCGATGCTGCATGGGCTGGCGGAGGCGAATAAGCCGAGATTGGTGCTTTCTTTGAGGCCGCAGGATCCCATTCCGGATTGGATTACGCATGTGGTTTATTTGAAGGGAAATTGTGAGGTTGCTTTTCAGGGAGAGAAGGGGGATGTTTTGGAAGGGTTGAGAGATCATGTTAAAAACATTCAGCAGGGAAATGCGGAGCCAGAAGAGGGTATGCCGTTACATTCGATGCATGAGGTTGGTCGGAGTCTTACCAGTGATGGTATTATTGAGCCATCGCATGCTGGAAATGCCAAGGATAGAGTTGCCTTTGCTTCACCAACAATTGAAGAGACTCCTCTCAGCCGAGATGGCTTCCCTCTCCATGATATCGAGAAGCCAGTCATTGGAGAGCCTTTAGTCCAAATGGATGGTGTGCGAGTTCAGTATGGCGATAAAGCTGTTTTGGGTAATTGGAAACAAGAAGTTCCTAGCGATAGCCAGGCGGAGCTTCGAGATGGCCTATGGTGGGATGTCAAACGAGGAGAGAGATGGGGTATCTTTGGACCAAATGGATCCGGCAAGACAACTCTACTCTCCCTCATCTGTTCAGACCATCCACAGACATACGGTCTTCCAATAAAGCTCTTCGGCCGCTCAAGAATCCCCGAAGCAGGCCAACGAGGAGTCTCAATCTTTGACTTACAGGCTCGAATTGGCCATTCGAGTCCTGAAATTCACAGTCACATTCCAAAATCACTGACACATCGCCAGGTCTTGGAAAATGCATGGGCAGATACTTTTAGAGGACTCCCCAAGCTGGACCAATCTGCCAAGGACAAGATTGAGGCGTGTTTGAAGTGGTTCGAGCATGATCTTCGATCAGAACCAGGTTCTGTTGATGTCAGTGGTACAGCATGGGCTGATGAACTTCTGTTTGGAGGCGTGCCCTTCTCATCGCAGAGAGTTGCACTCTTCCTCCGCGCTATCATCAAGAATCCAGATCTGGTAATTCTTGATGAGGCATTCAGCGGCATGGATGAGGGAGTGCGAGATCGCTGCCTCTTATTCCTCGCACACGGAGAAACGAAACAATTTGCTTCCGCTTCTTCTCCTTCTTCATCAACAAAACGAGCAGCAGGAAGCCAAAAGCCTCAAATTTTAGAGTCAGAAGTCTCAAAGCGTAATCAGGTTAAAGTTCCTGGACTCGGCAAAGATCAAGCCCTTCTTTGCATCAGCCATGTCCGCGAGGAAATACCTGGGAGTATCAGAGAGTGGGTTTGTCTCCCTGAGGCTAATACCGGGAAGCCCGCTAGATTTGGGAGGTTGGATGGGCCGATTGAGGGAGATTATAGGAGGTGGAATGAGATATGGGGGATGTAGATGTCTAAACCAAATAGAAAGCATGACTTGCTTGTTCATACTGTGATCTAGTGTTTGTTTGGGGAGCGATCGCAGATTTCGCATTTAGAAGATAAGGAATTCTATCTACAATCTGCAGTCGCAACTTGTCCCAAATATTGGACGAGATAGTGTTGTTTCGTCTCCTCGTCCCATACATTGCTCTCCACACATGTCAAATAAAGTTCGCCAAGGCGGGTAACCTTAACGCTGATCCCATCCCTTTTCTTAGCGAGCCTGGGGTCAAGACATCCAAACCTGGACAGCTCCAGCAACCCAATTCCAACATCGACAACGCCTTCTATGCGACACGATGCCCACACCTCATCTTGAGCGCCCATGACCTCACAGTCTCCTCCGCGACGCCAAAAATTTTGACGCGCCGTCCACTCCTTTCAAAATGGAACCGCGAACCCTCCCATTCCGTCCCCCCGGACATTCAGACGGCGAAGGGGAGCTCTCCCCCGACTCGAGCGCGATGACGCGACTCACGCCAGACTCCGACTCAAATTCTGGATCTGAAGATGACTCGGATCTGGATCTGGACATGGATATGGATGAGACTGGGGAAAGCTTCAAAATGCGGACACGAGGGAGGGATGTGGAGAAAGGAGGGGTTGGTGATAAGGAGGGGTTGGATGAGGATGAGGAGGACGACGAAGAGGATGGAGGTGATGAATATACCACGCCAGGACGGCGCAGAGCTGCGAGTGTTTCGACGGTGCAGTCGTATCAGTTGTATACGCCTGACGAGGAGAGAGCTGTGGTGCGGAAGTTTGACAGGAAGTTAGTCTTGTTCGTGGCGCTGCTGTATATGCTGAGCTTCTTGGATAGGTCAAGTAAGCCATCTAAGTTCTGCTTTTACATTGTATCTAGAATGTCACTGACAAGAAACCAGATATCGGAAATGCTAAAATAGCTGGTCTGGATATCGACCTTGATCTTGATTCCCCGAGGTATGAATGGGTTATCACGGCTTTTTACATTGCGTACATTTGCTTCGAATGGATGAGCGTGCTGTGGAAAATAGTACCGGCGCACATCTACGTGACGGTCATTGTTCTGAGTTGGGGGATTGTTGCCTCGCTACAATCTGTTGCGACTTCTTTTGCGGGATTGCTTGTTTTGAGGACGCTTTTAGGGATTGGAGAGGCTGGGTTCACGGGTATTCCGTTCTACCTGTCTTTCTTCTTCAAGCGTGAAGAATTGGCGTTACGGACAGGGTTCTTCATCTCTGCGGCACCATTGGCGACTTCATTCGCCAGTACTCTGGCTTGGGCTATCGTCAAGCTAGGTAGTAATGGTCCAATAGCACCATGGAGGTTACTGTTTCTCTTGGAAGGCTTCCCAAGTGTGTTGGTAGCAGTCATCGCATGGCATACTATACCGGACAGTCCCGACAGCGCCCACTACCTCACACGGCGTGAGAAGAAAGTCGCCCGTCTCCGTCTCCGGAAAGATAAAGATCCCAACTCTGCGCCAGGAAAGGGACTCAACTTCAGAGAAATGCTCTCCACGATTATCGATCCTAAATCCTATCTCACAGCCTTCATGTTCTTCTTCACCAACATGGCATTCTCATCTATGCCCGTCTTCCTCCCAACCATCATCCACGAAATGGGTCACACAGTCCTCGTCTCACAAGCCCTCTCCGCGCCTCCGTATCTGATGTCCTTCTTCATCGTCATCCTAACAGCCTACCTGTCCGATCGCCTGCGCAACAGGAGCTACTTCGTGATCTTCCACGCCCTCCTGTCCGCTTCAGGCTACGCTTTCATGGCTGTAGCTAATCACTACGGCCTAGGGACTTGGTGGCGTTATGCAGCTATTTATCCTGCCGCCATTGGATTCTTCAGCGTTATCACTATCATCATAACATGGACGATCAACAACCAAGAATCGGAGTCGAAACAAGGGACTGGTTTCGCCATGCTGCAACTGATAGGTCAGTGTGGACCCTTGGTCGGCACGAGACTCTATCCTGAAGAGGAGGCCCCGCTATATATCAAGGGGATGGCGATCTGTAGCTGTGCGATGGTTTTCGTGGCAATTTTGAGTTTGGTACTGAGGCTTTATCTTGGGAGGTTGAATACTAAGGGGAAGCATGAGTATGGGCTTGTTGGGGAGGCTGGGGAAGAACTCGTTGGAGGGAAGAATGGGAAGCATAAGAGGCCGTTTGTGTATATGCTATAGATGGTTTAAATCCACTCTCCAGTCCAATCTACCTTGACATTTTGGCTGCAAGTGAAATACGAAAGTAGCTTCTGCAAATTTGCATACCGAAGTCGGCTCGATGTCACAACTCAAAGTCAGACATTCAAATCCTAACATTCTGGTATTCTCCTTTCACATCTCATAACCTACGAACTTCAATCTTCAAAACCCCATCCCATCCCAAAGTCCTGTCCAAAAAGTCCCGAAATCATCCCAAAACCATCCGTCCAAACGCAGCCCTCCTATCCCACCACCCTCTCCTAACAGCCCTCCACCTCTCCCTAAGCACAGGCTGCCTCTCCAAACCCATCACAACCAGCCTTTCCTCCTCCGGCAACTGCTTCTCCAGCAAAGCAAACGCTCGCGCGAGCTTGACGGCGACTCCGTCTGCGATGAGAATCTCCTGATCTTCGTGGCTCTCATCCGTTTCTTGGTCGGATGGTTCGAACGAGGAAGGGAGCTTGATAGTCGCGTGTTGGATGTTGGGGAAGGATTGGATGATGATGCCGATTGCGGAGGCGACTTTGTCGGCGTTTTGGAAGGTGTTGGATTGGGAGCTGGTGAGGAGGATGGATTTGATGCGGGTGCTGTCTTCGGTGCCGACTTGGGACATGAGCTGAGCGATCTGTTTTTTATTGTTAGTAAGTGGGGTGTTGACTTGGAAAGAGGTCGAATGTGGAATTAAAATGTTGGCAATAGTCATACCCCATTGTTATGCGTGCAAGGACCCGGATTATGTCTCCCACGAAGCCGGAGGTAAGCCCGCAGGATGTCGGGGTTCTTGTCAAGGAACTCGTTGACGTATGTCCTGTAATCCTGTTGTGAAATTTATCAGCCTTCAATTTCATTGCCAGTAAACCAACAAAACAATAAACATAACCCCCCCTCCCCTCCTAAACGACCCCCGCTTACAGCCAAAAGAGGGGCATGGAGTCAAAATAATCGACTAACCTTCTCATTCCTCGCTCTAACCTCCTCAAGACACCTCTCACAATACACCTCCTCAACTTTCATCGTCCAAACTATACTCTCCCCATAGCATTGCGCTAGAATTCGAATCTCGCCTGGGGTGATATCGAGTTTCTCCTGGCCGGTGTTCTCGTTCTGGACTTTGAGATGGAAGGGATTCCTAGATACGACAAAGTCGGCGAGGGTGTGCATTCTGATCGGATTTTTGTCCATGTAGTAAGGCTTATATGAGGAGTAAAGGTGGTCTGTGGTGTTGGGGGCGTGGGCGGAGGTGTCGGGAGGGGATGTCGTGGGCCGGGATGGTTTAGCTGGATCGGACGAGGAGGGAGTATCTGTAGGATGGGATGATTAGCATCTGTTTGATGAAAAATGTTGCAATACTGGATCTGAATATGAGGAATAACATTGTAGAAGAGTGATAATGTGAATGATGTAGCTGTGTAAATTGGCAAGGAGTATGCAAGAACTCGCTTACCGACATCGTCCTTGAAAGGATCAGAAGAGGCTTCGGCTAATGCAGCTGCTGGAGAGAAATCAGTAATTGCCCCAGAAACACCTAGATCAATGGGCATACCAATGTTGAAGCGAGTGGTAGAACGAGCGAGACTCGGACCTGTAGCTAAAATCAAGTCAGCCTTACCAAACGCCCAAAATCCGAAGCGTATCTAAGCCATCTGGACAATAGAAGATTACTTACCAACGACCGGAGATGGTATAGCAGCACTTGGGGTGGCAGCAGTGACTGAAAATGAAGTTAACACCATTCATTGCAAAGTCTTGTTCCCTCGTATATGCTACCTACTCATAATTTCAGGGATTTTGGCAGCCTTTGATGGCGTGACTGGTCCTTGAGGAGCTGCATTTATGTTAGCACGATACAGAGCAAAGTGAACCTAGCTGACGACAAATTCCATCCCAAGAGCTGCTTACCCATAATACGGATTTATTCAAGTTGATTGCGGTATTCTAACAGTGGTTAGAGGTGTCTTGGTCCTCTGGAGAAGAAACTGCTTGTCAGAGTACACACTGCAAACAATCGGCGGATGAGGACAACGGGACCTGACGATGTGAAATGCAGTGAAATGGAACTCTATCAGAATTCTCAATGAGCTAGAGAAGCGTTCCAATTTTCTGGCTTTCTTAGCGACCCAGGAGATGCGGCCGTAGGAGAACCTGGAGAACGTCAATACCCTGCACGGCATCTCTTGAAGAACTCTCAAGCTTGTCCGAATTCGTGCAGTGAGAGTTGAAGGCTAGGAAAAGGATTATGGGTATCATTTGGCAATTTGCAGATTGCTACACGCCTTATAGAGGCTCCCCGGGCCCATTCTGGAGAGAATTCTCCTGATGGTTGTATGAGCCAGGGTTGTTTACTCACCCTGAGAGCAGAACGAACGACGAACAACGCGACGGACCGGCGGAAGATACCAGATAGAATGCGCAAGATGATTTCCCTCAGAGGAGAGAGGTGCCCACAAGCTGTGGCGTTGAAGGGAGAGAGATCAATGCTGTGCGTGTTGATGTTGTTGACCGAAGAGATTGGCTGCGCGGAAATTAGATTCTAGGTCGATGGAACGGCTCTCAAATTCCACTTGTGGATTATGGAGAGTCTGTAGGGAGCGAGAAGAGTAGACGCGACGTTGATCTCCATGAACATATGTCATCGACCAAAGAATCTGGCGGTGCATAAACAAATATAGGTAGTTGTCTGGTTTCGAATGCCAAGAGAAAATATGTACATAGAGAGCAGAGGCGCGAATTCGTAAGGAGAGGATATGTTGTTTTCTATGTTAAAATTGTGGACAGGACCAGGATGCGTGGTTTGGTGGAGGCATGAGGCACCATGTATGGTTGCTGAGTCGATCAGGTCAAGACAGGGAAAGCGCCGACAACTCTCCACTGAACAAAATTAACACTATTTCGAAGAAAAATTGTAAATCTATCGATTCATGCTTTTCAGATAGTTTTAGCGTGCTTTATCTCGCAAGAGGAGCATTCGAAGCTGTCAAGTGTATAGTTAGTGGGGCTGATAATGTCTTCGAAGTGTCTCCTGGAACCCCAACTTTTGATAGCTCAAGCTTTTCTGGGAGAGTCTAGACAGTCGTATCACGCAACAACTTCAAATTCAGTTCAGTTATATGATTCTCAATTCGTTGAAGTGAAGAACTGCCCTGCAGTTGTCAAGTGTCAAGAGTGACCGCGACTGTCTTCGAAGGCTTATGTTATGCTAAGACTAGCTCTCACTTGATGATAACAACTAGAGTAAGCACCGTTAGTGTTTGATCAGATATTGGAGTATTTTATGAGAATTCGCTTGCATTACTCAAATGATAAGGCAGATGCTTTGCTCTTACTTTGTTTACTAGCCCGGAAGTCGTGGCTCAAAGAAGTGCAGGGAGGATAGGCTAAGCACGACAGATCAGCTAAACGCCGAAAATATCATATAGAAACAACTCTGGATGCTGAAAAACTTGTCTAACTTGGCTGATATGGACAGGAAACCTAATAGAGTTCGTTGACTTATGTAATTGGGAGGGGCTACAGCTTTTTTATCAAAAGGAGGCAGGATCCTTCATTTTTGACGCGTCGGAAAAGCACAAAGAGGGTCGGTCTCATGAGCTCTCATTGGGGTATTAGGACACCGTCAAGAACCCAGTACCGTCTATCACCCCTTATAAATAAGCATGACGCATAGTTATGTCCCCAAGTCGGCTCCAATATTTCCCGACACGCAAAATGCTGCGCGGAGGCTGACCATTTGTCATCGCGGGCTAGCGAATCGTGAGTGAGTTGAATTGTCAGGGGGCCTCCAAAGCGGAAAATCCCCAGAAAATGGAGAGTGCAACCTTTTATGCACGGGGTTCTTGTTTAGTTTCAAGCCATACAGTGTAAGGACGAATAAAGTTAGGGAGGGGATTACCAGCTTTTCGTCCCTGGGAATTGGAACTCTGGAAGAACTACGCAGGGTATCTTAACCATTCAGTACCTATCAGTGGTCGTCTATTTTCAAGGTGCGTCCACCTGGCCGAAAGGAGCCAATGGAGAGTTCTCGCATCTACTCCTCTACTGGTCCTCGATTGCAATGTTGCGCTTCATGCATATGAGCCACCTCATCGCTCGTTTACGTTCCTTCCCACTGTCCTCATCTCTAGCATTCTGTGCTTTTCTACCTTCGAGCTCCCCGAAATCGCATTTTTACACTGTGATCAAAGTTCGTCTTACTTCTTCACTCGGACTACAGTGGCCACCTATTGGCTTTCAACTTTTCAGGTATCGAAGGCAGGGCCCCAGTGGTCTTGCTGACAATGGAAGAACCACCTCCAATTACTTGTAGATTTGCAGCAGCTCGACTAGTTAGTTTCTTTTTCGCTATTTTGTCCTTTCCAATGAACTGGGAACACGTGTCGGACAATATTACGTCTTCGGAACCAAGACTACTTCCAAATTTACTTGCAGGAAATGAGAAATTGTTGTTATAAAGAAATGGAGTACGCCGCTGTTAGCTAAAGATCGTATTAAACTCGTATACATGAAAGCAAAACAAATAAACAGAAACAGTTGATGTCAGCAAGAAGGTAGTTTGCATGGGAAATTCCTGTACGATCAACCCGCTTGATGAAATGTCGAGATGTTCGTCATAAAGTCGTCACGTACAAAAAATGTACGATTCATGCCATTCAAGCAGAAAAAGAAAAAGAAAAGCCTCGAAACGATTGATCTCCAAGCTTCAATCCTAGTTGCCACCCACACTCGCAACCTTTGGCGTGATTTCGTAAATGCCAGCACGTCCTGCACGTTAAGATTTTGTGTGGTTAGCCTTGGAACTACACGTTTCAACTTTGCAGCTTGGTAAGAGCGGAAACACTCCTCAAAAGGAAGTCGGCTACATGTATTCCGCTTTGGTCACTTGCTTTTGAAGAAATTTACTTACCATAGGTGTCAGCATATTGAGGCCGAATGTAGTCCTCCACAGTAACTGCGGCATACTTCTCCTCCTCTTCATTCTCACGGCAATTCTCGATGCATTTGATGATGAAGTCGGGGTTTCCATTGAAGTTGGCGGGAATGGAGTAGCGTTCAACCCCAGAGTAGTTGACTACACGATGGACGACGGATCGATATCTATATGATGCAAATTAATATCAGCAGTTGAGGGGGCTCTATGCGGCTCAATATGAGTTATTGGACTCACTCGTCGTTAGTCCACTGTTGGAACATATTACCCAAGTTGATCACATAGGCACCTTCTACGGGTGGAACAGCAGCCCATTGCTTTGACTCGTCATCCCAGACCTCGAGGCCAGGGACATCACCTTGGAGCAAAAGAGTCAGGGCACCGAAATCACGATGTGCACCAAGACCTGTGAGCAATAATTTGTTAGTCTAAGTCTGCCTAGTATCTGTATCGGACAACTGACCTCTTTGGAGCGCGTGTGAGTCTGTTGGCTGAGGAGGATAATGCAACATCTTGAAGAAGCACATTGGATCCTTGGAGAACTCGTCGAAGAAGTTCTTCTTGTATCCCAAAGACACGGCAAGAGCTCGCATGATATGCTCTCCGAGTTCCATGATGTGCTTTAAATAAAGCATGCAGGTCTCCCTGAATGGGTCTCCCAAGCTTTCAGGCCAAAGGTTAGGACCATGGGCGAACTTGCCGCCAGCAACCTGTGGGTGATCAAGAGGGAGGTCGCGACCAAGGTAATAGCCCTCTTTCAGGTCAGGAGCAGTGTTGGCTTCAATCATCTGGGAGGCCATCCTCTGGTATCCGCGGTTGTACTCATTCTGGGACTTGTCTAACTTTAACTTTTCCTCTAGAGGCAGTTCGAAAAATTGTTTCGACAGCTCAAGTATCTCGCGTTGAAGAGAGAGGGGGATGGTATGATTGATGATCTGGAAAAAGCCTTGTGTCAAACAAGCGTCACGGATCTGGGAGGCACATCGTTGCATCCGCTCATCGTCTCCTGATAGGAAGTCGCTAAAGTCGATAACTGGAGGAGCTCTTGGCGATGACATTTTATTGAAGCTTTGTGGTGGATTGGGATCTTAAGAAGTTTAAAATTGATAATCTGAAGGAGACTTGGTTGTCTTGGTTGGTTTCTTGTGATATAATGGTTGATGATTTTGAAATTCAAATTGCTCGGCTCACAAGCTTCTTGTATACCTTTTCCACATCCCTTCCATCGCGGTCCATGGCATCATCTTCGTTATGACGTTTCAACGTTTCCAAGTTGTGAGCCACCCCCCACTCCCCTTCATGCCTACAAGCTGATCGGATATCGCGAGTTGATCGAATATCGTGAGTAGATCTGAATTGCCACAAAGAACGACGTCACCCACGGGCTTCAATCAAGTGCTTACTCTGTCCAAGTGCCTCACGGGATAATTTGGTGGTGTAAATGGGTAAACATGTGCGTCCTGGAGCCAGTCTCGCATAATGCAGGGGGTTCAAGGACGACGCCACACCATCACACGGCACCACTTGAGTCACATCGTCTGCACAAGCATGAATTAAAAGCTAAGGAGGAGAATCTGAAGACCTTACGAAGCTAAACTACCAGAGGAAGTTTTTTTTTTCTAGTATTGTCTTCTCCTCACTCAAATTTTACACTCAATCAGATCTGTTCGTGTCTTGCCAAAGTGGATTCTGCCCACTCGCTTCGCGATCTGATGTAAACAGATCGGCGCTATCCTTGATCAGCTACTGCCAGACACAAAACAAGATAGAGATCTGCCAAAAACGCGAAACAACCTCTCTTTAACTCCATATAAGGTATGTTTATTTGTGATCAAATCAAGAGTGTTTATTGTGATTACTGTACATAAAACTCAGCCAATGTTAGACGAGCTCAGCAGCAAAATTCTATCCCTGATACTGCATCCTAGATTGATAGATGCGCTGGGATGTATTGCATTGTGCCGCATCGAGAAAGATTTCTTGACACATAGCAATCACGCAATTCCCCATGTCGCATTTCCCGCAGCACGGGTATTCAAGTTCTGGACCGTGGGGTGATTCTAAGTCCTTCGATCACCTCAGCTGACCAGGCACAGAAAGCGTATGCGAGGACAACAGTCCGATTTGCTTGAAAGGACAAAGTCGCCGGGAATAACATGAGCAATCCGGGTTTACTGCTCAGCGCAGCTGTTTTGAGTCTTGACGTCGTCATTCTCATCATCCCTACCGAGTGCGAATTGGATGTGGAAGTCCATGGGGTGGAGAAACTAATCAAAACACGGGGTACAGACCATGTCGAGATGATTGGACAGCGGACACGACACATCAGCCCCGGCGGTCCGTCCCTAGCCTGCATGCGTCCAACCATGCAGAATTTCATGCAGACGGAAGTGAAAGCCGCACGAGTTTTGTCTGACAGGTAAGCTTAGCGCACCACTGGAGATCTGGGTGAAGACAACGTGTGGGACATTGAGGGGAAATAATCTGGAAGCAGCATGCATGCATGGAATATCAACTGAACAGGGCTTAGTCTCTCCTGTGCGTACACGGAAAGATCCCAGATGGAGAAAGACCAGGCTGGCTGAAATGACATGATTGATCTGACCGGCTACTCAATATGCAAGCAATATCATGCTCGGTGCGTTAAGCTAGGCCTTGCATACGTTAATAACGCTTTCTCTCAAGCGTTGGGGATACATGACCACCTTGATTTTGATTGTGGATTTATTTCTTCATCTTGGAACGAAACATCCACCCGATTTATCTCAAACGCAAACACTGTTGTGTTACAATGTCTCAAATGGTGGCGAACCCAACAAGAAGCCGAATGGTGTCTTCCGGACGGGCATTCGATCCTCAAAACCCCTACGAGAATTGGCCATCCTACGCCGAATTGCCTCTCGACCCGTCTTACCCTACCAAGGCCGCATGGGGAGTCTGGGTAAGCCCAAATTCATATCATTTTCGATAATTTGTGATAGTTTATGATACTGACAAGTAGTCGCAGGGTGCTGATGATGTTCATGGTGCGCTCAACCACATAACACAGGTAACCATCAAAACGGCCGCCACAGAAGAGATTCAAACGGGACAAGCTTTCAACCTGAACCTCGAACTGAACTTCATTCCACGACCTATCCTGGCAAGACGCAAGCCCACCATTCATCTGGTCAAGCCAGGCCCTCAGTCCAATGACGATGTCATCACGCTGAACACCCAGGCTTCAACCCAGCTCGATGGGTTGCGCCACTATCCATACAGCGAGCCTGTGGAGAATAGAAGTCGAACATATCGCTTCTACAATGATCTCATCACCAACTATGAGGAAATCATTGGCGGGAATATGACCGACGTATTGGGGATCCAACAGGCAGCTGACAAGGGCATTGCTGCTAGAGGTATCTTACTGGACTACAAGGGATGGATGGACAGCAAGAACATGTCCTTTGATCCGCTCAAGGTAAGCAAAACACCTCCTCGGGGAATGACTTGAACTCAAACGTAAGTATAGGCACATGCAGTCGCCGTGTCCGACCTGGACAAGGTCGCCGAATGGCAGGGTTTAAAGGGTGACTGGGCAAGACCAGGAGACATCCTACTTGTGCGTTTTGGCTGGATTGAAGCCTTCAGCAAGCTTGATGACAACCAGCGACAAGCCATAGTTCTCGGCTCAGGGGAATACATTGGTGTTCCGGCTTCGCCTGCCACCGCTGAATGGCTGTGGAGTAAGAAGCTAGCAATGGTAGGTGGCGACAACCCTGCGTTTGAAGAGCATCCTGTTGCAGTACAAGACTTTGACGGGGAAGAGAGAAGTCTTCACCAGATTATGATCTCTGGCAAGTTCCCCTACTGCTCAAAATGATAACGAAGCCAGTGCTAATTGTACTTCAGGTTGGGGCCAGGGTATCTTGGAGTTCATCGACTTGGAGAAACTTTCAGCTGCTTTGCATGCAAGTAACAGGTCTCATTTCTTCTTGACTGTTCAACCCCTGAATGTTAGAGGTGGAATTGCGTCGCCACCTAACGCCATGGCCTTGATATAGGAGGCGAGGAATGAGCGAAGACAAGATTTGATGTGTATTTTGCACACTCAATTATTTTGGGGCTCACAGCTACTACTGAACTGTATCTGAATGCGTTTAATTTTCATCTATTTCTTCTTTATTTTGAGCAAAATATCAGTTCCACTTAGCTTCTACACTCGCTTTCGAGAGTCGTTCAACCAAGTGATCTTGTATTTATCATTACCACATGATGGCAATTTGACTAGAACAGCTTTTTTCAATATCTGGGTGTCGAGAAGAGACATCTTGATTACGGTACCAATGACTCTCAGCGATTGTGAGTGACAATTGAATGAAATCTTGCCCAATTACACATGATCTTCAAGGATTCTAGTGGCCCTAATGTCTCATCTCAATATCGGGCTCCAAATCCGACCCGAATAGACTGTCACATCCTTCTCTTTTACGTCCGTATGCCATCGTTATTTGACCATCGAGTCGGACTTTCGGAATCTAAACCTCCAAGGCTTTGCCACACAAGGGGGGACGTAGCACCAACGGAAATAGTGTGAAGTCCTCGTCCATTCCCGTTCAGGCTCAATGCGGCTTCCATGTAGACCGACTTAAGCGCTCTTTGCGTCCCAGCTGCATGGTTGTCATTTCGTTCCCGAGCATGGCACCATGATTGGTGGCCGTTCTCAACGCATGCAAGGTCCTGACAGTACTGTCGATCTGTTGATTGGCACTTTAAGCATACACGACCGAAAATGTTATGCTTCAAACCTGCATCGTGCAATATGTGCCTGGGAGGAACAAGAAATTCTCTGCTGAGTGGCGTCAATATCGCGTAAGGCTTGCAGCAGCCTACAACGGCAATGTTTTAGTGGGTGGACATGACGTGCAGCCGTTTAATATGGGAATGATCCGATTTCCTATGGGTGTACAGAGAATGCAGGTTTCATTCCACCCTTCTGTCCTTTGGTTTCCTTGAGGTGCAGATTTATTTGGATGCCCCCACGTAAGCGTGTATGCGTGTGGCTCACATTCAATCACCATGCATCGGTCTCAATTTACCCCTCCACATGTAAAAAATGCTTCCTTTGATTGGGCCATGGCAATAAAGGAGAATTCTGGCAGATTTGACTTTGTGCGGGGATAGCCGCAGCAAGACGAAATGCTGAGATCTGTGACATTTGCAAAATTTTGGAAACTGGTGAATTGTATCAATTAGCTATTACGGTAAGGAAATATCTACCCAAGAACTTTGAGATCTCTATATGTGCTTGAAAAAATGTACGATGTTTGAATTAAGTCTTTATCTTAACTTTTATTTCTGGCGAGAATGTACATATTGCTAACTTCTATTGTTGATGAATCCCCGTCACATTTCTATGCCCAACAGGGCGTAATTGGACAAGGGCTATGGCCTTGTTTCTTGCCCAATGTAGTCAAAGATCTCTTAGGAATAAAACACAGCAGCTAATTGGCCTTTTTTCACATATTAATCGAGACAGAGGTGTCATGACGGATATGATCTGAGGTCTCTCGTCAACTTCGGAAATGGCCTTCCGTGACGTCAGGATACTGCATGGCAGGATCTTACACCTTTCAGTAACTTTAGCAGTCGGTGAATGTAACATCACACAGCAATGATCTCACAGCAAGCTTGGCCGACCGGAAGATCAACGTTGCGCTGCCCACCTAGGTAGTTAGAACGCCTTCTCGGGTATCTACTCCCCTTCAAGTACAGAGGGATCACCAAATGATAATCGCATTCATCTCATTCTTGAAGCAATCCGCACTTGAAATGATTAATCTGACATCCTGTAACTGTTTGTCGCCTTCCGTGGACGATGATCATGAAGATCACCAAGTTGTGTTGGGCATCATGATAGATGAAGGGAAGGGACTCAATGTATTTATATGATCCAAGTTTCCACACAGAACGAAGAATTTGCACACATCAATCATTCACACTATCTTCAAACGTTCTTAAACTCAATCTTCCATGAAACCACTCAATTCACTCGATTCACCCAACGCACCAAAATCAGCCAAATCACTCAATTCCCCAAAGTTACTCAGTTCACCTAGTCCATCCAGTCCACCCAGTTCACCCAATTCACCTAACTCCCTCAATTTACTCAACTCACTCAATCCACACCTTCAAGATGCATGTCGGTATTGTAGGCGCGGGCATTTCTGGACTTAGCGCTGCCATGCTTCTCCGTCGCAATGGCCACCAAGTTACTGTCTTTGAAGCCAGTTCTCGACTCGGAGGACGCATTTACACCCACAGATTTGGTAAAGGCACCGATGGCAGCGAAGTTTACTTTGAAGCTGGTGCAATGCGGATCCCTCGATCGTCACTCCATAAACCGGTATACGATCTCATCAAGTACCTCAACACGCACAACCCTCCGGAAATGAAGGTTAATTTGATACCCTATGTCCTTGAGCACAAAAACAACAAGGACTTCATCATGGGCCGAAAGCTCGATGTCGACGACGTTTTCTGGGGAGAAGCCCTAAATATCCCAGCAGAGTTTCTCAAAAGATCTCCCAGGGCTCTCCTCGAAGAAATAGTATTCCCTTGGCTGGCATTGTTACGACTGGATTTCGAAACCGGATTTCAGAAGCTACTAGAGTATGACGAATACTCATTCCGTGGATACCTTCGCAAGCAGGGATGGCCCCATGAGGTGATTGAGCACGTCGAGCTCACCACTAGCCAGACCAACCAGTATGACCTAAGCTTCACCGAACTCATCATGCAAAACCTCGACTTCGACACCAAGGATTGGTGCACTGTCCATGGAGGCATGTCCAATATGATAGATGCTTGTGCAAACATGGTCGGTCGCAACAACATTCGCTTGAATGCACCCGTTTGGAGTATTGCCGATGGCGACCACGACAATATTGAGGTCGAAGTCTCCGGGCACAGTAGTCGGGCGTATTCCTTTGATAAGGTTCTCCTCGCTATTCCGACAGGGGCTATAGCAAGCATTCAACAGCGGCCTCGGTGGTCTTTCATGAAAGAGCAGTCGTTTCGCGGGGCCTGGTTTGAGCCTCTGTACAAGATCGGCTTGCACTTTCGTACTCGATTTTGGGAGCATACACCGAAGCCATGCTTCGGGGGTCAAAGGTTAGTGATCACCTACGAATTTTCCTTGACGAGTAAATGGATCACTCGCGTTTCGAGTACTAGAGGGGTTTCTCTACGCATATGCTGACTGGATCGCGAATTGTAGTGCAACGGATTTACGTTTCAGGTGGATCGTCTACCCGTCTGACCACATAGGCAATACTGGCTCTGGCGTTCTGTTGCTCTATTGTTGGATGTCCGATGCTTTAAAGTGGGGCTCACTAACTCGCGAAGAGCGCATTCACATCTGTCTTCATGATCTCGCGAAGTACTTCGCCGATGATGATAATGTTGACGTTCATGACCAGTTCATGGAAGCCTTCGATATGCTATGGTCTAACGAGTCCTGCGGTGGTGATGCCATGTTCCTACCAGGTCAATTCACGCGTTTCCACGAGGTGGGGAAGAAGGCGGAGGGAAATGTCCATTTCGCTGGCGAGCATCTCTCCAAGCACCACACATGGATTGCAGGTGCGCTGGACTCGTCTCTGACATCGGTGAAGCAGATGACGGGCGGTGATGTACAAGGTTTGGGAACAGAACACGACTTTGTGCAGCCAAAGCTTCCGAAGACAACCGTGACAACACCTGCGATTGGGGCTCTGAGTCGGGCTAAGGACTTGTCGCTGGCACCTGCTCTGGCTAGCTCCATTCTTTCTTCTGTCTTGCCTAGCTTCATGATTCCTATGCACTTGAATGTTCAATACGTGGAGGTGTTTTAGCTCCTGACAGTCTTTTGTAGATAGGGAAGCAGGGTAGCACATGAAATAACGTAACTTGGGCAGGGGAGTTATGAAATTTGTAAATAGCTGGTTTTCCTCAATAAATTATACTACCTTTGTCATACCATTGACTACCTTCTGCTTATCTAAACGGAATCTCTCTCTAGAACTCTTCTGAGGTCCACCTTCAAACTCCTGTGCAGGGTGCATGATTGGTCCAGGTGTGCTCGCTTAAAATAGTGGTGTTTACCTACACTCCTAGCTAGGACCTCAAGGGTTCTTCTTATTTTCCTCTACAATTCATCGAGATCAAGGTGCAAAGTTTCTTCGTAACACCTAGGCCGCGCAGTCTGGATTTAACTGGTCGTTGGTAACTATTGTGACGTACCGCAACAATCGAAAGTTGCAATGTCCCCGAGAGGGATAGCTCAGGCGGAAAGTTACATGTAAAGCTAAAGTCGCGAATGATATCCAGACGTCAGTCTCTGATTTGTTAGTCTATGAGGTGGACCCCTTTATATATTCTGCGGCGGTATTCTTGCTTCAGATATGTCTTCCTCAATGCTAGGAACACCGCTTCTTTCGCACTATTAGGATACTAGAAAAACACGCTGGAGGGTAAGAGGATCTTTCCGATTTGAGTGTGGCAAGAGAAACTCATGTACGACTGATAGTAAAAAAAAAGGCTGAGAGAAACATGTAAGTATAGTAAAATCTGATAGTATGAGACGAAGAATGATCTACGAAACCTATAGGCTCTTTTTGTCCCCCTATGTCATGACGATACCATCTTTCAAGTAATATATGCATGCTTACCTGCTCGTAAAATGCCTAACGCTATGTGCTATTTTGAAAGATAGATTCTCCTTATGTTAGACGGTAAAACGTTAGGCGGCCAAACAATTTTTGATATCAGCACGATGATCAATCAATGGTGCAACCAGACCTTTCAACAGCCTCATCAAGACCGCCATCAAACCTTCGTCCTCCCTGAGCCTCCAACATCCCAAAAGTTCACCCCGCCATCTCTCTCAAGCCCGCCACAAGCATCATCCCAGTCCAATCTGGTGCGAAGTAAGGACAATTAGGTCCTACCCTTTTCGCTTTCCCATTGATCTAGTCATTGCTCTAGATCTAGATCTAATTGTTGTAGTAGTCTGTCCTTTCTTGGCAGTAAAACTCGGGATCTTAAAATTATTTTCTCGCGAAAGATCTATCGATAGCTACCTAGGCTGAGGTATCCGAAAAACAGGTGCAGCAGAGACTGAGTGATTTGAGTTGTACGTATTTCTCTAAGTTATTACACCGGTAATTTAGTTCTCCACTAGGAGTGAACACGAGATTTATTGGCTCATCAACCGGTCCATTGAAGAAAGGGAGCATATGAGTAATGACAAGGCAGAGAAATCAACTTCGTGGAAATGAGTTCGGCTCGTTCGGATAGGAAAGTGAGAGATATGATAGATAGATGCTGGATGCGGTTGAATAAAACGAGACATCAATTGATATTCCGCTGCTTCATGCAGGCCTAGCATCAAGAACTGACAGAAATACTAGCCGTCGAAGAAGTGAATTTCAAAACTACTTAGTAGATATGCCAAGAAGTACCGATGTCTACGTAGCTCATATACTACCCCTCACTTCCCTACCCCACCTTTCACCCCTCCAAAACACCCCGTCCCCCAGGCTACTCCCTGACTTCCAGTCTTAACACCACACCACAATAATCCACTTATCAAGCACTCACTTCAAGTCGAAGTCAGTTATCTTCTTCCCCCTCTCCTCACACCCGTCACCCGTCCCATCCATCATCCCTTCCTTCCACACAAAATCCCTCCATCCGATCCCTCAATTTCATCAGGGTCTAATCCCTCCCTCCGTCCCTCCCTTCCCATTTCCATCCCGTCCGTCCAAGGGAATAAGCTTAACCTCACCTCTCCAACATTTCCACCCCTTGCAGCGCAGGCCGCAGGCCGCAGCAGCTCACAGGCCGCTGTCAGTCGAGTCGTCTTCTCCAGTCCTCTTCCGATCAGTCTAACTAACCAACCCAGCCCAACCCAACCCAACCAGACAAACCCCTTGGGGGCCGAACCGCACCGCACCGCACACGGCACGGAGATATCTCCCCTCCTAGCCTCATCACTACTTCCCAGCATCTAGCCTGTCCTTTGCATTCAACCACAGCCAGAGCCAGCACCCTGAAAAATCCCTGAAAAATGCAAGCCGCCCGCCTCTCCAAAGCAGCCAGCCCGCGTAGATCATGACGCCATGATTGGGAGATGCAACCCCAGATACAGATACAGTTTATCGGACATCCCAACATCCGAGCAAGATCCAAGGATATTGATATCTGGTAGAGAAGGATCGACGACCAGCATTAAAATTGAGAGTTCAACCCGATTCGATGGTGGTAAACCTTGAGCTTGATGATCGATGATCCTCGATGGGGGGCGGCGGCTGCAGGATTGATGCTTGTTTGTGTTGGTGATGCGTTAGCGAGGATCCCTGGTGATGGATGGCTTGCGCGGGGTGTTGAGATGGCTCGGATGGACAGGTTCGGCCTTCGGACTGAGGAATGAATAGATTCAGTAATTCTTGAAGCAGAGCAAGGTGTAATTCGGATTTTAGATGTTAAATAATACTGAGTAGAAGTGGTAAATAAATAGGTATACTGCGCACACGAATAACCAATCCGAAGTCCCAAATCGCAAGGTATTTATTTTGTTACAATCTCGCAAATCCCTCCACCAGTCGCCGCCTATGCAGTATGAATTATCTATGTTGGTGAACTTACCTCCTCAATGTCTCCCAGCGCAACTCAAAAAATTGGCGACGCATATAGAAGCCCGGATCATGTTTGCCGTCCGGATCCTGTTTCCCATCTCCTCTTTACTGGATTCTTGACCACCCTCATCGCTTCGGAAACAGATCGTCCCGATGCTTGAGATGCACACCAACACACATAGTCCAAGACGAAATTGCCACACCACCACCTCGTTGAAGCACGATTCAGAATGCCCCTTCCTCTTCATCTCTATACCAGAATACTGATAGACCCATAAAAATTCAATATTAGAAATCGAACACAGACTAGGCAGAATGCAGACCTAATCCAAATCACCACAGCGCAGACTTCCGATGCAATCCACCACATAATAATACAAGATACGGTCCTTGGTTTCGCCCAAGGTGTGCTGGGCGAGCAAGCGTGTTCCATAGCGCGAGTAAGCAATGAACAAGCAGTTTAAAGACGGAGCAGACTATTGTATTGGTTACAGTTCCATATCTGTATGAACGAATTCTCCTTTCTCCAGCGTACTAATGGCCAAACAATAACACCAAGCCAAATGCAATGTAACTTCAACATAAAGAACATGAGGGATATCTGGTACTGATAAATAATATGATAGAGACAATAGAAGGAAATATGACGATATTGTAGATTAGCACACAAATGAGCAGGACAACGCCAATACCAAAACAAACCCTAATTATCAGGTATATGCTACACTCCCCTGAATATGCAGCCCGCTCATGGATCGTTGAACGCCACCAAAGACTCCTGACAGCCAGACCTTGACCTTGGCCAGGACTTAAGTCCAAGAATGCCATCCCCTGACCTGAACCCAACCCAAATCCCCCACCATAAACAAATGCATGATGCGAAAAGGATATCTAATGTCTGCTGACTGTTGCAAGATAAACAAGGTATTGCTGTTGAGAAAACAAGTAATGAGAACTAGAACGAGTTCTACTCGATTCGACTCAGTGTTTGGGGCGTCATGGAAGTGAAGATGATGACTCCGTCCAGGAAGAGGGTGTCCAGGCAACCGTCGAATGGGAGGACGAAGACCTATCATCGTGATATCGATATCACGAATCCAATGATGAGTCCAACTCGCAATATCGACCAGGTTGCAAGATGTTGTGCAGAGGGTATGCGCATGTGAGGGAATACGAGATCGGACTAGGATTGAGACGCGCTAAACCACGGATCATCTGATTTGTCGAGGACACCCTCAACATCCGCCCTCGCCAATCATCGAGCGCACGCAACTCACGTACGCGGCATCTGCTGACTCTGGCTTTGTTGCTGCGCTGATAATATCCTGGCGATCCTGTTGTCACCCCCTGCAGCCGCCGACTCCGCGGTATTTCGATGATTTGGATAGTTCAAGTTTTGCAAGTGGGTAGAAGTGCCGCCGGCAGTCGCAGAGCCAGCTTCGCCAAACATGTCCCATGAGCCTCGATGGCTAGGGTTGCCCAAAGTTTGATATTGATTTGGTGTTTGCATGTGATGCTGTCCTCCTTGCCAGTGGCTCGGTCCTTCGTGGGGGTGTTGTGGCAGTCGAAGATCAGAAGGACCACCTTGAAGAGCCATGGACTTCTGGTCGTGAGGCGAGACAATTCGAGCGGGAATATTGGAATTGTAGGCCGAAGGGGTTGAGCCAGATATCGATCGGGGAGAGACTCCTCCATGATGGTCACTTGCGTATGATGCGATGCCCGCATTGGATCCGTCGGGGCCATTCCCTGACGAACTGAATGGCGTCAGAAGTGTCGGTCCTGGAGGCAGTGTCGAGGATGGGCTAGCAGACTGGTCCAACGTCAGCATCTGAACTACGGTCAACATCGCGCGCAACACTTACGTATTTACCAATGATCTTCTTCAACGCGGAAGCCAGATCTTTCCAGTGGAAGACTTTGACATCTTTCTCGATGTTTCTTGGTTTCGGTGCCGGGAAAGCCATGATGACCTTGAAAAATTCTTCACTGTCAGGCTTCCCTTTGGATACAGTTAGTGGCCGGAATCCTTCCAAGTTCCTCCGTATCCGGTTCTTTTCCTCCACTGTAAATCGAGCAGCCACTAGTTGTTCCAACAGATAAATTGTGTCAACGCTTGTAACGAAACACTCATTCTTCTCCTCCCAGTATATGCAGCTGATACAGACGCTGTTCGGAGGTCGATCGTCTGGTGAAACAGCTTGGAAGGTCGTCGTAATTGTACTTCCTGACTGTGACCGTCTGAAATGGACAAGTCGTCTTCTCGACTCGAATTCTTCGTCTGACCAATGTGCTGCCATCTCATCCAGATCTCCCGTAATCTCTAATTTCGCTTTCTGGTGGTACAAAGCATAAGCGTTGAAGGGGCCCGGATGACCTCCGTGCGGGGTAGATGCTGGACTCGGTGTACTTTGTTGAAGTGTCGAAGTCCTAATTAGGGGTGGGTTTGCCGTTGACGCAGGTGTCGGCAGCGACCCTAGACTTGGCCGTTGTCCCCCTAGACTTGATTGTATACCTGGACTCCGTGCCATCGAAGCATTTGCGTAGGAACCCCAGTTGCCCGCTTGGGGCGACTGTGCCTTGATCGTTGGCGGAGATGCTGCAGCGGACGTTGAATAGTATCCTAGATTCCGTGCTTGTTGTCCCTGGTAACCTCCCGCGGGACGACCGTATTGTGGAACATGATTGTTGTAGCTGTTGCTACTGGGCTGGAGGTAAGGTGAGAATGTTTGAGTTGCCTCGGTTTGAGCATAGCTATAAGTGCCGTACTCCTCTTTTGGCCTCAGATGTTGACTAGAAGTTCGCTTCAGAGGACTTCTCATCAGATCAGTGGAATCCGTGGAAAGCTTCCGCTTCCTGGAATTCTCCTGTGTCATGGTATTCTCGTTCTGGCCATCAATGAACGTAAACTGTCCAGCATCTACTTTCTCAATCGCGTCTCCGTCGCCAGTCTCCATGAACATGCATAGAGGGACTACTGAAGAGCTCCATCCGGTTACACTGAAGGGTGGAACTTCAGCAGTCACTGTGTATGAGCAGACAGCTCCTTGCTGGCTCACTTTCTGTAAAGACGCAGGGCATTTGCGTTGTCCAAACATCAGAGAGAAAACGGGCGCAGTATCTGTGATCAGCTCGTACAGAGATGTGATATAAACGTAAATCTTGGTGCCAGATGTTCCTCTTTGGGGAGTGTACGATGTTATCTCTGGTACCGTAGTCCCCACGTTCAAGTAAGGACCAGATTGGTCGTCATAAGGAGTCCGCACCTGATTCGGAGGGTATGCCATGGGTGTCAGCTGAGGCGCCGTCTGGTAGACTGGGGCGGTAGTTGATGCCGGACCGGGGGGTTGAGAGCCATAGCTAGGGGCAGCGTAAGGAAAAGTGTTGTCGGGGTAACTTCGCCCAGAATCATAGCCTGCTGAATTGTAAGTAAACTTGGATACCACAAATACGCATTGTAGAATCCCGCCTCAAAATGAACATACCATGAAGCTGTGGCGGTTGCGCTTTCCCGTAGGCAGACATGGAGAGGGAATCCTTTGGGGAATCCGCCCTGGCCACAAGGCCGCCCTCGTACCCTTCTTCGTGAAAAGCCGCAGTCTCGGGCGACGCGTACGAATCGTCGAGTATAATCGGTCTGTTCGAGGAAGGGGGTTCAGGCTGTGTTCAAGTGTTAGTGAGAATTCGAGAAAACCCGTCACAGCTTCAGAGGATGCACCTACGTCGAACAGTCTGTACGTTGAATATGCCAGTTTGGCGGTGGTAAAGGTAAAAGCTCAAAAGCGAGCAGCGAGGAGAAACAACCCAATTTCTGACGAAAGTCTGTGGTGGATATTGGAGTGTTGCGTAAGGTTGTGCCGTTCCATGGAATGTGGAGGAAATTGACCAAACGCTACTGCCAATGTGACAACTCCGACAAGCACTTCGTGCAGATCTCAGCCCAAATTTGCCCTCTCTTCGGAGAACCGTTCACGGGGCAGCCGTTTTGGCTTCCTTTGAACGTGGAAGGCTGAAGGTGTCGTCCAGTGTCAAACTAGACAGAAGAGCCGAGAGTTGCAGAATAGATTGGAAAGAAGTATTAGACGATGGGACTTTCACTGCGCTTACTATCCGAATCTTGTACCAAGTCAACGAGTGGCGGTTTTCTCTATTTGAATGGAGGTCTCGGGAGGCTGAAACTAAGAATAAAGTATTGCAAGTAATCGCCCTATATTGACAACGGGTCAGCCGGATTTTGGGCAAAGTGTTGCAGCGATGAAAGGCTGGCAGCTACTGGGATTCGTTCATAGCGGAAGAGTTCTGAATCACTTACTGATGAAGAGACAAAGACTTGAAGCTGTTGATGCTCAACCAGTGGTCGGGGTCTCTTGAACTTATGCAGCTACCCGTAGAGAGATGAACCTGTTCGGATGGGCGGTCAGAGTCAGTTTATGCTATGCGGTCCGGTCTGTACGGGTGGTTGTCATGATCATGCTTGTAAGTACCGGGTGACAACAGACAGTTCGCAAAGATTGGGAAATGTTGTTGGAGCAGGAGGGGAAGTGTAAACGGACAGGAGATGTGCGCAAGCTTAATGGCAGATGGGACCAGGGTCCTTGCTCGAGCGGCGCCAAGGTAGGTAGGTGCTGGGTAGGGGAGGGCAGGGAAGGGGAGGTGGAGCGGAAGGTTCCAAGACTAAGACTAAGACAAGACAGATGCGTGCGCACAGATGACAGTTAAGTGCCAGGCAAGGGGGCCTGAAAAGGGCAAGGAGAGTGGATCGCGAACAGGCAGGTAATGAGTAATAATGGGGAAGTGACAGATGCATAGGCAGGAAACGGATAGGGCGAGACTTACAGGCAACGTACGGTATTAGCGTATTTATTATTATGATTGGAGGTCAGTAGGTAAGGTATGTCGATGCCGGTAGCGTGAGGCAAGGTAGCGTAAGGTAGCGTAGCGTACCGTAGGTGGGTGGTGGGTGGTGGGTGGTGGGTGGTGGGTGGTGGGGTCGAGAGAGCAGAGTAGCTCCTCTCAACTCAACTGCGGCTTTTCAGTAGTGCCAGAAAGGGAGTGCAATAGTGCAATAGTGCAAACGACAGCGCCAGCAGTGTTGAAATGGCCTGCAAATATAAGCGCAGGAGCAAGTGCAGCAGACAGTCCGGATAGGGTAGATAGAGACAGAGCAAGCTGGCGCCAAGCTTGTGGGCTCTCCACTTAGATCTCGTGCTGGGTAGGCGGCTGATGGCTGAGATTCTCAATCAGGCCACGCCCCCAAACGGATGATGCTCGATTTGCAGCCTTCTGGATTCTTGCTGGCTGAAAACACGCAAATTGCCACTGCACACGGAAAGGGAGCTGGACAAGTTAAGTGGGGTTCCGGTGCGTGCCGAGAGTCAGTCCTTGAGCCTCTTTCTGAACGATCCGTACCGCTGTCTCTCTGTCCGGCCGTCTGTCTGTTCGTGGTCTACTGTCTTATGGGCGCTCGCGAGCGGGAATATGCTGTGACTTGTGGAGAGGGTGCTGTGCACTTCCGGTAACCAAACCACAGTAATCCGGGGCAGCTGAACACAACTGATCTAAGCTGTGGCCGGTTTCTCGTAAGGAGGATCTGGAAAGCGGGGGAATGTATCCTGATCAGGCCAGATGCTTTACAGCCTTCTGTCGAATATGCCTCGGCCTTGTTGAAGAGCTGAAAGCAAGAATGGAGATTAGAGACGACGTGGGGGGATCGCGCCTTTAAAGATATAATTCGGGCTGCAAGTCCAATCGCTGTGGCATACAGGAGAGTAAAAAGACGTTGAGATGTTGAGACTCGGGGAAACTTATAGTATATGCGCGCCGCCAAACGAACGAATGAGCTGGGCACAAATTAGGATTATAAGTAGGCGACGGACATGAAGCTCGAGATTTTCCAGCAGAAGGAAATCTCAAAGGCGTCTTCTGGAAGGCGCGCGCTGTAGGGAGACGAGAAGGAATTACTGGTAGTTGTTCCAAGGAGACGGTGGTCTGGATGAGGATGGCCTGAAAATGTGGAAGCGTTTCTGCGGGTTGTATGTCTGTCTGGTATGATATGTCTGCCCCTTTCCGCAGCCCGCATATGGTGAAAAGGAGTTGGTGTGATTGAGAAGCAGCAGAGGCGTCCTGAGGTTGGGCGCAGATACGTCTGTCTCTTGGATCTGGGGCTGGAGCTGGAGCTGGAGCTGGAGCTGGGATTAAAGGAGGACACGCGCGGATTGGATATGGATATTGATTCGGTTTTTTCCTTCCTTTTCTGTATCAAGTTGCGGTGGAGGTAGGCGCAACCAAGTATTCCAGGTTAAGTCGAGTCGAGGGCTCTCTCTATCTCTATCTTTCTCTGTCTCTCTCCCTATCCCTCTCTCTCTGTTTCTCCAAAGTATTGTTCTCTCTGTTCTGTCCAGTCCTTTCCTATCCTGTCCCGGCAGGGCTAGCTTCCTATCCGTCCAGTCCTCTTCTGTCCAGTCGACCTCACTTCGGCGACCTGCGGCTAGGCACGAGGAATGGTGTAGATGGACTATGGCGGCAGCGACGTGTGATGTGGAGGTGCTGGAAATCGGTAGTGGTGTGGTGTGGTGTGGTGGGGGACTGAAAGCCACACCAGTGATCTGCTGGTGATCGCAGTAGGATGGGGATGATATGTGAGAAGGTATTGGTATGGATCGTACGGAAGGCAGGTAAGTCGACAACGGGAGGAGTGCTAGTGTAGACAAGGCAAGGCAACCTAGACTACCTAGATGACCTAGATCTTGACTCCTGACTACTCGCTAGGCAATAGATGGACTGGTACCCAAGGGCAAAGGAAGCAAGCAAAGCAGTACTGCACTGGACAATACAATACGCCAGGTATCCGGGCCGGGCACAAGGTACTCGACTCAGCTCTGATGTCCCTCGGTCCACCCACGCAGCGAGAACGATGACATCGCGAGAATCAGCCACGAAGCCCTTCTCTACCAGATCGGAGCAGACCAGAGGAGACGCAAAGGACACCACACCAAGCCCAAGGCAGGCAAAGGGGTTCCTCGATCGCATCTCCTCTTTCCTCTCTGCTCTGCTCTCTCCTCTCTCTGGGTCGCCCGGACGTCGAGAATCAGAACAAGCCAAACCCCATCCGATTGATACCCAGGGTTCGTGGGCGTGCAGTGCAGCAAGCCGGGGGCAGCTCCTTGCAAAATGACAGGGCATGACAGGCCCCTAGTCCGCTCTAGCTCGACATAGCTTCAGGTAGCTTTTCGGGTGTTTTAGCGTCCGCACCCCTGTGTACCGCACCGCCCTGCTGGCCCACCCCCCATAGAGGCGCCCCGAAGAGGCATCGCCCGCAAGCCTCCAAAGCTAAAGATACCTTCGTAGCTAAAGATAGGCGGCCGAGGGCTGGCGTCTGCGAAAAAGCTGCAAAGGCTACAAAGGCTGCAAAGGCTGCAAAGGCTGCAAAGGCTGCAAAGGCTGCAAAGGCTGCAAAGGCTGTAAAGGCTGTAAAGGCTGTAAAGACTTCGAGCACTACCGTACCTACCTACCGTCCCTACCTCCTACCTACCTAGGTAAATTTACCTACAGTACTGAGGAGCGACCTCCATGGAATGCCTGTCTGCCTGCCCGCCCGCCTGCCTACCTGCCCTGTCGTCTTCCAAAGCCCTCCTCCAGCAGCCTTCCTTCAGACACGATGCCTGCAAGCAAAAGTCCAGCGTCCCCTGCCCGGCCCTGTCAGACCCTCTCCCTGAAGCACATCCATCGCAAGCCCAGAAGGCCAGCCCAGCCTCATGAAGCATTGCCCAATCCGCGCAGCTCTTCAAGCCCACCGTCTCGATTTCTGCCGCGATGGACACCTGCACATGGCCTTAATTTTGACTGCAAATGAGCAGCCTGTCCCAATGCGAACACTTCAGTCCCTTTCAGGCGTCCGCTGATGCTGATGCTGATGATGATGATTGCAGGCATAGCTAAAGCCTGCACGTCGTGCAGCATGCACTGCAAATCGTCAATCGTAGCAGCCAATTTAATGCGACGCTGGCCTGAGTGGACTACGGAGATAACTTATGGGTTGCTATTTACCTAGCCTACTGCCTAGCTACCTAATAGCTACGGCAATCTACGGGACGGGCAATATTAATCCAAACGAGAGAGCCACGGCCTGCTCCACTTCGATTCTCTCTGCAGAACCAGTGCCCATCTTATGCAACTACCCTTCGCCGCCTCATCCATGCTCTCGGAGTCGTAACCGGCGACCATGTCATGTCCAACGTCACTTGCTGCAGCGATGCGGTACAGTGCAGCTCTCTGATGATGCAAGTACGCGGAATGCGGATGGGGATGCGAGGATGGGGAACCAAAAGCCAAACCAGCGTTGAGACCACTCCGGCACAGTGGACAGATCGTCCCGGCACTTGAAGGGCGATGAGACTTCTGCCCTGGCATCCATGGCATGGCAGCGCTGTCCTGGCACCGATGAATCTTGGTTCAATGATAGACAAGGATAGCCTACATCGACAAACCCCAATTCAACCAGCAATTTCCAGAGGGCAATATTTCCAACAACCAACATCTAGCAGCCGTCGGCGTCGCCAGATTGGTATTCGCTTGAGTCTAATAATTACACTCAATTAGTATTGTAGGCAATTCCGGCAATCTTCGGTCGGGGGAAGAGAAGGGTCTATGCTCTACTTCTCTCTGTTCCATTGTATCGCGTCGGCCATCTTCATCTCGTCTCATCTCATCTCATCTCATCACTTACACGTATGACCGACTTGATGACCACCTCTATCTTTTGCTCGCATCCATACATCGAATCACCTCTTCACGAGCCGCGATATAAGTACCCCGACTGTACATAAACCAAACGGGTGTGGAATCAGCCCTGCCCATTGCTTTTTAGTAAGCCAGGCTGCTTGCGCAATACGAGTCAAGTATCCCATCCAAATACAGCTAGCGAACAAACAGCCGGCCTAGCAATCTCTACAATTCCCCTACCCGACCGAACCTCGGGATCATAACCGGCGCGGGACCGCTGAGCAATTGAAATGGTAAGCAGATACCTTATTTTCTCCTTCAATTCATTTTCCTTGAAAATTGTTGTGAAAACTAACCTGGATGAGAAAAAACAAACCCTGGCCGTGCATTCCCAATAGATTCGCCTAGCCCTGTGACCTAATTATTGCCTAAAGAAGCCTTCTACACAACACCAGCCCTCCAAATCCAATATTTGATCCCTATCGAAATATAGAAAATGCACGATTGATAAAGCTGGACACGATACGATCATCACTATGTCCAAGATAGACACCTCAGATCACCCCTCTGTCTAGACGCTCGGCATGTACTTTTGTCAACAAGTATCTTGGTATCTTTTCCAAACTAAGGGAAGGCTGATGTCGCGCTTTCACACCAGGCCATCCTCACCCAATCATCGCTCGCGCTGCTGATCGACACCTGGATGTGGTTGACGGGTGTGTCAGGTTATCCAGCATCTCTCTCCAAACCATCGAGACTGACAGGGATAAGGTCGGGGTCAGGGTCCAGGGTATCCCAGATCGCATTATCCTGACAGCCACAGCCACCACGACAAGGCATTTCGGGAGACGAGCCCGAGAGCGAACAGAAACTTTAAACAATATGCAGGAGGAAATACCTTACCCCCCGAGCCCCCTCCTTTTTTAAAAATGGGTTTCAATACTTTGGAATTGCGAATCAAAATTGGTTCAATCTTGGTCGAAATATACAGGAAGATCTCTCCAATTAATCTCTGAATCTCTGAAGCGTGGCACCTGGAGAATATTACTACAGAAGCCCGAGTCACCGTTCTCGAACTTCCTGTCGTGATCATCGACCACCAACAAGGGCAGCTCACCGCTGTTGTGTCCTGTGCTTTACGCGTAACTAGCAGTGAGCTGTACGAGCTGTACTGCATCATCTCATCGTCGAAAGAGTAGTGCAACATCCCGCGCCTCATCATGTTGAAAATGTCACCAGAAACATGCTACAACAGCAGATACGGGACCAGAACTTGTAACGACGTCGTCGAACCATCTGGCCGGCGACAGCGCGCATTCGAACGGCGCAGTCTCAATTACCAAGGACCTCATTTCGTGATACCGAACAACTTGATTTCTGCATATCCGTTCTGTGTGCGCTGGCCTCCGTCATCGTATCATCTCTCTCACATCGCCTTGTCCTCACCTGCTCTCGCCTCATCGGCTGCCACAATTAGAACAGACGACGACCAAACCAGAAACCCCAAAAACTGGCAGCTGAGAAGTTACTACGAGCTCCAATCGCCACACTCACCTCTTGATTGCATCTTCAGCTATTCATTCATCTCTATCCTCAAACACTCTTGTGTTGAAGCTTGCTTGATGGGCAGCACAGGTACAAATGCTCAAAAATAGACCTCCCAGAAGTCCAGCTCACGCACAACGACGTCACGAAACCCTCGTGTCTGCACCTCCACACGTACCTACAATACTTTGCTACCAACAACGGCGCTGGCCATTATTCGCCTCCAAAATGTCACTTTTCGCCTCCGCATCAAAACTTCGAACCCAAAACGATTCCAATAAACCATTATTGTGGCGCGAGTGAACCAACCCCAGCCATCGAGCCCGCACGTTTGGTTTGGCTTTTCTATCAACCGCGGCACGATACGGTATTGAGTTGTGACCCCTTTTCAGTTTGCCTCCAATGCCATCACAGCGTTTTAGCTTTAGCGGGTCGAGCCAACCAGAACGCAAACAAACCCCTGATGCCCCAAGCCTCAAGCCCGAGCACCTGTCAGCTGAAAACCTGCATGGTTCAGGCCAACAACTAAAGTACCCGACAGCTACAGCTAGCCCGTCCGCATTATTATTCTAGCTGTGCTCGCTGTGCAAGGGAAGCAAGCCACTCAGTATGCTAGACCGTCTACGGAAACGCAGATCACCAAAGATCGCCGCTATGCAGGGACGGAAACGATTTCTTTAGGCTTTTGGACGACCAGGATTTGATTTGGCAATTCCAGCAAAATTACTGATTTGATCTGGGGTTCTGGAGGAGGAGGTGTTCATGATGATTGACCGGCTGGGAATGGGTGTTTGCTTTTTTGTGCAAAAGTCTATTTTGTTCCTTGCCGGTCGTGAATATCGATCAATACGAACCGGTCAAAGTCAATTCACCAAGGACAACCGCGAGGACCACCCAAACGGTCGAATGTCACCTCACCAGGGTCACTACCCTATCATAATCCACCTTTTCCTTGCTTTTTCAGCCTTCTCTCATCTTGCCCTTGCCATACTCACAATTCCTCTTGCTCTTCTGGGATCACCTTAGTCCCGGACCATTCCGCACACATGCGCCGTAATGTATAGTATCTCCACACCCAGAGTAAGGAAAGATACGCGTTCTCCAGCACCCAGCACCCAGCACGGCAATAATCAGCTAGCCAACACCAGCACGCATCTGCCACTGAGAACCTTATTAGGAAGCGAGCTGCAAAGAACGCCCAATCACATTCTTGGAAAGCTGGAATGCCAGCTGTCAGATATGCGAGGCTTGGCTGGCAATTAATACAGTATTAGGCCAGCAAGCCTTGGTAAAGGAGGATGGATTGATACCTTCGTAGCATTTGGGGGCCGGCCCTCTAGGGTCGGATCGGCAGCAGGCTAGGGAGAGATGGGAGAGATGGGAGAGATGGGAGAGGAGGGCAGATGTGAGTGACATGGGGGACATGGGAGACTTTGGTCAGGTTCCTTGGCGTTTAGCTGGATTTGGCATTGGTCTTCAGACAGGTGACGCCCAGGTGACGAGATCGGCTTTTTACGGACGGCGATTGTCATTTTATGGTCTGGGAACAACCGTTAAGATCTCCTCTTAGTTGCGTGACATCGGCTCAGATCAGATTGTTGGGATTCCAGATCACAAAGTCTAATTCCTGCAGCACTGAGGTGAGGGTAATCATCCAGCGGCTCGGCAGGGTACACAGCACAGCACAGCACAGGAGCATCACGCACTCTGTTGAGTCTCCTGGAAGGCGTGAAATTTGACGTACCACCACCATTGAAAGAGTCTAGTACTAGCTTTAGTGTACCAGTATTCTACCAGTTCGAGTTACACCATGCAAGGTCCCTTTCTCTTTCGCCGACCAATCCAGCCCAGCCCAGCCCGGCCCAAATCAAGGTATCGAGTACGTAGGTGAATTCACTGTGCTTATATGCGTCGATCGCAGGAAGTAGCGAGGGGTAGGTAGTAAGGCGAGGTCGACTGGATCACGACATCGTGCGATAAAAGTCGAAGTATTAGTTCCGATCGACTGTCTCAGATCCATACGTAGAAATCCAAGTCTCCTTCAAATTCCGCGCGGAGAAATGTTGCCGTTCCCGTTGGACCATCCCACAAGCGGTGGGCGGGCTGGACTCAGATCCAGGAACGAACGCTTAGGGAGAGACATCAGGCCGTTGTCTGCTACAGTAGCATTGCTTTTCTGACATCTTGCTCCAAAGGTGGAGGAAACCATAAGTAGTACAAGAATGCCGCACGCATCCCTTGCTGTACTTTTGTACCTTACCTGAGACTTTCCTCTTCAGTTTCCAATTCGATCCACATGATGATGGTTACTTTGGCGATAGGTATGCTGGGCTTTGCCGTCTATGCAAGAAGACTTCTCGGAACCACCACTACTAAGTCTGTTCAGCAACCAGCCTATCAAAAAACTGCCATCTTCAGCAGGATGGCAACCTGCAGGAACTGATACATGCTACCGCGATCTGTCCAAGGGTCCAAAAGCTTGCCCTCCATTTCCGGCACGTCTCGTGCTTTGGTTCTGGCTTCAGTTTCTTCCCTTGCACAATTAGTTTCGTTTTAGAATCTTGGTGCCTTAGTTATCTGTATTTCATCAATGCTTCATGGTGATCATTGAGTAACTATTACCCTGGCAAGGCTAGCATATACCTTCACGAACAAGGACGGCATGATTATCCGAGTTGTCAGACACCCGTTGCATCTGTCTCATTCTTTCTTTTCCATTCCTTCCTTTCACGAACTATTTTCTTTCTTGCTCGTTTTCCTTACTCGCGTCTTTCAAGTTTGTTCAATTGCTAGTTCATGCGTCTCATTCTAGAGTCTTGGTCTAGACCAGCATCTCCATTCCTGGAATCGCACATCGCCGGCTAAGATCCTCAACTCGGAATATTTTTTTCCTTGCAAATGAACCATCATTCCCTCGCTTCCTGCTTGTCATCTCGGATCCCGGAGAAACAAAATATGAATCCTGGCCCTGCACTTGCGCCATGAAATCTACCAATCCCTTGCTTCTCGCTCCCTTCTTCCTTGTCAAGCCATCCGCAACCAAGCGAGAAAAGGACAACGACATCTGACATTCGTCAAGGTACCTGGCAGATGTCTCTCAATAACCCAGGAACCGCTCGCCGGCTACTTTGAAAAGGATTGAACAGCTGGCCCGTGCAAAACAACTTCCACGTGGACAAGCAAGGATTTCAGCGCGTTCGGCGCTGAGATGCGAGGAAGTGGAGGTGTAAAAACTCTACGAGATGCTGCCCACCCCACCTAGGCCACATGGCACGATACTTCCAGTCTCATCGTGGAGAAGACACGACAAGCGGAGAAAGTCTCGTATACAACCCCCTCTACACCAATTCCTCTCAGCGAATGCAAAGAACCAGTCTGTCGCTACCGAATCCTCCTCCAAGCCACGTTTTCCGCCATGTACGAGTTGAGCCAAAAACTCCAGCGCGATTGTCACCGTATGTCATCGTAAAAGAGGATATCGCGGCTACGATTCAGACCCCGCGACTTCATATTATCACACATTCCTTCCATTGGCAAACGCCACGCGTACATTACCGGCGGGTTCCCTTCCCTGAGAGATCTGGTCAAGCCGTACTTCCGTGGTATGTATCACAACTCACATATGACAGGCCTTCACCAGTTGATAAGGGATTGCATGCTTGGACGTGGATTGTGGAGACCAGCGAAAAGCTACCAAGGTACACACCATCCATCCCTCTTCTCTTCTCGTCGCAATCCATCCAAAGACAAGGAATAAAACTATCGAAACCCATTCAATTCAATTCAGGTAAGTCGAATTCAACCCCTTCCTGCATCCTCGATAACGCAGTGGATCGCGATGACCGTCGTCAGAAAAAAAACTTCTCGGCAAAAGGCAAGCTTCGTCTCCAGGCAATCCCTTTCTACTGGGAATTACCCGTCAAGTGAAGTGATGTTGGGCAGGGCAGGGCAGGCTGGCGGTTCATCCCACACACCCCTACCCTTACCCTGCACTGCACTGCACTGCACACCCAAATGCGACCCTGCAATGGCTCCCAAGCCACTCCACTCCATTATTGGTCCCAGGTATCTGTCGACAGCTCACCCATCATGCACGATCCCTTGCTCGTCTCCAGACTTTGGGCTTTGGAGCTTTGAGCTTGGCCTTGCATACGGGCGTTTTCGGGGTCGCTGTCGATTGGAACGGAATGAGCATTGATTGCACTTTTGTTTGCTTGGTTGGTAATTTTGGCCTCTTTTATTGGGAGACGGGGGGTGGCTTGGTATTGCTGCTGGAGCTGAACGGCTGGATCAATAGCTTCATGTCTGCCGTATTTGGCGGAGAGAAGGCTGAGTGGTGGATTGAGCGAGTAGGTTGGAAAACAGACGGGGGAGACGTCAGTCCCATGCTGTGTTTTTGATGTCGTTAATCATCTCGAACGTCTAGTTTTGTTGAATTCACCTACGCATCGGCGCTGTACTTTTCTTTTCACAGCGATTCCACGCATATTGGACTTCAATTGTGCTGTTTCTTTCCATTCGCTTGTTACTTCAGCTACAGTTCTATACCCTGTCTCCTGATATTTTTGATCAGGTCCTGCACAAGATTTAGTCTCGCGTCCAATCACGTGATTTTCTCATCATGAGATTTCTCTAGTAAACCACTTATTCTTTGATTTTTTTCCTTCGTCCTTTCCTTCCTTACCTCAAAATTAAATTTGGGCCCCATTATTCAATCTACCCCTCACAAGTCCAATCCAAAATCTCCTTGCGTTGTCTTTCCCTGCACCCGCTCTCAGACTTGAATCTCAAGAGTCAAGACATTTCCGAGTGATCTGACCTCACGGTCTCGCGTCGGTACCACCTCGCTGGAAATACAGCCCCATTCTTCTGAGATTATGTTTCTGAGATGAGACAGGCAATACCGAGATAACTTTGTTAAACTCCCTTGCGATGATCTGTGGCGGCGGACACGAGCTCCGGAGGGCTTCAATCGAGGGATCTCGATTCAATATCTTATACTTCAAGTGAGGAGTCTGGCGTCGTGTATACAAAAACCCTTTTCATTCAAGGGACTGATTTTGGAGCGGATCCACTCCGAGGGCCTCCAGTGAGAGCTAACAAATTTTCCCTTTCTTTGATGGTGGATAGGCTTCATTGTCCTGTCCACTGAGGAAGGGAGTATGATATCGGCAGATCAATATTTCGAATAGAAAGCAAGGACTTTGCATCGAAAAATGGGTTCTAGGACCTAACGTTGAAGAATTTTGGGTGGCGCTTCACAGCTCGCTTGCAGAATACGAACATAAACCTGATCATCGCAGACAAATATTGACCAAAATATGATCAGCGCATCTATCAATTCTCCCTACACATCATTTTGGCACTGCAGAATATCTTATTCTATCCCTCATTTTACACTTCCCAGCTGCTGATGCCAATTCCCGTTTCCAACATCCAACGTCAATTTCCAAAAATGTAAACAAACAATTGACCCCTTCAATATTCATATCACTTAAAATCAGCAACAAGCACAAGCGCCCCCTCACAGGGCTACGTCTCTAATTCGCTGGGGGTCTCCCATGGCGCCGGATTATTGATCGGCTATTTCCTCAATTACGGTCTAGTGGTTTGATGTTCGAATTATTTTATTCTCCGAATGATCTGAGAGCCAACATGACCAGCACCTCAATTTCCCCATCCAGCAAAAACCCCTTAAGCACATCCAGTTATTGCAAAATTGATTCCCTGGCATGAGTGAAGAGCATCTCTTCGGCCGGATTGGGTAGTTTTAGTTGATCTGGACTGGCTGTCTTGAGCTTTGTCCTTCTGGTGAACTTGCTCGTCCTTGAGCATAGTATTTTCTTTTTCTCTCCACTGTCTGAACGCCGTGTGGACATCTTAGAGCTCTGATAATCAACGGCTTGATTTCGCTTTCAAGACGTTTGACTGTCAAGTGACATAACTTCAGCCCCGGTTCAGCTTTGTTTGATCACCACGGCTTTCCGTCGAACCTAGATGCTTGACTAGGTGTTTTGTTTATGTTGATCCTCCGAACACTTATACCTCGGTACTATAGCTCCAAAAGCATGAGCACCGGATAGAACTCTCGATCTTTCCCTTTTCTCTCATGTCCTCCGGTCACCGAGGTTCGAACTGTCAGTGCTCACGTTTCTTCGATCGGCGTGGCCGAGTCTCAGCAACTGACATGTTAGGTAGCGAGGCAGTGTATGAACAGGGCAGGGTTCAGTAACGTCCAGTAAGAGTTTCAAATTCACTTCAAACACAAATCACGCAAACAAGATGCGAAACGCAAAACGCAAAACGCTCACAGACGTTTACTTCTCACGTCCAAAATCTTTGTGCTTGTCAGATAGCATTTCTCACCTGCGGTCATTCATCCTCATCACAGTCACATGAAAGCATTAAACTCTGATATATGCCTGCCTGCTGCCTCGTTGGTTCATCAAGGCCATCTCGCAACTTACAGGCTCCACAAAGTTGTCCCTATACCAAGCAAAGTTGCATTGACACTGTATTTACTTACTGTGTATGATACTTTCCCTTCCTTCCCCACAGGCTTATCCAAACTTTGAGGGTTTCGTTTCCACCATACAGATTAAGCCATTAACTCCCCACGCCTGTTTTAGTCTTTTGCTCCCCTGTGTTCCCCTTTCCGCTCATCTCACCTTGACTGCTGCCGTGCATCGAGCAGGCTTCACAGCCAACCGTTAATATCCGGAACGGGCCATTCGCAGGAGTAATTCCTGCTTTCAGTGCTCTGAGCGCGTCGCTTGCCTCGCTCAGACCCCTCGTCTTACATCTCCTTTCAAGGAGGGGGTGGCGGTGGAGCGGGTCTTGAAGATGCAGCAGGGCGTGTGCTGACACTGCTGAGTCTGGTATGCTGGAGACAGTTGCACCGGCTGGACTCGGTTGATCTTCGAGAGATGGGATGCGTTACATTCGGCCGGGTGTGCCAGCTTGGCTTGATGGTAAAGGAGATCGTTGTGGATGAGAAAGAGAAAATGTAACGGGAGAGGGGTAGAGGCAAATAGAGTGGGTGGGTTCGAAAATCAAAGCTGAGGAGAGGAGAGTAGGAGACACTGTTATTCCGTGTGAGGAAGAGAAGACAAGTCTTGGCTCGTGGCGTCTACTGCCTTGTATAGAGTATTCTGAGACCTAATATAAAGATCGGTGAGGCAAGTGCAGTTGGAGCAATGATGAGTGCCGGCGCGTCATTGCTGTTGACTGGGTAGAGGGGGGGGCTGGAGGCTGTGATTTTATTATTTTGTGCTTTTGATTCCTCTCAGCACTTAGAGATATCGAATAGTTGTATAAGAATTTTACTTTCTGTGTCCCTATCCACCTGTAGCTACAAAATGCTCAAGACAGTACAAACTGTTCTGGGAAGCTCTAAAATCTCTTCGATCAAGTTCACGCACTTCTCTGCATCTTATCTCCCTCCGTCCGGGACTGCCTTTCGATCGGACACACTTCGAATTCTCCTTCCTTCAGTGACTATGTACCTGGGGCAGACTGTCCGGAGGAGGTGTTGATCTTGTACTACTCAGCGATGATGTGCTGTCTCGAGGCCTCCGCGCGCCACTTTCAACATTTCAATTCCTCGAAAGAAAGCCTTGATTTCTGCTAGAGCTTTTCTCTCCTTCCCTCACTCCTCAATCGTCTAGGTAAGGTGTTTTCCGGTTCTATCCAAGAACCCCAAGCAGAAAGAGACACTGGCTGACGCGAGACTTTGCAGTAAACAAACACCGAACTCTCGATCATCACTCCACAACTTCGAAAAATGACAACGAAAGCCAAATAGCCAACAATGAGGAAGTCGAATTGGGAAAAGGATACATTGAAGTGCTGTGTACATGGCAGTTTTGTCCAAGGACAGCTACTTGCTGCCCTGGTTGAACTCCTTGTCGTCGAGACTTCAACGGCAGAGATCAATAAGTACAGTCCACTTACCATCCAAAGAAGAACAGCAACCACAAAGCGCCTCAGCATACACTTCTGCCGCCGTCCATACTCCCACAAGTCTCATTCCTTCTCTTTCAGCAAGACATATCAACCCGATAACCGCTGTCAATTCCCATGTCGAATCCCATTCTCGAATTCACAAACAGGTAGCCCATTCCCACCGACCCATGGTAAATAGTGAACCGTCTCATGTAATAATCACTGCACACAACGGAGTTGTACTCTTGAAGCTTTCGACACAAATGACACCTAGAACACAACAGGGCCAGTACCACTCTCCACCCTCAAACAAATTTGAAGGTTATATCTGTCCCGCCCCAATTCCCATTTCCCATCAATAGACTCATGAGCACTCCGCACTTGACCACTGTGATGGCAAGTACACATTAAGGAGTTCCTCATTCAAGTGATTGGAGGCCTAGAGGCCGAAGCTTGGATACCGGATACGAGGTCTTCAGCAGGCGTAATATGCTGTCAACTCAACGTCGTACACCGAAAAGACGAAAGGAGAAGAGAGAATGGAAGCTTCACGGACGTGGATGATGGTTATATAGGCACTGGGTGGTAGGGGCAAGGTATGATAAGTTGATAACTCAAGATCAAATACAAAGAAGGGATCAAGGGAGCTAGATATGGTTCATAAATACGATAGAAGTATACAATTCTAGCATACAGATCCATTATACCCAACCGCTTGTCGCCAGATTTAATTCTCCATCCTGCCTACCTGACCAATTATCTGCTTGAATTTTCGCACCGTTCGCGAGAAGTAAAGACGGAAGTCAACATAGACTTCGTAGATACGATGGACTTCAATGACATTCGTCGAGGCACACAGAATGTAGATACGACATCAAGCCTCGCATGGTTTCTCCAAAACGTCTCGACTTGCTACACTGGGATGTTGTATTCGAATCTCATGGTTCCATGCCACTTTCGTTCTTTCTTTCTTTCCTCCTGCACTTGGATGGATATTTTGGACCCCGAGATCATGTCGATGAGTCTCCGGTATTCTTTATGGCAGCATGACTCGGCGTGGCCAGTCTTGTTGGAGAAACTGGTCCAGCTGTGCGGCTCATGTCTCTCCGCCGGTGTGATTTGGATACCATGGACATGTCCGAAGGGGATAGTTCGACGGAAGTACTCGGTCTGATGCCATTTCTTTCAATCCATTCTCATGGGCAATTTGTAACCGCAAGCCATCGTCATATCTTCGGCATCTCTTTCTCAAAGCAGGAGACTCGGGGAATGCGGAAGTGTTAGCATCAAAGCGATCTCCAGCCTTTAAGTGTTAAGGTGCTCATCCTCAATCATCCTCCCGCAAAGTCCAGCTGGCGCCAGCCCGCGGCTCATCTCAAAGCCTCCCTTATCCGCGAGATCAGAAAGTGCCCTGATCAAGTAATCTCTCTCAGGACAGCCCGGCTGATACACTTCAACGGCACCTCTCAACGGAAACAGCATTTGGAAACAGCCCCCGTTGGTATGAGGCTCCATGAAACAGAACTCGACAGAACGTAAAATCTCGCGTGCAATCTCGTGCAGTGTTTTGGGATCTTGGGGAAGCAGGAGGTCCGGGTTGGATCGAGTAACGGTAATGGTTTTGAAAGATGTGTTGGAGGAGAAGCTTGGTCCCTTCAGCATGCGACCAGCTCGTAGCAGGATAAGAAGAATAGTGTCGTAGTGCGCGATTTCTACGGCTTGCTGGAGATTTTGGAAATGTAGCGCTTGAGGGAATGGTGATCTTGGATCTTGTGAGGATTTTACGCTGCAACAGTGGCCATTCTGTAATTCCCACTGTACTCGCCATTCATAGAGCTTCTTGAGCTGGTTGCAAATGGTTTGGTAAAGTCTTGCTACAAAAGCCGGGTCCTGCAACCTGCCAGTTTGGAAAGCTTCGAGATCTTGCAGTATACTGGGGAAGTCGCAGATGCGGTCGCATAGGAGTGAAAACAAGTCTTTGGCTTTTGGATGCTTTAGCCATGGAATGGTCTTCCATCTAGGTTCCTCCAGAAAGCACCGAATTCGTCAATCTGCACATCCAAAAGCGATAGGCATTCTGGCGGACTCAAAGACTTCTAGGTCAGGCATTGATTGGAATCGTTCTGGGCTGGAGCCTTGTATAAGTCTTGCTATGCCACAGTTGTGTTGGAGGAATCCAGTCCCGGTTGGCGACGCCATGATCTGTCCAGTCTATCAGTCTACCATGAGCGAATGAATGCATAATTGATGTACCTCGAATACAGTTAGAGACAGCACATTCGTCAAGGAAGGTAGCTCCCAAGCCTTCTTTGAGAGAAGATCTTTGCTGAGTAACCGCAGAGCCTTGCTGTAACACTGAAAACCCAAGTCTAGACTCTGCTTCCGATGGTGCATTCGACCAAAATAAATACCACTAAGAGCTCTCACTGTCTGTGTTGTTGTACAATCTTCGCTCCATCTGCAACCCCTCAGCATCCATGGTGTAAACATTCTTGCTCCAACGAAGAATTTGGACAGCAGAAATGACAGGTGAATTTCGTCCTGAAAGCCGATCATCGAGAGTACCTTCCCAATGGCTACATTGCTGAAGTCCTTCATTTTCGACTTTCGAGATGCCACAATGTCGTCGGTAGATTGCACGTATCTTTCAGGAGAACAGAATGTTGCTGTTCTTTGCAACTGGCCAACTTCCTTCGGGGACTTCAGATGATTCTGCCTTGCCTCATCCCTCGCTTCTTCCGCCTGTACAGCTTGTAGATAGGCCTCCCTCTTGAGCTGGACTCTCTTCTCCGCCTTCTCCTTCTCGTCCACAAACCTCAAACCTCCTTTCCTTTCATATCCCTCACAGTGCAATTTCGCTTTGGTACATCGTTGACAATTTGGTGCTTCGAAATCGCACTTCACACGCCGTCTTCGGCATGTATGGCATGCTTGCACAGAGTCAGATGCATATGATCCTCTACTTGGAGTCAAGGTACCTTACCACCAGACCGTTTGCCATTGACCCCCATTGTATCTTCATGATATGGGCGTCAACCCAGTCCTGGATGATTAGCATCTCAGCAAGTCCCTGTCTCTTAATATGTACATTTATTGTACCCAGCAGCAGAGAATTGACGATCTCTGGGCGGGCGCAGATCAAAGGACATCGATCGACAGAACTACGGAAAGGATGTGGAGGGATAAAAGGACGGAGCTTGAGTTTTGTGGAGATTCGAATTGGCTGTTGGGTTTCAGCTGTGCTGCGCAGTGTAAAACCACTCGCGTTTGTGATATCTTCGCTGCTCTCATGGACTTGCTATGAAGCTTCAAAGTGTTGATGTTGTCGGCCAGTGTAATGAAGATGGGTGAAATACGCCCGCCATCTTCAGGCTGAAGTCGAGAATGTGGGGTAAATGCAGGGCAGGATGGCGGGTGGCTTGCATGAGCTGACAGGGCTTCCACGCCAAGTGCTGCACATGCAAACACCCCTATGCACCCACCCCACTTCCCGGCTCAAGGTCGTGGATCTGCCTACCTAGTGATCAGTCCCATCCACCAACACCACGATACATCTGGAGAACCCGCGGATATGGTACATTTCGATCATATCTGGATAGTTACCTTTTTTATTGGAAGCAGGCCATTTGTTTCGATGCCACGTATCCATCCAGATTCAAGATCAAGGGGATGTTGCTTGCAGTCCTGACAGTCTTAGGACCCTCCTCACCAGCCCCAACTGACTTCTTGATCGAAAACACCTCTGATTCCTGCGTTTAGAAGTCTTCCCGTCTTTTTGGCTTCTTTTTAGGCACTGTTTATACTTTGTACTTTTCTGTATCGAGGTAACTATTCGTTGCCTTCTTTGAATTCCCTGGTTCGCTTCCTCCTAGTTTTGACGGGACATATCGAGGGGCCGTGTCGATCTTTTCGAGCTATTTGGAATGTTTGTGTTTTCACGTCAATGTCCTCAAAGTAAAACCAGATTCATGTCAAATTCTGGGATGAATGAGAGGGCGTTGTCGAGGTTTGGAGTCCCTGCATATTCTCACATCCCTTTTGCAATGCCACTATTAAAGATATATTTGGTCTTAAGGAGGGCGGGAACGGGAAATACCCAGGGCGTAGTTTCTTGTTTTGAAGATCACAGTCGACTTTTACAAGCAATAGCACACGATTGGAGGACTAAGACAGTTACCCACCTCCACTTTCCGTTCTTCCCGTTGACGATCAGTTTGGTGCATTTCCTAGTCTGCGAGCACTGTGCGTACACCAAACTGGTTATGTTAACGATCTTCAACTTTACTTCTAGCTGGTTTCTAGAGCAGAAGATCTTCTTCTGCGGCATTTTCTTTCCCTCGTCTTGACTGCGGGTGGTTCCCGAGATACTCATTGCCCCAGAACTCCTGAGAGCGAGGTTTCATTTGAAGGCACGACTTTTGTGAGGATGTAGAATTTGTTTATTTCAAAAGTCCCTCTGTCTTATCTGATGAGATGTCAAACTGAGGGTATTTGAGTACTGTCTATATGTATTTACCTTGCTGTCAGGTGATGACAAGATATGCCAAAATAGGTCGGTAATGAGTGCCCAGTGAAGTTGTTGGTTCCCTTCAAGCACTTAGCAATGTGCAAGAAACAACCAGAAACACTTGTATATCATGAAATAGACTCCTGTGTGTTGAACCTCCACCAGAACTTCCATAGTTTGTCTTGGGTTGCAATCTTGCAGGTTGACAAGTGCCGTCAAAATTATGGAAACAAGATGCACACTTATAATCCTTTCGACGAAGCACAGCTTTCGTAGCCTTATTCAAGGAGTAGTACAAGCACAAAACCGAGCGAGTCCGAATTTCGTGCTGAGCTCACGTGAAGGGGGAATACCTTACTGAGCGATTAAAGCACTTGCAGAAAAGTCATCGAAGCTTGTTGGCATTTCTTCAAATGGGACAAAAAAATTCAATGGAAAAAAAATCGGCTTATGGTGAAAACCACGAAGTTTAGTTGGGATACAAAACTACGACTGGTCTCCTTGTGAAGGATTCTCCAAGCCACAGCGACTCCGAAGCATTCGCAATTACCTATATAAATGAATTAGCTAAGAAGGAGCAACAATGTGCTTGATCTTGTGGGATTTTGAGCGAATGCCAAACTTAGCAGTCAAAAGTTTTCGTGGAATAGGGTGAACGACTCGCAGAACATTACTAACTGCTGTCATATCTGTGATCAAAAAAACATTATGGACACCTTGTGGGACGAATTGCTCAAGGGGAAGATTCTCCAGACCCACATTTTCGACTCAGCTTATGAGAACACCGGGCGATCGAAGGGTTGATAAGTTGAATCAGGCCAGGAACCCCATGAACAGGTTAACCAGCATGGCTGACAAGGAATGGTCCACAAGCACTTTGGATCGAGAAGGTATGTATACACACCAATCGGCTATCATTGTCTCCGACATCTTCGACATCTTGGGTATCTCTGTCCTAAGTAACAATCACCTGCACCCTTTTGAACGCCCTCGCTGAAACTCCCTTCGCAAACAGATAGTCTAACTCCTCAAATGTCCTATGCGCTGTCTCCGGTACCCTGAAATAAAGCCAAAAAACAGACATCAACGCCGTACCCCCAAATATGAACCCAATTTTTCCACCCAGAGCTGGAGCATCAGGATTGATCAGAAGCGGGATTACGATATTCATCAAGATACCGAACAGACTCTGTACCACGATGCCAAGACTGACTGTACGAGATCGAAGACGTGAGCTTGATACCTCCGCGAAGAGTGCATAGCCCACGGGCCCAATGGTGAGAAGGTAGATGAACGCAAAGACAATGATGCAAGCTACTTGGCCGTAGACGGGACCAAGGTTGCTTGCTCGAATAGGGATAACGTCAAGGATTCCAATCAAGAAGAGAATTAAGACGAGTATGCTGGTGCCGAACATAGCAGTTGGTCGTCGGCCAACTCGGTTAAGCAAGAACCAGGAACATACGACACCTACGAGACCAAGGACGGAGACGCCAACAGACATGGAGAATGACACTGAAGGTGTTAGGCCGGCAAGTTGGAAGAAGTAACTGCTGTACCCGATGACGAAAACTACACCGACCAGTTGCGAGACAGAGAAGATTCCGATGGCGATCTCTGTTCGCCGTAGGTCGGAACCGCGGAAACAGTCGAGGTAAGTTGTAGCTTCTACCCTCTGTTCCTCGAATGTAATGGTCTTTTGCATTTCTGCGAGTGTTTTGAGAGGATTATCGTATCCGAGTTGTGCCAGCGTGCTGGTTGCTGTGTTCGGGTTTCGAGACCTGAGGAGGTACCATGGTGATTCTGGGCACATAGGCAGGCCGACTAGAAGGATGACTGGGAAGACGAATTGTAGCGCAAATGGTATCTTATACGCCCACGCTGAGTCCAATGTGCCAGTGCCCTTGAGAATAAGGTTTGCCACTAGTTGTCCAAAACCGATGAACAGTTGGACAGCGGAGGTTGTGAGGCCTCTAAGCTCGACAGGGCAGATTTCCGCGGCATAAGAGGATGGTATTGCCAGGAAGGAGCCGAGCGACAGGCCATTGATGAGCTAGGAATGGTCAGTTCAAGCCTAATGAAAGAAATTAATTAAAAGTGGTCTCTCACCTTTCCCACCAGTAACGTTCCTGGCTGCTTCGCAAATAGCTGTGCGAAAACCGCGCCAATGCTAATGAAGCAGCCGATACCAAGCGCAAACCTCTTTCCTATCTTATCTGCCAAATATCCAGATGCAAATGCCCCAAAACAGCCGCCGATTGATGATGCAGTGTTGAAATCAATCTGCCAAGAAGCACTGACAATGAAATGGTCATTGAAGAGATATCCAAAGTCTTTCTGGAAAGAGGGAACTGCGATTACGCCGTTCGAGAGCTCGACAGCCTGTTAGTTGGTGTCCATAAATTAGATCGATTTATACTCACAAGTGTGTCCATTCCCCAATTGATACCAGCCAAACCAACGAAGGCTGACCAGAGTATTGCTGCTCTGTATTGATAGGCCAGCTGCCATGTAGATTTGGGTTTCTCCTGCTCAGATAATTGGCTAATAGTGTCCTCTTCCACCTCCACTACATCATTCATGGTTCTATCCTCCAATTTGTGTGTACTGTCCGGCATTTTTGCTCTCCGCAAACTTTTGTAGTTGAAAGAAACATGTCTTTATCGGAAATAAAATCCCTCTTGTACCAACGTTCGGATTCGCCGTCATTATGCTATATAGCATGACGATAGAGTTGGAGTTAAAGTAAGGCTGAGTTCCGATCCCGGGGCATGCTTGAGTTAAAAATTAACTGTGTGGACATGATTGGTCCTGACAGGTAGTAGTGCAAGGTTGACGTGACGGAAATAGCTATGCGGATCCACTGAATAGAGGGGTTGATGCTAGACTAGAAAGGAAAGCTGTCTCACCGACGTTCTAGAAAAAGTTAGTAAAGTGGACCGGAATTCGTCTGGAGATAAATAACCTGGTGACTGCAGCCATATCATATATAGGCTCTCATATTGGGTAGCTTAGAGGAAGGCCCTGGTATACTTCCATAATATTGTTGGAGAGAAAACTTTGCTCTGTCATTGTGCGTTGGTACGCCTCCCCTACCAGTGGCAATTGATACTGAGCCGGAACCTTTCCCAGCAAGATTCTCAGGGTAGCTTCGTCTTTGTTTGTCATTGTATACAATGCATCAATGAGCATGTATATAGCCGCTGGTATAGGGCCAATGATTGGCATAAACTTCACAGCCCATTCCACGATGACTTTGTAGATATCATCCCCGAAGCCACATGCAGAGTCATTTCTCAAAATGGCAGAAAGTCTTTGGAATATATTCAAAATGGTTTGAACCAACGGAGCTGAAATCGCCTGGGTGCCCGCGATGTAGAGTTGTAGGAAGTAGTCGTTGATATCGAGACCCCCAGTAGGCGAGGGAAAGCGAAACAGTGAGCCTACATAAGGCTGTCCAATCCCGTTCATCAATAAATCGAGCACAATTGGGTCCTCGTCCATATCTTGCTGTGTGTTGCAAGGAACAAGTTTCAAAGGATTCATGATTCTGTTGCCAGATTCTCGCATCTTCTGAAAAAGTCCTGGCATGTGCCTTGCTAGTTTTCGTTGACGGATTGGCCAAATGCTGTTCGTCATTGGTGATTCAATGTAGAGGTGCTCATTTCCTCCGATTCTTTTGAGAGGACTCCCGAGAGACCTATGCTGCCGTAAACCCCTGCCGAATGGCTGTCGAGGGGGCCCGAAAGGAGCAATATATGGAGGAAGAGCTGGAGGAGGAATGGGAGGGGCAAAAGGAGGAGCGAAGGGGAGAGCAAACATTGTGACATAAGAAAAAGTTTGGCTCCAACTTGAGAAGTGTTATGATGCTTGCTGATGCGAATCACAGTGCAGAGCAGAGATGGAGAAAAATCCACGAAGCGGTTATGGGGTACAAAAGCATGAAGTAGTCGAGGCTCAGACCTTCGACTGGAATCTAGATGACTCGTACCACCCCGTGAGGCTGTCGTACGAAGTGTTGGCAGTAGGAAAATGAATCAATCCAGCGTACAGCATGGCTGTTCACTCGTATGCAACGAGCCGAGACAATGAACTCGATGAGTGCGGAAAAGTAACCAGAACTAACAAAAGGGATGGCAGCCTGTTGTCCTCAAGACAAACAACTTGGCAGGTTAAGAAACATGTGTCCATGTATTCCAGATCTTCGGTCGAACACTACGATGAGCGGAATGGTGCGTTTGCACTTTTCTCCAATAGATGAGAGTGGAGAGCGAATGTCACATGACGCTCGAATCAAGAATACGAGAATCTGAACCGCCACTCGATGGATACAAGAGAACGGGGCGGGCTGAAGTATTCAAACCTCTACCCTGTACATCTGTCAACGGGGCTGTTTGCTAAGTCTCTGTTGACCGTGTAATGTCGTGAAGCTCAGGAACCATTGGCATGTCCGCGAGACGGGACCAAGGGCATACTGCCCAGTATGTATGGCAAACATCGACTGACATTACACATAAACCCATTTGACAAACAAAATATTTAGAAGATATTATGCGTGGCTTTGTAGTCCGAATAAAGAGTTTGACGGAGAGCAGAAGGCTGGAATCCAAGAAGTGGAATTGGTCGGAGCCTCGGCTGATGACAAAGCAGTCCTTGGATACCTAATCTAACGACATTTGCTGAGCCGGAGATCATACCTATGGTCAGATCATATCATCTGAGAGAACGAGAGCATTTGAACGAGCACTATGCTCAGTAAGCTTGATCGCATACTCAGCAGACATCTATTACTTCATTTGATCAGGGTCGTTGGAGCATCAAGTAGTCCTTGAAATGACCATAAGGGACAGACAAGACCTTCAAGCACTGTGCTATTTTTTCTGTACTTCCATGTATGTTTATGTTTTTCAGAAATTGAGTTTGGCTTCTCCAGAGGATTGGTTTTTGTCTCGCTGGTTTTGATTAGCCAAGTTTTGCTGTCAACACAGGTCACAGTCGCAAGACTGTGAAGAGTGTTTAGATCTGGAATATGGGTATGATTTATTTCATGCTTTTCTCGCCGTTTTCCGAAGGAAAACTGTTTGGGAGCCATGATCGGGCATCTTCCTCAGCTAGCAACGTCGAAATGGAAGCTAGCATTTATTTCCTGTCACATATGTGTCACGTGACCTGGTCGCATTCACTTCGGACATCTCATTGTCATGAAGACATCTTTCTTTTCGTGCAAAGGCAAAGCTTAACCTGCATATGGTCTCATTTGAGGTCTTCTATTCTTGCCTCCGAATCGTTGCTCATCCCCCATGTCATGTGAGGGCTATATAATTCTTGCAATTCTGCAGACCATCGAATTCATTTCGAAGATAATCCTGCAATCTTACTTGAGTTTTGCTTTAGAAATATCCTATGTGCTGCCTTATCATCTAGACTCTAATGTTTGATTCTCAAAATTCGTGAGAGCTTGGTGGAACGGTTGCGTTCTTGAAGCGTATAAACAGATTCACTCGACACTTTCCTGGATCTGCTGATTTGTGACTTGTTTTAAAGTCGCAGGAGCCAGAATCTAAAGTCATTCTCGAGATGCATTCCTGCTCTACTGGAGCTGAGATTATTTGGCGTGAGTATTTCTATTGCGGGTTGTATGTTTTCTGTGAGTGTCTAATTCTGAACCTAATCTAGTCCAGAGCCTACCATTTTGGTGTTGTCAAGTAATTTGAGGCTCTTCACCTTTTTCTCGCTACTCTCATCAATTCCACTAAACTTTTGCTGCCTGATTCTGATTGTCACCACTCATCGTTGAGCCTACAAAAGGCCCGTCGCCCGCCATTTCCAACATCTCTTCCACCTATACACAACAAACAGAATTCTTTTCAGCGCCTTGCTTCGATCTATCTACACCTCGATCAGCAATACAACATCCAGCCCACATACTTCATACAACGTCTGTGATTCATCGCTCTCAACATTCAAAATGTCTACAGTCGACCTCGCAACTCCCACCGGGCCCAGCATGTCTCTAGGAGACCTTATCGTAGAGGCTGTTGATCAACCTGAGGTAAGTCTGCCACGCTATATTCTCCTACCTCTGTCCCATATTGTCGAGTTACTGGACCTTGCAGAGCGCTTTTCTTGCACGATCTTTGCAGTGTTCTGGCTTCTTGGAGATGGCATTGTCAGAAAGCAATCGCAATTTGTGGTTGACTAATTCAGCCTTCGATCTGTCTAAAGTCCCAATCTCAATCTCCTGGCTACCTGCTTGAGCCACAACCTTCTCCATGTCTTGGGTTGTGGTTGTTATTTTATCGGTCGCTCACCTTCACGTTCGCTTTCCTTCCCTGCCCCACTCAAATCAATCAAAACAAACAAGCGCCTTCGCCACGCGAGCAGGCTTTGTTTTCTTTCTCGTCCGCTTCTGTACAAAACCCCCATTTCCTCGCTCCACCCACTCCATATTGTGTACATCACAGTACTTCGCTCTCGCTCTTCTGTAACATCGTACAAGCCGCGCACTTCCTCAACTTCAAGTTCTTGAGATTCTCCATCTTCTCAGCTTGCTTTCTCGATTACATCAAGTCAAGGTCTCGATCTATCCTAGCTTCTATTATTCACAGCTTGTGCCAGCGATCTATTGCTAATATCTCTCTTTCATTCAGATGGCCGACGATACCGCAGCTGTCAGTGCCCCAGAGCCTGTTATCACCGAGACTCCAACCAAGGTCAAGAAACCCCGCAAGACTCCAGTAAAGAAGGAAAAGCCAGTCACCAACGACGCCGAGGATGGCGAGACTGCTACCCATGATGCTGAAGCAGAAACCCCAACAAAGACAGCTAAGAAGCCACGCAAGCCTGCGGTCAAGAAGGAAAAGCCTGCTCCCAGGGAGGGTGAAGAAGCCACTGGTGATGCTGAGGAGCCAACTACCCCCAAGGTAATTATAAACGGTCTTCGTTGCTCTTGATCTCTGCTTATATATTCTTAGGCTGCGGCACCAAAGAAGCGCGGTCCTGCAAAGAAGAAGGCCGATGCGACTCCTGCAACCCCAAATGGTGCTGAGAACGGTGATGTTGAGATGACCACACCCGCCACCAACGGTGCCCCAAAGTCTGCCGGCAAGAAGCGTGGTCCAACCAAGGCTGCCAATGGCGAGACACCCACCAAGAAAGCTAAGGCTACCAATGGTGATACTCCTGCTAAGCGCGCTGCTGGTACCAAGTTCCCTGAGTGCTGGGCTGAGTTTTGTGAGGAGGACAAGCTTATTGTCAATATGCGCCGCCAGGGCAAGAAGTGGGAGGAGATTGAGCCGGCTTGGACTGAGATTACCGGTACAGTTCCTGGCAAGGATTCTCTTCGAAAGCGTTTCGCCAAATTGGAAGCTGTTGCTCAAGACTTCAATGAGGCTGATGTAAGTTATTTCATCCATTCCCTTCGTTTGAAGTTCTCTTCGCCCCCATACCTCTTTCTTACCAGCGTGTTGACTTTGTTTTGTTCAGCTCCCCAAGCTTGTTGCCGCCAAGAAATCCATCGATGCCGATTTCATCGCACTAAAGGAACAAATGCAAATTGACCAAGCAGCCGCCCTTGAGAAGATGAAGAATGACCAGATTAACGCTCTCAAGAAGCAAGAGACTGCCATGTGGGGCAAGATCTCTGAGCACATTAAGACTGCTGGTGGTGACGATTACAAGGCATTCTTGCTGGAAAAGAAGTGGAAGGCTTTGGAGAAGAGCGGTACTTGGACTCCATTCCTGCTTTGCGAACCTCACTGACACATGCAGGTGAAATCGATGCTAATGGCAACCTCCCAGGTCCTGTCGCAGAAGATGATGATGCCGTCGATGGCGATATGGAGAACCTATCGGTTTCTGATGACGCTGCTGACACAAATTGTATCGATTACGTCGAGGACGCTGAGGGTGACCGCATGGAGCAATAGATGGACAGCACTTTGGTTCGATACCTTGTTGATTGATTCGCTCGATCTCTGCTCTATCACCTGCCTTGGCCATACTCTTTGACTCTGGTTCATTTGTTTCCGGAGGATATTGAGGTTCACTTTTCTTCTTTGCTCCTCTTTTGATATTCTTTGCTGTTATTAGCTGCTTGCTCGTTCCGTCTTGCACGCTTGATCTGGATAAATGTTCATTTCTCGCAACAGCTTGATACATACTTGCTCGCGCAATTGCTGCTGCTGCTTAGGGTTTCTGCAATATGGGGAATAATTTCTGCACATTCGTGTCTGCTTGCAATACTAGGATGGGGATTCTGAACTCAGGATGGCGTAGTTGCATATGCAGGCAAGCACCTTACGTGCATGACATCTGTGCTGAGGCACTCGATATGAAATGGGTCTTTCAATATCCTGATTTCTTTCCGCTATTCGTGATTTCATAATTTCTGGTATCCCTTGCTGATATCCTGGGACGTGCTTCCACGACCTGTGTCATCATTCAGCGCGAAATTATTTGACGTTTACAGAGCATTGCCGCAGTTCATTTCCAATATAGCTCTGTGGTTGAACGGAGAACTGTGGGAAAGAATCTCAGGAGCAAGTGTTCGTTCATAGGAATTTTGTACACTGAGCGGGCCCACCTACACTGGCACCACACGAAAGAGTTGGAAGCAATTCGGACGTCACAGGACCTTTCAGCTTGCTCCATCCAAGTTGCAAGTCAAGTTACCTTTCGGATTGCAGATTTGATTTTATATTGGTATATTCCGGCATCACCCGCCCTACTGAAAATATCACTATCATTATTTGAACGGCAGCTGGCACACAGGGAGACCAAACAACAGAATCTCATTCAGTCCACGAGCGGTACACGAGTACAATAGAGGAATCATGGGATGTTAAGATGAGGTTCTTATATTATCCTTTCCTATCTCTTGCAGCAACGAAAGCATCTTGATTAACCATTACACACCAAGATTCATTCTTCCCAATCCTCTTCAGGATCCCTTCTCTTCCGCTGAATGATCTCCTTCAGACGATCAATCTCACGGTCCTTGTCTGCCAGTTCCTCCTCTTGTTTCTCGACCTTTGCTGTGGCTTGTCGATAACCCTGCTTCAAGTCGATAAGACCTTTCTTTTGCACCACAGCGATCTCATCCAAAGAGCCTTGAGTCACCGCCCTTTTGGTGTATCCCTCAATTCTGTCGGGGTGCATGTTAGTGACGTCTTCTAAGGGACATATGTGCGGGCAGAGAGAATACTTACTTTCGGAAAACTTCTGTTACTGGAAGAGTCTTCTTGGACTCGCCGTTACTAACGACTTCCATATCTCCGACTTCGGCTCCAAGCAAAGCTTCTAATGGTGCGAAAACTACGTCCTTGAAGGGCAGATATGGAAGATCTCCGGGATTGGTAGTCTGACCATCACCAGTATCTTCTTCTTCACCAGTTGCTGGTTGTGTTCCCCGAACTGGAGACGAAGATATAGGGTTGCTCAGTACAGATTTGTCGTAGAAGTCTTCCTCTGGCTCTTCTTCCTTGACGGCAGCCATTGAAGAGTCTTCTTCGCCCTGTGGTACTGGCGGTGGTGGTGACTGGTCAACAAATAGACCAGGGGAGGCCGGCTCTGTTGTTTGACGGGGCCGAGGTATAGGCATTTCTGGGAGTCGAGAGCGTGGTCTTGGACGTGGAGGAGAAAACCTGGTCGGAATGCCGGAGTTTGTTTGAAGAAGCCAAGGTCTCATTGAGCCTGGATGTGAGGGCTGGTATCCAGACTCTGGACGAGGTGGCTGTGGTGGCTGTGGTGGAGAGGAACCATATGTCTCTCCCGCGCGATACCGAAAGCGGTTTTGGGGAGGGTGCCACTCATTTTCCTGTCTGTTCCGGCGTCTAAGTGGACTTGGATTGCCTCGAGGCCCTCGAAGCATTTCTGAGGCGTGAGAAGATTTCTGTCTTTCCCTACCCAGCTTTCGTCGTTTAGAAGCAGGTGCAAGATCGTGAATGTCGCCTTCCAGCATCTCGTCATGGAAAGGTTCGGGAGTAAAGTGTCTTCTTGGTGGAAGGTATGGGAACCTGTTCTCCTGTTCCTCTTCCATCTCAAGGTCTTCCTCCTCCTCCTCAACTGCTTGTTGGCCTCTTTGTAAGTCGCGCTCTCGGAGAAGGACTTCTCTTCTCTGATTGTGCTCTCTCTCGAGCCTGATTTGGTCTGCCTCCCAGTTTCTCCACTGCTCATCCTTGCTCAGCGGGACTCCTGACCGCGGGTTGAATTGCCGCGCCGTCAGTTGTGCCTTTGTTGGGCCTTTGAATCGAGGCATTTTCGGACGCTGGTAAAGTAGAAGAGCTGGGTCTTCCGAGTCCAAGTCGTCGACTTCCTCCACGGGGTTGCTTTTGTTGTGGCCGGCTGAGCGGCGGAGTGGTGGATGCACAGCCGTACGTCTGCCGGAGGCGCTGATCTTGGAGTTTGGACCGAGGGGAAGTCTGCGGTCTGACATTGTCTGGATGATGTTAGCAGCTACATTTCCTTTCTATTACGATCCTATAATGTACTGACGAGTAGAGGAAGTTTGCTTGTTGATGCGGTACTGTGAGTGTTGATGCCTCGAGACTGCCCAGAGGTAGCCGAGGTGGTGTGACGATGGAGATATGCTTCAGCGTATGAAGACTTGATCTCTTTGCTGTTGATGTACAGTAATTAAGACAGCAGAATTTTCAGGTGGAGTTACAAAGTAGGACAGGGAAGTTGTCGAAGTTGTTGAAGAAACAAGAGGAGGAGGCACGGAGCTGGTTCTAGATGGGCAAATATAGAGGCGCTCGCCGCCCATGCCAGCTGCCCCATCAACAGAATCACGCGCGGTCTGCGACAAGACGTTTTTGAGTCATTTAATATAACTCTGGATTGTTCAAGGCGTGTCGTGACATGCGACATGCCGCATTCTTTCACTTTGTTTACCTCAGGGAATCGTCAAGTCACTTAAGCGAGAGCCGCCAAGACTCAGCGACACTTTAATGAACACGCTGATTTCTTACTACGCTATATATATTACCACAAGTTAGGGCTTTCAGAGCGTGTGATACTAAGTAGTCCGACTCTGACAAGCCTCCGCTCAATCCAATCAGAGATGCTGGAAGTACCGGCATGATTGTTCAGATGGCAAGGAGAGACTTCCTTCACTTTGCTGTTTTGAATTTCATATAAAAAGTTCTATTTTCAACTGGACAAAGAACTATTTTTTTGTCTTATATTGTGCGTGCGACTTGTGTCGCGCGCGCGACTTTGGACTCACTCGCCCGACACCAAGTACTTTCTCATTGGTGTGACATTCCATCGAAACAATTTCAGCTTCGCTAATAGATGCCGTGTTCCTTGCAGTTGGTGAGGTTTCTTGCAACATGTTATGCGCTAAGGCTTTGTTAAGACTGCATCACATGAGCTTCTGACTGAGGGCATGATCACAAGGAACCCTTCTTTTGAGTTGTCGCCTGAAATGTATATCAAAGAGTGAAGGACTTCAACGAAAGTCTGGAAGGGAGCAAGCATCAATACAACTTCTTCTTAATCAGAACTACTCCTTCATATACAAGATGTTTTGACGCAACACCCAAGAATCCACCCACTTCCCGAGAGTACTCAATTGACAGGATCATTGCCAGAGTTCCGAAGCTGTTCCGCCAGTCTATAGTTTCTATTTTCCAATGAGAGGCATAATCAACCCATGCGTCCAGCTCCGCTCTCTGGCAAGGATTATGACTCCTTCTGTCTCGGTACCCATTAACTCCGAGATTCTATGTATTTTAAAGAAGAGATTAATAGCCAATCAAGACTTCAGAGACCATGAGTGTTACCGTATCTTTCCGTCAATTCATGAATATTAGCAACATACGTGTCTTTCTTTCCTAAAAGCTTAACCGATCCAACATCAACCCGACTTTCATCCTCAGTCGGCCAGCCAGCTACATCAGCAGCATAATGCCAAATACCCGCTCCCAAGTACATGATCTTTCCAGGAACTGGTCGAACGAATGCGGGAGCTGGAATCAGAGCGTGATTATCAGCCTGATCAGAACCATTACCGGAGACTTTTGAGGCGTGACTTTTTCGTCGAACAGCATTGACGACCCGACGGGCAATTTGTTGACCTCGGCCTCGAATACCTCTAGGTGCCTGTCGGACGATGGGACGACCGGTTGGGGGTGCGGCGTCGATGGATGCTTGTGGGAGGCGAGGAGGGTTGGAGTGGGGAGGAAGACCCATGGTGCCGAACAGGACGTCTCGAGTTTGTGATGGGTATTGCATGCCGATACGGCCTTGGATGTGGATATGTGGTGCGGGTTGACGTCCGGACATCTTCTGGTAGAAGAGATTTTAGAATAGGTGTACTTGTCGTTGGTGAGATGTTTACCTTATGATTGATCTTGATGGATTTTGGTCTGTTTTTGATGTAGAAAGTGCAGATATGTTTGGTCACTTATTACTTGTTAGCTTAGTGGACCAGAAGATCTAGGCTGTTGCGTGAAGATTCTGTGTGGTGTCGAGAACGAGGTCGAAATTACCTTCCAAAAGGGAAAAAGAATCTCCTCCAGTGATGCACCCTTTAAGTACCTTTTCTCAGCAGTCGTTTCTGCAAGAATCTTGCTTCAAAAGCTTGTCTCCATCATTCTACCCCTAGCCCTACCTACTACTCTTCTTCTAGTTCTACTGGACCTCCATTCCGATTCGCAGGTATACATCACCAACAAAGAAGAATTCACGGCTCGAGGTTTCTTTTCACGGCGTATGACTCGAAATAGATAGAAGTTCTAGAACAATAAGCGTGATGAGTATGCATGTCTGTTGCCGGATCGAGCGTTGATGTCGGTTCCTTGGATGCTCTGCCCGCTTCGAGGACTTCAGGATCATGCTTTTACATTTGCTGCATGAACTTACTTCATGCTGTAGGTTAAAGTGAAAGTGTTTCAAATATGTGGATGAAGACGGGGGGAGGGGAGATGATGACCAGATGTGTTTGAACCCACAGAAGGAAGTCCCAGCTATGAAAGAGAGGTCACAGATGAGGCTCCAAAGTACGATTCAATAATAGATTGTAGGAGCAAAATAGACTTTCGAAATGAGTTGTGAAGTAGCTTCGATCACATCAATCGAGTGCAAGAGTAGGACAAGCCAACTTGGTTCTCTTCCACCCCTAGCTCCCTCACACTCTCCCTCAACATCCGATTTCCCTCCTTCAGCGCCAAAGCCACGTCCATTAGTGCTAATAGAACCATTTTCCGCTAGAACTTGCAGAGGCCCCACAGCTTTATATCTCATCTCAACCTGGTTTCAAAATCTGCCTGCAGTGCACGTGACGGGGGGTGTGGTTACCTTCCAGTCATAGAGCAGATATTTGCTACAAACACTTGAACAATTTGAGCAAAATGGATATCTGCCAACATATAGCATCAATACTTCTTGCAAGTTGGATTGATAATTCTAGACTTGTTCAGACTTAGCTGTTAACCTGCTTGTGATTTGTTTGCAGCTGCCTTCAGACAGCAAACTCTCACACTTACAGATTCAAGCAATCATATCTGATTGTTCATAGTACAGCATCAACAAATAAGATGGAACAAATAAACTGTTGATCATCAAGTATACCTATGAAATTGACTGTTGCCCTCATTGTAATGACGTTTCCTCTTCGTTGTTCTGAACAAAGGTTCCACTGCTAATCGAGTCTCAAAGCAGCACCTGCAGTGCCACAAATAGATGGCCCCACATTTGTGGCTGGGCCTTGCCCCAGATTCTCCACCTGCAGGTTTGATTTGCTAGGAAGAACTCAGCGTCTCACGGAGCAGTGTATTATTGTTGACTTTTCTGAAAATTTAGATATTTTCCACTGTGCGTGGTATTTAGGTTTGTCTGCTGTAATGATACGTAAGTGAAATGTTCTGTTGAGGATTTGCTTCAAGGCTCTAGAGCAGGGACATCCAGACTTTTGGAGGGATGTTTATATTTGGTTGGGGGGGTATTATGAGAATCTCTATTGGTGAATATCGCTACCAGGCATTTTTGAACCAGGACTCGACAAAGCACATGCCGATAGAGTATCTATATGAGTACGCAGGTAAGGGTTGTGTAGCCAAGTCTCAAAGTGCTTGCTATATTTGGCAATGCCAGTTCAAATACCCTGTGAAACCCTACCGTGCTGACAGGATGATCAAAGAAGAGGAGAAAAAATCAAAGAGCCCCATAATACTGTACTGTATCTCGATAAAGTAGCTTTCCGTTATTGACATCGGCAACGGCAACCCACATCAAAGGAGCTATGGCCACAATTTGCCACAATCATGTCTCCACTTCAGCCTCACGGCTGCCTGTCCTTGTCTCCAGTTCTCCGCCTGACGCCTGACGCCTGAACGCCTTCTACTCGGCCTGAGTCAATGTACCATGTACCGTACCTACAGTAGGCAGAGAGGCCCTCGAGAGGCCCCACGAGGTTTTTCTCGTGGAGCGATACCTGATCCAAGCCGAAACTATCCTCATATCATGGCCATTTCGGGCATTCCGAGCTTCACATTCTGCCCACCTCTTCTCGCCCTTTCAGCCTTGTTGGTGTTGACAGGGGGGTCAGCCGATGACTATGACGCTAGTACAGCCTTACCCAATCAGTCTTGACAAGACATCTTCCAGTGCAGCTGCACTGCACTGCCGCGTATCTGCAGCTTGCAACGCCTTTCTCCAGTCATAAAAACCGTTGGCATAAGAGAACAGTCGTGTCATCGTCACCGAGATCCCAGCAGCCGGGTCACATAAGAAGAGACCCATCCTCGGTTTCGCCGTTCAGTCTGGAAAGCCGCTGGAGTAGAACACATCGGTAAGCCTACCTACCCGCTGATCATCCCGTCTACACTGTAGCCGCCTGCCTTGTGAAAGGGAGCCTTCCAAGTTACACCCTTGTTGAACCACCTTTCACAGCCAGATGTTGGTTGTTTTCTCTTCCGGCGACGGATCCTCATGTCCAAATAACGACCTTCATGCTAATACGAAGCGCTGCAGTGCCACAGGGATAGTGAATATCAAGCTCCGTTTGCAGCCACAGTCAAGGCAGCAACAAGGCAACTCTCCAACAAGCTGAGAGATCCTGCAACTCTTTGCAGCTTCCCGAACCTCAAATACTCCCTCCAACCTCCAAGTTCCAAGTTCCCAATCACACAGACAATCAGCATCATGGATACTCCAAGCACAAGTCAGAGTGAGCAGGTGGTCGAGAGAGAGGGCGGAGCTCCTGCAGCTGGAGAAGGAAGCTCAAGCACACAAGCAGAGATCAAGTCACCAAAATCCTCCGAGAAGTCGACTACGCAATCAAAGAAGACCAAGAAACACAAGGAACCAGACAAAGCTTGCAAGACCAAGTCGAAGAAGGCAAAGGAGGAGGAAGTCGTTGAGAGCGATTCTTCTGATAGCTCGAGCGACTCTGACTCTGATGATAGTGATTCTGATTCAAGCGAGTCAAGTGAGGATTCAGAAACAGAGACTGAGAAGGAGAAGCGGAAGCGTAAAGCGAAGAAGAAGGCAAAGAAAGCTAAGGACAAACGCAAGACGAAATCCAAGAAGAAGTCTCGTAAAGAGGTACGTTCAAAGTCTGGTCTCCCCTCAAGACAGCTTCTAACAGGTTATAGGTATCCTCAGATTCCGATTCAGACTCCGAAAGTGAGAGCGAAGTCGAGACCGATATAGAAGACGAAGATGAGGACGATGAGGTTGATGCGAATGCGGAACTTCAACAACAGCTTCTACAAATGCAGCAGATGCAACAACTACAAGGTCTTGGTCAGGCTGGTCTTGGAGGCGGATTAGGATCACGCATTAGACCTGGCCGCCGAGCCTTGGGAGGTTTGGGAGGAGGAGCTGCTGCTCGATTGCAGGCTGTGAGAAATGCTAAGCAACTGGCAGCTCTCGGTCTTGATCCTAGTGGTAAGAAGATCAAGAAGGACAAGAAGAAGAAGGGCAAGCGGGGCAGCAAGCTCGAGTTCAAGAGAGTTGATCAGCTGTGGGATTCTACAATCCACAACTACAAACTCACCGACACGGCTGAAGACGAAGAGAGCTCTGAGTACGATCAGTACCTCTTCAACGTCCGAAGAACATTTGACTGGGAGGGGAAGTACAAGGTAAGCCGTCCTTCTTGACATTTTCCGGCTTTCTGTGCCGAAGCCAACAGGTTACTTTGAGTCAAGAATATTCGCTGATATCTGATCTAGACTACTGTCGTAGACATCAAAAGCAAACTGATTAAGGAAGCTCTGACTGATGTTATGGACGGTGTTAAGGGTGTCAGTCTCGTTGAAGAGACACCTTGTGTTGACCCAAACCTCCTCTTCCTTTATCTCGAGGATCTTCGCAAGCTTTCCAAGGAGCTCAAGAACACGAAGATCACTGTCAAGAAGGGCAAGAAGAAGGCCATCAAGCGCAACGAAACTAAGAGAAAGCACCTGAAAGTCCTCCTCAAGTATCTCGATAAAGACTATGCCGCGACCAAGAAGACCTTGTACCCTATGCTGGAGTCAGGCTTGATTTCTTTCGAGTATCTCTGGGCACTGTACAAGCCTAATACCCTGGCATACACTACCACCTATGGCTCCGTCGATGAACCTCGCGCTTTCAAGATTGAGTTGGCCGAGAAGGAGTTCAGTTTCATGAAGGGCGAATGGTACAGCATCGAGGGCAAGTACCTTGAGTATGATGGAAAGACCTGGGGAATGGGTAAGCTTCATTCCAAGCATGTTTGCTTGATCCTACTGACAATATTTAGGCACAATGGAATCCGAAGTTCCGGCTTTCAAAGGGGCACGAAAGATCACCAGTCTGAACTGCTATCCCTTGAAGTATCATAAGAACGAAGAGAAGCTCCGAGAAGAACTCATCACGCGCGGCAAGAAATTCGTCTCTCTCCAAGGCGTCCACTACAAATGCCACGAGGGTATGGCTTACGTCAAGAAAAAGAGACAGGTCATCAAGGTCAACATCAACGGCAGAATCATGATTGATCCAGCAATCCATCGTCGGATCTTACCAAATTACAATGTCAGCACCGTCAAGCCAAAGGACCCAGATATCATCGACTCCGATTCTGATGAGTCTGACTCTGAAGGTGGCTGTTGCTGTGGCGACGAGTATGTCCTCCCGTCCCCATAAACCCATGCTTTCACTGACATCCTTGACCAGCTCCGACGAGGAAAAAAATCATACCTTCGAAACTCGCCAGAGCAAGGAGGACGATGATGAACCAAAGATGAAGATGAAGGTGGTTCTGGACGAGAAGAACGAACCTCGTCTAGTTGAAGTTCCAGTGGATGCCGACGGCCAAGAAATCGCAGTCGAGAAACTTGAGGAAGTCCCAAGCAAGATGGTCTCCAAGGAAGGCGAGTCTGCCGCTGTTGTAGAGGAGGACAAGAAGGCACTTCCCGTCTTTACCGACGAGGAGTATCTAATTGCTTCTCCTGTGGTTCTAGGATTTGCGTTCGCCGAGAAGCTTTGGCTTGAATTCACGGTCTCTGGTGTCAAGGAGATTGTCTGGAACGAAGGTGCTTACGAATCACTTGTTTTGGAGGACAATACGAAGGAAATTGTCAAGGCTTTGGTCGAGTCTCACAAGTACCATCCAGCAGAGAGCATCGACGATGTCATTCAGGGCAAGGGCAAGGGTCTGGTTGCGGTCCTTCATGGTCCTCCAGGTACCGGCAAGACTCTAACCGCTGAAGGCATTTCAGAACTCCTCAAGTGCCCACTCTACATGGTCTCAGCGGGCGAGTTAGGCACTGATCCTCGAACACTTGAGGGCGAGCTGCAGAAGATCCTTGATATCGCACACGCTTGGGGTGCGGTTCTTCTCTTGGATGAGGCAGATGTGTTCTTGGAGAAGCGAACCATTCAGGACATCCACCGAAATGCTCTCGTTTCCATCTTCCTTCGTTTGTTGGAGTACTTCCAGGGCATTCTCTTCTTGACCACAAACCGTGTGGAGACTTTCGATGATGCCTTCCAATCCAGAATTCACATCGCTCTTCGATATGGCGAATTGACTGCAAAGGCCAAGAAGAGCGTCTTCAAGATGTTCATTGAGCGTGTACGGATCCTCGAGGGTGTCGACACGATGCCTTTCACGGAGGAAGACTACAACTCTCTTGCTCGGAATAACCTCAATGGTCGCCAGGTATGTCCACTAACAACTCCTATTGCTGAGGCTCAAGCTGACAATTTCGTAGATCAAGAACACAATTCGCACAGCCCAGGCTCTGGCTGTCAACAAGGGCGAGCCTCTCAGCATGGAACACATCAAGCGTGTCCTCGACGTCTCGAATGCTTTCGACCGCGACCTCAAGGGAGGTACAGGCTTCGAGGAGGCCATGCGTGGCTATTTCTAAGCTGTCACTGCCCTCGTCCTTTACAACATGACCATCGTCCTACTTGTTCATTGCACTTTACTTCTCGTTTTCTTTTTCGATTCTTCATTTCAATTCTCCTGATTCAGGCAGAATTTTCACGGCGCATGATTATGGATATGACGGGTATGACATGGAAGCACGGCACAGCACAGTACAGCACACTATTTAGGGTTGAACTGAACAAATGGAATGGAATGCTATTTCGGCGAGCAAGCGAGCATAATTTGAATTTGTTGTTCATTTGCGAATTATGCTTTTTGATTTTTGCTCCTTCTGCTTACTCTGCTGGGACGAACGGAATGCGCTGTAATTTAGGTAGAACATAAACCCCCCGCTCTAGCCCTTCTGGATTGTTGGTTTGTGTGATGAGACGTGATGGGGTGTGTTTATGGATTGAAAATGCCGATACCGTAGATATCGAGTCTATTTCGAATTTTCTGCCATGGTTCGTGATTATCGGATTGGTTGATTAGCAAGTAGATGTCGTGCGTGGTATTGAGAACGGCGAGCGAAGGGAAGGGAAGTAATTATGGGTTGCTTGGGCGGCTGGCTGCATGAATTCTCTCCTCAATACAACATTCTTCATATTGAGTCTACTTGCCTGATATTCTTGAAACTTCACTTTCATTTCGGAGGACTGCTTGTTCATTGATCCGACTCACTGCTATATACAAGTAACTTCTCCACTCACAGACTTCAGCCGCGAAACCGCCTCACGAACGAGACCCTGTGTCCTCGGTGCTCCACGAGCAACCTTCAACCAAGATGAAATCTCTCAGCCTATTGCATTGTTGCACGCTCAAACCTTTCCAGCTGCTCGTCAATACCAGCACCTCAGAGGAGTTCTCCAGTGCTTGGATAGAAAACAAGCCAGGTATGATGACCTCTAACATGACAGTGCCAAATTCATTGACAACATCACAAGTTTGTTTGACAGCAGTGTGAATCCCGCCGAGAATTAAACCTAGCAGTTCTAACTAGCAAAAGAAGATATTTTATTAGCATGGGATTTACTCAACGACGTGACTATGAGATTTGATACATATTCCACTCTTTCAATACTTCAGTGCAGCTCAACTACCACATCTCACAGATTCAGTATCGTCAATTTTATTATCAACCACACTCAACACATCCATTTCAAATCCTAGTGTCATTAGCTACAAATCTCATGTAACTACCATCCTACTTTCGATACAAACAACAAGAGCAAAGTTGAGACGTAGGGAATTGGGTAGTGCTGTTCCATTCTGATGGGTGGTCGTACAGAATACAAGTCAACGCAGGGGCAGGAGGCATGATTCATGAGCTAGGTTGATTCTGCGGCTGCTGTTGTCCAGTAATGACAGGAGGAGACTTATATATTGCTTTGAGGGGGAGAGGGGGAGGGGGGGAGGGGGATCTTCGGTGGCGTAGGGTGGACTTGGATTTGGACATGGATGGTGAATGGCGAGACGTGTGGGAAAGAGAGGAGCGCTCTTGTCTGATCTCTTTTCGTATTCCGTCGAAGGTCGAAGAATCTTTTGAAGATTGAGGACATCGTGAAGGGGCCTATGAAAGCTATAACAACGCAAGAGCTTGCTAGAGATCTCAAGCTTGAGTATGAAAGACCAGAGTTGTTGCATGATCCTGGCATGGTCAACGCAAATAGGGATAATCTGTTCTGCCAGGATTTCCGCTACATCCATCGATGATTGGCACATCAATTTCAATCACAGCGCTCAAACTACCAAGAAGACTAACACTTGCTTTTGACAGCAACAGATACATCGTCAACACATTGCACGTAGATGAGACATATATTGTGAGGAAGAGCTACCTCGCTGCAACTCAGAAAGGATTTATACTTAAGGGATATCATAATATAGATTGAAAATGGCCTATTGACAAAACAGATCAATATGGATAACATCTAGCACCACGTCTACGCACATATTGCGTATTTGTGCTGGTGTCAAGATCCGATGTAGAAACGAGAGCAATATTTTGAGACAGCTTTTATGTAGACTGAATTCCCTCGCACACAGCAAATCATTCACTATACACTTACCGAGCCTTACCTCAAATCAACGGAGGTATGCACGCCATTCCTGATCCAGCTCTGAAGCAAAAGACACAGTAAGATGAAGCACAAAATATCTGCAAGAAAAAATAGAGTGGAGAGCTTTTGAAATCATAAACGAAGAAGCATTGAGGTTTGATAGTACAAAAGGTGGTGGTGTTTTCGAAATCTACACGCTTAAAATGCAGACTCCGAGGGTAGTGACAGAGGTGTTTTGCTGGTATTTAGGCAAATTATCCATCAAAAATTCCCTTTCCTTCTAGACGCCCGCCCCAGATCCCCTTCCGTATCCCCCAGTTTGTTTGTGTAGGAAAGTTTACTTTCCTGGGTTGGCCTCGACGAATGCAACACCCTTCTGGATGTTCTGAGGATATTGAGTCAGCATATGACATGTCAATGATGGGGATTGGATTGTTTACCTTCTTCAAGTCCTCCAAGCAGGCATCCAAAAGCTTCTGCTCCTCAGCAGTAACCTTGCCAACATCCTGGATCTCCTCAACACCGCTGGGGCCCAAGAGGACCTTGCTGGCGAAGAACTCAACACCTTGGTCCTTGTACAATGGGCTGTCGACGAAAGTTGGCTCGACAACACCCTTCTCACCCTGAGCAGCCTTCAACAAGCTCTCGGCGAAACGAGCACCAGCCATAGCCATAGAGAGGGTTGCAGATCCAGCACCATCCTTGGCCTTGACAACCTCGTCACCACCGAATTGGACACGGTTTAGGAGCTCAGCGTTACCGACAAGATCTGGGTGGTTGGACTGCGAGAAGAGAGGAACAATGGTAACACCGGAGTGACCTCCGACAACGGTAATAGCCTCATCAGCTGGGTCGGTCTTCTTGATCTCAGAAACGAATCGGGAAGCACGGACAACATCGAGGGTGGTAACACCGAACAGACGCTTTGGGTTGTAAACTCCCTTCGCCTTGAAGATCTCGGCAACGATTGGGACGGTGCTGTTGACTGGGTTGGAGATGACCAAGATGTTGGCATCTGGGGCAGACTCGGCAGCGGCCTTTGCGAGATCACGGACAATCGAGGCGTTGGTGTTGAAAAGATCATCACGGGTCATTCCTGGCTTACGGGGGACACCTGCGGGGATGAGAACGATCTCAGCACCCTTCAAGGCAGCAGCGAGACCGCTTGGTGTTGGGTCATATCCGGTAACCTTGCTCTTGGTGTTGATGTGGCTAATATCAGCGGCAACACCTGTATAAAGTCAGACTCATAGATGCCAAGTTGTGCCCAGAAGACATTCTTCCTCCTTCAGACGTAAATCTCCTCCATATAGAAAGTCGACGTACCTGGGGCGAGACGGATATCGTAAAGAGCGAGATCTGTAACCCGGGGGTTGAGCTTCAAGAGAAGAGACAGAGGTTGTCCAATTCCACCAGCAGCACCGAGGACTGTGACTTTCGACAACTGAAATGGATGGATTAGCAAATGGACAAATCAAAACAATGGCTTATTGCGTTGACTCCGGTTGCCAGCATTCAACAAAATGAATCTGCATCGCCAATGCATCAATTGACACCTTCAGAGCAGCCAGAACATTTCCATATATCTGCAGAAGTATATTTGACTCTGCGACCAGCAATTGAAGCTTTGCAGCCTCGGCTCGAGGATCTGGAGATAGTTCGGGGTAATTGCGTCTTGAAAGGTTGCACTCACGTCTCTGGCAGTTGCGGAGAATGCTCGTCTCTGGGCAGCGCCCGACAATGCTCTGCGTGCAGCAAACATTATGTGAATATGTGGTTGTTGTGGAGAAGGGGGATGAAGATTTGGGTATATGTGAAAGTCGGACGGATGGACTGGAGGGAAGGAAGAGCAGGAGTAGCTGAGAGAATTTTGAGCTAGGCGTGACCAGAGCTTCCGGTCCGAGAGGGATTGATTGTGCAAGCTAATCCCCGACCGGATGAAGCGGCGTCGGTTGGTCACGTGTAAAGTGACCGAAAACAAGATTTCGAGGTCGTTGTGAGAGCAGGTTTACAAGTACGAAATATCGACTTCTAAGAGATACAAAGAGAAAAAAAAATCGGATGCTATGTGAAGTATTATTGCTGTCACAAAGGCTGGCTCGGAAAGCTATCGACCTTCGGCCTCAACTTTACGCAATGACCCCTCTCCCCAGATTCTCATCCAAGACATCCAAATGCTGAAGAGTAGATCTATTCCGACTCACTTCGAAACTTCCAGGTAGAATGGTACTGATCTTAAATCATGTTTTTTGTGTTATTTAGTTTGCGCCATCTCTTATAAGAGCTCCCAAAAAACAACGAGCAAAATTGCAATAGCCACGCTGGCGTTTGACCAAAGATTTGAACTCCAAGTCTCTGGTGGCTTCCACTTCACTTAGTCTTCAACCTGATATTTATATCTACTACCCACTGCTTCGCATTCTATTTCAAGTTTGTTGCCTGTCATCCTGAAAGGTGGCTGTGCTCTCCTGTTTCAAGAGTTGCATTTATGGATTGCGGTCCCTTCGAACTTTATATCCTTCCATGCATGACCCGGAACCTTGTCAGAAAGCATCCTTCAGCCTCCACCTGGTGCCACTATGTTTGAAGTCAACGTACGCTCGAGTATGCAATGGTACCATCAATCTCCATTCAAGGCCCTCCGAGAAGTCGGACCACTCTGTTATTCCTGCCAGAGTGTCACTCGGGTCATAATTCACTAGACTCTCTTTCGTTCAAGCAAGTAAGACTCCAGAGAGGTTCTGTTTAAGCATTCAGCACACATTGATTGAAGTTGATCAATCATCTCTGCAATTTCTCCTACTCATCTCATCTCAAGCCAGTCCCCAACTTTCGTCATGCCATGAATACAAAACTCCTGCATATGCAAAGGCAATGCGTCCCCATCAATCCCCATAACAAATGAAAATAGAAGTATATACAATAGCGAGGCCGTATCGACGGATGCCTCAACTCCATGACAACACTATCAGCAAATCATTCATAACCATATCTTTTCAACCCTTCTCATTCAAACCCCTCTCTCATCAACTTGGAAGTTACCAATCTAGAAAGTCGCCTTCGCCAAATTCGCTTCGAAATTAGCATCCTTAAACGGCACATTCGCATCCCCAAAATTCGTATTCTCCAACGCCGTCCTCGCCGCAGCAGGCAAACTTTGCCATGCAATCAGCGGCTGCGTGCCACCAACAGCAGTCGTAAGACCACAGGCGTGGTTGACAGGGAATATACTCTCGTACTTGATGCGAGGAGAGGTTCCGGTGAGAGAGTAGCCGGAAGTGGCACAATCCCAGCCGCCGTGAGCGGAAGGACAGACGGCGAGGATGTTGGAGGCGTCGGTGCTGGTTGAGGAGGAGAGGTAGACGATGACTCCTTCCCAGTCGTGGCGGTGGCCTAGGCCATTGGATGGTGAATCTTTAGGGAAGTACCTACGGGGGATATATAAGTCCTGCAGGTTTATATCGACATAGATGTACTTACCAAGAGTACATCACGGCGTACATTCCGTTATGTGCACCACTACGGACATAGACTTGTCCGGTGCTGGAACTACATCCTCCGTTTGAAGCGCCAGAAGTAGCGAGTCCGCCACTATATCAAACATTAGCTATACATTCTCTAATCTCCAAAGTCACAAGACAACAGAGAAACGTAAAACATACCCTGTATTGCCAGCAGAATCCACAGCAGGGAAAGGCACACAGCCGTTGACAACCTTCAGCAAAGGCTTGTACGCAAGGTACAAAGAACCTAGACTTCCACTCGGCACCGTCTGTGGGAAACCAACGACTTTATCATGGCCAATGACAGCGCGCTTCTCGAGCTGTTGCTCAATTGGTGAGGCGATGACAGCGCTGGCGACAGCGAGGGCTTTGAGGAGGGAGGAGAAGACTACCATGTTGATATACTTGTCTCGAGTGAATGATTTATCAAGTATCTAGCTATTCTGATTCGAAATAAGCGAGTTGGCAAACAAAGTCTTGAGTGAGACTTGAAGAGGGCTAAGAGGATGAGAGAAGGGTGAGGTGGCGAAACACAATCAAACAGCAGAATCACAGCAGTTTATATCTCCTCTTCCCTCCCACCCATCTGGAGAAGAAGCTTTCATGTTCCTGGCCATCTTCTCCGCTGCCCCTCCTCACGAGATGGAAACATGACCAGGTTCAGGTTCCCAAATAAGTAATACCTCCATCCATTACAGGCCCGTGCTACCCTTACTGACAGCACCTACTACCGGACAAAGACTACCTCTTGCAGAGAGACGTTTCCTCCTCGGGAGATAATTTACCAATCAAATACTTGCCCTCACCACGTTGTACACCGTCCATCCTCCCTCTGCAACTCCAAACATCCTCCTGCAGTAGAACCATATTCCAGGCTTTCTTCTCACTAACCCCACCGGCAGTGGAAGCTTGGCGAAAGCTCAACTCACCTTCTCCGTTACGTCCGACCCTCACAAAACAATAGAAATCAGAACGTGACAGCCTCACAAAAGTATAAGGTAATTAATTACCTACTGAAGTCCCATTCTCTCCCTTCCACGCGGAAACATACCCCAAAACTGGGCCCCATCGCCGGTCTTCCTTGGGCAGTCCCGGGAGATATGATATGCCTGCGCATCTGATCTTAAACTTCCAATCTGAATTATCAATTTTACGGCTTTAGATATGTCGTCTCATCTTGTAGAGCTGGATTGAACTGCGTATGCATCCCGTATCTGGCTCCCCAGGAGTCAGTAGTGGAGATTCGTGAGAGTGGCTAAGTTCATGCAAAGACGTTCACTGTCTCCTCTACTGTCGGTAGGCTTTCGCTTCGCGGTAGCGCGGCGCACTCCTGCCCTGTAACTTACCTAGCTAGAGTCCCCTGATGCACCTATTATTGTCAGAACTGTAAGCGAGGGCGTGGGCAAGACCATCACAAGACCTTCCTGTTCCTGTTCTCACCTGCCCTCTCGTCGCCGACGATCTCACTGTAACGCATTACGCGTTCTGGACTTCCTCCACAGGAACACAGATGCACAATCCCCTGCCCGGCAAGGAATCTTCCTTCCATTCGGAGAATCGCCGGGGGAAGACACCTGGAGAAGAAGCCACGAGGCTTACCCGCGGCTTCTGATTGCATCCAATTTACTCTGACTTGAAGATCCGGGTTGAGATCTTTGTTGAGACAGATAGACTAACTCGCTTTTCCCCGGTCCAAGAGGCAATGAAGCAACTTGGGATAGCTTGTGGATAAACTTACTAGCCAGCCCACCTCGTTTTTTTTTTTTGCTCGGGCTCGGGGCTTGCATAGGTACACTCAGGGCAAGCAAAGGTGCCACGCAGCGGAGCTTTCCATGCACCAAAAAAGACATTACAAAACACTACAAAATATAGAACTCGGACTTTCGGGGGGGAGGGGGGAGTTGTTTTTATAAGAAAAACTTATTTTTATACTACTTATTTCTTAATAAGTAAGGAATTAAATAAAGATATATCAATAGATAAAATATATATTTTTAATTTTTAGTCAATTAAAAGGTAGAATTATCAAGTTATATTGAGCTATGTTAGAGAACAACTATTCGCGCATATATAGAAGTGTCAGGAAATTCTACTAGATTGTAGTGTGTTGTCGGCCGCGACACCTTTGCTTGCCGTGATAATTGCTTGCCCTGATTGTAGGTATCCGAGCCCCGAGCAAAAACCACGAGGCGGACCGGCTGGCAATCACATTAAGCTTCCTATACAGCGCAAAAACGAGGTCTGGTGCAAGGAAGGATTCATGAAGAGGTGGGTGAGTTCCTGGACGAAGCTTTCCGGCTCGGGCCTGAGATTATTACAGAAGGCTTGTTGGACTTTTAACTTTTCTTTCTTCTTCGTTTGGAAGAGGAGAGAAAGGTAAGGATGATTTGGGATGTCCTCACATCCATAAATCTATTCATTACCTCACGATTTTGTGATGAAAACCGAGTGTCAATTCTTTAGTCAAGTTAGAAACGTGGCTCATAGGTAGAACCAGGATAATTTCACTAGTTGAGGCTGGATTATGGACATATTTCTTTTCTATAAGATACAAATTCACTCGCGGATTTTTGCAGGCATGGATGGGAAGGAGGCGTCCAGATTCTGGTAAGGGTTGCCGCTATGTGTTATGGCATTCCGCTTCTCGCCAGAGGCATATGATTTCACCAATTGTTATTCGTAAGGTAATGTAAGCAGTAAATGTTCTTGTACAATTGATTTTTGTATTGCAATTTTGAAGTGTCTATTTGCTGATCTATCTTCTAGTCTGCAAAAACCATGGTGACCACGAAAGAGTAACGCAGAAAAACTCCGGAGACAATTCCCAATGCGCAAAACCCTACAGATAACACTTTTCCCTTCCCTACGTCGACTTGTGCATCTAATCATCTTCATCCGAAAAGACCTCCTCTCCTCTCTTGCGTCGGGCCATACGGTCCTTCTTCTTCTTCCGTAACTCGGCGGAAGTAAGCTTCTTGGCCTTCTTCGTCGACACAATCTTATTACTAGTCAAATAGTTAGCATATGCTTCAACGACATCTGAGCGGAATTAGACATACCCCATAGCATCAAACTTCTCTTCCTCATCATCATCGTCACCCTTTAGACGAGGTCCAGCACCCTGTCCTTGAACCCAGTTGTGGCCAGATGGAGTCATCTTTCCGTCAACAACGGCCCAAACTTCCTCAGTCAAGTTCTCAGTGAACTCCTTGGAGTGAGTAATGATAATAACACCACCCTCGAAGGACTTGAGAGCCTTGGAAAGAGCACCGAGAGAGTCACGATCAAGATAGTTGGTAGGTTCATCAAGAACGATCAAATGAGGACGTTGCCACGAGCATGCAGCGAGAACGACCTTGACACGCTGTCCACCGGAAAGACCCAACATGCGGGAATGGGAGATCAACTCGGCATCGAGACCGAAGTTGGCACCGTGAGCCTCAATCTCCTTTCGGACCAGAGGTCTGAACTGACCACTGGCAAGAGCCTCCTTCTGATCAACCTCAGCAACCATCTTTTGATGGGAAGCCAAGATCTCGGTACGGGGAATCCAAGCGTTGTCGGCTGTCATCATAGGAACCCATCTCTCGTTCTTCATGCCAACGTTCTCTCCAAGAGCGAACGAACACTCGTACTCGTAAGAGTTCTTGAACTTGCGGCGGGAGTGGATACCAATAACACGTCTTTGGGAACCCTCAATCTTGTAGATCTTGTCCATTGCCTTCTCATCCTCATCGGTGACGATCTTGTTGGCACGATCCATAGTCTCACGATCCTCACCAGTCTGGAAACGCCATTGGATGTACTCTGAAGGAGTCTTCTCCAAGTGGTGATCGATGTGTGCGAAAGCGTGTTGTTTGATGTATGCGATACGAATATTCTCGTGGGTGTAGACATCACCGATGGTTGGGATGAGTTCACCGGTCAAGACGTTAATGAGAGTAGATTTACCAGCACCGTTGGGACCAATGACGGCAATACGGGAACCGAGCGAACATTGGAAAGAGATGTCGGAAATCTGGGGCTTTGGTGTACCTGGGTACTGGAAGCTCATCTTGGAGACACGAACAATGGCCTTGGCCTTAGTCTTGACACCCTCGAGGAAACCTGGCTCAGGGAACTTGAATTCCATCTCAGAAGCACCAAGCTCAAAGTATGACTTGGCAGATGGGCACTTCTTGACGAACTCACGGACGTTACCACGGTAACGCTTGAGCTTGAATCTCTCGTAGTTGATAATGTGTTGGCAGACGTTGTTGAGGAAGCCAGTGTCGTGGGAAACAATGATGGATGTGCAAGGGGAAGCCATCAAGTAGTCCTCGAGCCACTTGACGTTCTTGACGTCCAAATGGTTAGTCGGCTCATCAAGGAGGAGAATATCTGGGTTTTCGAAAACGGCACGGGCAAGAGCCAACTTCATCTTCCATCCACCGGAAAGGGCGGTGATCAAGTTGGTGATCATAGCATCGGTGAAACCGAACTCAGTCAATTGCTTGACGACCTCCTCACGGGAAGTCTCGACACCAACCTCCTTCAACTTCTTCATGGTCCAGTCGATGGTGGTTTGCTCGGTATCAGCGGCATCAAGATCGTGCTCAACGAAAACAGTCTTGACTTCGCTCTTCTTGGGGAAACCCTCGACTTGTTCGTTGTTGATGGCACGCATGAGAGTGGACTTTCCGGAACCGTTAGGACCGCAGAGACCATATCGCTGACCACGCTTCAGGCGGAGATGGGTCTGGTTGAGGAGAATCTTAGCACCGTAGGCCAAGTTGAATGTGCAGTTGCAGAGATCCTCTCCCTCCTCATCATCAGCCTCCTCAGCATCTGCGTCCTCGGCAAGTGGGGAAGCCTTCTTTCGGAGAGCATCCACAACAGCCTGAGCGTCAGACTCAGGAATGATTGAGGCGATGTATGGCTTGATGTTTGAAGTCCAGCTCTGGGTATCGGCATCCTTCTCATCAATAAGTTGACCAGCGAGGGCGGAAACGAAGTCGAGGATTGGAGCGAACTTGTTAACAACAGCCTTGTGCTTGCCAGACTCGAGGATCTCCTTTAAGATAGCGGAAACGGTCGAGACATCACCAGCGTGGGAAACTTCTGGGATCTTTCCGTCGACAACGGCACCGACACGGATGAGAGTATCGAGACCTTGCTTGGTCTTCTCACGGGCTTCGGGGTCAGCCAAGTTCTCGTAGTTCTTGGTGAGTTGAGGCATAAGCTTTGGCAAGAAGGCCGCAACAATGTTGGGGTCCTCGACAAGCTTGCACATGTTGTCAACGATAACGGCAGACTTTCGCTTGATGGCAGTCTCACGCTCAGCAAGACCACGATCCAAAAGAGGAACCATAATGGCCAAAGTTGGCTCGTGAACATCAGTGACGAAAGTGGTGGCACCGAGCAAATGAATAGTCTCTGGGACATTCTCTGGCTTGGCGATACACTTGATCAACTCGGGAATGAAACGATCGATATCCTTGTTGACGATAAGACCGCAGACCTTCTCCATTGTACCGTATGCCATCTTCTTGACCTCAGGCTTGGTGTCCCACATGGATTCGGAGACGACTGGGATCAGATCTGGGACGCGGAGGGCGAGTTGTGATGGGGCGGATTCGACGAGAGCCTCGATACAGGTGAGACCGGTGATCTTCTCTTGCCATTTTTGAGCGGTCAAGATGGAGTTGATGATGGGTGGGAGGACAGCCTTGACGGCGTTGGCACTGACAGCCTTGATGATGGCAAGGGCAGCAGCTTGAGCGGCGTTCTTGACTGGGACCATCTTGTCACCAACGGCCGAGAGGACCGAGGGGAGGAGGACAACCAGGTATGGCTCGACAGATGGGGAGGTATCGGCATGCTCAGCAATAGCCTGGATGGCATTGAGAGCGCGTTCTCTGACGTTGCCATCCTTCTTGTTTCCAAGTTGCTTCTTGAGGGTTTCGACGGTCCTGTTGGGAGTCGGGTCAGCAATTGTTTAAATCCCCATTTTCAAAAATCCACAGTGCGACCGCTGAAGTGGCCACGCCTCTCCAAATCAGTGCGCAGACGCAGAATCCAGCACTGAAACACATAGATTTCCAAGTATATAAAAACAATCGACTGCTGTGAAAAAATTGCAAGGCTGTACTTACTTGGTTGGGGCGTCGTTCTCCTCGATGGGCGAGTTAATGAAGATAGCCAGGTTGTGGGTGGCGGCATTGATGTCCTCCTGAGCCTTGGAAATCAAGAGCTTTGCCATAAGTTCATCAAGGACCTTGACACTGTTTTGATTCTCTTTTGAGGCCATGCTTGCGGTTGCTGATGTATCGGTCACAGCGGGCATGTTGTAGAAGAAGAGAAGAAGGGGAGACGGCGGAGGGGATCAAGTGTGGGAGAGGGAGAAAAATTGTCGACCACTAGTGCGATCGTCGTTATCGGCGGGCCCGCAAAAAGGTTGGAGGGGCAATCGATACGCTGGAGAGAGTGTCCTTGTGGCGGGGGGGTTCGCAGCTCTTCTTCCTGCGCAGAAGAAGGTCTGTGAAGCAAGAAAGGAGTGAGGGGAGATTTGTTTGTATAGTGGGAGGAGAAGGGAAGAAATGAGCAAGACGAGAAAATTGCAGAGGGCGAACAGTCTTTAATACCTAATAAATTTCTGGCCTCTGGGTTCTGTCGAAAAATTATGGCAGGGGTCGGCGAACTAGCGTGTTTAGCCCGTCAGAAGCGAGTGGACTTCCTCCCAACACGGCCCGGCGAAGACGAGACCAGGCCAAAACAGTGAAAGTTCTTGCCACCGTAAACGTGATTTGGTGATATTGATAATGATGGAGAAGTGAATCCGGATATTGATTATTACATCGAGGCAAACATCCCCTCGATTTTCATCTTTGCTTATCAAAGTACCTATCCCGAAATTCACACTTTGAAGTGCCGCATTCTGTGGTGTGCACGACAAGAATCTCAACGTCGCACAGCAACCCCTTCCTTACTCAGCCCCGAATATGAGAAAATGAGCATGCATGGAAGGATGGACTATGGAATACAGCTTCGCCGCTTATCACAGCCTCGGAACCAGTGAAGCCTCTTGGATAGCCAGGTAATGCGATGCCAGACCACCACTAATTTTGCAGGGAAAGATGTTTGGGGCCCTTAATGTCGTCTTTGACCCCGGAGTCCCCCCAAGTACCCCAACACTTTGAACAAGCGTATTTGGTACGTCCAAGCATGAATTGCAATAGAAGAAAATTACGCGCCGGGATTGCCGTTATTCTGTTTGAGCCTGGACGTTTGAGCTCCGTCCGATACTGGCCGCGGCTGCAAGTAAGTTAAATGCCGGCATTTGGGGTTGAGGGAACGACTGTCCTAATCTCTATGACTCGAAAAAGGCCAGTTCAGGTACTTCAAATTCTTTCCATAAGATATCGGACTTTATCTCAAGTTCACATCAGCTCTTTCCAGCTCCCCTACCCAAGCACAAGATACTTACCGATCATCCATATTCTGCCTTCCAATCCGGACGATTCTTCGATCCCTTGCTCACCAATCACATCCCCACTTCCAACCACGATTTCTATTTCCGTTTACCGCCAAAACTCAATGCATGGAGTAGTCAGCCTTCACCGCCTCTCCCTTCAGACGTCCCAGCAAACATTCCCAGTCTGGCCATTACCAATTGGAGAGTCCGCATCTCTCCAAAAACAATACCCCACCGAACCCCTCCACAGATTGAAATGGATGAGTGAGACCTGATAAGCTATCGAAATTCGCGCTTGCCTTCTTGAAGACGGATTTGTGGGTCGGAAGATTTGGTCTTGGCACAGGGTCCTTCTCGCTTGTTTGCTTCCCGCGCCATCGTTGAACAACAACGCAGTCGTTATTCAACGCAGTCACTCTTCCTCTCACTCCTGCAACGTTTTGACTACATGCAGATAGCTTCAATTCTGACTTTCTTTAATCCGTCTCCAGTCATGTGCTACCAACTGTTACTCAACTGGTCAGAAATAGCGGTGGTACTCGAAATCGATGCCCAGGAAATCACGGTCGCTCATCGATGAGCGGCCCACTTGCTCGCTTCTTGAACACAACTTGATACAGAGAGCCGTGAACCTATCATTACGAAAGAAGTTCGGTCCTAAGCTGCACTGAGTACCCTTGTATACAGGCATTCGGGAGAAAAGGCTGCGAAATTGTTGAGAGCCGCATACCGAAGAGAGGGTCATTTTCACATATCAATAAACAATATAGATCGAACAAGTAACCTTCCTCCAAACACTCCATCATCTACCTTCTACTCTTCGCCTGCATCAGGTTTTTCTTCCTATTTTCTCAACTTTTGACTTTTCATTCCCATCTCCTCGCTCCTCTTGAGTGCCTCTTGAGTCCTCGCTTCTATCTCACACCTCCTACCTCTCCTCATACCAAGTTCAAGCACTGCTACATCAAACTCAGCGGCATGACCACCACCTCATGGTGATCAACCAGGAAACTACTTTGAGAGGTTGTGTAGTCAGAGGTTCGGCTTGGAGTAGGATGATGAGGGAAGAGGAATATTGAGGCCAAGCTTCACGTCCTGCAAAGCTCCGTTCGGGATCAGTCTGAGATCAGTAACGTGGTTCTTCTCAGGAAAGCGATCTGAAGGGGAAATGTCAACATCAACCAATAGCAAAAATCTCTACACTTTCTGCCCCCAAAGAGGCCAGGACATTCCATTTATCACCACTCTTGTATCGAGATACTCCGCCCGCATACTATAGCTCTTGTCGCAACCGAGAGGTTTATTGACATTTTGGAAGAGTCTCTGGATACGGAATTGGAAATCGCTTCTCCTCATATTCGCAGTCTCTCTCGAGTTATTCCAAGAGCTCTCGCAGACGGTTCTCCGAGCTATTATCTTATTTCTGTAGCTTCTTTGATTTGGCGTGCTACTGATTTGATTTCTGTTTTGAATCCGCCTCGGTTTAACGACACACAGGATGGTGGATGAGGATTTGATGAGCGATGATAATTACATGACGATTCATACAGCCCATTACTTCTGAGCACGGAACTAAACAAATACAGTGAGCAACTTACAACATTGTGAGAGGTAAGGAGTTTTATTCGGATGGTAGGTACTATCGGCTAGCGAGACTAGCTGGGGTGGCGGAACAGTCCTCCTCTGCGACGGAAGCATCCGTCTGATCAACAATTAAGGCGATGCATGTTCCCAGCAACTGCCTCTACTAGAGAAAGTCAATCTCACGTCTTATTGCGACAAAAATGGCCAGGTAGGTACTGTATTATCAGTATTCGCGACTGTCCTCAGGGGCGTCTCATGAGCAGCGACACTGATATGAAATAAAAGGGAAGCCACAAAAACGGTGTGACGGTGCGAAAGCCTGTCTATGTCAAGACAGGAAAAGTGTTGAATTGTTTCCTCTACCTTTCTACAATAAATTTGTTATTTCTACATCCACGTCGCGCCATCCGCGCACAAAACAAAACAAAACATGGGAAAACTACCGGCAGCCATCCGGGTATCCACCCATCTCCCCCACAACTGACTTAACCCCATATTACAGCCCACAGCTGCAGATCACCTCGATCGGAACAACACGAGATGAACCCTCCGAGATCTTAGAAGTGGGATGTGATTTGAGAAGTATAAGTAGTGAAGATGGATCTGCACTTGACAGCTTGGCCTGCACCGGCACCTCATCCGTTACTGGTATTAAGCTTCTCAGTTAGATCCACGAGTGTTGGGATCTACAAACTTTAGGACCTTTATCATGGCTTCTGGACTGAGTCTTCTTGGTGCGTTGCCTGCTGGCTTTAGCAGCAATGTCTCAGGGTCATCGTGGGCACATTATGATGCGAAGAAACTTGCTGTGTTACCTGGTCATTTCAATCGCTCGAGTACGTCTTCAATTCTCACTATACTCTCTATTGTCACTTCATACGAGAGACGAAAACTCACATGACATCAAACAGTCTTCGATCCGCCATGGGTAGCTGAAGTGGAGAATCCTTCTCTCCTCTCCACGTAAGTCCCTTCTTTGTGCTCTCTCCGCTCGCAGAAACCAAGGCTAATATTCTCCCAGCAACGAGGTCTTCAACACAAGCGACTTCATCGCCTTCTCCCCCTCCTTCTTCTCCCTCATCGGTCCTTCCGCTCAAGTCTCCCGCGAAATCTCCTTCGCAGACATCACCAACCACGAAGCCTCCTGCTACATCCCCTCAACGAAGCAGCTCTTCTTCGTCGCCTGGGGCTACTCCCATAACTGGCAGCTCGTACTCGACGTCGAGACCAACACCTTGAAAAACATCACGACTTCGCCGCCAACATGGAATGTTCACGGGTGTGTGCACTATGACGACTTCCTGTATGTAGCTACGGATGGAGGAGATGATGGTGAAGGCGGCCAGTATGCTATTATTGTGAAGATTGACCCGAAGAACTGGACGGCTGAGACGGTGATAAACAATTTCTACGAGATGCCGTTCTTGGGGTTCAATGATTTAGATATTGACCGGAACGGGAATTTCTGGGTCACGGATTCGATTTCCGCATGGGTATGTTATCACTTCTCCCACTCATTCCTTCATGTATAAGAATGGAAGTTAGTCTGACTCAAATAGGGCCGTGATGTAACGGCTTTCACCCCGCAAACAACACCCGCAGTCTACTTCAACAACGCCACCACCCTCGTCCCCAAATGGGTGTTCCAAACCCCTGGCAACGCAAACGGAATCGCATCTCATCCTCCTTTACGCTCTACATCTCCAGCACAGGGATCTCATCCGGTCGTCCCAATGTCAAAGATCCTTACAAAGATCGACAGCTGATGGCGTATGACACGCGAGGAGGAAAGCCTCAGTTGAGGGATGAGAGGCTGTTCAGCACGACCGTTAATAATTACTGTGATGGTGTGAGAATTAGTAAGCACGAATTCGTGTTTTGTGCGATGGGTGATGGGGTGGATGTCCTTGATGAGGAGGGGACGACTTTGGGGAGGATTAGGACGAAGAGTGATTTGGTGGGGCATCAGGCGGTTAATATAGCTTTTGGAGATAAGGAAGAGCTGTGGGTTGTTGGGAGGGGTGGCGTGTGGAGGGTGACTGGGATAAAGGAGGAGCTGAGTAGAGAGTGGTAGGCGCAGTAGGCAGTTTCGAAGAAATAGGAACGCTGTCCTGGCAAACTTGCTTTGTAGGGGTTGGCGCTGATTTCAAAAGTTATCAACTTAATGGCCAACAAGAAGGAAACAGATAATGATCAGTTAATCCGCCTTCTATCATGTGAAAATGAAGTGAAGCAGAAACGCGGTCTTCATAGTCTACTGCACCCCTTAACTGCTCACTGCTAGTGTATTTGTTGACATTAGGATTAAGCGAGGACAGAAAACGCGTCCCCACCTCCAAGAAATCATCTCCAATCCCCACCACTAGTTACCAAGCGTCTACAAAACGCAGCAGAACTATGACCGAGACCAATATATCATAAAGAGAAAGAATTCCGAAACTCCAGTTCCCTTGCTGATACCACTTCACTGTACCATTCCCCTTCGTGTTCACGTCCCGGCGAAGGAATATTGCAAACACATGAAAGCCGCAATTGAAAGGACAGAATAGCTCAATTAGTAGAGCGTCAAATATAATCTCAAGTTCAAATTGATTGTAAACTCCCCTCCCTTCCGCCATCCACTTTCCCACCACACCCCACCATAAATTACAACCGCCTCATGAACCCAAATAACCAAAACCCCTCCATCCGTGGGCGGCCACCTCGGTGGTTCAGGTCAAAGCGGCTCCTCCCATCACCAATCGAACACCAGCGCCATCTATAGCCACTAACAACAAACAAATGGCGAAACCGAGTCGGAAAACCTATTCAATTAGGTTTGTAGATTGGAACCTCACACGCATCCGAGTATGGGCTTCCAAATCACTGTGTACTACCATCGTACCTACAATTCAAAATATCCGAACATGACAGTGTGTTTATCTGCCTAAAATACTGTACTTGATAGCGATACTCGGAAATCCGGCCCCTCCAACTAGCTAACGGCTAATAATGACTTTGTGCGAAGCGTACAACTCTCCTCCTCGATACTTCGGAAACTATCTTAATCCATCTCCTGTACAGTCTCATCTTGAGGAATGGTGATCGTATTAATACTTCGTTCTCCAAGTACTTGTCTCCTAGGTGACGGAGCGTCTATATATTCCGCGACTTTCTTGGGCTCAACATAAGCTCCTATACATGACAGGGCTTCCTCATCTTCATCGGGCTCCATTTCTCCTACGTATCAGCATAAAGAAAAAACGAATGAATCTGATTGATGCTTACTGATGGCGACATTTTCAATTTGTATTCGTGTGGCAGCATGTTGATGTTCAGGATGTGGCTCCTGCTTAATGGCCATGTTACCTCCGTGGCTCTCTTCTAACTCTCTATCGTACCCAAGGATCAGGTCTCTCTGGATTGGAACATAAACATCCCTGTCCTCTTCGGAAGCATGGGGATCAATAGCCTCCTTCTTGATTTTGATATCATTCGGATGAATGTTGGGGACGTTGGGACTTGGGGAAAGCTTGAAATTCCCACAGTCATATGCGAATTCTTCACCGCCGTAGTAGGGTTGTAGTCCTAACTTGGTAATGATATTTATGCCGTGAGCTTGTTCGGTGGAACGAGTTTCGACGCATCTGGGCTTCAAAACTTCTTGAATGGTTTGACGACCAGACGCGGGTAGGCCATGTACTTGTGCCAGAACATTCGTATCAAAAGAAGATTCTCCTTTCAGTGATATGTTTGCATCCAACCAAGCCACCGCGTCATCTGGATTGAACCTTTCGATCTGCTCGTCTAGCAAACTGGAAATGACCAGGCTTTGTTGCCCTATAGGAGGGGCATCTCTGTGAGGTTCTTGACTCTTCACATATTGATCTATATGGCTTGATGCTCCTTCGTGTATCGTTTCCGATTTGGGTGCTCCTGCCTCATGCTTCAAGGGTACTTTTGCTTGTCTATCTGCAATCCTCGGCCTTGCAATCGGAACCATATTCTCGCCTGTAACCTTCATCAAGACTTTTGGCTCCGTCGAAGTGTATACGGGGGTTTGGAAATCGGATTTCATCAACGAAAGACGCGCAGGGTGGATTTTGTTCTCAGGAAGAGCAGTCCTATTAGGAGTAGCATATTCTATCAACTTAGTCTGGAAGCTTGACGGATGAGTCGGGCATCCTGGGGCACTGGCATACGATTGTCGAAATCGGTCTTGGACGGCAGTGGTTGAGTCCATGCTTGTAGCATTGTATCTAAATATGCTTGGATTGGAATTGTGTTCATTGGTTAACGTGGTGTTGTTAGAGATGCGAGAGCTATTCGAACAGCTGTCAAAGTATTCGAAGTCCTTTTCGTGCGCCTTCGTGTCGCTCAAATAGGCTCTCTTCTGCTCATCTTCTCTTTTGCCTCCACTTTCAGGATCCAGCTCAAGCTTCAATGCTCGGCGCCTGTCGCCGTTTTCTTTTCCACGTCTATTGATATCTGTCGCTCGTGCTTTATTAAGAGCCGTTCGACGGGCAACCTCGGGATTCAGCGGATTTAGATGCTTGAGCAGCTTGATGGCGGCATATTCTTGGCTGACTGCGGCATTCTCCACTCCAAGTCTTTTCGACTCTGTGTTGATTTCCATCCGTCGTCGTTCTTGCTCGGCAGTCTGGCTATATCAGTGTTGCCCCGGAAATCGTGTCCTTTCTTAACTTACGAGTTGAGAACCACTTCCTCTTGACGGCTTTGGTCGTTTCCTCACAAGTCGATCGGTATCCGGAGTTGCAGCCCTCTTCCTATTCTGCTTCTCGCTTTGTTGTTGGGCTACTGGCTGAATCTGCTGTGGTCTGTTATCTTGCCTATACAGCTTCACCACCTTCTACAAGACACCACCAATTAGCACCCCCATTCAACGACCAAACAATATACAAGAAAAAAAGGGATGGTAAAAATCAACCCACCTTCCCATTCTCAATCGTCTCATAGATGATAACCCTATCCCTGATCGTGATATTATCACCCGGACGGGTAGTCAGCCCACCATCAGGCATGTCGCCCAATGGCAGGGAATTGAGGTTGATCATGTTCTTCGGCATCTTGACGGTCGGGCCGCGAATTTGAGAACCGGCCTTGGGTTGTGCCTGATTGCAGCTGCGGATGTGACCATCCGTATAGAGGCGGAGGGAGAGGGGACGAGATACGATGGGATCAGAAGAGACGTTGGGAAGGGTGGAGTTGAGGTGGACTGGAAGTGAGGAAGCAGAGAGAAGCGGGAGTGGTAAGCACTGTGACTTCCCAATTTGGACGGGCTCACCTTCGTCGGAGTCAGGAATGGTAGTCGCGCATGAGTGCATTCGGCTTGTGTGAAAGGGTCGAACCATCTTCCTCCAGTAACAGTACCAGGATGATTACCATAGCTATTCATGTCCCTTGAGCAGATAGACACTGCTCCAACGCTTGGAAAATCGATTCTGCTTCGACTCGTGGGAAAAGCTATTTCACCTGCCTCTTACCTGATCTAAGCAAACGGTGTTGACGAGATGATCATGAGACACAAACAAGTTCCGCCTGTCCTGTTCAGTTTACCATTCAAGATGGCCATACACCTGCACCATCTCTCCTCTGCTGGTTCCAGCCCAGACCAGACCAAAGAAAGAGGGGGCTGAAGTAAGAATGAATATGCATTGAAGATAAAATCGCCATGGCGACTCCAAAGTCTACAAACATCACACAAAGACATACACAAGCACACGGTATACCTATATCATATCATACAGAAACCCAATTTACAAGTCTTGAATTGCCAAACCCATCCGTCAACTCCCTGGCAACCCATTCACCAAAAGATAGCAGGCAACCTGTTTGGCGAACATCAGTCCAAAAATGGATGCCGTAAATGCCACGCTCAAATAGCAAGACCCAAAACGACCTCGAAAATATTCTTCCAGGAAGTTGGTGTTCTCCCGTAAACACTCAGCTCTCCATGCCGCTTACTTGAAACTCGACCTCCTCCTCGCAGGAGTCATTGAATTCGTTGGGCTGGACGGCATCTCTGCTCGTTCTGGCAGTCCTAATTTTATCTCTCCTACCCTTCTCAACAAGCCCTGCAAAGCCATCCTCACTTCGGCCCCCATGTCTCTATTTAAGAGATCAACACCCAATGGATAGAAAGTCTCAATGTATCTCTCAAAGTCCTCTCGAGGAAAGTTCACGTAACCCTCCAGTACATCCACCACAACAGGTCTCCAGGCGATAATGTTCCGCTGCTGAGATTCCTCTTCTAGTACTGTGAAGCCACGGATGATGTCCGCGCACAACGGTACCAAAGCCGCTTCTGTGTCCGCCCGATTGCTCTTTCGTTCTTCGCTGTCATCATGGTACATCCGGAGCAGGATACTGACATATGTAGCGGCGCTACCACTTTCTTGCTTCAGAAGATTGGGAGGCTGCTTCATGAAGCCTTCACGCCAAAGACGCATGCGGAGCTCCTTGTTCTCGTTGAACTTCTTGGCAAAAAGGAAGCTCTTCTTCAGTAGACCCATCAAGCGGAGGAGCTCTGGACTAGGTATCTGAGTATAAACAGCGTCATTTGAGAAAAGTTCGTTCACGGTTTCGATCATGAGGAGTTGCAGAACGCATTTCGTGATAATCTTGTTGAAGAAACGTCGGCGAGCAGCTGTGACCACAACCGGCTGTTGTTGGGGTCCGGACTGGGGCTTATAGTCCTCCAGATCTGTCGCAGCTGAAGTTGGTGTCCTAGCCTCATCGTCGTTGATGCTTTCGGCATCGGATGTCGAAGATCCATTTGCAGTGGTTATCCTCAATGATTTCTCATCTGAAGTTGCTTCATCTACTGGTGACATTCCATTCTCCATTCCGCTCCCTGCTGATGTTGTAGCTGAGAATAATTGATATGCCGTCGTCTTTTCAAAGAGCTCTACGAAAGCTCCAACAATTTTCGACCAATGGCCCGGCTGGAACTTCGTCACGTTCTGCAGGATCAACTGTTGGAGGCAATTGCTACCAATTCTGGCAATCGTATCATTCTCCTGACAGATGCACAATGTCAAAAGATCTAGAAATCTATCGAGCATATACTCGAGCGATTTGAAGTAGTATGTGAATAGAGATATCATGTTTCGCAAGGCTTGAATCATGGTCGTTGACAACCACACAGAAAGCTCTTCATGTGTGAGAACATTTGACATTTCCGATTTCGACTTTAGCACCATGAAGATAGGGTAGAGCAGTTGTCGCCAAAGGATGTCCCAGAAATCATGGGGAAAGTCGCGGCCGTAGTTGATGAGGGACTCAAAAAGGTAGTTGAGAGCGTTGGATCTGACTTCCAAATCCTCACCCGTCATCAGGACATCATGGAAGGCGAATAGAACAGGGAACCAGAAGGCTTCTTCTTGCGACGTCCGGCTGACCTGTTTAGAGGTGTCGGTTTTGATAGACCCGTCGGAGTTTGCGTCAGACTTGTTTGATAGAGGACACTCGGGAGTCTTGAGCATCCTTGGAATGATCGACTTCAAAGTATCCATGGCTTGTAGACCCTTCTTCTGGAACCTCATATTCTTTGAGAATTCTGTCAAGCACACAACAAGATCTGCGAATGCTCCTTGGGATATAACCATTCCAAAATGCGTCTTGTACACTTGATTGACGTTCTCAAAGGCAAGATTGACGATACTCTCGTATGGCTCTCGAGCAGCCACAGTAAAGACACCAAACATCGTCCGCCATCCAGATCGGATATTGGATCCTCGAGCTTGAATCATTTGAATCAGACAGCGCAGTGCCATGTCCTTGACGGTGACGACACTGCTATTTGCCATGACATGCTCGAATGGTTTCAGAAAGTCCTTTTGGAATTTGAAACCCGGCAACTCCTCGATTTCTAGGAAACGCATGGAAAGTTGGCGGAGCGAGTCCAGCGCGAAGAAGACAACCCGAGTGTTATTGTAGCACCCCACGCGATTAAAATGTTCGCCCAAAACAGCCCAGATGTTTGTCCATTCGAACCTGACACGGGTCATATTGTAGTAACTGATCTCGACCAATTTTTGCAAACAGTATGTTCGCGGATTTTCTGTTTGACCTGAGATCTTGATTTCTTCCCAGCTGACTTCCGTCAAAGCACGTACGAAGTGTACAATAGCTTCACCAGAAAGATTCGCGCTGTTGGTAAATATCCGGTCAACGCCTTTAATAACCTCGTCCGACCGACTTTCCATAGCGATTTCCATGGAGTAGCTTGTGCTCGTAGTTGTTGAACGAGGTCTGGGGCGTGTTGGTCTTTGTGACTGACTCGATTTCCTAGACGCCGATTGTGCATCTGTTTTTGATGCAGGGACGATTCTCGCTTTCGAAACATCAGGAATTGACCCCTCGTCAATACCGTCAGATATCAGTTGTAACCTATCCAATTGGCTGATGCACATCAAAATATCTCGCCAAGAGCCTTTCAAGAGATTGCCCTCCGTTTGTCCAATCTCGATCAGTACCTTCAGAGCCTCGACGTTCTTTGCCTGCATCTCGGTGGGTGTGTTGAGGTTCGTGGCATTCTTCAAAGCTGACACAAAAGCTTCTCGGGCAGTCTCCAGATCAAACAGACATGCAATTCGAATAGCGAGCTTCATTCCCTCCATACACAACTTGACAATCTCAATGTTGTGTGCGTTCTGCATTTGTCCTGAAAGGCCTGAGAAGAATGACATCCAAGTCACATCAAACATAGGGCCAACGTGCTTGAAAGAGGTGGCCGGGATGAACTTGATGCCTCCAGACTTTGCAGCATTCTTTCTTTGGTTGCGGAATAAGTTTTTGAACAGCTGCTCTGACCTGTGCGAGATTTCCTCAGACTGTTGCAAGTACGCCTCTCTCTGGAGATCTCGTCCGACGGTTGCTAGGGCTTGACCAAGACCTGCCGCAATTCCGCCCGACTGCTGCGGTACAGTTCCCATAGCTGCTGCAGCTTCGCGTTCACTCTTGAGCACGATCTCGTTCTGCGCGATCTCATCAAATATGCCGTTGAGATACTCATCGGGAAGATTTGCATTATCGTTGATACCGCGGTTGTTCTTGATGAAATCTTCTTTCGTCATACGCTTCACCACTTGACGACTATGAGCATCGGTGTTCAGCATGATGACGGAATAAGCAAGAACATAAGCTGTATCTGCATTGGCGAAGGCATTCGGATTTCCGGTAACATATCGATTTGCGAATTTGAGCATGAATCTGTCAATCTTCTGTGACTCTCCAGGCAACCTGAATGATTGCAGAAATTGTCTCAAGGCATCAACGAATCGCCGTTTGGTGAAGTCCATGGTGTCCACGAACTCGTGCATGATTGCAATATTCCGTTCGTCACCTTCACCAAGGTACTCTCCAATCTGGGCTTTATCCAAGCGTTCTTCAGAGATGAGGAAACGTGCAATATCTGCAGCACTGTCGCTAGGAATGAACCCTTCCCTTACCAGGAGCTCAATCCCCCGCTTGGGCTTGAAGTTGAATTGCTTGATGGCGTTGCTTAAAGCAGTTTTCCGCTGCTTTTCTCGTTCCAGTTGATTCGGGTCATCGTCGGCAACTGGGGTAGAAGGAGGTAGAGGTGTGTCACCATTGATAATTCGTGAGGAGCTGTCATTTTGAGATGGATCCAGTGACTGTCTGGTATCTTCCGATTGTCTGGTGTCTCCCTCTAAGCCACCAGTAACATCGGCAATGCCCTGCTGAGACCAGTTGACCATAGATCTTAGCGCTTCAACAAGACAGTCTAGAGCTTGACGCTTGATGATGTATTCCTTCGGTATCTCTTCATCAACACTCGCGTGTCTGTCTGTCAGATGAGCGGCCGTTAGTGATGGTGGAAGTGTGCCACGCGCTTGCCACTCTGATCCAGATCCGTTCAACGCCCCTTTGGCAGCTCGCTCTTCGTACTGCTGTTGGTGGAGGGGGCTGACCATTACCGCTTGACTGGCTGCTTTGGAAAGATCTTCGATGAGCGTTTGGAACATATTATCGACATTCCGGTCGCAGTCGTAATTCAAGTAGGTCTCGACTAGCGCTCTTGGGTCACCGCAATATCTCTGGAGAATTCCCATAAAATACAGCTTCTGTGAAACAGGGGCATTTCGTCTCTCTAGGAGCGCCAGGTAAATCTCGTTAAGAAATACCTCAATCTCTTTCTACAAATCATCAGCGCCGATAATTAAAGTGGATAGATTCAGCAAACCTTGAAAGGAGCTCTCATGAATTTCAACATGAGCCAGAATATTTCACAGCAAACCTCGAAGACCCTGTCCACAGAGCTGGCGCCATTACGAGTGATGCTCAGACACAAGTAGAATTTGATAGCCTGTAAGAACCCCGTGGGCTCATTGCTTTTGCTGTTCGTAATAGTACATAGGGGGGAAGTGAAAACGAGCATATTATTATTGAGTAAGGTGTGGATGAGATGAAGCGAAATCAGTTTTGAGCGCATAGCCTGGCCCTTCGAATCATAGAGTTGATCTGGCGGGAGCACTTTCGTGCTGAGATTGCAGAAGGACCGAAATACCAGATACGCATCTCTTATGTAGACTTCGTCCTCGTTATCCTCGGAGTCCATTCCTTCATCTATTGTGCTCTCTGGGGGAGTTTCGCCTTCTGCATATCGAGGGGAAGCTTGCGCATGCTTCAGTTGTGTTACCATGGTCGATCCATCTCCCATCTGTGAATCGTCGAAGCTTTTCCGATGTTCGAGGTCCTTCAGAGTAAGTTTTGGTCCATCTCCGTCGGACGGCACTTCGGAGGCCACACTTTCCTCCACCGACTCCTCTCTTTCGTTATCTCCATTGGCTTCTGGCGAGGCATCGACTGTGTAAGAGCTTGTATTTCCTCCACTCTTCTCGAGCTTCCCAAGATTCAACCTGGCTTCTTTCATGTGTATGCGTGTCTTGACTCTCTCGAACACCGTCCCGACCATCTGCGTTAAAGTCCCCTGCGCAACCTGCTGATTGGCACTACTTTTCGAGAGAAGAAAGACATTGTAGACCTGCCGAACAGCTTTCAGGAGTCCAGCGCCATGTACCACAATCTTGTCATTCAGCACAGCCGCAAGCAGTGATTTGACAATCTGTAATTGAATTTCCACCGGCGTGGTCTCTCCCTGGAAGCAGTCGCATATTGTGTTGATAGCTCGGTCTATAAGGGGCTCTCGAGATGCTTCCTTGTCGGCATTGGGAGAGGATGGAACGGAGAAGTAGGAGTAGCTAATCAGCTTCCCGATGCAGTCGAGGGCAGTTGTGATTAAAGGGATGCTACTGCCAGTTTTCGTAGCTAATTGCAATGGGGCGAAGATGACTTCTGGGTCCGGCAATTGAGGCGCATGTTCCTTGATATCCTTGAGCGCTTTCTGAACGGATTCCGAGAGAGGTTTGTTCTTATGTGCCTCTTTGGAGGCAGCAATAGTTTCCAAAGCGGACACGACAAAGACGATGGAGCTCATCATGGGCTTGTGGATGCACTGGTGCAGGTTTCCATTCGTGACCCTTCCACTGCTTTGGTCGTCAATTTGCCGGGTTTTCCGGGGTCGCGGAGTTGCTTGTCGGTTCGAAATATTGTTTGAAGCTCTAACCACGTATCCAGCATCAGCACGGCTGAGATGGTCTGGCCTCCGTGATCCCTGTCGCTCCCGTGTGGTCCCTTTCCAGGTGCTCAGTAGTGGTGTCTTTGAGCCTCGTCCTTCACTGGCCTGTCGAGAACCTGAAAAGCGGCACTAGATGCTGTCTCTCAAACACGATGGTATTCTAAGAAGTACCTCCGTAATGATTCGGGCTATTTAGATTGCGGGCTGACCAAGGTCCAAACAGGGCTACCCAACGCAGAAGAAAAATATCTTAACTGGACGCAAATGAGCATATGAAATAGTATATGTGCATAAAAATTCATAGAATCAAGTCAAGAAGAAGCTGCAAAGGCATCAGTGATATTGTGTCCAGGTAGTGCCGCTTTATCACGGAGAGCAAGCCCGGCCGTTCTCGCGCTTATCCCCTTGTGGCCGCTGGTTGGCCTTCCCAACGCCTGTGCAGCCCAGCCCAGAAAATTACTCGAAAGCTCCGAACTCAACGATTTATCCACCTCTCGTCGTCGGGCCCTTTTCCTCAATCCATCAACCTCGACGCAGATTGTCCACGGCCTCAATTGTCTGGACCAGTTCCTCACCTCTCGTCTCGTCCTCTTCTCTACCTGTCCTTCGTTCTGCCACGTTTTCAAAATGCTCTCTGCGGTGCTTAGACGGCGCGCGGTGCAATCCACCACCTCATTCTCCTACCAATTCGCGCGATGCTATGCCTCGAAATCTTTCCCGCCCCACACAGTGGTCACAATGCCTGCTCTGTCCCCTACTATGACAGCTGGTAATATCGGGACGTGGCAGAAGAAAGTCGGCGACTCAATCGCTCCTGGAGATGTACTGGTGGAGATCGAAACCGACAAGGCACAGATGGACTTCGAGTTCCAAGAAGATGGTGTTTTGGCAAAGATCTTGAAGCAATCAGGCGAGAAGGATATCGCAGTTGGTAACGTTAGTATTCTTTTAAGCTTCAAAGCGTTCAATGATTGACATTTTATAGCCTATCGCAGTTATGGTTGGGGAGGGTGAGGATGCATCGGCGTTCGAATCATTCACACTCGAAGATGCTGGAGGAGAGAGCGCACCAGCACCACCACCAAAGGAGGAGGCAAGCGAATCCTCAGAGCCTGCGGACACCAAGTCCGGAACTGCTCCACCAAAGGCCGAATCAACACCAGCTCCCGAGCAACCCGTGTCGAGTGGGGGCAGATTACAACCAGCTCTGGAGAGAGCACCAAATGCAAGCGCAGCTGCTGTCAGGTTGGCAATTGAGAGCGGAGTTAAGATCACTGGTCTAAAAGGGACCGGAACCGGTGGACAGATCACTGAGGCTGATGTCAAGAAGGCTTCATCTGGAAGCTCATCTGCTGCACCGGGCGCCACCCCAGCAGCTTCATATACCGACACACCTATCTCCTCTATGCGCAAAACCATCGCTAACCGCCTTACCGAGTCTATGAACCAAAACCCCCACTACTTCGTTGCTGCCTCAGTCTCAGTTACCAAGCTCTTGAAGCTCCGTGCTGCTCTTAACGCCTCCGCAGATGGCAAGTACAAGCTCTCAGTCAATGATTTCCTGATCAAGGCCTGTGGTGTTGCATGCAAGAAGGTTCCTACCGTCAACTCGAGCTGGAGGGACGGTTTCATCCGCCAATTCAACAATGTTGATATCAGCGTAAGTTCGAGTCATACAATCCCTGTCTGAGCTCTACCTAACAAAATCAAACAGGTCGCCGTTGCAACTCCAGTTGGTCTTATGACCCCAATCGTCAAGTCAGTTGAAGGCCTCGGACTCGAATCCATCTCCGCACAAGTTAAGGATCTCGGCAAGCGCGCCAGAGACGGCAAGCTCAAGCCAGAGGAGTACCAGGGCGGAACTTTCACTATTAGCAACATGGGTATGAATTCAGCCATCGACCGCTTCACAGCTGTCATCAACCCCCCACAAGCTGGTATCCTTGCTGTCGGAACCACCAAGAAGGTCGCCATTCCCGTCGAGACAGAGGAGGGCACATCAATCGAGTGGGACGACCAGATAGTAGTCACCGGTAGCTTTGACCACAAGGTTGTTGACGGTGCTGTTGGAGGCGAGTGGATCAAGGAGTTCAAGAAGGTGGTTGAGAATCCTTTGGAGCTGTTGCTATAAGTTGGTGTTAATGGACAGGACATCGAGCTCAGAAGGTGGTGACGAAGGACTCGAAGTTGGGAGATGGGGAGGCTCCTTGTGACTGTAATTGGCATAGAGATTCCCCATGTAACCGTGTACAATGACCTCTGCATTTCTTGCAACTCAAAAGAAACCTTGCGGCTCCATTTTTTTGTGTTATTATTTCGCACTCGCTTGAAAAGTCGCCGAACTCTCTCATCAATAAGAGGACTAAATGTCATTGTATCCGCCTCAAAAGGAGAGTAAGGGGTATCCTCAAAGAGAAGAAAATATTGTGTATAGTAAGTATTTGAACTATGTAGTAAGCCTGTTGTGAAATTGCCTCATTCATCTTCCTGAAACTCCCGCCCAACCATGGCCACTGAAGCCGACTATATTCCCCGCAAGCCATAACGCCACCCAATGCCGCTCTGTAACAGTCAACAAGTAATAACCATAAATCAAACTGCCTCCTACTCCAATGCTTAAGACTACCTCACCAATGCCAATGGCCCCGCACCACCAGCTCCACTTCCCTGCTCCCTTGCATAAACGCCGGCAAAGTCCAACTGCCCAATCATCCCATTAACACTGTCAATCTCTCTACTCAAATCATCCAGATTCCCACTTAGAGCCGTCACTTCATCGAATCTCCTGGCCTTCTTTGCATCAGCCACCATATCCGCGACCATAAACTTCTGCTCCTCCAACACAATAAGCCGTTCACGAAGTTCCTTTTCTTCGGCTTCCATAGCCGAGACGGCTGAGCTGGAACTCATCTGAGAAGCGGAATCAATGTCGTTGTACTTTATCGCTGCGAGAGCGCTGCGGCCGCTGCTGGGTAGGCCGTTGGAGCTGAAGCCGTGTGGGGAGGCGTGCTTCAGGATCTTGGGGAGGGATTGGAGAGGGAGCATGTGGATGCTTAAGAAATTGGCGCTTTGTTGATAGATTGCCTTTTGAAGCTTTGCTTGTGCTGGACTCTTGGTTGGTAGGTCACGTATTCGTTTTGCTGCAAGATCGTATTTTCCAAAGGAGTCGATGAGGCGTTTTCGGACTTTGGAGGCTTCGGTTAGTGTTTGTTGTGATGGCGGCTTGTCTGGATCTTGGAGTGCCATGAGAAGACGCTGGAAATTAGGGAGAAGGGTCCGAATTCCTCGCTCGAATTGGAGGAGATTTTCGTAGGATCGTTGATCAGCTGGTTTATGTGATGCTTCGGCCGCAAAGTCCTTCTTGCTGAAAACGGTGGCTTTGCAGTCCCTGCACATTCGCACATCGATGTTCATATCTGAGGTACCGTTTTTTTCTGACTGAATGTCAGTCACTGAAGGATGTCAATGGACGACAGATATGAGGATCAATATTTCACTTACGCGCCGTGACGTTGAGACCTATTTCGGATGAGCATCCTGTTCTTGGATCTGCGCAGACAACTCGTCCACACAGTCGACAATGATGCCTTCTGAATGACCAAGATCCAAATTCTTGTTGGCAAAACGGGCATTTAAGGACTTTTGCATCCTCTTCCCAGGTTACAACTGACTGTTCCAGTATTTTCCTTTGATTTTTCTGCCCAGAGAGTGATAATATTCCGTTATTATTTCCCGACAAGTCTTCCGGTGGATTTGCAAGTAGTTGGGTGAGTTTCGTGAGTCTCTTTTCTAGCCTCGAAATCTCTAGGTATGCCTTGTCGACTTTTTTCCTTCTCATGGCAAGAAAGTCGGCAGTGTCATCCCGAATAAGCCCGTTGTGATCGTTGTATCCCTCCCTCGACTTAAAACAGGTCTCGCAGGTTCGACACCATAACCCTCGCACCGGTTCGTGTTGAGCTGATCTCGATAGTTTCATCTGGTACATGGTGTGATCCTCGCAGAATAAACGCCCGCATTTCCTGCAATTTACAGTTCCATTGACAGCTCCCAGCCTCTTGCCACATGCTGGCTCCGTACATAGGTCATTAAATCCAGACCTCTGCCAATGTGCCCGAGTGACTACTTCGTCAGGATCCACTCGAGCTGGTTCGGAGGTCGATATTCGATTTCCAGGAAGCGCACTTGGAGCGGAAACTGCTAGGTTTGGCGAGTCGTTTGATTCGAAAACATCCAGCCCCTTCAACTTCTGATTAATCACTGCCAGCGGTTGAAACTTCTTGGCCTTAATGACTTGCTTGTCGAACCAATTCTTAACTTCGTCCTGCTCCACCTCTGGCAATTCCTGATGGTTATCGTCGAGATGTCTATTTCCATTAGCTAGTACTTGCAGATGCATGAAAGCACCCATACCTATTGAGCTGTAACAAGGTCATCTAGAGCTGTTAGTAGCTATTTATTAAGATATACCAGGCACTTACCATCTCCTCATTGCAAATCGGGCATAGAAGCCTACTGCTTGCCGCCGTGACGGATGACACCCCATTTTGCAAAGAGACAATAGAGCTCAAGTCCTGACTACTCTCCGGTAATGGCGACGTAGCCAAAGGAGATGCAGACGATCCTCCGGACGAAACTGTGCTTGCTGCTGGTGAGGATATGAGATCGGAGGTTCGTTGATGCGCTGGAGGGGCAGGAGGTGCCAGAGACTTCCCGCTACCCAGAATCCTCCCGCCTCCCAGCTTTCGACCAGACATGGCGGGAGTATATCGAAATCTGTTGCCTCAGAGCCTTGCCAGCTCGAGGTGTTTAAGGGATCTCCGCCTCGTCTGCAGACTGTCCCTGGAACAACCTAAGACATGTGGCGAGGCGAGCCAAGCTTTCCGATAAGCCCTAGCGTCGATGTCTTATCGGAGTGGTAAGGTAGGGATCTCCCCGAAAATACTTTTGAATAACTTCACAATTCGCAACATGGGCGAGGCACAATTCCCAGAGGTTCAAGGTGGTGGTTCATTGATACTAGCATGGCAGATTCGGAATAAGAGAGTTCTTGTTGTTGGTGGTGGAGAGGCGAGTATTTCATTACTTCCATCAAAGCTTACTAACTCCTCCCAGGTCGCCGCAGGTCGAATTCTAAATGTGCTGAATGCAGACGCTAAAGTTACAGTGGTGTCTCCCCGAGAGGGATTGAACCCAGAAGTCGCATATCGAATTGAAAAAGGAGAAGTTGACTATGTGGACCGAAAGTTCGAACCTTCAGACCTGGATAATGTTGATATGGTATTAACCGCCGTCGACGACCCAGAGGCCTCGTCGCAAATATGGAAGCTATGCAAAGAGAGAAAGATTGCGGCAAACATCGCAGACGTACCACCTGAGTGTGATTTCTATTTCGGAAGTGTACATCGAGATGGCCCTCTGCAGATTATGGTTAGCACGAATGGCAAGGGTCCACGTTTTGCGAATATTGTGAGGAGATCAATAGCAGAGAAGCTACCCGCGAATACTGGAGAGGCTATCACAAAGGTTGGGAAATTGAGACAGATGCTGAGGAAGGTTGCGCCAGGTATTGAAGAGGGTCCCAAAAGAATGGCATGGTAGGTTAAATCCGTGGCATACAAGACGGCGCAAAGCACTGACGAGAACAGGATGATCAAGGTCAGCGATGCCTACAGCTTGGAGGACCTATGTGCAATGGACGAAAAGGATATGGAAACGTTGTTACGATTCTATGCGCCAGGTCAAGTTCCCCGATACGACTGTCTGAAAGCAATGGAAGGCGAGTTTGATGCATTTGATGGCTCTTTTGGGTTCTGTGTAGGATGGGGATGATTGCACAGTCAACTAGGGGTGTACATTAGGAGTCGAGGTTCGAGCTGGGTGTACAGTACATTATGGTACATGGTATTTATGAGGTTAGAAACGAGGCGTACGAAGACTAGATACCAATAGCACTGATTCAGGTCACATCGTCTGTGATCAGAATGCAATATAAACCCAGATTAGTTGCCTTTTTAATCCTCATAGCTTCGACTTCAACTTGCCCTTCAGTACCTCCTCCAAAGCATCAACCCCAGCTTGAACAACTTGCTGATCCTGCGCTGGTGTCCCCGTGCTCGCACCAATACCACCAATAACTTCACCCTTTGCGTTTAGAATCGGCAATCCTCCTCCAAAAGTCGTAAACCGGCCTCCATTGCTATTGCCAAGTCCGTAGGCTGGTCCACCCGGCCAAACAGCTTCCTTGTAGGTATGTGTGCCAACACGATGGCCAGCTGCGGTGAATGCCTTATCCATCGCGACTAGAGGTCTTGTTAGTATCAACTGTCCAATGCATCTTGTATTCCTTCTTGGTAATTTTCAGGTGATTCTTTGACTTGAAGTCACATTATCCCACTTAAGCCATGATCAAGTAGAGGGGCAGCTGTGTACCCATTATTCTACCTGGACCAGACAAACACATCTTGATAAACACACAAAGACTTACTACTAATGCTTGTGATTTTCGCATTTGACATCCTTGAGAAATGCAGTAAATGCGTTGAGGCGTCAACAACCGCAATATTCATGTCTACCCCGATTTGCTTGGCTTCTCTCTCCGCGGCTGCGACAGCGACCTTCGCTCCCTCGAGGGTGAGCTGTTCTTGTGTTTTAGTGGCCATTTGGTTATGTTCAGATTGACTGGAGATCTCAAGGAATATGAGAGGGATGAGTTGGTGATGGAAAGTTATGCTTGGAATCACGGTCAAGTTATCGATAACAGAATGGTTTCGGCTGTACGGGAGATCAACAAGCAGGGGAAGAGCCTCGGCGCCAAAATGTAACCTTAACTGAACCTGGTTCGGAACTGAACAACTTCAACTTCTGCGTTTACACGACAAAATGGGCTTCCCGACGTGAGCTGACCATTTCAATATCCATGGCAGCGTCCTCATCCTTAGGAGCTTCCATTTCTGTCCGGAATTAGCCATCCTCCAGTCGAGGCCCGGCAAGATTGTTTGTCTGTATAGTCGAGCTTTATCTGCAAACTTTCAGTGCTAAGGTTTTGTCTTTTATAATGTGGCGTTAGTTGCAAAGTTCTACCTCATGTCTTGGTGGTGTAGCCACTGATCAGATCAGATTTGCTCGTGTGTTCTATGCCTGCAAACATGATGGCGAGATTGAAGAGAATCATACTGATGTTTCGACACTATCATTTTACACAATTGAACAATTTTGTTATTAGGCTTCCCAAGTCTCTATGAGCATAAGATTATTCCAAGCCACAAAGGGAGGGGTTTTATCACCTTGAAAGCTTCGGCTGGGACTTGGCCTTACAGAATCAAGTCTCTGCAGCTTCCCGTTCAAGATACGCATGGGCGCTGTTATTCACGGCAGCTTGGGAAGTTCAAGATAAGAGTTAGACATGATAGTCTCATGATTCAACACATTTGTGCTTGCATATATATACAGGAATATAGGCAAAGCTGCCTCCACTCTCTACCCAAAGGCTCCCATTGATCAAAGTGTCTCCGGGAAGCAAATCCTGCACAGCAGGGAAGAAGATATACAGTGAATCGAAGTGTCCGATAGTTTTGCTTCTGCTGTTAGTTTTGTGTTTTTTTCATTCGTCCTTTGACGTCGTCGCTTAAATCGAGTTATTCGTAAAGGAGTTCATGATGTTATGTTTAGATGCACTGAGAGTAGTATGGGTTTTGCACAGTGCAAGTGCTTCCCTCAGCACAGGTAGACGATCCAGTGAATCCGGTTCCGCCACTAAGAGATGTTAGATTGAGCGTGATGCCTCGGGGTTGTTCGGTCTGCTTACCATTGTCCGTACTTTGCAACTGCAGCTCCAGAAACTCCGGATGCAGCTGGCTTAGCAACAGTGGCCAAAGTAGTTGGAACAGCGGCGATGCTTTTAGCCGAGCATGCGGACTTTGTGGGACCTGGAGCCACAGTAGAAGTCTTCGCCTTGCATGCACTCTTGCTGGAGGTGGCAACGGGGGCAACGGCAGAAGACTTGCTCTTGCATGCGCTCTTGACGGATGTAACAGCTGGTGCTGAGGTCGCAATTGGGGCTGCTGTTGCAGCAGGGGTGGTTAAAGATGGGAACTCGGTGACAGGCTCGAGGTCACTTGCAACATCGGTGGCGACAGGTGCTTGACTGCTGGAAACTGGAGCAACAGTCGTGGCTGGGATGCCAGCAGCTGTGCTAGAAGCGACTGGGGCGGCGGAAGAGGCAACTGGAGCTGATCCAGAGCTGGCGCCGTCCCAAACAGCTGGGCCGGGAATGGTGTAGGAAGTGTATGCCTCATAGACGCTGAACACAACTCCTGGGTCAGAGTACGAGTAGGCACCTGGGATCGATACACCGGCTGGGAGAACCTGGAAATTGTTAGTCATGGAAGTCATCAAGGAGAACAGATATTTACCGTTGCGCCGCCTCCAGAAACGGTGATCTGGATACACTCCATATAGAATTGAGCACCACGAGCAGGATCAGCACTGAATGCCTTGTCGGCTTCGTGAAGAGCAATGATCTCCCCACGGATAAGGTAGTCACCATCAGCCAAGGTGGATGGAAGAGTAACATCATGCTTTCCCTTGTTGGCAATCAACTTCTGGACGGCCCATTTAGAACCATCGTAACCGTCTTCCGCCAACTTGACCCAGACATCGCCTGCACCGTTGGATGCTGTTGGTGCAATGTACACCATGACCGGGCCAACATGGGAAGCGGCAATGATGTCGTCTGCAGCAGTGTTGGTGTCGTGGTGCCACTCGAGGGTGAGCTGGGCGGAAGTTAGTACCAGCGAAAAGCAGGCAACTGTTGGTGAATTACCTTGTCACCAGCTGCAACAGCAACTGTCTTAGCAGCTTTCTTGTTGGCAACGTTGCAAGTCATATCAGTCGAGGTGATGTCCTTGATTGGGCTGTTGGATGGTGGGAAACGAATGTATCCACCATCAGTGTTTCCAACGCCTTGGTTAACATCATTGACGAACATGTTCCAGATGGTTGCGTGCCCGTGTGCCACAGAGGCAAGAGCAGCACTGGCGATGAACTGAGAGTACTTCATTTTGATGAGGGAGAACGACGATCGAGATGAGTTGATTGTTGAAGGATAAAATCAAAGATGGACAAACGAGTGAATGAGCAGCAAAAGAAGGACAATTCAAATGAATGTAATGTGCAAGAATGTGCAAGTAATGAGCGACTGGCGCGATGAGGAGAGAAAAGGAATCGAACAATTGGGAACCGCAGACCATATGTACTTCTCTAACCTTGCCGCAGTGGAGGCGCTCATTCCACAGAGAGGAGCCAAGTCAGAATGGATATCGAAGTCTAGACATCGTCCAATTCTCCATCCGCCCTGAGTGCCGCAGGAACACCACCAGTTGGAAGTGTCGAGACGCCGACTCTGCGGGTTCTGGGCTGCACGCATGTTCCTTCGGGATCAGTGAAACCAAAAAAACTATATATTTAATATATCCTGGAGTCGCTTAAGCATGGTTATGATCGCCAAGATCACGTCTAAGATTGCCTGTTATTGTCTGCTGTTTCGAACCCTGACCTCGAGCCTGACCTTGCTTCCCATTCGGATGGCTGTACCGAGGTGGCTGCTTAACCGAGCCTGGGCGCTATCTATCTCTTGCTGGCGCCTCGCAAGGTCCCGAGAAAGAGGTCCACTATGCCCTCTTGAGGCATGCGCTCCGATGTGGGCACATATTCTCGAGTGGCACCCCCTCCAAACGCAACAATGAGATTCGCAGGAATGCATGTTTTGAAACGAACATGATTATTACACATGAGAAAGTGGCGCGAAACGACACCAGTATTTCAGTGCAGCGGCAGCATCGAGGGGTAATCTGTACCCCCAAGTGGCCTGTCTTTGAATCTAACTTTTCGTGAGAATGCTTCTGTTGCTCAAGCTTATGTGGATGGTGAAACTCAAATTTCAGCAAATAACATTGCAATCTACCAGCAGGCTGGACCTTGCATTATTGTCACCCCTGAACTGAAGCGAAAGCACGGCCAGGAGATGAGACGAACGGCACAAGGTAGATTTAATGACGTCGAGGCATTCAGTGGCACATCAGCTCTCAGTTGTGCCTCATTCTTTATCTATGAGTGTTTTGCTTGCTCTTAGTCTTTTATTGTGCTATAGTTTGGCACGTCAGATATTCTAAAGCCTCAGGGCAGAGCTTCGCCCGTCATGCACAACGGCTCGCCTCGCACGCAACGCCCGCCGCACTGCCTCCAGATGTTGGAGCCTACGTAGGCTGCAGCATAGCCTTCAATCTAAGGGTAAGGCCAATGAAACTATTCATTGACTAACAGGGCGATTTTCGTGAGATCTCGGCTTTCCGAATCCTGGCAGAGTTTCTCGTCATGAAGCATGCCAATCGGGCGGTTTGGCCTCATTCCGCCCAATGTTCCGAAATCATAGCACAGCCTCTGATTTTGCCACTTCAACTTCATAGCTACTGGGCGCATCACCCTCCTAAACATCACGCCCTCACGGCAAGTATGAACTCTGGAAGTCTCGGTGTGGATGTCCAGCAGCCTCACATGCGCAAGGAGGAATAAATGCTGACCGCAAGGACCCGGTGAATCATTGCAGTAGGAAAGAAATCATCCTTATTGTAGGGCACCAATACTTTATAACTTTGGATATTCTCCTCGGACTGTGATTGATATACTATGCCACCTAAACACAATTCTACAATCCTCTCCTTGGATCATTCAACGCATCAAATTGTTCCTTTAATCGTGAATCCGAGTTAATCTTTACTTTTTGCTCAATTGAATCTGAGCTTCGGCCATTATTATCGCGTCCTACCAACGAAGAAAAGACCAAATGTCAAGTAGTAATCGACATAATTCCAGACGTTGCAAAGATACAAATTGGCAGGAGGGCGACACACAGGATGTCGATATCCCAGACCCCTATCCTGCAAACGATGGAGGTTGAGAGCCCTACAAGGCTACGATTGTTGGCATTTTGCTAACAAATTATCCAGATTATGGCGGATAACTCGTCCTGTTCACAATGCAGCGGGTGGTAAACCTCCATTCAAGCGTGAGAAATATACGCCGGCTTCGAGCTTAGGGTGGAGCCTGTGACGAAGCAAATAACATCTACAATCGCCACGATAATTTCGAAATTCCGAAGGACCAGCCTCACATCATACGGCAGGAAAGTCTTGGCAGTGTTTTGTTGAGTTCAAAATATCCAAAACTTGTTGGTAACCCGGTGGTTGCAATTTTCCACAATTCATGATCGCATTATGATGTTGTCTTGCAATTGGCTACACATCGCCTTTATGTACCAGTAGTAGATTTCCAGATGGAGTTAAGGCGTTTGGACCTATGATCAACGTGTACTTTTACCTGCGTTAATGAGACTTGTTGCTCTTGGCAGAACTCTAAAATGAAAGCGTCATGTTACAGGCACATGGCTATCTCACTTCTATCCTGTTCTATTGATCTATTATCTCCTCGCTATTTGAATGATGCCCTTTTCAAGCGCTTCTGGGCTCATTTCGGTCTCCTTCAGGCAATAATGGATTGATTCGACTCTGCAGGGGATACCGCTCTATATTATTTTCAGCCCACAATACGACTATTCTAGCTCAGATCAATATCTCAATCAATCTGTAGCTGTGACTGTCTCTCAGGCAATAATCTTGGCTTTTCCCGAATGCTCGGCTGCTTGTTGACATTTTCCTAGTGGCGTCGCTTACCAAAACTTAGTGCCAACCTTTCCTGAAGCATCACTCAACCATTATGCTCCAGAAACTCACAATAGTAGCTACTCTGCACACCACTGGTTTCAAGAATCCAGACTCTACCAGTCAGGAGGCTTGGTTTGGCGTTGGCGATTTGACAGCTGACCCTGGTGAGCACCTGCATAGAGCTCGATCACGTGATCTTATCGAGCACGCAAAATGCTGGCGAATTACGACAGCTCAGACACGTCGCTTGACGCGCATAGGGATATCGATCTCGCAATCCTATTCGATATAACTCGTTCACGCGACTTCACTGCATATGGTGTCTTGGATCCGCTCAAGGTGTCATCCTTTCACTTTCGAGCTCCGACCTCCATATATAGTTCCATCATGAGGGCGCCGTTAGCGTCCGGTAAGGAAACCCATCCGGATATCCCAATGAAACGCTTCTCAAGTACTCGTTATCAGCGTCTCGATTCGGAGGGTCCGGAATGGACATCGAGCACTGGACATCCAGGACGGTTCGAGGACCAAGACCTGGAACTTGATAAAGACGATCACGAGGACTCACATGACTTTCCTTTAGGATATGCACATCCAAGCAGAGATGGCAGCCATGCCACTGCAGCCTTACTTAAAAGCGGCAAGTCTTTGGCTTTAGGTGTTCCAGGCGAAGAGAGGAGATTCTTCTTCCAAAGATCGAGAGTTGTCTATGACCCATCTGCAATAGCAACACAGGCTTCGGTATTTGATGACCCGGATACCTTGGAAGAGTTTCGACCTGGCGATGATTGGGAAAATATACATCGCTTTGATCCTGACGAGAGGTGGACATGGGGAGAAGAGCACCTGCTGATCCGCAAAATCGATTCAAGGATCATGGTATTTGCAGCGGTCATGTTCATGGCACTGGAGCTAGATCGATCGAATATCTCTCAGGCTTTGACAGACAACTTTCTAGAAGATCTAGGAATGACCACCAACGGTAAGAGTCGTGTAGATGCGTTAAAACGAATGCTGAATGCTGTCAGATTATAATTATGGTCAAACAGCTTTCAAATTTGCCTTCTTATTTGCAGAGCTACCCTCTCAGCTCATCGCAAAGTGGATAGGACCAGACATATGGATACCGACACAGATGGTGGTCTGGTCTTTGGTAGCCTCAGGTCAATTTTTCCTCAATGGAAGAACATCATTCTTCATTACTCGCGCACTGCTTGGAGCCCTGCAAGGCGGTTTCATTCCTGAGGCAAGTCAGCTTTCCTGCCTGTGGTGATTGTAGAACTTATTTGAAGCAGGTCATCTTATACTTGTCGTACTTCTACAAGCATCATGAATTATCGTTAAGACTTGGCTTTTTTTGGACCGCATCTGCTCTTGCGGATGTCATGGGTGGCTTTCTTGCGTTTGGGATTTTACATATGCGGGATGTTGACGGTCATGCCGGATGGCGATGGCTATTCCTAATTGAAGTATGGCATTACCATTGACTCATAGACTCGTTCTAACTCATCATAGGCCCTGCTCACTCTTGTCGTCGGTCTTCTTGCCTTCGTTCTTATGCCATCGAGTCCAACTTCTACTGCAAGCTGGTTCCGCGGAGAGCGAGGATGGTTCACTGAGCGGGAAGAGAAGATCATGGTGAATAGAATCATTCGCGAAGACCCCAGCAAAAGCTCAATGCACAATCGCGAGCCACTGACCCCAGCACTGGTGTGGCGAAGCATCAAGGATTTTGATCTCTGGCCGATCTATATCCTCGGCCTCAATTTCCAGACTCCCATGTCTACGCCAGCTAACTACCTGACTCTCTCGTTGAAGGGTCTTGGATTCGACACGTTCAAAACGAACCTGCTCGTCATTCCGAGCAAAGTATTGCATGTGACAACCATGCTAGCTCTGACTTATGCTGGGGAAGTGTTTGGGGAGCTCACGATAACTGCTTTGATCGGTCAGATCTGGGCGCTACCCTTTTTGATCTTCATCAACCTCGTCGATATCAATCAGATCAACAAATGGTTAGCTTGGGCAATCATGACAGCTTTGTTGTGTTATCCTGACGGTAAGATTCAATGTCCCCCATCAGAGTTACACCTTTTAGATATCAACTGATAATTTCTAGCGCATCCAATCCAGGTCGGCTGGAATTCCCGCAACTCAAACACTGTAAGATCACGTACCGTCTCTGCAGCTTTATACAACATGTGCGTCCAGACGTCCGGGATAATTGCGGCAAACATCTACCAAGAAGACGACGCACCCCGCTACAAACGAGGAAACCACATCCTACTCTCCCTACTCGCTCTCAACATTTTTCTCTATTTGGGTACAAAGATCTACTATGTAAAGAGGAATGCATATAGAGATAGAATATGGAATGGGATGACTGAAGAGGAGAAGCTGAACTATTTGACGACGACAACGGACGAGGGTAACAAAAGATTGGATTTTAGATTCGCGCATTAAGGTAAAGCAGTTGGCGTGCCCAGAGACCGACTTTTTCCCTTCCTTGTAGGATAGAAACTCTTTATGACGACTCCGTACTATAGTGCTTGACGACACCTTCGCCCTGCAGCAACTTCGACGCCAACTCCGAATAAGAGCCGGCTCTCACATCCTCCAAAATATCGAGTCGTGTTGGCTTCCAACCCAGTTCTCTCTTTGCTTTCCGGTTCGATGGACGATTGACCATAGTCAAGATCAAAGCCAGGAATTGGCCGCCCTTCTTCGTCGCCTCTTCCGCCGTAATAGACTTCACGGGTACTCTCATCAGTTCGCCGACAGCCCCCGCCAAGTCCTTCATCGAAACAGACTTATCCTCACAGCAATTCCAAACATCACCTGGCTTGGATTTCTCCACCGCAAGGAGATACATAGCAGCTGCATCATCGACATTGACCCCGCTAGTATGAGTGGCTCCGTCGTCGATATAGATTGACTCCCCGTCCTTGGCAGCCCGGTCAAGGAGCATTGGGATGAATCCTGAACCACCCCTGCCATGAACATACGGCGTGAGACGGATAGCGCTGACTCGCACTCCTTCTTTGGCTTTGCTCAAGGCGTGCTTCTCCGAACGATGTCGATCAACAGGAGGATTCTTCAATAAGGGCGAGCTCTCGTTAGTCTCGCCACCTGCAGGATCCGGCTCCGCGACCGGAGTGCCGGAGGTGATTACAAGAGCTTTGTTGGTGCCGCGAAGAGGTTCAGCGAGAGCATCTACTGCTGCAGCATCGATGGCGAGGATTTCTTCATAATTTGCTGTGAAGTCGTGGATGTATGCTAGGTGGCATACTGCGTCTGCTTGAGCAGCTTCTTGGCGGAGGACATCGAGCGTTGTCAGATCACCACGGACCGGGATTGCTCCTAGAGCTTTTAGTTTTGAATCGCCGCTTTCAGTCCGAGAGAGACCGTGAACAGTGTGGCCTTGTGCGATGGATTGCTCTGTCAAAGTGCTGCCAACATAGCCTGTTGCGCCGGTTATGAAGAATTGCATATTTCGTTTTGAGCTACTCCTTCCATCGGTCTATTTCTGGCTCAGTAAAGGGTGAAATTGGAGGATCGAAATTTTGGCTTCCTATGCAGGTATTTCGATGTAGAAGAACCTTGCTCGGTCGTCTGATGATGTCTCGATATGCTTTCCATCCTCCCTTTATACCTCCATAACTTGTGTCACAGTTGGTCGTCTCCACTCTGAACTTGATGACATAGAGGTGACGGGACTTACGGAGGTAAAGCCATTATCTACGAGTACCACTTTCTTCGAACTGATACTGCAAGAAGAATATGTAGCTGTGCCCTTCGTGTACGTGCGATATCCGAACCACTAGTTGGTCCTTGGCGATCGCGAGTATCGCCTGATACGGCGAGACGTATCCTTTTCGAATGATTGTGGAATTATTTGAGCATGAATATGTAGGCAGTAGCCACTCACTGGAAACTGTGTTCGCAGAGCGGAAATAATGTGCAAAGTCCGAGCCATTTTCCATGTCTTGGCTGTATTCGCGAAAACTTGGCGCTCATTGGTTCATTCGAACAGAGCCTGGGAAGCCTCTAGGCGCAAATTCCCAGTCGCAGATGAAGATCAAGATTGCTATGGAAGGCCTATTCAGGCTCCAGAAAAGACTCAAAAGACGTACGGACAGACCAATTCCAAAGCTTCTAACAGAACATGTCCGATATTCTCAAACCATGCAACCAGGGTCTGCGAGTATTGCCTGGGCATCTGGGGTGAAGACTTGAGCGAGCCTACTAATGCAATAGTATTTGCCCAGATCAAAACAAACCAGGCAACGAGAAGTCGATTCGTAGACTTGCGATACAAAATCAGTCTCGCTTCGCAACGTATGCCACGACAAACCATCATAGACTCGTCCCTCGTAGAATCGGCGCGTCGACCACAGACAACTGGGGATAATGCATAGCAATATGATCACATATTTGCGAAACTTATGGAACAACTGAATGGGCGCGAGATCAAGCTGTATGTTTACAGGTCGAAGATCTGAGCTCGGAGGCCATGAGAGCAAGTTATTGCCAGAGACCTTGGCTGAGCAAAACTTGTCAGTGAGTTGATGTGATGGCATTCTCATCATGCGTTTTCTTTTTGGTTGAAGAGAAGAAAGAATGGAGACACGATGGAAGAAGCTTTGGCAACTTGGGGACCAGGACTGATTTGTAAAGAAGAAGCTTGGCATCACATAGCCGAGATGGCTATAATTTAGAGTGCTGACACCCGAGACACACAGGGATCTCACTGGGACGTGAGCTTCATTCTTCCTACCAGTCTCTCCGTCTCTTCAACAAACTTCGGACAAGTTTGACTTTTTGGCCAAAACTCTTCTATTTACATCAAATCGATGTACCTCGGTTCGGTTGAGAGAAGCACCGTCTTGGCAGGGGTCGGACGTGCTATCATGCCGCTTCACCGTGAATACCGCTACTGCCAGCCAATCGCGGCAGAGTTTGATGCGAGAATCCCAAGGGTCTGGGACAATACCCGAGCGAATTCTGAGACTACTGGAAAGGCTATCATCAATCGCGACAAGCTTCGGAGACATGAATTTTCACTTCATCGCCTGCTTTTCAATCAAGGGGTTGTATTTGTCTGTCATTGCTTCTTCTTATCTCTCCGAAGTGGCGTGGAGATCAAGTATATCTTCGTCCCATATCTTGTGGAAAAATAGTTTCTCGTTTCTTCCAAGCATCTGGCCACCGCATGATTTGCTACATATCAAAATATATGGTACAGAGTCCAGTTGATATTTCTACATAATGCAGCTTTCAGAAAAGATTCAACTGCCATGCGGTCTCGAGCTTCCAAACAGGTCAGTTTACCTCTCCATTGGCCTCGTGACGAAAATGACGTCTCGCGGTGACAACTCGAGACTTTGCTGCGACAATCGAGCACTAGAATTCCGATTCTAACATTCAGTAGGCTTGCAAAAGCTGCAATGGCGGAAAATATGTCCACTGATCACAATCCTAGCAAAGGGTTTTCTTCAGCTTATGGGGAATGGGCCGATGGTGGATGGGGATTGGTCATAACAGGCAAGACATGAATTTCAAGCGAATGCATTTGAATTTGTTGTTAACACAGATTCAGGCAACGTCCAAGTCTCAACCATCTTTCACGGATCGCCAGGCGACGTGGAGACATCTTTACACGGTCAAACTCCCGAGCAAAAAGCCCAGTGGAAGAATTGGGCAGCTGTTTGTCAACGGTCAGGAACTCCTACTGTCATTCAGCTCTGCCACCCAGGACGTCAATCACCCTTGGGAGCTGGGTCTAGTGGACTCTTCCAAAAGAACATCGCGCCATCCCCAGTAAAGCTGAATCTGGGAGAATCCATAATTGCAAAGACAGCTGTGTCTTTACTTTTCGGTACACCACGAGAAATGACAATCGATGAGATAACCGGTCCTGAAGGGATCATTGCACAATTTGTGGAAGGCTCGAAGCAGTGTTATGAGGCCGGATTCAAAGGCGTCGAGCTGCATGCAAGTCATGGATATCTTCTTGCGCAGTTCATGTCCTCAACAACAAATTACCGAACAGACGAATTCGGAGGATCAGCCGCCAAGCGAGTTGAAGTCGTTCTCCGCATCATCCGAGAGGTTCGCAAGCAAACGAGTCCAGAATTTTGCATCGGCATCAAGCTCAACAGCGTTGACGCTGCTTCATCAGAATCCCCAGAAGAAGTCATGGAGCAAATCAGGTTGATTAACGAGGTCGGAGTCGACTTCATGGAGATTTCAGGAGGCACCTATGAGAACCCCCGAATGATGCAAGGAGACTCTCATGATACCGAGAAACCTGCCACCAGCGAGCCAAAAACTAAACAAAGCACTCTCCTACGGGAAGCTTTCTTTCTACAATTTGCCCAAGAAGTTCGAGAACGCTTTCCCAAGGCCATTCTCATGGTAACTGGAGGTTTCCGGACCCGCGTCGGCATGGAAGCAGCACTGAAGAGCGGTGGATGCGATCTCATCGGACTGGCCCGTCCTGCGGCAGTACTCCCCAAGTTGCCGAAGGAGATTATCCTGAATGAAAAAGTCTCGGACGAGGATGCACGTGTGGTGCTTGGCCCCATACCAGTACCTAGATGGATCAAATGGATCCCTATCAAGGCCTTGGGCGGCGGCCTCCAGTCCAAATACTACGCCGATCAGATTCAGCGTCTCGCGAAAGGGCTGTTGCCTATCGATTCGAGGGTTTAAGTGGCAGCCTTTACGATTATTCTGCAACGACATTGTACAACACCTCGCGCAAGTGCGCATCCTTGTGGATGAACAACTGGCGCCTTTTAGACCGTTTGTATTTTATAGATTCATTTAACTCGCTTGTGAATTTGGATTCATATGTTCTACATAGTTGTTGGCGGCATTTTGACCATTGTATACTATTATCCTTTGAAGAAAGTGGTTTCCAGCATGGGTTTCCTCAGTCATCCATGATCAGTCAAAGTATGGTCGGGGATTCTGGGTGGTTTCTTTCCCATGGTATCTCTATCCGTTGTTTTATCTGATTTATATTTTAACAACTTTTGTGATATTTTTGATATCCATTTGTGCTTTCAACTTCAACTCCTGACACAATTGAAGCTAGAGGTAGAGAAGTGCAGGGAGAAGGGGGCCAAGCTCAACGAGCAGAATACAAGATCAGTCTCAAGTACTGTCATGTAGTCTCCTTTGATATTAATGGTCTTAGACTAAATGCATGAGGTTTCCCGCTTAGTTACTGTTTCTTCGTATCGTCTTCCATTACTGCTCGACTCATCAGTCTTGTGGAAAGTCGGGCCAGCTTACTCCTTACCAAGGCGACCTCGCCACTTTTTCATTCAGGCATCGGGGAGATTCAAAGCATCAACCAGGGTTTATGCAACTTATCCTCCCCGATAAATTGCTTGGACGTATTACCTATAATGTTCGCTGCGGCTCAAGTTCCTCAGCGTAAGTAGTGTCACAGTCGCTTCCGGATTCGCAGCCTACCATTATCTCTGCTTCCAAGAAATGATTCCAAAATTTCAATCCAGTCTGCTCAAGTGCTTACAGGTAAAAACTTTCATCCTGGCTGAACCTGTAAGAATTTTGCCTTTATCATCCGCAATTATTTCCTCTCTATTTGAAAGCGGAGTTGGGTTACTCGGATCGAGCCAATTTATGGATGGCACATGGTCGTCCACTGCCGACTTGTGTCGCCGTGTCCAACCAGCTACCAGTAATTGGTAACCACTGATATCCAGCGGGTGAAACATACTTGTGAGTCTTGTTTATTTTTCACTGGCGAGGTGGTACCCATGAAGTGCCGCTGCGGGCAATTCGCAGATCCTCGCCAGTAAGGCAGTTCACATGACGCTTGGCTGGCAGGGAGAAATTCGTAGAAGCAACCTGCCTGGGGAATAAGACTCCATTATTTCTTACAATGAATCCCTCCCAACACCGCACGACATGTCGGCTTCCCCGCCACATGTTTATACAACCGGACAGGCGAGAGCTCTGGGCTTTCATTGGACACCACTCAACCGCCTTTTGGCAAAATGAGAACAGTAGCAAGGATAATTAAACACGACACTGGATCTTCATTTGCTGTGTCGCAAGAGAAAATCAAGATCATGGAAATAAGGTATGCGAAGGACTTGGGATACGTTTCGAATTAACCTTTGATATTGCTTACCAGTAGTCAGCAATCACTTTTACCATTGAGGGTAATGTGACCATCACTACAATTTCAAATTATATTGCTTGGGCAGAAAGTTTCCCTGAGATGGCATATTATCTCACAAATGTATCTCGGGAGGTGAAGCATATAGTCTGCTTGACCTGTGGCTGCATCCAGTTTCTTCTGTGTGAATCTTTCAAACGATAATCAGGGAGAGAATGGCTATCCTCACTTTCAGGTCCATGGGACTGCTTCTTTTGTTGTTATCGACGTTGTCTCTTGCGAACCCGTCATTGAAGCGAGGGCCTGATGATGATCTTGCTGCTAAAGCACTTGAGAATGCCTACAAAGTTTTGAGCGGCACGCTGTCGGATGGAAGCGTGAGAACGACATGCACGAAAGAGAAGCTTGCTGTGAGAAAAGAATAGTGAGCAGTTGAGATCAGATGCGAAGACTAGTGCTGACTTTGATATCCAGTGGTGATTTGACGAACGATGAGAAGGACGACTACGTCAAGGCTGTCAAGTGTTTGCTTGCTACACCCTCCAAGTTAAGTGCGACGCAATACCCAGGAGCAAAGTCTCGCTATGATGACTTCGTTGTTGTACATATCAACATGACGATGGGTGTACATGACACGGTGAGTATTGTCATCGAAGCAAGCAATATCAGTACTGACTACCTTGAGGCAAACTTTCTTCACTGGCATCGGTATTATATCTGGGCTTACGAGGTAGCCTTGCGTGATGAGTGTGGATACAAGGGATATCAACCTGTGAGTGAAAGTGTCTCCCACTTTTCGAACGATCCTTACCTAGATACAGTACTGGAACTGGGGTAAATATCCAGACCCAACCGTCTCCCCAATTTTCAATGGAGATGCTCACAGCATGGGCGGTAATGGCGAGTCGGTCACTCACAAAGGTTACGCCCTCGGAATGGCATCGGTCATGGTGCCACCTGGGAAAGGAGGCGGATGTGTAAAGACAGGCCCATTCGCAAAGTAAGCCAGTATTTTATCAAATATTTGACACTTCCACTAATACATTTTAGTATGACTGTAAACCTCGGTCCACTCGCAGGCTCTGTTGATCCTGCTCTGAAGATCCCCAAAAACCCTCGCTCGGATGGCTACGGATACAACCCTCGTTGTCTCCGCCGGGACGTGAACAACTACTTCACGTCGCAATACCTCCGTCCCCAAGATATCGCCAACCACATAACCTCATCCAAAGACATCGAAGCCTTCGAGAAGACCCTCCAAACCGACACCACCAAAGCCTTTTCACTTCACACGGGTGGTCACTACAGCATTTGGGGAGATCCTGGTGGAGATTTCTACGTCAGTCCTGCTGAGCCTGTCTTCTGGTTGCATCATGGACAGGTTGATAGACATTGGTGGATCTGGCAGAATCAGGATTCAGCGAATCGCGTTCAGCAGTACAAAGGTGGAACTATCATGATGCAGCCGAACAGCCCACCTGGAAAGATCACTGATATCCAGAACTTATCTGTCACGGCACCAAAGGGATACGCAGGTATTCCGAGCAAAGATTTGGTCAGCACCCTTTCTGGCCCCTTTTGTTATATCTACCAGTAGGGTATGTTGATAGCATTCCCCTGGCCTGCGAAGATGAAATGCACTAAGAGCTTCATATTCGCTGTGGAGGGGAATGGCACATCGTCCCCAGGTTATAGACCCCTATAGCCAGCAATGTTATTGACATTCCATCAACATGGCTGACTTCTCCTTCTTGTTGCTCCGTATTTCTCGTGAGTCTTGGGGGGAACAGTCCGGACCCTGAGCTCATTGACGTTGATTGAACACGTCTTCTATGTGACCCTTTCCATCCTCCAAGATCCAAAGCTGTCTACTCTCATCACAGACACGTTGTGACTATGCCGCTTGCAGTCTACGCTTAGTTCTACTCTGGCCATACCTCCATCATGTCCAACCATTCCAAGGTAAATCCCGTGACAATTTTTACCCAATCTCTGACCGTTGACGAATCAAGATTTGAGGCATCATCCAGAGCATTCTGGCTGGTAGGAAGAGGCCAAGGCTGAATATTCAAGAAAGGAGTTCCACGCTCCATGAATGGTACAGAATCTGCAATCATGCCAGCTTGTATGCTCGTCGCGTTTGCTTCGGACAGAAACCCAGTAGGTTTTGTCGTCTCCAGGAGGCCGATGATACGCATTCTTGCTTCAAGGTTGGCAATTTTCTCATAGACCCAACTTGTCACGAGACAGTACGAAGGGACCGTTGGGCTTGCTAATCCTAAGCCATCCAACAATGCAAAAATGCGAATCTGGCTCAGTGCGTTTGGATATCCAGAGCCAACGGGATTTATGCTCTTCTCCAGAGTGTTGCTCAAGTCTCTTTACTACACATCAGTATTCATTCATAATCATTAATAGAAAGACCTACCTTGAGCCATAAAGAGCCGGTTCTCTTCCATCGAGGGATTCAGTGCCGTCAAGAAACATCAACTGGATACCCATATCCATCGCAACTGTTCCTCCTTCACCAAGCGCATTCATCTCGTCATGCATCTGGGTCATGTATCCATCGATACTTCGAGCCACATGCATCAGAATAGCACACGGAACAGCACTCGTAGCGCCGATGTGCCCTTGTGGCATGCTCTTGCTGTCATAGTGGACAGCTAGTGTCAGCCAATTTGCTTGACCGACCTTCGTCCACGGTGGCTCTCTGCTGAAAACAAGATTTGATATTGGAATCTGGCCCCCTTTGGCAGTTTTGGCTGTTGAGTTGTACCACTGAAAATTCCATTTTGGTAGCTGGGTGCTGAAGAAATTAATGAAGTGGTGTTGGACGGATGCATGACCGGTAGTTCCAGGCACACGAGGCGTCAAAATGGGAGAAAGAATAGCTCCATTTCCTGGCTCGAAGTCTGGACCACCGGAAGTTATGTTTCGTAAGAAATCATCCGATAGTGGCATATAAGCATGAGTAGTTATCAGAAAGCTTTGCAGAGCCAGCACGACGATGATAGCATGGTTGATGAGCGACGAAAGATTGGTCTTCATGGCTCTAAGAGACGAGCATTCAGTGTAACCCAGCAGCCAAGACTACCTCGAACTATATTCCGATGTTGCAATAACCCATTTGAGAAGTCATGTATACGTAGAATCCCGTCAAATCATGTGAGGAAAGCTCATGGTACGTCGAACGGGTTTTTGTTTAGAAGTTGACAGTGCTTGCTCGTCAGCGGGGTCAAGCAAACACCAAGCCGGCATACGAGTAGAGAGGAGCCTCTATGGTCCCTAAAAAAAGGTCTCGTGAAAAGATTTGCAACTGGAAACCAGACGAAGATCAATGAAGAGTGTCTCTGACCTGGATGATCGGCAACAGGGCGTGCTAGAGGAATGTCGAGGCGAGCGAGGCGAGGTGAGGTGGTGAAACGATTTTAGTGCCAACCTCCTTCGCTTCCTGTTTGGGCCGTTTCATGGGGAGACTTAAGCGATCCAACGGGCTGGTGAGGAACAGACCCGAAACATAATTGTTTGAAGATCTCCAAAATGGAATGGTCTGCGAGGTCATTGACAAGAGCAGAAATGCGAAGAACCTGGGTTGGCCTTGCCAAGAGGATCGTGATTGTCAAACATCACTTGTCTCTGCTGTCGCCACACCAGAGATCACTTTAGAAGTCTTGCTTGCAGCACCTTCTTTCAATCATCCCGTCTCTCTGCAGTGCAGTTTCTGTACTCATCCATATACTTTTGTATTCTCTGATTTCTTTACCATATTTTAATTCCAACACGCTGGCGTTGTTTGTTTCTTTTCGATAATCACCATGGCCAGTCAGCCAAAATACGAGAATGTGCATATGGACGAACAGGATGATTCCTCCATCACTGAGGTAGACGAGTCGTTGATGGGAGACGAGAAACTTTTGACTGCCGAGGAGTTCAGACAGAGATATTCAAGGAGGTCGAAAAGAACCTCATGCCTATCTGTGTTGAAAGAAGCACGATGGTTTCTGGACATCGGATTACTGCTTGTTATTATTGCATTATTGCTACGGAATCAATCCGAGAATGCTGTTCCAAAGACCAGCGAACATGAAGTGGGCGGAGATATGACGGGTGTTGGACCCCACTGTAAGACCCAGATTCCAACCATGGGAGCGGAAGATCTAACAAGAGAAAAGTTGGGACCCAAGTCACGACCTTCCACATCAATCAGACATTCGCTCCTTACAACACTTCGGAGTTTTTCCGAGAAGAGGTGCTCGTGGCATGGAATGAATTGATGCCTCGTGAGCAGAAGTCCGGCAATGTTGAAGCATCAAATACTGACAATGAAGCAGATGGAATCGGATTTCAATGGGTCAACGATACACACAGATACCACGATCTTCCAACTCCCATCATTTGGCCGAATAAGACCGTTTTTACGACTTCCATGACACATCAGCTGCACTGCTTGTTCGCCATTGTAGAGACTTACTCTGGTTTGACGTCCAATACAACCTTACCAGAAGACCACCACTGGCATATGATCCATTGCTTTGATTACATGCGCCAGGCAATTATGTGTTCGGCCGATATGGCCTTGGAGGGCTTGGAAACAACATTCCCGGATCACAATGGAGGCTCGGATGGTTGGGATTCGAAGCATGGTAAGTTTGACCATCCTTCAGTCAAGGTGGATTCGGCTAACAATTGGTAGTTTGCAAGGATTATAGCCAGGTCATCAACTATCTGGAAAGTGTCAGGGCGTATGATGATCAACAGATTTATTAGTTGAGGCCGCAAGGAAGCATGTAGCGGTACCTGACTTCGACATGACACTTAGAAGCTTTTGGGATAAAGTTGTGGTGGAGCCTGTGGCCGAGTGCTACAGCCAAAAATGAAGTTCTTCATGGGCTATGACTGACGAAACGTCTTTCATAAGTGATGACGAAAGTGGATTTGAACACTATGCATCGATCGGCCGGAACATGTGAGCATCAGCGGAGTGGTGAGAGGGTGGCGAGCGAAACAAACTCATTTGGTAGCATGTCTACATATTCGTCAAGCAGAACCACATTCTGATCTGGTGTTGTTGGTGAGCATATAGATAATATCATTATCTTCTTTTCAACTAAGAACAGCCTGACTACAATACTGTATCCTCGTTTTCGGCACCATAATACAGACTTCCAAAGCCATTCAAATTTACTTTTTGGAATCGGTCCCCAAAATCAATCCAGCCTCAGCAAAGATAAGATAGCATACAGCTACTAGGTCAGCTTGAGACTGCTTGATATTTCGTCTTTCTGCCTCATCATACCTGCAATCTATTGTTCTCTCCACTGAAGTGAAAGAGTCAGTTCTATCACTCTCGCTTGCAAAATTAAGCAACGCCTTGTCGTCAGCCAAGCTTGGGACATCGGCTCGACTTTCTGGAGCTCTCCAAGTAAACGGGTCATGTGCGAATCGCAATGGGGAATCACCAAGTGCGACTTCCAGAGGTCTTGAATCGAGATAGTGTGAAACTCGTGTATGATTCGATTGATGGTGCTACGCTAAATGTTTTGTCTCGGAATTATGGACTGTGTCGCGTGAGCTGTTGAGAAGTTTTGCTAAGCGAGGATAATAAGCGCGGCGTAACCGAGTAGTTAGATAAATAAACAAAAAGTCCACAGCTAAGTGTGCAATGTGAGATGTTTTATATCTATATAGCACTGGTTATTCACGTATCGCCTTAGTTCTGATGTTCACAATCTTTTTTCTCCAGATTATTCCATGAACCCGCTCGATTCGGGGGCTGCTCTCAGCTCGACAGCTAAAGAGTGACCAGTTCCTATTGGGGCGCCATTGATCGACTGGTTACATTTCATAGGGTTCATAAGGTAGAGCGTAATGGCTGATTGCCCAAACCATATTCAGTTTACCATACCTTCAGAGAGTTTGCTTTCTCGTAGCGCTGGTGCCTCGTCGATGGAAGCTAACGCTCGGCAAATTAAGTTAGAAACAACAGGGAGCAAAGCAGGCTTCTCACAAGAACTTGAAGCCTCGAGACCGAAAAGATAACAGAGAAACAGAAACAGGAAATATCGGTGAAAAATGTCGCAGTTGATTTTGGGATAGAAGGGAGAATTAGGAAAATGGAGTCAGCTCAAGTTGAATAGAAAATAGCCGAGTCATTGTTGACGATCTACTTAATGGCCGAATGAATTATCAACATCACGGCGGAACTACGAATGATGTGATATGAGTCCAGTTGAAATCTCCTGAAACTGTCATTCCCCTACGCTCATGACATGACTGAGAATATAACTCAACCGAACAACATATCTAAAGTCTCCAGTCATGAAATCGTCCCAGCTCCTCCTTCAACAGTTATAACCCTAACATTCAAAGCGATACTCAAATCTCTGATGTTCGTGTATTATTCCTTTACCATGAATTTTTCTCCATCAGTCAATATGAAGTCCGCAGACCCAATGCTCAACACACATGGACGGGTGTTGGTATTCCTCGAGGTTGGTGGTTGGTCCCATGCATGGTTCATGAGACTGGCATCATCAACCCAAGAACCAATGGCAAATGTGTCCAGGTCCAAATCTCTGGTGATTCCAAAAGGATATGAGAGGTGCATGGGACTGTCTTCTGTGGCTGCCGCGCTCGAATCGGGGCTGTCGTACTCTACGGTGTGACAGCTCTGTGTGCCGTTACTTTCGACAACGTAAAAGTCTTGAATATCATGGATAATATCTTGAGTGTGGTAAGTACTTGACACCAATGATGTGGGATGGTACATGGTGTGTGGACGGTGTTCAGAGAAGCACTCGACCGCACCTTACTTACCAAAATTGACTTGCTGCGTTGCAGAAGATCTATCCGCATCCAATTGACGAGTCGTAGACAAATAGCCTTTGCATGTGTACGTCTTTTTCGAAGGACAGCGTAAAGACCTCGCTCCAGGAGTGGCTCCTGTAGCGGGCGGGCTGGAGGGCTTGGCAGCGTTCATCAAAGCACTGTTCGACATTTCTGCTAATATGACTTGGAAAGCACTGCCGAGTTGGATAATACAGAAAGATTGACACAGTACAATAATTGAAGGATAGTCTTGACGTTCTTGTTGAAGTCGCTGACACGCTTAGTTTTATGGCCGTGACCAGCAGGCACATTGCAGGAGACCGCTCGATGATTTCTGGTGCCGTTTTCGAAAGAGACACCCATGGCCAGCTCAAATGCCAGGACCGCCATTATTTTGTTCTCAGACAAGGAATGAAATAGAGTGAAAGTGGTCTTGTAACGCGGTATGCTGAAGAAAATTCGATCACAGCAATGGTGGTCTTCCCAATCCGGTATAGCCTCGCATTTCCATTTTGGGAGACCGCCCTCAGCCTCGACAATAATTGCTTCTTCCAATGCTTCTGCTGGAGTTCCGCCATCAAATATCGGTTATCTCTCTTACAAGAGACTTTTTGCAATCCATTCATGTCGAACATTGTAATCCCACTCCTACATCGATTGGAGCGTGGCTGAAGCATTGACTAGGCTCAAGCGTCCAGCTTATATCTACGATTAAAACCTCAGCCTCGGATTAGAGCATCGATCGTTTGTGGAGCACTTCTGATAGCTTTACTTGTTGGCAATCATGACAACTTTGATCGATCTTTCGAGGGTAGGTCAGTTTCCAAGGCTTTTCCAATTATCTCGAGGCTCCGTTGACTCTCATAGACATGAATGACCCAACAAATCTTCATCTTTACTCTGAGATACTGGTATTCAAAGACGATCTCCTGCGGCAAGAGTTAGTATTCAGAGATAGGGCGAACTCAGAGCAGAGAATACTTCAAGCTCTCGCTCACCGTCTAGGATTGGAGTATGAGTATTTTGCGCAGCTGAAGATAGTCAGAATCAGCCGACCAGCCAATGAATCTCTCTACGCACCAGGGCCACAAAATTATGACCTGGTTAACATGAATTGGCTGTTATCCAGTCAGGATGAGTCATGCCAGGACGAGGACTTCAACTTTTTGGATTTTGACTTGGAGCAGAACCAGAAATTTTTCGGATCTAACAGCCACAATTTCAGCTTACCTCCCGTGATTCCCAGCTCTGACGGCGAAGCTTATGAGCTCGAAACGAGAACCCAAACTCCCACTGCTCGTACGACTCTTCTCAAGCTCTGGACAGACCATCTTGGCAAAAGCGATATCATAGCTTGTTTCCAAACTCCAATTAAGCGAGCCGGCTGCTGGCTGCACAAGCTACTCAAACTCTCGGGTACAACTTCAAGATAGCCAGGTATATCTTGCAGTCCGTGCTATTAGCTTTTGACTGCGAGCAGAGATGAAATTTGGCGATACTCTAACCACTCAGGAAATTCTCCATTTTCGCTTCTCATGTCGCATCCTGCCACCATCACTCATCTAATATCTCGACAAATTCGCTTCACCAGAAACCACTTTACCATGACGCGCGCCTAGATCAATAACCTGAAGTATGTGGCATACAATGCGTGTTGTTAGCAATCAACCAGGCACGCAGAACAGAGAACGGACTGCAGTTGTCCTGTGGCGCCGCTAGAACAACGACTTCCGGAAGCAAGGACTGGCCATGTGGCCCAACATAGAGTGAGGTAGGCGCGTGCAAGATCCAGACGACAACTACAAGAGAGAAGTGTGTAGATATCTAACAGATCTGTCGGATCTACATGGGCTCAACGCCATACACCGCCCGTGGTGGTAGTGGTAATTTACAGCCCAGCACATTCCCAAGCACTGAACGCCGAAAATGCACCTAAAGCTCTCTTACACCGCAGGGAGCACACCATTGCTTGCCTAGATGAGCTTAGTGTTCACCTTCCCCAATGCCATAACAGGCGCCGCCCTATCATCGACTCTCCCCTCCTTCAGCCTCCTCACCCTCTCCCTCTCACTCCTCTCCCTACGCCCGGCCTCGAGTTCCCTATTGACCAGCGCCCTGTCCAAATCCTCATCTCTCCAACTGCGACCTCTCCTCCCACCCTCACCCCACATACTCACCCTCTGGACTTTCCTCAGCTTTGTGAGACCATAGGCGCAGACGACGCCCGCGAAGACCATACTCCAGCCCGTGACCCCCCAGAAGCCGATGTCAGACTCCTCGATGAAGTTCTTCAAGTTCATGCCGTAAAGGGCAGCAATGAAGGCTCCTGAGCCGATACCGAGCGTGCCGATGGAGAATTTGAGGTCTAGGAGCATGAGAGAGTTGCGGTTGGCGTCTAGAATGGCTTTTACGCTAGGAGGAGTTAGTGCTTGATTTCAGTATAGAGTTATTAGGCAATCTCAGGGAATGGAATTGGCTGTAATGTCCGATGAATTAGGAATGAAAGTTGAGAAAGGAAAACGTACATCTCCTCCGTATTCCGGATATTCGACACCAAGTTCCCAGACTCCTGCACGATCTCATCGCATAGCTTATGATACGACTCAAGCAGCATCTCGACTTCCGTATGGTCGTCCTCTCCACGGACCAAATCATGGCTCTTCTCAGTGAGGTACATGGCGGCCAGATCATCATCTGCTTCTAGTAGCTCATCAATAGCATCTCTCACCAATTTAGCTTTCTGCTCAAACGTTCCCAATTTCTTCGAATAGATAAGCAGGACCCGAAGCTTGTCCCTATCAATATCCTCTTCTAGTTGTCGCAGGACTCTCACAACCGGCTTTCGCACACCCTCAAACTCTTTCTCTAAGCTGGTTATCGCGGATATGAGAACAGCTTCCAGAGCCCGGAATTCATAGGGTAGGCCGCCTGCTAGAGGCGAGGCCTGTTTCTGTCGTAGCTTGTCTTCTAGGTCGTAGATGAAAGCGCTTTGGTTGTAGGAGTCTGTTGTGCCGTAGGCGTCAAACACGAGCACGCGATTGGCTTTGATGAGGACACGGAGGTGGAGGAGATTTATTAGAATTGCGGAGGGGCGGACGAGGATATGGGGAAGGAGACTACTGTCTATTTTCCTGAGATCGCGGGGGAGGAGTCCATACTATGTCAGATCCAAAATTAGCATTGCTTTCAGCATAAAGTACATAAGAACATAAAGAGATTAGGGAGAAAGAGGTACATACCTTCGCAATCAATTCGCTCTTCTTGAACTCCCCACTCGCCAAAACCACATTCCCATTCTCATCAAACTCAGTACAGCGAAGCTTCGGCTGCGCTGCCGCTTTGGCAGATATATGCCTTCCAAGACTGAACATCGAATTGTCACTATCCTCCTCAGAGCCATGCAAAGTCGCTGGTAAATCGTCTGGCCGTAGAGGTCGTCCCCCTCGCAAAGAAGTTACTCCCCAGAGCTTCTGGTGCCATTTCTTCGAGCCCGAATGGGCATTCCGCTGAACCGTCAGTGAGCCCTTATATGCCAGACTCCGATTCCGAGCTATATCATGTGAATCGGTTGTCATTGCTTTGAGCGCCGGAGCAGATCTCGGCCAGAGAAACTCCAGATTCAGGAACGAAGCTTCAACAGTGGCGCGTCGCGGAGAAGACGTAGATAATCTTCTCGCATTTGAAGGCGATTTTACGCTACGACATGTTGGCAGCTGTGGTACTCGAACCCGAGGGGCAGCATGGTCGAAGGAGAAGCCTGGTCGAGGGTTGGGGCTGAAGAAGCAGATGCACTCTGACTGCGATTTGAGGAATTTCAGGAGGGTAGAAGAAGGGGCGGGTGCGTGCAGAGACCGCATAGCCGCTATGCAGTGTGTCTGTTATGGTGGGATGAGGTGTATACCTTCATCTGCTGTGGAGGGTTGAGATGCTGGCATCGACTCAATTTGAAGCTTGGAAATTCGAGGTCTGATCCTTGGCAGCTATAGGTCACATGATTGATTTACATGTGCTTGACATTTCTTCTTGTTGAAGGAAGGCGATTATTTTGAACAGTGTGATTTTTTTTGAACATTCGAAGTAGATTCTATCAATCCTATGTGGTTATGTTAGGTCTCACGTAAGTTTTGAGGTTCTCTGACTTCCAAGCGGCCTCGAATACATAACAAACCGCCTCAACTCTCCTAAACAACCTGGAATATAAGGATTGTATAGGTAGTTTGCAGCGAAGAACATACCGTGCGCAGTCAGACAATCTTTGTTACATTAGCTATATGCGTAACATACTCTGCACCAGCCAACATGACATCAAGTCTTAGTTGTACAAGTTCTGGAATCACCGCATTAAAGTCACAGTACACGAGGGAATCATTGCAAAGCAGATTTGGCTCATGTCGTCATCATTGCTCTATTATCAGAGAGGTACAAGCAAGCAAGCGCTGAGTGGCAGTCTCATGCCGGGTATTGAAAGAAAACAAAGAGAAGTCGTCTCATGCCATCGCTCCGTCCATCCATGACCCCCCTTGCGATCCTATCGTATAAACTCCCATCCACTCTCTAGCATCCTCCTCAATCCATCTGCTCAGACCAACTAATTCGAGTGGCGTGTGCTGGTATTATTCGAATAGCTTACGGTTTAAAGTTGTGCTGGTTTGGGTTGGTGCCGAATAAGATGGGAAAGCTCAGACATGGCTCGTTGTGTGTCCTCCGCGTCCTCCATGTCCTCGCTTTCTACCACCACGACCGCAGGTCAGGCAGCTGACGATGATACCGAAGAAGGATGCGATTGCGTTGATGATGGCCTTGAGTATGCCCGCAATGCCGTTAACGACTGCCATGATGCAGGCTCCGATAGTCTGGAAGACAGATTTGATCTATTGTTGACGTTAGCGACTGCATCGATCTGAATGTGGCAAGGCTGAGCTCAGGCGGAGAACATACGCATGATACGACGGCACCCATTTTGAAGAAGTTGCACTTTGCGGCTTGTTGTTGATTATGTTTTTGAAGTGGTAATGGTGGAGAGCTTCAAGATTTGTTGTCTCGAAATTGAGTGGCTTTATTTGTTTGTTTGTTTGTGTTGTGGTTTGAATGAGGAAAGTCCTTGGGCAGAAGGAAGGGAGGCTCGAAATATATACGCTCCCTCACCTTTGGCCAGCCAGCCTTGCTCATGGCATTCACCGTGTCACCTCACCTTGAGAAGGCGCGTCATAGGCAGCTTCGCAACCAAACACAAACAACTGATCTGATCCTGCTCGTTCCGCCTCGTCAAAAGTCAACGCGCGAGCAGGGGTCACGAGCCGTAAAGTGTGACGTCGTTACCTACGAATTTCCCTTGTCAGCTTCCCGCATATTGAAATTTCCACTGCCGCCTTTGTCTTTGAACTGAAACTGCATGCCCAGGGTGTGACCGGAGAACTCTCTCATTGGTACCCTCACAATTCAAGTAGAGGTCAAAATCAAGGAAGGCAGGAAGATGAGATCCGGGGGCGGCAATGATCGCTGCGATGTTACTTGCGCCACACTTAAGGTGTGGCTGGTGAGGTCAGAGACCCACATCCCGCACCACGAGTTTTCCTAACCAAGGTCGTCTGTTTTGACAGCGGTCCGTCGTTGGACTACGGAATACTCGGCAAGATGCGAAAAACTCGATCGATCACTAGCTGACTCGTGCTTCGCTGAATGGTCCGTTTACTGTATCATTGGAGTTGACTCGGTGGAGAACATGCATACAGTACAGTACAGTACAGTACAGTACAGTACAGGTCATGATCTCTTCTTCCATGAAAATCTTGTCGAACAAATGTTGAGAAATTGACGATGACGTCGGTGGTGAGATGGGACTGGTGACACGCACACTCCTGGAAAGGGCCTGGAAAGGGAAATTGAAGTACTGTACTATCTTTACCAAGGCAAACCTTCCGGTATGGACACCCAGACTGGCCCCAAGAGCCTCTGGGGACTCGCAACGTCTTGGACTTCAATATAAACTCAGCCTCCAGACACCCAAGGGCTGTGATTGGCCTGAACGAAACCCATGATCGAATTTGAGGGAAAGCCAAAGGCGGTATCAAAGCAGCCCTTGCAGCTTTTAGAGCCCGAAGCTTGATCTCGAGGAAAAAGTCAAACTTGGGCCAGGCTAAGCTAGGGCTTATTGGCGCGACATGGTCGAAAACGAGGAAGAGCCAAATTACACCGAAGCAAATCTCCACCTCCAACCATGAATACGGAGATGAACTCAATCGTCAGTTTTGCCAAAGATCTTTATTTTGAAGCATACCCGGAGGCCATGACCCTGATTCAAATGGCTGAAAAAGGATCTGGAGCGCAGGTACCTCCGACAGTCTGATATTTGCATCAATATGAACCGGGACGGGGAAAATGGCCAGAGTGGTGTACAACCGATTTGCTTCCTCTGTTGTCATTGCACAGGGCATTATATTGACACGTGGTTCTTCTGCGTCTCGTCTGGGGTAGGAGCGTAGTCCAACGATTTTGTGACCAGAGTCCTGGCTATTTTCCGAGTGCCCAGAAATTGAGGAAGTCCCAGCTGGTCAGCTCAAGTCGAGTTAACCTCCCGAGCCTTCGTCAAACTCAGCAACATACCCAGACAGACCGAATGCTTTTCTGAGCAGAACTTCCATAACCGCCCACTTCCCACCTTGGCACAAAGTCTCAAATGACCTCTTGACTTTCACAGACTTTCACAGACTTTCACAGACTTTCACCGTCACGACCTCCAACCAATTTGTATTGAAAGATCTCTACTGAAACCTCCGAACTTCAATAATACATCTTTTCCTTGCTCCACCTTCCAGTTTTTGATCACAAGCTCTTTGGCCTGGCTAGCGAGGCTATCTCGTAGGTCCGGAATGCTCCGATGTGATGTTCGGATGTGACTCTAGATGCAGAGCTGGCTGCAGAAATCTCCTGAGAATTAAGCAGTACAATCAAACCAGACGCTGAAGGGCCCTTCATGATTGTTGACTAGTTGACTGGTTGGATACAGTCGATATGGGCTGATGGATATGACTCCCGGACCTTGCCAAGGGCTGTAATAGGCTGAGTAGAATCGCGACTGAGACTTGTTGGCTACCAAACGACGAAACAAGCCGTCTTTGAAGTCGAGTTACTCGACTTTCATGAATTTTTATTGCTCCAGCGCATGGACGAAAGGGAAAGGTAAGCCGGGATGTCTTTCGGGCTCAAATTGATACCGCATTCAGTGCGGGGTGTTCGATGCTGAACCATATCTGGGGTTTCCCAAAATACGTGAGCTCAACAAGCTCTATCTTCTTAGCCATCGCGCCATCTCTACAAGCCGCATCTTCAATCTTCAAACTCAGCTTAACAACAGCCTCTTGCACCTCCTGGCTTTCAATATCGCCAATGACTGTGATTTTCCTCATAGATTTCAACTTCGACAACGGATGTAACTCGGGTCTGAATCTCACATCATACGTAATACTCGCATCTTTCTCCTGTACAGACGGCAAATATATAGGGCCTGGTGTCGGCCAAGCAGATTGACTGGTATACTCAAGATACAGAGTGTGCAAGCTAGACTCAGATGGGAAGTTATTGAATATGCTGCGCAGCAGGTGTATCTCATTGTATTCGAGTGTGATGACTAGAGCACCGAGATCTTTGATGTGAGGTCCGATGCCATCTAGGAAGCGTTTGCAGGACACGGGTGTTTTGAAAGAAAAACGAGCATGGTCGTAGAAGAGATGTCTGGTCTCGAAGTAAAATAATCGGTTCGTGAGGGAGAGCCCTTCGCCACAGCGACAGCCGGTGTGATTGTAGTCTGAGTAGGGAAAGCGGCTTAGAGGGACGTTGGTATGTTCGGTGTAGATGTAACTGTAGATGTGTTGTCGGAGTTCGATTGGGAGAGTTGAGAGGGAAAGATGTTCGATTTGAGGAAGGGCAGCTTTAGCAGACGCCCTTTGATTCAGAGAAAGATCGCACATATCTAGCTTCTCAACATTGGGATCTCGTATGGGTTGCTGTGTGCTCCATGTTCATGATGGAAGGTTGGATATTTTAGAGTTCATAAGGTAGAGAGAAGGCTGAAGAGCTCCACCTCGGCCCAGCTTCCGTCTAGCGCGGGGCTAGACAAGGCTGACAAAATAATTTCTCGAAAGTATTGTTTGTCAAAATACATCACGAACCACACACTCGCTCAGTCCACCTATGGAACTCACGCCCATCAGAATTCCCGGCAAAAGAAAACGATCTAATACGAAAAGCGCCGTAGCAGCCCGGAAAGCCCTGGTAATTCCTTGCTCGCCACAAACATTACCCCGTCACTTCAGGAAATGAAAGCTAACAAATCTCCCAGAATCGCAAACCAGGCCGTCCCCTCAAACCATTCCAAAATGAACTTTCGAACCCCCGACATAGTACCATTCAGGTAGCCAAACCACCAAAAATCCGAACCCTCAAAACCCTAAAATCCAGACACAAAATGTCCCTTCTAGAAAAACTCCCCACCGAACTCCTCGAGCGCGTCTTCCAATTCTGTCTAAATCTCGATTTACCAAAAGCCAGTCCTGTGATTGCGGGAAAACTGAGTAGTAATACAGTATTCAATTGGACTGTGATGAGGGTTTTTGGTGCGAGTTGGGAGAGGGCATATGCGAAGGACACAGTGGTTGGTGAGAAGGACTTGGACGAGGCTGGTGACGAGAGAGACCGGGAGATGGGTGGCAGAGGAGATTGGGGTGAAGAAGATAGCGACTTACAGAGTCAAGTACTGAGGTGTCGTTGGACAAGCCTGGAAGTTCTGCTGAAAGCGAAGGAGGCTTGGATACAGAGATATGCAGCGGATAGTCCGTTTGTACCGTTGTGTAAGTTTATTCTCTGCTTGAGCACTACATCAAATCTGGACTTTCCAAAACAGCAACTAACAGACTCTACAGATTTCCTCAAAGCCAAAAACAAGCCCAGAGGTCTTCCACCACCTTCGTCTATTCCATTCGAACCCCTCAGCTCCCAAACACCAAATACTCCACCACCCGAGCAACCACCGCCTCCATCAGAATCACCAGAACCCCCAACATCTCGCCTAACGTCCACACAATACCACGACCAGGACTACGCCTACTTCTTGGACTTCGTCTCCTCACCCGACGGCCCCTCCCCCTGGCCACATATAACCTGGTCCTCCACCTCCACCCTCTCCCCCAACATCGAAATCCCGAACTCCCTCCTCACACCCCCTTTCACTTCCATCTCGCTCCAACACCTCTTCTATCTACTCAAGTCCGGCGCTAGAGTATCGTGGTTGACGTCTACGAGCGGTGAAGTAGCATTCGAGGGATTGAAGGAGGCGATCAGGGAGGGTAATGTAGAAGCTGTGCATCTTTTGATGTGGAGTGGGTTACTCGAGAGGATGGATGTTGAGGTGCTAGTTTGGGCGATGAGGAATGTTGGATCCAGTGCTGGACTTGCTCCCACTCCTAATATTGGTGATGAGGACGAACAAAGACTAGGAAAAGGGAAGGTATTAAGTCTGGAAGAGAAAGTGCGAACTATTAATCAAATATTGAGACTTGGATTTACAGCAATGGACTCCTGGGAGAGGGGCAGGATCGAAGCGGAGTTATTGGTGATGAGGGATGAGGCAATTATGAGGGATTATGAGGAGGGATTGGAGTTTGTGAGAAGAATTGTAGGAAGTGAGACGTTGAAGGGTGTGGTGGACGTAAGAGTCTAGAGTGTTGGCTATAGCAGAATCCATAAATATAGACTTAGAAACTATGGCGATCCTCATACGCGCCTATATAACTTTCCAAGGACATCTTTGGCTTTCTTTCACGTGAATACTGTAAGATACAGCTGGATCCTCACGTTGAAAGTGGTCACTGGCGCCAAGTTGTTTCGGATGTTTGTATTTATCAAACTTCAAAGTGTAGGTAAACAATGACGAGATTAAGCGAACACTCAACATTGCCCTTGGTTTCAACCCCGAGCTACTTTCAGGACACTGAGAGGGCTGTTGACTTTGGCGAGACATAGGTATTAGAGATATTACTTGGCACGGTGGTGACGTCTGTAAATTCTATGCTGTGGTAGTTTATAAGATTACTGAAATGAATCATTGTATTACGAACCTCTCTGTGGCTTGTGTATTCACTTTCGATAACTGCTTGCATTGTACGATATTCAAAGTCCTGGTCTCGACAATGTTTAATTCTAATATTTCAACCTATTACTCTACTCATCACCCAACACACTCTTATTGAAAAACCTATGTATCACCCTCCCCGCCTCCCTCCCAACAGCCGGCTCTAACTCATTCACAGATGCATTCGCAACCTCCCTCAAACTCCCCATCTCCACTACTAAATTCTTGATATTCTTGCCCGTAACACCAGGTACAATCCTCAACATGTCCTGCGGTTCCCTATTGAAGCTCTGATCCTCGGCCTTTTGACCGCCTTCGAGCCCAATGCGCACTGCAGCGATGGGATCCGGTTCTGGCTCTTGTGTTTTGAGGGACTCGAAGATCTCGGCTGTTTGGTAGGGTGAAGATGACCAGATGATACGGAGGCGAGGGAATGCAAGGGTGAGGAGGACGAGTTTGGATTGAAGGTCTGAGGTGGCATTGGACGCGGAGACGGAATTCAATGTGCCTGAGAGATCGGCAAAAGGTTCGAGGGTGAAGGACTTGTTCTGGTCGAATTCAATGAGCAGCATAGGGGATTTGTAGTGCAATTGCATGGTCTCGGCTTGGCTGTAAAGACGGCCGTCTTTGAAGGAGGAGATGAGATCTTTGATGGATTTACGCTCAACACAGATGCTGGGTGAGAGAATGTAGTCGCCGACCGTGAGCATGCAGGGAACTATTACCATGGAGCGGCCATGAAGGAGAGAGGGAAGAGAGGAGCGGAATTCGCGGACGTCGACGACGACCCGAGGTGGTTGGGCCGTAGCGGCTAGCCGACCGCCGCCTGCTATTCGAGTATTAATCGTGCGTAGGAAGGCCTCTTCGGGATCTTCGATGCCATGAGCATCGAGTGTCATGACAACGGACATGCTAGATTTCTCTTTGATGAGTTTGGTGAAAGCATCCTTCTCGCGCCGGACGGAAGACAGATATCGTTGCTCTTCAACAGAGCCGCCGTAATAAAGGAAGTAGACCCGTACATTGCGGTCGTTATGAGATGAGCGGTAGACCTCCACTCGGCGAACGAACGAAGTATCTGGCTCATACATGATGATGTATCGAGGCTTGACCTCTTCGAGCACATGTTCGTCCATATCCCCATCGTAGGCATGGATTACAACCAGATTCTGGGTATCGTAGAGTTGGTAGAAGTCCTCCATGTCATCTAATGGATCTGCAATGATGTCTTCTTTCTGAGCAGCCTCTGTTTCCGTCGGCTGGATCTCAGTCATAAGCGTAGCGACTTCAAGTGGTTTATCCTCGGATGCTAGAATGCTCCCATTTGCAGCTCGTGTAGGACCAGCTCCAGCGTTTCCGCCACCTCGGACTCGGCGTCGCTTGTTTGGTGGTTGCTTCCCTCGATAGCTACCGCTTGTGCTTTTTGTTTCCGTTGTACCGTTCAAGGAATTTTGAGTCTCCTTGAATAATTCCGCACTAACTTTTGCAAACTCCTTCTTCCACTTGAAATAACCGCGCAGTCTCTTCCTCATCATGAAATTGGCAGATGGCTCATGCTCGGTCTCCTCGTCACCATCTGTCTCAGTGATCTCTGTTCGGACATGCATAGTCTGGAGGTAATCTCGTAATTGACGACACTGGTTCGTATCGCTACACATGATCAGTATCGATCCATTTGAATCGTCTCTGATGGTAGGATTGAAATAAAGGTCTCGGTCAATTTCTTCCAAGACTTCGGCAAGAACTGCCCACTTAGGTTGCTCTTCCAAGACAGGTCGAAGTGACTCTAGATTCTCTGTGGCTCCTGGTGCTGCTTTCCCGGTGTACACTCTTCGCTTAGCGGTATCAAATATGGTATGAGCTGCATCGAGAAATAGCCATGGAGATTGATTCTGTCTTGTAGATCCTGGTGGCGGAGAGTGAGCTGCCAGAATAGTATCGAGATGGCGGTTAAAAGAGACAGCATCATATGTGAGAAGACTATGAAGCATGCCTCTTAGCACCCCCAAGTCGTTAACAATTTGTTTGGTTTTCCAGCTGACTCGATGCCAAACTGGATCTAGCTGCCGCCTGACAACCATATCAAATTGCTTGTGGAGAGCGCTGTCAAAATTCCAATCTTCCATCTCCAAGCCCGAATTACTCTTTTTGAGATCTGAAATGCTCACTTCAACACACTCCATAATGGCATTTTGGATGTCGCGCATAGAATCGGACATAGGGACTTCCAATTCAATGACCTCGGCTTTCTTCTTGCCTTCCAGTGCCTGGCCCACAGTGACCTGGAACCGTGGCCACAATGACACATTCCGTAGAAATAAATTTCGCATCATGGTTGAAAGAGGCGAGAATCCAGTGGCAATTGGCTCTGGGTTATCAGAGAAGGCTTTCAGGAAACCGACTTTGTTCCGCTGCCTATATATCCGCAATATGAAAGCCTCCAGAGACGTAGCCACAATCTTGTCTGCATGGAGTACCACTAACCCTGTAATGGTTTCCGGATTCAATAAGCTTGTAAGGAGGTCGACAACGAGGATTCGTGAAGTGACACTGAAAATGCCGCCTTGGCTATACATTTTCTCTCTTGTGCCCACGCTCATGACATCTGTGTTGACCACGCTGAGCCCCCTAGCTTTAGGAGCCATGCTGATGGCAGCATGTTCCGCCAGAGCTTCCCCAATCCATCCGTTCTCTCTGTCTTCGGCCCCGACGAGCAGTATCAGGTTGTTTCCAGCCGCATCGTAGGAATGGAGGAGGTTCGTAACTAATCGCAGCAGGCCAAGGCCGCGTGCAATGACAACGAGCTCATCCTTTTGGCGAAGCTCTTGGAATATCTCTTGCTGGTATTTCTGGGCTGGTTAGCGGGGTCTTCATGCTGTTCTGAAGGTCTTTACGAGTGGCAGGGACAGCTTCACTGGCTGTTGATCACCGTTCCCGGAAGACATCTGCAGCTGTGGCGGTCATGATCGACCTGACCCCTCCATGAGCACAAGGTCTGGGACGCGGATAAATTCAGTATTGTATTGTAATCAGAAGTTGGCTCGTAGTCTTGGAGTGTGGACTCGGATAATCAATGCATTGGATCTCGATTCCGGGAAGTGGACATCGGGAAGACGCGTCAGAATGGAAAGTACGGTACTGTATCACCAGGTATAAGTAGGTAGGTCACGCTAGAGAGGCTAGGTGCTGAACTGCGCTGAGCTACTTATACCCTAGCGGTTGAACTGATTGGCATTTGGCAATGGATCTCGCGTGCTTCCCCTCTCGCCTCCAAGTCCTCACCCTCGCGACGTCATGGTCTTAGCATGGAGGGGCAAGTGCTTTCATATTATAAAAGGCTGTTCCATCTTGTAAGTACAATACTGTATGATAAGTATTTAAGTAAAGTTCTCTAAATCTATTCTTCCAACTTTAAACCACAAATTTATTTTGGACATTCTAAACACCTACTCTCAAAACCATCCATAATGCCTGCCGGACCAGACGAGACTGATAACCACGCCGCTGGCGCTGCCACCGAGCTCACAGCAAAGCACGCTTCCTCCAAGACAGAGTCAAATGCCAGCACTCATCCTCTTCATGACCAAGGCGAGCCAAAGGGTGACAAGGTCGAATTTATTCACCACCAGGCACACCCAGGACCAGCTGTTCCCAAAGAGTTCAATGTCCAGCAAGAGGGTACCAAGGAAGAGCGTGCTGCTAAGACTCAGGAGCTGAACAAGTAATGCTTTCCCGGTATGCTTTCAAACTTGTATTATACTACTTGTGCTCTTGATAGCTAATTGGTTTGTATCGAGACTCTAAATTATGATTGTTGGGTGGCATATTCGGTTTGGGCATATGGCGTTAGTCCAAGTGGTAACCTAAGGGAGGAGCTCGCAGAGAGGATGGAGGCTTTCAAACAGCTGTACATTAGCAAAACACCTCCAGCTAGGCCGATGAATCATGAATGCATGCCGCCATTCTGCACCCATTTATTATTGGCTTGGTTGGTCTAGAGAATATTCAAACTCGCGTAATACCTAGGCATGATGTATCTTGGAGGAGGTAATGACGGTGATTTATTAGTGTTACTCGGCTCTGTTTCCGAGCAAGGTCCTCCAAAGTCTAAAAAGGAACAGACTAAGTTGGCCGAGTAAGTAACTCAGATCCAGATCAAAGAACATAAAGCAAGAAAGTAGTTCTGTATACATTTTCATATCTATTCCTTTCCAATGTTGCCCTCTCTTTCGGTAATCATAGAGTAGAGACGCGCGTTGAAGCTCGCATCGAAGCGCCTTGTCTTGCTTCTCCCGCCTTCGACGTGGCTGAGTGCAGCACTTCCAGCGCAGCTGAGTGGACTTGGTGAGGCTTGACCCAACATCTCTTGGCGGCCTTTGTTACGTACCGCCGACAGGACAGGCACTGGGCACTTTGTGAACATCAAGCTCCCACCTACCTACCTGACCAACACATCGCATCGTTTGTTCCGTGAATGGCATCTGCCACTGGCTGCCTATCGTCGACTCACTAATTGCACAACAACATCCAACGCGCTCGCCAGTAGCAGATTTCGAAGGCATCCTTTAATTCCACGTCCCAATGCGCTCAGGCAGTGCCAGGCAAGGCCAATCTCCCACACGACCACTGCCTGTTTCGAAACCATCTCGACAAACAGAGCGATAGAGCTCGAGGGCGGGATCTACGCGGATCTCTTGGGAAAAGTACAACTTTGATCGATAGAGATGCCTTCAATTCTCACCGACGACGATAAGGAGACGGTCAAGAGGCAGGTTCCAAAGGCTACGAATAAGATACAGGCGGTGGCCGTGGCCAGACTGTACATTGCGTACCCAAACAGGAACAAATGGACATATACCGGACTTCAGGGGGCTGCGGTCCTTGCGAACGATTTAGTGGGAAATACATATTGGCTGAAGCTTGTTGATGTGTCGGTTCGTCAGCCCATCTCCATATCTTGGACTAAAGATACATATCGAGACACCACATGCTAACATCGAGGTAGCCACTTAATCGAGGGGTAATATGGGATCAGGAAATCTACGACACTTGGTCCTATAACCAGGACAGGACATTCTTCCATACCTTCGAAACTGAGGATTGCTTAGCCGGACTATCCTTTGTGGATGAGAAAGAGGCGAAGCAATTCCTGAAGAAGATGAATGATCGAGAGAAGAATGCCAGCAAAATGACCAAATCTAATCCATTCGGTGGAGGTGGACAGCAGCAACAGAAACATGGCTTACTTGGGGGTCTATTCGGTGGACACAGACACTCATCCGCTCCATCGATACAGCCAACTCCTCCAGACTCGCCGAGTTATACACTTCCACCAGCACAGAACAACCGAATGTCAGGTGGAAGCTTCAATGGAGGGAAACCGCAAGCATCCCAGTTTGCTGCATTAGATGCTATTGATCCGAATTGGAGGGAAACCTGGGGCGACGATTTGAAGCAAATGGGGATTACAGATGACTTGATTCGAGACAACCAGGATTTCATCGCGGATTACATTCGCCAACAACAGGCCGCGCAAAATGTCCCAACTCCAGCAAATGGGATTGAGAATCAACGAAACAGAGCCCCTCCACCACCGCCTCCTCCCGCAGCACCTTCACGCACACGATCTGAAAGTCCACAGAACGTTTCCTCGGGACGTGGGAGGGGAGCACCGCCAGCACCACCTCCAGCCAGAAGATCAGCAGCGAAAGTCGACGCACCGAGAGAACCTACTCCACCTCGAGAACCATCTCCACCCAGAGGACCTCCCCCTCCCAGATTTGCGGCTCCACCTCCTTTGCCAGATGCTGGCAAATTCGCCAATACCAATGCCAAACCACAACGTGCTCATGCTCAAAGCCTGTCAAATCCAGGCCCCCCTCCTCCCCCAAGACCCCCAAAGTCACCAATCGAAGACTCATACGAGCCTGGAGAGTCTGGTTCCAAATTTGGAGTACCTCCTCCTTTCATGGGCCAGAGAAAGCAAGTTCCTCCTCCGACACCAGCCAGAGGAGCAGTTCCCCCACCTCCTCCTCAACGAGAGACTCCACAAAGAGACTCAACAGGACTTGCGCATGCGGTCCCTCCAGCGAGTGTACCTCCACCCCCTTTACCTCCCAAGACTCCATCTGGACCTCCTTTGCCGCCTGCCTCTTCAAGGCCTGTTCCTCCACCTCCTTCAAGAGACAGCGGGGCCCCACAATCATTTGCACCACCTCCTCCACCTTTACCACACTCCAATGCTCCTCCGCCACCGCCATTACCACAATCGAGTGCCCCTCCTCCACCTCCATTACCCTCTTCCAATGCTCCCCCTCCACCTCCTCTCCCTTCCTCAAATGCCCCTCCTCCACCGCCCTTACCGTCTTCCAGTGCTCCTCCACCGCCCCCTTTGCCCTCGTCCGGTGGACCGCCCGCTCCTCCTCCACCACCACCAAACCGGGATTCGGGATATCAGTCTGGAGTTCCCGCCTCTTTGCCACAGCCTACTGGTGATCGTGCAGACTTGATGGCGAACATCCAGAAAGCAGGCGGCATTGGAGCACTTAAGAAGGTGGACCGATCTCAAATCCGAGACAGGAGTCAAGCAATGGTTCCCGGAGCGGATACAGGACCTGCTGGAAGCGGATTGCCTCCAGCTGGAGCCAGTGGTGGTGGAGCAGATGGTGGTTTGGCTGGTGCGTTGGCGGCTGCTTTGAATAAGAGGAAGCAGAAAGTTAGTGCAAGTGGTAAGTAACTCCACAGAGTCCAAGAAAAAACGCATGCTAATGTTTACTCAGATGATGAAGCGGATGATGATGATTGGTAGATGAATGTTGGTTCTCGGGGGTAGTTTGATGATAGGTGTAACAGGCGTTGTGCCTACAGGGCGAATTTTGGCCCCGCCGATTGCAAAGCTTGCTGCTAAAGAGAGGGTAGTGTAGTTAGTGTTGAATACCAAATACGTCAAACCAGGATCAGTTATGGTCTCAAGCGGTGTATGTAAATGCAGCGTATTTCTATTTTCTATGAAGTGAAGTGCCCGAATCCATGAGTACCTAGAGAGACCACAGCACATCCCGAATCCAAGCCACCCTTCACCCGAGAGTGTAAAAAGGCAGAACGTGCAGGATTGCGTACGAATGCAAGAAGAAGCGAAAACAGCCTAGCCGATGACTTGCAACGTCTCTCCCACTGCAGGCCACCACCAGTCAAACAACCACAACCAAAAGAAACATGCTGTCGAGGTTCTCGGGAAATGGATGGGTTGCGTCTCGGTCCTGACGAACGACCACGGCCACTTCCGCGAGATTGAGAGAGAAGACAGACTTTCTTTTCGTCACCGCCATCACCACCAGTAGCGCCCGTACCAACGCGCCCGAATCTCTCTTTGCCAATGCCAAAATCTAGACATAAATCTAGAGTCAGGTGAAGAAGGAGAAGTAGGAGGTAGTGATACAGCCGAACAGCCAGTAGAGCCCCACCGCCCCTCTAGATCTCATCAACATCAACCTCCTTGCCCTTTCCATCCTCATCCTCACTCTCACTCCTATCCTCATCGAACTCAAAGTTGCAATCTCCGTCTCCCTCCTGGCCATAAGTATCCGTCTCGTTGATCTTCGCGCTCTCGGGCAGCTCGCCGTACGCCTTGAGCGAACGCGCCTCGTCCGCGCTGTACTTGAGGATCACGTCGCCCTTCTCGTCCTGGTAGTCGCGGAGCGAGAGCAGGATGATGTCGCCCTGGTTGATCCAGACCTTCTTGCGGAGCTTGCCTCGGATGTGTGCGAGGCGTTTGGACCCATCGAAGCAGAGGGCTTCGAGGCGGCCGTTGCCGAGCATCTTGAGGACTTGGGCATATTCTGTAGGAAAGAGAGTTAGTAAAGAGTATTTTCTTCATATTTTGATGCTTTGGAGGGAGTGCTTGGAGGGTGCTGTTGGATGGGATGGTGGCATGGTGGGGTACGTCGGAATGAGGGGATGAATTGTCTTACCTTGACCCTCTTCCTTGAAGGTGAGTTCACGCTTCTCGTTGTCGTTCTCGTTCTTTCCACGACGCCTGTTCTTACCACCCTATGTAATTATCCCAGTCAGCATCTGCCTTGTCTGTGTGCGATGTGCTGAAGACGGATCAGCCTGAAGTCTGCGCGGCTGCCTACCTTTCCCTTATTCTTAGGCATATCGACCGATTTTCTTTATCGAAGTTGTCTGTGGTGGCTTGGTTTTCTGGATACGGTTTTGAGGGGTATATTTGAGTGGGTCAATACCGAAGTGAGCCTGGGTGGTTGTGTCTTTAAGTAGAGAAGGTCGCCGCTGGCTGTTGTGATTTGGACTGCAGTGGAGGGGCTAAATTCTGTGGTGCGTCACCACTAGCGTCAAAATCCACATTCGAGCGGCGCTTTGTTCCCGAAGCGAGCCCAGCATTTATTTTGGGACTGAAGGTACTTTGTGACAACTTGAGCTTCGTTCCAAATGAAAGTTGTTTGCTCTTCAGCAACACCCTTCCCTCGCTACGACCAGTCACGAAAGGCAGTGCCAGAAAATATGGCATCCAAAGGCCGATAATGGAACGATAGTCCATTTCCAGCTCCACAATCCACAGTCTTTACCTTCTTCTCTCCAACGATGGCCTGGAATGCCACAACAACAAAGTCCGCTTCAAGAATCTTTGACATCACCTGGCTCACCTCACTGAACCCTGCAGGCCGCAATACCTGGAGCGCCTTCACCATCAGGTACAGAGATGCGCGAGTCTACACCGTTACCGCCTTGCGATGGCGCGATACACACCCCAATAACTTCCCACTCAGAAAGCTCTTTGAGCAGCGATGGGACGAAAGGATGGATCCTTTCTGGTGGTCGGCAATTGCGTACAAAAGCTTGGAATCAAAGAGGGTGGTGAGGAGTTATGCAGCAAGGAAATTGAGGATAGCGTTCACAGAGTCTTTGAAGAAGAAGGGCTTTGCGCCAGACGGGAATACGCTTATGGGAGGGGAGGCAGGTCCTTTGACTGGGACGGCTCAACTCACTCCTAATGAGACTATTCTCAAGACCAGACTGAGCGATCTGGTTATCCAGACAGATGCTGCTTTGGAGGAAGTGTTGAGGATTAGGGAGAAAGGGCTCAAAAAGAAGGCCGCTGGATTTCCCAATGGCAATGGCAAAGAGAGCCGAAGGAGCGGCCAAAGGAAAATTCGAGGACACACTCCATGGACCACAAATAATAGGAAGTGAATGTAAACTCTCCCACGCTAAGAACAAATGTGCCAAAAGCTTGTAGTTGTGAAACCATGCAGACGTTCCCATGCTGTGAAGTCGAAGTCCACAGGGCTTCCTTGCACGACTTACTTTCCCAGCCTTGCCATTTCAGCCAATGAGGCTGCACTACGGGTCCGAGCTCCCCCAGTCGCGTTCATTGAACCAAGTTCGAGGTTGTCGCAACGTATCTCACAAACCAACTGATCCATTCGAAATCTAATCGCAACAATGCTGATCTCATTGACAGTCGGCAAGGTCGATGCCGGTGTTGCAGTCCTTCTGACCCAAGACAAACGACTTGTATGTTCGCATTCACGCCGGATGGCCCCTTACCAGATGCCAGCAATCTAACTACTCGTCCAGATCGAATTTCCTTCGATTCTACTACCTCCCAATATCTCCTCTGGAAGTATAGTAGACATCACAGTCGCCCGAAACCTCAACTCAGAAACCAAATCCCAAGCTGCTTTCCTTGCGCTCCAAGACTCCATCTACTCCTCCTTCGGCGACTCGGAACCTGTCGCACCCAAACTAAGCTGCAGAAATGCAACTCAAACATCCGTAGTCCTTGAATGGGACCCAATCGAGGTCGCAACGGCAGATGTTATCTCCCTCTCCCTCTTCCGCAATGGCCAGAAAGCCGGCAACATCCCCCGACCCACGACGATGCACAGCACGAAGATCAGTGGTCTGGCAGTCGATACGGAATACACATTTCACTTGGTATTGAGGACAAGTGCAGGCACTTTCAGCAGTGATAAAGTCGTTGTTAAGACGCATAAGATGACGGACTTGAGTGGTATTACAGTCACACCTGGTATTCTACCTGCGCAGTTGAGGGATAGTCTCACCAGGGCCGTGGAGAGGATAGGAGCCAAGTTGGCGGATACAGTCCGGATCGATACTACACACTTCGTGACTACGGAAGGGAGAGGTCTACTTTGGGAGAAGGCGGTTGAGATGAACATCCCAGTGGTTCGGCCGGAATGGGTCGAGGGTTGTGAGAGAGGAGGCAGGATCGTGGGTGTCAGGCAGTATTATTTGGATGCCGATCCAAGACAACGCCAGATTGCTCAAGCCGAAATACCTGCTCAGTCACCACCGGAGCCAGCTAAAGAATCGCCTTTACCTAGTCCACCTGCAACCAACGGCTCAAGTCAAGCAATTCCTCCTACACCACCCGCGAAGGATGCGCCCAAGGAGGAACAGGAGAGTAGCGATGATGAGGAAGAAGACAAGGAAGACAAGACCGCCGTTCAGGACGAGCAGAAAGTCAGGGTTGAGGACAGAGATCAGCATAAAGTTGCACTACGGCCCGCAGCGCCTGCATCAACATCCGAATCAGAGGAAAAAGACGAGAAGTTGAAAGAGCCTGCTGATGAGAACAGTGGATCAGGTTCTCAGACGCCAGGTAATTCGAGTTTCCAAGATGTAGCTCTCTAGTTGGACTGGTTTGGGTCACCAATGCTTCGCTTTTCACAATATACCTAGGATTCCTTCGGCTGGCTGCGATCTGCTTGAGCAGCATGGTGTTGGGGGATATTTGGTGTGTAGCTAGAAGAGCTTCAAAAAATAAGATGGACACTTTGTACAAGTAGCTTTTCATGAGAGTGAGGTCCAACTCTTTTACTTTCCAGAAAGCCAAGCGGCTGTCAGTCTTGTTTCCTGCTTGGGCTTAAGTGCATTCACCGGATTCTCTTTGATGTTAAACCTCGTAAGTCATGAATGTTTCCCAGCTTTCGATCGATGACCCTGAAATCTGTACTCGAAGCTGAGACAACTTGTTCATCAAAGATACGAGCCATGCTGATTTGGGCATAGCTCCCGCCGCTTGTAAGGGGATTGACGATCATCAACCCTGTACATTCTGTCACTTGATATTCAACATCGAAGTCTATATCAGGCGCTTTCCGCTGATGTATTCATTCTTCTCATTCCATAAGGACTTAATTGAAAACTCCTTGAGATGGCTTGGTCACTAGTCTGTCCAGCAAGCCGGGGAATTGGCTTCCACTTGACACGGCATCTCTTACAAACGACCAAGATCCCTGTCGTTGCAACAGCTAGGCAAGATGTCGCGGGAGTGAAGAAGAGCATTCTTGAAGATTTATCGGATGTTGATCCCGAGCGACTCCATGTTTTGGAGGTTGATGTTACAAGTATGACCTCCCTGTCTCTATCTCACCCTACGTCCCAGTTTAGAGAATAAGATATTTGGAATAAAGCTGACAACAAGGCAGACGAATCTACCATCCTCCGTGCAGCAGAAGACGCCAAAACCCTCTATCCCCCGTCATCTCATCATCTCCACCTCGCCTTTTCAATTCCAGGAATCCTCTATCCCGAAAAATCACCTGCCCAACTTGACCACTCACACCTTACACAAACCTTCGCCATCAACACCATCGGACCTCTCCTCCTCGCGAAACACTTCTCGTCGTTTCTCCCCAAGAAATCCACCCCTCTCTTTTCCGCTTCCGAATGTGAAGAATTAGGAATCCCTCCTCAAGCAGTCTGGCTCAACATGTCTGCCCGGGTGGGCTCGACGTCCGACAATGGACTTGGAGGGTGGTATTCCTACCGAGCGAGCAAGGCGGGTGTAAATAGTGTGAGTAAGAGCTTGGACTTGTGGCTGAGGGGTAGAAGTGGTGAGAAGGCCATGGCTATGGCGTACCATCCTGGGACGGTGAAGACGGAGCTGAGTAAGGAGTTTTGGTCAGGTGTTAAAGAGGAGAAGCTGTTTAGTCCAGAGTTTGCGGTGGAGAAAATGGTCGGTGTTGTGAAGAGTCTGGGGGTTGAGGGTAGGGGAAAATGTTGGGATTGGAAGGGGACGGAGATTCTACCTTGATTGATTGGGAGAATTGGAGCGCTGATGGACTTGGGTGTTGTGGAGAGTCATTGTTGCAGGACAAGCCATGTTGAGTTGTGTTGTTGACGACATCTTAGGCGAGGCAGGAAAGGGGTAGCGAGCAAGACTCAAGAACCACCAGGAGCTCAACAACATAAGTTCTCGCTTCTTTGCAGAAAACCTGCATGGATTGTATGACAGTATCAAACACATGTTTACTCTGTTCAAATCGCCCACACTCGCTTCCCACAATTGAAGTCCTCAAAACGCGGGGACCCCACTATTGACCTTACAACGGCACCAAACTTCCGAGATCGTCTTGACGATCCCCTGTCACGTACTTACTCTTCGCTATGTATTACCCCGCCATGAGTATCCGTCTCCGTCTAATGCCGACTCTATCTTATTTATCTCTCTTTGTGTAACCTCGTTCATCAATTACATCACAGATGTATCCTGAGCTTGAAGTCACTTATCCCCTTTCCCGCGATAATTACAGAAAGAGTCGGGAAGAATGGCTGGCTGGTATACAATAGGCCTTGCGCTCTTTGCAGCGATTGGGACATTTCTCTTCGTGGGTACTTCTTTTGAATCTGAACCGAACACAGCTTCTAACATACAGATAGGGTTTTGATACAGGTATCGCGACAACAAGTGAGTCCCTTCTTCATCTTATCCACAGTTAATACAATAAAAAACTGACGGCCAACTCAGCAATCGCACACAAAAGCTTCATAGAGTATATGGGAAACCCGTCAAATGGAGCCACAGGGGCGGTAAGACTATACATTTCATCCCACTCTCAGGGAGCATTTTCCCAACTGTCATAAAGAATGACTTCTGATCTCCTATGTAGGTCGTAGCCGTATACATCGCAGGCGAAGCGCTCGGGGCTCTGACGCAGACATTCATTGGTGACAAGCTGGGACGAATTCGCTTCATGCAATTGATGTGTATCGTTGTCACAATTGGAACGACCATCCAGACTGCAGCTGTGAACTTCGGAATGTTCCTTGCCGGACGAGTGTTGGCCGGGTATGCTGTTGGGTAAGTCAATTCGACCTCCTTCGATCGTCACTTTACTTCAAATAAGGGACTTGGTGAGTGTGAATGAGACTGACGAATATAAAAGCGGCATGGTAGCAACCGTCCCCATCTACCTCTCCGAAATTTCCTCTCCCCTTCATCGCGGCCTTATTGGCGGGATATCCGGTTGTGGTATCTCCTTCGGCACCATGATGTCCAATTGGGTCGGTTTTGCCTGCAGCTACGCACCGTACGGCTCGACACAATGGCGTCTTCCTCTTGGCCTTCAGATCCCTTTCGGAGTCGTTATGTTCGCGGGTCTGGCGACCTTTATGCCACATTCGCCTCGACAGCTCATTCGGACAGGCAAGATTGACTTAGCGCGGAAGGAGTTTGGACGTATTCACAGGGGAGAGGGTGTGGAAGAGGGAGAGATCGTGAGGGAGTTTGCCGGGATGAGGAGCCAGATAGACTTTGAAATGGAGAGGGAGATTACGTCTTATAGAGAAATTTGGCGATTGTTTAGGCATAGGGTGATGGTGTAAGTTCGGGCTCTTCGCGGTGTGTATTTTGATGGCGAAAAGAGACAGCTGACAGCATATAGGTCGATTGCGGTGCAGACTATGACAAGTCTAACCGGTGTTAATGTCATTCAGGTATGTTAGAGCTTCAAATCGGTTTGCTTACATGACGCTGACTTCATGTCAACAGTACTACCAGAGTGAGTTCCATCCATCAACAGATTTCTCACCTTTACGAGCTGACTCCTTACAGCAATCCTCTACAAATCTCTCGGCATCAATCCGAAAACCATCCTAGCATTGGCAGGCGTCTACGGCACAGTGGCATTTGTTTCCAATGCCATTACAACTAAATTTCTCACTGATCAATGGGGTCGTCGAAAGTACGTCCTTTCATTCTCCTTCTTTCCTGGCGGCTTTGCCTAGGCTCTCCCTATCTTCGTCACCTCTTTTCATGAGAACAGAGCTAACAGGTTAACAAGAATGATCCTCGCCGGTCTTTCCGGCATAGTCGTCGTTGAAATCTTCGCTGCGGTAATGCAGCGAGAATTCCAGAACACGGAAAACAAGATCGGGAAAGGTTTCGCAGTTCTGGGTATTTACCTCTTCGTTGTTGTGTACTGTAAGTTACATCCGCTCCCGGAAAACATAAACAAAAATAAGGGGAAGGAATCATGTATGGGCAATCTGACAAATTCCAGATGGCATGCTCAACAGTACAACGTGGCTCTATGGCGCTGAAGTTCTCCCTCTGGTGTACAGGAGTAAAGTCATGGGCTTAGCTGCTGCGTCGCATTTCATCGTAAATGTCGCTCGTAAGTCATCGATGTCTCATATTATAGTTGTCTCACTTTTTCAATTTCCCTCCCTACGTCCCTTTAAAACCCACAGATGCCCGATGCTAAAACCTGGCAACAACAGTCACAGAAGCAGGACCAAGCGCCTTCGCAACAATTCATGAGAACTACTACTACGTTTTCGTAGCCTGCTCGTTCTTCTTCCTCGTCATAGCTTACTTTTTCTTTCCGTAAGTTCTCTTTTAGCTATCAAACGCGAATCAAAACACTTCAAGAAGGAACATGGTGAAGAACAGAGCACTAATAGTAAACAGGGAAACCAAACAGAAGAGTCTCGAAGAGATTGCCGCCGCCTTTGGAGATAAGGTGGTATTACTTACGGAGAGAGATTTTGAGGCAGAGGGGAAGGCAGGAGGAGATATGACGAGGACTGAGCATTTGGAGATGGGAGAGAAGGAGAGTGTGTAAGATTTATAGTATGGATCTTGCATTTAAAAGAGTGTGGACCGAAGACGTTCAAATTCCTCATGAAGAGAATAGACGATTGGAAAGTGAAGGATCCGATCGAAAGAAGCATGGCGATCGACATATTGCTTCTGCAATTGCAGATAGAAGTTGAATAAAGTACACTGCCAACAAAACTCAGCCTCGATAGATGAGACTTTCCTGGAATCAGTTTGAGGAGTGGGGGAAGCAAGCTGAGCATATCAGCAACAAGGAAAAGAATTTGACGAAATACAACAAGGAATCAAATGTAGAAACCAAGCAACAAATTGACTCGCCAAGCACTTCAAGATATCGAAATCAACATCCACCCTAGCCAAACCTCGGCCTAGACCAAAACAATCGCAACACTCTCGTAGTTCCCCTCATTCCAGTCGCTCCAATGATACCACATCTACAACAACCCACCACATGCAGATTCACACTCCGGATATCCCATTCCAGAAACCTTCTATCCCAGCATCGCGGGGGCCCCAACACATCTAGCTTTCCAGTCCGTCATCCATTCGAATGGAGATATTCCTCTCGGGTTTCCCAATACGGACGGCCCGAAAGATAGGGGTCGACTCGGCTAAATCTTGGGGGCGGGGTAGTCGGTCTCGAGCTGGCGAACGACGACCCTCCAACCAAGGACGTATGTGGCGAAAGGTTACCTCAACGATGAGGGGTGAGGGGAGGGGAGGGGAGGGGAAGATAACGATGATGTTTCTGTGCGACTAGGCCAGCTGTCAGTTAGGTTCACGCGGAACTTGTGGGCTGGGCTAGTCTATAAAAATTCGTTCGTTCCACTCGGGGGCGCGTTCGTTCGTTGATTGAGGCTCCAATTGTTCCTTGCTTCATCTTTTTTTTTGCTTTTGTTACTACTATCACTACGCATTGACAGACGGGTGACCTGGCATACTCAGCTGTAGCTAGCTGACTGCTCCTTCTCAATCCTGTTTACCAGGTCCAAGTGAAGCTCTCCCAGTGGAGACAATGGGCAGCATCGCAATGCCTTCATATAATTTCAAGCAGACCTTCGATGCCAAGGTAGAAGGCGTCGAAGAGCCCACTATGCGAGCTTTGCGTTTCCACGGCCAGAAAGATATCCGACTTGATCAAATCCCAATTCCGAAATGTGGGAAGGGCCAGGTGAAAGTGAAGCCTGCTTTTGTCGGGATTTGTGGGACTGGTAAGTTATCTCAAGCTTCATGAGCTTCAAAAATTCGGTGTTAACATGGCAAACCAGATCTCCACGAATACCTGGGAGGAGCAAGTCTCATACCCTCAGCTCATCCTCACCCCATCACGGGGGAGAAAGTTCCACTGACAATTGGTCACGAGTTCAGCGGAACGGTGGTTGAAGTGGGCGAAGGTGTCACCACGCACCATGTTGGCGATAGGGTGTGTGTGCAGCCCATTATCTTCGATGGGACGTGTGGAGCTTGTGTAGAGGGTTACATCAACTGCTGTTACAGCAATGGGTTCATCGGTCTCAGTGGTATGTCAAGGCCAAACATTCTCCTCACATCTACCATCGCTATTCGGAATATATGCTCACATGATACAGGCTGTGGAGGCGGCCTTTCTGATTTTATGGTTCGTGTTATTCTGCTCTTGACTTCAGACTAACCTAAGATCCCCCTCCTTCAACATCATATTTCCAGAGCAAAGCAAAACATCAATCTAATATCACACAGGTCTGCCCCTCCACCAGCGCAATCCCCCTCCCTCCCTCCATCCCCATGGAACTCGGCGCCCTCATCGAACCCCTCTCAGTAGCCTGGCACGCCGTGAAAGCCTCCCCCTTCCAATCGGGCAACTCCGTGCTCATCATCGGCGGCGGTCCCATCGGACTAGCAGTAATCCAAGCCCTCCGCGCCAAAGGCGCTGGTAAGATAATCGTCTCGGAAGTCTCACCCCGCCGCAAACAGTTCAGTCTGGAATTCGGCGCGGATCATGTGCTTGATCCGACGGAAGTCGATGTCGTGAGTGAAGTGAGGAGGTTGTGCGATGGGCAGGGTGTGCATGTGGGGTTTGATGCGGCGGGTGTGCAGAGCGGGATGAATGCGGCGATTGGGGCGTTGAGGGCGCATGGAACGCTGGTGAATATTGCGGTGTGGGAGAAGCCGGTGCCGATTTTTCCGAATGATTTGGTGTTTAAAGAGAAGAAGTATATGGGGGTGGCGACTTTTGTTGAGGGAGATTTCAAGGAGGTTTTGGAGGCTATTGTTTCTGGTTGGTTTTACTTTCTTTCCTCCTCGTCTTTCCACTTACCTTCCCCTCTTCCTATTGATTCATACAGGCAATTATGATCTTTGGTGGGTGTATGACAGTCTGGTAGTCTTGCTAACAGGAAATAGGAGCCATCAAGCCCAGCAGAATGATCACCAAGAAAGTCAAGTTGGAGGATACAGTGACGGAAGGCTTTCAGACTTTGATTAATGACAAAGATAATCATGTGAAGGTACTCGTAGAGGTACAATAATAATGCAGGTCTATTCTTAACCTGTTTTCATTGTGTTGTAATTGGGAAGGGGCAGGATGACTTGTAAGTGCCGGAACCACTCTAAATGTGATAATCTGAGACAGCCAAACAATTCAGATTGATGTAGGATCTAGCATTTTGATAGTTGTATGAATAACTAATGAAATTGGATACCATTAAGCATTACCAAATAACTCGCTCGCTTCACACGCCGAAAAAGAACCTGGTATCAATAAATCCCCTCGCTTGTCCAAACCCAAAGTCACCCTTCCCTATTTCCCTTCCATCCGTCACCCCAAAATACTCATAGCATCATCCGAATCCTCATCCGCTTCCACTCCCTCCTTCTTGACCTTATGAATTTCCATACTAACCCTCGGCGCCAAAACCTGCATCTCTCTCATAACAGGCTCCATCCTCTCCAGTTCCCCCCTCCTCTTCTTCTCATCATCACTAGGCTTCCACTCCTCGTCTAAAAGTCTCGCCGCAGCCCTCTTATCCCGTCTCGTCTCCTTCCCAATCCGATGGATCTCCCCGAAACTCCTCGCAATGCCACCGAGCGTCTGTAGTAACATCATATTGTCGTTTTCGATCTTCGACATTCGCGCATCCATTTCTTTCTCGCGAAGACTCATGTTACGCTTTGCGCGGCGCTCTTGGCGGCGAGTTTCGAGGACGCTGCTGCGAAGGGACTGTGTAGGCGACCGCCGCCTGGATTTACTTTTCCTCTTGCTGCTGGAGGAGGTGGGAAGGGTGTTGTCGTTATCGTTCTCGTTGTCAGCATCAGTTTCGGAGCCGAAGGATGAGGTTATTGAGCGCGGAGGGGTATGGGTACTCCTGGCTGTTGACTCTGGGGAATTGGCTGCTACGGATTTAGATCGTCTGGAAGATCGCTGAAGTGGGAGATCTGCCTTAGTAACGTGGCCTGTGTATGGTGGGAGATTTGCCACTAGCATGATTGGTGATAGTGTGTTGATGGTTGCCCTTCTTCGATGTCCGTCTGCGTTCGCGCCTCGCTTAGGATTTCGTGGAGGTGCTACAACATGCGTTGGATTCTGACTGATGCTCGTGCCTCTTGCCTCTGATAATGGCCGACGAGGACTCGAACGTGATCGAATGTTTTCCAGATCGCGGAGCTTTCTGGCCCTGACTTTCTCCTGTCGACTTTGGCGTGTAACTACAATTGGCTCCGTCGCTCCAGCAGCCCGATTTGATGCAGTTCGCTTAGCTGTGTCCTTATTTCGAGGTACCGTTAGGTTCTGTGTTCTTAGAGGAGGCGCAGTCGATGGTCGAGGAACAGGCTCCTCGTGCGCGCCTCGGGGATTCGAATGATGTGATCGCTGAGTTACAACGTGAGGACGACCAACCGGGGAAGCATTATATCCCCGTACCGCAATTCCGTACACAGTTGGTGGGGAAGGCGATGTACCCTCACTCTCCGCGGACTTCCTGGGCGAAACTGTCGTATTACCTGCCACTTTCTCATTTGCTAGCATTGAAGCAATTACAAGTTCTTCCTGAATAGCTTTGGGGACTTTGGATATGCTAGATGTACGTGGAGGGAGATCCAACTTTAGCCCACTGATCATTGTCGCACTTGGTGCTGTGGAAACACTGCTGATGTTCCGCGAATGACCCATACCAGTACTGGCAAAAGACAGTTGGCTGTAGATGGTGCCACCTGAATGGCGAAGATCTGCTCGCTGACTGTCTTGTTGATGTGTGGGAGATACTGCAATGTAGCTCTTCTGCGGCCGCTGGTCGTACTTCGCTGGTAATGGTTCCACTCTCGGTTGTCTTACAGTGGATACTGAGTCCGGATGATATGCACTCATGATCCGAGTCGCATCAATTCCGCCCTTTTCTCCCTGCAAACGTGTCCCTGCACTCTGGGGGCGACTTCCACTGTCTCCTGTCCCATCTCGACTTCTTGTCTCAGGTCTGAGATTTGTCGATGCAGACTCTCGAACTTCAGCAACAGACTTGAGGACAGTAACAGCCCCTCTCTCCATTTTCGTCGGCGGATGAGACCGAAGTGGATTTGGTTGATTGACAGGAGGCGGTGTTTTCAAACGATCGTGCTCCATTGGGATTGAAATTGCAATATGCCGGGCTCCACTTCGAGTTTGAGCAGCTACAGCGCTATCAGGAAGCTGCATAAGCCGTGGAGGTTTGGACAATCTCTTCTGCTTCCCAAACAGCTTAAAAGCAGTTTTCTTTAATGGAGAGAGGTTTTCTTCATCGTCGGAAGGAATACTCATGAAATTGCTTGGTGGGGGCTCTCTAGTCATCAAAAAGTCTGACAGAGCTCTCATGCTCTCCCGATTACTGTGGAGCATGCCCGTATCCTGTGGGATTCGAGGTGCCTGCAAGCTAGTCCTCCTCGAATTCCTCCATGATCTATCAGATATTCTCGAGTTCCACCGATTCAACTGGGGCCCTTGAGCCGTGACGGATGTGATCCCTGGTGCAAATTCGGCAGGGACATGTTCGTCGATAACGGCGGGGATGATGTTTGGTGTAGGGACCCGACTCGAGACAACCGATACCTCTCTACTGACATGTACAGACTCATCCGAAAGAGAATTGATGTCCACAGGCCGGAGAGCCTCTGATCTAACGGAAGTTTGCATTGCGGCTATAAGCTTGTGTCAATTTCTGCAGCTTGCCAGACATTTGAAATTGTAGAAGGCAACAAATGTAGCAAACGTACCGGGAAATCATCACCCCATTTCTTAGTGTTGAAGTCTCAGAATACGCCGAGTGATGCGGGATGTATCGATTGAATCCAGCAAGCAGTCAGGAATGGCAATCTTGGAACAAAGTGTGGTACGGCAGTTCGGTGTAATGAGCAAGAGTGACCGCTGCGACTATATCTAGATTGGAAATGCAGTAGAATATGCCAATGTAATGCTGCGATGCGGCTCGAGAGTCAATTGAGATCTAGAGGTAAGGAAAGTGCGCTGGTGAGCTGAGTGTGATGAGACGACGTCAACGCCGCAGGTACCGATACCAAAAAGTTCGGATGACAGGCACTGGAGTCAGCGCAACAACCCGATTGCGAAGTAAAGTAATGGAACGTGAGAAAGTGTTTCGAGACGACAAGAACTCCAACTCCAGCAGAAGTATAAGAGAGGGAATTGTACTGGTAATGCGAGGAAAAGGAGGTTGGGAGGGAATACAAAGAAGACAAAGCAAATGTGCCGGTCCACGGCGCAGGTCTCAGACGACGCTCGTCGCTCATTCAATGTACTAAGTCCACAGGCGCACAAAGAAGCCAATCCAGTGAGGAGTTTCGACTTGATTGCGCGAGGAGGCTTTTCGCATTAGCAGCTAAATTCTAGCGCCAGGAAAGCCGCAGCTATCGCGGCATGATACGTCGAATTTCCCCGAGGGCTGAGGGAGCGGACAAGTTTGGTGATCGGCGTGCTGCCGCTGCCGTCCCTCGACGAAGGACGCCTTGGTAAAATACCCAGGAGAGAGAGAGCCGTTGGGGTACCATCTCAGATTCTGTACTGGTACCAGACTTCACAGTTGATCCTCAGTAGGGTTGGGAGGTCATCGAACCTGGGGAGTCATGAGCTCCGACTGCCTCTGCCGAAACAGCATCCTGCTACTTGCAGGAGATTGATCCTGTTCATCAACAGGATAAGCGATGAAGAAATCCGGGGATCCCATGGTGTTGGTTCTGGTGCTGCTACTGGTGCTGGTGCTGGTGCTGGTGCTGGTAAATTGCTGTGCCGGTGGTGAAGTGTTGACGCGGCGGCTTGAGCTGGGCGATTGCGCTAGGAGAAAACCAAGATCCTAGCGCACATCATTGAGCAATCCCCACTCACCCCCCCCCCCCCCCCCCCCCCCCCCCCACTGGCCGCCCACTGGCCCTGGCTCGCCTGGCTCAGGCCCAGGCCGCGAGCTGAGCAGTGGGATAATTTCCAGTGTCTACAAAACCACATGGCCCAATATTATGTGCGAGCTTTTTCTCGAAGAAGCAAAAATCAATCTTCCATCGTGCGGATATGGCAATCCCGAGAAAAGCACTGAGTTATCGAAACAATGCAGTAATTTAAATCTGACAAAGCTTCAGGCGGGGTGGGATGGGCTTGTTGGGGGGGTAATTTTATGTGGGGAGTGAGCACCACCGGGATCCGTGAACTCTAAGGGGGCGCTGCGCTACAGTAGCTTCTTGAGTGGTTGTGAACGAGAGACGGAACGGAGTTGGAATTGCCCCTTTTGGTGGCCTGTGATAGAAAAGAGTTCGAACTTGGATGTGGCTTGCATTCAGCCAATGCAGTTGACAGCACTTAGCGTTGATTGTACTGTTCCGGTAGTGCAACAGAACTTTTGCCAGGAGACTCCTTTCGCTGGCACTACTGGCCACCATCAGGCTCAAGTCCAGATTCCGGAGGTTACCTCAGGGCGGATTGGATTTTGAGGGCAGACATTAGAGCTATTACATGCCCTTACTTTGGTACGCATACGCTCTACATATGCATGTACACGTAGTCAGTACCCTTCTTGTCTAAATACGTAGAGGCCTTCACTGATGTACCAGTGCTTTAGAGGTCGCTACAAGCCAGCATCGACAGAGTCCGAGCAGTTGTGCGTTATGTTCTAAGTATTTTTGAACGAGCGTCCAAGCGCCTGGCAGGCTCATGGGTGACAAGACGCTGTGCACGATCTAGGCATGAACTGATCTCGCAAGAAATTGTCACTTCCAACCCGACCGGTTCTTGGGTTTGCTGGGTCACCGCCTCTCAGTTTAAGCGAGGCTTCTGTTGACATCCCTTCTGTGCAAGCGAAACAGTTGTGGTGGGCACCATATCGCTCAACCCCAATCAAGACACTCGCGCTCGCGTAAAGTATTCCATTGGAATTCAAAGAAGAGACCAAGCGAAGCACTAGCCAGCCAGAAATGGGGAAGATATCGTTTCCTTGCCAGTCCTCCTCCTTCGGTAGAGTTTGTGGGTGAAGACTGTATTTTGACCATATCGTAGCATGCCGGACTTGTAGCGTTGCCACCCGTCCTGAACAGGTGGGACGAAAAACTCGCCAGCCAGGGCAGCATTTCTTTTAATCCACTAAATGGCAAGTTTCATAGATCTTGCAGACATTCTGTCTAGTTGAGGCAAACTCGCTACCTCGGGCCTAGGCGTATGTGCAAGTGTGCTTCAGAAAATTGGTAGCGAAGGCATATGTTGAATGGCATAGGGGATAATGGACGGTCAGTCAGTGGCATCTCAGGTTCTCATGTCACGTATCAAGTGCGGGCTTTGCGTTGCTTCATCTCGGCCATCGCCGGTGGCTAATACCTAGGTGATAACAAAACTCCTCCATGACCACACGTCTTGGTCCACATGCCGGCCCCGAATCTATGCTGTGCTTCTAAATGCTTCTATTAAATAAAATGCTCCATCTCCATCCGGCATCAACGCCAGCCACAGCACACGAAGGGAATATCATGAGCAAGGAAGGCGATCTCAACTCCGCTTTGGGGGCTTACGCTGAATGAATGGATCAGCCGCCGGTTTAGGACGTCGGGGTGGCGGAACAACTCCTGGGGGTCGAGGACGGGACGTTGGTGGTGGCTTCTTTGCTTGCTGAGCTTGGAGAGCTGCCTCAAGAGCGGACGTTTCGGCACCTGGGGGCGGTGTTGGATGTGCCTATTCTTGTTAGTCATTGCTGTCGAAGGTTCAAATGTAGCAAATGTAGAGTTTTGATGTGCTTACTTTTTTTGGTGGTCCTTGCCCTTGCTCATCTTTGACATCCGAATCTCGTGGTCTCTTGGGACGACTTCCTTCTATGCTACTCGCAGTAGGCTTACAAACACCTGGTCTTATACCCAGCGCCCCTTGAGGTTTATTGGTAGTCACTGCAGCATTACCACCATTTCCAGTTAAAGAAGTCTTCCTTGAGCTAGAAAGACTTGGGGCGTCTGTCATCACGATATCATGGTCCTCGCGTTCTTCCTTCGGACGAGAAGTAACGGGGTAGTTGCTTGATGAGGGTGTTTGATTCTCAATGGCTGGAGTTTGTCGTGGCTGCCAAGCTGGCTGGCCTCCGCGGGATGTGGGCTTCGAAAACAGCTCCATCACATTTCCGCTTGTATATCTCTCGCGAGCCTTGGCATCTTCGATGAGCCTATTCCAGAATTGGCCCTGCTGCAAGGAGCGTGAATCTCCAAGAACCCAAAGCGACGATTTGGCACGAGTAAGGCCGACATTCATACGTCTGATATCTCCAAGGAAGCCTATACCACCAGTAGCCTTGGCTCGAACGCAGGAGAATATAATGATTTCCCGCTCACGGCCTTGAAATGCGTCCGTAGTATTAAACTCGATCTCTTCGAAAATGTCGTCGCCGTACTTTCTGGCAAAACGCGCTTTCATCTCAGTCAGTTGAGCTTTGTAACTCGTGATAATTCCGATTTTGCCCTTGAAATCAACGTTTCTGTAGTCCTCTTTCAATCTCGCATACAGGGCCAGTGCGGCATTCAGTTCCGGAATATTGATAAACGAGTGGCCCTGCGCATGCTTGGTCTGAACACCCTCGACATCGAAAAATCGATACGGCCCAAGGATTGTACTTGCGTGCCATGGTTGTTCTCTCAATTTGTCCATACCAGGGCCATCGATCAGTCTACTATTGTAGAATTGCTCCGATGGGAAACTGCTGATCTCAGGATGCATGCGGTATTGCGTATCAAGCAAGTGCACATCCTTTGGATGATTTTTTTGCATGCGGACAAACAAACTCTGCTCATAGCCAAAGCTCTGAGCAGATCTCGAGAGAACAGTTGGCGGAAGTTGTTCGGGGTCTCCGACTAGAATACATTTAGTAGCTCCGTATTTCAGTGGAATCAGCGCACTAAGTTCGATACACTGTGCGGCTTCATCAATAATGACTGTCTCGAATTCGACATCAATGTTTCGAAACATGTCGTGGCCACTACCACTGAGAGTGGAGCAAAGAACATGAGCACCATCAATGATTTCCTGCTGAAATCGACGTCGGTTGATCTCGTTTTGCCGTGTATAAGTGTTTCCACTTTGCTTGTCCTCATCGATCTTGGCACCTATTGAGGCTTGTTTTCTCTTTAGGTCGTCAAACTCCCGTCGCAGATCACGCTCCTTCTTGACATCATTCGTCTTGTGGGCCTCGTCCATCAGCGGCCTGATAACATTAAGCCGTTCTTTGATAAGGGCAGCGTCCTTATGCAGTTTCTCGCGCTCGTTCAACAGCTTGTTTTTCTCACCATCAACCCCCTCGAGCTTTTTCTGTACCAACTCGTCAAGCATGACCTCTTTCACCGCGGCATTGATCGCATCGCTTCTTCCAATCCGGATTACATTAATCTTTTGACGGGGTCCGTTCAAAGGTTGAATTCCTTCCATCAAACGGACGACCAGTTCATCAACAGCGGCATTACTAGGAGCGCATATCAGAAGCTTCTTCTTCATTGTTGCTTTCGCAGCTGGTTGGCCTTGAACCGCAGGCTTATGTTGGACCGCATTTGATGCTTGCTCTTTTAGAGTCTGAGTTAGAAGGCATCCAACCATGGCTACAATGGTCTTCGTCTTCCCAGATCCTGGTGGCCTGTGAATGACTTAGTGGATGCAGCTATGAGAAGTGGTCAAAATTTACCCTTGAATTAGAGTGAAACCATCGTTTTCGTTGGCCGATAAGATGGCTCGGGCTTGCCCTTTATTGAGCTTGTAGGTGGATGAGTATGCTGATATTTTTTCGTCCGAGTACTTCTGGATAGGAGATGGTTTCGCTTCCAAGATCTCACTACACAAATCATAGTACAACAAAGCACTTAGAGCCGCGAACTCCCGTTGAGTCGTTGTCATATCTGCAATCTTAACTGCATATGCCTTGCCATTTGGCACAAAGCTGTTCAAAAGAACTGCTGCGGTTCCTCTGCTGATGCTATATGTAACCTCAAGAGCGTCCTTCTTCCGAGTCGTCCGTTGGACTCGAGCCAGGCAATGTGGAGCGGACGGATTATTTATTGGGTCTGGGTTCTGGGATAAAAGGACGATGTCACGTTCAGACACCATAAGATCTCGGTTCTTTGACATTGGCATGCTCGTACTCACTTCCATGAACTTGTCGACAGACATGCGATTTAGAACCTTGATCTCAATAGGTTTGTAGTTGTTCTCGTCCCTGGCGGTAACAAGAGAGCGCCACACTTCGGAAATGAGCAAAGGTGCAAAGGTTGACCTGTAGAGGTCAAGGTCCAAGTACTTGTTATCAATCTTCCGACAAACGGTGCTGCTGGGAGGAGTGTCGCTGTCGTGAAAGATGTCCCAGCTGAGGATTTCCTCATACAGTGGATCCATATTCGGTTCTACGCGAGCACGAAGATCCTTAGCTGATCTTTGCACCTTGGTCTTCTTTACTGGCCCTTGGTTCAACTGCTTCAAGGCTCGTCGCCTACTTTCTTCATATTCGGAAACGACCTTTGAAGTCTCTTTTCTTCGTCTCACGAGAGCGTTAGTCTCATCCTCGTCGTCGTCATCATCTGAGTCCTCGTCGGAGGATCCAACCATGATTTCACTTCGGATTGGAGCATGGTCTTTGCCAGCGACTCCATCAATACCCTTCAGACCAGAGCCCTCCCCTCGAATGGTTGCGGGTGCTCGAATTGCTCTCGCTTTGGCGATCGCGTCGGCTTTTTGGCGCTCTCGTTCTTCTTGCATCTTCCGACGATTCTCTTTGAAAGCTTCTTGAGCCTCGGCCGACATGGTTGTGTCTGCTTTGATTTTGCTTAAAGGCTGGAATGCCGATACAAGCCCGGTCTTCACGGTGCTCTTCTTCTCACTTCTTGGGGGGAGTCTTGGCTCATGCTGCATCCCGCCTGCAGACCTTGACCATGAATCAAGAGAAATTTGAGCTCGGGGGATCGAAGAAACTTTGGAAACTTCAACGATTTCCGAGAAACCATGAAGCTCATCAAGTGCTCTCTGTAGTTCGCCCTTTTGCTGCATTGTCAAATTGGTCCTAACCGACCCATCAGACATGCAAGCATTTCGAATATACTTGTCTGCAAAGTCATGGACATCTACGTTATACTCTCCTAAGGCGCGGAGAAGTTTGCCCAAAAGTTTTGTAATGATGCTAACAAGGTAACCATCTCTGAGGCGTAGCCAGGTGACCATTCCGTTAATGTTGTTACCAACAACAGTCAAGATGTCTTTAATGGACTCGCTGGAAGACCCATGTCTCTCAGAGTCTTCTTGAGTGCTTGGTGAAGGAATAGATCCCTTCAAAGCAGCTGCGAAAACCGAATATTCATCGAAAAGTGCTTCGGCGTACTCCATTACAGCGCGGCAGAAATCCTGCATTTCTGCGGTATTCTTGTTGACACTAGGCGACCATACTTCAGTCGATTCGAACGATACATGGAGTGCTCGCCATTGCGAATGCCACCAGTCCTTGATGAGGTATCGGTCCTGTTTGGAGAAGTTCGAACGGGCTCGAAGCACACCGGTATTCCCAGCCAAGCCGGTGAGCACTTCACTATTGATTTTGATCATGTATGGAACAGCGCCGAAAGTCCGTACGCGAGTTACTTCTTTGACAGTTAAGTTCATCGAAGCAAGCATTGGGCTGAATGAAGTCTCAAGAAGATTTTGCAGGGCGTCTTGCCTCACATCTTCACCAGTTATAGCTTTGATGGCGCCGACAGTAGCCTCGCACACTCTTTGATCGCAGGAGACTAAAGTCGCAACGAGTGGTTGAATCATTGAAGAGTCTTGGGAAAATTGAGCCAGATCTAGGCTGGAAAAGTCGCTTAAGCGGTCAATAATTCGTGAAATATTATCCATCAATTCATCCAAATCTTTGTTGAACTGTACCCGATCCTTGGGCATCAACTCCGCCTTTTTTCTATCTTTCGGGTGAAATCTATCCAGACCAGCTAGAATTGAGGTAGCAGGGATGATGCTCTTAGCCAGTTCAATATTTCCAGGTCGAAAGATGTCTAACACGCCTTGCCATATTGGTTGGGAATGGCTTCTCAGACCACGTTGAACAGGCTGACCATGTAATAAGTTGTCGAATTCAGCTCTTACACTCTTGCAATCCAGTTTGAGAGCATTCTTTATGACCGACATTCCGAGTGTTCTCAAAGTCTTTTGTGCGGCTGTTATGTTGCCATCTTCCAAATCTGCACATCCATCGACCATGCTGCGGTGCTTATTGACAAGTCCCATAAGCTCACTGATGACTATCAAGGAGGTCGAAGGATTGATCTTGTATTCGGAGCTGACGAAAGTCTCCAAGGTAAGGTTTAGTGCTCCCATGCCAGCAGCACAACAGGCAACTCTCGTGTCATCCGGGTATTTGTCACTTTGAAATCGTTCCAGAAGATGGCGAAGTAGCGATCGGCAGGCATCGTACCGATGATCCGTACCTATCGAGTTGAGGAAACCCGGGATCCAGGATATCGGAGGGGATTCAGCTATATTTTGAAAGAACTCAGCATTCATAAGTAACCTCTCAAATCCAGGACTTTGAAATATGCAGTCAATCACTGCGCCCGGAGAGATGGTTTCCATGGCTGACCAGAAAACTTTTGGGGCCTTGGCGAGAAGTCCGCTGAGAGCCTTGACAACAAGTTGAATAATTGTTCCAGAGCTAGCGGCTAAGTGTTGGAGTGCAAGGCGGTAGATATCTGGCTGAACCTCCATACCACGCAAGCGATGAGTTACAAGATCTTGATCCATTCTCTCCAGCATGAGCAGGAACGCCTTCCAGAACGCGATGATGTCTTCCGGTGCGGCGGAAAAATTTGCCACATGAACGATAGCTTCAGCAAGATTGTCATTCACAACCCAGTCGAATGTCTTTGCTGATAATTTGTCGGTCATTTTATCCCAGCAAGTCGCCGCAAATCGATGTCTATAATGATTTCTACTGAATAGAAAACGTGCCATTGCAGGTAACATATCGCCAAGTCTGAGAACCTTTCGCTGTTGAACTTGTTCAAAAACATAATCGAAGTGCTTTGATAGTTTTGAGTCGTCTCGATGGTACTCTGCACAGCAGAGAGATTCATAGATAGCCATCAGGGCGGCGGTATCTTGTTTCGCCAGGTAAGATTGGTTGCGCCGTTGAGGTTCTACCGCTCTGAGGAGTTCTTCTCCTGATTTCAAACCTTTGTCGATCCTCTGGAAGTCGAGTGAATTGATTCGATTTGCAAGTTCCGTAACCACCTCATCGTCATATTGTCTGTAATGGATTAGTAAGATAGAAAACAACACTTCTTCAAGACCTACTCGGAAAGCCATTTCAAATGCTCTTTACGTCCAAGATGCCAATTGAATACACATTTATCGCAAAGCTTCAGGGCATGGTCTAAGGCCGCAGAATAATCCTCCCTTGCCTTACCTGCTGTGTCTTCGTTGAGTCCAAGGATCTGAGAGTATCGATATGCGACTTTGCATCTCTTCTTGAAGTCTTGTATTAATTCCTTCTTGGTCTCTTGGCTCATGCCCTCCTCTGGCTCGTTCGGCTGATCATAGTCGACATTGTCATCGTCGAATCGTTTGGGACAGAACCAGTGCGCACTGGGAGGAAAACTCTTGAGTTCACTATCGGTTGGAAAGTCAGTACGGTATACGTACAGCAGCAGACGCTATGGGAATGTTGCGCGAGCACTGATTAAAGCAGGGACGTAATATTCGAAGAGGGGCTTGCATACCCGTCGAGCTCCTGAAGCTGGTCCCATAGTTCCTCTTCCCTCATGGCGAAGGGCTATTGTCTGCTAGGAGCCAATCATCTGAGTAGAGCCTGATTTGTAGCTCGGACTAAAGCGAAGCGTTGAATATGAAAAGTTGGTAGTATGAGGAAAATAATGTTGGCTGGTGACCTGGAATCTGCTGTTGAAAGAAGAAGAATCTCGATTGGAAGAAACCTTTTAACTCTGGTCTTGGAAACGCTATGCTAAAATTCGTTATTACAATGGAGGTGAAATCTTCAGAGCAAGCAAGAGCCAATAATGTGGCAGATGGTGAAGCTGAATTTCGAGTTCACCAAAATATTGAAGTCGTTTTCGGACGACGCGAGCCATAGATCGCGCCTCCTAAATTTATGCCGGACTAGTGCGTTCAGCCTCGCAACAAGGCTAGACGAGGCTGTGGTGTTGGTCAATTCTTGCAAATTTGTCACGTATTGGAACGTATGACCCGGAGACGGTAGTTTTTCAGGAAAGATTTAGCTTCTACGCATTTGATGTCAAGAAAGAAGCAAAATAGTTCAGCCCGGCAAAAACCGTGCGAAGATGTCCTGGGAACCAGCACACCAGCAAGCATTTCCAAATTTTCAACGGGCATGAATTGTCTACGAGCCTACGATGATATGAACAAAATTAAGACTTAAACTAATCGAATTGAGGTTCCACGGTATGGTTTTCAAAGCATTGCCTAGGGAGTATCTCAATCTGGCACCCTACTCTTACGACTCTGGTTGGCAGCATCTTCTTCGCTGGACCGTCTGTAAATATCGTTAAAAGCGAGCTTGGGAAGTCCATCTTGTCATCTCTAGATTTGTCAGTCAAAACTGTCGTGTAATATCCATACAGAGAGTGTATTACAAGAGTTCGTTCTTTAACATATCCTCTGCATAGCTATTTGTTTTGGTTCGGCTACAATTCATTGCCGAAACTGTGAGTGTTCAGACCCAAAGCTAGTTCAGATCTGCGGCAAGAATGACGCAGCACGTTGAGAACAAGATAGGTACAGTGGTGTTTCCTCGTCGTGTTTGTTTTCAATTCTTTCAATTTTCTCCTTGAATCGTTTTCTCATCAGAGTTCCCGGGATTTGATCCAGGTGTGCTCGCCTTGTTTCTGCACATCCGAGTCATCAACAAGGTCGACGTCAACACCTCACACTGTATACCATTACAACTTGAAATAGTAACCATAATGTCAGACGTTGTTGTTGAGACACAGTGGTGGGCGACAATATATATTATTGTGCCGATATTCAGTGGATTCATTTGGCTTGGAATGCTTCTTGGGATGTTACTATGGTGGAGTGTGGAAGAGAATTCGGTACGCCTAGTGCAGATGGATGCAACTAAGCATATCGCGTTTGTGGAATCTCTTGCTCTTATTGCTCACGATATCTCATATTCGTAGGTACATTTCGGATATCGGGGCTCATCAACTCCAGCCCCTCTTCATTGCTATGGGAACGACCACTGTCGTGGCCTTCACAACCGTCTTCGTGACAGAGCGCTGGCTACGACACCGAGGGACAATCGCTCGAAACACTTCCTGGTTTCAGAAACTTCTCAGTACTCTTGCAATCGTGTTTGCTGTAATTGGTATGATTGGTTTAATCATTCTTATTTGCAAAAACAACATTCACAACTCTACAACTCACGATGCATGTCTCGTTGTTTTCATGTGGGTATATCTATTCGAACTTGTTTCTTGCTCTAAGCTCATCTGTTCCTCTACAGTGCTGGATATATCGTCTCCGCTATCTTCGTCTGCGTGGAATATCAACGTCTCGGGATTCATTATCGCGAACACCGTATTCTTCGGGTATCTTTTTGGATAAAACTTGTTTTCATATTCGTGGAGTTGGGACTGGCAATCGCATTTGGGGTCCTTAACCATCAGAAAAAGTACAATCCAGCTGCCGTTTGTGAATGGTTCCTCTCCTTCATTTACACGTTCAATGTCTGGAGCTACGCCATCGATTTCATTCCAGCAGTCAGACGGCAGCACTACGCTAGTAAATAGACCGAATTCTATGTGGCCGACGGTACGGACGCCGATTCGAGGATCAGACGATGCTCAAGTGGTGTAATGGAGGGACAGTGTGCCTAAGGTTCAACCGGTGTTACTCGTGGTCCAAATCCGAAGTATTCGGTTGTGATTTTCTATGGACGGACACCGCTTCAGTCGATGTATATCGTCGAGACTCTCACGACGTCAACGGGATCCAAAAGAACCGCGATGGGCAACCTTACCTCCGCCGTTGCAAGCACCATCATCCAGTATGTCCTATAACGTTCTCTTGGATCCCGAGGAAATGATTAAGTCTTGATCAGAAACGCATCCGGCCCAGCCTTCCACGATATTGGCTATTACTTCTACATCTTCCTCGCATTCTGGGATCTCATTGATCTCGACTTTATGTGCATTTCTTGTTTCCTGAGACAAAAGAACGTACCCCGGAGGAGTTGGCTGAGGTCTTTGAAGTAATACTCCGGTCGCTAAGAGCTTGGAGAAGCGCGGTACAGCCGCAACATTGGATGCGACTGGGGCTGAGACTCATATCGTGGCATGCGAAAGAAGGCTGGGAAGTTTGATTTGTGGGAATTATTCGAGTAGTATATTTGTGTCCGCTAAAGGTACTGCGAGCTATTCTACAGACATGCTCGAAGCAGGTCGAGGAGTAGCAAATACAGTCGTCGAATTAACCACTTTTCCTATGGTCTTCACGACAGATAACTGCCCACCAATTAATAGAAAGAGGCAGGGCTGCAGAGAGGTCAGCTGTTGACTGAGGCTTGATTCGAACGAGTCCGAGAATGTTCATCATGAGGTAAGGTTATAAGCTGCCCAGTGGTGTACGTGAACAAGGCCACTGCCCCCTAGATACAGGTTGTAGTCAAGCAAGTATCACGTACAGTGAGAGGAAAGACATGTAGAGTTTTGTTCAATTATCTTTCTCGCTTACAACCGAAACCCTTATATACATCGTCAGATCCACGACCTATCCATCGATCCAGTCAATTCGCTCAATCCATTTCATTCAACCAACCCAACCAACCGACAAACCAACCACTGTACTCGTTGTAGATACAACGACTGAACCGCGACTAACTGTCTATCAGACCCATCAACCCATCGACACGCATCGCCAGAAACAGAATGGGTACTAGAAGCAGGCTTGTCTCGAGCGAAAAAGTAAAAAGTAAAAGAGGTGTAGCTGTGTGACTGTTTGAGAGAGGGAATAAGGAGCTCCGATAACGAAAAGAGAAAGACCAATGTGCCGAGTCCATCTTTCCCATCCAAACCAAATCGCTTCATTGGAAAACTCCCCCAACGCCTGTGCAGCAAACTTGAATGCATGGACGAAAGCCATAAACTGAAAAGAAAAAGTAAACCAGGTCGTAGATCGCTTTATGCAGATCATCGTGAATTCCGAGATCTCCTTCTTAGCAACAAAAGACAGGGTATTGTTTGTTGGTAATGTACAAAGTCATCGTGCTCAGTGAGATGAGCGTCGCGAAATGTGTGAGGTTCGCGGATGCAGAGTAGGTAATTAATCGCGATTATCATTTCTCCTACTTTGCACTGGACCGAAAGAGTGACTTGACTCAAGACGAGTCAACAGAGCCGCAGATGTAAAGTCATTGCTCTGCTCATAACTTGGTCGTATACGGTCCATTGAGGCACGTATTCTATCGTAGGATGGCCTTGCTCTGTCCATTGATGGACGGCTGTACGGCGGTTGGTCGACGGAAGGTCGATGCCGAGTGAAGTCTGTTCCGTCGCTGCCATTTTGGCTTCGAGGGTTGTGTGTGGTAGCTGTTGGAGCAACTGAAGGTGGGTAAATGGGTCGTTGGTCTTCATCAACGCTCGGATAGTGGGTATGCTTACTCGGCTTTGCGATTTCGTATGATGTTGAACTTGACCCATTTGAGATTGTATCTTCGGTAGTGGCTTGCGCAGGCTTGTCGAGGTGCTCGAATTTGCCTTGACGAACTTGCTCACGAATGATGTCGACATCATATGGAAAGTATATCTTCTGAATAGCCTTGACGAAGAATCGAGGTGCCAGAGATAAGACAATCGACAAACATGTTACTGCCCAGAAGGTAGGCTGAGCGAAAACCTCTGTAGCAGCCTTATAGAAGTAGTCGGAAGACTTGAAGGCTGAATAGACACCAGTCCAGAACCAGACAAGCAGACTACTGATAATGACAAGCAGCAACATGAGCCAATCCCATCGGTAGGTGTTGAGCAGAATGTAGGTATTGATGACAAAGATGGCTGCTGGAGCAATGTACACGCCGAAACGCTCCCGGTCGTCAATGTTCAAGCCATTGTGAGTGACGAAATTTCCTGGGCGGAAGGCCAAGTAAGCCATATAGAACAAGATCAAGGATTGGTAAAGTCCATCAATCATGTACAACCTATTGAGCAGTTAGCAGCGATCATCTCAGTAAATGTAAAAACAAAAAACATACCAGAACTTCTGTTGAGTCCATTCGAGTCGCTCGATACCTCGGCGATACAGTTGTGGAACAGCAAGGGACACTTTGTCGCTGACATCCTGATCTAACACACCCATGAAGATGACAGGAAGAGACGTGAAGGCCAAGTTGAACAGCAGAATGTAGGTGTAGTCGTAGAGATAGGTTTGGTCGAAACTGCAGTAAATCTGGTACCAGAAAATAGTGAGCGTCCAGACAATATTCTTGTAGAAGAAATTGGCAATAGTTTCCGCCAGTCTTCGATAAGACCAGCGTCCATGTACGAGCACCAGTCGCTGCAGGAAGCGGAACTGTCCAATAGCGTAATCAGCAGACATAACAGCTTGTCGACCTTCCTCTCCAGCAATACCAACACCGACATCAGCCTCCTGAATCATTGCCACATCATTTGCACCGTCACCAATAGACAGGGTCATAACATCCAGACCACTCTTAACCATAGCAACGACGGCAGCCTTCTGGGCAGGACTGACACGACAGCAGAGAACAGACTTGCACTGCTTGCAAAGTAACAGAAACTTTTGGCGGATCTCTGGATCGAGAACAAGCTTGAGAGAATCTCCGTCGATAACGATTGCATGAGTAGGCGCAGGCGGTTCATGGTTCTTTCGTGCGGCCTTCAGCTCTGCATCCGATCCTGTCATGTTGAATGTGGCGAGGTGCTTGTCGAGTTCAATTTCGGCGCTTGCAGTTGTTTCGTCCTCAATCTTAAAGACAATGAGTTCCATGTCGTTATTGAGCAAGTTACAAGAGAAGCCGATGTTGATAGCAGTCTCAACCTTGTCTCCAGTCAAAACCCAAAGCTTAATACCCGCCTCAGCGAGAAGAGCAATAGTGTCAGGAACACCCTCTTGAAGACGATCTTCGATAGCAGTACCTCCAAGAAGAGTTAGGTCACGCTCGATCACGTCAGAGACTGCTTCGAGCTTATCCTCGCGGTCCTGAATAGCAGCAGAAGCAATTTCGTGCTCTTTATTCCACTTTTGGTATTCCTCCTCACCGAGCTCCCTCTGTGCGATACAGAGAGTTCGAAGTCCTTCGCGTGCAAACATCTCGAGGTGCTCAGCTGTTGTTCTTCGTAGCTCGGATTGCTCTCCTCGCTTCAGTCTCGAGTAGATCATACTATCTGCACCTTTGCAGTACAGAATGATCCTGTTGTCAGGCATCCTGATAATAGCACTCATACGCTTCCGAGTAGAGTTGAATTCGAGCGTATTTAGAACCTTGAAAGATCGATCTTCACCCTGGATGTTCAAACGGATTCCATCAGTTGAGTTGCCCAATACGGTGAAGCCAACATCTCGAGCAGTAGCAACCAATGCAGCCTCGTCAGGAGACTGTGCCTTGAACTCAATCTTAGGTGGATCGCCAGGAGTCGTCTCAGCAATGACTGTGTGGCAGAGAGCCAGTGCTAGCATAAACTGCTCGTTAGCATGCTGTTGTTCCGGACCTGATTGACCGGCCATATCGGAAATGAAGTCCGGCGCAACAAAAGTCAAATCGTCGTCGTGAAGGTACGGGTTGTCGTGGAGCTTTCTAATATCTTCGATCATCTTCACCCGGGCTCGTGCAATTTCCTCGCGTGCTCGCGCGCCCTCCTTTTCAACGTCGATGCCTTGTCTCTTTTGCATGCCAGCTTGAGCTTCCGTATAGGCCTCTCCGTACGGAACGCCATTGATCGTTGCCTTCTTGAACTCCATCACGTTCTGAGTAAGAGTACCCGTTTTATCGGAGAAGATGTATTCGATTTGTCCCAGGTCATCCGAAATATTCCAGGATTTAGGGGTACAAGGATAGTCGATCTTATCGTAGTACATGTCGGTGTCGCTGTAGATGAAGAACGCCTGGCAAGTTTTGATGATTTCCAATGAAATGTACAAGGAAATTGGGACCAAATTCTGGAACAGAATGATGGCAGCCCAGAATGTAATGAACCCGTCCAAGGATGGTTTGCCACCAATCGAGCCGTACTCGAAAAATTGGATCGAGTTTCCTCCCTGACCCCAATAAATGCCTTGGTATAGTCCAGAAGCCAGACACATGAGGAGCAAGATAACGAAGTTATAGATGACATTCCAGTTAAGCTCTCGTGAAATGCGGGAACGCTTGCTAGGTGTGATTCCAGAGTTGATCATGATCTTGGTATCAAATCCGGTAAAGACCACGACACCAAGCACCCAATCAGTATTGCGCAGATTGCATCCTCGGAGAAGCATGTTGTTGATAGAAACAGGCTCTGCCATTTCCTCTCCCTCTGCATCCGGAGAACTTCTTTGTGTCCAGCGCGCAACAGCACTGTATTGATAGAGATTTGCTTGAGGAGGCTCGCTGTCAATTGTGAACTCGGTCTTTTCGCAATCGCGGGCATGTTTGATATCACGCCCACTTCGAAGGGCATGTCGGACCTTCAAGTTTGTCTCTCCATCCAAGTTCTTCGTCTCGACATAACAAGCGCCATCAGGGTCAGACGTTGATAGGATAACCACATCAGCTGGAATCTGGTCATCATTGTAAAGTCGGACAAAGTCGCCCACTTTTACATTCTTCCAATAGTCGAGATGGAATCTGGACTTTCCAGTGGCAGTCCTGGCAGGGTTGATCAAACTACCAAAATTCTTCACGGCTGGGGAACGATGCCCGTCCTCATAGGAAAAGGCGCTACCTGGACGCACATGGGGCTCTGGGATCTGTAGGCTTTCTTCGCGTGGTAATGGCGAGGGAACGGGTGTCATTTGGATCTCTTCTCGAGCGGAAGCGAATGATTCCCGGGTATTGCCCGTGAGCGCAGATTGTCTTCTCGTGTCCCTGCTTTCGTAAGACTCCCTAGGACGGTCCAATGCGGCTGAGGGTTTCTCTTTCCCAGGCGATTGTTTTGTCTTCTTCATTTTGCGCCAGATGCCCACCAGTCCTCGAGTCGTCGCTTTCTTAAATCTTCTCCAGATTGAAATATCATCGTCGCTAACATTAACATTGTTCCAGTCGATCAATCTGTGTACAGGGGAATTGTTCAATTCGTTGTCAAGAACTGTCCGCCTGTAATCTTCCACCGCATCCTTCACCGCCGTTATGAAGACAATAACAATCAAAGGAACAGCGTTGAGGCCTGGATTCGAAGCACCAAAAATGCTGAAGAACTATTCGCTAGTTAGCTTTGTTGCGTTGATCGTTCCGCGTTAATCTTACAGCCAGAATAATTAAGAACAAGAAGTACACATTGGCAACATTCTGGAATTGAAACATTAAGTTCTTCGGGATGAAGCTGATCGGTGTATACTTGGCTGTCCTGATCTTGTTTCTCCTGAAATGCTGTGAAGGACGTCCCTCATCATCGACAGCTTCTCGAGGTAAAGGGATGTTGAAGTAAAGTGTCCTTGGACCCTGGCCTTCTTGGTCGTCTGGCTTCTCCTCCTCAGCAGCTTCACTGAGTTCTGGCTCTTCTTGAATGCCTCCCAAATCTGTGCCTAATGATTCTCCTCCTGTAGATTGTCTCTTCTTCTCACTACCTGTTGATCCTTTATGTCCCAGACGGCCCAAGATCGAACCCCGTTTCTTGTTCCCTTTCTTCCCTGGCAGCCTCTGGGTGGCCCATCGTAATCGCTTCGTCGGGTTCGGCGCAGCGTCCTGTTCTTCGTGGGTTGAGGCAGCCATGGCGACAGATTAGCAGATTAGCAGGTGAGAAGGGCCGAGGGCCTCTCGCGGAGAGACAAGTTGCCTCTGGACACCTCAAAGCCAGCCCAGAATGTCGTGGTGATCTGCCAGATGGTGTGAGGGTATATTATTACAACAACATGGATACTCTTGAAAGATGGTGTCGTAACGAGTGACGGCGTTGAATTGTTTGATGTCGAGGGAATGAGAAGTCGAGGGGAAATTTACTTTGGCTGGCTGAATGGGGACCGGATGAGGCGGATCAATCGCGTAGGTGCGGGTATGGCACTGTAAGCAAGCAAGGCGCTCTATTCAAATTCCAAGACCCAGCCCGCTGCTCAGGGGAAGCGCGTTGTAGACAGTCAACTCTGGCTTGTGAAAGTGAAAAGCGATGAGAAAGATATCCTGAGATGAATTGATCCTCTCAGAAGGCCAGATATTGCGGTAAAAGAAAACAAGGTTTTGTTGCTGGATAGGTAAGGTAAGTAGATAAAACTTTAGTTCCTTTTTGTTCTGTCCACCCTTCAGGAGCTGCGCGACTGACTGCTTAATAACTGAACTTGACTAAGAAACGCCACTTCTCCCGACCCGAAACCCGTGTCAGAAGTCAGAACAAATTGTGGCCGGTGGAAGAGTACTGTACAAAGCTGGGCTTCAGCTTCGGCTTCGGACTTTGGTATTGTACTGGGTGTGCAAGAGCGAAATCTGATAAGCATTTATTCTATAAGAGGGGGGTTTAAGATTATTTAATTCTACAGTATGGCATTGTCTGTTTCTGTTCTACCGTGCACTGCTGGTGCTTGCACTGCCTGCCTGAGCAGACGAAGGATGAGTCGAGCTGACACCACTGACGATGATGCCGTCAAATACACATTCAGCACCAGACATTACTGCCAGCGAGCTCACCAATCAGAGGGGCATTTCCGGGAGAGGGACTGATTATTGTAAGATGTACGCTACAGGGGATATCTACCCGTCGTCGCGCTCGCCGGCGGGATTATTATTGTTTTAGCATTCGTGGCACAGCTGGGTGGAGGATGGGCGTGGGAGTTGGAAAGGTGCCGAATTCTTGTTGCGCTCCTGAAATCTGACTGGAAGAAGGACGACCGAACTCCAAGCCCCGGCTCCGGCTCCATCATGTCAATCTTAAACATCAGAGGAAAAGCTCGAGGGTATTGAAGTTGCAGGCGAGTAGATCGTAGTCGATTCGCGACTGGCGATGCAAAGTCAAGTGCTATTCTCTGGTGCAGACTGTACAGTCCAACCAACTATGATCCGATAATGTATGATACAGACTGCAGTGCAGTGCAGTGCAGTACAGTGCAGCGCAGTGCAGTCAACTTCGCCAGGCTATGTCTGGCCCGCCGTAAATGGTGGATGAGTACGGAGGTACATTCGCTCCCTTTTCGTTCCGTTCTTCGTACGGAGGGAAAAGGGAAAAGGCCTCGAGTGCAGAGATCAAACACAACAATTCTGGAGATGGCCAAGGCTCGTGTCCCTGTATTGGAGGGGCAGTCAAATTAAGAAATAATAATGCGTCAACCGAGTCGAGCGGATACGATCATCCCAAAAGAGGTCCACTCCTCTCCACCGCTCACGAATTTAATTCGCGTCTGGATCAAATCTAAAAGCAATACGGCTTTCTTAAAGCCGAGCCCGGGAACGGCGGACAAAGAAGATGATCCCATCGTCCCAAGGCCTTGGGCACAGGCCAGAACACTGGACAGATCCGCCCAATGTTCGGACGCAACAACATCCAGATCCGAAGTTCCTAAGAGGTGAACTGTACAGTATTTTGACAACACAATGATCCGTAACTTTGAGTCCGCTATCCTTCGGAATCGGTCTTGATAGGCGGGATGGGGGTAGCAGAGAGCTCGCTCGCTGTCAAAACACACGGAACAAGAAACCGGTAGGTGGCTGCTGCCCAAACGTCTTCCAAACAGGAGTGGTGGATGAAGGGCACGCACCTCCTTGGTAGAATTGCGCTGTTGTCTCTCCACGAGGCTACCTTATTTGATGAAATTGATGCAGAGGGAAAGCGAGGGCTGTTTACGCCCTGAAGGCTAAAAACTTAACAACTCAATGGCTGGCGCACCAGTCGTGATTATTATATTTACACGTGACTTCGTCCGCGAAACTCACACGGTCTACGCGAACTTCTTTATTAGCATCGCGTCACTATCATAGCCACATCTGTCTGTGAGCTACTATAACTGCACACGAAGCAGACCATCTTCCAAAATCAACCACCTCGCGGTGACATGACTATGGCGACCAATAAATCCATCCGAGAATTCTTCAAACCAAAGGTCGTCATGGAGCCAGCTACCGGTAAATCTGCTCCGTCACCAGCAGTCAAAGGCCCTCCTGCACCAACAATGAGAGCTTCCAATATACCCGCATCAAGTTTCCAAATGGCGCCTCGACTTCCATCTGCGCCCAACTCCTCAAATCAGCGAAGCTACACTTCCAGCTTATCACCGCCGCCAAGCAGTGATGCCTCAGACCAGCCGCATTTAGAACAAAGGGAGAATGTACCACCGCAATCCTTGCCAGCAAAGAGGCCATCAGACCGTATTATCCAAAATTCAGACGATGAAGATGATTCCGATGACTCTCTAGAAGATCTCTCCACAATCCTAGCAGCAAGATTTCCCAACACTGCAAACCGGTCTAAAACGTCAGGTGATAAAGCAAAGCCTACTACGCCAACGGCGCCACGGTATAAAACACGGACAAATAACTTCCATGTTTCACCAATGCCTGTGTTATCAAAAAAGAAGTTCGACCTGAAATCCCTAGTCAGTCATGCTCAAGATGACGAGGCTGCTGAGGCTACCACCCAGAGGTATAAAGCTATGTTAGAGGAGCCAGGTATCGAGGAAGATGATGTATCTGCTCTAGATCCTGCGAAGCGAGGGAAATTCAAACACAGTGCCTTGCTGGAATCAGTGGTTGCGAGCGGAGAAGATGGAGGAGCTCACAGAGTCGCAAGGGCTATACAGAGGACAGAAGCTACAGTAACAGAGCAACGATGGTATTTTTTTGAGACTGGGATCAAACAAGCGAAGCCGGAACGCAAACGCTTTCCAGTTGCTTCAGTACCTGATATTTGGAAAGACGTGCTAGTTGATCCTCAGATGAGGCAACAGACCTTTGCATTTGGCTTTGCCGAAGATATGGTTTCCATGGGCCATGATCTCCCAGACGAGCTCTTCCTCTGGATATTGGACGAGGTATCAGTGGAATCAAGAGATCCTCTTCGGTCATCATACCTCAACGTCATGAAACAGAGCGATGAACAAATCAAAAGACTTATTACGGTCGAAGCTATAAGCTCCACGTTTCTCCGCTTAGGAGCCACTCCGGAAGCTCAAGCAGTAGAAGGTCTGAAGCCAGTCAACAAGCTCAAAAATCCGTACCCGAGGCGAGACTGGGGAAATCTACTAGCGACCATAAAGTTCTTCGGGCAGGTAGCGAAGTTATTGAACGAAAAGCCTAGACGACATCTCATCTTTGTACTTCTAAAGTTGAGTTTAGACAGAATTGTTTCCGAGAACGCCGATATTCAAGATGCAGTCCAAGAGACCATTGCTCGGCTATGTCAGTATATTAATGACTGGGATGATACAGTAAGCCTTCCTACCTATCTCCTCCTTTCACATAAGTTCGTGCTATAAACTTACAACTGCCAGTGCATCTTTGTCTGCGAAAGCATCTTCAAAAGCACCTCCTCCTCCCCCCTCCGCCTCCAAGCGGTCGAGTGCATCTCCTCCGCCTCGTCACGCACCCACGATCTCCGGCGCCGCCTTGCAGCCTGCTTTTTCCACGACTCCCTAATTCACGCCTCCAAATCCAGCTACTACAGCACCTCCCTGGGCTCTATAATGAACACCCTCCACAGCCCTCGTTTCCGCATCATACCAGCAACCGACACTTCCCCAGGAACAGACTACCACGAGCTCCGCGCCTTGGTCTATCTCCTCGACGTCACGCTCGACGATGGCCTATCGTCGGATCGTGACCTGAGCGACAAAGAGCAGGAAGAGATATTCAATGAGGATATCGAGGAATTTGGTAAGCAGTTGGACTGGATTGGGTCGAAGATTCAGACAGGGGGCGCTGCGTTCTTCACGCGGTTGGAGACGAAGGAGGCGTTGACGCTGGTGAAGCAGAGGGCGGTGGGGATGTTGAGAACGAAGAGCAAGTTGAAGCATTCGTGGTATAATGAAAATGAGGAAAAGGAGAAGAAGAGGTTGGAGACTTTTGAGAAGGAGAAGAAGGGAATGGCTTCTTTCCTGAAAAAGCAGGTTGCGGAGTAGACTGACGTCCTGCTATGTTTACGATCACCAGTGCCAGTGGCGTTGATGAGAAGCATTATCTAGTCGTAGAAAACTGTAGAGATCTGAGACCTAGCTCAGAGGATGAATAATTCATAATAGAAGACCAATCGATTAGAGACTCCAATCTAGTCTCTTTTGGGTTCATTGTATCATACACAGCAGTCTAGAACCTCTTCTTGTATCTCCCAACGCTAGCAATGTCCATTTGTAGGAACTGTGACTTGACGAACAGCAATCCCAATTCTCTCTTTCCGCTCATGGGTATCCGCAAATCCCACGTACCCTTCATCTTCCCTTACAACCTGCCGACTCTATTCATAGAACTTCCTGTTCTCGTTGGGTCCGAACAGCTTGGTTCGGATAGAGGGCAGAGCCACGTCCTCTAGCAGCTTCAGCCGCTCGTCAAAGGTATTGGTGATTTCAATCTTGCCATTGCCGCCAACAATCGAGACACCTCCGGTGCTAAATCCTGTAGTTAGCACATGTCATTCTCTTCCCAGATGTGCCTAGTGAAGAGACAAAGGAGTCTCGCGAAAGACAGGGACATACCATCCATCAGGCAACGGATTCGACTCATCAATGCTCGCACTGATATCCTTCTTCGTCTTCTCCTTATACTCCTTCTCGGCATCCTTAATTGCCTTCCCAACCACATCCTTATCCGCCTTCCTCGCCCTAACCACTAACTTCTCCTCATTCAACGCATAGAAACCCTCTAGCAGTAACCCCTTCAAAACAGTCTGATACTTTCCCTTGTCCTTCGTCTGCTCTCCCAACTTCTTCTGCGCAGCTTCAAAAATAGTATCGAGGAGCTCCTGGCGGGCAGAGAGAACCTTTAGGCGTGTCTTGTTGGCAACAGTTGAGCGCGTGATCTGCTGCGACATCTGGGCTGTCTTGAACTTCTTCTCGTATGTTGTGTCGATGGCGGCGGTTTCCTGGCGGACAAGCTTGGACTTCTCGATGGCGAATTCTTCGTCGGCTTTTATCTCGATTTCACGGCCTTTCTCCATGGCTTCTTGCTTGATGAAGGCTGTCATCTTCTTCAGCTCCTGGCCGACCTGTTCCCATTGCTGTTAGCTACTTGCTGTCTCTGCCTTGGTTTGGGATGCTCGTCCAAGCTGCCAATTGCAACTTAGGAAATTGAGGGAGGGAGGTCTGACCTGGTCGTCCGAGAGAGCGTGGGATTGTGACATCTTGACGGTTGTGGGTGGGTTGTTTGTGGGAGGAGGGGAGTTGGGGAGCTGGAGCTGTGAGGTTGTCAAGCTGGATGGAGCTGTTGCGATAAGAGGAGCAACGATCAGCATGGTCTTGGCATGGTCATTGTAGCGAGCATCACGTGGATATTGCCATGTCGTTCAAGCTTGACAGGATGTTGATTCAGTCTTTGCCAACAACATGTGAGCATACCCAGCTGGGGTTCCTGATCTTATTTCCTTCTTTCTTTTGAGATTAAGTTGGCTATCAGTAGCCTGGACCACGGCAGTATGTTGATTATGCTCGTCTGAACCAGTCTTTCCTTCCCCCTCACAAAAGCTCGTCAAGTTGGCTAGATCTATTCATTCATTAACATACGGACTAGGTCAATTCTGTAATTCCAAACCGAAGTTTCTCTACATGCCTGATCATCAGAGGCTTCAGAGGGAACGTGACGACTATCCAGGGCCTACCGAAAGGGCTTTCACCAGAGCTGGTACACACACCCTGATATTCGTTTACCGACATTGCTTTCAAATGATGTCAGCTCGTCGTTTTCGAGCATTGCCTTTAGAGCTTTGGATATTTCTCTAGTACTCGGAAACTGCTAAACGTTCCAATCCTATGTGGGGCAGCTTAGTCTCATGCAATGACCGCATCTTCCTCTCCGCTGGTTACTTGGTAGCCTCTTTGAGAAAAATTAACATTTCCTTTCCTTGCCTGAGAAAACAAAACTTGGTCACTTGGTTCTTTTCGAACTCCTTGCTCCTTTCTGGCTCAAAAATCATCCAATACGCCAACCAACCCGCCAGTGTCCTGTCCACTCCTCCACCTCATCCAGCTCTTCTGAAACACATCATTCATCTCTTCTCTTTCCCTTCGTGAGACTCTCGACGTCAGGCTTTCGTCTCCTGCCAGGAATTTGGGCATGACTAGTTCCGCCACCGACACAGCAGAGTCTACGATCAAGAATAGAGTGGCAATCTTCCAGAAAATCGGCATGTTGTATGGCTCAGGACAATACATATGCTTGGAAATTCTGTTGGCACTGCTGTGAGTATGTACAAAATTATACCCAGCTTCATGGTTGTTTTCTAATTGGCTGTTTTACCACTGAGATTGGAGCTAATCACCTGTCCAGGGGATTTCTTCTCTCAATGGACGTGTGAAACTTTTCGCTGTGTGTTGTTTGCGTTGAATAGCAGCGTCTGACTCTGAATCAGAAGTTAGTGCCAATTTGCCAGATCTTAGACTGCCGTTCAGGTCAGTCTATTTTGTAATATTGACAGGCTTCTGACTTTTATGGCGCGAGCATTAGTCTGTCTCGAGCGTGGGAGCTGGTGAGTGTCTAGGAGGCGAGTGCCCAAGTTCACCATTTACGGCTAATTTTATTACCATATTGCCATACTTCTATACTGCTCTCACTGGCTCAAGTCTTATTTGTTCGGGTCCAATTTTCGTCGGCGATTCTTGATTCTAGTCATTGGTACCTTCCGCGATAGCATGGGACTGAGTGGTTTACAGCTGCTTGTTCAAAGCACATTCTAACGTCGTTTCCTTCTCACGACCCAAATAAAGCCAAGCCGGCTCGTTCTCAAATTCTTCACTTCTTTTCGATGGGAAGATTTTTATCACCAACTTACTATTTACAATCCTCACAACCAATATCACCCACGGCATAAGCTCAGAAACAATATGTACGCTTCTTGAGACACCAGGAGCTCACTCTCCAAAGTGATGTCCAATTTTCGAGACGAGTTTTCAGACAGCCAATCCACTCATCAGAAAGCATTCCATGTGGTTTCCTGTGTGTATTTACAAGTACAGCCTATCTTGGGATTGAAAAAGAAATAAGAACCGCTTTGTCACATATCTTCTGGATATTCATGACTTGCGCGTGGACTACTCACTCAGGAATAATCGCAGAGAGACGAGGTAGAGTGGCGCGGCTCTGGACTCTTAGAAATTCGCAGGAAGATGAGCGGGAAGAGAAAATCAATGAGTTGTTGAAGCAGGATGGATGGAGAGACAGTGACAGAGGTTGGAAGGAGGCTAGGAGATTATTGAAGATCACAGGGGAGAGGAAGATGCTGGAAGTTTGAAAGGGCCTCTTCTAAAATACCAAGATCGGCCTGTTACTACATGGAACTAAAATCGAAATACACATATAGAACTTGGTATAGCCGTATCTGAAGTCTGAGCTTACCGAGCGGGTTTATAGTAATTCTTGAAGGCCTCCATTGTCAGGACCATAATTTGGTGACATGAGACGTCCAACTTACAGCATATTATGGAATGGACTTTCTCAGATCACCTGGAGGCAATATACAATGGAAGCAATTTATTACGAAGTTGCAGTGACCAATCTCAAGGTTTCCACGTGGATCACGGGCTTAAATATTAATCAAGTGCTATTACAAAAGTCTTTGATGTGCTGATTTCAGCTTGTGACCTTCAGGGCGTGATAGTGTGCAGCATCACAGTCGAGAAAGTCCTGCATTCTTAGACATTCTTAGAGGCGAAGCGACTGTCAATACATGGTATGTCCATGTCATGTTGTCTATACATGGCAATACAAACGTCATTTGTTCGTAATACACAGGGCTTGTTCCAAGCCCGGATCTGACAGTCAATACTTGATCGGAATGTCTCAAAATAGTATTGCAACATTTCCCACATTCTTCCGTATCCAGTCCCAGATTCGACCTCGAGTGGCATCCTACTAATAGCTCAATGTCCTGAATCAAATCTATGACTTTATAAAATACTTTTAGTCCCAGTTTCTAGCTTGGATATTTTCCGTGTTTACTTTGGATCGCAATTCTAGAACCACCCCCCACCCCCCATCCAAGCGAGACTTGGCTACGACGATCCAGGAGGTCACTCGACCTTGACCGCGAGTCGCTCAATACGTGACGTCCTCACATCTCACAGAAAAACGCCCACTTCAACCATTTCAAAGGAAGTTACACCACAGACACAGACACAACCATCCAAGTGAAATGAAGCCTTGCGATACAATATCATCTGCGTGATGGGAAACCTGGGCGACCTGTCGCCAGGAGGAAGCGTAGCTGTTCGTAACTCCTGCTTAGCTTCATTGACATTTGCCCCCCAGTCCAGAACCCCCAACCCAGCTTCAGGAAAGCAACTGACAGGTCTGCGACTCGCAGATTGGAATTCTCGTTGGTCTCATCTCGACCAGCGTGCAGAGTCTCGGCCTCACCCTCCAGCGCAAATCACACTTGTTAGAAGACGAGAAAGATCCTTATGATGTGCGACGGCCTCCATACAGAAGGCGGCGGTGGCAGCTTGGGATGGGAATGTTCATTATATCCAATATTGTCGGGAGTACCATTCAGATAACGACCCTACCATTACCTGTTCTTTCGACGCTCCAGGCTTCTGGACTGGTCTTTAACTCGATATGCGCCACGTTGATTTTGGGGGAGCCTTTCACTCGCTGGTCTTTGGGAGGAACATTGCTGGTTTCGAGCGGTGCTGTATTGATTGCTATCTTTGGAGCCATTCCGGAACCGGCGCATAGTTTGGATCAGTTGCTACAATTGCTGGGCAGGAGGACGTTTGTGATCTGGATGATACTGCAGCTTATTCTGGTTCTGGCAGTCATTGCAGTTGCTGGCTTCTTAGCCAGGATACCGAGCATTTCCTCAACACCACGAATACGGTTGTTTCGAGGGCTGGCATACGGTTCAATCAGTGGGATACTGTCAGCTCATTCTTTGCTGGTGGCCAAATCAGCAGTGGAGCTCTTGGTCCGTACCATTATCGACAGGATTAATCAGTTTAACAGGTGGCAGTCTTGGGCAATTCTCCTCAGTCTGGTCACCCTCGCACTCACACAGCTTTACTACCTTCACCGAGGCCTGAAACTGGTCTCAACAAGCGTCCTCTATCCCCTCGTCTTTTGCATTTACAACATCATCGCCATCCTCGATGGCCTCATCTATTTTAAACAAACCGACCGCCTCACAGTTCTCCAAGCCTGCCTCATAGCTCTCGGCACCGTGATCCTCCTCTCCGGCGTCCTCGCTTTATCCTGGCGCCTCTCCGACGAACAAACCCCCTCAGCAGTCTCGCAGAGCGCACTCGCGCCTGGCCTAGGCTTCGTCGAAGATACCGACAACGACGAATCATCCGACTCTCTCAACGCCGATGAAGAAGCTGCCATCGGCGCAGAACACCAAGCCCTCCTCCGCAACGAACCCATGACACCCACCACGAAGCTCGACACTGTGCTAGGGGCTACAAGACACGTCCGCAAGACAGTGCGCGTCACTGAAGCGAATGAGATCTGGGGAGAGCTGGAAGATGATACAGCGGCAAAACCGCCGTCACCTGCTAGACCACCGAGACGAGCCTCTTCTGGCCTACCGGAATCTGCTGCAAGAGATGAGCCCGATGAGAATACCTCATTACTTCGCTCGAATACCTTCTCTCGGCGCAGAAGGAGACGCTCGACTGGGTTCCCGGGCTTTACGGCTAGACCTTCACCAAGAGGGTCCGGGAGGAGACATAAATCCCAGGATGCAACAGGCGGATTCTGGAAGATGAAGTGGTGGAAGAGGGATGACAGTGGGAAGGGACCTCCTTCTTTGCCACCTAGCTCTGATGGACCGGGAGCTGGTCCATCTGGTACTGCTTCATGAGTTCTGCCTGTCTCCTATAACTCTCCACTTAATCTAAATGTTGGAGTCGTGGAGAAGGAGAGAATAATAAATTTATATCACAGTCAAAGCATAGAAAGCTTTTTGTCCAAGGATCGGATCACGGCAAGGCGTTTGGCTGTCTGGCATCACAACGGAGTTCTCTTAGGGATATGATCGATGGTGCGTTGGGTTGTAAGCTATCCAGGATACAGAGGCGTTTGATGGAAAGGAGGAACAGGACCCTGGGCTTGGAAGAAAGAAGTTTAACGTTGTGCTTGAAGGAAAGCAGAAGCAGCGCTGTGCCTTATTCTCTCGATCACTATACAAAGTGAAGAGGGGATCAGTGCGTTAAAGAGCAAGGAAATGGAAAGGGAAGCAGAGAGATAGGGCAGTTAGGAAATCGATTAACCTAGCTGAAGAAACAAGAGCAGATAATTGATTGTAACAAATGCTCAGACAGCTTCCGGACTCGCTAACATATCCTATCTCGTACGTACTTACTCCGTCCAGGCTTCACTGCCATCTAGTGTTTGACAAGCCCTCTTCTTCCAACGCAGCTCCACTTATAAGAGCAAGCAGGGTTAGTCATATGTTATAGTATGATATTATATAATATGATCTGACATATAAATTCGACCCAGTGATTCGATATCTCATCTCTTTCCCGTATATGTCCCTATTCATATAATATAACGTAACTTAACATCCATCTTTCTAGCACCCATGAAATTATCTGCTAACCTATCCAACAACAGCATTCCTTTATTGCCTATTCCCAATCACCCCCACCACTCCACTTCACCATACTAGCACAGACATATATCTCTCCCCCCACCATCCGTTTACTTGTGCTAAGAAACGTTTCCTTATGCTCATTCAGGCCTCCGACAAAAACCCCACCAAGTAACATATGAGATAGCATTTACCTTCCCAGATCTCCAGACCTCCAACTTACCATTCCATCCACACTTCTCAACTCATGACACACCAAATCGAATCAAACCCCACTATTGCATACTACAAATCTCATACGTAAAAGTCCAAGCTTACAGGTACAGGTAAGCTTAACGTTAAGCATACATCAGTTTGATTCAGTTCATCGGACGTTGAGCCTAGTCGAACATTGAAGCCGAGATCGAGATCTTGAGCTTGGATGTCTCGGGGCTCCGGTAGATCTCACATCATATCACGTTTTGTTTAGTTTGCTTACCCACCTTCCACTTTACTGTTTCCGGAAGTGGAGAGACCACAACGGTCGTGAAGTGGGAGAGGAGGAGGAGGTTCAGCCCAACGCTTGAGGTCTGATAATGGGGCGGATTCACGTGGAAGCAATAGAAGCGGAGGAGAGCTTTCTTATCAAAAAGTCAATTCCACTATTCGCGCGCATGACCACCCCCCATATGGCCGGCCAGAGAGGCCTGTACTGTACAGAGTGAGAGAGAGTTGTGGAGAGGCGAGAGAGAGACAGGAACCATGAATGACAGACCATCCACCATCCACCATCCCTGATCCCAACCAAATCAGTAGCTAGTAAGTAGTAAAGAGCCAAGCGCGGCAAAGAAAAACGCAAGCAATCCATGATCTCCCGTAAGCCCCAGTGAGCATGCACATATCTCGCAAGAAAGATTCTTAAAAGAGTTCTGCGTCCCATCCATCAAGTGCAAGCCACATGCAGACATCTACCATGAAAACCCACTTCGTCATCATCGTCCATCCATCTACCTATGCTACCGGACCAAACCAAAACCCCTCCCAAGAGTGATGATGATACTGGAGGTAATATTAACTCATTATCTCGCGTGGTATAGTTTTTCGATTTTGGAAAACAAGGTGCAAGTTGACTAAAGAAACCCCCCAATGGAAAATGACACCAAAACACCAATCAGAACGAGTACTTTGAAGGTTCACGTCTCGCAAGACACGAACGTTATCAGACGTTGTATTATGTGCCGGGTATCAGAGTTAAAGACGACCCTCCGTGTACTGGGATTCAAGATTCGGCTCTATGCTTGATGTGAATGTTGCTGGGGAATACCGCCCTGGGGAGGTATTGGGTAACCACCCCCCCTCTGTTGTTGAGTAATGTAATTCTGATAGGCGAGGGCTTGCTGGTGCTCCAGAGTCTGAGGCATGTAGTTAGGGTGCATATTTGCTTGTTGTGGCATTCCGGCTCGGTTCGGAGCTGGGATGTGTTGAGCAGGTTGCTCCTCTGGAGAGTCAACAGTATTTTGATCGTCTACCCCATTCTCTCCGTTACCGGCAGGCTCGGGGGCGTTTAGACAGGCCTGGTATAGGTCAGTATATGTATAATATCAATCGGCGAGACAACGTACTTGGATCAAGTTCTTTCCCTCGGCCTTCGTGACGAGTGGCTGGAGCTTTGGTGTGGTGAAAGTGTAGACAAGACCAGTTTCGGAGACAACGAGTAGGAGGACCTGAGTTCCAGTGAGGACCGATAATTCGTATGCCTGTTATTGATAAATCAGTAAAGGTCGTTGAAACGCGATCGCGATTGGCGCGCCAACGCGCGATTTAAAACATTTCACTAACCTTCTTCATGATACCAGCCTTGCGCTTGGAGAAGGTGATGTGGCGACGCGACTTGTCCGTGATGAATTTGATCTCGATCTTTCTGCGCTCGCGTCCTGGCTTATCATCATCATCATCATCGTCGTCCGCAGTTGATGGGCGTTGGCGCTTGACACCACGGTTCTCTCCTGCAATTGAATTGCCATTTCCGACAGCGTGTTCATCAAGGGCGGATGGCGAGCCTTGGTCGTGTTGGTCGGTGATATCGGCCATTGTGTTTATGGTATGACGAGTTTGACTCTTTTGAGTTGCGTGCCGGTGACCTTACTGGTTATGGGGAGCGGAGGCTGCTCTTTGCTTGTCGCAGAAACCTGGTCGCGAAGAGCTGGATTGAGGTTGGCGCGAGGGATGACCCGAGTAATTCAGGCTGGCTGGCTGCTTGCGACGGCGAGTGAGAGAGCTGAATCGAGGTCCGATTTGACTGGAGGCGTTCCGACCGGTTAGAAGACCTGGATAGGAAACCTGAATAACAAACAGTGGGATTAATGATTGATCAGGTAAGGCGATGGAGGCTGCGCAACGGATGCGGTGCGGGATGACAGAAAGAAGAATAGATTGATCGAGCACAGGCGGGCGGACTTGGGAGGGTTGGCTTGGGTAGTGGGAGAGGAAAGGGAAAGCAGTGAGGAAAAAGCGGAGGCTGGGGAGCATTGGAGAGTATGGTTCTGGTGCACTGAGGACCGCTGTCGTGCTTTCTATGCAGCGCGGCCGCTAAGGAATGGGGGTAATTCCGCCCAGGATAGACTGCGCCGACTGGTGCATCCAAGACTCATTCCTTGCGGTGGCCAGGAGTGGACAGGCGGACCAGTGAGACCACTGGATATCGGCAGCTATGCCCCGGCACCACTGGCAGATGCTGGTGCTGTGCTCCGCAGGCCTGGGGGTTTCTTTGGGCTGGGCAAGATATGCAGCCAACTGCACCAACTGCACCAACTGCAGCGCACCAAGCCAAGTCCAGGAGACGGAGATCAGACGAAGCAAGCTATGAAGCAGCTCTGCCTTGTTGCTGCTCCATCTCACTGAACGGTGCCGTGCGGTGCAGCGAATGTCCAGTGCGGTGCAGAGAAAAAAGGGGATAGCTTGTGGAACGAGCAGTAACTGTGGCCGGATAGGGACAGGACGAAAAAAGGGGGAGGGGAGGGGAGGGGAAGGGGAAGAATGTGCCCGTGTCCCAGCTACCAAACAGCACACCGCACAACTTTGCGCTGGGCACACCCTGTTGAGCACATGCATGCAATCTTGCTTGGCCGTGCCGTGCTCTGCTCTGGATCTGGTCCATTCTGCTGTGCCTCAATCAATTGTTCGTTCGCTGCACCTTCAGTCACATCACAATGTTCGGATGTTGCGATTGTTCTGCGCCAACTTCAGAACAGACGAACTCCAGAACAATGTGAGCGGCATTGGTGTTCGAGGAATGAGGGGTTAAGGGAGCTGAGTCCGACCCCATACGGGAAAAGGGGTGGCGGTGAGTTGGTGGTGGGGGAGGGCATGTCGGATCGCCATGTTTGATACTCAAAGCAGAGACTCGACCGACAACAGCCTCGTCCTGGAGCCTGGGAGGAGCGATCTCCTGTCTTGACTTCTTCGATGGGCCCGAGGCTGAAGCCCAAGGAAGCATGCGAGGAGATGATGCACATCAAAGCAGAGCAAAGCTCTGGCTTGTTGGTGCGCAATGCTGGGTCTTTCGATTGCAGGAAAGTGTCGTGATCTTCTGTGCAGAGGTGCAGATGTGCTAGGGGAACGGCGGATGAGGATGTGGAGGTGGAGAAGCACTGACACAACGCGGACGAACCATAATATCCAATGCAAAAGAAAACACTTTCAAGACTGACGTACCTGTGGGATGATGTGTTCTGTTCTGTTTAAGGAGGGTAAAGTAAGGTAAGGTAAGGTAAGGCAAGGCTCAGCCGGGTGAAGCTGAGGATGCGTGCGGGTGACTGTTTGTACTCGTCAAGTCACTGTCTGTGGTGTACGGATGTTGTGCAGGGATTCGAAATCTCGTGGGCGTGAGCGTGAGCGTGAGCGTTGCGTTGCGTTGCGTTGCGTTGGGGTTTCAATGCTGGCTGCAATAATCCAAAGAGGTCAAGTGGGAATCTGAAAGCAGGAGGAAACACGCCCTTTAAGTTAAGCTCGAGCGGAAACGAGCTAATTGTGTAAGCGCGATCCAGGCCTGGTCGCAGTCGCCGAATTGCCGAAGGGTCAAGCACGTGATTGGACTGCACATGCTCTGATTGGAGGCAATGGGGGCGAGGAGGGGAGGGATCACCGCTCGAATAGGAAGGAGTGGGGGGGGGGGGGGGGGGGGTTGGATTTATCGATTTATCTTTGACGTTGCAGGTGCTTGATTACAGGCACGTTGACACCAGCGTGGTTGCATGTATATTTAATTCACCAAGGTAGGGGATGCAAGGTAAGGTCAGACAGATATGCCTCTCTTTGGACTTTGGATCTGGCTTGAGACCTGCTTCCAGAGCTTAAGTCACGTTGACCTGAAGTATACCTTGAGGTGTTGCAGACATTCATTCATTCGCTGTTCGAGGTCAAAGAGATCGATTGAGATTCACAAAGAAGATACCTAGAGTATGGCTGGGTGAATTGGAGACATCCCGTCCAGGGCAGGCAATATCCCAACAGGTCCCCACTCCTCCGCTTATTCAGTCATATGGATTTCATTTTATTTCATTTCCTCAGCCGAGAGCACACAATGAAGGAGCGACCAGTTGAAGGGCAATTTTCATTCCGAGAAGAGATGGAGGCACCACGTGTATAGAGAGAAGCCGGTCTGCTTCTTCATCCAGTGCCGCTCAACGAAGTCTGGAGGAGTCGAGTCCGAGCATCAAACTGATTCCCAGCACGGATGGCATTTATAACTTCCCTTTCGAGAAGCCGGAAAATCATGTGCTATTCAAGAGCTCATATCTCGAGATGTCAAGCCCTGTTGCAAGCGTGTAAACCGTCCAATAGGCTCGCATCAAATTATTCCGGCTGTACCATGCCCACAGTTGAAGATATTCTGCGTGCTCCTCAAGCCTCCTCCCTCTTTCAGTCCTCTCCGCCGGCATTGGTGTCACACTGCCAGCATCAACACTTCTCAAAGCAAGAAGGAACAATCCTCCGACTAATCAAGCAAGTTCCTGACTAACCATTCTTAACGGCCACACCGTTTACCAAGTAAAACCTGTCAAGCGATTCAAGCATACCCAACCCTTACCCACCGGCAGCACGCCCCCCAGCGCCACGCCAAGCCCCTCACAACACGGGAGTCGACGGGGACAAAGACGAAGACTGCATCACTAAGCGAGCTGCACCAGAAGCGTCAGAATGCCCTGCCTATGATGCCCTCGCATTGCCCTCGCGTACGAACTTGCCAAGTCGAGTCCATTCTCCGAGGTTTGACCTGCAAGGCTGGAACAGATCACCTTTGATCTGTGTAAGTGCAATTTATCTACCAGTACACAACCAGTTTATTCGCAAGCATGGTCAGGTACGGAAGTTTGCTGGAGTTAGGCTTTCTCTTACTGTCAGCACATTCTTTATCTTCGTCTTACTCCACAAATTAACCATTCGACCTTCACCCGCCTCGATCTGAGACTCGATTGCGACATTGAAAAGCTAAAACTATTTAAGCCGTCCGCTCGTTTTGACTTGATTGTAAAGAGAGCTTTGAATCTTGGATTCAAAAAGTAGTTCATCTTGTCTGCACCTCCAGTTTCGTCTTTCTGTTTTGCATGTAGTCCAAGAACGGGCTGGCTCAGGACCGATGTTTCGAGTTTGCCTGTTCAGTCAAGTCATGTTTACGATCCTGTCGGACCTCTGTAGGTTTATGACGAGATTCGAGACGAGACGTTATGACATCAGTCCGGCTATGAAGTCTGAACTACTGGGCTTTGAGCCTTGGCTGTACTTCGCCGTTGGGGCTTGACATTTGGTGGCAATGATAGATATCCTTGAGTCCAGCTCCAACAAACATTCAGGCAAGCCCTGTACCGAAGGACCAGGAAAATGACGAAAGAGAAGCCTATGATTAGGTGTTCAGACTCTGTAATCCGTGACTTTCATGGCATAATGGACAGACTTAGAAATTATATGCGCCACAGAAACCGATAGAAATCCAGACCTAGAGATTCCAAAGAGGGCATGTAAGCGAAACTTCCTATTCCAGCTAGACCTAAACAAGGTAGAATTGGAACTCGCTCCAGACTTCTGTATACTCAGTTCAGAAACAAAGTACAAGGCGCTTCGCATACTCATCGATCCTGAACCCTGAACAGTAGAAGCTTGAAACGGTTTGGAGCCCATGTGAAACTTCAACTGTTAAAAGGGAGACTGCCCATTTCTAGTTTTCGACAGCTAGACACACAAACGTCGTTCAGTAATATGTCAAACCTTGAACAAGATGCTTAGATACATATACTAGACACTCTATGGATACCGCCTACGGTCGTCATCACAGGTCGAAAGCTTCTCGTAATCCTCCACCTCCTCCTCCTCCTTCTTGAAGTCCCGACATCAAACTACCGACACTCATTCACCCAACCCCTCACCCATCTTCCCTAACTCAAATCTCCCCTAACTCTCCCCACCCTCTCAACAGCGCCCCTCAACCCCTCCACAGCCGCCAAATATCCCGTAATCATCACCTCATACGTCCGGAACTCATCAGCCATCTTCGGCGGCTTACCTGCCACCACGCCTAAATTTTTGACCGTCTGGAGAGTGGATTCTAGAATCGGTTTGAGGGGTGCGATGCGTCGGTGGAGAGTACGGGTGGTGTTCTCGATGTGGAGGCGAGTTTGGGTGCTGTCGGAGTGCGAGGTTGAGGATGTGTTATGGAGGAGGGAGAGGGATGATGTGTCCTGGATGGAGGGGTTAGCTGTGGCGCTTGGGAAGAATTATCTTCCATACGTTTTGGGTCATCGGAAGGGAAATCATAACTTGAGAACACGGCCCACAGCATTCAGAAGAGAGACATAAACCCAGAGGATACAACTGAAGGAAACGAAAGAGAGTTGCGTTTTTCACTCACCAACGCCTCAACCTCCTTCTCCAAATCCAATAAGAACCACCTCCATTCCCCAAGATAGCTACTCAGCGCGAGGAAATGTACGTGATCAAACCCATCACGCACATAGCTGTGGCTGCGCTCCCACTGTCGCATGCAAGCTTGGAGACGAGCCTGCAGAGGCGAATCGGCGTCCGAGTGGAGGAGGATCCAGAAGCTACCTTTGGTAAGGACCGTGTCAGTAAGAGTAATTTTTTGGTGAACCGGCGATGTGTTCGCAGGAGAGATAGCTTTGGTTTGGGAAGAGGGAATGACAGAGGAGAGGGAATGTTACCATGTGTTTTGAGGACATGGCGGTGGTAGACTGCTGTCTGAGAGATGATCCATGTGTTGTCATTAGTGAGAATGGGATATCGCAGGATGTATTGTACCTCTGTCTCTTCATTAGTCTCTGTATTCTACCTGCAGCTACCAGCTCTCTTCTGAAGAAATAGAGTGGTGTTCACAAAGTGCTGTTACATACCCAAAATGCCCGCAACATTCGGGCCATTTGCCACATACTTGTACACCAAACTCCCGGACCCAGCTTCAACATCTTTCCCATGTCCTGCAAATGAGAACAGGAGGTCGAGAAATTGAGGTCCCACACGGAGCTGAGTGAGGAGTACATTCATAGCTTCAGCCGTAATGGACAGTGGTGAGTTTGGGCTGTTGGCGTGAATTGATCTACAATTCTGCATTTAGTCTTGTGCATTCTTGTTCATGCACATCGCCTTTTTTGTAAATAATGCTGAAGAAGGAGTCGAGTGACAGAGAATTGATATGAAGCAGAGAGCTAGTGTGGAAGCAACAAGATGATGTTAACACACTCACATAGTCCTTATTCCAATCGTCAAGTTCTCTTTCAAATACGTATTCATACTCCCAATATCATGTATCGTTTCCGCGTTAACCGGCCTGCCTAGGATCGATCCCCGAACCGCTTTCAAAAATGTCAACCAACGCCCAACCACCCAAACAATTTCAAAATACAATAGTCTCAATCTCAATCGGGACATGCCATGCACCTGTAATAGTCTAAAGCCTCCCTGAAAAATAAAGAAGGGTAGAGAAGACGAATATGATTTTGACTGGCTTCAGCGAAACTCACGCTTAATATCCCAGAATTCAACACGCATCGCCGTCCTCGTACCACAAAACAAGCGCTCCCCAATCAACCCCATACGTCTCGATACCCCTACGGCATAGTTGAAGAACATATTATCGCCTTGCGCGAAGGGGATCCACATCTTCAGATCGATGTCTGTGAGTTGCTGCGGATGCTCACTGTAGTCTGGTGGGGGCTCCATTGCTGGGGCGATGCGGTCTGTATGTTCACAGGTTTGGAGATGTACAATCGGCTTTGGCGAACTGCGTGCGTTCAATGTTGGGAATTGAATTTATGACATCAGCTCAGTGGGGTTTTTCTGCCCGTGATAAATGTTGTATGTGTTGGAATGGTAGTGGAGCCGAGTGACTGCCTTGCAGGATTCTCGGCGGCTGATGTGTGCTGTGCCAGATGCTGATCCACTGTTACCAAAATCTCAAAGAGGGCTTGAACGCGGCATTTGATGGAGTTTTGGGTTACATTGATAGATGGAGTAAGGAAACCCTGTGGATTGCGAACACGGTAATTCGACTGTTGATAGAGGTTTTCAGGCTTGCACGAGAGAGTGGGCAAGGAGTTTTCATTATGACCCTTTTTGGCTTTTTCCTCCAGTTCCTATTCTACCACTTGGAGTTCATATTCCCATTCCATTACCATTCTATGTATCATCAACCCACCCCTCCATTGCAAGCACAAAAAGATGAATGACTGACCAGCCTAGGCCCACTTCCCAAGCAATGCCATCAAAGCCGTGCCAAGCAAGACACAGCAAATCATAAACGTCAGTCTCTTCGAGCTCCGGGACAACTCAGGATTAAACAAGAAATCCCTAGCAAGCAATTCCACCAACCCAGTGTAGATCAAGATACCAGCTGAGATCGCATCCAGCACACCACTGATGATATTCGCCGTTGTGCTCCCAGCATTATACGTATTGCGAACTCCCAATCCAATAGCAATAGCAATTGGGGTAGTGAGACCATATACTGTACAGAGGAACCAAGGGAGCCAGTGCAGTCGCTTGGGGAAAGGAATAGCCGACATTCTCGCACCGATTCCCAGGCCCTCGAATGACTGATGGAAGACTAGAACGGGGTACAAAGTGCTAAATTCTGAGCCAGTAGTTCCGAGATTGAGACCAATGATGACAGAGTGAAAGATTACACCGAACTCGAGAATGAGGAACGCAGCGATTTGTTGACGGAAGGAGCGCTCGATGACTTCATTGACGGACGGTGCGGGAGAGGCTTTCTCAGAATCGTCGAAATCCTTCTTGGGGAGGTCCTTCTGCGCTTGTGCTGCTGCGATTTGGTCGTGGAAGTTCTCGTCTTGGTCGCCGGAGTGGAGTTGGTTGTGTGTAATGGATTGCGTACGAGGGTGCGCTGCATTGGTCGTATGGACGTGTGTTCCTCCTTCAGTTTGGCCAGGTCGATCGGTGATAACGCTCTCGATGGCGGGACCGTGTGCAAAGCCGTATTTGTGATCGACGTATTGCTCTGCGCCGAACTGGCTAAAAGTAAGTAAGGATCTCAAGGACATGATACGTTAACATACATCCATCAGGAAGATAAGCATGATTGATGTCAGGACAATACCAGGGCACCAGGCGTAGTCGGCCCAATGTCCAGTCATTCCAACACAAGTATTTGGACCTATCTCTGCATATGCTGGGTCAAGGAGACTATCTCCCATTAGCTCGCGTACCGTAAACAAGAACAGTTTGTAGGCGAGGACTGCAGGGATACTTACTGAATGAAAGCTGTTGCGATGATAACACCAGCACCAAAGTATCGAGCGAACAGGTATACATAGATGTTGATCCGTAGCCATTTGACGCGTGCTGCGAGGACTGGGAAGAAGGTCGCTGCAGATGAAACTATCAGAATCACGAAAAGAGCTGAAACTCGAGCTCCGATGCGACCATCGTAATCATTCTCTCCTCGTTGCAAGTAGCAGATAATCTGAGTTGGGTCAGCCTCGTCGAGATTGACACTAGCTGGATCGAAAGAGGCCGACATATCTGCTGTGTCGAGTTCCGCTTGATGAGTTCTTGTGAAATCGAAGGGATCGCTTCACGTAAGAACGAGAGTTCGAAGGAAGGGAGCCAACTCCTCTTTATCTGAAAAGCGTCTCCGAAGCACGGCAGGCTGACAAGGATATATATCTCTACTAGAGGGATCAAACAGACCAATCCTGAGAAAAGAATGTCAGATTGTTCGGTCACGGCGCCGCCGTTCGCAATTGGGGGCAGTGGTGGGTACGACAGACACCTTGATGGTCGCGCTAGAGCGAGTTTCTTCTTCAACTTCCACAGTCCCAGGACGGGACTTAGAACAAATCATCCCGACCAGCGAGACTTGCTTTTGCTCATTCCATCACATGGCCGTGTGATGGATGATTTTCAGCTCGAGTAAAGGCTAAGAGGGAGATTCCATCGTTGGCAAATGGCAGTCAAGTGTGTGGTGTGACAGCCGGCTCAAGCTGCATGTCATAGGTTGCACACGTACAACACTGACAAGCAGCAAGCCAGAAAGGTTTTAAAGTCTCTATGGTAGTACTGGAAAGTCTCGGCAGGTCAACTAAGATTTCCTTCCGATGCTTATTCCATGCTGCCGCGCCGCTATGTCTGCATTAATTCCTTGTCGGGCCTTCCGTTCGCGCCATCAAGCATTTCTGGATCAATACCATCAAGGTGTTTTCCCACACCTTCCAAACACATCGCCAATTTCCGACAGCGTTTGAGGGACTAAGCAATCCGGTGCGATGGGAATGGGAACCTCATAGAATGGGACAAAGTAAGGACCCGAAATACCCGCTGACGTGACGAGCACGTTTCTTGGTCGCGCAGGCATGCATTGCATTAGTCGTTGTGGTACCCATCCTGTGGATGGAGTACAAATGTACCACCCAGGTACTTTGGATGGTGCATGGCTTCAGCCTCAGCCTTCCTTAAATGTCTTGTGGCATGAACAAAAGGACCCATCCCCTCCAAATATTTGCTCGTGAGCGTCCTGGGTTGATGGGATTGGCGCGGTTCATCGTCCCAGACTTCTCCAAATCATCAAGCCTGTGAGCCTCACTATGGCGAGGAACTTGCTCAGTCGCGTGTCTAGTGGATCCATCAAAAGTCTGACCTCGACATATCAGATAGTAGACGCATTTTCTCTCCTACCGCGGATACGGTAAGACAGCAGCCATCCTCATTCGAAGAGTTAAATGCTCACATGATGTTGTGAGAATAGGTACCGCAGGCCAGGCGAATGTCGTGACCGCATAACAGTACAACGGCGAAGGAGGCTCAGAGCTCGATCATCCTTTGCCTTCAGCGTAAGTTTGCCGCAGAGGAAAGCTGGAGTGTCTTGCCGATCTGCTGTGTCAATGGCCATTTTTGGCCAGCAAGAGTCAGATCAAAGCTTCGCAGACACCTGAATAATAGTCTTGTTGTGTATAAAAGATTGTCTGCATTCATTATGGTATTAACAAGGAGGGGCACATGAAAGCGACACAGACTTACTTCAATCTCGGGCATCGCATTCGAGGTACCCCCAACTCCAATATAAACTCAAAGAGCCAAATGTCGAGTGGAAGAAATTAAACGATAAGCTTGTGCAAGTTGTAGCATTGTGGATTCGCTTGCAACAGATTTCTCGAACCCTGCCGTCGCCTTTGCTCTCTCCACCCGCACATCGACAGAGATTCACACATACTCAAGCTCTCTGTGCGACTCTGAGGATCTGCAGAAGGATTGCCCTTTATCTCCACTATCACCGAGAATCTATTGAGCTGTCCAACTCTCAACTCTAGAGAAGGTGAGACGAGACTGGTGACAGCCTCGAGACCGAAGCTGTGTTTACATCGACTCGATCCAGAAAGACGGAAAGGCTTCGGTAAAGTAACGCTGTCGAGTTCGTAACAAATAGCCACAGGTGGAACGAGGAACACCTGAAGTGAGAAGCTTTCAGTGATTAGATGGTGGCTGCTAGCTTTGTCGGTAAGTTTCTGGTGAAGTGCAAGATAGAACCAAAGATCTGGGCCTAGAATACAGGAGTCGATACGCCAGCATGGCAAGCTTTAAACTGCTAGGTGCCCTTCGGAGCGCCCTTTAGAGAGCATGATGGCAGCAATTCTCAGTGATGATACTAGCGCAGCGCAGACAGCATACTTTAAACTGAATTGAAACTGCCATAATGTAGCGACACGACAACAGAACGCTAGGCAAGCAGCTTCGAGAGTAAGTGAAGATAGCTATCGCAGCTACAACATCTTGATATAAGTTTGATGGGTCTAGAAACCACAAATAGACTTTGCTTTGTTTTTCGCTCAACATAGGAACACTCATAAATACAGAACTCAAAACCGAGCCCACTAGGAAATGATTCAGTCCACAGATGATCCAGGCAGACGTCAACTGATCAGGACCTGAAGTAAATAAAAACAATGGAATATGTTAAAACTTCCGAAGAGGATGTTTAATGGAAAGCATTACAGTAACAAAGAAGATCAGAGAAGCTGGATGGGAAAACCACAGGACGGACTGGCGATTCACCATATACAAAACTCCGGCAAGCGATGGGAGAATGATAGCTGTGCAATGAAATGGATCATAAGTTGACCATGAATTCGTAGAAGGCTTGTCATGTATCAAGAATGGTGTCTTTCAACAAAGAGACGCTGAAAGGCAGGTCAACAAATCGGTGGGGCGTCCAGCAGTAGAGTAGGTAGATCAGGTCCTAGCGTTATCTACTAGGCGGGAGATAGCTGATCCCAGATAGGGGTAGCGAGTGCCTCGCTCCCTGCGATCCCAAGCTTTCCGGCTATCTTCGAGTCTGGACCCATTCTAGACTGGCAAGCTCGAAATACTGTCCACGTTCTCCCCAGCGCCTTTATTTAGGGTCCCAAAGAAACGGGATACTTGAACACGACTAAGAAATGCAACCTTTCGGAAGTAGGATGTTGCAGAGCCAGCTCCTCCAAGGTGCATTGATGTGGCTTCTCTCAGCTGAGTAAATGACCACGCCGTACGCCCAGAAAATACCAATATCGGTATCAAACGCCACAATATCCCAACCTGGAGGTTGGAAGACATCCCTGCTGTAAGGCAGTGGTACTTCCCGTCATCTTTTCCTCCGACGGCGTACTTTTTCTCGTCCAAATATATCTTCTAGCTTTTGATCTCCTTCTTCAACTACACTCTTTTGCCCACTGATTGAACTGCCAGCAATGCATTTGTACTGACCTGCTTCCCTTTCTGCACGGCAGAGAATGGCTCTCGCGCTCCCCTCTCTCTCCGTCCTCAACAACCCCCAGACGAAGAAATGGCTGTACCCTACGTTGTGGTTCATACTCGTGGTGTGGTTCCTCAGTTCCACCGTCCATAAGACCGGTCACTACCATGGAGCACCCACTCGGCTCCTCACGAACTCCTCGCTGTCAAACATCGTACACGATCTCTCACACTCGGACTCCTCAGGATCCGTATCGAATGGCGGAAACCAGCCGGGCGTCACTGCCAATGCGAGCACGAGTATCAAGTCTGCGGTCATAATCGAGACGCGGAGATCGGCTGCCATCATCCCTCTTGTGCTACATTTCAGTGCTGTATTGGGTCCCGATTGGCCTGTTATCATATATACCTCTGCGGAGAATTTTGGGTCTTTTACTACATCACAAGCCTTGCTGCGGCATCAGAAAAGCGGGAGAGTGGTTATCCGGTCCTTGCCTGAGGGGCTGTTCTTCCCGAACTGGGACTCGGTGTCAAATTTTTTGACCACTCCGTGGTTGTGGAATGATCTTGCGCCGGCAGACCATGTTCTTATTTTCCAGAGTGACAGTGTACTGTGCACGAACAGCGTGAGGAGCGTGGAAGATTTCTTTGAATATGACTATGTGGGTGCGCCCATTGCACCTGAGCTGGGAGTTGGATACAATGGAGGGTTGAGCTTAAGGAAGAGAACTACAATGTTGAGAGTTCTGGAAGAGTTCCAGTGGGGTGGAGGTCCTGAAGATCAGTGGTATTTTGCCAGGTATGCAAATCTCAGTATTGAAGAAGACGAACAACTCGCTGACTTGCATAGAATGGCTGAGCTTAGAACAGCTGATGAAGAGAGTGGAATAGAAAACGGTATTCGGTTACCAAGTATGGAAACGGCGAGAACGTTTGCTGTAGAGACGATAGACTACCCGACGCCGCTGGGACTACAGTGAGTTTGTGCGAAAACCTACCTTGCGGCATCGTACTGACATCCTTTAGTCAACCCACGAGGTTTATAGCTGCACATGATCATATGATACCCTTGGACGACTGGTGTCCGGAATATAAATTGGCGCGAACAGATCGGATTAATGAGTAGAATAATGGGAAATAGACAGATATTGGACAAAAAATAACAACGAAATCAAACAACGACCGTGGGGCTCGATCGGGATGACAGCCGTTCGATAGTGACGAACACTGGGGATCACAGGAAGTCGCAGTGAGCGAGAGAGATTTGAAATGCCGTCCCAAGAATAGACTCCCCGAGTCAGAATAGCAGTCTTGTAATCATGATCGGATTTGGAGATCGGCTTGTTGTAGGAACTCATCGGAGCAAAACTTCCCTTTCATCGGCGATTAGGTTACGATGTGGAGAGTACGACAGTGTTCGCCCATGGCGTGGTGGCCAAAAGAGAGAAATAAAAATTCCGGACTGTACCATCATCCGTCATGACAGAGCTCCTCTTCAATCAACCTTGCCAGTCGAGAAGCTTTTGAGTCTGTCGAGTAATATCATAGTTCAATATGCCAAATCGTGACCATTAAAGTTTGGAAGGAGCCATTCATCCGTCGTCGGATTCGCCACACAAGATTTGGCGTGAAACGACACCTGGAGATAGTTCCATATCACAGCCATCAAATTGGAAACGAGTCGTGTCTGCAAGTTCTTGGCTTCTTGGATAGGCTGTCTAACTTGGAGGCGTTGAGCTTCTTGATTCTTATGCCTATTTCCTGCGGAGCTTTTATTCCTCTCCTTCCTTTGAACCACCATGTTATTTTTCCTCACTAGGCGCTCTTACAAGGGAATCCCATACCTTCTGCAGCGGATTTCTTCTCTATCCTATTTGTCTAATAATAAGCTTGGTATGCTTCAGCTGATCCGATTTTGCCTTTCATTGCGCAGAACCGAATGTTCTCGTGAAGCCGAGCTTTTCGATGCTGCAGTGCTCAGATCTCGTCCAAGTGTACATAAAAGCTTCTGCACAGTTGAAAGTCACAGCTGTGTTCACCACATCAAACGAGATACCGAGAACTATAACTTTGTCAGCGAACATGCCTCGGCTGGTGGCGTTGGGCCATCGTACGGCTTTGCTTTTGGAGTATCTATATTTCCCCACTTAAGCTTTGAATGGCAACATTTTCATCCGTTCGTGTGTATGTTTACCGCTCTGAAACCACTTACAACTCTATAGACTTGCTCATGGTGCTAGACATTCGCAGCCGTTTTCAAAGATAGTAGTTCTCGAAGACATTCTCTCGTTCTGCGGGAGGACGCATCCACCTCCATGGTTTTCAGGCCTAGCAACCCACAAAGGATACCTCCATGATCTTCAGCAGTCCATAATTCTCGCAAACCCCTTTCCTGGTTGCTCCAAAATTGATCGCCATTCCCGATTGCATTGGCAAGCTTGCGGCTCTTTTGCGGGGGGTTCCCTTCGAGTAGTCTAGGCTTATCCTAGCGTGATTAAGCCTTCAACATTTGCTGCGAATTGCAAAATCGGTCCTGCACCCCTGAAATCTACTTACTAGTATCGTTGTCCGACGCTTAGGTCATTTGACTGGTCTTCGATTTTCTCTTCTTGGCCGACGAAGTTTCGCGAAGCCCTTGAAACTAAACTCTAAAAACACAGGTATTTGGATGATGCTTGAAAATCTCCGACAGAGCATCAAGGCTCAAGGATTAAGGAACGCCTCCCATAGGCTATGATGACCCTCTTTCTACTCGCCGTGATACAAGAAGCGAACTGACTCGCCGAACAACATGGAAATTGCCTCCAGCGAGGTATTCTCAGATGCATACAAAGGTGATAGCCACGGACGGCTTGATTCATCTGGTCATCCAGTCTCACTTCTGCTTCTGATTCTGTCTAAACCACGCTGAGACTTATTGACTCTGTCTTGATGTTACAACACTGGATTCTCAATCTTCCTCTTCTCCTCTCCATCGAGCCTGATCAATCGACATGATCACTCTACTTCCCGATGATTTCAAGCCGCTCGTTGTCACTCAGTCTGATCTGGTCATTGCATCTATTGCTTGGGGGTTCACTCTTGGTTTTGGTTTTCTCACCACATGTAAGGAGATATTGAGCCGTAGGTGTATGCTAGATGGTTCTAATGGTACTGGTAGGGACTGCCATCAAGCAGACGTCCGAGGTGGGTCGACAATATGGATATTCCAGAGTTCATTCGCCGTATATTGTCATGATATGGCTGGAGATCCTCGTCTGTATGGTATTCTGCATTATATGTTGGCTCCATTTAAACGGCAATATTCCACCAAGGTATGATCTTCAGGAATAGCTATCCAGATGAGTCTTCTCTGACATTTAAAAGCTTTGCTTTCTTCTTCGTTATTCGTAAGTAACATACAAAGTATCAGCATCAGCAGCCTAACAAGCTCAGTGACGACATGGGCACTCCAAGTGCAGTTCCTGCTCCAGATCATCATCAACCGAGTCGCTATTCTTCTCACAGATAAGACGAAGGCAATGAAAATCAAGATTGCAGTTGCAGTATTAATTACTGCTATCAACATATCTGTTTACTGCATATGTAAGCTCGCTTGGGTTCTGATGGCCAGAAAGGAAAGCTAATAGTATATGCTCCAGGGATCCCAGCTCGACTGCAGATTTCGGAAAGGTACATCAATATCAACGAGATTTGGGATCGATGTGAGAAGTGTATCTATTTACTCGTTGATGGGGCACTGAACTATTATTTTATCCGCATTGTGAAGTCCAGGTTGGTGCATCAAGGCTTGATCAAGTATGATCGACTGGTGCATTTCAATCAAGGCATCGTCGTTCTCTCTCTCAGCATGGACTGTCTCATCATCGGAACAATGAGCCTCAACAATGGGTTTGTGTAAGTGTTTTCGGAAATACTTCCTCAAGCCGTGTATCTCAGCACTAATCGACTGATCGAACAGATACATGCAGTTCCACCCTGTCGCATATATGGTCAAACTCAACATTGAAATGTCGATGGCCGAGATGATTGTCAGGATAGCCTCGGATAAGGAGAACCTGAATGTAATGGGCCATCATCACAACAGCGTCGCTACTTCACTTACGAAGACATTCGGAACGTCGAAGGATGTCAACTGGAAGATGGATTCTTGTGCAACCGGAGCATCCGCGAAAATGGGAGACATAACCTTTAACGCAAAACGAGAAGTGCATGTCGTCGTCGAGCGGCGGAAAAGCGTGGGAAGTTCAAGCACAGAAGCAAGCCTGTCGAGGAAAACCTGGGATGACAGAAATTACGAGGAGGGCCAGGAGGATCTATTTCCGCTAAAGGAACAGGATTCAAGCAAGAAGTTCATGATGCAGGGAGCCAGTAATAACATTACGGGCATTGAGAGAGCGGGAGGGATGGGCATGACGGTCAAGATCTGGGGACCGCCGGAGACGAAAGAATTTTATCCTTGAGAACAAACTGCATTGCATCAGCCTGTACATTTACTAGAGATGGGTATTAAATAGCCAAGCCACGGGCACTATAATATGAGTCGGGAGAGGTTCATTCCAACTGTTGAACCTATCCAGATTTTGACTGAACAAGCAAGTGAACAAACGCACGCCAATGCTCAACTCAGCGCAGCTCATGAGCGTGATGGGAGGGCAAGGGCTCATCATGACCAAAACCAACAAGCATACTTCGACCGATTGATGCCTGGGTTATCTGAATGACGAAAAGCGGCGAGCTGAAAATTCAGATTCTGATAGAACCAGAAGAAGTGACAGTTTATGCGTTTTTCTCCGCAGTATCGACATTCAGAGAGCACAGCGGAGGGGAAGTAGGATCGGAAATAGGATCGGATAAAGCGGAGTTGCCTCGGCTGGTCTGTCTCGCGGGCATTGTCGCTTCGGATAGAGGCGGTGGGCAAGGGGTTTTGCGGGCAGAGGGAGCTTGCCGAGGCTCGATTACATATCGATGCAGAAGTCAATATCATCATTTTCGCTTGATAACACATGCAAGAGTGTAGGAGACAAAACAGTACATCCTACTGCTGGTATCTCATTTCCTCAACACCAAACACTCGCAATCTTTGGGAATTACCACCTCATCACGATTCAATTGGAAGATCAACAACGTCATTCGGTGACAATCCCCAGACTTTGAACGGCAATAATAGAGCGGCACCAAATTGCAACGCCATTGCTGGGGTTCCCCACATTCACAAGCTTCGCTCTCACCAAACCCTGCATTCCCCTCCACCCGGAGCCCGTGCTGCTCTATCCGCTCTTCTGCACTCTGCCCCGGTAGCTCCTCATTGCCGTGGTAAGGTATTTTTGAAGCTCCCCTCCCCTCCAATGATGTAGCAGTCCCATCTGACGTATGAAAAGCATATAGCTCGCCGTGCTCGCCCTTCTTCTCCCAATCCTCATAGCTTCTCATTTTCGGAACAAAGCACATTTCTGCGAACCACTAAATATATACACACAATGGCTACCACTGAATCTATTCTCCAGGGCGTAAACGTCGCTGGCACAATTAACGACTTTAACGGCAAGATCCTCAGCAAAGACGCCCTTGCATTCCTCGCACTCCTCCACAGATCCTTCAACGGCACACGAAAGGAGCTGCTCCAGAGGCGTGTGATCAGACAAGCAGAGCTTGACAAAGGCTCTCTTCCAGATTTCCTCCCAGAAACTAGACATATCCGCGAGAACGATGCGTGGAGGGGTGCAAAGCCTGCACCAGGTCTCGTTGACCGGCGAGTGGAGATCACAGGCCCAACGGACCGCAAAATGGTTGTAAATGCTTTGAACTCGAATGTCTGGACATATATGGCAGATTTTGAAGGTATGCATTTCGAGTATTTGTCGCATGAGTATGCACTGACTTGAATTTGAACAGATTCGAGCGCCCCCACCTGGGACAATATGGTCAATGGTCAAGTCAACCTGTACGATGCCATCCGCAGGCAAGTCGATTTCAAACAAGGAGAGAAACAATACAAGCTACGAACCGACCGCACACTCCCAACACTCATTGTCCGTCCTCGAGGCTGGCACCTGGACGAGAAACACTTGACTGTTGATGGCGAACCCATCTCTGGCAGTCTTTTCGATTTCGGTCTCTACTTCTTCCACAATGCAAAGGAGCTCATCAAGCGGGGATTTGGACCATACTTTTACCTCCCAAAGATGGAGTCCCATCTCGAGGCTCGTCTCTGGAACGACGTTTTCAACCTTGCTCAGGATTTCGTCGCTATCCCCCGCGGCACAATTAGAGGCACGGTATTGATTGAGACCATTCTCGCTGCGTTCGAGATGGACGAGATCATTTACGAGCTCCGCGACCACTCCTCGGGTTTGAACTGCGGAAGATGGGATTATATCTTTAGCGTGATCAAGAAGTTCCGCCAGAACTCCAACTTTGTCCTCCCCGACAGATCAGCCGTCACCATGACGGTCCCATTCATGGACGCTTATGTCAAACTTCTCATCCAGACCTGCCACAGACGTCAAGTCCACGCCATGGGCGGCATGGCCGCTCAGATCCCCATCAAGGACGACAAGGCTGCGAACGACAAGGCCATGGAAGGTGTTTACGCTGACAAGCTCCGTGAAGTCAAGGCTGGCCATGACGGAACCTGGGTTGCTCACCCAGCGCTCGCTGCCATTGCATCGGAAGTGTTCAACAAGCACATGCCAACTCCCAATCAAATGTTCGTCCGCCGTGAAGACGTCAAGATCGGCCAGAACGACCTCCTGAACATGAACGTCCCAGGCAAGATCACCGAGGACGGTATCCGCAAGAACTTGAATATCGGTTTAGGATACATGGAGGGATGGCTCCGTGGCGTCGGCTGTGTTCCTATCAACTACTTGATGGAGGATGCTGCTACCGCTGAAGTGAGTCGCAGTCAGCTGTGGCAATGGGTGAAGCACGGTGTGAATACTGCTGAGGGCAAGAAGGTCGACAAGTCGTACGCACTGAAGCTGTTGAAGGAGCAGGCGGATGAGTTGGCCTCGAAGGGTCAGAAGGGTAACAAGTACCACTTGGCTGCTCAGTACTTCTCTGGGCAGGTCACTGGGGAGGATTATGCCGATTTCTTGACTTCGTAAGTCTATACTACATACACCTCATACTCGGAACTTACTAACGAAATTTTATAGATTGCTGTACAACGAGATCACCAGTGTAGGAAGCGCATCACCAGCATCGAAGTTGTAAATATATATCTTTTTCTATATCTCTAAAGCGAAAATGGTTAGCTTTTTTGAAGCTCTATGTATGAATTATATTATCAAATGGATCTCAAGTTTTTAAAAGGACTTTAATCGCGAATTTGCATGCAGGGAGTTTGAGACCTGGTGAAATCTGCAAGGCATTCAAAACTCCATACAAAGAAGTTCACCCTCTTTCACTTCACCGTAACAGGACGGTTCTCAGCTCGTGTTCGGTCTCGCTTAGGCGCCACGCCACTCTTTCAGGGGTACCTCCGTACTGTACATTGTTTGATGTATTCGGTAGAGTTGCATTCTGTGTTTGCTGACGCGAAGCGTTCAAATCACTTTAGAGTTGAAAGAGCACTACTGTAGGTATGGTGTTTTTGTCCAAGTCAAAGTCATTGATTAAGCAGCTGAATTAGAAGCCAGCCAGATTTTTCTCTAACTACCCTAATCCATTAAGCCTCTCAGCCTTGCCGCCCACTTACAGTAGTCTCGCTTCCAATAGCGCAACCCCTTTTCCACGTTGCCGCCCAGGCCCAATTTCCCCCTCGTGTTTTTCAACCTCATGCCACCAAAAGCAAAACTGTCAGCCAGTCAGCCACAGGCCCACAGCCAACTTGGCTGGCCGCATCTGCACTGACAATCGCCCCGAAATGGACAAGTTTATGTACCTTTCTGGCACTATCTGCCCCCCACTAGGGTCCAGGTAGGCACTGGGTCAGCCTTCCTTCGCTGGTAGGGGTCTAGATTTCGTTGGATATGGCGAGGCAAGTATTCTGTGACAACCTCTTTTCGAGCATCGTCTTCTTCGCATTTTGGCTTTCTGCTGCAAGTCCTTTATGGTCTTCAGACACGTCTCTCATTTAGTAATATACTTCGTATCTATGTCGTTCTAAGTACCGGAGTATTCTTCGTATCTTGTTCATTTGATTTTTGTGTATCGTTTGGATTTGCTGCGAACGAGCGAGCGCGCGAACGAAAGCCCCCCTGCGACGATAGAATATAGAGTCAGCCATGTTTTCCGATTTCAGTGCCGAACAGGCTCTCAAAAGCATCCAGCAGATACAATGGAAGCACATCCTAATCTTCACCATCTGCCTTATGGGCCTCCACTTCATCCTCTTCGAAGAAACACCCTCCGACCTCAGCGCATCCACTCCGCCTCAAGCAGCATCGCCAGCATCTCCCTCCCCACCAGCACAACAAAAGGCCAAACCAAAACCCAAACCACTTCCCGTGGTCGATGTCTCAGACGCAGAGAAACCTCACGTCGACAACACACCTCCGTTCCTAGTGGCGCAGCCAGCGGACGGCAATATCGACAGACCATACGATAGCATTCCCATCGCGGAACCGATCGCAGTATGCATGTCCGTGAAAGACCAAGCCGTCGATATGATCGAGTTCTTGGTACATCACTATCACAATATGGGGATCCGGCGTTTCTATATCATGGATGATGGATCCGATCCACCGCTGTCGAGTTTCCAGTATCCTGGAATTCCCCGGACGGCTTTGACGTTCACGTACCAGGAGCGCGAGAGTAGAGATGGATACATGCAGTTGACGTTCTATACGTGGTGTATAGAGAGGTATAGGGAGCGTCACACATGGATGGCATTTTTGGATGGTGATGAATTTTTGGAGACGCCTGGGCCGGAGACATTGGGGGAGATCCTCAAGACATTTGAGGAGGATGATAGTGTGGGAGCGTTAGGGATTAAGTGAGTATACCTATCGTCAACCTCTGAATAATGCCAACTATGGCTCGTGCAAGATGAGTGCTAATCGTCCCCAGCTGGCGAATGCACAGTTCCTCCGGTCTGATAGCACGTCCTGAGTCTGTCCGCAAAGCATTCACAACTTGTATCTACGACGACCTCGAACACAATGGCGACAGCTCCGCCAACAGCCACATCAAATCCATCGTCAAGATGTCGCACGCGGGACCGCCCATGAACCCGCATAAGTTCGAGACGTCGCCCGGCTCGCACACCGTGGGCGAGAATGGGGATGTGATTGAGTCTGATGCCTGGAGAAGGCCAATTACGAGGACGAGGATTGGCCTACACCATTATGCGGTGAAAAGTAGGCAGGAGTTTGAGGCGAAGATGGAGAGGGGGAATGGGATGACTGATCCAAAGGGAGAGTCCTTTTGGAATGAGATCGAGAATGGGAATCCGCATGTAAATTGTAGTGAGATGGCAGCTTATGAGCCGTAGGCAATGGAATTGCTTTGATCAAGTGGTAGGTCCAATGTTGTGTTTGGTTTGGCTCTTGAGGTAAGTGCTCATATTGGACACCGCGCAATACAGTCTGACCTACCCAGGCAGCTTCAAGTGATGTATTCAGGTGCCAGGATACCTCTACCTATGATTTAACCCAGTACGTGAGGTTGGGCAGTTGTGGGGGCTCAAAGGTAGGGGTTGAGCATTCAGGAGACCTCCTTGTTTTCCCTTAACTCGCCAGGTTAAAGAGGTGTTTATACAAGTCCAAAATCAGACATAAGCGAGAGACTCTCCGGCTGAGCAATTCAAGCCCTAGCAGTATGGCAGTCTCCTGAAGAGTTGTCGTCCTTTTTTCTCAAGCTTTTTCGGGTCTTCCTTTAAGAACGAAACCTCAGGAAAGAATCTCTCACCACCATCTGCTCGATCCGCTCGCTAGTGATGAGTAGACATAATATGAGCCTTGGTTACAAGCTATAAGGACTTGAGCTTATATGTGCCACCATTATGGGAGTCTACGAGACTTGTGATTCATCCGATAATTGGTATTTATTGGTTAAATATTGGGTATCTCTTTTATTTGCTTTTCTTCGCCTCGCTTCTCTTGTTTGCGATGTCACTCTACTCAGGTTATCACCTACTATGATATTCATGTCAAAATACAGTAGAAGAATACGAGTATCACTTATCGAAGCTTTGCACAGCAACTCAAAATCATCGAAGTCATATCTCATTACGCCCTTTTCGACATCCATTCTCTTTGATCTCTACAACACGACGGCCCAAGCCGCAGCACCAGCAACAATCAAACCCCCACCCCACGCATTCCCAACACCCCCTGCACTCGCTGCCGACGATGCCGACGCTCCAGGCGCTCCAGACGTCGAACTTGGACTCACCGACTCCGTATTCGTCGAGATGGAATTCGTGACATTCGGATTCCCGCCCATCGGCGCCTCACTCGCCGTCACCCCCGTTGCATTCTTACAAATATCCATCCCCGCCATCATCGCAGTACTACTGAACGTGATGTCCGCACAGTTATACAATCCACCATCAGGATCTCCATTGGTCACAACTTGAATGGTGGCATTCATACCATTCATCATGCCCAGGCTGCTCGGAATGTCCATGCCCGTCATGCAGAAGGCGCCGAGCCCTTGTTCCATGAATGTTGGACGGAGAACAGTGTCGAAAGACGAGCCGGGATCGTTACCGACTCCGATGAGGACTTCAACATTCGCGTCGATGTGGCCCATCTCCAAAGCGATTTGCCCGCCTGTGAGGGGCCATGGTGTGCGTGTGGTAGAGACAGTGTCTTGTCCGCCGCAGGGGAAGGTGCCGAGTTTGTCTTCATCGAAGCCTCGCGCGGCGGGGAAGTTGAGGTTGAAGTGGGCGGTGGTGAGGGAAGTGAGAGCCGCCAGGGCGAGGAGGGTGGAGGATGTTGCAGGCATTTTGATTGTCAGGTGGTGAGAACTCTTGGGTCTGAAGATCTGAAAGAAGAGATGTACAGAAATGATGTTGAGAATAGAAATGCAAGAATGGGAATATGAAAATGTGTATCTGGATCTGTATGAACAGAGAAAGACTCGCTTGCTGCTGCTGCTCCAGGAAAAGCGGAAGTTCGCAAGGGCATATGTACTCACTTTATACAACTACGTCCAGTATACTCTTTCCTCCATGGCCGGCTACACCTCACCGAACCCGGTACGAAAGAGCATATTCCTGCAACAGCCAACTCCTGAATCCGATGCCCGATAAACCGTAGAACTATCGGCAGAACGAAACGCGCCCAACTCAGATTTTTACACAGTACTGTACCTCAAGATGACAATGACTGGTACGACCAAACTTTCGGACGTCATGTTAATCATGCCTCAACAGTCCTAGATCTGGGAGGTTCTAGCGAAGCTTTACTGCAGTACGCTACACGATCTGAAAGCTTGTACTTGTCGTTGGTATCGAGATAGAAAGTATGAGCAAGATGGTGGGGTAGAGATGTGGGTTTGAAGCGAGTGGTTTTTCAGTAGCTTCGGGGAGACGAACGATGGCTCGCGAGGCTCAGCAAAGCAGCGGAGAATTGTAGGGGAAAACTGACCCTCAGATGATAGTCGATCTGAACGAATTTCCGGTAGGGTTTGTGCTGAGAACTTTCTCAAAACTCTGAGTTGGGTTTGTTGGGTTTGGGACGTGCTCGCAAAGTATGGCAGGCTTAACATTTTTTGGACGTGGTGGTGGTTCGGTTAATTGGCAGAGGACTTGTTTCGTTTCAAGAAGTACGAGTACGGGAATGAGTTGAGATGAGAGTTTTGCGAGTCTTGCGAGAGTTTGGCTGGACCAATTCTTGCTTTCGAGACTAAGATGTGGATGGTTGCGATTTGATACATGGACAATTCACTGGTGGCTTGACTGGTTGTTTCTTTCGGATGTAATAGATGCGGAAGTGTATGTTGGTGCTAAGGCGATTTTAAATTGCAAACATGCAATCTGAAATGAACAATTAGGCGACCTAGGCCAAAGAAATGTTCTCATTAGGATAAAAGTTTCGAGCGGCAAACATGAAGCAGTTCGTGAGCGCTTCATAGAACCTTACTCATGAGAGCCTAGATACATGTTGGAAAGAATGTGAATGAGGAGGCATGAGCTCCTGTTTCTTTGAAGACTTCGGATGAAGATAGCCAGTTTGAATCCGCACTAGACGTAGATCATGTAGGGATATCGTGCTTCACTTGACCCCAAAGGGCCTACCATGGTAGTCCCATTGGCTACCATGTGGGTCAAGATGCTGCAATGAAATCTTAGAACTTTGAAAACTGTAAATAAAGATCATTTGAGTGCATGAGCGTAGAAATCTGAAGACTGAATATGGAAGGTAATTTGAGTAAATGAGTGAAAGATGTACGGCTTATCATTAAATTCGATATGTAAGCCACCAGTCTGTAAAGACGGTTTTCCCAACCAGTAGTACCCGCTTCAGTAACCAAACGCCCTGTTCATTCTTCATGATCATTATTTCTGCGGCCCCTAGTGCTCGTTCGTGACGTATCTTCCCAGTGCGAGACTACCCAGGAACGTCCCTCCGAGAACTGACGCGAAGTATCCAACATTCATGGTCATGATCGCCAACATGCTATTCAATAATAAGCCAATGAGTCCAGGGCCTAGCAAGAGAAGCACTTACAGAAGATAGCCAACTCCAACAATCACAGTATCCATTACGGCGCGTACAGGGTCGGTGGTAATCCTCCACGGACGCACAGCCATGCCTCGCTTCCCCACAACCATTACATCCTCCTCGACACCATTCTCCGACAAGACCATACGCTTGCTATCTGAATCTTGCGATATCCTCTCGGATTTCGGGAGCTTCCCAGCAACGGTAACATATCGTCTGTTGAACTCTGCATCTAGCCATGCCCTTTCCTTCCATGCTCTGACTGCCAACAACGAACGGAAGACGGTTGCCAGGATCACTAGGAAGATGCATGTTCCAGCATAGGCGCCGGGGCTGTTTGGCATCCACATTGTCGAGTACAGAGGTGTTGTGGTGCTGGAAAAGAATGTCATGGACATCATGGACATTGACATTGAGCTGCTGCTAGCGGAGCTCGATGTACCCATGTCCATTCCGCCCATATCCATCTCTGCTTCTGCGCCATGGGGATTGGGAGACATCTTGGTGGTGGAGGGAGAATTTGAGTGGAAGATAGAGGTACAGTGGATAGTCTGGAGGGATACACTGGGTGTGCCAATTAATGTAGTGACTCGCAGAGACACTCAGACTAGGTCGCAGCAGATGGGGAGGGTGTACTGTCGATGAAGCTTGGCAGTACTGCACAGAGGGACAGCAGGCGCGTTTAATAAAGGAAAGTGACTGGGGACGTGATGCAGTATTGGAAAGCAGTGAGAAGATATGAGTGGGATATCAAAGGAGGAGCGGTACAAGTAATCTCGCAAGCTAAGATAGTTAGTTAACTTTGACCTCTTGAGCTGCGTCCGGACCGACACGGTGCTGTTTGATGTGAGGCTTAACCTTACCTAGCCTTACCATCGGTTTTGCCCAAGATTTCCAAGCCCGGGGATCTGTTTGGGGCACGCTGCGTCTATCCAGCGCATGAAGAGCCTGGACGTCGACGCCTTGAGAGAGTTTGCGCGAGTTTAAGGAAGGAATAATTACTTGTTCGGGTAAAGCGCAATGCTGCTTTAGATCGGATCACGAAGACATTCGATTGGCCGGAAGACACATCAAATAGTATCTGATCACGTGCAATCGATCCTCATCCCTGGCCGGATGTGTTCTTTCGTCCTTTGAATACTGTTATCATGAAAAGAATTATACTTTTTTTTTGGAGAGAACAGCTTTACAGTCTTACGATCTCATACCACGAATAATCCCCTTTTCTCCACGTCTACATTGACCGACTTTTTCTTGGCGATCTCGATGAGGAATCTCGAGCTTCAGCCAAGCGCTCACTTCCAAATCCTAAACAGCCGCATCCGTGGACAAGAATCCCAGTGACTCGGCATGGGAATTCGCCTTGTGGGCATGAAGTCTTGTCTTAACAACATGCTCGTAGCGGGTCTCGAGTTTTGAACAAACTTCTCATTCAAGAGCGTGGTGCAGATCACTGTTTCTGGTCCAGCCTCAGCCAAACTTTCCAGTGGAATTTCAGACTTGAAACAACTGCCCAATCATGAGCTCACTGTACAGCCTAACGCATGACACTCGTCCACTCTGTTTCTCATGTTTGCGCTCTGTTGCTCCCTTCTCTCTAACTTTCCTACCTGTGGTAGCACTGCTTGATAATGTGTGAGGTCGAGCTTGAGCCAAGCTTGATTGATAACCTTGATACGCGCCCAGATCTTTTCTATTACTGCATTTCATTTTGCCATATCGAATTTCCTATATCGTTGCTGATATCGAGACACACGCCTGGCGCATTATCATTGTACTTTGATGATTGCCATTTCCTCTGATTCCTAATCCCAGGTGGGGTATTTCTGATCATCTTTTATCCACTGTCGACCTCACGACAACTTGAGAATGTCGTCGATAGTTGCTAGGCAACACAATCATGGCTCCGGTGGATTGCGTCTTTCCCAACATTTGTCTTGTACAAGGATGGAGTGGAGATCAAGCGACTGGAGGGAGCAAAAGATATGAAGACATTGAGCGAATTTGTTGAATCATCACTGGAATCTGTTCGGCCAGGATCGCGCCCGGTCGGAGGCCCTGAACTACCGGCAGCAGGAGATAAAACCTCAAAGGAATACCAAGGCCCAAAACCTGCAGACACCAAAGCAACTGGGGCGGCAGCTGCTGCACCTGTGGCTACGACTCCTGTGAAGGCACCTGCTCCATCTGCGAGCGAGGATGTCAAGGAAGAAGAAACAAAGGTCCTTGCTGCGCCCGATGCGCTTTACATGCAACAGATCTTCTGGATATTCATTGGAACTGCCATTGGTGTGACGGTCATTGTGAATGGCCTCAACAAACTCCTCTATCACCAGCGCATATCTGCGGCTCGGGATAATCCCACTGCAGCAAAACCAAAGTCTCTATTTTTCCGGGTCCATGCTACGATTGCAGCGGTTATCAGAGAATATGGCTACTACTCCTTGCCAGTAACCATCCGGAAAACACAAATTTACGTCGCACCTTTAGGCCCGTCAACAATATTGATTGCGTATCTGGTTCTGATCATCGTCTGTTGTTTATACGGTTTCAATACGGAAAATATCCGACAATGGGAAGATGTGGGATACAGGGCAGGATGCATCGCCATAGCACAGCTGCCTCTCATCGTCGTCCTAGCTGCAAAGCGGAACTTCATTGGCTATTTCACTGGCCTTGGTTACGAACGACTGGCCTGGCTCCATCGCTGGATTGCTCGAGCCCTTCTTTTCACAGTCGTGATCCATGCGGGATTCTTTCTATGTGAATGGGGAAAGTACGATTACATAATGATCAAGATCAAAGCAGATTCTATAACGCAGAAAGGCATAGCAGCTGCTGGTGTCTTGGTGTGGATCATCGTATCGTCAGTTGCGCCCATTCGTGGACTGTCCTACGAAGTATTTGTCGTTCAACACATCACATCGTGGCTCGGACTTGTTGCAGCGACCTACATGCATGTTCCAGCGGAGAATCGGATATGGCTTTGGGTGCCCCTTGCATTCTGGGGGTTCGATCGGCTGGTGCGCGCAGTCTATCTCGTCTACAACAATCTGGCTGTCTTTCACCCAAATAGCTCGGGATTTTTGGCCTGCAAAGCTACCTTCGAGCCTTTGGATGACAGCCACACCCGGGTCACCATCTCAAATCCACCTGTCAAATGGGAAGCAGGACAGCATCTCTTCTTAGCTTACCATGTCGTTGCCCCTCTATCATCACACCCGTTCACAATATCTAGCATTCCATCAGATGGCAGAATCGAATTTGTAGTTCGAGCCAAGAAAGGAGCCACCAAGAGGTTCTTCAAATATGCAGAGAAATCATACCCGAGTGGACAAAACTCTACTAGAAACTCGGGAAGATCAGTCTTCATCGATGGGCCGTATTCTCGTATCCGACCATTGAGACAATTTGATAGCGTAGTCTTCATTGCTGGATCTACTGGAGCAACATTCACAGTTCCTCTGATGCGAGATATCGTTCAGCAATGGAAAGGTTTGGGTCAATCCCGCAAAACGCATTTCGACCCTCCTCCCGGTGCTGTTACTAGGTACATCCGTTTCGTCTGGGTAGTTAAGCAAAGCTCTGCCATCAACTGGTTTGCATCTGAACTCGACCGCTCAATTCGTGATGTGGATAATCTAAGACAAGACGGCTACTGCGTCGGTCTTGATATGAGCATCTACGTCACATGTGATCAAGACATGACGAGTGGGCTAGCATCATCCAGAGATTCCTCTAGCTCCCTTGAGGTTGATGAGAAACGCCTCATTACTTCTGAAGTTCGCCGCTACCCATCCGCAGAGTGTCCATGCAGAAAGCTCGTCACGGACGAAAATGCAATTGTACCTGTCTGCGAATGCGACCCAGCGCCCTTCATACGACCTTCCAGTTCTCGCGCCAGCAGCTACTTTTCAGGGAGTAGCGTTGTGGATAATCGCATTGCGATTTTGAGTGGAAGACCAGATGTCAGTGAGATTATTACGGGAACAGCGGAATGTGCGTTGGGAGAGATGGCTGTTGTGGTTTGTGGACCGCAAGGCCTGGTGCAGAGGACTAGGAATACAGCGGCTGCTGTGAGTGATGAAAGGGGTGTGCATAAGGGGACTGGGGCACAGGGAATTTATGTCCACGCGGAAACTTTTGGGTATGCTTGATTACAGGTTGGGTGATGGGTTAGGCAATCCGGCTGGTTGGAGTTCAGGGTTGTGGGAAAGAGGGCCTGGGATAGGCTCTGGCTCATGAGAATGATTTATGACATCTGTACTGTACGTGCTTTAGGAATTGATACTATTCTTGCACCTCGCTTCTATTTTTGTGATTGAAACAAATGATTAATTCACAGCTTATCGCGTTCAACTTTCATCGCCGCTCTAGCATTCACTACCTATGCCAAAAGCAAATCCAATTCTCCTGAGCTTCTCATCAGAGAAGAAGATGATGACCCAAAACAAAACCAAAACAAAGTACTTCTCAAGAATCTAGGCCTCCTCGCTTTCCCCACACTCGCATCGCTTATCGTAACCCCAAGACCCAAAACCCCAAACTCAAACTTCATCCCAACTGTCCCAAGACTCGGCCTCAATCCAATACAGCTTCAGCCCAGAATTGCCCAGAATTACTAAGCGTCAGAACATCAGAGCTCAAACAGTATTTCTCGTCATCTCATCTCATCTCATCGTATTTCGCTTCATCCCAGCTCAACTCTGGTCAACTTGAAAAAACAATTCGAAGGCTTTGACACGAATGAGACTGGCTCTTCAAGCCACATAATCGCGAGAGTGCCAATGCTTGGATGATGTTAAGGTGAGACCATCGTTACAAGATATCCAAGTTTGTTTGGATCACTTGGCTTTGTTTCCCCAGTCCCCCAGATTCTTTGGGTCTGGAGTTTGGGGTAAGTTTAGAATTCTCTTGAGACTGGGGACGTTGGCTGAGTGGGTGGGGTGGTATGAAGAGTTGAAAATAGATGTTGAGATGGAGGGTCTGACTTGGGACTTGGGTCAAGATAGACTTGGGTAGTGTTGTTGGAGATTGAATAGTTTGAAGATTGTTGGGTATCACTGAGCTTGGCAGAAGGCGATATATTTACGGCAAATGCGGTAAGCGGAGACAAGGAAAATGGTAAGAGATGTGGTCAGGTTGTTGACTTGGTGGTAGTGGCTCGCTTAATGATTTGTTGACCTGGAGAGAAAAGCGAAGCATTTATTGGCGATAACCTGTTCATCTCGCTCCCTGAACTCAGGACTTGGGTAAGACCTGGAGACGTAATTCTTATAAACGAATATACATGCTTATTTCGGAAGTTTGCGGACTGGTATGTTTGCAAGGAGAGTCAACGAAAATCACTGTGGGCAGCAGGATAGTCACAAACCCACTTCAGTTGGCTGAACTTCGACAGAAGCTTCAGTGGCTGAGTGTAAAGGAGTCGACTCAAGTGGACCCCAGAATCAACTTACTTCAAGGACGAACGAAACAATATAGAAGATATTGCGTGAGTCAAATTGGGAGTATACGGCTACCTCCAAATTTTGGTGTTTCGTATGCCGGCTAAATCTTCAGCCATGATCGATTCGGAGAAGCTGGACAGAATGCTGCCAGATTGAAAGAATTCATACTTGTACAAATGTAAAATACTTCAACGGCATATGACATAGCAATCGACGTGACATAGGGTTATCTATCAAGGCCGTATAATTGACTGTCCGACTTTGACAGCGTTCGTGAGCCTCCAGATAGATCAACAAGTTGAGGTCCTGCTCAAAACCGCGGAGAATCCCGCGCCGGCTTTTTCCCGCTGCACAATTCAGGTCGGCCCCTGCGCGTCTCCCGTCCCGTGCTCCGGAGCTTGGAACTTTTTTTATATTGAATCTCACGAACACCTCGAAGCATCTCCTCCCATATTATACCTACTCACCTGTCGCTGCACAGACATCCTTCCTCATATTCTCACTCTATAATTGACCGCCTGGCAGGCATCCAATTGGCATTTTTGGATATTTCATTTCTTGATACTTGTCGCAGTCGATTATCGTCACAATGCTTCGATCGGCACGCGGGACCAGCTCCGTCCTCGCAGCGTCAGCTGCTAAACCGCGGGCAGGAGCTTCCCTCAAGTTCTCGTCGAACCCCTCATTCACATTCTCGACTTCCAGATCCACCGCCTCAAATTCTGCACCTCCCAACTGCCGGTCCATATATACCAGCCGTTCCGCCTTATCCTCGACATCCGCTGCAGCAACTCGAACATCTTCACAATCCCTTCAACCCCGCTTCCAAAGAAACTTCCACGCAACCGCATACAGAATGGCTGCTACACGGGCAGAGACAGATGCCTTTGGAGAGGTGCAGGTACCAGCAGACAAGTACTGGGGAGCACAAACGGAACGGTCGTTGGAGAACTTCAAGATCAACCAGCCGCAAGATCGCATGCCCCCTCCAATTGTTAAGGCTTTTGGAATTTTGAAGGGCGCTGCTGCGACCGTCAACATGCAATTTGGACTTGGTACGCTGCTCTGAGACGATGATTTATAACATACGCTTACGATTCCGACAGACCCAAAAATTGGCAAAGCCATTCAAGAAGCCGCTGCTGAGGTGGCCTCCCTCAAGCTCATCGACCACTTCCCTCTCGTCGTCTGGCAAACCGGTTCCGGAACCCAATCGAACATGAACGCCAACGAGGTTATCTCAAATCGTGCCATTGAGATTCTGGGCGGAACTATGGGAAGCAAGAAGCCGGTTCACCCGAACGATCATGTCAACATGAGTGCCTCGTCGAACGACACTTTCCCTACCGTTATGCACATCGCTGCAGTGCTCGAGATTGAGCAGGAGCTTATCCCAGCTATTAAGTCACTCCGTGAAGCCCTCCAAGCCAAGGTTGATGATTTCGAGGCGAAGAAGATTATCAAGATTGGACGTACACATTTGCAGGATGCTACACCATTGACTCTTGCTCAAGAGTTCTCAGGATATGTGGCTCAGCTCGACTTTGGCATCAAGCGAGTGGAATCTTCTCTCCCAGATCTCCGTCTGCTGGCTCAGGGTGGAACTGCCGTCGGCACCGGAATCAACACATACAAGGGTTTCGCAGAGGCAATTGCTACTGAAGTCACCAAGATGACTGGCACCGAGTTCAAGACCGCCCCAAATAAGTTTGAGTCTTTAGCAGCACACGATGCCATCGTGCAAGCCTCAGGCTCTTTGAACACTCTCGCATCCTCTTTGTTCAAGATCGCCCAGGATATCAGATACCTTGGATCTGGACCACGTTGTGGACTTGGAGAGTTGGCTCTTCCAGAAAACGAGCCTGGAAGCAGTATTATGCCTGGAAAGGTCAACCCAACTCAGTGCGAAGCCTTGACTATGGTTTGTGCTCAAGTCATCGGAAACCACACTGCCACTACTATCGGAGGCATGAATGGTCAGTTCGAGTTGAATGTTTTCAAGCCTTTGGTTATCCGAAATCTCCTGCACAGCATCCGTATCCTCACCGATGGAATGAAGAGTTTCGAGAAAAACTTGGTTGCTGGCCTGCAAGCCAACGAGGACAAGATCTCAAACATCATGAAGGAATCGTAAGTCTCCCCTTGCCCCCAAAGTCAGGACTAGTGCTAATAAAACCTCAGCCTGATGCTGGTTACCTGCCTCAACCCAAAGATCGGATACGACATGGCAAGCAAAGTAGCAAAGAATGCTCACAAGAAGGGCTTGACATTGAAGGAGTCAGCAATGGAGCTGAAGGCGCTAAGCGAGGAGGACTTCGACAGACTGGTCCGTCCAGAGCTGATGATTGGTCCTGAAGAGTACAAGAAGAAATAGACGGATTGTTGGATGTGGAGGAATCCTATTGTATAAGCTTTTACATTCGCGCCGCGTTCGCATACCCAAGAACGTTTGTAGATTTTGAAAAAATGAATATAAAGCACGATACAAGAATCTAATGGAAAGCTTCACGTAGGACAGGCAAGCATCATCTTGCAAATTTAATGGCTCATTAGGTACCCACGATCCTTCTCAGTCTCTTTATACACAAGTCGATAAACAATAAGCACACAATTAAGTTAGTCAAGAACGTCCGTCCCGTGGAGGCTTTTTCACACTTCAGCCCAACCACAAATGCCCAAAGCCTGGCGCGCTTTGAGTCCTGAGAGTCCCGAGAGTCCTGGGAGCTTTTCTGGCCTTAGAAACGATCTCATTACCTAGGTTCATCTACTGACATGTACAGGTTTAGAATAAATTGGAGATTTGGTGATCATTCAATTATAACGTAGAGCTTGTGAGTGCGAGGCATCTCTTCTACATACTTCAAGACGGGGAGGATATTTGTCTCTCTATCCCACAGAATAACATCCGTCCATTCCGTCCTCGCCGTGCCCCTTTGATTCTGGCAGTATTACCAATGTCGTGTATGGCGTTAATGTATAATTCCACAATGACGTGAGCCTCCAGTGGCGAGTGCTCCGTCCCAAAATGATGCTTGCAAGAACATAGGTATCATCAACTCCGAGCCCAACGCCGTAAGTATCAAAAGTTGCCAATCTCAACCCCATTCTCAGTCCTAGTGCCATTCAATCAACCAGCAGCCACGAGAGATCTCTTGATGCCAATGATCTTCGAGACATCGAGCTTCTTGTAGTTCTCCGGCATCCACGCCCCACTGGCAATACACAGCACCTTCATACGCTTGTCATATCGGAGTCCAGTCAGCAGTTTAGGCGTAATGAGGAAATATTGGCTGGTGTGTTCTTTGCAGGCGATTTCAACCATACGTTCGTGGACCATGCGCTCGTTTCGAGGGTCCATGCCTTGGTTGATCTCGTCGACGACTCGGAAGGGTGCTTGTGCGAGGGATTGGAGGGACATGAGGAAGAAGATTGTGGAAACGGACCGTTCACCACCAGACTGGCGATGTGAGTCGAGGATTTGAAGATCTTCGTTTTCTCTGTTATCATAAATTAGTTTCCAGCTTTTGAGAAGTTTCAGAAAGAAGTCATACCTGAACTTGACCTTGATTTGAATTTGCCAAAGATCGAAATCGTCGTCCTTATGAACGCCAACCTGTCCTGTGCAGCCGATCTGCTCAAAGTTGTGAGAGAAAGCTTCGCTGATCTCAGCAATGAGAGTATCCAGCTGTGGTTCCCATTGCTCGCGAATCTCCGTAATGCTACTTCCAACATCCTCGAGCTTTTCTTCATTCTCGGCTACCTTTCGATTAAGTTTATCGACTTCGGCTTGTCGCCGCTTGTATTCGTTGATGGCGTTAGGATTGCTTGCGACAACGAACTCGAGCCTAGTCGACTCGGCAACCATTTGAGCTTGCAATTCATCGACAGTAAGCTCTGGTGCCAGGTGCTTCCAGCTCTCGAGATGTTCTTCGTTCTCTGGGTCGGCTTGGATCGCTGTTACTGCAACGAGAGCTGCATTGGCTTTTGCCTTGAAGTCTTCTAGCTGCTCTTGCGCCTCCTTGAGTCGAAGTTCTTCCTCTTTGACTTCACGCACAATGTCAGCATTACGTTCGGTTAAGCCAGCTACATCGGATTCTGCTTCAATAGCCATAACTCTCGCTTCTAGAACCGCCTCATGACAAGCTCGGATCTTTTTCACGATTTCCTTGTACTGGAGAGCAAGCTTCGATCTTCGAATGACAGCATGATCATGTTGAACATTGATCTTGTGGATTTCCTCCCGAATCTCAGCAAATCCGGATTGCTTTCTTTTAAGGAGCTCCTCTTCGCGTGCTGGAAACTTGTCAGCGCTTTCAGGATTTAATGGAAGGGTTAACATACCGATTTTGGCGGGAAGGCTCTGCTGCTCGCTATACACTTTCTGAATGTCGGCTTTCTCTTTGGTCAAGCTTTTCTGTGTCGAAGTGTCAATTTATTGATAGTAAGAAGGAAGGTCAGCAACTTACGATCTCCTCCTGCAGTTGAGGGTGCTGTTCTTTCTTTTCTGCCAAAGCCGCTCGCAAAGGCTTTATCTCGGCTTTCAGCTCCTCGAATTCTCGTTCCAATGCGTCGATTCGCTCTTGAACCTCTCGTTTGGCGGAAACATCTACTGGCTGGTCGGTCCAGTTTACAGCATCTGCGACGTGCTTGGTCGTAGTTGAAACTGCTCCAGGCCCATACTCCCTTCTCCTCGACACCTGATAAAAATTGCTGCCGGTGACGAAATGAGTCACTCTTTCTCCGTCGACAATCTCGTTGTAGCTTTCTTCGCTGATTTCGCGAAGGGCGACGGGACTGTTATCCAACTTTCTAGCATCACACAACATACTCAGCACTGGTTCTGGGCCATCGATATAATCAATCGCCCATCCATCAAAGCCGAGCCGTTGCAAGTCTTGGTCAGATAATCGACGCTGCGCGGATAATCCACTAGTCGTAGAACGCACTGTGATATCAGCAAGACCCATGGTACCTGTAAATTGTCCGCTCAATGTCTTCATGTCATCCAGATTTTGGGCCGTAAATGCGAGAAAGTCGTTCCTGCTAAGAAGAGCTTCAACTGCGTCTGCATATCGAGGATCTTTAAGTGAACAGGTGACGAGGGGTGGCCCATAAACCTCTTCCTGAAACTTGTCTCGGTGCTCTTGTACCCACTTCCAAGCTACAGCTGCATCTTTAGCCGATCTTTCAAGTTTGTTTAGCTGCTGCCCTTGCTGGGTGTCGAAAGCGGCCAAATCTATCTTAAGCATGTCGACTTTCTGGCGGATCTCTCTGCCCTGCTGGCTCTTCTCAGAATTGCTAGCGTGGAGCTCCTCGATTTCCCCTCTCAGAAGCCGAACTTCATTCTCTTTCGCTCTCTGTGCTCAGGTTAGCCCATGCTGAAGAGTTTTGATGGGTGATACATACTATACGTTCGTTCCAAGCAGGACCGTCGAACTCGATAGGCTCGTCGTGAAGCTTGCTCTTCATATCTGTGATTGATTTCTGCACTTTTGCAACGGCCGCCTTTTGGGTTTGGTGGCGTTTGTTCTCTCCTTCAACATCTGCAGTGTACTTCTTAATATCTTCTCCCAGCGATTCCATTTCCTGAACCTTAGAGTCTGCTTCTCGCTCGGCGTCCACAACAGCGGTCTTTCGTTCACTGACGACCCTTAAAATTTGGCTGGCGTACTGCTCTTTGGCCTTGATTTGGTTCATGATCGGCTCAACTTCTGCTTTCAGTTCTCTAAGACGCCGTTGTGCTTCTTTCTTGACCCCGGCACGCACTTTGTAGGCATCGCGAGCAGCACGGTACTCAACCCATGGAATAGTTCTCTCAAGACGCTTGATCTCCTTCAATATGACTTCTCGTTCCTCCAACTTCTGGATGTCGGTCCCTAGATTTTGTTGATGGACTTCCCAATTTGCTAGCTGATCTCTATCTGTCTTTTGCTGCAGCTCCAACGCTTTCTGTGTTTTTCGAAGGTCTTTGAGCGACTCGTGCCATTCGAGCATCTGTGGTGGTGCGGCGGCTCGCTGAGTTTCGCGTAAAAGTTCTATGGGAGAAAGTCCTGCAAATTCGGAAACCTTCTCCTGAGGCAAGAATTGGCAAAGATTGTCAATCTGAATAGAGAAATCCTTGACTAGCTTTTGGACAGCTTTCAGGGAAGTCTTCCGATTATTCAACCACCAATCTCGTGTGTTGCCATCCTTGGTGATTCTAACGCGTACAACATGATTTTCAGTCTCATCAGGTCGTTTCTGCAGCTCGATTTCGATATCTGCTGCTTTCGTGTTGTGCTTGACATACTCTCCAAAGTCTTTGGCACGGCCCAAGTTGATGGTTCCCCAGCCAAGTCCGATACATATTGCACAAACCAGAGAGCTCTTGCCTGTACCGTTTGGACCGATGACCATATTCATGCTCGGGCCAGGGAAAAACTCGGCGCTCTCGTAGGTAACAAAGTTCTTCAGCTTGACCCGAACAATAGCGCCAGGCTGGAATTCGTCCGGGCCTGTACGATGTTCGTCCTCGTCTCCGTCCTCGTAGACCCGTCCATTCCCCCTCCCAGTGCCATTCATATGGTGAGCAAGAGGTTCGGGTGATTCAGACAGCTGATCGCTGTGGTAGCCATTCGTTCTGGCGCGTTTCGAGGACTCCGCAGGGCTTGAGCTTTGGGAGCGTCTGACGAAGTCACCATCATCGTCGCTCTCGATATCTGACCGAGGTCTGCGACGGGGATTTGAGACCGGCATCGTTGCCTTTCAGTTTTATCGTTGAAAACGTGTTTGTCGTCTTTGAAGCTTGAAAGGAAGATCGCGACGCGTCAAGGTGTGACGCGATTAGAGCCGGCGCCAAGCCGGCAGGAGCTAAAATACCTAACTAAGGACAACCTCACTTCACTTCACTTCACTCAAGTTTGCCTCACCTTCAATCGAGCATACAAATATTCATTTCTCTGTAAATCTGTCAGACAAAGTCATGTTGCCACTATCGCCAAGGAGAAGGACATATCCCAATAACATCGCCCAGGTAAGGTCATAATGGTAGCTGTGGAGAAAGCCTCCCTAGCTTGAGTACTTCTTTCTCACGGCCTGCCAACTTAATGACCTACCCACTTATTGTATGAGAGGTTGGGACGGCTGGGATAGTTATCTGTATAAGACTGACGCTTACTACCCACAGTTCGAAAGTGGGGATGGCGACAGAGGCGAGCATAGCCATTGCTCCTTCTCATCCCGAAGAATGCTCTTCAAATAAGGCTTTACCTAGGTCCATACCAACCTAGGGATGCTTTGTATATACCTTCGCTGTAGCGGACCTGCTTCCGATCTGAAAAAGCATAAGCTTCAGGACTCGCAAGCCAGAAGTCTCTGGACCTACCTAAAGGCGTTGAATCCAGCACACTCATAGGAGACGTTTCAAGGTTGGTATACCTGCCATCATTGAACGTCGGTCCTACTAATTACCAGAGCCAATTTTAGACAGTATCAAGGAGATGGAATGCATCAGTTCCATACGTACTCCCTGTAAGGTACCATTCAATCAACCCAGGTAAAACATGTCTTGTATTTTCGCCTGTGGCTAGCTCCAACCCTACGAGCGATATGCTGTACGTACGAACCCTCCAAGCATACCTGCCTTGGTAGATAGGGATTGCCGCACCTATGTATTGAATTGAATAAAGGCGGCACCACCTCATGTAAGGTCTACGGACCTTGAGATGTATAGGTACCTCTACTTGAAGCAGTTGCAAGGTGCTGTTGTCTGATATCTACCGCTGATGACGAGGAGGCAAAGCTGGATGCACTGGGGTCGAGGTTTGAGGAACATGTTTATCATTCATTCATTTATCATCTCATCTCATCTCTCCTAATGTATTGCGAGGAATTCTACCTGCAGCTAACGTTGTAGCCCCATGAACTCCACACCCCGACCCGAGACATGACATGATATGCACAATTGCGGAGATGCGTCTGGTACGTACTTCTCTCTTCAATGTGGGTATCTTGCTTGATATCTTGCTTGATATTATTATGTGGTATTCTTAAATCCAAATCTAGATTGATGTCTCTTCGAGTTCTCAATGAGAGTTTAGCCCCAGCACGTGGATGAGGGAGAGACCAGACCGGCGCTACATTCCAAGTGCGCCGGGTACCCACTCAGGAATCGGAAGTCAACAAAAAACATCCCTCCTCTGTCACAGCAACAACACATTTCACCGCCAGCCCTAGATTGCTTGTACCTGCATCTATCACTTTTTTCTTTCTCTTGCCTCCAATACACTGTGCTATGCACCTTTTTCTTTTTCCTTTCTAAGCCTGACAGACTGTTTTGCAGCATCGTTGCTCTTCGCATTATCCCGTGGTTTGTTCCCGGATTGGTTCGTCCCCCACCCGTTCTCCAACGCAACATACCACCACGTATCTCAGCACACTGGACTCATTTATTCTGGTGTCTGTAGCTGACCGCCCTGGTGAACACTCTCGGCATCTCGATTTGTCTGTCTTCCTTCTCCATTCCTACCTATCAATTCGAGATTCACGTCTCGTTGCCAACTCGATGCAACATTCTTCCAGCTAGGGATTCGAGTCCAGTCGAAACCTCGCTGGTCGAGAAGTCTCAATTTTACGTCGCAGTTGTGTAGGCAAGGTTGGAGAGGTTTTGAGAAGGACAGTCTGGCAAGATGAACAATTACTCACGACCATCGACGCGCCGTCCGCCTCTGGGGGATGCGACTCGACGAGTGAACAATGCTCCGCCTCCAAGCCCCGAACAGCTTTCCAAACCCCCCTCTATACCACACCATGAGAGTCTGTGGACTAATGGCCTCCTCCAAAACCAAACAGAGTCACAAGACTCGAGTCATCAGCGGCAGTCGCGTCGCGTGCCATCTGTTGGCCCCAACATAGAGAACCCACGGCTGTCAGCAGTCAAGGACTACCCAGATTCCAATCGCAACTCGCAGTACTCTACAACCTCAAATGATTCTAATGCCAAGATAATCAAGAAGTGCATTGGGCCATGGAAGCTAGGCAAGACTTTGGGGCAGGGGGCCACCGCACGGGTCAGATTTGCTCGGCATATGTACACTGGACAGGAGGCGGCCATCAAGATAGTCCAGAAGAAGAATGCACAGATCTCTCAGGCTGGAAGCCTTGCAAACCTGGAAGAAATAGAGGCGACCGAAACAGACTTGGGAGATGGTGTCAAACGAATGCCGCTGGGTATTGAGAGAGAAGTGGCCATCATGAAGCTAATACAACACCCAAATATCATGAAACTATACGACATTTGGGAGAATCGCACAGAGATGTAAGTTTTGTGGCAGCTCTTCCGACTTAGATCATACTGGCACTTACAAGTCACAGATACCTAGTACTAGAGTTTGTTGACAACGGAGAGCTTTTCGAGCATATCTCGAAGAGCGGCCGTCTTGAAGAAGAAGAAGCTGTGAAGTACTTCCGACAAATGCTCAGCGCTATCGGATACTGTCATTCCTTCAAGATCTGCCACCGAGACCTCAAGCCCGAGAATATTCTTTTGAATAAGCATGGAGAAGTCAAGATTGCAGATTTCGGCATGGCTGCATTGCAACAGGCACCAGACCACAGGCTGAAGACATCCTGTGGCAGTCCCCACTATGCCGCCCCGGAATTGATTAGTGGCTCTGCATATCGAGGAGATATGATTGACATATGGAGTCTAGGGGTCGTTTTCTACGCCATGCTTGCCGGCCGTCTTCCATTCGATGTGGAGGGACCAAGCCAGGAAGCACTTCGGCCGCTACTTCGGAAGATCAGGAAAGGACAGTACTCGATGCCAGCGGAGTTTAGTGAAGACGCGAAGAGTCTGGTGCACAGAATATTACAAATTAACCCAAACGACCGAATCAGACTTCAGCAGATCTGGAAGCATCCTTTGATCAAGAAGTACGATTACTTGGACAACTTGAGTCGCGGCTGCTATCCTCAATCTCCAAATGTTATGGATTGCGATCTCACTGTTATCCGCAAGAGTGACATCCATCAAGACCTTCTCCGCAATTTGAGATCAATGTGGCACATGTACACGGAGCAGCAACTGATCGATGCTCTCCTCAGCGATAAGTAAGTATCATAAGTCTTCAAGCACGTGCAGTCATCTAACTTCCTCCGGGCCAAATGAGCCAAAGTTGTTCTATAGTCTTTTATTGAAGTATCGCGATGCAGCATTGGAGAACTACGCGCCAGAGCTTGCTTATTCTAGTAGTGACTACCATCATGTTAGACCGCTCGATCTTCCAAAGTCATACTCTACTTGCCACTTCCCTCCTGCAAAAGGACACGGCCGTCAGTCCTCGAGATTTACTGTCGTCAGCAATGGCGCAGAGACTGAGCAGAGTTATGATCCTTTCAAGGCATCCAGACCACAACATCTCAATGCACATCGTGGCGGAGCGGCCAAGATCACCATTCATCATCCAGCCGAGAGCAAGGCTTTGGAAGAGGACAAGCCAACAGCTACGCCACGGAAGAGGTCTCGTCCTTCCCCTGGAGATCGCAGTAGATTTCAGAAACTCGACCCTCCTCCTAAAATATACGCTTCTCGGAGTTCTATGAGCTCTTCCCTAAGCCGGACAAGCAATGGACAAGTCCGTGCTAGAGTTGGGTACAAGAGAGGCGTAAGTTTCTCGCATTCCCGAAGACTTTCGAACACGACCCCAAGAAATGCGTCCGCTCCGCCATTCCCCAGCGCCCTTCATGGCAGACACAGTAATCATACCGAAGTCACGGACGATGGAGGCAGTGTATTACGTCCAGTCAATGAGACACCTGCTTCCACAAGATACATTCGCTCAAGAAAGGCACAATCCGTTGCTTCACAATCTAACACTGCCGGACCAGCAAAGCCTGGTCGCATCAGCCAAATATGGAGTGAAGACGTTCAGCAGCTGAGCAGCAGTCTAGCTAAGGATTGCGACGAAGCTTTCAATCGGATATCTATGATATCAGAGGTTGATTCCGAGCCGAGGAAGCCGTCGAATGAGGACCCAAATACCAATCGGGCATATTCTAATCCAAAGACTAAGCATTCCTCGTTAGACACACGACCACTCCCTGCACCTCCAGCCCGCTCTGACTCTGTGAATTATGAATTATTGGAAGCAAGAAAGCAGGCAGAGCTGCGGAAGCAACTCGGAAACGATGAGTCGCCGAGCTATTTGGATCGGATGGTCAACCACATCGATCGGCTCATACAGCCACTATCTCCAACCCAGATGATGATAGACCGTCGTGTAACTTCCGCCCCTTCGGACACCAGATATCAGCCTTTGGCCCGGGCACTCCCATCAATTGACGAGTCAAGAGGCGAAGATCCGTCACCTCGCAGAGCACGAGAGAGAGCTTCCTTCCTCGAACATCAACATAAAGTCGAGGCTAAGAGTGGCCGCATTGCATCAGCCCCTGAGGCTTGGAAGTTCAGCCATCGTCTGGACAATGAAGATGTCGCACTGGCTTCTCATGGTGTCAAGAACACAATTCGAGTCGTACAGCCATCATCGCCCTTAAGTCCTGTCAGACCACCAGCGCCTTTGACCATCCGGAAGAAGAGCTCGCTAGGTACACCACCTCCATTGATGGCAGGCGGACTTGGAATCGATCAAGGTGCTTCCGTGAATAATCGTCGACTATCGGGGCTTGACCTTCGACAGCAATACAAGGCTGCAACCAGGCACGAGAGCTCTGCAGACCTTGCCCCCATCACCGAATCTCGGAATGATGAAGACCAATTTGAATCCGTTACTGGTACAGTAGTCCGCAAGAAGTCGGGATGGTTTAAGCGTAGTTCCAAGACCGAAGACGACGGCTCGCGATTGTCCACCGTCAGCTCTAATTCAGTGCCAACAAAGACTCTGAGCAATGATGCAATGCAGCCTCCATATGAACGCCCCCAGAATCCGCATCTCCGGAGCCCACATATGGAGCAACCTAAGAAGAAACAGTTTGGATTTGGCAGGATATTCAAAAAGAGAAGTTCAAAGCCTGATATGTCGCTAAGTGGTAAGTACAAAAACGGCGTTTGTCTACCGAAAACTAACATGTAGCTAGCTCATGATGCGTACGAGGACGAAGACAGTGTACAGCACTCGATCACAGATGCTCGACTAAAGGCATTCAGTGGACGTGATCAAAGTGTAGATGCAAAGGCTCGACAAGTTGTACCACAGCAAAGCTGGCTAGCCAAGTTGTTCCATGTGAAGGCTGCTTCTGGATTCCTTTGCTTCACTCTATCGCAGCGACGTACTAGACGAGAAATTACATTTTTACTGAAGGATTGGAAGCGTTATGGCATTCGGGACGTTCAAGTTAACAAAGAACGAAATATCGTGTTTGCTAGAGTTGGAGCTCAAAATTGTAAGTCATTGTGGCCTAAAACCTCTGTGTGTGACTAACAGCAGACAGTTCTCGATATGAAGGAAGTTTCATTCGCTATTGAAATCATGACTGTCATCGAACATGGCAAGAAGAACCACCTCAGCATCGCGCGTCTTACACAGGAGAAGGGCGCTGCCAGTACCTTCAACCACCTCCTCGAGACCCTGGAATCCGTTCTGAAAGTCAAAAATGTTTTGGTGGCCGATGAACGCAAGAAGAGAATGATGATCAAGACCTTCCAGGCTGCCACTTGATGACTACTCTCCACATCACAACCCGGCGAAATGGCTCCCCACCATCACCGAGGTCTGATCAATAGCATTCTATCGATGGGTTGTATTGACTCTTGGAACTCTGGATTGTTGCCTAAGATTGGTTGACGAATAACCTGTTCTGAACCGGTTGGATTGGCATTGCTTCTCTTAATCTTGCTGCTGCTTTTGCTTGCATAGCGGGTTCTGCGTATTCGTCCTTTGGGTTCTGCATTGGTGGTATTCTTGCTCTGGGCAAGGTATATAATCGTAATTGCTGTGTGTTTGTAGAGTATTTAGATGTTGGCTTCTTTTCTGTTTCCGGGCTGGCTGGTGTTTACGGAGCTGGAAATGCGAAAAGACTTCGTTTGGAACGTGAATGAATGGAAGGAGGGTGATGGGTAGGAGTGGAATGGGGTGCTTGCAAATAAAAGTTGACTGGGTGTGTGTATAGAGTACTGAGAAGATAGATTAATGAATAATCGAAAATACTTGGAAACTATCTTAAAGTTGTGTCGATGTCCTGAGCAGATGACCCTTGGATGGTGGAGGGCGGCTCAGCAGAGGGCTCCAATGGCACATCCGAGGCTAAATCCTCAATGTCTCGTCATGCATCGACCATTCACGCAATGTTGGTCGAGTATTAATCTAATCTATCTATTCGGATTTCAGGAAGGACAGACTTCTCAAGCCCATGAGTCCGAAATGAACAGCAACGAGAGCGTGACGTTAGGACTGCCCCAGTGTGAAGCCCAGCAAATGGAAGCAAGCCATTAACCACTGGACAGCCGCTGCTTAGAATTGACTTATGTACGATATGATGCAGAGATAAGCAGAGAGTAGTTGCATATTGGAGTATCCAACAAAACGTCGATTAAAGTATGAGTTACTGAGTATTCTCTCACCTTGATGGGTAACTAGGTAGATCCTAGCTTCCTGCACAACACAAACACCACGACCTGCCTTTCCACACATGCCACACGGGTACCTACATACATATCAATCGCCCACGCCTTATCCGCACATCATTTCAGTTAAATATCCGACATCAATCCGCGCCGAATCGCCAAATGTCTTACTTACCTCACATCAACCCAAATCCCGCACTCTCACTCAAAGCCCGTAATCCCAGCACCTCTGGACCCGACAACTCGGTAGCGAGGCGAGGGCGCCTCAAAACCTAACTTAACGGCTATCACGGACGGAAGAAGACATCCATCATCCATGGACGCTTTTGAGGCAGGACAGGGCATGGATATGGGGTGTGTGCGTGGAAAATGGGCGGTTTTAAGCTTCTGTCACCCAACGCCACGATCGGACGTGGCTTACAGGATGTATGTGAGGTTATTTGGATGGTGGGTCAGCCCTTTTGGGAATTATGGAATTGTGCTTGGGCATTGATGAACAACTTTTTCTTCGGGGGATGAGATGAGGAGGGAACCACCCGACTCTGCGAAATATCTCCGAATGAAAATCTTCAGCGACTGCCGATCTGGTCGGAATTTACCCAATACTGTATAATCCACCACTCCAGCAACAGCAGCATCATCATCAACCAGTATACACCGTACCGATCGACACATTGCATCCACAGCCACAGCAATGAACCCCATCGTTCTCGTATCCAGCACGTACATCATTCTCGCTTCAGCGCGTTTGGGGAATGTCCTTGGTGGAGAGCCGCAGATCTCTCGTTTGACCAGCCAGGGATTCTGGGCATGGCAGTGGAGAAATGCAATGCGACTTCATGCTGGATGGCGTCAAGTCTGAGAGTTCGTCTGGTACCGAAGTTGATGGTGTGGCGAGTGTGGAGAAAGGTTATTTGGACGTTTGTTCTGCTTTTGTGTTGCATTCTCCCTAAATGTCTATCTCGTCTCGCTACCTCTTTATTTTTCTTCCCTTCCTCACTCCCTAACTTCTCCATGGTCCTGTTCTCACAACTAAACTTCTCAAATCATCGAGTGGCAAATCGTCTTCTTCTTTGAGCATCTCTTCATTCATCAATAGGTATCGACGGGCGCAGATTAATACAAATACATCAAACAAACAAGATCGATCTATCTTGTCCCTTCCTCAGCAAGACCAGACCGTCGGATATCTCTCCCATCAACCCGAAGAATAGGACGAAGACTTCGCAGCGCGAGCAGCAATATCGATCGCAATGATATAAGAATGAGCCAAGCAAGAGTCTCGCCATAAAAAAGAGGTATTTCCATCCAGCCATCCATTCGTCAAAAAGAAACAAAACACACCAACACGGCCAGCTCTCAACAATACACAATGTTTTCCGGCCACGATTTTTCCAGTCCGTGAAGAAGGAAGAAAGGCAAAACCCAGCAACCACAACTCCTATACCCCCAACCCGTCCCGAAACCAAAAAAATAAATGGACATCGAGATTCGTTCCATTCGTTCAACCCAACCGTCCTTGTTCTCATCCCGCTACCCCCAATCAAGACATAAACACCCACACACAAAAAACGCCGCATATCGAAGCATCTCCGTTGTTGTCTGGCAAGCGAATTTACAGCCCGTCATGTACGCCACCGATGCCCGACCTCTCGCCCCCCCCCCCCCCCCCCCCCCAAACCACATTAAACAAGTGTGCGAATTCTGCGTCCATTAGTGTACGGTGACCCGGCTGAGATGACCTCTCATTGCAACTCTTTCTTTCCCATCTCTGGGCTATCATCGGCCGAATCACTCATGATCTCGCTCTTGTCGACTGGTGACTGACTGTCACCATTCGCATTCGCGGCGCCAGCTGAGGGACCCTTTCCGCAACCCTTGACGAGGATATGTCTCTGTTCGTTCAATCAGCAAACTGCTTTCAAGGATTTTTCATGAAATGATATAAGAGGAAGCTGCCTCCAATTACTGGGATTAGAATCGGATAAAGAACGAACCTTCAATGCATCTTTCCGCGAGAAGCTCTTCTCGCAATGGCCGCAGGGGAATGGCTTGACCGCCAAATGGATTCGCTTATGTCGCTTCAAGTCGTGGTTGCGGTTGAAGGACTGTGGGCACTGATCGCACTTGAAGGGGCGGTCATTCGGTGGGGGCTGGCCATGTGGGTGTTGCCCGTACATCTGATGAGGATGCTGTGGGTAGCCTTGCATGTTCATTCCGCCTACGAGCGCCATTTGGTTTCCGGGATTGTGCACGTTGGACATGATGGGACCGGCCATTGCTGGCAAGCTGTACCCGCTATAAGGCCGTGGGTAGCCTTGGGGTGCGGCCATCGATGAGTGACTCTGTGCTGAGACGGGAGAAATGCGATTAGAGGGTGCGGAGGATGTATTAGGAGATTGCTGGGTGGGAGATTGTTGGGTATAGGCTGGGAAAGAGGATTGCTGAGGTGTTGAGGCTGGTGTGTAGTAAGTTGGTGTTGGAGGGGGTCTCCCGCCATAAGTATCTGGGGCATGGAGAGGTCCTTGTGGAGGCGGTTGCGAAGCCGCTGGCAGACCATTGCTGTTATTCAGCTGTTGGTGATTTTGCTGGCTTTGCTGGGCTTGCTGTTGTTGGTGATGTTGGTGGCTGGTGGAAAGGGCTGGAAGGGTCTGTTGTTGAGAGTGTCCTCCGCTTGACATCGGAGCTGGGAAAGACGGAACATTGATATCGTATGGAGGCGGGGGAAGCCCCTCGCCTGCAGTTGGAGAATTGGTATTTCGATTGGGGAAGTTCATGGATGGAGAATACAGCGGTCGTCCCATATATGGCTGTTGAGATTGGGCAAAAGATGCGGGCATCGGAGGAGCTGAGCTGAAGCCATAAGAGGGTTGATTGGGAGTTGGCCAGAAACCCATGGGCTGATATGGAGGGACGCCTCCGGCCGAGCTCTGGGAACTGCCACTATTTACGCTTGAAGCCAGAGGGCTGAGATCACTTGCCAGACCCGCAGGAGGAGTCAGAACGCTGCTGACAATCGCTGGAGTTGGCTGGGTTGATGTCGATGGGGCATACGCCGGAAGGCGATGGATTTGGGAAAGATGGTCTGGCGGGGGGAGGGAGAAAGTTGGAAGTCCGCTGGCTGCCCCGCGGCGAGCGGTAAAGCTCTGTGTCTCCATCATGGAAGATGATTGCGAAGTCCACGGTGATTGCTTGGAGGGAAACGAGGGGAGAATCGCGCCGAGTGAAGATTGAGGGTCGCGTAGAATGGGGTTCGACAGGAGGTGGAGGAGCAGGTCAGATGTCGGCTTTCTGACAACCTCGCCAGACAGTAAACAGTCCTGTAGCATATAAAGTTCGTGAAGCTCTGGTCAATGTTGCTATCCGCGCTTTCGCTTTTCTTTCGTGTAGTCTCGGCTTGTCTGCCTTGCTTCGACTGTTGGTTGTTGTTGTTGTTATCTTCTTTGCAGTCGTTGTCTCGTCTTACTTTCGTCTGTTCTCCTGGTCTCGTCCGGTGTCGTCTCGGCTCCTTCTCGTCCTCGTGAAAGTCAAGTCACAAGTGGAATCAAGTCGAGGATATCCGGTCAAGCAGGCGAATAGTAAGTCAATAAATGAGTAAGTCGTGGATGAAGTGAAGATTGTGGAGCGGAGCGTCGTCAATCACCTGGATGGCGGCCGGGGAGGCGCTGTCGATTTATGTAGCTTACTGGAGATGGGGGACCCTCAGGCGTGGTCTGTGTGCTCCGCGTGCATCTGGCTGGATGGTGTTGATTACCAGCGGGAAGCGTGGCAGAGGGGGGACAGGGGCTACCTACAGGGGGTATTTACAGGGGGGACACACTAGCAGCACACTAATAGAGCACTAACACAAGGCTAGGATCGATACGCCATGTGTCCATGTCCATGTCCATGTCCATGTCTACTTGTGGTAGGGATAAATAAACCCTTGCCCTGTCTCTATCAGCACGAGCCTCAGCAAGGGCTACTATCCAATAGGTTCATCAGAATAGTTCTTTTGTGTGGGAGAAACCCCTAGAACCACACCTTCAGGGTAGGGGTTTATTTATCCTAGCCCCCAAGTATGTCCAAGGCCGGCCATGGCCATGTCCAGCGAGCCGAGGAGGGTTGTCCGTCGGAGCCTGTAGCGTGGGAGTGGAGCGAGCTGGCCCAGCTGGAAGGGGGCATGACATGGGGATGGGAAGGTGGAATTGCACTTGAACTTGAACAGTACGGAGTACAGTACAGTAAATCTGGGTTGCGTTGGGTCGGACGTGGGAGGATCCGGCATCGCAGACAGATGAGGGAGTCCTGATTCCTGACTCCTGAGGACATGAGGACATGAGGACCTGAGGATGTGGACTGGCCGGTGGTCTGGTTTGGTCTGATGCGCGGAGTGCTAGCATGGACGAGGTGAGGTGCTCAACAGGCGCGAGCAACTTACGATGATCATTCTCCAGGCATCAGGGTCTATCTGTCTCTGCTGTAGCCATGGCACTCTTTACTCCACAAGTATGTCTTCACCTTCATTCCGTACTTTTTTCATTCTCTCGCTCATCTTCTCGTTTGAACCTGGACTCGGACGTGGACCCGAGACTCCAAGACCAGGACAGCCCGTTTCCATTCGCCGGGTCCGCTGCAGCGTTCCGGTGTTGGGTGCATCACCCAACTCACTCACTCATTATTCGCTTGCTCAGCTCCCAGGTTAGGGTCCAGGCAAATATTGTCTTGTGCAACCCCAAGCTAGGTAGATTATTGCACCGCGTCGCGTCCAGTCGACGATAGTCAAATCGGGTAGTTTACTTTATTTTAAATATTCCTAGTCCATCCCAATCCACGCTGGCGGGAGGAGGGACAGCAGCAAACTAGCAACTGGAGCGTCAGTAGACAGCCCTCCAGCCCAGCCTTGCACAGCATCTTGTCTCCTTTCGTCTCGTCTTTTTCCCTCCTGAAGAACTGAGGAGGCGCTGTGGGCTGTAAATTAGGTGAAAAACAGGCAAGTTTAAACTCAAACTCCGTTCTGGGTCTAGGACAGGCGGTGGGTGAATTCCGTGGGAAGGCGACGCGACGGCAATCATAGTAGTGCAGGAGTAGGCAAATAATGGGTGGAATATAAATCAAAACACACTACAGACGGACTACTTTACTCTGCCCTATCCTATCTCTTTCAGCACTGCCTTCGGAGGCCAGAAGCTTGAGGATATGACAAGCTTCTGGCGATTTTGTTTGAGACAGGAGGATGCTGGGCAGCTAGCTGATCGCAACTCGGCTCATGATTGGAGAGATGGTCAGTGATCGTTCGTAGGATGTCTAATCCTCAGGGCACACACAGACTGAAGCCCATCCTTCGAGGCCAAGACAACAAGGCCAGAGAGGCAGAGATGGACTGGACTATTAGACAAAGGATGTATTGAGATCCGTTCAAATCCTTCAAATAACTCGATTACTCTCGCTGTATCACGATGCTCTTGCGTATTTTCAGTGTGTCCTGACTTCGAGTCTCGACCACACACCTCGAGAGTTCGCACCAAGAATCGCTAGGCCTAGACCCCCTCACCATCCCGTGCAGCTGGATCTCGTTCGATTCAGGCTCTCTGGCCCGAAAATTGAAAACAGACGGAAGCAAGGACAGGGTCACAGGGCTAATCGATCCAGTTAGACTGCTCTGCGTGCCAAGAAAACTCCGCAAAAGCAAAAAGGCAAAAAGGCAAAAGGAAAACGAGAAGAAAGGGCTCGCTCGAGTAGTAGTCGCTGCCGCTGTCGTGCAGGAGAACAGCAGATGCTGGTGGATGGGGATGGGCATGGGCATGGGCATGGGGTGGGGCTGCAGCTGGCTCCGAAGGTGTGGGTGTGGCCCCCTCCCCCCTGGGATGGAAATTTACAGGCATCGTCGGCTACCTACCTGCGAGAGCAGCCCATGGGGGCAATGGGCATGAGCAGATGTGAAAACGATACTACTACTACTACTACTACTACTACTACTACTACTACTACTGTACCCGGAGAAAGGGTTTTTGGCTTAAGCCGCTGAGTCTAAAATGCAGCCATCCATCTGCTTTCTGCAGGCGCGCAAATATGGGAGAGAGGGTAGGGGAGAAAGTAAATTTAGTTGGAACTGGTGATTTGGGACAGGAACTACTACTGCTCGGTGAGGGAGAGTCTACTTTACAGAAGTAGCGGTTGGTAGTGGGATAGGTCTAGGTCTTTGCAGGAGAGTATCAGACTATGAAGCCGCCCTTGGAGATTCGATTCCCAGCTGAAGCATCCACTTTCAATTAGCATTATTTCCCCCCGATTATTTCTGTTCGAACGAGCGAGCAAGGCAGAGTTAGTGTGCACGCTTGCTTGGCGGACGGGACGGCTGGCGCTGGGAGTGGCCCGTGACCAGCCCGAATCCAATCTCTGGGGTTGGGGTTGCGGTTGGGGTTGCGGTTGGGGTTGGGCTCGATCCAGCATCTCCTCGCTTCCTCTCTTTACTCCGCTGTGTTGGTCCCGATGATCGTGAGAAGAGAGGAGAGGAGAGGAGAGGAGAGGACGCTGAAAGAAGGGATGTATTCGCCAGCTGCTGTTGTGTGCGATGCGATGAAATGCGTGGGAAAAGGGGGTAAGTGCAATGCTGTGCTGTGCAGTTTGATGTCCCCCAGCTTCGTCTTGATTGATCTCTTTCTTGAAACGGGCATGCAAGGAGGAGCAAGAGGAGGAGGGAGGATGACAGACAGCCCTGGGCTGCCATGTCCGAACCAGGATTGTTTGTACTGTAGACTCACAGTAGGTAGTTTCGCACTCGCATCAACATATCATTTCGATCGACCTGGCTATGCAAACTCAAACAGGTGCTGCATTATTTCACAGCCTGTTTATTTCTTCCCATCTCTTTCCTTTTCTCAAGGTTTTTGTTTCGTCCGACAAATTGCATCGATATGCAATATTGCTCTTATCTCTCCTCCAATCAATTCCCCTCGACTCGAAGCACAGTGGAATTGAGAGAAAAAGTCGGAGATGGCACGAGGCTCGCGGCAACGTCAAACCACTGTTAGGTGAAAAGGCCTGATATGGCTAGATACGCAGTCCAAATCTTTGGAGATAATCAGCGACGGTGACTGGGTATCTACGCAGGGGTCAGGGGTGAGTCTCGAGGTGAGTGGTGAGTGGTGGGTGGTGGGTGGTGGGTGGTGGGTGAGAAGTCCTTGCTAGGTGCGGGCTGGGCTTGGTGGCAGAAACTGGAAATCTGGATTGCTGGGTGGTGGTGGGATGCGTGCGGTGCAGACTGCAGTGACAGGGCGCGCATGGACCAACGATCCAAGCCAGGGGGTTGAAGTGGGTTGAGGATGAGGTGGGGATGAGGTGGATGTGGGTGGGTGGATCAGGGGCATGGTGATTGGCGTGATAGGCATCTGGTCGGCGAGCTTACAGCTTGACTTGACGTGTGGGTTGGAGACTTGAGGTACTGTACTACTACTGTTGCTGAGGATCTTGATGTTGCCAACCGAGGATAGTATGGAGAGGAAAAGGAGGACTAAGCAAATATGTGCCTTCACGCATATCGCATATCCTCTGTAGGTAGCTGCAGTCGACAGGCACGCACTTGTATACGATCGACGTCCTCTCAATGGTCTTCTAAGCGCCGGAAGAGGATCTCTCAATTCCTTTCAGCCTTATGTAATCCTGCACTGACCTGACCGGCTTCGATATCATATCCATTATTTATGTGTCATTTCGTCTTGGCACATCGCGCTGTATCTTCGATCCAGTTGCGCTCCGGCAACTACAGTCGGCTATCAATAATTGTTCATCTTACTTTCTTCAGTTCAACACGGCTGAGATGCACTCCCGCGGACCGCAGAGTGATCACAGCTTCAATACCATAGTTTTAAAGTTTTGGAATCTGGGAGCCTTTGAACCAATGATAAATGGCGAAACGACGATTGATGAGAGTTGCGATCAAGCGATCGCTGGCCTGCCCTTTGCACTTTTGTGACATGGGCCACCAATCATCAACCCCTCTATCCAATCTCATGTTCTGCCCTTGTCGCTTTCGAGCTGAGAGCAGAGTGCATCTGTTTCGATGGACCCGAAATATGCCATGTTGGAATCCCAGCGATCTAATCACATACAGAGCATACTTGTCTGGCGAGAGCCATACCGCAAGAGGTCGGATGAGAAGAGCATAAAGGTACTTTTATGCTACCTATCCTGTACCCGCTGTCTCGGGTCCTGGTAATTAATAGTAGGAAACGTGAAAGCTTCTATTCTGGTCAAGCCAACGGGTGGCTGCTGGCTGTCAATTCAATAGTCCTTCGCTGAGGTGGCACCAGTATTCGCGCCGCAATTCTGACTCGCTCTCGATTTTCTTCTGCTCTCCAATATTAATACCATGCTACACGAAGTAATCTCGCAAATCTTCCCTTTCATCTTTGTCCCTGAAGTATCATTAAATGTTGCTCTGGCTCATTCTCAGCAGTCTACAAAATATAGGGCGACATGTTCAATTCGGTTATCTTTTCCCCATCCATGGGTACGCTCCGTGGTCTAGGCCTTCGGCTTTCTCCAGAGCGACAGCAAGCAATGCCAAGATTGACCACAGCACCAGGATCACGAATGGCATCGCTTGGGTTGCCCAATGTGACGAAGATCAGAACGGAGTGAGGGGGAGGGAAGATATGTCGTGTTTCTGTTGGCACACTCGGTGGAGGAAAGTGTGACAGGGCAAAGGAGTGAAGGGAAGCAAGGAGACGATGGCCTAGAAGACTTCAAGATTCATATATTATGCCGTGTTCTATATACTGTTCATCTGTTGTCTGTGGCATCATCATTGGACTTGTCAAAGCAGGTCAGAGGAGATGCTAGAAACGTGTGATGGTGCTTCCAATGGAAGATTTTCAGGCTGGCGTTTCTCGATTTAAGCTCAACACACACAGTGCACCATGGGAACGCCCTCCGCGATCTCTCGGGTCGCTAAAAAACGCCAGCAAGCCCATCCAGCTTCACTAAAGACAAAAGGGCAGCGATCAGCCTACCTTATTTCGAGCCCTGAAGACCCTGTAGTGCCCTGTCTGGTCGTCCCCTGTCCTTGCCCTGATCCATGCCCTTGTCACTGCTGGCTTACTACTGTACTGTATTTTGCTCCCCTGTCAGCAGCCGACTTCGCATCATGCTCTTTCCTTCTGCTGATAGTGGTGATCTCGACCAACGAAACGATATGGCATGGCATTGGACGACTGGTCCTCTATGCAGACCGCTTTTCATTGGCAAAGAAACTAATAATGAACCAGTTTATTCTGATTGATGCGCAGATCATCCGATTTCATTCTCTTTGGTGGCTTGAGTCAGGCTGGCCTCTGGCGCGAACATGCTCGTGGGAACAACGAGGGACTACGGAAGAAACCCATGAGGCGTTAAGCCTTCGGCTGCAGACATTGCCTGGCAGATGGAAAATGACTGCTGTGGTTGCTTCATGCTGATAATATCGGCTCTGGTTACCGGAATCCCCATTTAGCTCTAATATCGTTCTTGAGTCACGATCAAGAATTAATAATAATAGAGCGTCGGAGAAACATAAGTTGATGCTTGTTCTATGTCACATTTCTTGTTCTGTCAATACGAGCAGGATGAGCAGCAAGAGGACGCATCACAGGCAAGAATACTATCTCGATTATGGGAAGGTAGTGTTCTAACCCCCAGCACGTCCGTATTTCAATCCACTTGATTGTAATTTACTGCTTGTGCTCGGAAGTCGGCTGGGCTTGCTTGCTCTTGCCGACGCCCAGTGTCGAGCTTTCCCAGCATTCCGGGAGTGGCACCATGTCTCAACTCGAGCTGTTGTTGTACCAAGACTGACGAGGTGCCAATGTGCGCACTATCTCGGGACGGCGCTGTACTGCAAGGCGATATTGGGATTTCTGGAAGACATACCGGTACACAAGTGGTACTTCTGGAAGGTCACTGATAGTAGTGCAGAGTACGTGGAAGAGGATTGTTCTCTAACAGAAACACATCTGGGAAATTTCCGTCTCATTCATTCCCAGCCAGCATCACTCATCCAATACAAAACAAGATAAGAATTCTGAGACATCTCTGAACGCCAACCAGATACAAGAAGTGACATGCTGGTTTCAACGCAGAGCCGCATCTTTTGGGCGTCCACGGAGTGCACTTTTCTTCTGCGAAGCGAGTAAGACGGTACTTTCGTACTTCTGGGCTTGCGCACGTCCACTTGCCCCGTGGTGCAGCCCTTGTCGTATGCATATTTGCCCCTGATATTGGCCAGGTAGGATGCTACTTACGAATATATTCGCCAAATCACAGGCAAGAGAAGAAGCGTGGTGGTCCTTACGAAACCTCCTCGTCGCCACGAGCCCTGCAGACTGGCAGTTCCGGCTGAACATGTCAAATGCAACCGTACTCGTAGCACGTCGTCTGGTTCTCCAGGGTTCCAGATAAGATTCAGCCAAAGCGGCCCTCGGAATGAATCCCTTTCGATGTTGCATGCAGCTGTCCTACCAAGAAAAGCCATTCCATCCCATGCGGAGAACCCCAGCAGCACACCGCATCATGTCCCAGCCCATGCCATCCCAAACATACAGGACCAAGAATAGCGTCAAGCACTGGAGGAACACCCAAGCTCCTGGATTTCAGCGCCTCCAGCGGCCAGAGCATACTCCCTTGAACCCTTCCCTTCTATCGGACGGAATCCTTCTCAAAGCACAACACGGTTCACGGACGGGTGCACGACCGTTGTGTTTCCGCACATCTTGTTCGTCCGACTTGGTCAAGCTTCCCCGAACCTCCAGAGTCACTGCCAACGGATAGATGCAGCATCGCTTGAGCAACCTTTCGTCTCGTCCCATGCTGTCTAGAAGTATTCCCAGCATTCCTAGAATCAGTGGCGGCGTCGCCGGTGGCGCTCATCGTAGGCCGAATGAGGGCATTGGGACGCCAATTGTACTTCCACTGCATACTGGCGAGGGAGCAGATGGCCCAACCCCTGAACACCACAACCTCCACCCGCAGCCATGCCGCTTCGACAGCCACGAAGCGGAGGAGCACAACCCATCCTATCCCCCGCATCTCTTTACCGAAAGCCGGGATTTGTACATGTTGACATCTGTTCGGTGTCTTGAATTCGTACTCGGCGCTAGGAGCTCCTTGGAGATTGCTTCTGGTCCGTGTCCGTTCCTAATCCTGTTCAGTCCGATTATTTGATCGATGGAAAAGCTTCAGCTCTCGACCCCAATATCTTGGCGAGAATTGCTTCGTCTGGAAAAGGAATGAAGCGTGCTCTTGCTCGCTGGCTCGCATGGGAGACTGGGATCATCAGCATTTGCCGGGACGGGTTCTTCAGATTACAAGTTGCTATCATTAGAAACTCGTGGCCGGGTATAGACTTTGATTGATTGCCTATGCCAGACGAGGAGAGAGAACTCACTTCTGAACAATCGTCACAAGACATCTCGAAAAGTTTGACCCCCTGATCTACAAGAACACACGGCTGATGATAGAATGATGTCCGTTCCAACAACCCGCTCAGATCAACTCCAACGTCTTTCTGGCACAGACGCGGGATGCTGTCTGCCGGAAGAGATCGGTCCCGATCATCTGAGAAAGTGGTTCGGCAGGTGCTGTGGCTGCAGTTGGGAAGTTTTCAGCTGTTTCACTTACTAGACCCGATGTGTATGGACTTTTTAATTTGGCCAATATTCCTTCCCAAGCGCTCTGCCATGCTGGACGTCCGCCTCAGCATTCGACTGATGAAAAACGATAGATCAGACTGATCGAGGTGGGAAACAAGCATGCAGCATGAAAGGCTGTTCAAGTCATGCCAAGGTTCAGAGCTGTCTTCCACTGATGTGTAAGAGAAAAATTCAACTGCCGAATGCTTCTAGACTCAACGAAGCCAGACAATCCATCGACTCTTACATGTTATGCCAAATATTGAATGAGACTAATGTTCATATTCGCAATATCAGTATTTCTCTGGCAAGACGGCAATACACTAACAATTTCCATCAACCTCAACAGCAAACCTATACTTACAGGTCAAAGTCAACGACTCCCTCCCGCAGCACCAAAGAAAAGAAATCCTACGACTTCGGACGGGAACTCAAGACATCTCAATCCGCAAGCCAACCACGTTCCAACGTCTTCATTCCCATGCCACCGTGCCAGAAGCGTCCACCTACACATCGGCACTCAATCACATCGCATACAGGAGACATTAGCATACCATCATCTGCAACCTGTTCCAATCCACTCGCCTCGAGTTACCCAATAGCTTGTTCGCCTGCAAGCCATCGGATCCAGCCCCTTCTCCAAGACTTCGACTCAGAGAAATCACGGCGCCGGTCCCGTCGAACTAGTCGTAGCTTCGACTGGAACAGCGGGATGTGATTTAGAATTGTAAGAAGGATGCAGACTGTGGCTGCTGTCACTCTTGTGCAGGTGTGGCCCGGGTTTGGTACAGAATGCAAGTGTCAAAGTTTGAGGAGGTTAACATTCCATCTTGGGATTCTTCAGCACGTTGTATCCGTGGTAATCATGGGTCGTTTAACTTAAGACTGTGTGGATTGTAAAATGATTATAAGTTGATTATTGCTTGGGCACTCGACTTGGTTTTATTGTCTCGCGTAGAATGCTCCGGTCACGCTGAATGTGTTGTTTACATGATCCTTGGGACTGCCGGGCCAAGACACTTCTTTCCTTCTCGCAAATCTCACGGTCTTGTTCTTTGAAGCAGGAAAGAGGAAAGGGGGGCTTTCCAACCCACAGCCTTGGATCTAGAGCCCAAGACTATTTCCACAGCAAAAGTTTGCTTTCCGGCGTACTTTCCATCGTCTTACGGCAGAATACCCTGACACATAGCCTTTCTTCCTACAAGGCGAGCGTCGTTGTGATTGTTCTTCACTAAACACACTATTCGAGCAGTAACCCACCAGACGAATATTACACACAAAGTACCCTTCTCCACTGCACAGCACCCAGAAGCCATCGACACACTCACAGGACACGCCTCAGCATCCACAGTTCATACGCCAACCGAAGCGTCAACTGTTGACAAGCGCCTCTGGACTTCGTTCCTGGAGTTGTGCTTCGAGGCTTGAGCAAAACCCCGATCAACAAGATCAATTGTTGAAAACTCCAGCTACCATTTCCTACTGATACGTCTCTAGTCCTTGAACTGTGAATGCCGTGTACAGCACGGCCTCATGCTGGTGTCAAGAAGCACAATTTTGCAAAAGCAACGATTAATCTCAAATCCGTTATCACGCGCAATCGAGACCCGATTCTCCAAATCACTCTACCCGTCGGTCTGGCACTCTAACACACCCAAGATGCACTACAGAGGAGAAGCTCATCGGCTCCAAGATATCAAGACTTGACCAGAACTTCTGCCCCTTGTTCTTCCCTCCCATTCCGCTTATCGAATGTTCTATTGGCTTACTTACGACAAGGCTCTTCGAGAGAAGCTACTCCTAGATGCGTTTGCAAGCGGTGCAGAAACCGTTACAACTCTCGCGATTCGGGTGAGCTATTCGAAGCCACAGTGAAGCTGGCGTCATGCCGTCCGTGTTTCTGCAGCGCCAGTACATTCTCGGGCAGCTTCCCGCTTTCCAGGTCAGATAACTTGCCTACCTGGCCTGGGAACGGGTTGACAAGCCAAGTAGAAATACGTTTCATCTTTCATTAGCTTGGGCTAACAAATATCAACTAGCACTACCATTCCCCGACACGATAGAGCGCAACCCCCTCGAATGCGACAAGAAGGCATCATGTTCGAGACGTCTTCCCTTGTTGGATACCATACAATTACGCTCCGTGAACTTTCTAGAGCATGAGAAGTTAATGGTTGGACGAGTGCCGAGTACGATGAGAGTCTCTCCAGCAACGATGTTGAAGCAGTTGAACGTAACAAATCGGAATGCAACCCCGTATCAGATCCAACTGTCCACTCCAGCTCTTGCCCATTCGTCCCCCATATATTCTCACCGAGCAGCTCTGTATTCAACTTGTAAATCTATTCACATCTAGACCTACAAACAATTGCGAGTCTGAATTGTCACCTACTCTGCACCAGCCGTCGATTCTAGATTCATCCAGCACCACTCCAAGCAGTAAAGTCCGACTGCGTCTCGCCAAACGAGTCAGAGACTCAGAGTTGGCAACCATACTTACCCCATGATCCCAGCTACCAAGCTCCGGCCTTTACCCAGCAGACTGGTCCGGTGCAATCTTTCAGGTTAGTTTAGTTTGGCTTGGTATTACTAGAAAGTTACTTAGTGTTGGTGCTGGTGCCGGTGGTAAACTGGTTACGCTGTAGTCTCGGGCTTAACCGAAGCGGCGGTCGATCTGGGTCTGGATCTGAAAGGACTTCCTGGAATCCCGAAATTCGGGTTCTGGAGTCAATAAGTAGAGTTTAGCCAAGCTATGGGGATGGTGAAAGGATGGCACAGAAAGTCGGAGAAAACAAATCCAAGGACGGGAAGACTGGCACCGGCAGAGACTTGGACGTCAGGGACGCTATTGGCAAGTCAGACTACTGGAGACAGAAATGGAATTTTTCTGGCGCACTACAAATCAGGAAATGGAGATTTGTCGGGGTCCAGTAAATCCTAGCTGGGTCAGGGAATTGTATCATTGTTGTCACGAAGGTGAAATTATTGGGTAGTCAGTCGATTCGTGATTAGTCCTGATGAGCTGATGAGCTGAGGTGTGATCGTGAAGTTCGCTTACCCGCCGAGACATGAGAGCAGCTAACTTAGCACCTAGTTTGACGTGCAGAACCATAGGCAGACAATCCTCCTAATGATCCTGCTACCTAGGCTATGAATGGGAGCAGCATCTAGCCACTCCATACGACCTGATGGTGACTTGATATCAGACTCTCGAAAATACGGACATGTTACCATACGGACGTGAGGTGCTCTTGAGCATTGGAGAACATTTATGGTATTAAATCAACAAGCACTGCATGCTAGAATAGACTTCTCTACCATGCAAATGCTCATATCGTTCTTGCCCTGCTAGAAGAGATTCCCAGTCCACTCAGTCTTATGGAAATGTTGGCCAAATGACCACTTCGCAGAATCTAGAAACATCGAGGCAAACATTTTAGAGTATCCTACTCAAGGACCTGCTCGGACCCTACGTCACTGTAATATCTTCTCTGCACTCATTGGCATAGCCATCCACTCACATCTTCAGGCGAGGCTGTTGTAAACAAATCGTTCGTAGCTGTGCATTGCAGGACAAGCTCCAACATGGAAGAGCATCTGCTCCATTCAGGTCTATGGTATCATACACATTCTGTACACATTATGGACGTCACAGGGTATCAGATCTTATAAAAGCAATCCAAGTCTTAGAGTCGCAACCAACATACACAAGCCCACACTAGTACTCAGTCTAACTCCTCCATTCTTCTTACCTTCACCAGTAGCAGTGGCAGAAGGAGAACTTGAGGAAGTCATCGAAGCTTCGTACGCTGCTTGGCTACCGATGGCCCATCCCAGATCCCCATCCGTTACATTATGCGATACACATTGTAACTCGTCTGGCCCCTCTGTATAGGCCAACGTATTATTCGCCAGCCCAACACTCAGAGTCCTGGTTTGGTAATCCGCGAAGACGTAGACCTGGCTCAGAAACGGCGCTCCAAGAATAGGTGATTTATCTGCGTCTGTCTCTTTACGGAAAGATACGAGGTTGGAGGGTACGGTGATTTTGAGACCATTGGAGAGTGTGATTGTTATCTCGGGGGAATCTGAGCCTTGGAGACTTTGGTAGACGGACTGAGGAAGGACAAGCGCAGCTTCTTGAGGTTCGACACATGCTGTGAAGGTGGATTTGCTGATTTCTTGACCCGAGACAGCCATGGATGCCACCTCTACCTCCCATGGACACTGTCTAGCTAATTTGAATGCTCCAACTGGGTAGGTTTCCTCCAGAAGATCGCCCTGTACTCGACTTTTGGAATAGCCGCCCAATATCATGGTACCATTCCGCTCGAGTTCCGGACCAGCTGCAGCTGGCACTCCGTAGTACAGCCCAATAGACCGAGATGCAGTTCTGCCACTCTCGTAGACGTATTTCATGAACGTGGAGTTCAGGCCCAGTCCTAGCACTTGCTGCTCACTTGTATCCACGAATCCCAGCATTGCGCCCTTTCCTGCAGTAGCATTGCTTCCGAACGAGTCGTAATGGGAGATTGAGCCGAATATTTGCCCTTTAACACTGGACGAGTAGTAATGCTGTGGCAGAACTAAGTTCGTGTAAGCGGTACCATACTTGACATCTGCATCTTTCACAGCTGCGGTCGTGAGAGCGTTCTCGGGTGAGCCCGTGAAATTCGATGAAGTTTCGAGGTAAATCGGCGCCGAGGTTTCGAGGTCGTAGTATCCGTGGCAGGTGAACGACGGGTCGAAGGTGTACTTATTATCCCAGCTCTTCGGATCATAATTTTCATCGTAACTGAAGCTATTGGGACAAGGCGCATCTTTGGAACCAGTTGATGTCGTAGCGATGTATGTCTGATTGTAGGCAGTCGAGAGTGCCGCAACTAGGGGGTATGGTTGCCCTGGGGGCTTCTGTGACCCTCCTTCATATTGCACACCGATCCAGAGATATGTACCACGCTGAGAGGAGAGGGAGGAGTCCGAGGTCCACGGGTTGGAACTCAGCTCGAATCGAAGGATGTCAGAACCGAAGTTAGGGTCATCGCAGACTCCTGGTCCGCTGGCAGCAGACAGAGCTGGGAATGCGATGGAAAGAAGGAGAACAGCATCTCTAAATTGATGTCTGTTGAACGAATGTGGTGGCATAATGCCAAAAACGAGTGGGACGAGAAGCCGATGTTGTACCAAAAACGCCTCCAAAATAGGGGTCTGAAGGTTCTCGGTTGTGCACAACTGCAATGCCAAGCATTCTCCAAGATACCTATCCAATTCCTGCCTCTGTCATAACCAAGTCTCATCAGTGTTCGTTCACTTTTGTGTGAAGCGGTATTTAACACATCCGCAGTGCGAACCGGTTAACCTCAGGTCTAGAGAGACCATTTTGCATCAAGATTTCGATGAGGTCCGATCAGGTCTACCGTCAACTGCCTGCCATATCGGATCTTTGAGCAGCCAGAACAATTGCACTCGTTATCATGACCACCATGCGTTCCAGCAGGTGGGATTCTAGCTTTGTCCCAGAGACAAGCTTCAAACTTGAACAGCCCATACTCAGAATACTGAAAGTGATTCAAGGTTCTATAGCCTTTCCATCGACTTGGAAGTGGCCTGATTCGCCTAGGTGACGGAAATCCGGTCATGCACAACGCGCTGTGTGTGCTGGATGTCAGATACTAAGAAGCTCTGGACCAGAGGGTCACTTCTTCACTCCTTGTTTTCATGATGTTGATACACACTCTGGTAAGAGTGAAATATCCTAGATTGTCAGGGTCAACGATGCCGAGAGGGCGAGGTGCGCGGCCCGCCTCCTCCCACCGAGCGGCTACGCCCCATTGACAAGATCCGACATCAACCAACTCTCCCTGTATGTACTTCGATCGATGCATATGTTTCGTAATCTGATCTCATGTATTACTGAATTGCTGCCAATAGGTGCACTTGCCGACGTGCTTCAGATTGGGGTCAATGTGCGGAGATTGGCAGCACTGAGTTGCTGTTCTGGGGAATGGAGAATCGACGTGAAGTACTTTGCGGGGTAGTAACCTCTTGACGAACAAGGTTCGCGGGTCGCACTGCCAGTATCTTTGAGCTCGAATATGGCTTCGGAAGCCGATCGAAAGCTTCTACAACCGCAGCGACGAGGTAGCTCTCAGCTTTGAACAAGTGTCTGGACGCATTTCAGTGCGCGAAGAGCCGATCTTAGCCTGGGCATGCGAAACAAAGTATCATTCGTCACTTTGAGGTGAGCATGCTGAGTCTTCGTGAAACGCCCAAGTGCGGATCTTTTCAAGGCAAGATCTCGCTTCGGAAGATGCTCAAGTGTACATCTAGGTAGGCGGTTGCGGACTATCCCACTTGCCCGAGTTCCCGAGTGTGTGCTAGAGACTTGATATATAACCCTCGTGGTTTCGTGATCTTACTCTGGGCATCCTACATCTTACCATCTTGGTCTCTCTCACATCTCAGAAGCTGAACCCGGAACTTCCTTAGATTCTTTCCTTGACTTTATTCATACAGCATATCACATTCCCACAATTCAAGATGTTTGGCAAGGTCACTATCGAGGACCACTTCAACCTTCCGGACTTTGCTGAGAAAGCAAAGTGGTGGGCTGGCTTCTTTGCTGTTGATGCCGATCGACATGTTCGCGAAATCAGCGACGTCGATAAGATCAGGCTCGAATATGCAAACAAACATGGTGTCGGATACCACATCTTGTCGTACACAGCACCCGGTATTCAAGATATTGCCGACCCAGCCGAAGCACTGCGAATGGCTCAATTGACCAACGACTGGATCTATGAGCAAATAAAGGACAAACCAGATCGCTTTGGTTCTTTTGCTGCTTTGCCCATGCATGACCCTGCTGTTGCAGCTAAGGAGCTGAGACGTTGTGTTGAGAAATACGGATTCAAGGGTGCTTTGGTGAATGACATCCAGATTGCTTCGGATGGAAAGTCACTTATTTTCTACGATCAACCTGAATGGGATGTTTTCTGGCAGACAGTTGTGGAGCTCGACGTTCCATTTTACCTCCACCCGAAACAGCCGACAGGCGTGGTCCACGACACCTTGTGGGCGGACAGGAAATGGTTGATCGGGCCACCTCTGTCATTTGCTCAAGGAGTGAGCTTACATCTCCTCGGAATGGTTGTCAACGGTGTTTTCGACAGGAACCCAAAGCTGCAAGTAATCATTGGTCATTTGGGCGAGCATATTCCATTCGACCTGTGGCGCATCAACCACTGGTTTGAAGACATCAAGAAGCCATTAGGTCTGTCAATCAAGAAGACGATTCGTGACTACTTCCGCGAGAATATCTGGATCACAACATCCGGGCACTTCTCGACACCAACGCTGAAATATTGCATAGAAGAGTTGGGCGGCGCGGATAGGATCATGTTCGCCACGGACTACCCCTTCGAGAATTACCACGATGCATGTACTTGGTTCGACGCGTTGAAGCTGGATTTAGGTCAGAAGGAGAAAATTGGGAGAGATAATGCGAGAGGGTTGTTCAAGTTGAAGGCATTCAAGGATTGCGATTCATATGATGCGTATTGAGGAGTATTAACCGACTTCTGGCGCAAGGGAAGGAGCATTAACAGTTTCATGATAATTTCCGGTCATCTTGAGCCAGTCCAACAACATTGGCTATAAAATAATATATCCCTTTCCACGCTCTCTCTTCAATCGTCTTGCTTGTTTTAAAGTTCTGCAGAGCATTCTATTTCTGAGTTCCTCTCTCCGTGAGTCTTGGACAAGTGTCTGTAACCTCCCGTGGTTTTAGTTGCATTCATTTCTCGTAGATAACTTTATCTGGTTCTATCTCTGTATTGGGTCGAACCGAACCGACTCTCACCTGCCTCTGACTCGGATTTCCTCCTCCTGATATTCGATCTATCAAGCTGTGGGGACCCCCAGTATTCGTCAAAACATCCCACCTTCGAATGAGCTACCCTGCAACGGCTTTCCTGCCATTGACGGACCACATTGCCGACCTAGTTTTCCACGAGGAGCTACTCTTCCTGATTCATCCATATACATGTTCATCTCTTCTAGGAATTGCCTGGATATCAATCCTTGGCTCGTCTTTCGGGACCGAGAAATATGCTTGGAACCTCACATTCGGTCCTTCACTAGCTGAATGCTTAATTCATATGAGCTTGGAAGCTTCAGTTCGACCAGTTCTCCCCATAGAGGCTAGCTAGACATTGCTCGTCAAGCCTCGCTGCCGTCATCATGAGTGCTACAGGCTTGGCATATTCAGTGTCGTGATGAATTTCTCCAGCAGGTGAGCTTGTTCTGGAAGTGGTCTTCCATCATTGATGTCAGAAAAGTATTAAAGTCGCCCTTCAACATTTCATATCTCACAGAGTAAATGCTAAGATTCTAACATAATTGACGATCAGCATGCACTTAGTGAAATTTTCCGTTCGAGGCTTGCTTCGCATTTTGTTTACTGTCTTGACTTTCCAAGCTTGTTTAGCAATCTCTTCGCTTAGAGTCGATATAACAGTTGGCACAGTCTACATCATTATTATTGGAACGCACCCTGATGTTGTCCAGTTCCTTGGTATCCCTTTCGCTGAACCTCCAACCGGTGACCGTCGATGGACGCCTTTCGTAGCCAAAACTCCCGCAGGAGACATCGATGCTACATCTTTGAGCCCATCATGTCCTCAATACGACACCTCAATCCCATCAACATATGAGATCGACGCACGAGACTTTCTCATCTCAGGTCCAACATCTGAGGATTGCTTGACACTCAGTATCTGGGCTCCTCTCACGGCAGCCAACAACTGCAGCGAGAAATTACCGGTCATTGTTTGGATCTATGGTGGTGGTCAACTTACTGGAGGTGCTCAAATCGAGTATCAAATTCCGACGCCGTGGGTTCAGAGAAGCCAAGAGCATATCTTGGTGCAAGAAAAGTAAAGTAGTAATTCCTGCAGCTTCGGAACACACATTGACAATAATACAGCAACCGTCTGAATATCTTCGGCAATCCACATGCTGCCGGAATAAAGCCAACGCTCAACCTTGGTTTGCTAGATCAGCGACTCGCCACGGAATGGGTCCGGTCGAACATCGCCAATTTCGGAGGTGATACTTCCAGAGTCACTATGTGCGGTCAATCTGCTGGAGCCAGCTCTACGGACTACTACAACTTCGCATATCCTGAAGACCCTATCATTTCCGGAATCATTTTGGACTCTTCTTCAGCTATTAGCAATGCACCAAGCAGCGATCCGACAGGATTCAATTTCACTTTTCTGGCAGGACAGTTTGGCTGTGGTAATCTGACTGCCGACGCAGAGCTCACATGCATAAATGATGTCAGCTTTGTAGATATTGAAGCTTTCCTGAAATCGTATCAGGATAATGGGGCGTTACCGAGTGTCAGCTTCACACCAGTGGTCGATAATGTGACGAGATTCTCGAACTATACTGCAAGAGCGTTGGCTGGCAATTTTTCTAAATTTGTGGGTTGCACTCGTCGTCCTAGAGTTTTGGGATGATCAGCTGATAATTATCAAGCCTGCCATTCATGGTACCAACAACAATGAGGGTTCATCACTTACCGATTGGGTCAACAACGGAACGACGTACAACGAAACAGCAGCTAATGCCAACACAGTTCAACGAATCTGCTGGGCACAGCAAACTACCGAGTAAGATCTATTTTCTATATTTACTTCTGAACTCAACTTGAAATTGACATGGGAATAAAAATCGATATGCGGCTAACGCAACCACCTTCCGCTATTACTACACGGGGAACTTCTCCAACATCTCTCCCCGTCCGTGGCAAGGCGCTTATCACTCCTCCGAGCTCCCTCTGATATTCGGAACCCACGACATTGCTCACTCGGAATCCACACCGTTCGAGTTCGCCGTTTCGCACAGAATGCAAGATCTCTGGCTAGCTTTCATGAAAGATCCCGTCAATGGCCTGCCAAGTCAGGGATGGCAAGCGTATGCTCCAGGAGGAAATGCTTTGGAGTTTGCGTGGGACAGCCAGGTGACGCCAAATATCCCTTTGAGTGAGTTTGCCGAGTTGTGTAATGGCCCTACTGCGATTCGGGGGGCAGCTCCTCCGGATCATGTGGGGCTGCATGACTTATAATGTGAACCTGGGGAAACTTGTGAAATGTCTTTGAAAGCTAGTGTACACAGACCCAGCTTTCATGGATTGATGGGAGTTGACTTTCTAGGCAAGCTCTTAAAATCTAACAACAACAGTTGATCGGGCGGTACTTGTAAGCCATATGAATCCGTATCAAATTGTGATTGAATAATTTCTAGCCTTTTCCCTTGGATCCTAGAGTTTTAGGACGTGGAAAGAATCCATAACGTTGAAGTGATGAACTCGTCTTTGTGTTGATGCGAAACTCGCTTAATCCCAGCACAAGTACAAAAAACTTGCCCAATTATGAATTGCAACAAAGTAGCATAGCGAAGCACTCTATGTATGGCATGTGGCATAAAATGAACCTCTCAAGTGATACCGAGATGTTCTGGAGACTCCTATTTATTTCCTAGCTCGCTAATCAATGCTCCACTGGTCTGCGGTCCTTACTCGGCAGTCTCACATCAAACCCTAAAGACCCACTTGAAAACCGCACGTAAAGAAGGTAATAACAACATTTCTCTCATCCAATCACATTCGGGCGCGTGGTTTAGTGGTATAATATTCGCTTAGCACTTGTTTAAACAATTGTGAATGGTCCTGGGTTCGATTCCCAGCGCGTCCAATACAACTACAAATTTTCTTTTTGCTTCTTTTTTTGGATTGACCGTACCGTACCTATTCAAGCCCAACAAAGTTTTGGCTTCTAGACTGAAAAATGTTTTGACACTTCGAGGTTACAGTGGGGAATACGGGTCGAAGTTGATCTGCAGCCAGCCTCGCCTCGCTTGATTTTTGCAACGACATGTACCAGAACACAGTACCTCGAAGTCACTATGAGGAGAGATCAAGCATTACTCACTCCTCTTCACTAGTCTAAGCCCTTTTTTTTCCCCTTTCCCTCCACAAATCACTATCCACTTGAGATATCCAAATAACACAATCTGCGTCATTCAGAAAACAGGGCGCATGGTTTAGGTCAGTTCCATCTCCTCCAAAAACCTCCGGGTCATCAACTAACTTCTTCAAAAGTGGTATAATATTCGCTTAGCAATCATTCCTCTGAATGAGAATAATGTGAATGGTCCTGGGTTCGATTCCCAGTGCGTCCATTGATATATCCTTCTTTTTTGGATGATGTTCTCAGCTCTACTTTTGCTTTTTATAGACTCGACAAACTGTTCATCTATCTTTTTCAGGGGAAGGCCAGGGCTGAGTTGCGGACAGGGTTCAAGACCCGTATTTGATCACATGATAAATTGAGTTAGTCTACCTACCCGGGCAAGTCGAAACTTTGAAGACTGAAGAGAGGCATTTATCACTCTTTGATAAGTAGATGAACTTGATCTACTACCTATCTCCCTCATGCTATGCCAACTTTTCTCCACGAGATTCAATCCCTCGAAAGGCGAAAGAGTAACCACTTGCTTGACTATTCGTCCCACTCTCAGAGCATATGTTGTTGGAATTTGGGCAATGCTTGTCAACTATGGTGCAGTGTTGACATTGGGAAACTCCCCGCAAAACGCTTCCTGTAATCGGGTTGCGAGATACCCTTACGCACAGTCGAAGAGGCACGTGGCAAGGATCCATCTCCAGCATGGAATCCATACGATTAATTTGCGAAGACAGTGGAAGTACTTCTTTCTTATTTCTGGATCAGATATCTCCTCCTGTACCAAATGAGCCCTCAATCCTTATGGGACAAAGTGAAAAAGCAAAGTTACCCACGCATTCTTACACCACGTATTTAGACACAGTGCCCACTTAACATGTAGTATATTCAACACGCAAACATGCTAAAAGACGTCTATTGCAGACTTGAAAGAACAAGGTTTGCAAGAAGTGCAGATTATCACACCATTAATCATATAACTGCAAGGACAGCAAGCTGTCTCTCTATTTTCAAGATTTCCAATCTGCAAGAACAAGCTCTCCGATTGTGACCTCAATCGACTTGTTTGCCGTATCATTGGATTTTTGGCTGGCATAGTCACGTCTGTATCCTTGTAACATGGCGTCCATATCTGCCTTCATCCTGGCTTTCTTTTTCTGGTATTCCTCACTGGCCGGTGTCTCCACACAGCCTACCACAACACAGGCGTCCTGTCGAGCATTGAACTTCGCAATCTGGACTGTTTTCAGGTTAGGCATCCTAAGGATTCCTTTCAAGTCTCTAAACCTGAACAAATCTGTGAGACAAAACGGTGATACACGTCTGGTATATGACTTATCTTCCCAGACTATCCTTCTGATGCTGTGGGTTATTTCAAGCGAATGATAGTTCGAAAAGGCGCTCAGGAATTCCCAGTTGGAGTATCCATCACGTCGAAATACGAGAACATCTTTCTCTCCATCAAAAGGAATAGTAACGGCACTGTGGAGGTGACGGGATATGGAAAGATGTCTCTTAAACACCTCCGTCCGAGACTCATGACAGACTACAAACAATGACGATAATTTCGTGCTGCATCTAACAGACCAAATGCCACCTCTTTCGACGCGAATCTCGATCAATCGAGGCTCTGGATAGGCTTCTGTCCAAACACGAAGGCGCAACTCTGCTGGCATTCTGGGAAAGAGCGTGAACTTATCAGGTGTCGTAGAGTTGACTCGGCATTGCAGACCTATAGAAGGATCAGAGGTAGAAGCGGATGGCGCAAGATCCGAAGTGGTGGGCAGTTGTTGATATTTGCCACCGAGACAATAAGCCATAGGAGTGGACAGCAGCTGGACAGCGGCAACATCATTGCTGTTCGTGATGGAGACCGTGCTGAGAGCTATCTCTGTCGAACGTCTACCTTTATTGGAGGTTTGTTGCTCAAGGATATTGTCGGTAGTCACTTCGGAGGTTCGAGAACTGCTGTCGGTATGAGAAGTGCTGTTTGTGTTTGTGTGTCTGCAATGGCGCATCTTTCGATGGTAGGCAAGAACACGTCGTGCGTAGCTGTGGTTCTTTGTCAGCAACCACCAAAGGTGATGAGGACGCGGTCCAGAGCTTACAAATGCCAAACCCAGAGGTGTCCGAAGATTGATGTGCTGCTCCAGACTCTACACTCTCGGGTGCAAGCTTCCCCTCCATTGCGGTGGTCATGCTGGTCGAGATGTTGCTGCGTTGTTTCCGGTCGAAGCAATTTATCTGAGATGTTGAAGTTGTGTTCTGGCACATCAGAAACATAGACATGAGCTGAGTTACCGAAAGTACCTAAGAACTGGGAGCACATGACCGAAGCCAACATGAGTGGATTCACCGAAACAGTAACTGCAAGCGTGATTTTGGGAAGGAACGAACGGAAAGTGAATGTCGACTCAACAGAGTTCTGATATTCGCCTACGACATCGAAACACATTATGAAAGAGTTCGACCGCTACTTTAACCTCATCATCATCTCTAGAATTTAGGTCATGGTCACCTTATTAGACGGTACTAAAAGTTTGGGCTGACTTCGAGACTGATACTCTGGCGAGAGATGGAATATAAGGTTGCTCAAATGATATCAGCTTTGCTGGAAACTCGCGTTGACGACACAATCAATCCAACACCATTATCAATAAAACTAAGTTTCTGTCGCCTTTCTAGACGCCGTTAAGCGCTTGGCTTGATTTTGAGAGGAGCCCTTCTTCTCTTGCTGGCGATTATGTGTTGACTTTTTGGATTGATTTTCCCATTCGTCGTCAATGTGGGTTTCCAGCAGAGTTGATGCCATCTGAGGAGAGCTGCATACATACCGTCACTCAAATAAAGATGATGACACGAGGACAGAATTAAGCAGAACTCGGAAAACAGCAGCTCATCTTAAGATCACGATCACATACCTTTCCAGAAGCCCTCCTGGGGATAACTTTTTCAAGATGAAATCTTGCGTAGACCGATGGAGAATCAACGCTGGAATTATAAGCTTCCATTAGATACATACGTACCAGCTTGCACCTGAGGAACTGCGAAGGACCTCAATCAGCTCCGTTTGAATGGTGTGAATATCATTGTTTATCCAGACGCAGGCAATGGCCTCGCTTCAATTTTGGCTTGCAAACTTCCCGGGTCATCTTCCTGTGGGAAAGTCTCCATGGTAGAGAAAGCCCTGGACCTTGTCATATGGTATACTCATAATAAGGAAGCTGTTTGCCATATTTAGGCCGCGTACTCAAGTCTGGAAGTTGGAACTTGAACTGGTTATTTTGCCTGGAGGATGAGAGTTTGGTCATGACATTGCACCAAACTAGGCTGTCATTGCTATCGCCTTCACGATGACTGTTCCTCGGCTTAACGGGTGTGTGATGTGATGAAATCAAAGGCCGATGGCCCGTTCGTATTCGTGTTCGTCTCAAGGGGAGTGGAATGAAGTGGTGTGACTCGAATGAAGGTCATGAGGTAGCAAGAGAAGAAGGAAATGTCTTTAGGCTACACGTAATAACACCAAATTCAACCGATCCAGACTTCGGTCTGGGTCTGAAATGGGTACCCGATACAGGTAGTAACGGGCCAGGATGATTCATGACTGACAAGTACAAGTGTACGAAAAGGGCGTGAGGGAGGTCCACTTCGCCACTAACTAACCCATGAGTGACTGTCACTCACTCTCATCCCGAGGAGTTCTCGTCCATAGCGATACAATCACGATGCGAACTCAGGCGGATCGTAGCCATGCTTGGTATGTCAGAGATTTGGATGGATTCAATACTTTTCTTGAGTCTGGCTGGCTATTGACCTCGGCGTTTCTATTCTCGTTGGCATAGAAGAGTCACAGTGGAATTCAGGAGACGTAGCCTTGCCTGAGAGGTCATGTCAGGGGCGACGGCGGAACCACTCGAGTCACACACGAGATCAGCCCTTGCTCCCTTGCCTAGAACGTAGGATGCGAGACTGGAGCCTCGCCTTGCCTCGCCTCAACTCTCCGTAACCGTGAAAGTTCTCACGATGATTCATGACTTTGAATGAAACTCGGCTGATAATGGAGGAAATTAGAGGCAACAGAGACATCTCAGCATGAAGAAATCCACGAGCCATGTGACGAGTTTCACGATGTCAACTAAGCTCGAGCCGCACCAAGTACCTGAATCCGCTTACGTTGGCACGGTGACCCTTGAACAACACAATAATCACCCACCCGCCCAGTCCACAAGTCAAGGATGGATAACGTCGGAGCAACAGCTCCTAGAGAATCAGTGACCAGTGACCACTGACCACTCTACCAGCCGCAAACTTGAGACGAGACACATGGATGCAGAAGCCAGCTGGCGCTTATGCTGGGTGGTGCTGAGCTTCCGGCGGCAGGTGATATACTCGTGACTCATATTCCATACATGGATCCACTGGGGCGAATAATGGACGCGTGCTCACAACAGGATTGGAATGGATCTGGATAAGTCCAGGTTACACAGGCAATCCTTGCGAGTAGAGATGGAATAGTATTGTAGGCATCATATGTGTGCTTCTAGAATAGAATGTGAAGATGTGAAACAGGTACAGATATCTGCCTAACGAAACAAACGAAACGAACGTGTTATTTGCATGACATGCATGACATAGATCTGGTCATCTGCATATGTACCAAAGTAGTACAAGGCTGGACGCAAACAAAAGTATTCTGGCCCCCAAGAATGTCAAAGTGTTGAATTCCGCCTCGCAGCCTAAGTTGTGAGAGGAAGCTAGGCTTCTCGTGATGCAAGGCTGGCGGATTTGTACCCCTCCTGCCCTCTTCACCGTTTGATGGAGGGGTCACATACGTCAGATATGGATCCTTCTGCTTTTCTTTATTATTTCTTTCTCAGCCTGATGGATGGATGCATGAAGCTGGGAAGTGGCGCTGGCCACTCCTGCTTATCCTGTCTTTGATGAGGTGAGGGTTTCTTGTCATGGCTCGGCTGAAGATGCTTGGCTGAGTGTAGGCAGCAGCTCTCGCATCAACAATACGACCACGGCCACCACTTTTGGCTTAACCTTCCCAACCCTAACCCTGAAATGCGTGAAAGAACGAATGATTGCATGGCAATAAACGAGAAATATGAGGACGAAGGTCATCGCTGCCGAGAATCCCGGCCAATGTGGTGAAAGCAAAACAGGCAAGCGCACAAGCATAAGGAAAAGGATACTGTAGATAAAAGATAATGAAATCCCGTCTTACGAGGAGATACTCCACCAGCTCCATCCTTCATTCGGCCTGCCTGCCTGCATACCTAGTTACTCACGTAGGTGGATATTCTGAAGAGGGTGTGCTGGAAAACCGAAGGATCGGATGGAAGTCGAGGGGTCTGAGACATCCATGGTATGGACGAACAACCCTCCATGATGTCCATGAAGATTTTTCTTGATGCTCACACAGCCATCAAGAAATCAAGAAAGGAGACATCTGATTCATTTGCTTTGCTCTGCGGCCGATCCGATGGCGGTGCTTCTTTGCCTTCAGAAGCCGAGAGTCAAGCCTCTTCATGCGAGAATTCTCGCGCCGGACATGCCAAGTCCCGTGTTAATTCTGCGTTCATGACATTTCCAGTTTGCCGTAGTAATACTCAGCCAGCAAAAGATGGTGGACGGAGTGTGGCTGGGGCTTGGACTTTAGGGGCTGAGGAAACCCTTCTCCGCTCCGGACCTGTGATAAATGGGGAGTGCAGACCAATCAAAGTGGCAAGATTAGAAATTTAGGATTAACATTTTTCCCGTCCTTGGGTTGAGACTTTTTTGTTTGCGTGTGGTGTGGGATGGAATGATGGATCGACGCTCTTTCGATCAGGCTTCCGTCCAGATGTTCTGGAATTTTGCTGCATTAGGTCTAGAGGTGGCCAGATCGACTCATCTCCCGCTCCTTTCATCCTTGAAGATTCGTTGGGCTTGGGCTTGGAGAGTTCGGGCTTGAGCTTGGTAAACTGTGAAAATGGGGAACCTCCGATATAGGCCGATCGGGCTGTAATTTGTGGGAAATCTCGGAATGTCATGAGATCAGCATTTGCGAAAACAACTGCGTGAGTCAGCGTGGTGTAGTGTTGGGATCCAGGGCAGAAGGTGTTTGATTTGCCGTCACGGAAATTGAAGAGAGTTGGAAGCGATGCGAGGGAGGCGCCTGATTTGTGAGCTGCTGAGACAGGAGATTTCGGATCCTATTTTTGAAGGCGCGCGGTTACGGAAACAGTAAATCGCGCCGAGTTTGGCTTTGCTGACTCATGGACCTTGGTGCGATATTGCGTTGAGTTGCTTCATCCGTGGCGTGTCGATGGATCATGATCACGGTATTCTACAAGGAAGTCTCCTCATGATGGGCGATGAGCAAAAAACAACTCATTCTGGGATATCCATCCGGGATGTGTGCGTGGGGTGTACATTTCTTGGTCTTCCTTCTTTCTCTTTGTCTTGAACGAGTGGCGAGCCCAATAGGCCAAAGTGAGTTGAGTCACGAGGAAACGATTTGGGAATGACTAAATCGTGACTTGTTGGGATATTTTTCTTCGGTCCTTTCTGCAGCACACTGCACCACAGATGATTCAAGACGAGGTGTCTTTGTTCCAGACTTGGTGATACGAGGGCTAGTAGCCCCGACGGAGATGTATGGTCCCGTTTAGCGGGAGCTAAAGCAATGTATTACTCTGTCTGACGCTTGCAGCCTGGTACGGAGTGAGATGTGAGAGTGAGAAGTCTAAGTGAGGTCAGGCATGATGGAACTTGAGTCATTCGGAGGGTTTCGTCAGGAGCTCTGCTATTGGTCTGGAGGAGGTGATGGATGGTTTTGAGATCTTGACATCTAGAACGATGGCTCTAGATCTTCGAAATTTCAGAAATATCCTGGAGAAGTTCTAGAGATTTCTTTGGCATGGCTTGTGATGCTGCAATCGTGAGGGGATAGGAAGCAAGCCTGCGTGGCATGGCATGCCGTGGGGCCCATCCACGATCCATGAAGTTGCTTAGTAAAGGATCTTGGGAAGCACAGTCGACAGGAAGGATTGCAGGTTCGACGATATTTGCAGACAGGCGCGGGCCAGTTGGCTGCTACTGGCAGCGCCGGCCGCCAGCATGAAGCAAGCTGCAGCATGATGCTGATGTTGTGGTAGACGAGGCCAATCATCACGGCTCTCCATCTGGGAGCGGGGAAGCCTCGCACGGCGGCTATTGGCTGTGTGAGACAAGGAACAACAGTTTTCAATGATAATGAGAACAGAAGTTGATGATTACCCTCGTTGCTTTGTTACGCCTTGGATCGAGGCACCTGTGGAATGTCTGGGATGATTCTTGCCGTTGCTCCCTCTGCAGCTTTTTGATCCATGAATACTGTGATTAATCGGGCGGTAGAGTATCAAAATAGCAATAACGTTGGTGCTGTTCCCAGAAGAACCCTCCAGATTATCCAGGGTTAGAAGAGCTGACGGACGTTTGGTGTGGTTGAAACTGAAGATGATACGAAGGTTGGCAAGCAGGAGTCCGGTACCACGTCCAGCGCCTCCTTCGTGCGAGTTGCATTATCAAGATTCCAGCTTGGCGGGATTTCAATTGACGGTGCTGCAATTTCAAGGTTGAAGTGACGAAAGTAAGGTGCTTAGGTGAGTACTTCTGAGCCTGGTGGCGAATACATGGGCACTAGGAGGAAATACCGTATCCGGCGATGTGTGGATCCGCCTCGTCCCAATTGACGTGGCGATATGGTGCACGAAATTGGAACGCCTGTTGGTCATGATCAGGCTGATAATCATCATCATCAGCACCATCGTGTGTCCGGCTGAGGACAGGTGAACCATGGCAAGCATTTTCAAAGGTGGATACTTGGACTGAGACTTGGGACTCGATTTTAGTCTTGGGTATGCGCACATCTTGGGAGGCTGAGAGCCTTCAGTGCCTGGTTAGAAGCATTCTGAATGTTCGAGGTTTTGCCGTTGCACAGCGCCTTCTCGCAGCGGCGCACTGGACAGCGCCGGGTCCATGCCCAGCTGCATGACTACTGGTATGTACGCAGTACGCACTGCTGCTCAGGTGAGTAGAAAATAGATCATAGAGGACCAGAAAGAGAGACAGATGTACAGAAATGGCAATGAAAAGGGGGAGAGATTCGTGTGCTTCTCCACACTGCTATGCCTGTGGCTACCAAGTCTAGCGGTCGAACGATGGCAGTGTTAGTGGCAAGGCTATGCTTCAGACATCTGGATTACGAACGGGCTGAGGAGGGGAAGAGCATCGCAAGCCCCGTTGACGATCCAAGACTTTCAGAATGGTGAGTAATAATGCCAGTAAAGTGGAGGTGTTCGTGAGGACTGTACGCGATGTAGCTGGTTCATCATCATGATCTGATCTGATTGTGCCGGAGATAGACTGGTGCCCCAGAGGAGAACAGCACATTGCATGGGCTGGACCCACGATCATAGGTTGTAACTGCGGAGGTTGTGGTAGGCTGGAAAATAGGAGAAGTTCATTTGCTGCCGCTGGTGGACCAACATGATACGAAGTAGCTGCTTGCTGCTTGCTGCAGAAGTCAGGATAGACTGGATATCCGGATAGAAAAGACGCAAGAGATAGGTAGGTAAGTTCAGTACACATCTCATGCGTATTCTGGCCCTCATTCTCATTCTCGTCTCGGGCCCAGTCCGTCCAGGCAGGCTTGGAAGCTGGGGATAGCCTCCTCCCAGGGCTTGTCGAGTGCTGTGCTGTGCTGTGCTGTGCTGTGCTGTGCATGGCTACGGGTATGTGATGCAAGCGGCAAATTTAAAAATTGCATTACCTACTAAGCGAGTCATAATCATAATTTTCAACGCTTCTCGAGTTGAGTTTCCTGGGGCAGGGAAATAAGGATGTGTTCCATTACTGTACTGCGGTGGCGGAGGGTTTCTTGGGAAAGAGGGTGGACGACCTGTGAGTGGCGGCGTGCGTGGAGGTTGAGGAGGATGAGCAGCACAGTAGTGCGGTCCAGTCAGTCCAGCTCGTCCAGTCCAGTCCAGTCCAGTCCAGTCAGAGATCCGTCCAAGCCCCTGTAATGATGGATGCCTCGCTTGAGCCAGGCACCGTAATTCGCCATCGCCATCGCATCGTGTCGTGCCAGCCGTCCCCACCTGCACCTCACCCTCACCCTGACCCTCACCCTCAACTTCGAAGCCGAAGCCCAGCCCAGTCCAGGCTGCCACAGTGACCAGAGACGCAGGTCAACCGTACCATACCCACACCCACACCTACACCTGCCTCTGCCTGCTCCTCCCCAGCACACTGCCCAAGCACAGGCCACCTCTGCCTTCGCTCCTGCTGCTGTGACTGTGACTCTTCACTTTCCTTCGCTTGTTCGCTAGCAGCCACTCTGGCCACTGCCCGCCAGGCGAAGGGCTCCACGCTCCACGCTGCCTCCCTGGTCCCCCTCCCCCCCAAATCCAAATCTCACCCCGTCTGTAACAAAACCGAGCCATGCCCGCAGCCTCCTCTCTGCTTCTGCTCTTCACCACAGCAATGTATGATCCCAAAGAATAGACCAGCGGCTCTTTGAAGTCTGCACAACGACCGCCGCCGCCCCATTACAATCTCGAAAACCAAACCAACACCGATCAAACATCTGCAATCTCTCCTGTTTCTATATTATTTTTCAAGTCCTCATTCCCCTTCCCGCCATCTCCGTTTCTGCGACAAAGCGACCACCTCGCTCGTCCCCCAGCAGAGGTGACTCCAGCACCCAGTCATACGCCGCTTCCCTCCAACGACCACCACAACTCCTCTTAATTCAACCTCTCGCCACATTTCGTTATCTGCGCACCTCTTTGTTCTTATTTTACTTCCTTTGATACCCCTGGGAAAGAAGCCTGGTTGTTGTTTTCAGTAGCAACAGCGTCAGCTTTCGTTCCCTTTTACTGGTAGTGGTCGCGATACCGGCTAGCTTGCCACTTCAAACCCACTCCGAACCAGTCACTCGCACTCGACTTCTGTCAGGTACCCTCTGACTCTGAGTTGACGCCTGCTTCTAGCAAAGACACCTTTGTCTTCCGCAAACACTCCACTCAATCTTTTTTTGTCACCTGTCGATATTATCCTCGGTCCACCCCGCGGTCTTCAGATAATCTTCACCCCATACAACCCTCCTCGAATACTCTACACCTCTACCTCTCTCAATGGTAGCTAGATCCCACAACTAGCCCACCATTTACCACAACAGCTTCCACTTTCATCGTCGAAAGCTTCACAATGATCCTCGCCCTCAACGAATTCTCCCCAGTCGCCAGTCTTACATCGTCTACCGGTACCATCGTTCGTGAAGAGAACCCAAAAGTCTCTTCTCTCTGTTAGCTTCCTCCTCCCTCGATCATCTCGCTCAGCAACGGCATACGCGGTTGTTTTGGGCCTGTATCTAGTCAGAAGGTTCCACGGCTTCAGTTAATAACGGTTTATCGGTTTGGCTTTGTACAGACGGCGACTGGAGAATTTACCATACCTCCATAACCCTCGAATTCCCCGAAGATGAATTGCGGCGAAGATGATTCGCCGCCTTACATCACCTCATATCGAAATGGTCCATACAGCTCCTCAATAGCTTCCTCCGCATCCTCCTCTTCCGCCTCGGTCTGGTCTGATGCTTCCTCACAATCATCCGACGATTCCTCAGTTACCGGCGCATCTTCCGACAATGAGATCTCAGAAACAAACTGCTGCACAAGTCAGCCTGAACCTTCCTTTACATCGGCCAGCACTGTCTGCGAACAAGCACCTGCGGTCGCCTACTGGTCAAAACATAAGTCAGGTGAAGTTGCACCAGAGCAACGACATCCAAGAAGGACAAGTGTTGGAGCAAATACTCGAACAGGATGCCCTCCTTCGTTAGTACGCCAATGCGATCGAAAGGTCAATTTCGTCGACGGCCTTGTCGGTAAGATATGAAATTCCTCAAATAAGTCCCCTTACTCAATGATCCCTCCAGATTCTTCTGCTCAAATTGTCGAGGCAATTTGGCCCCTCTCATCGGTTGTCTGCCGTAGCGAGATGGGGAACAAAGGCGTTCTTCCTCTACGCACATTTATTCAAGAGACTCTTCGACGATCACGGACAAGTTACTCGACTCTCCAAGTCGCTCTGTACTACCTGATCTTGATCAAGCCTCATGTACCAAAACATGATTTTACAATGGAACAGCCGGATGATGCACACTCTATCAGAGCACTTCAATGCGGACGTCGCATGTTCCTATCAGCTCTGATTCTCGCTTCCAAGTATCTTCAGGATCGCAACTACTCTGCGCGTGCGTGGAGTAAGATTTCTGGACTGAACACTTTGGAGATTAACCAAAATGAAATGGCGTTCCTCCTGGCCGTCAATTGGGAATTACATATTACGGAGTCGGTTTTTCAAAGATGGACCGAGATTGTTCTCGGCAACAGACCAACACAACCACCTTCGCCTGGCTCAGCCTCGTCTCGCTTAGCCGAGCAGGACTGGAAATCAATCATTCTTAGACTCACCCCTGAGTTGGATAACATCGAGGGTCTCTCACCTTCGACGTCTGCCAAGGCATACGCCAAATCTATTAGTGCAACCTCTCCACGATCTTTTGCACCTATGGTTGCCGACCGAAACACCTTTGGATATGGTTCCAACGAGTCGACACCGACTCCCAAATATTACACTCCCAGTATTTTGGAGCCCTCACCATCCACGGTCTACCCTGCCAGCAAGCCCGCGCCAGCTCTTGGTCTGCTACCAACCCCAAGACTGACCCCGCAAAGCGCCGGATTCAACACTCCTGCTGTGAGTGCTGCGTCTTACTTGCTTGGCAAGTCGTCAATGGGCTTTGCTATGGCACAAGCTTCAACCATCAGTGCTTCCCAAGTCAATGATAAGTGGCAACAACATTTGTCTTCTTCACCACAGTCATACGTCTCACATCGTCGATCATCATTGGCCAATTCGGTCTCATCAATGTCATCGCCTGAGTCAATGGTTTCGGATACGTCTTCTCGGTCATCTCGTTCGTCTTCAATCTCTTCTGCCTCGTCTTTGATGAGCGCGCCTCTCTCATCCAAATTGGATGTCCAAGCGCGCTGTCGATATGCGAAGCTGTGCAGTGAGAAGCAAAACAGAACCGTCATTGCCTCAGTACCTGAAGGCTACTGCGACAATGGACCAACATCGTCGCCAGAGTCATATGCTGGACCAGTGGGCAAGGACTTCCTTGACCTGTCCTTGGATACTCCCTTGGCTCGACGTGTTGAGTTGGACATGTACTCAAAAGATGAAGAAGCTGCACGGGCTCTTCAAGAGCTCCATAGCCACCCTAGGTCATCAGACTCTCCCATCAGAGCCGGTGCCAAACGTAGCAGACCGCAATCAATTGATAATTCCCTCCAAGAGAATGTTAGAGAGATGTTAGGTGACCACTATCAACCATTTGAGAGCAACTGGTCAGACAACTTTGTCCGCACTCGCTCGAGTCAGGCCATGGATGTCAGCCCTCAAGTTGCTGTTCGCTCTACGTCTTCTTCGTCTCTTGGACGTAAGAGAGTCTGCTGTGCTACAGAAGCCGCTCGTGGACTACCCCAAGCCATCCACCCTGCCTTTGGTGGCCTTGGTGGCCCTGGAATGTGGGAATCTATTTTAAATTAGTTACTACACCTTTCCGACCTATACATACATCTCTCTATTGTCACAACAGTACATTTTTCCTTTGTTAAAACCGGGGCTCGGCTCAACACACTGGGGCTTTTCGCATACGGCGCCGACTGTTGGTTTACTCAAAATCGCATCATTCCGGTGTCTGTCTGGTTATAGATGGGACCGGAGCGTTTGAGAAATACCACTACAGTTCTCTGTATTGCATCGCATGAATTCTTCCTAGTTGGTGTCCTGGGTGCCTGGACACTTGTAAGTTAAGAGAAGCGTTTGAGAGGGCATAGCGGTGGCTTTGAATTCAAGTAAAGTGGATTTTAGCACGGGAAACTGGCGAGTTAGGTGGTTGGCTGGCTGGTTGGGGTAAGGGAATGGTCATCTGCACGGAATTGGAGTTTACACTCAATCGAATCCTCAACGATTGTGGAACGGCGCGCATGGTTCTGATCTTGGTCTGGGGAGCTTTGAATTTGAGTTGTGCTTGAACGGATGCCGAACGTACCCCTGGACAATCCTGCAGAAAGGCGCATAAACTAGTACATAAGAAACTTCTTCCTCCTAAATGCAATGGCTTCAGAGATCGATCTATCTATCCTTCGTACCGTACCTACCTTCTTCGATTGTCTTCGTGATTGAGACTACTTGGCTTGAGGTTTAGTGCATTCTCATCACATCTCATTCCCCCCTCTCTTCGTCGCTTGGTGATCCGTGCTAATGACTTCGACTACGGTCTCCACAGTCTACGTAGGCGCGTACCCCGTCCACCCCCGGGGCATGGAGATCATCAGCACCTGCGGCATGTGGTGGCTGATTCGGGTTTCAAGACTCCTCATCGAATACGTAAGTGCCTATATGTTTCCGTCCTCCCAGACATTCAGTCAAGCCCATGGGCACGCACGTGGAAATCTCATAAGGGGCGTTTGGAACAGTATGGGCTGTGAACGTGAACTCCTTTTCTATTCTTTCCTGCGTCCCAGTCTTTGAGTGGAATGATAGATGAGTTGGTATGTGATGAGATGTTCAAGGCGGGGGGGGGGGGGGGGGGGGTAAGAACATGGAGCGCGGTGAGGGATAAGTAAGGTTAGCTGTGGGGGAGGGGAAGGATCTGACCTGAGCCCCTCCCTAGACTAATTGTCTGGCTCTGTCGGTGAGATACCTACTTACTGCTTGTAATGACCAAGAGGTTTTGGAAAGGCATCAGCCAATCCCATCGGAAGGTAATTCCCGGATTTTGGATGATTAGATGTTTTGATTACGTCCGTGATTTTCAGGAGTAGGCGAAACGTTTAGAAGACAGCGATGTTCTCAGGAGAAGCAGACACTTGATCATGGCGGGCGTCCTTTCGATGGATAAGTGCAGTGGATAGTGGATGTGAGTCAAAAGACACTTGACACACATCCACTAGACACTGACAACAAGTGCTCTAAACATCTCTGTGTTACCTGGATCTCTCCTTCCAGAAAACTTGCCTGAAACTTGAGACGTGAAAGATGTTCTCTTTTCCAGGAGATCACTAGACTAGATACCGGTCAGTTGACCTTTTGTACCTTGATATGTAATAACAGAAGATTATTTCTACCCATCGAAACATTTTATTCGGAGGTGTAAAGGTTGGAATAGGGTAAGCTATATGGATGGTCTCATTTACTTACACATCTCATGGGTGTTAATCTATATGAACCGTTGAGTGGTGTCAGGTTTCTAAGGTTGCTCTAACTGACCTCCTTTGCTCCTCTGAAATTTCAGCTCCTTGGATTGCGTTCTTGTTCTCCTCTTGGACACTGCTATGGAAAGTTTTCTGAAGTTGCTGCGTGTGAGACTTACTTGTTTTAACCCTACAGTAGGTGCAAATTCCTGAGATGTTACCTTCGCACGTGGCTTTCTTTGTCTCTTTGGCTTTGTTTAGGCAGGCTTTGTTTATTCCGACTAGGGTAAATTTAACCGAGATAAAAATAATAATCAATCTCTATACCGATACACGTGAGAAAGGGGATTTCCAATATATTTCCTTAACATTGAAAGGAATAGCGTTCTTCCAGAGGCGATTTGCAGTCTGTGTCGGAATTTCTCGGCTTTGTTGTGATAATAACTATGAGACCAAGCCACTGGAAGTGAATCACCTACATGTTTTTATCTTCAAATTTAACTCTCCGCTCCGATGAGAGATACGCTAGTAGCCTGGCCATGACGAAGTCAGGCAACAACTGTAATAAAATGTGGTCGCGTCGCGTTGCTCGACTTATCTATTACAACTATCTTCGAAGCATACCTCTTCTTCGAAGCTTCTTAAAAGTCACGTCTCCCCACTAAGGCCTTCAAACATCCTCATTCGAGGTCTCAACTACAATCTGAGGTCTGGTTACTCCTCGAGCCGTCAGCATGACACCTAATCTCGTTGATGTCCAATCTGCGCTTGGTATCTACCTATCTGGTTCCACTTCCTCCTCAACCTCCACTATCTCGACGGAAAGCAAATCCAACGATGCATCAAACATCCCCAGCATCAATAGAAGCTCGGTAACTTCTTCATCTGCCAGTGCAATGCCGCCAGTAAAATTCACCCTGTTCCCTAAATTCCCACTCGAACTACGACTGAAAGTCTGGCGTGAAGCTATCACACCACGCGTCATCACCATCTTAAGAGATGAATCGGCTGATCGTGTTACTTGGAAAGCAACAACCTCTAGTGCCATCGCTTTGCTCTCAGTCAACGTAGAGTCTCGTGCTGAATCACTGAAGATGTACGAGAAGCCTTTCGATACAAGTGCTATCCCAGGTCAGGAATCCGATCGCCGTGGACCATGCTATGTCAACTTTGCCCACGACTTGATCTATATCAACTTCATCCACCTCAATTATTGCTTCAAGGAGATTTTCGTGGAGGGAATGGTTGCCGCCGAAGATCAATTCATGAACATTGCGCTGGACGAGGACAGTCTGACAAGCATTAAGACCGAGCTGTACTATATGATCCAGGACAAGAAGTGGCAGCTGACACATCCTGATACACAGTTGGGTCCATGGACATGGGAGAGAAGTAGGCTACGAAATGTCAGAGAGCTTGTCATGGTTGTCGATCCTTCGCCACATGGCACGAACTCCAACAATAATACTCTCGGCGATGAGACGCCTGACGGGATATTTATCAAAAAGTCCACCGAGTTTGTCTTCGCTGCCTTCAAGGCCCTCCATCCTAATGTGATCGTCCCCGAACTTAGCACATGCTACCTACTACCGGAATCTAAATGAAATGACGTCCGTCATACTCATCGATCAAGCACCTGTACAAATACTCCGAACAATCGGCTGGGCGTATACGATTTTCTGTTGCATCTTTGGGTGGACTACTCGGGCAGTCATATTTTCATACACGAGGAAGCTCGGATGATGGAAATATTACCTTGGTGGAGCATACTTGTACTCCTCTTATGGAGCCGTCCGTCACATCTGGAAATAGGTGGCTGATATGATTTCTTGAGTCTCTTATCGACATGGCAAAACGGATTGGTTCTGCTCTCCTTAACAACTTGGTTTGACACTAAGGACAGCTTTGAATTGAGGATCAACCAATTAGGGTTGGCCTGCTGTTCTCTCCCCACTCCACGAATTATGCTTCTATACACTAAAATCATGGTAGGAGTACCCAAATAAAAGCGTTGAATTCGCCTCGGGTTTTCTTTCTGGCTAATGTGATATACTAACAAGTGCTTGGTGAAGTTTAATTAAGCTCAGTCTCGCTCTGACTGCAGTCCTGTCCTAGAACTCATTTCTTCAGTGAATTTGTGACTAGTCTTGATTTATATGCTCTGGTGTTCCAAGAGTATATCTTCACACATGCGTCATGACGACAGATGCCAGAAAAATGAAGTTGGTTGGGCCGTACTTGATTTCCGGGTGTTGCCGCTGTTCAAATTGTCCGAACTTCATATTTCGTCTCTGACAATGTTCCCTACTTGGAGAGGACAAATTGAAATCCAGGCGCTCGAAACTACTTTCCTCGGCGGTTCAAGCCATGCCATAGCTACTTTAGAAAATATAAAATACCACAACAACACTGGGCAAATTGTTTTGGCTCAATGAGGCAATGTAAGCGAAAAGGGGCTGGAAGCTCACGAACGGGACTGGGCCAGCATCGCGTAAGGACCCGCTGATTTGGCGCCTTTCGGCAACCTCGACAGGGCATCGTTGTCATGCATTATCAATACCTTAAGTTCCTCTCTTTTACACGTTCGGGCTCGAGTTACTTTGATACCTCGAGTCTCCCGCTCTACACACAACGCTTTATCTTACTCCCAATCCTTCCTCTGCTCCATCTCTTGAAGTTCTTGGATTCCATTTCCCTTGGCGGGCATCAAAAATCAACCCCACTTTTGTGGATATTGAGATTTTTGCGCCCCAAGGATTTTTTTTCTTGTGAACATCATGATAGATGAGACGGAGCCCTTGTTGGGCCATGTACGGGCAGAGTCAATCGTTAATGGTGACCAGAAAGTGGTTGACTTCGACCCAAATGGCGATTCAGAAAATCCGCTGGATTGGTCGAGAGCATACAAGTTGGAAGTTGTGGCATTACTCAGCTTCATGGCGTTCACAGTGTGAGTCAGATCACGACTCTTCACAATTGACTTCCTAACACGTAGTTCAGTTCCTTTACATGTATCGGAGTCGTCCCAGTAGCAGACCGGATCGTATTTGATTTGGGTGGCGGTGATAGCAAGGCCGCCAGCATCCTGCTCGTCACTGTTTGGGAACTTGGAGAAGCTGCAGGGCCATTTCTTATGGCACCCCTATCGGAAATCTATGGTCGCTATCCTGTTTTCAATATTGCCAACATAATCTTCATTTTCGGTGTTGTACTCGGTGCTTTGAGTCATACGACGAATCTCTTCATCTTTTCTCGCCTTCTGACTGGATTTGCTGTTGCTTCAAATGTTCTCAACCCTGCCATCATCGGCGACATCTACAAGTCAGAATCGAGAGGGTCCGGTATGTCCCTCGTCATGTTTGCCCCTTTGATAGGTGGAACTATTGGTCCTGCAATCAGTGGCCTCCTTGCTGAGACTGTTGGATGGAGAAACATCCTGTGGCTCTGTGCTGGAATGGCCACTCTTTGCGAAATCTTGTTTTGCATTCTTCTCAGAGAGACTTACAAAGTCACGATCTTGCAGCGTAGAGCTGCTAGAATGCGTAGAGAGACCAAGGATGAATCCTTGAAGTGTGCTTGGGAGACTGAGGGTGGAGATGTGGTCCAGTCATGGGGTAAATTGCGGACAGCGATTACTCGACCCCTCTTGGTTATGTACAGTTCTGCTGTGCTGCAGATCATGTCGTTGTATGCCGGATTTGCATTCACTTTCTACTACATTGTGGCCACGACATTACCCGGAATTTTGAAAGAACATTATGGCTTTTCTCCAGCTCAGACCGGGTCTGTATTCATATGCTTCAGTGAGTAATCTTTGTCCACTATGGTGTTTGAATACTAACGAGCCCAGGTGTCGGAGCCATTTCTGCAATTATCGTGTGCAAGCTTTCAATCGATCGTATCTATGTCGAGTTAGCCAAGTCCCACGGAGGCATTGGTCGTCCTGAATTTCGCCTGCCGTTTATGATTGGAGGAGCAGCCTTCCTCCCATTTGTCGTCGGACTGTATGGCTGGGTTCCATACTCAGACTGGTCGATCTATCTGCTTCTCGTGGTAGTAGCCGCTCTTGGATTCGTGTCGATCGTCATCGGAATACCTATGTCTTCTTATATTGTTGACTCGTTTGGCATATATTCTGCTTCTGCTATGACGGTAGTACTCCTCACTCGCTGCTCAATGGGGACTCTGTTGCCCCTCTGTATTCCATTGCTTACCGACGCGCTTGGACTTGGAAATGGGTTTCTAGTCATGGCAGCTATTTGTCTTGTGGTTATTCCTCTCCCGGTTTTGATGATGCGTTATGGGTCTCGTTGGCGACAGAAGTCTGTGTACACCAGAACTGAGTAGATAGCTGGTACTGGTTGCGAGCTCTATGCTGCCACAAGGAATGAATCTGGTACCTAAATCCATTGGGAGTCGGGAATGAATGGTTCAGATATTGTTTTCATGGGTGTGTGTTAAAAGATCTCAGGCGCGTGTAGACATATAGACATCATTTTTGGAACGGAAAAGATTACTTTCACGATGAACTGAACTATTCTGTAGGCTTGCTTATAGAAATTCTGCCCAATATCAGACGATTCCTTGTTAGCCGAAAGCCAATTGAGTAAAATTAGAGCACTGTGGAAACAGATCAAAATATCAGGCGTGTATTGTCTCAGGCACTTTCTAAAGTTTCTCCTCCCAGAATCCACCCATTCACATGAAACTCCCAGTCATATTCCGATTTCACCCATCAAGTAGCACGCATTTCCCGCCCACCCTTACCCTTACATTTTCTAGGACTATCGGCGCAATTTCTCCCGTTGCCTATCCAACGTCTTTTGCCGAGCTTTGTCGATACAATCTGACTTGCGACACGTGTGCGGCGCATCGGAAAAGTAAGGTGGCAGCTCCCCCGGGCATGGGTATTCTCCGCAAGATTCAAAGTTTTTCGTTACGCACCCGCAGGTATACTTGGTGTAGAAGTATTGGCACATGTTGCTGCTTTGTCTTTTTGTTTCTTTTCGATGTTTCCCTAAGCTGCCTTTGGTTGAATTGGCTTTTCGGTTTGTTGATTCCTTGTGTTGATCTTTTGGAAGTTGCTTGATATGGTTTTGGAAGCTGATGAAGGAAAGAAGACTACTAGAAATCTATGTATTTATACTTGCGGAACAGGCTACATGAGCTCCCTTTCCCTTGAGTCTCACTGTGAATAACATATATTTCTGCGATCTGAATAACAAAAAAGCCCAACATACGACATCCCAGACACAGCAGCCACAGCAGCAGCAGCAGCACAATCATCAGCACCGAAGCATTTCTTATTGACTAACGGTCAAATGAAATAGACTGTGATCACAAAATTGGCTAGATATGCTTGAATGTTTGCAAGCGCCATTCATTTAGCGTTCTCTAAGTCACAGCTAGGCACAATCACAATAGAACATGTCATGGCGCCATGATTCGGATCAGGTCAACATCAATGGACGCAAAGAAGAAGTAGCGGATGTACTAACCCTAAGTAGCTAAATCTGGGTCTTGCTGTTTGTTTGGACTACAAACAGCAGGCGAGTACAATAGTTGGGTAGGTGCGAACGGTGTAAGACGAGTAACCTCGCTTTTTGGTCGTTGAACACACTTGGACACCATGCAGTCTTGGCAAGTACGAGCTGATAATTGGATTCCACCTGTAGTAGGTAAGACTTATCGCCCTCCACGATCCTGTGTCTCAAATCAGAGCTCTTCAGCTTCTTCTCAAGAGTCATGAGGCTTTTGACGAATTTGAAAAGATAGAAAGGTGCCACCAGGGAAGGCGGAATTTGTCTGACATTAACCTCCCTCGAATTCTCGTCATGTGGTCCTGTTCCCATTCCTCGTCTATTTGATTCTCGACCGCACAGTGCTAGAGAGGGTATCCAATATCTTTCAGCAGCTGAACAATAGGGGAATACACAGACAACAATATCAGATCAGTGAGGAGATGGGACAGTCCGACAGTCCGCAGCCAAGAAGCGGCATGATTTACACTTGCATTGCAGGTTTTTGGGAGAATAGACACGAATACAACCCTCGTGGAATCGTACCGCTTGTATATTTAGTAAGCCTGGCAGCAATACGACTTCTGACAGAGATTAATAAGGTTGGATTCGATTATATGTGTGCCTCGGCGAAAACAAGAGGCTATTTTGAAACAGGAAAGTTCTCACCTACTCGCTTAACCTCACCATTGTTTACTCGTGGTGAATTCCTCTTCTACGCTTGTAAAATCTTCATGGCCTCCTCATACAGCACTATTTAATTCAACTCCAGGCTATTCTCAAAAGTTCTGCATTTTCTCAGATATTTTCATTCCAACAGCGAGACCTTAGACCACTTTCGAAGGGCCTATCCGCAAAGCGGCACCTGAACATCCTAACACCTCCATTTTTCTCTCCAAGAGACACCCAGAAACAAGCATGTCAACCTCTACCAACGAAGTCTTATACATGAAGTCAAAGGCCTCTACGAAATCTACCACCATTGGTCCCACCATGGACAACCCGTACAACCAGTCAGTCCTCAGCCGTAGTTTCTACGCCCCAGGAGCATCTATAGACACTCCATATACAGTCAATGTTGGAGCAAGTTCACTTAAAGAGTTCACCCTCTATCCCGAACTTCCTCCCGAAATCCGCTTCAAAATCATTCAGTGCGCCATCCCTCACTTCCTTCGCATCCTGCAAGTCAAAAGTATGAGGACCAGCTGCCGAAAGTACAAAGTCGTTGCAAATTGCATCAACCCTATGCTACAGATTACCCGCAAAATCAGAGATGAGGTGATGAGGTATTACTCGGCGCCGTTCAAGTTTACTTCAAAGAGTTTAAGACTTGTTAAGCATCTGAAGGTGAACTGGGAGATTGATACATTATACATCAGGAGTGCGAGAGATTTTCCACCTTGCTCTACAGCTGAATTTGACCGGCTCTGGTCGGACCTATTCGGAGCCTGCGTCCCAGATATGAAAGCAAACCTCCGAAAGCTAGCAGGATCAGCTGATCAAGGGTTCTGGGGCACGTATAGTAAGTATGGCTTGCTACTACCTTGGTGGAAAATAGAAGGGTCTTCGTTGGGACTGTCTTTCTTCAATGGTTTCAATGACTTTGCCAGCTTGGAGGAAGTCAGCATCGTTTGTGGACCCTGGAGCTCCAAGAATAGGCTAATCAGATTTGATGTTGCTCCCGTCGAGAATGGGCTCTTGTACAAAGAAGATATTGCTTGTTTTGAAAAGGGGTTCAATCACAACCGGGGAAACAAGAAAGTGGCAGTGCGGGTATACGACTACATTGGCACTTTGGTATGTAGTATCTACCAGCTCTCTCGAAATTTTGGCTTTTAAAGAAATTAACAATTGCACAGGATCAAAGACCCAAGGAGATGATGAAAAAGCTTGGAAGTAAATACCACTGCTCAATTTTCAACTGTGAACAGCAGACCTTCAAGCGACATTACAACATCCTCCAGGATCGATAATTCGACACGTTTCTCCGTCTTCAACCACTCCCCTTCTATTCAACCAAAGACCTCCAACAGACAAAAACTTGTCCACTCTTTCTCCACACAATGTTCGTCTCCAAGTCTCTTCCAATATACTTCCATTCGGCATTTAAAACCCATCACCAACCTACTTAACATTCAACCTTCCACAGATGTTCCCACTCACACATAAAGCAAATCCGCCTTCTTTGATATCGACTCCATACATCCACACCCAAATTTCCCTATCTCCTGCCAGCGGACTTGGCAGAAATAAAAAGATACCTGGCGATGAGTTTATTTGATCTGGATGACTGTCTTCTGAGAGACTGAAAGCCCAGGAGGTCAGATATGGAGGAAACATCGAGGGTCCCTAGAAGGCAAGGAGAATGATCATCTCTCACCTCTGCTCGACAGCTTGCTTGCATAAATAATTGTACGAAATAGCACACTAATACCAGGGCTATGATGTTGTGAATGGGATAGACATGCACTGAGACAACAATAAACACCCGTATGTAGCCAAAGTCGAAGCACGGGAGAAAGCAATGTCAAGTCCACAGGCGTTTGGACGAAAGCTGCACTGCGCCGAGGCTCGTAGTAAAGTCATCAATTGTATTCATAGCTATTAGTACAGCTTCGCAAGCATAGAATAGCATTGCCCAATCTCATCTCGAGCTCTAAACACGACGGCTTGGCCGAAACAAAACATGCACGAGAACCCCCCCGACAATCATGGATAAACACTCTGACAAGTGCCTAAGTAGAAGCTCATTGCACGCCAGACACCAGACAGACCGACTTTCCCGCAATGTCCCATCCTCTATCGCCGCCCGTCAAAAGTCCCTAACGCGAAGATAGAAGCGAAGTGGGTATTGACCAATGTGCTGTCTATTCACAGCATTGTACCAAATGTGCCATCAGTGGCAATGCCTTTTCTTGGGCTCGACTTCCCACCTTCCTCGTTTGCGGGCTTGCGATGTCTGAAAGTGAAACCGACGAATAGACTCTTGCTCATAGGATCCTCTCTATCGGCCATGTTCTCCAAAGCCTCCTGCTTCTCGTGGACTTCCTTGTACTTGGCCATATCGGCTTCATTACTGAAATCGTCGAAGTAACCAGCATCAGTCTCGGAGTCCAGTTCAGGAACGAAAGGAGCGCGCTGTGAGCGAAGTGTAGTCCAGTCAACCTCGGCGAAGTAATGGTGCTCGTAGACTTCCTTTATTGACGAGAACCGCCTCGACTTGGATGCAATGCAGCTATTTGTGTTAGCAAAATTGGACCATAGACCTTATGAGACAGACTTACCTAGTAATGAAGTTCCAAGTACGATTGCTGATGAAGTAGTTTGGATCTTCCCAGACTGGCCGCTTCAGAACTTCTCTCCAATGCTTCAAATTCTTCCAGGTCTCTTCAACTGTTGCGCCTGCGAATGGCGGGAAGCCAGTCAAGGCCTCAAAGTGCATACACCCAAGACTCCAGTAGTCCACCGAGAATTCGTACTCGTCACCCTTCAAGACTTCTGGAGCCATGTAGTCGGGAGAGCCAACAATTGACTTCGCATAATTGACATCCCTATCTCTCATTGACCGGTATCCTTCACGACGCTCAGCAACCGTACGCTGCTCCATCGGCTTGCCAAAAGGAACGTATGTCTCTCCAACTTTCTCCAGCTTGACGCGCATAGATTCGATTTTGCCCGGAGCAAGAAAACCAGCAGCAAGCCCGAAATCTGTGAGTTTAACGTGACCTGTCGAGTCGATCAGGAAGTTCTCAGGCTTGAGATCTCGGTGGATATAGCCAAGCTGATGAAGGGCATCGACAGAGCAGAACATCTCAGCAATATAGAAGCGGGCATGACGGTTCGCAAGGACTCCAGTGTTATTGAGCAAGGTTCGGAAATCTCCACCAGGGACGTATTCCTAGCATTGGTTAGGCTTGCCATAAATCGAGTTCATCTTTGAACATACCATAGCCAAGTAGATACTCTTCTCATCCTGGAACGAATAGAGAAGTCGAACGAGCCATTCGCTCTTTGCATTTGTCAAGATATCACGCTCTGTGAGAACATGTCGGATCTCGTCGAGCTTGAACAGCAGCTTCTTGCTCATAACCTTCAGTGCACAGACTTCACGAGTATCCTTCTTCTGGGCCAGGAAAACTTGACCATAGCCTCCTTGTCCAACTTGTGTGAGGATCTGGAAATCTCCCTGGCGAAGACGAACGCGACGCTTTCGCAGATTTGCACGCTCCCTACCAGCATACTTCTGCCAAACTGGGTTGTAGGTCTCCTCGGGAGTCTCTGGAGGTTCTGGAAACTCGGATCGGAAGTGGTTGAGTCGATTTTGGCGAGCGCCGACGTAGCTGAGGAGATCGAAATAGTAGTCAAGAAAGTCTGCGAATCGTTAGAATTGACTAGCACCCATGGGAATAGTACCCACAAAGCTGTGTGACATTTGCAAGGCGTTTGACATTTGGCTTGTGTAGGATCTCTAACTCCTCCGCGGTCAAGCCTCGCTGGGTATTGTATTTTCTTGTAGTTTGCTGCGTCTGATATGGCTCTTGTCTGGAGATTGCGGCTTGGTTCTGGGCAGACTCAAGTCCATGTCTGGATCCTGGTGGTGTATTTTCTTTTCCTTGCTTCCGCAGAGGGCTCCCTGGTGACACTGCGGATTTGTGTAAAACACTGTCGTCGACACCTCCAGAAGAGTTGCCAAAGTACGAGTCATCCACAGCCAAGGTGTTTCCTTTCCCTGGTGATAGCGGCGTTCCAACCTGTGAGCGACTTCCACCGAAAACAGGAGGAGCAATCTTCATAGCATTTTCGAAAGCTGTGGATAGATCATTGGCACCTGGAGGGTTTCGGTTCTTGCTCGGACTACCTTGTGGGGTTGAGGCTGGAGTGATGAAGTTATTTCGAGTCGGAGTGTTTGGTCGCTCGAAGGCCTCGTTTTGGCTGGAGCGAGTATGGAGAGGAGGAGGGGGCACAGGTAGGATCCCCTCATGCTTGCCAGCCTGGGAGGAGGGAAAGAGATTCGTAATGAAGTTTGACATTTTGAGCAGTGTTGTCTTCCTCGAAAGGGGTTTGGTGCTTGATGTCAGTGAGAGATGTCGTCGTCCTGCACTGAAAGAGTGCGAGTTGCAGGAAGATACGACGGGCAAGCAGGGGAAATAGATTGAAGAAAAGGAGGTACTCGGTGCCCACGGCTAGATTGAAAGTGCCTGCAGCAAATTGGAATATTCGCAGCTGGCGTTGTAGTTGTACCTAGGTTGGTATGCAGAGTCCAGGATTGTATGTGCTTGAAAGCGAAGTGGGGTTCTTTCTGGGTTTGTTTACAAGTGGCAGGCGCACCACGGCAACGGAGCCATCGCGTTTTAGCGTGTCTGCCCCTAGCCAGCCGCCGCTAAACTTTAATTCCCCTGAGCCAACTCTCAACTCATTCCATGGATGGGATGGGATCCTAAGCTTCAGTTGAGCTCCATGTTGGCATCCGGGCTCGGGCAACCAGATGAATGATGCCCATGGGCACCATACTGTTACGGCACTGACGCTACGGACCCTCCATTGACTTCAACCGCCGAGAAAGATCCTGGTGCAGGTTGCAGAAAGGGCTCACCGTCAGTCGGATAAGCATTGCGACAGGCTTGCCGTTGTTGATATAATATTCAACGTTCAATATTCAACCATTTACGATGTCTTTGCAAAGGCATTGATGCCCTCTTGCAGAAGTTCGGTATCGAGTACACGACATTTTTGGGAAAGAATGCGCAGTTACACTCTCGAGGCAGTCATCGAGATGTTCCCCGTGTCACCGGCCAGGAATGTATGGACCGTCCCTGCTTTAGGACATCCTGAAGCGTCTTCAAGTTTACCAAGTTTGTAGCCGGCCTCGATGTCGTTTATTGGCACTCAATTGAAAGTCGTGGAATCTATGTGCGATTTGGGATAGAGAATCGTAAGGTTCTAGAAAACCAGGAGAGCTGAGGTAAAGAGATCAAATGCAAGTGCATGCATAGCCTCTCGTGCTTTACAATTACAAGTCTCCTTCCAGTATTTTCTGGATACATTTTCGCGATGCAATCGTGACTTTGCTGCTTTCCTGAATATTGTTAATAGAAGAGTGTATTCGGGCAAGTCATACATCCTTGAATGCAGACAAAGCTCTCCTAATGATCTGGTATTTAACCACCGTCAATAAGGAAGTGGTAGCAGATGCATCGGCTTTCCTGTAAACAATCAAGCTTGGAGGGTAATGTCCATCAGGTACCCAGCCTGTACCTGCGTACTGCTCACCATAGGCACATCTGTGTGTCTCTGGAGACAAATGTGGGTACATTGGTACATGCATGCATCACGTGTGTCAAGGTCATCTTCAATCTTCGATCTTGGGACAATCTGCATTTCAAGCTCACCTGTGTTTGGTCTTGTCACCAACACCCATTCCAAGTCGACTGGCCAAGTACTGGTCGTACGTATCTCCCTACCTTACCTTACCTTCTGCTTCCGGAAATTCTTGGAATAATTGGGCCATGACATCACATGGAGATATCAAAATGGATGACATCACTTGCAGAAACTGCAGGTGCAGGATTCATATCTTTGTGCATGTGTATGTATGTGCATGTGCATGTGCATGTGGATGTGTTCACATCCGGACCTTTCAGTCCGTTCGTGGAACATGGCAGGATGTGGCCAAATAATTCGCCATCAGCTTCACATGGAAATCTCCAAAGACCCTTGGTCATAGCTCCTACTGAGGGGCAGCTGAGGGGCAATTGAGGGGCACATCAGGCTAGGCCCCGATGATGATGGCGATGGGCGATGGGCGATGGTGAATGTACAGGTGTCCCTCTGTCCCTCTCTCTCAGGCTGTGACATGCTCGTGTGCCACAGCTGCATCGTTTTACTTGGTATTGTAGGCGGGTGAGGTTTGTGAGACTGGCCCCAGTACCTGTACACCACGCCGCACCTTGGATGTGGGCAGCTCTGTGGGTTGGTCCTCCACTCTTTCTATCAAAACAAGCAGGAGCTGCCCCAGTACCTCCGTACCCGCTGCCCCTCTTCCAGCTTGCCTGCCTCACCCGCAAACTGTTCCAATTTGCATCTGTGGCAAATTGAATTCCACAGGAGGCAATGACGTCTTCCAGCCTTGTCTCACGACAGGCAGGAAGCCTCGTCTGCTCTCGCTTCCCCTCTTTATAAAGAGCATCTCCCATCCCCAAGCACCATCTTCCTTTTTCATCACAAAGTCTCACGATTTCAACACTTCCAGTCAACTCAATACCAAACACATTTCAAAACACTCAACCTAAACTCCATCATCATGTCTGACGCAGCGTAAGCAAATACCACCCTCGCAGCTTGACTCCGGTGTCATCCTGCCTTCGTTCGTTTCCAGAAGCTAACACACCTGTAGACGCAAGGGATTCGGCGAGCAGGCCCAGGAGAAGCTTACCCCTCAAAGCCAGAAGTCCACTGGACAGGTCATCGGCGAGAACCTCACCGGTGCCGGAGACAAGGTTGCTGGCGCAGTTCAGCCAAGTGAGTCGAATTGTTCTCGAACCCTCAAGACAATATACTGATACGCCTGCACTCAGGCAGCGAAAAGTCAACCACCCAGAAGGCTGGTGACAGCGTCCGAGGCACTGGCGATAGTGCTCAGAAGGAGGGTGGTGGTATCATCGACAGCGTCTCAAAGACCGTCACCGACACCTGTATGTATTCCATTTCATCCATCTTATTGACCAACCCTGACATATATCACAGTCAACTCCGTCACCGGCAAGACCGAGAACGCTGCCAAGAAGAACGACTTGTAGATTCCCAACGTTACCTCCTTCACCTTCAATCTTCGCAGTGGTTGACGCTTAAGGCATTGTTACTCCTCTTGCCTTCCGGTATTTGGTCCAGTGGTCTTTTCTGTCGCTGTCAGATGTTGTGATGGGTGACTTGGTTATGCGCGTAGGGCTTTAGGTGGTTCATGACTGTATGATAAGCATAAGTTTCTTTTTTTTCGCGATGGGTTTATGGACATGATATCGCCTACGGGCCAATGATGAACATCATTCAACATGAACATTATTCAACATACTGAGTCTTCACAAAACCGTACCGTGAAGTGATGTGTTCTTTCATCGAAGTTGAAAAGCGAAATAGTGGTAAATCTCCATTCTGGTCCAACAACTCAACGATTTACAACAGGTGGCATTACTCACTCTCTTCATACATCGTCCTAGCTACAGTGTTTGATACTGTTACAGGTCATGTTTTAACACCTTAATTCTTACAGTTCTTGAACGCACTGAAAAATTCTAATCTACTAAACACCAGCAAAGATTATTTTAGCTCCTTGTGAAAGGGTCTCACGACCGAGAAATGACGACCTTCCAGGTACTTGCAGAGACGGATTGAAAGAAATGCGCGTCTTCCTTCTCGCAAGCCAGTGGGAAGTTGGTAAGGTATTAGTTGCGGATATTTTCCAGGCTGCTGTGCCTCAAATCTGCCTCCACTGATGTGGGTCAACACCTCTCACTTGTAAAAATTGTTAAGAGATGTATTGATACATTTGAAGGTTCCAACGAAGCATTTTGGAACAATTTTTTAGAATCTCGTGGATTTACGAGTTTTGTCACAGATTTCTAGGGCATTTCCTAATTCCGTTTAGCCTCTGTTGACAGATGTTTTACAGGCGAAGATTGTGGATGGCGAGGATGGAAACGGTGATTGATATTCTCTTCGTCAGATCTTGTCATATGACCAGGCCAAAAACAATGAGAATCATTGCAGAAAACTAGCAACCGTGTCTGTCTGATGAACAACAAATCGGCCATCGTCCTCTCCTCCTCTCAATGCTGTCAATATGCTCATTCTTACCCCCCTGGCCTCTCGTTCCCCATAAGCGGAATACGACCAACGAATCACAGCCACCATGCCAGGACCGCTTCAGTGCTGATTGACCCAACGGACACGGCGCTTCGCGAAATCCCGCCCCGGTCAAAAGAAGGGGAAAAGGCAAGGTAAGACCAGCTCTCGCGGCGGTACCATATTGTCCTCTCTTCCCGATGCTTGAGTTTCTCCTGCTGTGTAACTGATTTGATTTAATCCGAAACTTTATTTGTTGGTTATTAAGCGTTTCTGGAGCGTTCCAGTGCACGCTTGGATATGTAAATGGCTAGATGATGCTTCAGTCACCGTCTGGAAGCGGAGTTGGAGGTGGAAGTCCTAGTGTGGGTCCTGGGACATCGGCATCGATGAAGGCCTGTCAAAATTGTTCGAGAGCGAAGGCAAAGTGTTTGCCGTTGAGTAATGGTGGTAGTAAATGTGCGAGGTTAGTTGGTTTTTAGTTCTACTTGCGTTGGAAGTCCTGGCTTGGTCTTTGTGAACTTCATTTGATTGGTAACCTTTTCCGCCTCAATTTCTGTTTCATTTCTGCCTTTGGCCGCCAAATGCTCAAATTTATTCCTAAATCCATGCTGGCGTCCAATATTTATACAAGTACCTATTATCAAAATATTCTTAGCTGACCAAAACAGATGTGCTCGCCTCAATGAGGAATGCGTAGTGATACCTCGGACGTCACGGAAGCGAAGGTCTCCAAACACCACTTCGTAAGTTGAGATTCTCGTGCTAATCTCTTATGAGCTCTCAAAACACTCATGGTACTCTGAATTTCTACAGAGATCGATGATTCTGCTCAAGACTCTCAGCGATAGGATTTTCCCGTCTTCTAGGAGCTGGCGCGTGAGGGGTGGTACCCTTGCCAAGAAGCTCTTGGTTGGATTTATTGAAGTAAATGTATTGACATGTTGATTTAGAAATACTGCAGCTCTGGAACAGAAGATTGAAAGCTTGGTGTCACTGCTTTCGAGTTCCCGGGGTGTGTCAATCCGGACTTCGACACATCTCACACCACCAGAAAGCCAAGGATTTAGCGAGCCGTCGCCTCCTGATGAAAGACAACTTGAACATGAGGAAGGGTTTCCCCAAGATTTCCCCTCCCCTGACAGGTAAGCTGTTGCATTTTATATGTTCGATGACATTTCATGAGATATCCAAGTGATGGCCAATGCTGAATATGTTGAGCAGTCGTTGGGCTGATCCTCGCCCTAAAGCTACCAACGGCCAATCATGGATGACATCTGGAATTGTCTGCGCTAGAGACTTCGTTGGTGGCCATGATCTCTTCCCACCAATGCCGAATGATTCAGGAATTGAACCACCTCTTCCAAATCGGCAAGTGACGCAGTCTGGACCACCCATGCAAGAATCGAATGCCCTTCTTATGATCTTCAAAGAGCAATTCCAACCTCGCTTCCCTTTTATCGCTGTCCAAAACGACATATCTGCGGATCTGCTTCGGAGTAAGAAACCCTGGATTTACAAAGCTGTGATGATGATTGCTTCTCAAAACGATCGGCACCGTCAGATCGAGACCAGTAAACAGTTCCTGATGGAGATCTCGGCGGCTATGCTCATACGAGGCGACAAAAGTCTGGATATGCTACAGGGCTTGATTCTGTACAATGCTTGGTCAGTTATTAAAAATCTGTTTGAAGTAATTACAGGAGCTAATCGGGACGGGACTTCAACAGGTCTTACTACTATTGTCCAGTAATTCCTTCGTGGCAGTCAACGGGAATTCATCAACTTGCTCTAGCATTGCTCTTCGACTTAGGGCTAACCAGACCATTGCGTGACAATGATGGACCGATATCTGTTTTAGAAACGGCAAGATCAAGATCGCAGAAAGACGAGCAGGAGCGGACACACGACGAGCGTAGAGCCCTTCTCTGCTGTTACTTCCTAACATCTGTGTAAGTTCATTCTTTGTTCTATTCACCGAGCAAGACTTACATGTGTAGGTCCGCCTACTGTCTCAAGAAACTGGAAGGAATACGGTACTCAGCTTATATCGAGCACTGCTGTGATGTACTACTGTCAGCACCAGAAGATGACTCGGATATTCTGCTCGCTTCTCTATGCAAGCTGCAAAACATCGTAGACCCGGTCTACCAGAGCTTTGCAGATAAAACAAAGTCTGACGGCACAAGGGCTCCAGTATGGATGCTAGTAAAGATGGTAAGAGCGGAAATGGACAATCTGTGGAACTCGCTCCCACCAAGAATTCAACAGGATCGTATGTTTTTCCTCTTCACCTTTGTTCTTGAGAAGTCTAGAGCACACTGACGAGTTAACAACTAGCGATGATGCTCATGAGCTTCAATAGTGACGAGGTCTTCACATACGAGCCAGCAATATACAAACCATTCTTCCAAGGCAGTACAGTGGGGAGCGTCAACTCACAGCGCATCGACATGCTCTACGGATGTCTAGTCTCTAGTCAAAAGCTACTCAACGGCTACATCAACCAGCCAATATCCGCCTACCAAGCCTTTTCCGTGATCGACCTATCCCACATGGGCCGTGGACTCTCAACACTTCTCAAACTCTCTTTGATCGAAGAAGCAGGTTGGGATCTGGCACATGTTCGACAGACCCTAAATGTCTCGTACTACTTCAACGAGCTTGGCTCGAGGTTTGAACAGATTGGCGAGGTTGTCGATCGGATGCAGAAGAGGCCTGTCAAAGATCGAGCGAGCTCATTTGCAACGGGCTGTTCTAGGGCGATGAGAATGGTACAACAGTGGTATGAAGCCAAGGTTGCGGCTGATGCTGCTCAAAGCGGCCAGCATGCTGTACCAGAGCCGGCGGTATCTCTGGCGGGAATGGACGACATAATGCTAGATGATTTTGACTTCATGAACGATGCAAACTGTAAGTATGACGCTTCCCTTTCCTGGGAGGCCATTTGGGATGACTTAAAGGCTTTAACCTTGTGGCAATGCAACTGCTGACTGTCGCTTTAACTAGGGTTGGATTTGATGGGGGACTGTAATTTTAGCGTACCTGTTTTGCAATAGACTTGAGGACTCCTCTCGCCCAAACGTAACTTCTAATCTGACATGCGAGTATTGCTCAGGTACAAATTTCCTTGAGCAGACAGATCTTCGTAATAGTGAAATGAAGACTTAGACATCTCTTATAAACAAACCACGAAATTGCTAAACAATGCGGTATTTCGAAACTCCAAAGCACAAAGGAATTGATCTATTGAGACAGCACGATGAAACGGAGTAAGAATGCATGTGATCGAGAAAATCATTCCGTAAACATAAGAAGGTAGCAAGGACTTTCAGGCAACTGTGCAGAATCCTGTTACCTTTATGTCGTATTCCCAATTGAGAAATCGGCAGACCGGACAAACAAAAGATGAAAGCCCGTTCGGACCGCCCAACTCCATTGACCCAACACCAGCGTGCCATCCTTGCCAGCTCACTCCATTGCCTTATTGGTTGGCTGAAGGCATGATTTCAAATTGCGTATCTGATGGAGCCATCTTTGAACCGTAGGCTTAAGCTTCTCCGTCGGAGGCGGGATCTAGGGACTCTGCAGCCACCGCATCTTTAGTATATAACAAGACACGCGTCGCTGTCGGAAAAAATGGGCAAGCAGCACTCTCTGACTTTTGTTCAATCTTCATCATGACTACTACTTCCGGAAACACTTCGTCCATCACTCTTGAAAAAGAGGTACTTCAAAATGATGGCGCGAAGGTGAGAGGAGCCACCGGTGGAGGTCAATTGACATCGCCGCTGTTCAACGGAGAGCCTGAGGTTCCACCTCTTCCTGTCAATCCAGATATTGAAGTCTCAGAATATATTACCGGGATTCGCTTACATCTCGTTCTCGTTGGAGTTACTGCTGTTATGTTTCTCGTCATGCTCGACATGACAATCGTTGTAACGGTAAATTGCAATCCCTTGGTTTTGACTTGAATGCTGACTATCGACAGGCAATTCCTAGCATTTCGAATGACTTCGACTCTATCAAAGACATTGGCTGGTATGGGACGGCGTACTTACTCTGCTCGTAAGGCTATAAGCAGCGTCCTTAATTTCTTGTCATGTACTTACTGACGATGTGTAGTGCTGCTTTGCAGCCCCTCACTGGAAAACTGTACCAGTACCACACTTCAAAGGTACATCTCATCCACGTCAGATGCCAACTCCAAATTTCATTACTGACTTTGGGCAATAAGAAACTCTTCCTTGGTGGTGTTTTGATTTTCGAAATCGGCTCATTGATCTGCGCTCTAGCAAAGAATTCAAATACGTTCATCGTTGGGAGAGCAATCTCCGGGATTGGTTCATCAGGACTGTCGGTTGGGATGCTTACCATTCTTGCATCCTCGGCTCCTCTGGCCAAGAGGCCTCGTTCGTGAGCCTCGTTCTGATATGGTGGCATTGCTGATAGACGGTGAACAGTTTACTTGGGCTTCATGATGGGCGTGGGTTCACTCGGACTGGTCCTTGGTCCAGTCATCGGAGGCATCTTATCTCAACATGCATCATGGCGCTGGTGTTTCTGGATCAATTTGCCTGTAAGCTAATGTTCCAATCACCCACCCACAAATTTCTGTCTCTTCGGGACACAGGCGTCCAGCTGTAGGGCGGAAGTAAACAACAGCTAACATGTTCTGTTCAGATTGGCGGCATAACGGCTGCTCTACTTACCTTCATCCACATACCAAATGCGAAATTGGTCATCGCCGATAAGCCAACACCATTACAAACCTTCGACCGCCTCGACTTACCTGGTTTCACGCTCTTTGCGCCAGGATGCGTGATGCTCCTCCTAGCTGTTCAATGGGGAGGCGTCACATATGCCTGGAGCTCTGCGAAAGTCATCGGAATGCTGGGTGGATCTGTTGTGCTTATCATCATATTCTTTATCTGGGAAGGACGTCGTGGTGATACCGCTATGATTCCATATTTCCTGCTCAAGAATAGGGTCGTCATCTGCGCGTGTGTCACCATGACTTTATCACAAGGCTCGCTCATGGTAGTTACTTACTACATTCCGCTCTGGTTCCAAGTAGTGAAAAATACAAGCCCGACAATGGGTGGAGTCTATTACTTGCCTTCTGTGGGCTCCCAAATCATTGGCTCCATCATGACCGGCGCTTTGAGTAAGTTACTTCGCTCTCAAGACGTCAAATGACTAACCATACGGTACAGCTTCAAAGCTTGGTGTCTACACCCCCTTTGCAATTGCTGGGACAGCTCTGACGTCGATCTCCTTCGGCCTCTTCAGCACATTGACACCAACGTCGAACGCCGGAATGTGGGTTGGCTACCAAATCATCTCAGGCTTCTCTCGCGGTCTCACCATGCAGCAGCCTCTCACGGCAATCCAAGCCGTGATCCCGAAATCCAGACTCGCAGTCGCCAACTCATTCCTGATGTTTTGTCAACTTCTCGGAGGTGCTCTCTTCGTGTCTTTCGGACAGACAATCTTCTCCAATTCATTAAAACCTGCTTTGAAGCATTACGCTCCAGATGTCGACCCCGAGACCGTGTATGCCGTCGGAGCTTCGGCGTTCAGGACAGTAATCACAAAGGAGCAGGTGAGGGGTGTTGTACTGGCGTATAATGACGCATTTAATAAGGTATTTTATCTTGGTGCTGGAGCTACGGTCATTGCGTTTGGCTCGAGCTTCGGTCTTGGTTGGACTAATCTGAAAACGAAGAAGGCGCAGGAGGATGTTGAGAGTGTGAAGCTTCAACATGTGAAGCCTAAGTTAGTTGCCGGCGGGTAAAAAGCTGGAAGTTTGCATCAAGAGAAGTAATGGTTGCCATGTAGAATGGCTTTTCTTAGCATTTTGAAGGCGTTCGATCGGTAGATATACCACTTAGGCTGGCTCATTGTACTCTATTTGCTATAATAGCATTTCATCATCTGTGTTAGTTACTCGCTGCAGAGCAGAAAAATCAACAATCTAAGAAGACGGGACAATAAGCACAGCGAACCAGGATAATCCACTCGACGATGTGATAGATGTATGCATTACGGCGAGTTGGGTTCTAATTACATGGCTCTGGGCTCATGGCATCCAGAGAGGAGGTGACTTGGTTGGCGTGGGATCCGACGAGGGCTAGCGTTTGCGGAGTAGACAGCTCTCATGCTCTGAAGCTATTTTCTGATGGTAGGAGGGGAAAAGGTCGAAAGTCGCAAGAGTAGGGCTAGATAGAGAGAAAGAGAGTGCCTTTAGGTTATCTGGAGAAGTGTTGAAGGGGTAAATGATTTTGGACTGGGAAGAGAGCTGTCAGCCCCTGAATCGCTGCCACTGTGGCGCTGGATGACCCCGCGATCGCCATAATTTACCCCGCCAGCGTATAGCAGGATCAAGGGGCTCTAAAGTTCCAATGTAGTACTGACAAGAAGAGTCTTCCTACAGAAAGACGTAGCTCGATTACCCCCATTGATGACAACTAGAAGACTCAATTATACAAAATCCTCGTCATTCTCAACTCGGGCTCAACCCAGCTCTCAAAATACCCCGCCTGATGTAATTCATTCAAAGTTCTGTAAACGCCGCGTACACTTTCCATTACAAGAGGATCTTCGGGATATGTCGCCTCGCAGATAGCCAATGTTCTATCATTCAAGTCCAGCTTCTTCTTTTCAGTCTCTCGTGTCTGCTCCTGAACTTCCCCTGGGAAGTCGGCGCTCGTCAAGACAACATTGACGACTACTATCCCTTCGATCCCTGTGTTGGCATGGAAGAGCTTGAACCGCAAATCATTCGAGAGCTGCTCTGGTCGTGGTTCCGGTTGTCGCCAGAAAGTGTCTTCAACTGCCAAATGCCGGATCGTATCCTTGAAGCCAGGTTCGATCCAATCCTCGAAGTTCTTCAGGAGGATAGACTCGTTATCCAAGAAAAGCGTGGAATCGAGAGCCGTATTGGCATAGAGAGATATGGGATATTCGAAGAGGGAACGTGCACTGCTTTTGAAGAAACGCGTGTAAACTTTGAGGTAGGTGGTTCGAGAGTCTCGACAGGCTGCGAGAGCAGCCATGGGGCGACGAGGGAGCAAGGCTGGTTTGTCTGAAATCGATAGCTCCCAGATTCGAAGTTGGAGTTCGCCGGCAAGGAGAGGGAAGCAGGTGAATGTAGACATGTTGAATTAAGAAAATGATTTTGATTATGAGTGTGTCGTGTTGTATAGTGATGACAGTTATCAGAGAGCGATATTTGTTCATGTGTATTCTGTCGGTGGAAAGGGGTTATCTATGGAAATTCACGTACAGTAAGATTTAAATTGGGAGTCGATGCCTAACAGGCCATTTAATCCTTGTCAGAGACGTGTGTTGCCTAGACTTACTCGGCCCTGTCTTTCATAGAGGGGGCGGGGTACTGAGACTGCCGGATCTGCTGCCATTTCCAAAGCCTCTGGAGGAGCATACAACATACATGTCCTCTAACAGACTTCTTGACAAGAAGAGCACCTTCCGCATTATTGGCACATCTAGTCATAGACAATCCTGCCTATGCCCATATCTGGGACCACGCGTCCGGGCGTGTTCTGGGAGATATCACAGAAGATCTTTGCGTGTCCCAGTCCTACAACCTTATCCGGATACTCTAGTAAGTTCCTTTCATCCAGAGGTGGTGGAACGTCATCTATATCCACAATATCATACCAGTTGAGCACCAAAGTCATCTTCTTCAACCCCTCCAGCCCGGCGAGTTTTAGCCTCTGATCCTGCTCACTGTCAAACAGCCCCGATCCGTTCGCTGGATCTAGTTCTCTGCAGTATTCTTTCTCTATGGCCATGTGATTAATTCCATTCTTTCCCATTGCGGCTGGCGTCAACCATTCGTCAAGCTCTCGTTCGAAGATCGAGAGGTCGTCCATCTCGGGATCGATGTAAAGAATGTCGCGCTTGAGATTGCCGTAGAGCGAGATGGGCCACTCGATCAGATGCATGACATGGTGCATGATTGGATGAAAACAGAGTGTATATACGGAGAGGAAGACTGCGCGAGATTCGCGACATGTGGTGAGGAGCGCGCGAGAGGGTAATTGGGCTCGAGGAAGAAGAGCAGGCTTTCGAGAAATGGCGTGCTCCCATATCTGTATTCGGAGCTCAGGTGGAAGGAGTGGAAAAGAGTGTAAGGCTGTGGTTGCGCGAGACGTTTGTGATCGGGTTCGCATTTTGGAAGCTGGGTGCTGTTGAAGTGAGGTGTTGAATGTTGTTAACTGCTCATAGCGGAACGAAAGTGACTTCGTGATTAAGGTTACGGGCTAAGCAGCCTAAAATTTAGTGGCCGAAAGCTAAATTCTTGCCTGTGGCGGCTGCTCTACCAATACTAGGTAATTTTACAGTAACTTATGAACAAAATCATTTGGAAGCTCATCAGCCAACTCAGAATTTTAAGGTCGTTTTGTCCATATCTTAATTACTGTACGCGCGTGATGCATTCGGGTCGCTGCTCACGCCACCACTAAAGTTAATATGACCTCGAAGCAGGCGCTTATCAAGATGCCGACTTGGTGGCCTTCTCGACGTATCGAGAGTTCTGAGGAAAAGGTGCGAGTAATCTAGAATCGGATAATCTAGTCCTCTTTTCGCAGGAAGAAATACATGCTCCTTTGTCCTAGGCTTTGCAGATGCTCGCAGCAGTGGTGCCAAAATGATGAGTTTATCAATCATCACCGCTCTGGAGCTTCCAACACCTTGAGTCTAATACTCCTTCCCCGAGACTTGACATCATTAGAGATAACTACTTCAGATGTAAGATTCACTTCTCCTTTCATTTGCGCTGGATAGACATCGATCTCGGCAAAGAAATGAACTTCCACGACGACTTACATCACGCTCCATATTAATACTCTCCTCCTGGGCTGGACACATCCATGCTCGACCAGGAAACTATATCCAACCAGGCATCATATGTTTAACAGTAAGATCACTATCATGTTATTTCTCGCAGAACTGCTCAACTTCCATTCCCACTCCACAAGCCAGATTCGTCTCAGTTTTCTCTCGACCCAGGCTTTTCATCAGTCTAGTAGCCATGATAGTGCGCTCTCGACCAAAGCATCATTGCTCATTGCTTCGTCATTCACCAATGGTTCCCGGTCAGAGCTTTTTGAAACCCTCTCCTCGCCAAGGACCGCAGATTGCTCCATCAAGAACTTCCACATCCAGTCATCGAGTAGAAAAGAATTGAGTGAACTCAGTTGGCAGTGGTTTTGAAATGTTCGAAGACGACCAACCTGTTTGACTGTCAGTGAATACTAGGGTCTCTTATGGAGAGGTACTTGCCGCAGAATCAATTACTGGCCAGTATTGCTTCAGCTTCATAAGAATTTCGAAGTTTGACAACAGACACAACCTTGCTCTGTCCACATCACCGCCACCAAGCAGCAGTGTATGGAGGTGAACGCTGCTGCTTACGACCAAAATGTGCCCGATAATATAGCTGCGACGATTGGAATGTCAGCAGTATCACTCACTTTACTCCCTGTCTCTTGAGCAGGCTTGGGAATAAACACTTGGAAAAAGAGAACTGCGTGGAAATGGACACTGCTTAACTCACTAAACAAGCTGGCCACCATTGGATGCAATCTCGGACACCATAATCGCGTGGTTTTTGCACTCATGTGCGAGACGATCATCATTTCGGGGGTCCAGGAACGGGAAATACAACAGCTGTCGGTAGTGATGATATCCGATGTGCATAGCCAGGAACGTTTTCCCAAACCCAACGCCTTGGAAGTACTTAAAATTCTCGGTGCTGTACTTCAATATAGGCGGCAATTCATATTCCCATCTGTCCAAACGATCTGCGAGTCTTTTTACTTCGCCGATTTGTGTAGCCAGCGTTCTTCCAGTTCCCAACCTAAAGATGACATCTAGGATCTCGCGAAAGAGGTCTATTGTCTTGGCCATCTGGGTCCAGATACCATGACGAGGCAACTTCAGTCGAAGAGCAAGGAAATCTTCTTCATCCAGCAAGAGCAGATTCTCTGGCGGATATTCTGCTCTTGCTGGAGCAACAGACATATCTGCCGAGCTCCATTTGCCAGTAATGACCACTGACAGATATGTACGTCTACGAAGCTCCTGATCGAGAAGGCTCAGTCCTTCAGTCTCCCACAGGCGAAGTGACTGGCAATGAAGTCTTGCCAAGCCAGTACAAATGTGTTTTGCTTTCGCGTCCCCTTCTCCTCCAAGATGTTGGGAGATCAGGATATAACCTTGCACTGTTTCCAGACTGGGGCTGATCATCTCTTTCTGGAGAAGTTCTAGTGAAGTAGCTGCATATTTTCTTGCATAGCCTTGAGGATCCCCTCGAAAATACTCGTTCGTCGAGAATCTGAACATTAGTATGTGGCTATGGCCATTCAGAATATCCTCACCTAGCTGAAAGGGCTATGACCGCGAAAACTAAAGCGGCTGGTGCCGAATTTGAGGCAACTTTCGAAACAAAGCTTGGCTCATGAAAGAGTGTATGAGGCCCATCGTGAATTAATCTGAAATACAGGTCCACCAGTTCATCCAGAACAGGTTGTGGTGGGAGCAGTGATGACGGCTCTTTTGGTAGGATTTTTGAAGAAGTAATGACTTCTGAGTTGACAGGGGAAGAACTATTGTCTGCTGGAACTATGCGACGATTCTTGCTGCTGGTTGTCGCCAAACTGCAGGGCAATGCCTGGTCTCGACACAACTGGCAGCATCCTGATCCTTCACTATCAATCGGGAGACATTTGCGCTTTCGTAACCTAGACGAGGTTCAGCATTATTGTCCTAACCAACTCAAAGAGAATGACTTCTTACCGGCAATTTCGACACGCACTCGACCTTCCACGCTTCTCTAACATGTCCGAATCTCCTGTTGGTACAGGTTGATGGACACTCCTCGACTGCGAAACGTCGCAGCGGGGAAATATGACTTTGATTGGGCTGATCCCCGCACATACTTGGCATTTCCCCAGCCCCGCCTGCCCACATCCTGCAGATGTTTGTGGCGGCGGATCATGTTCCCCCACTCTTTCCAAATCAACTTTCATGCCCGAGTATTCGGACGCGGGATATTAATTTCTACCAATTTTTTTTGGGTCGAGGGCCAAGTTCTATGTGGTTAAAACAATGGATAAGCTATTGTCATGGTGGTCAAGAGAGGTAGACTCGGTGCAGAAGGTACCGACCTACATTAGAGCAACTAGGATGCAAAGCTGGACTTGAACGGACTTCCCTTTTTCACAAAGTAATATTTACATCTTTTCTGTCTAGATCAGAATTCATTGCCAACTATCATGAGAAAGTCACCATCAACTGAAGGCTTCCAGCCAGCCTTCCCTGGTCCTTGGGACCGATACAATTTCTCACCAGAATCCAGGACTCAGTACCCCGTCCGTATATTCCGTACGACTGGTCATGTCGAAAGCGAAACGAAGTTGTTGGACTTTCAAAGCACAATCATCCGCGCTTTGCCGGCCACTAACGGTCATATATCTGGTGACCTATACTCTTCCATCACTCTTGACTTCGGGAAGGAAGTATGTGGGCCAGTAACGATCCGAAGCGGCCCAGCATCGACTCGTCAAACTGTTGCCTTTGCATACGCCGAAAGCTCGCAGTGGGTTGGTTTTGACAGTGACGATGCATCTTCCTTGCGACCTTCCGTGTCCGACGGGCATTTCGAATTTCAAGTTGGACCGAACGAGACATACGAAGTTCCATTGGAGAAGCAAAGAGGTGGCTATCGGTACCTGACTATCTTTTCAAAGACAACGGATGCGATTCTGGATATCAAAGAAGTTTCGGCACGCTTTACTTCGATGCCTCACTGGGAAAATCTGAGAGCCTATCCGTCATATTTTCATTGCAACGACGAGCTTCTCAATCGCCTATGGTATGCATCTGCGTATACCAATCAGCTTTCCACACTAGCGAAGGATCAGTCACGTCGATGCGAACTCGACTCTGGATGGTTGAATAATGCTGTCTGCTGCACGTCTGGCGAGACGGTCATCACAGACGCTCCTCGAAGAGATCGTACGGTATGGGCTGGAGACTTGGCCATTGTTCTCTGGTCTCAATTCGCGACTATTGGGGACTCTATCTCTATGCGCAATGCCTTAGATACGCTCTTCGATGTACAGAGCGAAAAGGGGCAGTTTCCTTGGGCCGGGCCGCCTATCTGTCATGACTCCGTCAGTGACCTCGCAAAGTCAGAAGAGTGGCCCTATATGTCCGATTCTTACCATCTTTGGACTATACTTGTTACAAGACATTTTTATCACTTGACTGGTGACCTGACATGGCTGAAGAGCAAATGGCGTAGCATCATGCTGGGAATGGAGCTGGCGACTTCCAGGGTATGTGTCTCTCGCCATCATTCTCATCATTGCTGACCACAATAGTTTCGACGTCTAGAGGGACTTTACTATTGTGCAGGAATCTTAGACTGGGGCCGTAGCTCAGTGCAAGGATACAATCTGTCTTGCAACATTCTCTTCCACGAGACTCTTGTCAACATGGCACCTCTAGCTCAACTTTTTGGCAATGCGGACGCTTCCAGAGAGTGGCTAGCAATGGCTGAGACCCTCAAGGCAAATTTGGAGGAGTTCTGGGATCCAATCGAGGGACTCTATGTTGACAACTTGAACGACCACAGCCTGCATCCGCAGGATGGAAATTCGTTGGCTTGCTGGTTCGGCATTGCGGACACTGATCGAGCTAGTACCATCACAACAAATCTTAAGAAGAGATGGGGTCCTTACGGTCCGATCAATCCTGAATGCTCCGGACCTGTTTCTCCATTTATTTCAGGCTTCGAACTGCAGGCTCTTGTACGTGCCAACAAGATGAACGATGCTCTCCAAATGATCCGTACTGCTTGGGGCTGGATGATCAACAATCCAGCCAGCACTAACAGCACGATGCTGGAAGCTTGGGGAGGAGACGGCCAGCTAACTTATCCATTCTACAAAGATAAGCCTAGTTTCATATCTCACTGTCATCCTTTCTCCACAGGACCAGTTTTAGTGATGACTTTCGAGCTGCTTGGTCTTAATATCACAGAAGCTGGAGGTACCGCGTGGGAGTTCAGACCAACGCCAGGGGATTTGGAACACTGTGAAGGTGGTTTCACGGGTGTACATGGCAAGTACTCGGCTGGATGGAGGAAGGAGAGGAAGAATGGTAGTATTGTATTCACTTGCTGGGTGGAAGCTCCAGTGGGGACGACTGGAAGAGTGAGACGACCGAATGGAATCGGACAGACTGTGTCAGCGAATGGGCACAATATCAAGAGCTCATCCTCTGATGGTTACCAGTGGATTGATAGCGTAAAGGGGGGCAGACGCCATGAATTTGTAATTGTGTAATCTATATTCGCGAAAACTGAATATCAATTCTTTACAGTAACATTTACTAAATCCACCAAAGCACCACGTGCGTTGAATTTATATACTCTATTGATCTTCACGTTGTTTTTTACTGCCAAGAGGTGATCAAAGTGACGAATATTGCAGACGACATGTCCAATTGATCCAACAAGTCTCCATCATCCCAATAAGTCCTCCAGGTTCTCCCCAGCTTCGGCAGCGAGCCCCCGAAAATACCGACACCGCACGGCGGCGAACCAGCGTATCACAGCTCAGGACCTCCGCAAGCCAACCCAGCCTAAGGTATCTCTTCCCCGCTGCCAAGGCCAGGATCCTGACCTCAGACATGACCTTCCCCAGACTCAAATTTGCCTCTGTACGACACCACATATCATGAGCTCAAAGATGGCGGTCCGCTTCTTCGTCCTCGGGACAACTCACGACGTGTGGCGCCCGAAGCTTGCAGTCATTATCCTCACCGTGAACCGTGCACTGGATGGCTGATGAAGATATAAGGAGGCGACGTCCCTTCCGAGAATCTGAGTTCCGGGAGACATAACAGAGCAACAGAGACATCGAGTACGAAATTATCATCGCGATCATGAATTCTTACGTTCTTCTCATTGCCCTTGTGGTGGCTACTGGAGGCTTCGTTTTTGGAGTCGACTCTGGTTAGTTCCCTCCATCAATGTCTTCGTCCATACAAGAGGCTTGTCACTAACACTTTCCAGGCATCATAGCAACAACACTTGGACATAAATCTTTTGCTATCTACATGTATGGTCCTTCAGCCAAAAACGCGTCATTGACAGGTGAGCCACTTTCTTAACCATTCAAAAGATAGGACAAGTCTCATATAAATCTTAGGTGCCATCGTCTCGCTTTACAATGCCGGTCAAGCTCTTGGTACCTTCATCACTGGATATAGCGCAGATAGGTTTAGTCGCAGATGGACCATATGCGCCGCAGGAGTTCTGGGTATGAACAAGACTCTATTGTCAAGCCCTTGACTGTCACTGACATGCTCAGCCACGTTTGGAGCAGCTCTACAAACGGCCGCCCAGAACGTTGGTATGATGATCGCCGGCAGATTTATTGCTGGTCTCGCATGCGGCATGATCCTCGCTGTTGTGCCTGTTTACATTGCGGAAGTATCACCTCCCAAGAATCGTGGCTTCATTGTCGGTTTGCAAGGCATGATGATCTCGATTGGCTTCATGGTCGCGAATTGGATTGGCTATGCAGGGGGCTACGCTTCTGGCAATGCTCAATGGAGAATCCCTCTCGCTATGCAGATGCCTGGGGCCATACTTCTCTCCATTGGCTGTTTCTTCATTCCATATACTCCTCGTTGGCTGGTCGGAAAGGAGAGATATGACGAGGCTAAAGCAGGTATGAACAATATATGCCATGAACTAGTACTTGCTTAACTGAAATAGTTATTATCCGCCTCCACGGAGAACAGACAGAGGAGTTCCTTGCCCAAGAGTTCACGCAGATCCACGACCAAATCCTCCTTGAAAACGAGGGACGGAACACGGGTCTGGTTTCCTCGGTTGGCAAGCTCTTCTCCAAGCAGTATTTTCGTCGCACAGCCACTGCTTGTTTTATATTGATGATGGGACAATTAAGTGGTTCGACTGTCATACAGAACTACCAAAGCATTTTTTATGCTGCTGTCGGATATACTGGTCGTACAGGGCTTCTAATTTCTGGCATTTACGGTTTTATGGGCATTTTCGGACAGATCGCCTACTTAGCCTTTGTAGCAGACAAGTGGATGAGGACAAGAACACTCTGTAAATTCCGTCCAGTTCCTATCTAGGTTGCATCGCGTTCTGACATCAAGTAGGGATTGGGTCTGGCTTTCTATGCGTAATGATCAGTATCATCATGGCACTATCCGCTGAGTTCGGAGCCGGAACGACCGATCAATCGGGGCCTCGAGCTGCTATCGCCTTCATCTTCATCTACTCGTTTGGCTACGCCCTATTCTTCAACGCCATGGTCTGGGTCGTGCCCGTGGAGCTCTTCCCATTCTTCCTGCGATCCAAGGGGCTCGGGCTAGCTGTCTTCTCTAAAGCTGTTGTCGCCATCGTTCTCGCCCAAATTACTCCAATCGCCATCGAAAACGTTCATTGGAGATATTACTCCTTGTTCATTGCTTCAAACTTTGCTGCTGGTTTGATCTACTATTTTTTCCTGCCGGAGACAAAGGGAAAGAGTCTTGAGGAAATTGCGGAGCTGTTTGGAGATGCGTTGGCCACGGAGCAGTTGGAGGACATTGATACTAGTGGCAAGGAGAGAATAAATCCTACCAAGCATGTGGAGAGTGCTTGATAATGGGCAAGGAAGACACCTGCTTTTGTTGGTTGGTGTGATCTGTCCAAACAAATGTTATCGGTTTGGTCTGTGAACAAACTCAAATTGTACTAGCATTCGTATCATTGCGAAGAACACGATAGTCCTCGTTGCCATAGTCTTACTTCTACCCATGTATGCGTTGATTTCCACGTGTGATCCAAGCAAATTCCCTTTGACATAACTCTGTTGAGGTCTACTGAGTCTAACCTTCGTACCTCTACCCCCTCTTTGACCATTGACCAGCAATACCCATCCCTACTTACTCCACCAAAATCCTAGCAAACCTCAATTCCGGCTCTCTCCATCCGTGATTAAGCTTCATATCATTCAACCTTCCCAACGTCCTTAACACATCTCTCACATCCCCGCCAACCTTCTTGTCTTCTAAGAAAACCTCTTCACACTCCAACAGTCTCCTCTCGTCCGCTCTCCTCCTCTCCTTATCCCTCCCCATCAAGCTATTCCCTCCAACCAAGACTCCGCCCGTTAACACCAGCGTCAGGACTTCCAATCCGCAGAGCCCAGCACCAGGATGGAAAATCATGAACCTCAAGTCCCCGCCCGCTTCCAGCACTGCACCTCCTCGCCTCGCGTACTTCATCTTCCACATTTCATCCTGCAAAGCGAGGTGTGTGATGGCTCCTCTTAGTTCCGGGACAATCCAGTCGCTGAAATCGGCAGTTAGGGTGTTGATATCGTCGAGGTACATCGTGTCGTCTAAGTCGGGGTTGCCATATAGAGAGATGGGATGTGTGAACAGAGATCGGGCACATGGGGAGAAGAAAGGCACGAAGGTCTTAGTATGGACCAAACGGGATTCTCGACAAGCTGCGCGGCAGCTGTCTGCTGTGTAAGTGCGGGGCAGGAGAGCTTTGGTTTGAGGGATAGAATACTCCCATATTTTAAGGCGCAGCTCGGTCGGAAGAAGGGGAAAGAGTTTGAAAGTGTCCATTTTCCAAATAAATGGCCCGATATGTATAGTGGTGATTTTGGTATTGTGACGATAAGTTGCTAATGGAGGTGCAGATAATGTCCGTCTGATGGCGGGGTACATTTAGCGCTAAAGCCCCAAGCTGGGATGGCTTCGGTAAATTTGTGGAAATGTTAAGCGACCATAACAAGACATTTAGAAGCTTAAAAGCTGAAGAAGGAGCGTAAGGAATACCCAACCTCAAGAGAAATAGATTGAATCGATGAGAATTACAAGCATTATACGTGGATTGTCAAAGCGAAACAATGTAGATTCCAATTTATCAATCTAGCCATTTCAGTCTTCGTTGGACTCGAGAAGAGGAGGAGGGAAATGTTGACGAACTTACGAGGGAACAAATCTGGCATCTCATCTGTAAGGCTTGCTACATGTGAGTAGATGTTGGCGGTCATAAAGCAAGAAGCATAGAAGGGCAGAAGTGACAAGACTTCTCACGGAGGAAATCATCGGCAGTCAAAGTTTCCACATCCATGCAATGAAGATATTATTGTACGGATTACAGAGATAAATACTCCCACTACTATGACGGCAGATTATCACATAGCCGATTCAAGGGAAGCGATGATGTTGAAAGAATGGGAGTCCATAATATCCAGTGACAACAATTCGTTTCGCACGGAAGAGGAGGGGCAACATTCGGCCGAGGACATCAGCACAGGCCACTTCGCCAAGCTTTTAACGAAGTCAATATCCAACTTCTTCCCATCAGGCATGGCAAACTCGGAAAATCTGGGGTCGGTATAACCTCAGTCGAAGGAGTACGGACGTAAAGGAATCTCTCATCGGAGCAGAAATGGGAGCCATTCTGTCCCAGCGAAATCATCGAGTCTCCTAGGGTCATCATCAACAAGCATTGCCTCGAGTTTCTATTCAGGAAACTCGCCGATGGACAAAGTCCGCATGATACGGACGTATTCTCCTCTTAACAAAAACGCAGCTACTGTACTCGTACAGCTGATTATACTCCAGATCCAATCACCTATGACATTGTAATGTTGAACAAGATGGAATCTATCCTACAAGAGGCGTCGAACTTATGCTGTTCAACGGCAAAGCTACGGACGTACAGTACTATTACCAGACGTCGTCGGAGAAGCTAGGAATCTCCAATTTAGCTATCGCTGATAGCAAAGTCCCCGAACATGACAACCAGCGTTTTTCGAGGTGAATTTAATCTCTCCGAGGATCTCATGTAAGCCCCGCTCTCCCAGAATGCTGGGTCCACCGCGTCTCCGAGAAGTAGGTCTTGAGTAACATCGTCAGCTGGGCACTATCACTCTCGTCCCGAATCACATCATGGAATCAGCTTCAGCATCAACCTCAGCTTCCGTACCTGCACCTGTATCAATTGAGTTCTCACCGTTTCACAGACTTCCGGTCGAGCTCCGCGTGAGAATCTGGTCATTCGCTGTAGAACAGAGAGTCGTACATGTTGAGTGGTCGAGACCCCGTCGCCAATGTCTGTCGCCAGATATCCCAGCTATCTTGCAGGTCTCGAGGGAGTCCAGGGCTGAGGGTCTGAAGATATATCACGCCGTTCTAAACACTTCCAATTCATCGACTCCGGTGTACATCAACTTCGACCTCGATACGGTCTCCTTCAGATGGAAAACCTTTGGCCGTAGGCCGGCTAAGCATGCAGTTTCATTGGGAGAGGACTGCCGACGCATCAAATTCTTGATGATAGACGCCTGTGTCCGTCTCAATGACGGGATGGAACTAATCAAGTTTGAGAGCTTGGAGGAACTTCAGATAGAGGGCTGTACAGATGAAGTCCCAGACGCCATTGGGAATGTTGCCTTGTTTCAATGCGCCTTCAAGCCTTGGGTCAAATCTATCCTGCCGGGGACAAAGGCACGCAAATTACCGAGACTCAGATGCTTAGATCAAGGGACAAGATGTCGGGATCATTGGTGGTTTGGAGCTTGGAATGAGAGTTGTACAAGAGCAGTGTTTAATAGAAGTAAGGAGAGAGGTTCGAATTGCTGGCAGCTGATGTATACGGTCATCAATGATCTAGCACATGGTTGTCTGCAAGAGAGGGAGTCTCATGGACAATCCATTGAGGTACAAACCATCACGTAGCCTCTATGCAACCTCCACAAATTCGTACCTAAGAAGAGTAACCATCGACCGCCATACACGTGACTGTAAAGCGGTGACCATTTTCAGCTGTGTTGCTGGGGCAGAATAGTGAGCTCAACCTCAAATTTCTATGAATGTAGAGACAGGATCCCCTTTTCTACACGGTGCAGTGTCTTTTATTCTCCAAGATGCCGAAAGAGAAATCCGTCAATCCTGCGCAAGCTCAGCGCAAAGCGGAAAAAGTAAAAGCCATAAAGAAAGGTATGCCAACAGCCAAACACACTGATTCCTGCCCACTTCTATCCCCAATTACTTGCTCTCTCAACCTCTACCTAAGGTGTATACTCTCTGACAGCAAATTAAAGGCAAAGCCGAAGCCCAAAACCGGCGCAATGAAAAACTTGCCAAGCGCAATCCAGCTCACCTCGAGAAAGAGCTTGCAGAACTCAAATCCCTCGAAACTGCCGGCACCCTAACATCCCACGAGAAGTCTGTCCTCGAAGGTCTGGAGCGAGATCTGAAAGCAGTCAAGAAAGCTAGAGAGGCATTGGGTGATGCGGCGCCAAAATTTGGAGCTGGGGAGCGGAGGGACAGGGGCGAAAGGGGGGAGCGGGGAGGCAGAGGAGGTATGAGGGGAGGAAGGGGAGGAGCGGGTGTGCTTGGTAAGAGGAGGAGGGATGATGGGGAAAGTAGTGAGGAGAGCGATATTCCAGAGGATGTTAAGAGTATTCCCATGCCACGCGACACGCCGCCACCTATACCGAAGGAGGTCCTTGATAAATGGTATCAGAGGAGACGAGAGCGGATCGCAGCGCAATATCCTGGCTCAGATGCTGCGAGAGGTGGCAGAGGAGGAGGAGCTACAAATGCGAATAATACACCTTTGGGAGCAAACGAGAGGAGAGTGGGTAATGCGGATGCGGATGCTGAGGCTGGGCAGGAGAGGCAGAGGGTGGTGGTCGAGGCAAAGACTACATATGAGGCCAAGCCTGTGATCAGAGACTTGAGAAAGGAGGCTACGGCATTTGTCCCTGCTGCTGTGAGGGCAAAACTGGATAAGGCGAAGGGCGTTGGAGTACTGGTGGAGCCTGAGGAGGCTGATGCACTTGAAAGAGCTGGTTATATGGGCAAGACGGCTACGAGTGACGATATTGCTGGCACTGGTGGCGGTGGAGAGTACACATCGCAGAAGGGACTAAGGACAGTAACGATGGAAGAAGTCGACGATGAAGATGGCTAGTTGCATATGCTAGATGAAACGGAAAGAATTAATACGATACCCCTCCTTTTATGGCGCCGACTACTGGGCCTGGCCAAAACGTAATGCTGTATTATGAAGGTATCACAGGGCTTTCCTTAATACGAGTAGAATATAAAAGGCATCCAGCGGCCCACAGGTAAATTTAGACCTGAGATAAATAGGGCCAATGTCATGCTCTTGTAAAGCCTAGCCACATGGCAAGCGCATTTGTAGCCATTTACGGCTTGAAGTTATCATCATAGTATGCGGCATACAGGCTAAGAGTGATGATGTGGCTTCAAGTTCGAAATGTTCTTCATTGAAAGCAGATTGAACAATGAAATCGGACTTGACAAGTCAAGTCTACTACACGGACGGAGGAAAGTGCAAATATCAAAGAGGGAAAGGGGCTCTTCAAGGACTTTTCATAGGTTACCCGAAGGTTACTCGAAGGTTATTCGAAGATTTTCGAAGAGCCGGATGAACCCTCGAAGTTCTCAAAGACCAAGAGTGGGCCCCTTGAGGCGGTCAACCAAAGTCAAGTTACCCTGGACAGAGGCCTTCAAGAAGTGGTATTTTCCATAGAGATTGACATCCAAGGGATTGCCATCCTCACGCTCCCAGAACCACTCCTTTCGTAACATCAGCAGTGTTAACCGAGACCAAGCGGCCCGGAGAGCGGATCCACTTGTTTGCTGTTTCGATGAGACGGAGACGGTGCCATGCGGCCTTACATTCCTCAGCGAAGTGGATGGTTCTTCTGGACTCAAGTGAAGTGAAGGACTGGAGACGGACATTGAGACAGACGACACCAGTTGAAGCCCGAGCAATGTTACGCATGACGGAGAAGGAGCTAGGCTCGGTGTTGGGCTTCGAGAAGTCCATGGTGAGGGTACGGAGGTTGCTGATGAGTTGGCATCTGTTTGCCTTCATTTGAAGAAAGCAGAACTTGTATTCATCATTTCCGCTGTAATTTTCATGTCAGCTATGTTCTTGTTTGCACATAAGAAGGCAGAGGAAGACGCGACTTGAACTGACAGATCATCCCATTGGAAGTATAGGTGGCGAAGATATTGGACCTTGTGGGCATTCATCTTGTTGAACATCGCCTCATTAGCGAGTGTGAGTTGGAAGTTGATCTCCTTGTAAGCTGCCTTTGCCTCGTCGTAGAGGAAGTCGTCGCACAAAGCGACCTGGTAGAAGGGAGGAATTTGACCATCATGACAAAGAGCAAAGACGTCAGAGGAGAGGTATATCATCTTGCGAAAATACCTCTCCTCTTGCGAACCTCGGGGGGAAACTTCTTGAAGTGGAAGGTGGAGTAGATGTTCTTCAAGTCCTCAATTGGTAGCCTCATATTAAGAGATGGTAGGAGCTTGAAACCAGTTGGTGGTGGAGAACTTGGCTTTTGGGTTGATGTTGATGGCGATGGCGAGAGGGATTAGAGTGGCTGCAAGAGCGGCACAGAGCTGAGTAGCGGTGGACTTGTCTGCAAGAACCAAGTCGATGAGCTCATTATAAGAGAGAAAGAGAGACTCAGTATTGTGAAAGCGATGAAAGTAGAGCCAATGATATAGTGGATAGCAACTGAGTTGCGCTCACCCTCAGACTCCTTCCGGGCGCGCATAACGTGCTCAATAATGGCGGTTTCAATGGTTACGCGATCAGTAAACTCTCCGGGTGTGTAAACTCGAAAGACGTTGACAGGCTTAGGAGCTACGGCTACAGCTACAGCTGGAGTAGACACATTCTTCTTCTTGGTACCAGGTCCACGTCACTGACCACGATTGGAGGGAGGGCGAATTGCGGCACGGGTGGCACGAGGCCTACCACCAACGGTCTGGGGGTTATTGCTATTGGAGCTCATGGTACAGTTGGGATGTGTGTTGTTGTACTTGTGGTAATGAAGCTGCGATTGGAATCACAGTGGTGATAGCGGAGTTGGGATTATGTGCGGAGGCATAATTCGAGGATGAAGTAGAAAGGAAGAGGACGAGGAAGGAAAACAGGCACATTAAATAAGTAGGTGCTAGCGTTGGCAGATTCTTCATGCGAATGAAGGTATCGTGATGAGTTTGATGTCGCTGCAGCAAAGGTGAATATCACATTCATTGACCTCCCACATGGTACCAACGACATCACAATCACTCTAGACTGCAAGCAACGGGACGGCCGTTTCAATTGTAATTAGAACTTAAAAATTTCATACGCAGGAACTTCTTCATTTTTGAAAGGTTAAGAACACGCAGGTTGTGGTAGTATTGAAGAGGAATTTGAGGAGCTTTAAGCGAGACGAGCTCACCTCTGTGAAAACAACGTTGCTGTGGCGACCCACATGAAGAGCCCCGGGAGGCTGGGCTTATTTAGAAGAACATAGAAACAGCTGCATTCAATTGTTCAAAGTAATTCACCTTCCCGAAACATATCCAATAAATCGGAATGGCAATCTGCGAAGACGGAGGGCAGGTCGAAGTTGAATGGGCAGTCAAAAGTCACGTGAAAAGTCAGGTCTGAAAGTCAACCGGGGTGAAAAAGTCCAATGAACTCTCGTATTTGTTGCTGAAAATGACTGACTACCTGCCCTGGGGTACCATTCAACCCAGTCAGTGAAGCTCAGGTCTCTATACAATTATCTACCACAAACAGAGACCGCTAGTCATCAGCGTCGTCACAGTCCCCCATTCCAACTGACAGATCCCTCTCCATCCTCCCTCCCTATTTGATTGATACAGGGTGCCGATAGCGTCGCCCCAGCCATTGATCCAGGTTTTCATTTTTCGTATGCTGAAAACTCCGTCCACAAGCCGATCAGTGGTTCGCTTGAGCACCACACTTAAAATCCACCGTTCCATGTTGCTTCGCAGGCGGAAGTAGAAATTATTTGCGCAAGACGCCGAGCCCAATGCAATATTACCAGAAAGGAAACAAGAATGTGTGCATTGTGCCGCAGCATGCGTATTTACGTCGTCGTCCCGGATAGACCACTGACAATTATGTTACCAAAGCCTCAAAATCTAAATCCCGGTCTCGTCATTATGCCCTAGGAGAGGCCTCAGCGCTCTCGTGGATGCTGGTCATTTTACCCTTTTGATCAAGTCTATTAAAACAAAGTAAATAATTGTATGTGCAGGTTGAAGTTGATTAGGCCGTGATTCGAAGTAGAGACAGTCGCAGTGAGCAGAACTAGGTGTGAACGGAAGGCTTGATATCCACAGGCATCTCCGGGTGAGACTGTTGCCGCTCTTTGGACATGACTGTCATCGATGATTGCTTTAAACTCCTGCTGTATTTACCGTACGCCGATGGGGGGCCTTGGCCCTAAGCTGCTTTGGCTGCTGTGCGCAGAGGGCTCCGAATCAATATTGGCGCTGTCACCACTCCCCGCGCTAGCGCTCGCACTACCCGTCAGACTTCGAACTTGTACAGGACCTTTGGGTGGATGAAGGGCGCTCACCCCAGCATATTGCTCAACTTGTTGCGGTGCAACTGAATTGCCTTGTCCCGGTGGATGACGGGGAACAGGCTGTCTCATACCTCCTGGAGGCGAAGGTCTGCCGTTCATCGAAGGTCCCATATGCCCGTTTGGCGGAGACGGCCGACCACCTCTACCGATCTGCGGACTGTATGGATTGGCGGGTGACTGACTTGCTCTCCGAGGGTATGCACCACCTTGGCCGTTAGGTCCAAGTGGGCCGCCATACTGCAATTCGTCTAATCGTGCTGCTGTCAATGAGTTCGTTCTAGAATCCATTCCCATCTGAGCTCGGTCTACATTGCCATATCGATTAGATGAGTAGCCCATCAAAGGGTCATCCATGAGAGAGTCGTGTAAACCAGGTACTTGGCTAATTATTCGTGCGCTAGATCTGTTCCTGGGAAAGTTGGGGCGCATGAAGCCACCGCCTCTTCGTCCAGCAGGAGCGTCACCGAACTCCGGATTCTTACGGATCTGGCTCTGACTCGGGCCAGCTTTTCTGTTTCGTCGAGATGTGACGCTCATCATGTCGAAGTTGTCAGGGTCTATCAATGGGACCGGTGGTCCATCTGCAGGATCAACGTAGTCATCATCGTCGTCATCGTCAAAACCTCCATTTCGGACGGATGGTGTGGGTGGTCCCCGGCGAGGAGGACCACGAGAACCCGTCCCATTTCTCAGCCGCAATTCTTGTTCCCGCAGAGCGAGTTCTCGTTGCCGTAACATCAACTCCCGTTCTCGAAGACCGATATCAGCACCTCCATCCCCACCATAATTCGATTCTCCAGACTCTGGAATATCATCGTATAATACCAAGTGACTAAATTCTTCCAGATCGTTGCCTTCCAAGGACCCCCGCCGAGATTGGTTTCGAGGAGCGTAGCCACCACGTCCATAGCCATTTGCAGGTCCGCCATTCATGGGAGGTGGTCCTCGGCGCATCATACCAGGTGGTGGTCCATTCATTGAAGGACCTCGTCCTCGGCCTCTGGGAGGACCATTTCCGTTGACTGAGCCATTCATAGCCGGTCTAGGAGGAGGTGCTGAAGATAATCTGATCGGGGGGTTCACAGCGAGAGGAGAAACGACCGTAGTGTCCTTCCGCTGCTGATTTACAATGTTCACATTGTGCAAAATGGCGTAAAGCGTCTCGATCCTGGGTACCCGAACGCCAGCGCCTTGTGCGAGCTTGATGGGAGAACCCAGATATGTCTCAACCTCCATGGGTCTCTTTGCCATGAAGTCCTGGTACATGATGCTGTTGGCCTCTGTAGGCTTAACCATCTCTGTCATAATTCTTGATTTGAAATCCGCAGGGAAACTGCACTGCTGAGCATTTGCGATTGTGAGGAGTTCATCGAATACTTCAGAGACTAGCGCCTTGACGCCAACCTTTTCAAGCAACGCGCTATGGGTCGGGGTTTCGAAGATTACACTTAGAGGATGAAAAGCAATAGGGCTACATGGCAAGGTTAGTAAGTATCGATATTTCCACGGAATCTCTGTAGTGTGCTTACCCGATCATCCGCTCATACTGCTGTTGTCGAATGTTGGTAGAAACATGACAATCCACTTGCCCACTGCTCAATGTCATGGCCAGAGCATCTGCCATATCTCCTTGGATAGTGCTGGGCATTGCAGGATTCTTGTTCGCCGGTCCCACCCATACCTCTGTTGAGCCTTTATGTTCGAATTCGCTTGCTCCTAACTGTATAATCTCGGCGCCTGAAACGAGTGACAGCACAACGTTGCTCGGAAATCTCGATTCAAGATGCGCCTCAACCCCTAACGTGTGTGTGGTATTAACAAGAATGCATGTATGTTGCGGAGTAACGACTGATTCAATAACGGACGCAAGGTCGTAGACGTCTGGGAGGGCTTTGACGCAGAGTAGAACATAGTCGAAAGCACCGTCTTTGACGCTTGCAGCATCTTCTGGTGCTCGCACCACTGTTGAGGCTATATCAGCATTTCGTTCACGATAGTAGAAGACACAAATCAGAGTAAATTACCATTGCGAGGCTTGAACCGTTCGTTACCGAAAGATGTGGACCTGGAAACGTCAGTACTTGCCAAAATGAATACCACGGATATCCAAACGTACTTGAACGAGATTCCGTATTGGTGGACCGCGTCAAAACCACTCTTCCACACCAATGTTACATCGCAGGCATTTGTGGCTTGAAGTCGCCAGGACAGAAAAGCTGACACTGCATTTCCGCCAACTACACAGACTCTCATTAGTTCCATCTCCATGATAACACTTGACACATTGGCACAAAAGAGAAAACGAAAGTGGCGCGAAAAATGCTGAGGAGCTTCTGGACTTCGTGGGGAAGGGAAGGTGGAAATTTATCAATAAAAGTAGGGACGGATCGACAAACCTGATAGAATCCGCAGGCGTGGAGGAGACGGAGCCATCTTGACCAGATTGGGAATGCCTCTTCACGGCGCCGTCTGTGGGCTGCAGCAGCTGTGTGCGATGGCTCTTGGTGCTGCCGCTGTGAGTAAAGTTGGCCGAGTGGCCTTCAGGTCGTCGCGTTCGTCTGTCGTGAATGGTTGTTGCTTTGGCTGCACTTACACCTCCTGTCTCGGCACCAAACGAAGGCTGATGCACTGGGCGGACGACCCTGGCAGGGGCAGAAGTGGCAGAGATAATGGGGTGCTAATAACGAGCGTGACGCCGCAAGAGATTGTGCCGGTCTCGAGCTGCAAATGGGGGCGCGGGCTGGGAGAGGACAGTAAAGAGCGTGTGTTCGAGGACTCCTGGCTGAGGAATGGGCCGACGAGAAGAGGGAGTTGTCGTCTGTCTGCGGATGGAGTGGAGGTATGGTGTGGTGTGGTTTTGGTATGGTGGTGGAAAGAGGGTGGGTGAGCAGGGCTGGCTCGCGTAGGACGACCAAAAGTGGCTGTCGACGTGTTGGATTGGCGGACAGGTAGATTACTTTAGCATCTGCTGCAGCAACAGGGCCATCGAGCTCAGGATCCCTGACGAAATATTGTCCGGTGGCTCGGTGCTGTTATGCTGTCCAGGGCGGCCAGAAAGGGACAAAAGGGGTCCTGGTGGCTGGTGGAGGAATCGAAGTTGTGTTGACTAGGAGAGAGCGATATCGAATTGGGTATCTTTGCAGTGGTGATCGCTCGCTCGATTCGACGCTGGACAGAGGAACCGCGATGGTGGGCAGGGCAGGGCAGGGCAGAGGAGCAGCGAAAGGAACGTCCGGGGAGAAAGGAAAGGTTGAGTACGTACGGATTGGCTCTCGTGGTGGTGGTGGGCTAGTGGTGCTGTGCTGTGCCCTGAATGCCAGATGCCTGGTGTGTTGCTTGCTGGTGTTCTCTCCCATGTTCTCTCCCTCTCTCACAAAGATACCTACCGACCTACCGCAGGGTCGGATGGGGCAGCTTAGATTACCCTACGAGCCTACCCACTCCCCGCTACCCCTGTGACTCCAGCTACACTACAGTACGGAGGGAAGAAAACTCAGCACACCCGTCCCAACAGAGCCGAAGGGATGCCTGCGCCTTCCTTGATCTGCTCAAGCCCTGCCTGCAAATTGTGGATATCAGACATCGATACTTCATGATCGCCGACCGGCCTTCTAGCTATTTTTCAATTTTCGCCTCCAAAGCATTATGAGCAGCAGCAGATCTGGTCTGATCTTGTACATTGTACAGGACAGCTGCCTCCAGATCATCGAGAGCGCGCAACTGCAAATATCACTACTATCCAGATCTGCCACAGCTCATGGATAGCCAGACACCAAGCCGTGTGTTTCTATTCTGTCCTATTCTCTTACATGGACAATGTTGAATTTGCTGGAACCCATGTCAAGTCATGATATTCAAATCCACAAGAACGAATATGGAAGACGCGGCTGACGGGCGAACAACTACCCAGAATTAAGCATTGTTTTGTATTCGGTCAATGTATTCATATATATATATATATACCAAAAGATGGCAGAGCCTCCGTAAGTAGGCCAGACTGGAGTGGGTATGGAGGAAATGGTCTTGAAGTTTTCTCCACATTCGACCAGTTATCGCACATTCACAAGTACCTACTTGGCAAGCTTGCGGAGGCTTTTCGTCGTCCCGAACAACAGTCGAAAATTCTTCCAATCACCTCGTTCTGCAATGTGAACACGAAGTACAAGACATACGAGATTCAATCAAGGAGTCTCTTCCAGTTGAGCTGAAATAAGCTTTACCGCTTGTCTTTGACAACATTTCAGACACAACAACATATGGATTGTCAAGTGTCTACAGCATTTGATTTGCGGCGGCCCGGTGGTGAATTCAGATTGCTTTACTTTGACTTATCTTTGCTCATGTTCATGTTCTCCTTCTTGCAGGTTGGTGGTGCCATATGCCCAAATGCTTTATTGCCCTTGCTCCATGGTCGACCCACTTTCCACCTTGCTGACGATATTTTGGGTTTGAGGCTTCAGCTTGGCAGGTCCTCCAGCACGGCCGTTCAATTACAGCGAGGAGCTGCTGCAGGGATAGATAACAGGCTGTGCACATTCACAAGATTGCGACAACAGGGGCAACCAGAATGTGCGATGGCTTCTGGACCTTGGCTTTGGTCAAACAGCCCGGAATCCGAATAGAAACCCGCTTCAAGTTATCCATCCAAACTCTGCTCGTCCGCCGCTGCTCCGTCACTCCGTGTCACTTTTTCTGTGAGCCTAGTTAAGACCAAGCTCGCATTCCGAACCTGAGGAACCATTCCCTGATTGGCTTGTTCCAATATATTTGTAGTCGGTGTCCTAAATTCCAGGTTCCCTCTCTGGCACGTCCCGGCATTCACGAACGACAACACGGAAACCACGCGTTTTGCGCCCATCTCCAAGCTCCACCGCGAAGCTTGATCATTTTTTCTTCTGGAGCTTCCACAGCCGTTCGCTCCCGCAAAGCTAGTGACCAAGGAACGGTGTGGTGCCACACGCCGTTGGTGCAGTAAATTAACTCTATGTCGTTTGTGTACTTTCCCTCGTCAAGCCTTAGCAAAAGGGCCCGCCTGGAATGGTTTGGACTTGGACCTTCCAATAATTCTCTATGGAACTGTCACCGGCTCACCCTTCTCATCTCTTTGAAATGGAGTCTCACACTCAAAACTCAAGACTTTTCTCACGAACAAGGGCTCCTATCAATGACGGCGTTTGTCTTAGATATTTTGCCAGGCTGTGATTTCTAGTGACCCACAATATGACAACAGGGCATTGCATACCAAACCGGTGCGGCCGTGCCATCTGCCCAGACATGACTATATTGGTCCCTTGCTCGTCCCATGTCCCATGGGCCATGGCTAGTTAGGATAAACGGGGGGAAAACTCAATTTCAAGCACGTCCTGCACACCGAAAACCGGTATTTTGCAGATAACGAGACAATGTCGATAAGCATACAGAAGTCAGCCCGAGTCCCCTTTTACTGCAATGTTGGCCGACGGCATGTCCGGAAAGCAAGTAGGTATTGAAATTCGGAATTCTGCGTCGGTCGCGTCCAGCCTCTGCTCTCCTTCCTCGGTTTACAACTTCACATCAACCTAATACGCGGTCTTAACTAACTTTTTGCAATTGGAAATTTCACGCAAAATGGTCATCTCACGAGAAAGAGATGTATGACGTTGTGCTTGGCATGCTGTTCATCCCCTGGCACTGCATTGTGCCACTTAGTACTGACGCGAAACACATTCCTGGCCACGGCGTCAGGTCGCGTTGTTGCTCACGAAGCCACGATTCTTGCACCCGCTTGCACGGTTCGTCAACCGGTCCAACCAATGTTACCATGTCCCGAGGCATATTATTATCATGTCCTTATGATGGTCAATACAAAGCAGCGACCAGTAGCTGTGGCTTTGTACCGAGTGGGGGTCCTAGATGAAAGATCATTAAGTGCAAGAATCAAATCCGTGACTGAGGCAGATGCTTCACGAGCCGTGAGCTGTTTGAAGCTCAAAGGAGTTTTCTCTTTTTGGGGGCGACACCTACGCAAAATTTTCAATACGCACGAGAGGTCAGCGAAGGACGGGGGCTTTCGACCTACGGAGTGTGTTGTCCAGAATTGACTTCAAGCTCTTCCAAAATATGCAGGGACAGACAGCCGAGAAGCCTCGTTTCGGGAATAGCTCACGAGCGGCCACTTTCAATCTATTTATATTCATCGCCACATCGGCCTACACAATTATCTTCTGAGACTGTTTGCTTGCTGGCCGCTGTTGCTCAGCACGACCGGTATATGAGCACAATACTTGCTTGTACAGTACAGTGCGAAATACGAATCTATACGGCCCCCCTAAACACTGCAGGAGAGCCCGTCTTTCTCGCACAGAAGTCACAATCATTGGATCGCGACCGCACCGAAATGCTCACCACACCATAAGCAGGGTCGTAGTCCTGAAAACCTACACAGGCTACCTTATCGGGGGCATCTAATATCCACTCAACAAGTCTAATTTTGCCCATTTTGCCCTCTGCTCTTCAATACCCTTCAGTTTTAGTAGACCAAAGCCGCGCAACACCACAATACCCAATCACCGAAGAAGCCGTTGAAAAATCTCGACACCACCCAGCAAATCGGACAACTCAAATAGGTCAAGTTCACAACTCTACTTGCTAGCTAGTAGCTACATTAGTCAATTGACAACTTCATCCCAAGGTGGACCTCCGTCCTGAGTGGAATACTTGCATCCAAGAGAAGGGTAAACTTAATACGTCTGTTCCGTGGTAAAGAACGAGGAAGCCCCCCGTAACGAAGCTTCAGAATCAAGATCTTTACCGCCCATTACAGAGAAGTGCAAGACCAAGAAACCGTAGGTTCGCGAACACCTCCCAAATGAGCTAGCCGCACTCCACAAACGGACACAGCTGGCGGATTTCTTTTAAATGCCATGCCTGGCAACGAATCTCCATGGTTCTTACTGGTAATCATTGCTGTCAAAAGCTCCTAGCCGTTGAAGTCGCATGGACCAGGGCTTCTTCCATCGCTTACCTATCTACAAGCCAGGGCTCTACCAAAATCCGCGCAAAAGTCCGTTCCGGTACTCGTCAACAATGATTGGGACACCATATCCGAGGTATCCGACTCAACAAAGCTTCAGAAGTGCCCCAAACCCCAGAACTCCAACAAAGTAAAGGAAGGTAGATCGCGATCGACGAATAATGCCCGTTACAATGGGGGTCTGACCAGTCGGAAGCATGGAGTTCGAAAGGGTTCCTGAAAGAGTTGCAACGCCAACGCCACCCTATTCTTAGTTTTATCAACTGCATCAACGACATCCTTCTTTTCCACACCGCAACCGACATGCCATTCTCTTTGGTCAATCCCCGGGCACGGGAAACAGCCATTCTTGGCGCCTTGCAAATCCCAAGCATAGGAGTGCTCGCGTGGCAAAATCCCATGCCGTCCTTCTCCAGCCCGTACCACTACCCCCTATTCCAGAAGCGGACCATGTCAACTGTCAAAACCTTGATTTTGGACAACCTAACAGCGTACCAAACTAGCTGCCGTGACTTAACGTCTCCCAATCACACCCTATGGAGTACATCGCCAAAAATCAAGACTCGGCCGTTTTGAGCCTTGAAGGTTAGCCAGGGGAGATATCTGAATGTTAGGATGAGGCAGGGTTTGTTCTTTGTGCTGTTCTCTGGTACCGTGTTACATCTTTGTCGAGGTCGACTTGTATTGCAATAATTAAGTACGATCTGAACAACGGAAAGCTCTGGTGTTGGATACTTGTTTAATTAGTGCATAAGAATCGCTTGGGGCCGCATACTTGGCTTCATGAAGAAATCTTGTTGTCAAGTGGTTATCGTGTGTTGCGGACGTGTTGTTCACTTGTCCCTTCATCTCACCTGCAAGCTTATTCTGTACTCTGTTGTCCATTGAATGTCTAGCTGCCTTGCCTCTTCAAACTCCCCGTTCTCCTTCTCCCCGCATACCCATCGACGATCTCCCGTACAAAGCCATCATGCAAGCACTGAAACCAAGATATTTCCCTAGCTGCAAATCCCCAGTCAATTTCCCAGCATGTGCCGTCCCAAGAGGCAAAACCAACATCAAGCTTGAATACTCCATCCGGGTCTTCAGAGCCAACAAAGCCTTACATGCCCATGCATCTGCAACCTCCAGGATGCGATTCCTTCCTCCATATATTCAGTTGGTTGCAATAACGGCGCTCCCGCCGGGAAGGTAACTCTCCGAGTGCAGAGCCCCTTCTGCTTCTATCCAATCGTGAATCAATTCGGTTCCAAGACCGAGGGTCGCACTCGGATGCATGTTTTTTTAGTTTTATGGTATTCATTTCGTGGCTGCTATTGAGAAACAAAAGCGAGCTACTTGCCACATAGATGAGCCCTATATCTCAGTGTTGGCTAAGATAAGATCAAAATTTGGCGCTTATGCAGGCACATATAGCAGCACAAGCAGAATCGTATACAAGCTCTCATATGACACATCTGTCAAGAGATCACCATTGCCCCTTCCTTCTTGCCACGAACGGAACACGAGCTTATAGTAGTGGAAAGGAAGAACTCCGTACCAAGATAGCAGTCTCAACGACCACTGCCTATACTTCCGAATACCATCCAATGGACTTAAACATACCCTGCAGTGCTAGTAAACAGATGAGCCGATGAATACTTCGTCCGCCTCCTCCTCGATCTGTCTACCATGGTCGAGTCACACGGGAGAATTTCATCTGCCGCGTACCATAACTCTTCAGTAGCTGACCACTTTTTATCTTGTCATCTCGCCCCAAAAGTTCCTTGCTCATCTCCCAAGTCCCTTGGCCCCTTTTCCCCTTTTCCCCCACATCCTGCGAACCTCATACCGACTCTCGGTGCAGTAACAAGGGCTCTCAGCCAACTACAGCGTACATTGCCGGAGCTTCTACTCCGTAAATGACTCTTCGCGAGCACGTCAACAGTTTTGTGGGGTCCGCATCGAAGCGTCGTCATTTCCTAGTCACGTCGACTTGTACTGACAAGCGAGAGAAAGCAAATAGACTCGACGAGAAGCATTGAATGGTCTCAACCTCCTTGAGAATTCAGCCTGTCTCCCTCCGAACCTTCGTCTCGGTGTCCTTGGATTTATACAAGCAAACAACCGATACAGCACGGGATTGGTGAAAACAGTCAGTCGTGGCATGCCAGGCAGATGCTTTCACGACTAGAGAGAAGACACGAATCAATATACAAGTAGGAAGATATTCATGTCTCAAGAAGAACTTTTCTATTCATTGATTGCTTGCCCTGTTTGTTGCCCACTAGCAGTACCATTCAACCCATGATGTCCATCCCATATTCGAATCCCGGTTGCCCTGGACAGTATGGAAAGTGAAAGTCTCCATCGTGGTACATCTCGACCACCAGCATCCATTTTTTTCCGTTTAGTTCGCAAGCATAGAAACCCAGAAGCTCATATCATAAAGACGACGCATCTCAACCATAACGGGCAAGGAAATCAGAAATCAGAAAGCGGAAGAGCGGAACGAGTACATTTTTGGCGTCTTGTCCCAAAGCAGAATCCGGAAGCAGACCTTCGATTGGGGATCTCCCGAAATCTCTAATTGGCCATATAGATACTGGAGTCGATACCCTCAGCAGGGAATGCTCTACAAAGGCCGTTAGCAATGTGTATCTGCGGAGAAGGGAATAATCTACGTACGGAATATCTGCTTCGAAGCGCTTCTCAACCGATTTCAACACCTCTTCATCAGTCTCGCTACTCACGAACGAAATCGAAAGACCCTTGGTACCGAACCGACCAGCACGACCGACACGATGAAGATAGGAATCAGCATCAGCAGGGAGGTCGTAGTTGATGGCCAAATTGATGCGCTCAATGTCGATACCACGTCCGAAAACGTCCGTGGCAACGCAAATACGCTCTTGGAAATCCTTGAACGCCTTGTAGCGCTTAATTCTGTCGACAAGTTAGAATTGAAGGACATTAGAAGAAGGTGAAAAACATACCTCTCCTCTTGGCTGACACCGGAATGGACTGCAACCGATGGGAAGTTGCACTCTTTCAAGAGCTTATCCAACTCCGTGGCTCGCACAGTTGACTTGACGAAGATGATAGCTTGGTTGAACTGTAAATCGTCAAGGAGCTCGTTGAGCTTGCGGTTCTTCTCCTTCTCGTCGAGCTTGATGAAGAACTGATTGAGACCATGGAGTGTGAGAGTCTTTTCATCGTCGACATAGATCTCGAGGGGGTTTTGCATGAACTTCTTGCAGATAGGTCGAACTTCCTGAGAAAGGGTGGCGCTGAACATCATGACTTGCTTTTGAGTAGGTGTGGCGCGGAAAATCTCCTGAACATCACGGCGCATATCTGGCAGACTTAGCGAGATGGACAAAGCGGAATTTGGGAGTATCCTTACCGATCTGATCCAGCATCTTATCACACTCATCCAGAACAAAGATTTTGCAGCTGCCCAATCGCAGGAACTTGTCACGGACTAGAGCGTTCAAGCGACCGGGTGTGGCAACGATGATATGTGGGTGTGTATCTTTATTCTTCAAAATCTCGGCATCCTTCTGGATGGGAGTTCCACCATAGAAGACAGAGGTCTTGACATCGGGCATATATTTGCTGAATCTTGCATACTCATTCTTGATCTGGTATGCTAACTCACGAGTGTGACACATGATGAGGACGGATGTTTCACCATTGACAGGCTCGATTTGCTGAAGACTGGTGAGGACGAAGATGGCGGTTTTACCAAGACCGGACTTGGCCTGGCAGAGAACGTCCGTTCCGAGGATTGCTTGAGGAATACAAACTTGCTGAACTGTAGAGTAAATCGAGCCGATGTTAGATCAAAGTGTTCTCCAAGTGCATAAATGTGGTAGGTGCAAAAGATCGCAACGTCCGTCCATCCGCATATAGAACCCACGATACATCATCCCATACCAGAAGAAAACAATATCGGCGCAGAGGTGCGAGATGCCTTTAAAGGTTCAAATCGTCGCTCGAAAGAGGCAGGCAAATATGTGAAGCCTCGAAATCGAGCCGATCCTGGATGTCTCTTGGCTTCGCCGCCTTATGCTTTTTTCCAACCTTGGCCGAAGCCTCAAACCCATCTTGAGAAATCTGCTTTCGCAGAACATCTCTCTCCACACCACTTGCCTAGGTCTACACCCAGCCGATAGAGACATTCCAGGATCGATCATGATTCGATACAGGATTGCCAGATTTTTTATTTTGCTTGCGAGATGGACGGACGCGCGGTGGAACGACAACGATGGGGCTTGGGGATGAAAGTTATGACTGACCCTCCGAAGGATGTTCGAAACCGCAATCCGTAATGGCACGCAGAAGCTCGGGCTTCAATAAGAAATCTCGGAAACCAGTGGAGTGGATGCCGACGTAGGAACCTTTCTTGTCGGTTGTACCTCCCGAGACTGCCAACTCTCCCTTCTTTGCGCCACCGTTTGCGCCGGCTGCAGGTGCTGCGTCGTTGGTTCCGAGCTCCTCATCGGAGTAATCGATGAGATCTTCTTCGGTGGCCATGTTGACGGTCGTGAGTTTAGGCTGCGAGGGTTTGTGTACAGAACTGACGCGACGATAACGGTCGCAGATGCTGTGAAAAGGGTAGGTATCGCAAGCTAGATCGTGAACAACGATCGAGGATATGGAAATAGAGAGGAACTGAGAGAGTTGCTTGTTGATGCAAACGTTGAAGGAGGATGAGTGGGAAGGGAGACGTGGTCCAGGCTGCGAGAAGGGATTGAGGTGAGCGCGATTCAAGATCCCGGCTCCAGATGCGCTAGGCTTATAATTGATTAGTCTACACAATTCACAATGAGGCTGATATTGGCGTCTTGCGGATCACTTTTCAATTGCGAAAATCATCTCGAACTTGGACAACCAACGTGACAAATATTATTTCTTTCAGAAGGCCCTGGGGAATCTGTCGCACGGCGTAGCCGCTCCCCATCATGGCAAAACCCAAAACTGGCAGTGTACCAAACAAGGCATTGTACAGCAGGGTATCCTATCTTTACCAAGCAGCAGCATACATGGCGACTCAGCAACAGTTCTCCCGGTCCACGGGGTGTCGATCGACGGCAGACGCTGAACATCATTCCAAGCAGACTTTTGAGACTACGCCAGAGATACTTTCAAATCCTCGAGTGTCTCCATCGCAACCTGCTTCCAGACGTTTGGTATCCGAACTACGAACTGTCTCTCACAAAGTCTTGATGCGGATGTCGCCTGTCATGAAGCATTCACTATGCAAGAACTGCGATACAATGATGATAGATGGGTCTACGTGCAAGAATGTGATTGAGAATAGGAGTAAGGGTGGCAAGAAGCCGTGGGCAGATATCCTTGTAAGGAGATGTAATACTTGCGGGCTGGAGAAACGGTTGCCGTTAAATTCAGCGAGGCAAAAGAGGCGGCGCCAAAGGCAGCCGCCAGAGGCTGCTGAAGTAGACAACAGTCTTTCTTGAGTTTAGCGGAGAGCAGGTCATTGAATGTGGAATAAAGGGCCAATGCGTCTCGAGAGTGACGGACAAGCTCAACACGCTGGGCAATTGATGACTCTCAAGCGAGGCAAGTTTGACTGAAACATTTCTGCAAGTAAATCATTAACATGCAGTTAGAATCCTGGGGATTTAAAAGCCCCGAATGTCCCAGATGTGCCTTACATGTCAGCTTGTGCGGCGAGCTCAGGCTCTCAAGCTACTGACTGCAGATGTAAGATGGTATGAGGTTCTCCCAGGTCCGCAAGGTACTTTCGAAGTCTTTCTTGCTAGTTGTGCTTGCAAAGTGCAGTTGATAATCCCCCAAATACCAGAATATCGAAGATATGGTCTGCAGCTCCTGTATTGGCTCTGTCCAAACTGGAGAGATGCTCCTTCCTAAAGCTTCAGAACCCGCGCACATCTAAAGAGCATCCTGTGCTCTGCACTGAATGTATTTTCTACAATCAATGCATCCCGCAAATTAAGTCATTCTTTTGGCCTTCAAATATTCTTATGTTCATTCTGTGAATTATACGTTCATTCCACTTGGTGCACCTCCTCGACGTCTTCGAGACAATCAGTTCTACGCACTACTTCCATGGTCATTTGTGTCGAAATTCTCACCAAAAACATGGCTACGGATTTTAAAAATCGTCGTGAACGCAACAGCACCAATCCAGATCAACCCCCTGTTCAACCACTCAGCGATATGTACCAATCTGTCATCCCAAACGCTCCCATCAGCCACGGAATCAATACAAGGGCTTTGGAAAAGGCGCCTGAGCAAGAATCATCTGCAAGTGCTCAATCCTCCTTGCAACGAGGTGATGTGGGCTCCAAGAGTTCGGATGGACCAGCATCTTCTACAAGCCCAACTCTTCGAGCACCTTCTCAGAGCTCGCAATCGGACTCAGACCATGACAGTACCACTATCCAGTGAGTTTGTCAAGATAGCCTTGGACGTCTACGCGCACTCTTTAATATATTCATTCGCCAGGTCAACCGGCCAATTTGACTTTCGAGGCCTACCTGCAGAGCTCCGCGTGATCATTTACTCCTTCGTGTGGCCTTGCAACATCAAATCCAGCGCGTTGCTCCATACACTAGCTCATGATAGCAAGCTTGAAAAGCATGATCTGAAGATAGCAGAAAGGTACCACGGACAGCACCACAGTTTTACCGTCACGGCGATGAACTTCGAGGCATTCAAGGCCATGCGAATAAGTATGGAACGCATCACGAACATCACAATAAGGAGAGACTGTTCAGTTATGTACCGAAGTGCTGGGTTTCCCACCTTGTCTGGTTGTCACTGCACTTGGAGAAATTACTTCGAAACAATAAAGATTCACAATATACAAGACCCAGAATCTGTTGATTCTCGGGCGCACCCACGGGATGACCTCGTACGCATTCTCATCAGAGCCGCCCAATATGGCAATGGCGGTCCTACCACACTAATCATTACGACGGAAAGTTGCAACCCGTTTTCGAGTCGCAACAGAGACTTGGTGCATGAGATGTTCAGTTGGATCAGTGTTGGTCTAGGCTTCATTGGTGCTTATAAAGAGTTGAGCGGCGGTACTGTGCTCCACGCTGCCTGGAGCAATGGTGCTCCCCTGACATGGTCAAGATTGGATGGACGATGACGGATAAGGAATGGTATAGAGCGATAGCAGTAAGGTTATGGGAAACATATTACCATAGTGTCTGTTTCTGGGTACTTAGATACTCGTTCCAAGCGCCGGTCAAATCTTTCAAAGTGGAGTGTTTATCGTTGACAGCTTGCATTTCACGAAGATGAGTGAACCCACATATCAGCCACCCCTGGTGCAAAACCAACAGCATCAGTGCCTCAAAACGACGAGAGCTATGTCCGGGATCGTTATGGGACCTTTCCGGGGTCACATCTGATGAAAAACCAGCCAAAATCCAGCACTGGTCCTCAAGTGATTGATAATGGGTGTGAATTGAGCAGTAACTGCCAAGTCCAATGATCCTAAGGTAAAACAATCGGAAAACACAAATATTTTACCCGAGATTTTATTCATTTGCTGGGGAGGTTCAAAAATGTCTGAAATCTGTTGAGGGCACAAAACATCTCGCGTATACTGAAGCGTAGTTCAAAGAACAGTCTGGATGACTATTGAGTTTACAGCAGATACTGATTAAGTCCACATCAAACGACCTCCCACCTCGCCAACCTTCCCATCTTCTCCCCCGCGTTCCTAACAATGCAAAACCGCCCGTCCTTCCCTTTCCCATCCCTCCTCAACCCCTCTAAAACCTTCTCCACGACCACACTTCCCACCGCAACTCCCTTCCCTTCTGCCAGATTAAACTCCCCCGTTGTTACAAACCCAATGAGGTCCTCCTCATCTGGGACAAGCGGGAAGTCTTCTTCGTGGTTTCCAGTTAGGAATTGCGAGTATTGGCAAGGTGGTTCTTGTAGCAGAGATCGAGCGAGGAGTTGGATTCGCTGAGGGAGAGGCGTGTTCAGTGGGATCCGGGTGGGGAATTTTGCCGCTTTGGCTTTGGGGTTGAGTGGGAGTTTAGAGTGGGCGGGTGGCGGGAGAAGGGCGAGCCATTGCTCACGGGTACTAGGTGGTGGAGCGCTGGTTAAAGATGGTTCGGACTCTATCGATGAGGGATGTTCCGCTATTTTGGGCAGGCGGTATATTCGAGCTGACGGCAATGCGATTCCTTTGGTGACTAGAGTGATGCGAAATGTGGCAACTGCATTTTGCTGTAGCAGCTGACTCTCATATGAGGAAAGGAGACTTTTGAAAGTTTTGCTTGGAATATGGTGCAGTGGCACCTCGCGTTTTGATGTGGTCGCCTTCGATTTCTCAGTTTCTTGAGCTGCATCTATCAGATCAATGCTAGCCGTTAACAGTGGCACGCCAACGACTCTTTCAAAGTCAGAGGCCCATCCTCGACCAATTTCTCCCTTTCTCCCGGCCCCAAGGTCAAGAGAATCCCATTCCACCCTCTTACCCTTCGGCCGCTTATCCCAATTGGCTTTTCTCTTCAGTCTTTCATCCAGCTCCCACTGGAAGCCGGAAGCAGTGCCAGGGAAATCTGTAGGAAAATAGGGAACGCCTTGTTCAAAATGGACCTGGCGAAGCTCTTGCAGGCCACCAAATCGGGGATTGTTGCCAGAGGACAAAGGGCAGTGCATCAACCCATACCAAATCGGCAAGATACATTTCCAAGGTGCCAGAAGTATCCAAGTGCCTTGTGCGGAGCCTGATGAGACTGATCTGGAAGCGATCAGTGTGATTGGTATTCTTGGGTCGCTTTCTAGACAAGAGGGGTAATCTCCCGGCTTCGCAATAGCTTTCCTTCGATTGAGTGCTTTCTGAGAGGGAAGCCGTGTTGCCTTAAATCTTGCTTCGCGGTCAAATAATGCTGATGATCCTGTTGATCGATCTACGGGCCAAGACGAGGCCATTTCCAAGAGCTTGAAATTGGCTTCTTCGTCGCTGGTGCTCGGTAGCTTGACTGGCCTGGGTGGATATCGAATCCGAGGGTCCATTACGGGGAAACTCAATACAGAATTAGATGGCAGTGATCCAGGATTTGTAATTCCAAGTAAGGCCTTAAAAGCTCTCGCATGCTCTTCTGACTCATCGTATGGATGCAGAACACTTAGTAGAGCTTCAGTTGAAGACGGCCCAACGATCTCAATGCTTCCAATCTCGAAGCGGAGATCTTCGATATGGACTATGGGGCGCTGGAGCTTCGACAAACGAAGAACTTCTGTCCATACTTCAATAAAAGCAGCAGGATGTATCCTGACAAATATTCGAGACTGTTTCGCCTTCTTTTGCGAGGTTTCATCACTTTCCGTACCAGACGGTGGGGGGGACCATAAGACAGTAGCGGGACTGACGACAATAGATTTCTCCTTCACTTCCCTAGTCAACCACCCAGTCCAGCTTCGCTTCCCTTCTCTCCATTTTGTGCCCCTTGCATCCCAGAGTGCCTCCTCTTTAATACCGACAGCCTTGAGAAGCTTTTGTAGACTTGCTTCAGGCCCTTCTAAACCAATCGTGCTCATGTAGCTCATATCCCAGCATACAGCTCCCCTTACTCCACTGGCTCGATGAGTAGGTCTATATGATTTCTGGGTCGAAGTAAGCGGAATAGCAAATCTCCAAAGTGGATCCTTGGGCTCGGTCATTGTCGCCCTTTTCGCATGCCACAAGTGAGTAGGCAACCAGGTCTTGTGTATCTGCCTCTTCCTAAACTTTGACCTGGGCTTCGGCGGGTCGTTCAACGCATTCTTTCGGATCTTGGGTCGTGGTTCTCGGGCCTCTATTCTGACATCACCGATCTTCTTCTCTTTCACAGCTCCCTTCTTTGCTGCCAAAATGCCGAGTCGCTTTGCAGTCTCCGCCCGCAGTCTGGCCCGTGGGTTTCCTGGCTTTCTAGTCCTTGAGTTGACAGTTGGTGTATTATCGTCTCTCATCTCTTTGGCCGCCCTCTTCTGCAGTCTCTTCGGCACTCTCTTAACATTGTGGCTAGCTGTTCGTCTGCGGAGATCGCGTGGAACCTGCTGAAATGCCCTCGTTGTCCCGCTATTCTTCGACTTTTGCATGCCATCTTGTAATGCTTTGATCTCGAAGTCGCGTGACTTGAGAAAAGACTGTAAGTCTAGCTCCCCGTTGTTTAAAGCTCCATCTGGAGAGCTTGTCAAAATTGATCGCGCGTCATACTTGACGCGTTTAAAGTTGCGCCCTTTGCTTGGCTTGTTTTGGCTGCTGGAAGAGGAATTAGGAGCATCTTTACGCTTCCTATTCCCGCTGTTACTGGCAAAATTAGTCTCCGAATTTGAGTTTTTGAGTGGCATTGTCTGTACAGCGACGTCGGCTCTTCTCCATGGTGTTGTCCCTCTAGCCAAAATAAAGTTCTCATCTGAAAGATTCTGCTGCTCGTCACCGCTTTGGACACTGTGAGGCGGGTCTTGGCACTCGCTTCTTGAATCAAAGCAGCCTGTTCCAAGGTTGACCTAAACAGGTGGAACTACACGGGCTCAGCAGTTGGTTGTCATGGTCGAAGTGAAGGTCAAGGTGGTGTGTTTGTTGCTGCTATAGATCTCTTAGTAATATTAGCGTCTGAACTACACTGCTCTCGGTTGGTACGCATTAAGACAGTGAGATCTAGACTGATATTAGGGAACCGTTCCACGTGTATCTGAAGCCACAGGGACTCAGGGAGTGACAAGTCAATTCTATTAAGCATAGAAAATTTAGTATCAGCGTAGGTAAAATATGGAAACAAATTTGTTCGCAGAGTAACTATGAAACAGCTTTGTCATGACGCCTTTCCTCCATCTATGCACTACAGAGTTTAGTGCATCCACCGCAACATCCTATTGTGCACCGTCGTCCCTATCAAAAACGAGTCGACGCTACAAGGAAGCAATTTCGATGCTTGCAAACCAGGGATGTTCCAATGCCTGACGAGCTGTAAGCCGCTGTGAGGGATCCAGATGATTCAACCCTCGAATTAAGTCCTTGAATGTCGAGTCAACATCTGTCCAATCTGAGAACTGCACATATGGGATGTAGTCCGCCCGTCGCTCCTCCCAAAGCATTCCAAGAACCTCACAGTTCACTTCTTCATCACCGACGTGCTTCATAAGCCCTTTCAACCCTTCTTTGTCTCCAAAATACGATATTTGTCGTTGCAGGCGAATCAACGCAGGAAGTGTGCCTTTCGAAAGGTGCAATTTGAAGTCATCATCAATCCCTTGTATGACACGCTCAAGGACAGCATAGAGGCACTATTATGTTAGCCAAGAAGCTTTCTGCTCAGATTAGGCACTTACGACTAGTCCGAATGAGTATAAGTCGGATGGTTTGTTGAGCTCTCCCTTAAAGTGTCCCTCTGGGCTGCGCCAGTTCTCATTTCCAGCTAACATTCCTTTGATACAGCTAGGCTTTGGGAGATACGCTGCATTTTCAAGATCGGAGATTTGCACCTGTTCCACTATAACTTCTTCGTCAACATGACGATAATCGACCAAGATGTTGTCAGGCTTGATATCTAAAGAGGTTCAGTCAATCATTTAACTGTGCGGAGGATGGAATCGTTGGATCACCTAAATGTACAATATCCTGGTCGTGAATATCTGCAATTCCTTGTAAAGTAGCTTTGAGGATCTCTTTCCTAGCTCGGACAGAGATTCGCTTCCGAACTAGACTTAAAAAATCATCATTCAGGTATTTGTACACAAATATACGTTGTTCAGGGATGGTATCCAATGGTAAGCGAATGCGGGGAGATCGAGGAAGCCTTAGTCGAATGTTCTCATTAAAAGCTGAGAATATAGTTTCCGGGATGTCTTTCAAGATGAAATCATCGTTCCCAGATCTGCAGGAGTATTAGTTACAACAAAATGCATACGATATGGAAGGTTGCTCGAACGATGCTAACCAAACGCGGCCTAGGTGTGGTCTTTCCTGGATCAACTTTTTGAATAGATAACAACGTCCAGTTGAGCCAGCCAAACCAAGGGGCTTCGATACTGCCAATATCCTGTTCGTTGATGGCATACCTTTCTTGAAGAAATTGAAGGTAATAGTTGAAAGTACGAACCACGTAAGATAGGGAAAGTATTTACTTTTCGAGTCTTGGCACCACGTGCAGAGCACCGCCAAGCGACCACAGCACCCGACTGCGCTGCAAATGCTTCTCAAAATCTTGACGTCAAAGCGTGGACTGCATCATCCTTCTTACTAAATCTTTGACTTCTCCATTCCATTCCCTTCCTTCGGATACACCATACAGCAGCCACTCCGCAAGAGCCAGTTCAAATTCCCAACGTGGTGAATACCCACCCTCGTCCAAGTGCGTCCAGTAAAGGCTGCAAAATGGCAACGCCAGTTGCTGCCATAGCACACCTAGTGACACTGGCCGCAGCTGCAGCTGTGCTTGGACTTTCTGGAAACACATCAACCAGAAGAGTGTTATAGACTGTGTAGAAGTAAGTCCCCCAAAAGCCTTGGATGAATTGCAATATCAAAAGAATTGAGATATGAACATGGAATACCACTGCCCATCCGTACCCTATCAATGTTAGTGTGGAAATCAAAAGGATCCAATAGCTGCCTTTCGTCCTCGCTTTTTCGATTGGAAATGTGGTCAATTCATCACCCGCAACAAAATCCACAGTCCAACCGATCTGTTTCGCCGTTATTTTGTAGTTGTGATCCATGATCTTCCCTACGCAATACCCACCGATGATTATGCCAGCTCCTCGTGGCAGGTAAGTGAGACCGATCTGAAGCTCATTTAAGCTTATGTTCGAATATATCCGGAACTGCAGCAACGATAGCATAGTCAACGGTATAGAAAGAGGCATGTATCCAAAGCGTCAGGAAAGTATCGTAGTGAAATACGACCAGCAGACAGGCCAGTGGGTTTCGTATTCCGAATCTTTTGCTGAAAGAGTTCCTGTCTTGGCATTGCTCATGTTCATGGCGCACTTTGCTCCGAGCGGCTGATTTTTGGAGTTCTTGATCATGCCCTGAGCGACTCAACCGCAGGCTCACAATTGTCCAGATGCTCTGCTCCCACCAATGTAAGTCTCCCCTCCTGTCGCCGTTGCTAACAATGGCCCGGGATGTTTCTGGAAGGAATATTGCAACTGCTGACAACAAAATACCACCAACAATTACCAATGCCCAGAAAACCCACTCAAAACTGCCACTTGTGAATGCAACCCATCCTCCGACGACTGGTCCTGCGCAAGCACCCAAATTCAGTGCCATGCTAACTGGACCCAACATTTTGCCTCGTTCGCTTGGTACACATACATCGGCTACCACACCATAAGTGACTGCAGATGCAGCGCTTGCACCCAGACTTTGTACAGCTCTGAGTGCCAGAAGGGCTGGATAGCTCTGTTTATTGAGAGCTAGCCCGAGATTACCAACAACATAAGCAGATAATGTCAATAAGTAGACTGGTCTACGACCGAGCGAGTCCGAAAGCGGCCCAAATATTGCTGGAGAAAGAGCCTGAAAGACGATATACAGAGTTATTGTGAGATTGGTCGCCTGAGCTGACTGATTGAAGTGATACCTCAGGAGGGGAATGAGCGGAAAGTAGATTGTTGCTGTCAAAGGCGACGTGATTGTTGCAAGGCCTAACAGAACTGTGAGGAGTCACTTCTGAGAATTTCCAAAACTGCTGTAAGGTATCTGGATGGGTAGCTGTCGTGTTGTTGGTTCTGCCTCGCGAGTCATTTCGATATTGCACGATACTGGGATCGGTTCGAGACCAAAGTGGATTGGCTCACAACTGTCACTGCAAGACGGCATGATAGGCTTGCAGGTCGAAAGATCTACCAAATTAATTTCAAGATATAAACCTTCGCTCCTCTTCTCATGTGGGCGTCTGAAGCTCTTCAACAAGGAAGGGCTTGAAAGGTCGGAAGGTCGGAAGATATATTTCTTACGATTCACAAAGGGCTCTACTCACGTTCCCGTTCCCGCTCGGGAAAAATATCGTTCGCGAAAATAGAAATCAATCCTAGCTTCGGCTTCTGATTGGTGAGATAAAAAGATCATGCCAGCTGCAAGCAGCCGACACAACAGTAGTTATTCTTGCGGGCCTCTCAGATGAGCTTGCTGGCAAGTAAAATCATGGAGACTTCAAATTATGTCATCGAAATAGCTTCACTCGGTATGCTGGGGCAATCTACACTTTTGGCTCCCTCGCGGTCATAGATCCGCCACGCAAGTCGTAGAAACGTCGGCAATCGACTGAAAGATAAACTCGTGAGCACTTCGCATAGCTGCATGTTCCCTTGTTGGGTTCTTGAAAAAGCGAGCCAACATGACAAAGGCTTTCCTGTTTCATTATTCCCAGATCTGAATGATTAGCACCTGCAAGTGGATCGAAATGGTCCTTGGTGCAGCTCATGCACCCCTTTGTTTGAAATGCTTCCTTTGTTGTGCTGCGTGTGCCGCAACGGTGGTCATCATGCTCAAGCTCAGTGTAAATCTAGAGTCTTTTATTAACAATTCAGCTATAGTCCTGAGGATTACTATTCACTACAAAAATCGTGTTTCAATAAAGCAATCAGTTGACGTAACTAGCAGTGAGTCGCCGCGGGATCAAGAGCTGGACGTGAGGATAACTGCCGTCGATGTGGTACTACACTTGGCCCGCATTCCGTCCCATCCTGTCAGTCGGACATGATCAATTTATTAAGCACTCCTATACCTCTCTCTGTCTCTGAGAATCGAAAGGAAATCGCGAATATACATTCTGTTCTCATCTTCCTATTCTCTGCGTTGACACCTCCCCAGCGTCTTGCCATAGCAGCGATATGAGCTTTACGATCCATGAGCTCTTGACTCGCCCTCATTCGAATGCTCAAGTTGAAGGCGACTTTCCTCTTGATGAAAATGTCTTAGCCAAATTTCCCGTGGGAAGCAGAGTCCTCTCTGCAAATCGATATGGTACTTCTGCCTGGACGATCACCGCGCGTCTCAACGTTGAGCTTCCTGATGGCTCTCAGTCCCAGTACTTCATTAAGTGTGCATCCGAGGACTCAGGTCGCACCATGATGGAAGGAGAGTTCAATGCAATGTCTGAGATATATAAGACAATGCCGGATTTTGTTCCTAAGCCACACTCATGGGGCAAATATCTGGTCAGCGAACCCGACACATGGTTCTTCTTGCAGGAATTCGTCGATATGAGTGACCGAGCTCCGGACCCAATTCAGCTATGCACCAAACTAGTTGCACTTCATCGCAATAGTATTTCCCCCACAGGGAAGTTCGGTTTTCACATCACGACCTGCCAGGGTCGAATACCTCAGGCGGTGGAACCTTTTGAAGAGAGTTGGACTGTATTATTTACCCGGTTGTTGCGCCATGTGGCTGATCTTGACTTCGAGGCGAACGGATCTTGGAAGGAGTTAAAAACGCTGGAAAGGAGGATTTTCTCCCACGTCATTCCAAGATTGATTGGTAATCTCGAGCGAGACGGTCGCAGTATCAAGCCTTGCTTGATACACGGCGATCTGTGGGAGGGTAACACTGGCACATCGTACGATAGCGGCAACATATACGTGTATGATTCAGGTGCATACTACGCCCACCACGAAATGGAGATTGGTGACTGGAGGTGTCACTACAACAAAGTCCACAATAAGATATACACGAAAACATATCTCCGCCACTGCGGACCAAGTGAGCCAAAGGAGGAATGGGACGACAGAAACCGCATGTACTGTATCTACTACAATGTCATCTACTCCGTCAATCACTTGGATCAAGGCAAAGCTGTCAGACAAACGTTAGTACTCCTCGGATAAAACACAGTCTGATCGCTGACCAGAAGTATAGAGCCTGTGACGATATGTACTACTTGATCGACAGATATGCACCATTCCCGAATGGTGAGGGACCTCCTAAATTGGCTGAGACGGAAAGAGCTGCTCTTTCCGCTGAGCGTGACCACAGAGCGACTTGAGCAGGAACCCGCGTGATACGGCGTGGATGACCGGGGTTTCTCTCTCTGGGATTGAATCATTATTCTATAGACAAATTGCTGACCGTTTGGCTCGATGATTTACTGCTTCAAAACAACTGAGGAATGGGAAAATATTGTAAGATTAGGGACCGGCACATAACCAAAAGCGTTAGAATACATCCAACTCTTGATTAGTTTGCTTTCAAAGTTTGTCAGGAATATCAACTCGGCTCTATTGCGATCCAGGACGTAAACTTATCAATTTATCTGCTTTACCACAATATTCCTCCTAAAGATCAAACTTGACCTTTCAGAGTTCGAACGCAGCATTGAGGTATGGGGCACACTCTATACAGTATATTAACTAACGTCACTTGCAGAGGCTCCACACAAACCTTCGACTGTCTCACTACCTACGGACGCTTCGGGGGCAGATTTTATTAGCAAATTGATGGCTTAAGAGAAAAAGTCGTCATATGGTGTATTGAACTGTTAAAGATGCTACTTCCTTTTGGGGGAAAACAATCAGCGCGTTGCTAGAGTCTCCATCCACTATTAGGCATGTGGCGCATCAAATCCGGATTCGGGAAATGCGGAGGGTTGTTCGTGGTGGACTTATGACTGCTTGAAGCTATCGATCACTATGATAAGCATGTTTAATGCCAAGCTAGCTGAATGGACTCATAAATCAGTCAATGGTCGATAGCTTACCTAGGTATACCTAGATAATGTTCTGTACCGCATCACGTGGTGTTTTCTTTTTGTCTCGCGTAGGTTGTTAGCGTTACTGTACAGCTAGATCCGTCCTGCCGTCCTTGTGCCATGATGAAAGCTTTCCAGATAGCTAGCTACCTTAAAGCGTTAATCACGGGATAGCTAAACAAATCATGGTTCTTTAATAACACACTGTAAGTGCTTTATTGATACTTTCTTTTACTGGCTGGTGTTGTTCTGCTGCCTCGCCTTCTCGTTGGTGAATGCCGAGAGCCTTTGACGTCATTAGCCCGATGGCGCAGTGACTACTCATGACCGTAACTATAACCCACCAAAGCTCATTTCCTTCTTTGACAACGAAAGATTTTGCAAATAGAAGGCAGAAAAGTCTTCAACAATGGTATCCAATACCACCGTTCTCATTACTGGGTGCAATCGAGGTAATTTACGTGATCCAGTTCCTCACGTTCATCAACACTCTCGAGGGACGTTCGTCGAAGCTTTGCTAAATTCACCTAGGAATTGGCAGAGGCCTCCTCGAGATCTATTTGTCTCGAGCTGACCATGATATAATCGGTACAGCTCGACACACCAGCCCCTCATTATTGGCAGAACTGGATGCCATTCCAAAAGGCAAGAATACTCGATTGATCTTACTCAAGCTGGACTCTGCATCAACAACAGATGCATCGAGTGTCGTTGAAGCCTTGAAATCGACCTACCAAGTCACTCATATTGACACCGTCATTGCAAACGCCGGAATCTCGAATTATTTCGGGCCAGCCCGAGACACTCCGCCTGAGGAAATGCTCTCCCACTATACTGTAAACACCATGGGTCCACTTCTTCTCTTCCAGGCCACCGCATCACTCCTTGACCTTAGCTCGAATCCCAAGTTTGTTACTATTTCCAGTGGTGCCGGCAGTATAAGTGGCACGGACCACTTGAAGGTTGAGAATACTGCCTACGGAGCGAGCAAATGCGCTCTGAACTTTGTGACGAGAAAGATCCATATGGAGAACCCGGGAATCATCGCGTTTCCGATAAATCCAGGCTGGCTGAGGACAGATTTAGGAAACCATGCTGCGACAGGGGCGGGGATGGAGCAAGCTCCAGTCTCCGTGGACGATGGGATCAAGGGAGTGGTAGCCAAGATTGATAACGCAACGAGAGAGTTTACGAGTGGAAAGTTTCTGAGCGGACAAGACGATACGATCTTAAGTTGGTAATGTACAGGGGAACTTTTTACTTTTGAAACAAAGATTTCCCCTCAGGAGAATGAGCCTCAGATTTGATTTGAGTTGCCAGAGAACTCCAAATAGACTGGGAGACTTCAATAAATCATCTGAGTTCAGGAGCATCACGCGTCGAATAGCGGCAGCAGTGATATCAAAATTCAACTTTTCCACGTCGTATTATTCCAGTACGTCTTCAAATTTTCTGTCTGGGCAGTAAAACCAACTTAGCAAGAACAACAGATGACCATCAACTCAGAAGATCACGTGAACCTCTCTTGGGGATTTGCTTTCGGTCTTTAGCGATCCTGAGAGTAGATAATGTCCTGGTTTGCGGCTTGTCAGCAGTCTTTGTTTCTTTTCTCTCAATAGTGTATCCTACACAGGTACGTTACACAAAGCCTTCTGTGACGCTTCAGCACAACATCGCCCACCCGTTCATTGTGCCCACTTTACGGTATACAAGAAGAAGAGATTATCTCCGCTCTTCTTGTGCTTGGAGAAAAAATTGAGTCTTAAGCACACTATGCACGGCTACAGTAATAGGTAGAAGTTTTAAGCAGGTAAGAGAATTCAATTCACGGCCCGCCAGTTGTATGCTTGAGAACGTCGAGAATGTATGTCATTGCAGAAACAAGACAATCGAAAAATCAAAAATCATTGTGACAGCATACCAGCACATAATTTCATGTTACACCCCCAGAGAAATGATTTCTATCCAGTGTGCTTGAAGTTGCGACTTGTGACCCACCAGTCCAAATCCAGCCTTCAAAGAATGCTTTGTTCGAGGACGTGATGAGCCTTAATGCATGTTCGCTAGCATCCTTTCACTGTTAACATCTACATTGAAAGTCCTCAAGAGCTGCTCATTTTTAAGATGCGCTTCCTACAAGATTCATCATCGCCCAAATGGATCCTTCTGAACAAGCCTTACTTGAAAAACAAACACTACTATTCGGCAATTACCAAGTAGGCAGCAACTCTCGCGGCGGAGCAGTCGAAGCAATTCCCGAGTCGCCACTCTCAGCTACTCCTGGATTTAAGAGCAATGGACTTCTTTCGTTCAGTCAAACATCCTCAGCTCTCCAACCAATCAAAGAACTCGCCTCCTTCTCCCTACGATCACCAAAATGTCCCCAGTGTAAGGGCAAGCGCTTCGACTTCACAGCTTACTTCCACAACCCAAGGTTCTTCTCCTCTCCACCTCACGAGCTACTCTATCTAGTTGAGAGATCATACGTTCTCAAGAACCGCCTCCAAAGCATTCTCGTTACTTACATTGTTCATGATCTCCGGAGTGATCACATGATGCAAGATGTTTGTGCTGATATTCAGGATTGGGTTCTGCAGGTTGCCAATCTGACGGCAGAAGTTAGAGGTTGTATGGGCCGAGCAGATGGTGTCGAGGGCGAATTGGTGGCTGTGCAAGCTTGGACTGAGGAGATGGCAAATCGTATGGCAGAGCATCTTGAGCGCTTTAACGGCAAGAAGGTAAGCAGCTTGTATTTCGTACCCGCATTTTACGGCACTATATATGCCATTGAGATTTGAATAAAGCAAGGATGACTAATATGGCACGCAGATGGAAGTTCCAAAGGGCTGGAAGAAAGAAACTCTTTCTGATTTCAGGAAGCAGTGGGAGAAGGTTTGGATCACATGTGCGAGCACTTGCACGAATCATTAGGTGGCTTTTCCACAGAAGTATTAGAATTGCCAGGATAAGTTGGACAGATAAGAGCATTACCCTGCAGACTTGATGTTACTTCTCTTCTTGGATTTGCTGGTTGTTACGGTTCGGAGATCAGCTTTTCAACGATTTTTGCAGAGAAGATTTTAATTTCGTTACTGTTACTGTTCCTGTTGCGTTATCTCACACTACCCCTGTATCTTAAAGTTCAGACGCATCCGCTCAGCTTTGCTGTTCTTGTTACTTCTTATCATATGCGAATCTTCTTGAACATCCGCGATTACCCAGCCTCCATCAAGATTACCCAAAACTGCAAAGAACCAGAGGTTTTCTCCTTAGATTTACTCCAAAAATCAATAGGAAAGTCCAAATTCATCTCCCCACACGTACTGCCCATTCGAGCTGCCCTATGAATTTCTCGCCGCCTTTTCCCACTGCCGATCCCAGGCTCTCAACACATCAACCATGCCCGTCTTACACGTCATCTTTCCAACGAGTACTTTCTCAAAGTCCTGTGGAGTACTGAGATATGCTTCCAGATTTGGAGGTGCGATTTGAAGCCTCGTTAGGTTCTCGAGTGTGAGTGGGCTGTATTCCGGACTGATTGGCGCCATCACAGCTGCACCTGGTCTAGAAGGGCTACACTATGTTAGCAAGAGATTAATCAGAGAGACATGACTGGATATAAAGATTGATTTGTTACTTTTGGGAGACTTCTGGTAGCATGAGTCAAGTCGTTAGGCAGCGAAGCGTGTGTGGCTCAAGGGTGAGAACGAGTCGCGGTGAGGGAGAATTGGAGGCAGGAACCCACTCGTGCACGAAACTGAACGAGAGATATCTAAATGGGTCAGTTGACATGACAGAGTGAGCCTGTAAGAAGTAAGGCAGATATGTCGCTGGCTTCCTCAGAGGAAATTAAGTGGTCAAGCTTTGCAGAGGCGATTTCTGTTCACAACTTTAAGAAGTGGCCTTTCGATCCTTAAATCCTAACAAACAGCCGACGAACACGTCAGCAAGGAATTTCGAAAGATAGCCAATACGATACACTACGAACGGATTACAGAAAGGCAGTCCACAGAGCTCGGCAGTGAGATTCCAGGATCCTTGTTGTTTTGTTTTTCAATAAGCGAGGAATTGGTCCGCGCTTTGGTTTTCTCTACCACAGTATTCGGTGCATTGGGGTGGGACGTGGAACGGTTATGCTACAGTCCTTGCCGATCATGCTGTGCCATATCTCGATACTGTCAAATTTCAACAATATGCAGTCTTTCCAAAAAATTCCTTTGCAAAGTGACAGCCTTCTTGGGCACCAGTCCTGAAAATCATTCTGTGCCACACCACCTCGCTGAATGGTCCTTGTGGGACTGTGCAGCCTTCCATGTCTCAGGTAGCGCCATTTGGGAATTCGCAGAAAAGTCGACAGCCAAAGCATATCGGTAGACCTCGTGGTTCGATAGAGTTATTGAAGGTGCGGTTTTGGCTTTTCGGAACGATTGGGCAGAGTTCAAGCAGATACCCGATAAATGGAAGAGCAACTGGCATTGAAGCCGCACTCATTCGGGTAGTATCTGATCTGATTGGAGTCTCACGGCCAAGTCATCATCGACAACCAATTGATATTTCCACAGTTCCCGACAGTTTATCCTCCGGTACTTGAGAGGCAGGCCCCCGTGAAAAACGCTTCCATGAACTTGGCCACGGAAGCCGCGCACCCCACCAGTTGAGTATTTTGGTCACAGTAAATGTACTATAATGATCTATCAGTCACTTAATTTAATAATTATTAGCATGTGGAGGACATGCAGTTCGCCTGAAGTCCTTGATGACTCGCTAACCTCGCCACATCGCCAAGGTATAACATTTGTGGTAAGCCTGCTTGTCAAGCTGGACGAAGGAATCAACGTATGACACAACAACCTGTTTTGATATTATGCCCAGTCTTAGCATATTCTCAAGTGTGGTCGCCAATGTAAGCACGAGTAACATGTATTATGGCGATCGCATTCGATACTGCATCCTCAGACAGTGGCTCACGCGGCTTCAAAAGAATGACTATGAATGGATCCATCCCAACTATAGAATGTGAACTCATACAACATGTCGCATCTTCTCTCCGTGTCATAATGAACAGCTCCCAACTTCACAAGCGTTCCCTTCGTCACGCAAGAAGACCGGTCACCTAACAATTCAACTCCACGTGACATTTGGACTTCTTCATGAAGCAGGTTCATCACTAAGCCTCCCTCCACTAGGGCATCCACATCTTCCCGGAGGATGTCACAATCACACGACAGCAAGGCAGGTAGCCAAGTTGAGCTATCCAGGAATTCATGCCCTGATCTATGAACCTCATGCGCCACAAGGAGTGACAAACAATTTCCAAAAGCGTTTGCGAAGTGGGGCATCAGGACTGTGATACCATGATTCCTCTGGTAGAATTGTTGAAGATAGCGCCCGCAGCCCGTAAGGCTGATGTGGCGAGGAATTTGATCAATTATTACAATGTTTTAAAGTATATGACTTTATGCGACTGCTGCGCTGTATGAACTTGAGGCTAGATATGTGGTGCTCGGAGTCTGGGCACGCATCGCATTCCCTATCAATCCATGGAGGAAACTATCGATGCAACTTCTAAGTCCACCTGCACATCATAGTCAAAAAGTTTCGATCCCTTTGTTCCGAAATCAGGACTCCTTAGTACCGCCACCAACGTGTGGAACTTCAAAGAGAAACCAGTGCTCATGTCAGGACTTGAAGTCCTGCCAATGGACTTGAGGAAGATATTCAGGACTTGGATTTTAAGACTCTCTTATACCCTACAGTAGTAAGTCAATTTGCGGCGACGCAGTCCAGATGCGTATTGAAGAAGTTGAAGGAATTGAAGGCGGATTGCGCAAGCATGAGGTGATAAGGGTCAAATTCAGCTCCAATATCTATTTACTTGAACTCTTCGTGCTGTTACAGTATTTAAGAAGTTTGGGTATCGACGAAACTATGATGCGTTCCAGTCCCAACTCCAGTAATGCGAATGCGAATTCCCATCCCAATGCAGTTTAAATAAATACAGTCCCGATAGCGAAACAGAAAGCCAGCTCCCTTAATGCATCATCAGATCAAACTCTTTTGTTACCATCCTCACCAACCCTCCTCCTCTTCCTCCTCGTCGGCTCCTCCTCCTCCGTAGCTCCGCCACCACTGCCTCGGCCACCACCACCCTCACCATTCCTCCCCTCAGCCCCCTCATAATGGCCCTTCTCCCTAACATGACACCTCAAATTATCGCTCCTCGTAAACGAGCTCTTGCACCCTCTCCAGCGACAAACATAAACTTTCGATTCCGCAGCATGCTGGACACGTTTGTGGCGGCGGAGATTGGAGGCTTTCCATTTCTCTTCGCCGCTTGGGATGTAGCCGCAGTGGCAGCGGTGTTGGGAAGAGGAGTTCCAGGGGGTCGGAGGGTTTGTATTTGTTGGTGATGGGGAGATGGACGCGGAAGAAGATGCGGCGGGCGCGATGGAGTCTGGTGGTGGCACCGGGGTTGGTGGGAGGACGTTTATTCTGGGTGGTTGTGAGCGCTGTGTATTTTTATTTCGAGATTGGGTCGGTGGTGATGAGTCAACCATGCGATATTGATGGCTCTCAAGGTGGACACTGGTTTGGCTATCGTCTATGAAGCCGAGCATTTCGTCGCAGTCACGGCTGAACACTGCCACGTCATGTTTGTCGACTGCCACAGCCTCCTCAGAAGTTGACACGAAATCCTGATCTAGGAGCAAGAAATTATCATCATCATCATCACCATAGAGATCGGACATGCAGGTTTTTTGCTCTTCTGCATGTCTGAAATCACCATGTTCCGACTCTTCGTCGAAGTTGTCATCAAGCATCAATTGCTTGATTTGACTTATGTCTCGCACCTGGTATCCCCTTCTAGACATGCCCAAAGATTCCGCGGCGTACAAAACGTCACAGAGTGATGTGACATGTTGCAGAAATCTGCTGTATGTGGCATCTGACTGAGATGCAAGTTTGCCAGCATATATGAGCTCAAGTTCAAGGCTTCGAGTGTTGAGAATTTGGCCCTGGTGCAGTCGTCTCTCAACGTTGACAACATCCTCAATGAAAGCCTCAATGCGTGGTTTCTTAATTAGCTCGTCAATCACACAGATTTTGGCTCTGTGTTCGAATGAAGCTTGAGCGAAGTTGAATTGCGAAGCTGCTATAGAGACATTTGTTTGATGGGAACCAAAGCTCTCGAATACTGATGACGTTAGCTTACTTTTCAAGTATAGTGAAGCATAGGAGGATTAGCTTACTATCCAAAAAATGCATGCATGCTTTAGCCAAGGAATTCTCCTTGGAAATAGCACAACTGGGCATGGCGTACACTAAGGATTCGAGAGGTTGCCAAATGACCCTTGCCACTGTGTCGTAACCCTTCTGCTGCCTCTCTCCTCTCAAGGCACTTGCCCACTGCAAAGAATCTTGAAACCACTCATGAGTATGAATCTTCGCTTCATCATCTTCCATCGCAATCGCTAGGGCGCAAGCAATGTGTGTGAAGGCAAATATCTGGACAAGGGCCGTTGGATTTCGGCCATCGAGAATGCCTGTTAGCACCTCCAGCCCAACGGAAAAGATTGATGTCCTTGACATAGACATAAGTTCCACCGTGATTGGTGTTTGTGGTAGCATCTGTAGAGCAGATTTGGTGTGCTTCAGGTGAGCATTTAGACTCTCTGAGAAGGCCCGGACGAGACTTGGCGCATCGTGCCAATGTGGCGAGGTTAATGTCGGTTTGGAAGACCCCGTACATCTGCCAGCAGAGTGTACAACATTAGGAGAGCTGTCAGCCTTTTCCATGACATCTGGTCTCGCCACCATTGAAGATATTGAGTGAGGAATGGAAAAGGCGGTGGTTTCGATCCAAGCCTGAGAGACGGTCCCGAATTCCCGCTTCTTTCCCTTCCTATTGCCAATGCTTGGGAAGCGATCAAAGCGCGTTGAGGAGGAAGTAGCGGACTGTGTTGTAGCACTGGAATACCCAGAATCCGTGAAGAATGACTTTCCGCTCACAACGCTGTCGGTAGGAGAAATTTCGATAGGACTGGCGTCACTGCTGGAATTGAGTTTACTAAACGCGCTCATTGGTGATATAATTGTCGCGGATAGAGGCGTATCGATCCAACTCGTCGTTTGTGAAGTATGAGCAACAGAAGTGTCGATCTCGAGCTTTGGAGAAGACCTTCTAACCTTCGGAGAAGATACTGCAGGTATGTCCCAGTCCTCCAAATTATCGGTATAGAAATTGTCCTCCCATGTTTCGATCCCACCGGCAAGCTCAATTGGGCATTCGGTGCCCGCCATTTCAGAGATACATGTATCGGGTAACTCATGCGATGCAGCTGTCCAGTCACCAGCCATTTCAGGGATGAGAGACGAGTTTGGCAATTCCTGGGTACTTGAATGGCTCCAGCTCATTAAGGGGTCTTGGAAATAGGGAGGAACGGGGGTTTCCGACTGCTCGAAGCTCTTTGAGGAATTTTGTGGGGAATCCGATGATGATGAATTCGTATTGTGATCTGATCGATGTGGTTTGGCCCCAAGCTTTGAGAATATCTTCTTCGCAACCGAGGTCATACGATCGGTCCGGGATGGAGCTCCTTGACATCTTTTGCAATTGAACTTTCCGACTCGCTCCGGTTTTTGGCAATGGAAGCACCAATACAGTCCTTTAGAAAGATTTGGACAGTTCCATACATGTTGGAGCATGGCTTCTTGGTTCGCGAAGACCTCTCTACACCATAATAAGGGACATGTCCTACGCTCATCTTCCGTGATATACTCGTCGGTACTGCGAAAGAGATGAGATCAGTATTGCGGAATTGAGAAGCAACTAAATATGAATTGGATGATTGCAAGAATCCAGAGAGGTAAAGGATCGTTCGTCATAGTTTTGAAAGGGCCAAAGAGACCCCGAGAACACCTACTATTTGCGGACGTATGCAACCCACGCCAAGAACCGAAGATGTGAGGACTTATGTTTTGGGAAGTTACGCATACTAATTGGTCAATTTATGGATCGTTTGTCAATCGACAAGAACGAGGAGCCTCTTACACGCAAGAATCGTGGATTGCAAAGTCCGAAATGTCGACGCTTGAGCATGAGGATCTCGCAGACTGAATTGTGTCTGATCGTGCCTTGCGCGTGAGATCTGTTTGCTCTATCCTCCTTACAGTAATCTCATCTTCTCCTTCGGTAAACGAGCACTGGCTACCGCTTCTCTTGCGAAGGAATGCCATTGTGAAGTCCTTCAGCACTGGAAATGATTGAAATGATGACTAAAATCGTATGGTGACTTGCCACGACTTTGAAAGAAACAAGAAGGGATGCAGAAAACAACACACATTGCCACCTAAGCAGTATAAGTCCTTTCGGCCATGAACAGACGTCCATGACACAACAGCAGGCAGGACTCTAGGACTTCTTCCAAGGTGCGCCTGGAGCACGTGGAGTGGAGTGTGGGGTCCATGGTCCAAGGTCCAAGGTGCAGCAGCACGAGGCATCGCTCTCACCGAACGGAGTCAATCGCTCTCGCAAACCGACCTACTAACAGCAAATTGCACACCAGCCTATGGATTCGCGTCCTTCCTTGAGGTGCGTTGAGCTGTTGTCAGCCAAAGTGGGTGTGGGTTGTGATGGTTGCCTTGCGCTCGCCTCACATTTTGGGTTCAGCAACCTCAGCCACTGCCGTAAGGCACACCGCTGGGCTGACCGAGGACGACGATCATGGTTGGGGGGCAGCTGCGTTACCATTGGGCGTCAATTGCGATTGACCAGGCTGATAGGCGTTGCTGCTTGGGTAAATTACCGATATGTCGAAGTCCTGCCATTGGTGATAGATGCTTGTGACAGTGAGCAGTACCTAGGCTACTGCTTCACTCGACTGTCATCAAGTCCTGCGCGTGCGTGTGAAGGACTTGAATAGCGGTCTTTCCGTCGTAGATTGGGAGTCCTCAAAGGAGATAGTAGGGAGTACTGCCTCCAGTTGAGAAGTATCCAAGCCGGTCTGCGAAATAGGGCTGGACGTTTTGGATTGATGGTTGAGCTTTCGATGATTCGAAACGACATCTTGGATCGCGAAATCCAGCTTGGTGTCAAGTCATGTTTCTGTACGTCGGGTCGGACTCTGAAATGGAGGAGAAGGACTATTCATATAAATACAGCATTCCAGCACCCCTTTCTCTATAATTAGAGCAAAGCCTACTGATTCTATTTCTGTCTGTCGCGACGATTGCTGTCTCAACGCAACGATTTTCGAGCGGATCCCAATGTTCGCGGCGATCATCGGGCCACGAAAGCAGCCCTCTGAGAGGCTGTCGCCATTTGGTAGGGGGGTGGGACAAGTTCAGGACTTTGCAGGACTCGCTGGAGGGTGGAAGACTGCAGGACTCGAGATGACCAGAGGGAAGGACGAGTCACTGTATTGGCTGGCTGAAGTTGGTGCACCAGCTGCATGGGCTGGCGTGAGAAGCTGGTCGGTGAGATAAGGTAACGAATGAGGGGCTGGCGGAGTGAGCCTTGGTACTCCTCAATTGTTCGCGGATTCCACAACCCGCCCGGAACAACGGCGAACGGTGTGGCAGTCAATTCAAGCCAGTGCAAAAGACCGGTGGTGCCAATGAAGAGACTCGCCCAGGAAGGAGTCTTTCAGTATGTATTATCTTGGGCAATGAGAGCCCAATTATACAATCAATTTCGCTATAAACCCGCTCTGCTTTTGCGCCACGCTTCCAGTCTATAAAGTGATAATAATACACATTGGCTGAATAGCTACCTATCAACAATGAGCAAAAATTTATGTGCAGTGACCCGGTATGTTCAGTACGGCGGTCTTGCCACATTCCCTTTTTGTTCTCCACCAACCTCGATCCCTTTCAGTAAGCTCTCCAGATCCACACTTGGATTAACATCTTCGCCCCATGGAGATGCTTGGTAACTCTGGCCGCCCCGGCTTTTCACAGACCTTCTCACACTGCGTCCTTTGCGCAGCTCTGGAAGTGCGTGATCGTGAACAGCTGTGCCTTCCGCAGTAAGCGATGAGGGAAGAGGCGGCACAGGGGGAACACCGTCACGATCATCCTCATTTCCTTCCTTGATGTTAGGATTGATATTCTGCAGAACTGGGTGGGATGACAACGGACGTTGATGCTCCCCATTTGACGCGACTCGGTCTCGAGACTTCGATCTTGGCCTGTCGTTTGAATCTCGTAGTGACCCAGAACGCTCCAAAGAACCAGCCGTCTGCTGGTTGGGGTTGAATGAGACTTCCGAAGCAGTGAAGTCATAGCTGACCATACTGTCGCTGCTTGCATCACTATGTGCGACGCGACTTGTACCAGGGACGTTGTTCTGCTGGCCAGATAACACTCTCTTTAACTGATCCACTCGAGTAACAGAGTTCCGACTAGACCCGCTTGCGGGTGCAGGAGACTGTTCGCTGCCTCTCCTGAGTTTTTGTAGGGCTCCGAGTCCCCCAACAAGGCCATAGGTTGAGTTTGGCCGGCTTCGATGGCTGTGGTGAGTGTGATGCTGCGGAGATTGTGATCCACTATTCGTAGCTCCAGTATTTCCTTGCCCATTGACAGCTAAAAAGTTGCGGTGCCCAGTCACATTAGTACCAGTCTTAGAGCCATTTAAGGACACTGTTTTGCTGCCCTCTAGCACCATCGCAACTACAGCCTCCTTGCTCCATTCTGTCATCATCTGCTCCTTGATCTTATCTGGCATTGCATGGGCGTCTTCTCCTGTAGGCCCAGCATTGCTTAGGATTGGATGACTGAAGCTTCTGCCAGGAGACGTGGGTGGACTTGATGAAGGGGCTGATAACGATTCGGCATAAGAAAGTGAAATCAGCATGACCATTTGAAAGCGATCGTCAAAGGGCCGTAGTGACTCGGTCTCAACTTTTCCCATGGGAAGTGCTTGCTCCAACGTCGTTTGTCCAGGAGTACCAATCTGATCAAGGCTTATTGGAGGGAGGCGGACTCGCTCAATCCAAAACATCTTGCTGCGGCGCCTAGTAATCTCGGACTCGATGACTTTGCCAATCGGCGAAGTATCGAAGTCGAACTTCTCACTCAGAGTCCAGAAATATCCATGACACAAGCTGCCCATTCGAATCTTTGCCAAAGGAGTCTCGGCCTCAAGAATATCTTCTTGCAGCCGAAATATCATAGGTAACCCGTGTTTGACAGCATTGACACCCAAATTCTCTACAAGATTTGCAAGCAACAGGTGCAATAGAACGATGTCTGGTTCACTGTCGACGTATTGGAGAGCGTTTTCGTAGATCGCAAGATGAAGTAGTTGGAGGAAAGTCATCCGAGATAGTTTGACGGGTTTCTCTCGGTGTGATGCATTTGACACTGCTCGCTTTGATAAGTTTGTCGCTGACTCGTCCCGATTTGTTTTGGTCAAACCCTTTGGCTTCTCTTCGAATACTCGGAGATCGGCTCTTGTCACCTCTCGGTCGAGCCAAGTCAACAAAGCATCTGCATAGGCTTTTCGGACCCGGCCATCCGCATCCCGTAGAAGCCATTGGGTTCCCTCCCAGACGCGTACTGGGACTCGATTTCTCCCCAAGCTCCCAACGCCACTCATGTTGTTGCGAGTGCTTGCTACAATTAAAATGGATTTGATCGCTTCGAGAGCTTTAATTTTGGCGGTATCGAACGAGAAAAATCCATCTGTTCCAGAGTCTTCTGTCAGGTCACCAACAGACGTGATGGCAGCCGATGCAGCCACTGGATTCTCAATAGCAGAAACTGCATTGAATCCTCCACCCATAGGGGACGGCTTCAATCTCAACAGGATAGCGGAGACCATATCAGATATCTGATCAGCATAATATACGTGCGTGGCAAGATCACCTATGCACTGCTGAAGTCGATCCAACAGTTCTTTTCTCAGGTGTGTTGGCACCGCGGCAGTTTCAGCTGTCGCCACGCCACCGCTGGCAGTGGGTGATGGATCCCCAGACTCATACTTAGACACGCCTGTTCCATTCTCCTGTTGATAATGAGGTGTAGCACCATCCAACTGGAGCAATCTTAGTACATGCTGTATGAGGCCTAACAAAACGTCCATCACGCTCAGCCCGATCAAATTTATGTCCGACTTGAGCAGCGAGTCAACCATGGTAGCAAGAACAAGTTGGTGTCGGAGATTGGCGTCGGCAACCTGGCTTCGAACCAACGCATCCATGGCAGTCACCAGAATGATGTACCGATCCTGTACGGGGGTCCATCTAGCAATCATTTCAAATATTCTCGTTGCCCAACCTCTGTACTCTCCTCCACGAAGATAACTCTTCTCAATTACACTTTCTCCTTGGGCAACTCGATCCGCAGTAAACTTCAGCGTGGCTAAAGTCGCGGCATGGATTTGCGACCTGTTGTTCACCACAAAAACCTGTTTCAAACATTGTAGGGCCTTCACCCCAATATCTTCTTCCGCAACCTTGTCCGCATCGGCCGTAGTGGCAGACAAAGCCAGAGCATTGCCCTCTCCCGCTGTATCGGCTGTTCTTACAGTTGCAATACTGGTCCGTCGCCGAAGGAGCTTCTCAGTATCAACCTTCTCTTCCACTCCAGCTCGGTGCTCCAGAAGATCGATAAATTCATCATTATCGGTCCAAAGATTCTCCAACAAGATCGGGACTACTACATCCAACTGTCTCCCAGCAAGTGAGGCCAAGGCTTCAGAGGAAGCCACGCTTTTGATTGCCTGTAAGCCAGCACTTCTCCATCGAATCGCCACTGGTGCACTTGTGGGCGGTTTCGTTTGGGGGGGCCTTGTTGAGGCAAACGAGGCGTATATTCCCACTATCTCCTCATACTGATGTAAATACTCCTGGTCCGCCGAAAGAGATGCGCCATCGTGGTGTTCGCAGAAAGCTTCGAAGGTTGGGATGGACGATTCGACCATAGTAATGTCGCGCGAACGTAGAATTATGTTAAGGATCTTGAGAACATACGGGGCGTACAAAGGAAGGTCTCTTGGTGCCTTTTCGATCAACGAGGCCAGGATCTGGAGCGTAACTTGTACATTTCTATGCGATGAAGTTAGCAGGCAATACAGCACTCAAAAAGATACTCTCCAGTCTGTATGCTGCAGCTTCACATACCCTATTCTTGCTCGCCAGACATCACTAGCTGTCTTCTTCTCCAGAAATGCTCCCACCTTCTGCACCTTGCTGCGTCGCGTTGTCGCATAGTACAGCAAGTAGCTCAACTCGCTCGAATTTGGCTTCACATCGACGGCACCCTTGGTAGTTCTGGGGTAGCATTTCAAGATCAATACTTGATGCTTCGGCCGACATTTTTGTCGTATGGCGTGCATTTGGTCTGGCCGCGTCAACAACCCGGGATCACCGTCAGGGTTTCAGCCTAGGCAATTGCGTCGCAGGAGGGATTGCTCGAAATTGCGAAATGGAAATGGTGAAAGGCTTGGGTATCTGGAAGGTGTATTCATCATCTGCGAATGGCGATTCCGAGCGAAGGGAGAGGCGTTGGCGTCAGCTGAGTCTATCCTGATTTGTTTTGATCCGAGGCATCCAGTAGTCAGACTCCAGCCAGTGCAGACAAGCCAGATCAAGACGGATTATGGCCACGTTCATAAGTCCGCCGCGCGCATTAAAATTGATCCGCCCGGAAGCAGGTTAGCGTGGCACAGCGCATGATGACGCAGGGCAGAACCATCAAGCGAAAGACCCCTTGTGTTGTCCCTGTTCAGTGTTTACTGAGTGAGGTAGGGAGAAAAGCGGTTGAGCAACAACAGACCGTCCAGGTGGTTCAGCTCGAGTATTGTTTGATCGTTTAATCTGTCGTACACGTACCGGACAACTAGGAGACCGCATCCTTGTCCAGGTTGTCAGCCTCTGCATCACAATGTCTCGGAGATCACACGTCACTTTAGAGCAAGACACACAAAGTCAAGTGATTTTGGTCGAGTCCGCTGAGTGGATCTGGACGACTCCTCTTGACAATGCATGATCGAGGAAGGATGCAAGTATGGAGTGGATCTTCTATTATTCAGAGAAACTATGGGAAAGCATCATAATGCAACGCCTTGCGCTTTGTTGAGGCGCTATGCCCTGCCCCTCGAGGAAACGAAACACCAGGACTTGAAGATACCAATAGCGACAATGGAAGGACGTGAAGCCCAAAGGAGTTAACGTTTAGTTTATGTGTACAGGTGACCATAGGAATCCTCTTTCGCAAACGACCTATATGTCAACCGCTTGCCGATGAGCATAATCCAAAGCAGCCAAAATGTGCAAAAACGACGCCATCACACAATCATTTCCACCGCCTGCTCCACTCTCATCAGTCTCGCTCCTCAAGTCACCATCTTGTCCGTCAACTGTTGTTTGTGACCCAGCATTTTCCTGCTCCTGCTCCAAGAGGCTCGTTGCTATCTCTCGAATCTTGATCACCATGCTCTCACCATGACTTTCCAGAGTGTTCTGGGAAGAGAACTTCAGTACTTGAAGTGCCTGTCGAGTGATATCCTGCCTGTAACTTCGAAGCCGCTGAGCCTCAGAACGTGTTGAAGTGGGGGATTGTGGCGAGGTAACGGGTGGGAGGATGCTGAGATAGCGGTCGAGGATCCAGCATTGAAGATAAAGCTTAGTGATGTAAATATTTGATTTCATGATATTAAAGTGGTTGCTTTCTCGAGTTTGTTGATCGGGATGTCTTTGGAATTCAAGGATGTTGAGCTCTGGTGGAATGTCATCCAGAGCCGAGGAGAGAGCAGTGAAGGTGGCCAGAAGAGACGCTGGGGAGAGAAAGTGGCTCTGTTGTGTCTGAGAGTTTGGTTGGAAGAAAGTGTTGGTGACATGTACAGAAAGAAGACCTCGCAAGCAGCGGAAGACCCTGACGAGGGTGACAAAGCCTGCTATACTGGGCGTAGTTGTTACTTCAAGCGCGTTCAACGAAGCTGTACCCAACTCGTTATCTGAGACGGAGATGGGAAGGAGGAAGTCCCAATCTGCAGAGCTAGGAATCTCTCCGATCAAAGTGTAAGGTTCCGGATGTGAAATTCGATCATGTCTATTCATTGTCAGTCATTGCTCCTAAGTTTAACGATCCAACATACATCTGGACAATGTACAGCATCCAGAAAGCTCTTTTGCAAATCTCAGCTTGAACAGCATCCAAGTCTCTGTAGCCATCTTGGTGGCACAAATTGAGGGACCTACAACAATGGTTGCTTTCGTTTATCAAAATCCATCCTTGTCTTGGACACTGGGCGTAATGGCTTGCCATTCCAAGAAACAGCGAGCATATCAGATCATTGACCGACGGCGTTTCTGCCCAGTCTGGTGATGTAGCAAGCCGACTAGCCGTCACCAATACGCACGCTCTATTTACCATACCTTTTGTACTGGTGTAATGTCCAAAGCGGTAAATGTTTGCTTTTCGCGGAAGAGAGGCAATTGTCATCGCACAGAGCGACAAGCAAAGGCGAAGGAATTTCGGGTCCGTCTGGTACAGACTTTCTTGAATCTGAAAATTGAAGGATGGGACATGAATTAGAGGAGCGATGGGATACAGATCATGCAAAAAGTCTTCAATGATTTGGTGGAAGATCTGTATAGGACAAAAGTGCTCGATCGCCACCTGCGTGTTCAATGGCAGAGTTTGGTGATGAAGTCTCGGACTTGGCAAGTCATTCTGAACAACTTGTGTTTGTCTGAATCTTTCAAGATCTCTGCATATTCGTCAAATCAGGGGCAGAAGAGTACCTAAACATCATAAGACCACTGACCGTTGAGGACGTCCCCTTCGCTTCCGGGTCATTTGGAATGTGCAGTAAATTTCTGCTGTCATACACCCATCACACCGAGACTCGCTTTCGGCCCCATCAGCCCATGTACACTATTTCAATTAGGTAAGACAAATTTTAGTCCCAAAGGGCTGACCTTGATCTTCCTATCACGGCAACCATCGCAGGCTTTTCGAGCAATCTGCTGCCCTCGCCGTGACGTGGTCATTACACAATCTTTAACAGGGTTTCAATAAGAAATATTCGCTGGCATGAGCAGTGCTGAATTGCTGATATATTTGCTGAGTAAATATATGATAGAGCACCTCTTTACATAAAAGGAATAAGTTACGAGTTTCTCGGCGACTCTCCAATTCAGATGCGGTCAAAATAGTGTTTACGGCACGTGCTTCGGTCTCCACCTTCGTTTTAATAAATGGAACCCGCTGCGAAGATACGTCAAACCAGAAGGTCGACGCTTAGTCCGGGAATATCTACGTAAGTTAATGTCTTCGTTGATTGATTCTATCTCTACCTATGGATCGATATAGAAATCAGTGCCTACTTTTAGACTGAGATTGGCTTTCTTGTCATCGGGACTCGAGCTCGTCGACAGCCAGAGTCTATATTCTCCAGCCTGTACCTTCCACTTCCTTGTCTCAGCATGCCAGTAAGCTGCCTGCTGAGCACTCGGCCTGATAGATATGCTCTGTTTCCTGCCAGGCTCTAATCTGATCTTCTCGAATCCAGCAAGGCACTTGATTGGATGCTCCTCTGACCCAGAATTAGGTGAGAGGATATACATTTGAATAACTTCGGCACCTGCAACCTTCCCAGTGTTGGCAACATCAGCAGTTATGACCACTCCATTCCCGTTTAGATCCTCAAAACTACCATCGACCCCTGCATTGGTGAGTTCAAAGGTCGTATAACTCAGGCCAAAGCCAAACGGCCACCGCACTTCCTTCTCGGTACCCCACATTCTATCGAAATGTCTGTATCCGACGAAAATACCCTCCACATATTCGACTTGCCTGGACTCATAGCTATCCATGCCAAAATTTCCATACACAGCTGTATGTTCGTATTCTTTTGGCCATGAGATTGGCAATTTGCCAGAAGGATTTACCTCCCCAAACAGGACGTCGAAGATAGCATTTCCCGTTTCTTGTCCGGCGTACCAAGCTTGCAAAAATGCTGGAACGGAGTCAAGCCATGGTGTTGTGACAGCAACACCCGTCGTATTCACTACGATGGTACGAGGATTAGCTGCCGCTACCGCTGCAACAAGCCGATCTTGAGATCCATTTGCGGGCAAATTCATGTCGTTCATATCTTGGCCTTCCGTTTCCCACTGCGCGTTGTTACCAACAAAAACTATGGCTATGTCTGCCTCTTCTGCGAGTTTGGTAGCTTCTGAGAGCACATCAAGTTCCATTTCCGCTTGTGAGATGAAGCCGAGATGAGCAGCTATTTGGCCGTCGAGGAGGTAGAGCTCCCCGTTTGGTTCGGGGGACGGAATTGTGTCAATGCGAATTTCGTAAGACCTGCCAGCTTTGAATTCATACTGAGACTGGAGCTCGTCCTGCACGCCCAGAAGAAAAGACATCGAATCTTTAGTAGGCTTGTTTTGCTGGAAGAGGAGCACACTATCGATAAACAATTTCGATGGTCCCATTGTGCTGAAGCTTAGATATGGGCTTGACGAGCTAGATGGTGTGTATGTTGTTGTGAATCGGACACCAAGTTTGCCTTCGACTGCGGTGTCCATGAGGGTTGTGAAAGAACCTCGAGGAAAATCCGCCGTATGGAATGGTTCGCCCTCGAATGTGGAGTTCTTCCAGTACTTGGCGGTGAACCCTGGTTTCCCGGAAGAAGTCTTGCAGTCTTCTTCCATGTCAGGATATACCCTGAATATATGAGCTCCTGCAATAATTTAGCTTGACTCTAAGCAATGCGTGTACGATACTGAAATTTAGAAGTAACTTACCTTTCGAATAAGTCACATCAACATCAGACCCCAAGCGAGAAGAGAAGGCATTAAACGGGGAAATCTTGTAATGGCAATTTAACGACGCACTGCCTCCTCCATGGGCAGCAGCGTGCTTTGCAAGAGGGCCAAGGAGAGCAATCTTCTTGAGTTGACCCTTGTTAAGTGGTAAAATAGCCTCGTTTTTCAGCAACACGATGCCTTCTCCTCCAGCTTGTCGAATCAAATCTCGATGCTCAGGCAAATCCTGGGCAGTTTCTGGAAGATCTGCCCTGCGCTCACCGAATTTGCCAGTCTTCTTCAGAAGACGCAGAACGGCATGTGCACGGTCATTAATGGTGCTTTCTGGCACCTCACCAGCTTCAATGGCTGGCTTGACTTGTTCAAGAGCTCGCCACTTGGACTTTCCTGGCATTTCGAGGTCGAGGCTAGAGCAGGTAAGCATTTCCACTCGGTAAGGACCAGAATACAAACCCTGCATTCAGACTCTCAACTGTGCTGGTGGTTGCCCCCCAGTCGCTCATCACCAGGCCCGAGTACCCCCATTCCTGCCGAAGAATCCTCTGCAAGAATTCCTGACTGGTGTCAATGTGGGCGCCGTTGATTTTCGGGTAGCTAGTCATAAGACACCAGGGATCAGATGTCTTGACGACTATCTCGAAAGGCCGCAAGTAGATTTCTCTGCACTAGATTTAGCCGTTTGACTATCATCTTATTTCAAATGTACTTGCCTCAATGCACGCTCTGATATCAACTCATTGACAGAGAACCGTCTGGTGTCCTGCTCATTTCCCAAGAAATGCTTGATCGTGGCTCCCACATGCTCAGACTGAAGGCCCTTCACATACTCCGCTGCAAGAACACCAGAAAGGATGGGATCTTCTGAGAATGCTTCGAAGTTACGACCTCCGAGAGGCGAACGATGAGAGCAGACAGTCGGTCCAAGGAGCACATAAGAACCTTTGGTCTGAGACTCCTGACCGAGTGCTTTGCCAATCCGTTTTGTTAAAGCACGATCGAAGGTTGCAGCGATTGAGACACACGCGGGGAAACAAGCTGCTGTTGTCCCATCGAAGAATTGGCTACCACGTGCTCCATTTGGGCCATCTGTGACCTATTTCAAAAAATTAGCTGAGATTGATTACAGCATACATTGGAGTGCGTGCTCTCAGAGATGGGATGTTTAGGCGTTCAATGGGAACTGTTTCCCAAACGTTTGCTCCAGCGAGCAATGAGATTTTCTCATCAAGAGTAAGCTGGGTCAGGAGCAGGTTGATGTCGACTTCCTCGTGAGATGGTCTTATCGGAGACATGATTGCTGGACGTGTTTTTTATAGTCGGACTGCATTTCATCATGTTCAATTTATAGATGAGTCTCATTTCCACACAGCAAAATTCTGCCAAGCTAAAGAGATAATCAGTCCCAGTTTTCGTTCGCTTTCAGGGTCACATACATTTGTAGCATAAAGCATGACGGCTCATGGAAACGACATTCTCGACGTTCCCCCACTCTCAATCTACCTCCGAATCCCACATGCTGCACGCTAGATTCCTTTCTCCGTATATTCTCCAGCGAGGTGGGGACGAGGCGCTGAGTTGAGAAGCGGCACAGAGACTTTCGCCCCATTCTGGAGATCTTGATCCCTGTTAGACAGCTAAATCTGAGTAATGGAGGAAGCCAAGCCATTTGTCCTGACTCGCAAGCTCACACTACCACCACGTCAACACTCACAAACCAATCAGCTGGCCTGTTTCTTGATTACTTCCATCTTCGCCTGCTTATTCTCCAGGTATTCTCCGACCATTTTTATTTGAAAATGAGGACACGGTCCCTTTTCCCCCAGTTCCTAAGTCGATTCCATGCCCCTGGACCTGGAAACTGGACAAATCTGGAGACTAGTCTCCTCCGCCGCTCCAGGGTTGGCCTCCGCATATCTCCGCATAGATATGGGACCATGAACACCATGGGGCTCTCTTTTTATAAATATGACAATCAATCTCCGCGAATATTGCACGCCTGTCAAGCAAACCTTCTTATTCTGCATTGTTCTATACCACATCGCTCCGCAGCCTGGGTAGAATGGACAGGGATACATCAACTACGACACAAGTCGAAGCCGTGCCAAGAACAACAATGGCCACTTCGGAGACTGTTGCTAATTATGAAGAGAACCAACATCTTCAGACGAGAGTCGATGCCTTGAAAGAAAATTGGAAGGGAGTACTCTGGTGTAAGTGTCAAAACGTGCCTCCAGCAATTGTACTGATCTTCTTAGGTCTGTACTCGTTCTTCATCTGCTGCATGTTCGGATACGACTCTCTAGCCGGATCCGCAGTAATCTCTCTTCCAGCGTTCAGGGAGACATTCGGACGTCCATATGATGGAGACTACGTTGTTGATGCGAATTGGCAATTGGGGTTTCAAGCTGCTACACTTGGCGGTACTTCATCCTCACGCTCGCTGCACCGTGATTTGCTCTGACAGACATGTTAGGAATTGTCCTTGGTGGCTTTGTAACCGGATGGGCGACCCAGCGATGGGGACGCCAAGTCTGCATCTTCTCTGCTTATTTCCTTACCATTGGAGGTGTATTTATGCAATACTTCTCGTCTACCCCGGCAGAGTACTTTGGAGCTAAGATCCTGACTGGAATACCACTTGGTTGCTTCACTACCGTAGCTCCCACATACGCTTCGGAGATTGCACCACTGTCCATCAGAGGCGCTCTGACGTCTGGGATGAATTTTTCCATTGTCCTCGGTCAATTGATCGGGTTTGGTGTGATGAGGCAGACAACTCTGGGTCAATACTCAGGACCAATGTCCTATCGTATCTTGTTCGCTGTACAGTGGGGCTTTGCTGCTGTCGGGCTTGCTTTCTTGCCTTTCTTCCCGGAGTGAGTGACCATTGAATATGTCTTGAACTTGCTGACATCCCAGATCTCCGTACTGGCTTGTTTCTCATGGGAAGATGGACCAGGCGCGGAAGAACATTGCGAAATTGCACAACTCCAACTATGATGTGGATGGTCATCTGGCTGATATCAAGGCTGCACTGGACCGCGAGCGAGCGGAGAATGAGACCTCGGGATCGTACGCAGAGTGCTTCAACAAGGCCAATTGGAGGCGTACATTGGCTGCTGTCAGCACCCTTTTCATACAAAACGCATGTGGTAATTCTTGGGTGATCGGATACATGAGCTGTGAGCGTCTTTCCCAACTTCTCTTAACGCAGCATACTGACCAAGATAACAGACTTCATGCAACTAGCTGGTCTCCCCTCCGGACAAGCCTTTGACGCCACAGTTGGTCTTAGTGGGATGATGGTTGTGGGAAACATGTGTGGATGGTTCCTCGTTGAGAAATTCGGCCGTCGCGGTACAGCTCTTTACGGCTGCAGCATTCTCTGCGTGACGTTGCTCGTGATTGGGATTGTCGCCTGCATCAATACCTCGAGCGCCATTTGGGTTCAAGTTGCTTTCATGGCTGTTTGGTCGTTCGTTTACCAAGCAACAATTGGGTCTTGCGCCTGGCCCATCATCTCCGAGAATCCAACATCCCGCCTTCGAAGCCCAACACAAGCACTGGCTACTATGATGAACGGACTCAGCGGCGCGATTTGGGCTTTTGCCTTGCCGTATGCTGTAAATCCCGATCAAGGAAATATGGGAGGGAAGATCGCTTTTGTATTTGGCGGCATTCTGATCTTCGCGGTTGTGTTTATCTTCTTCATGATTCCAGAGTCCAAGGGTAGGACGTATGTCGAGATGGACGAGCTGTGGAGTCGTGGAATTCCTCCAAGGAAGTTTGCCAGTACTCAATTGGTGCCATTAGTGGGTAACGAAGAAAAGCTCAAGAGTGAGCACCTGGAGGATGCATAAAAGGACTTATCAGTTAAGAATTCATATTGAAAGAGAGTATATGGGATATAGACAACTGTATTTTGCTGTAAGTTAATACAGCCAAAGCATATAAGCAACGGAGGCATAACACATATGACAACTACTTGGCCTGACACTATCGAGGCTTTGGTAAGTCCACAGATTTGCCTGTTTGAACGAGTTTGCCGTCCTTGAGGTGACGGGTGGACGAACCATAATTACGTGAACATATACAATGGATATAAATCTAAGACATAATCAAAGAACCACTATATCAAAATATTGACACAAATCACAACTTCGATGAAGATACCCGTGACTCTTTGAGTCTCACGACTCCCTAATGAAACATTAATAAATTACTTTGTTCGGAACTCTGAACTGGTACACACCTCTTGGAAGCAAGTCGCGACTAGCGTCCCGTCTGCAGCGAACATATGCTGCTGAACAACCCCTCTCCCGTCCCCAGACCAAGGGCTCGCCATTTCAGTGAACATCCACTCGTCAGCTCTGAAGCCCTTTGGCTCATGGAAATAAATGCTGTGGTCCAGGCTGACCATCATACCAATCTCAGGTAACCCTTTTGGATTCTTGACACCTTCAGAACCATCTTCGTCCCTCAGGTTCGATGGATCTCCTGGTCGGTATAGAGGATGTATCCGCGACACTGTACCGATGAAATATGAATCTGACATATATGCCAACGCACTGAGATGTGCCTGGTGTCCTCCTTCTTCACTGATCTTGCCCCTAGCCTTGATCCATTGTCTCGTCCGCTTTTCGTGTGGATGTTCGCTGTCTCGATTCAATATTTCGATCCTGCGACTTATGAAGGGGCTCGTCCCAATTGCTTCTACATCTTGACAATCATCATCCGGCAGCTGCACCTCTTTCGGAAGAGGTACAGCATGCTTAACCTGCTTCTTGCCTCCGCTATTTTCCCGCATAAATGAAAGCGTCGTTGTAAAAATAGCCTTCCCCCGTTGCCTGGCTTGCACAGTACGAGTTGCGAACGACTTGCCTTCCCGAACGTGTTCGACGTAATACATGACTGGAATTTCGGAGTCGCCTGCGAGCACAAAGTAGCAGTGCATACTATGGACCGAGAAGTTCGAAGGAACGGTCCGCTGCGCTGCTGCTAGACATTGTGCAATAACAGCGCCGCCGTATATTCCTCGGGCTCCTGGTGGATGCCAGAGCGGCCTGGTGTTGGAGAAAATGTCCTGTCGCAGCACACATCAGAAAAGGATTTTCCCAACCAGATTTAGATGGCAGAAAGGGATACGCACTGGAGCAATTGCTGCTAGCTCCGTTAACTCTAACACATTCTCAATGGCCGCTTTGTTTGGATTGATAGGTGGTGGAGGAACCAGGGTTGGACGATTCGCCATGATTCCTGAATGTGTAAGGAAAACCCGCTGCGAGTTACACCTGTTGAACCGCTGCGCTGCTGGATACCGAAGTTGATCGATTTGGATTGGAGGTCTAAATGGTGCGAGAACTGGAAAGATGAACTTGACGCGTTTCATTCCTTTTGTTGAACATAGAAGCCCCAGCTTCATCATGAAAGGTCATGTCCGTACCGAGTCACGGCCGCCCATTTCATTTGTCGGCAGTCCGTCTTGGCGGATCAGGTGTGGCGCCCTGGCTCGCCTGGTACTGTAAAATGTACCTACGGGTACAGCGAGAGCGTACATCACATGCAAGTTATAACTTAACCGAGAGCCCCTGAATTACTTGTTTACACATCTGAAACTTCAGGAGTTCAGGGGTTCGGTAGTCCGAGACGACATACGAGGTTTTGCAAAGGGATTGAACGGTGTTGGCCAACAGCCCCTAGCGAAGGTCATGATGAACACATCCACATGTGTTGAGAGCAAGCCAGCAAATCCCAGAAGCCAAACCTACACTCGCCTGAATGATATTAAATGCCAACGATGAGAAAGTACGCTGTCCAGGTGATGTCTTAGCCCAAATAAATTCAAAACGTGGCTCTATTCTCCAGTAATTCTTCATAGAAATTTCCAAGCCATGTTTTTGACCGCCCAGAGGGCGTAATGTCTATTCTCTAAAGCCTGTCAACAAATCAAAGCTCTGCAAGCGCCCATCCCGCCATGAAATACTGAACGAATATACCTTCATCCAAATGTCATTACTTCGACCATCTTTACAGTGGCGTGGTCGAAGTGTCCATTACATCTGAGAAATACTATCCAGTTCCATCCAATGGACCCCACTCTATCGCCAACTTCTCATTCTGAATTTATGGCAGTCGCAATTAGCGTTTTTCTCTGTTGGGACTGGCTGCCGGGAGAAGAATTTTGGAGCACTCTATTGGCAGCTGAACGTGTCTGGCAAGTATCCACTTGCATCTGTCCAGTTTATAATGGATGGTGGAATCTACTTCGCCGCATTTCAAAGGGCGCGTTGAAGCCTGTCATCATCACTCCATCTTTCAACTACTCAACTACTTATCTTTGAATGTATGCAGTAACTATTCTTTTGAACACCGTTTAGGGGCAGGAATGGAGCGGGATGGTGTTCAACGCATCAGCAACAATTGTTGATACTAGAACCATCAGCACGATAGTATGCCTCAGGTGAACGATAGAATCTCATCTTCGACGTTACAAACACTGTCGCTTCGACGCCCAGAGCATACATCCATATATGACTAAGTAAATCATACACAATCACGATACTTGGTTCCAGGCTATTCTACTACATGACCAATGGCTGACGTGTCCTGGATTGTGGCTTCTTATGAGGTGATGAAAGCATTTGCTGTCAAAGTGGGATTGCTGCTTGGGGTGCGGCTCGAACATCCTCGTGGCGTTTTGAGGCTGCTGGTTCGTCCCGCGTGCAAAAAGATAATTAGATGTTAGGTCGAAGTGGATGAGAAAAAAGTAAAAAGACGAGTGTTGTGAGTACGCGGAGTTATTGGACAACACAATATTAACTCTGTGACGCAACTACAGTAAATAGAAATGGATCTTGTATTGACTGTGGTGCTTGGCAGTTCATGGTAAGCGAGCCTCTCCTCATCCTAAACAAATCTTACCGTACCCTGCAGCTACATTGACGACTTCTGTGGACAGGTAAATTGAACACTTCGCAGTTATTGAGATTTTGCAAAAAGATCAGTAATTATCTTGTTATTAATACTGTCTGCTCAAATCCAAATATAGTACAAAAAATTCAGTCCCAAACACCATCGCTGAACGCTAAAATTACATCTCGCTGCAAAAGTCAAGAGCACAAGCAAGTCATAAATCATGACACATCATACCATCATTACCATTCCTTGAAGTCAATCCAAGTTTCAGCTTCAGACACTCAAGCTGTCTTGGGTGTTGTAGGAAGTTTGGAAGGAACCAAGTTCCCTGCACCACTACCAGCCTGGGCCTCAATCACCCCGATCTGTTGGCCAATGACTGCGCTATCACTCGTTCCATCACCATCGATAACATCAGTCAAGCCTTCTTGGTACGCCGCAGCGTCTGGACTGACCAAGCTGATAATGGCTGCCGTTCCAGCACCAGCTTTATCAACTTGGCGTTTTGCACCTGCAGGAACTTTCGACGGCACCAAATTGCCTGCACCAGACCCGGCCTGAGCCTCAATAACACCAACCTGCTGACCAATAACAGCACTGTCACTCGTACCGTCACCATCGATAACATCAGTCAAGCCTTCTTGGTACGCCGCAGCGTCGGGACTGATCAAACCGATGATGGCGGCCGTCCCAGCACCGGCTTTGTCACCTTGGCGCTTTACTCCAGCAGACTTGAGGAGGGATGCAACGTTCTGCCCAGCCTCTTTGACTGCTAAGCCAGAACCAGTATCGCCATCGGTCAAGATGGCATTGCAGCCATCTCCGACGCCTGCTCCTTGTCGCTTAGCTCCAGCGGATTTGAGGAGTGAGGCGGCGTTTTGACCGGCTTCCTTGACAAGGAGGCCAGAGCCAGTATCACCGTCGGTCAGAATGGCTGACAGAGTTGTTAGCTCGAGGCCTTTGATGGGATTTAGGGAGATGTTGGGACGAACCATCACAGCCAGCACCAACGCCAGCACCCTGTGGGATGGGAGCCGCAACGGCGAGAGTGGAGGTGAGGGCGAGGAATCGGATGGCGATCGAGAAGTGCATGATGCTGGAAGTTTGGAGATCTGGAGAATCCCTAGGTAGTATTGAGGTCAAGCGTGCCGAAGACCTTTAAATCTTACAATGCTTTGTTGTGATGATGAAGAGAAGATGGTCAGTGACGTGAGGTGACGAGTGGGTGATTTATAGATTTTCAGTAGATCCGAATCACATAAAAGAGACGACAATGATGAAATATTCAGCTACAGTTGTGGCTCTCTTGACGATTGTTCTCTTACCAAATAGATTGCTCGCCCTTACCGCATCCTCCTTGAGTCCAGACTGTCGATCTCCCGTGAAGCTTTAATACAGATAACCGAAATCTTTGGGACACTCATACTGTTGACCTCAACTCTAAAGTCTAAATTGAAGAAATAGTCGAGCCGAAGAGTAAATTGACAGCCCCCGACGTAAGCTGACAGTAGCAGGGTCAACAATGACCAAACATTCTGTGATGGTAGAAAAGCTCCCTCAACAACACCAACCTCAAAACGCAGAACAAGACTGTAGATCTCTCCGAAGTTTCATCCCGGAACAATCTGTGAACAAAGAAATAAAGTTCAGCCCAAAATTCCATCTCGTACAGCTTAGAACCTCTGACCAATCCACTCTCTGCCCCCCCACGACGCCTAGTCCCAGCGCTGTGGTAGCTTTTAGCAACCAAGCTTTAACAAGCTTTAGGCACTAAAGCTTAGCACTAGCCGCTGAAAAACAGCCCTATCATAGCCTCTAGAGTCTGCCACATTTTCCCGCGGGGATCTTCGGACCTATTCTAGACTTCCCAGTGAGACGTAGATGGCTTTTTTGGTTGCGCCCAAAGACCCTTATTATTTCCTAACTCTTGTGGACAACACACTATACTTTTCTTACTTTGGGCATGTGGCTTTCTCTAGAGGTGCAATTGCAGACGAGTCTGGGAGACGATGACGCAAATTGGTCCCTTTTTCAGCCAGACTAAGGAGCTCAGTTTCAGCCTCCAGTGAGAGTGATTCCGGTCTTCCGAACTTAGTTGAAAATCCAGGAGAAGAACATGAACCAAAAGATGACTGAGTTGATTCTGAGAAGAGACCACTCTTGAAAGCGAAGATTCCAGTCGCCCATGTGCGGGGAAAACAAGTTGGCTTCAATTAGTTGACTGACTTTGAATGAGGTGAGTATGCAGCATGACGCCAAATTAGAGTAGCGCTTGGGAGCTGTGTTCGGTTATTGAATGTGACAATTGCTTTACCTCTTGCTTCGCTCGTCTCTTAGGTGCTGATGGAGACTTCTCACACCACATGGGACGGTATGCATGATTCAATAGTTTACCTGATGAAAGTAAAGCACTATCATATGTGATTTCCTGCGAGCGTCTTTCTCACTATCTGACTTCACGGAAGGATGCACGGCTGAAGCACCAATTGCCTTCGCCGGATGAGGCATATGCAGGTCGACATTACATGCTAGTATTGGATATCTATTCCAAATCATGTAATGAAGGCGCCTTGAACGACATCCACTTGATTTGAAATTCTGATAAGAGAACGGAATGTTCCGAAAGAGAAATGATCTGCGTTCGAGACGTGAGCTGTTGTCTTTCACACTTTTCCTCGCGCAACCATAAAAGTTGCGCTGAACTTCAGAAAGGTTCACAAATGATTCTCATATTGGTATATTGGCATAATATTTTTTGGACTCTCAACAGAAACTTCCTGCCACTATTACAAGATTTCGCCCCTGGTTGGACTCTAGCATCTTGTGCTCAATATCGTTCATGTTGTATCTGTGACCTACTTCGTGAAGAGCCGAAGCGTAATTAGTTGTTCTCCATACATACGCTCTTATTGGTTCTGAAGTCTTGATACCGAATTGCTCAAGATTTAACTATCTTCTCCAATCATGTCGCTCGGACGATGCAGAGAACCGTCTTTTCGTACGACTCCGCTCTTATCGTGGTTGGTCAAAACTCGTTGTCATGCTCGTCGAGTCAAATGTAGAATGTGCAACTCTGTAGAAGTTTCCGAAATTTACCTCTACACCACCGAGTCTTACATGAAGGCTTGCGTGTTCGAGGACTTCGGAATTTCGAGCAACTGGGACAAAACGATATTCGTGTTGGAAAATTCTTGTGCTGCATTGGTAAGGGGAGGAAATAACTTGCATTTCAACAATGCTAGACATAAAAGGTAGATAGACGTCACTCCTGATTCTGTTGATATCTTTCTAGAGTCAATATCTTATCTGGCTGGAGGAGGATTGTCTCCGGCTGGTCTGAGAAGAAGGTTAATGGCGCCCAATAGCGGGATCTCATCACGACGGCTCGAGACGAGATTCTAGAGACTACCATCCGCCAGGGTCTAAACACACGCTTGTATTGATGCCACTTCGATGATGAGTTAGGTATCTCTGGATCTTCTCATGCATTCCCCCTCATTCACCGAGATCAATCTCCTGTCTTTACTGTATATATCTTTCTGATCATTCAGAGCAGCCTTGTTGAAAGCAACTGTGCCTGGATGTGACATACCAGTAGATGAACTCTCCATCCCCAGCGGCTCTGAGTAGACTAAGATGCATAAATAGGCTTAAGGATGGGCTGCAGTTGCCGTCATACCAATGGCACCAACCAAAGGTGGGGACCAATTGTCTAGCATAAGCATTCCGCTGGAGGGTAGACTAAGATTCTGGATGGCTGAAAGGCTAAGCTAGTGTCTCAGCATTGGGAGCTTTGCGTTTAGCCCATATCTTCCGGATCTGGCATAGGACATGAGCGAGACCTGTGGGCTGCATCTGAGTAGTTGCCACACTCATTCAAAGGCTGCCATATATTTCGGCGGAGCCTACTACGAGGTAAGGCAATGGTCATCTCTAGCGGCCAGAGCTCATCAAGAGACCCCATCGGCCCTCTTGAGAATTGAGCCAGTGTTTCCGGTCAAGAAAAGAGCTGACGTCTCATTCCTGCCACGGATTCTGTCTCAGCACAGATATTCAGTCTATAGGATCGGCAGAATATCTCAGTCATAGTGGGTATGTACTTATTCAACATCATGCACTGAGTAGAAGCAGCTGAAGTTCGTTGGGGGACTGAGATGTGAACACCGTACTTGAGAGTGAAAGCCTTTCGGGATGATCAACCACAAGACCATCCAAGACTGGCCATGGTTTCATGGCTTCGACCATGACGGTAGGGAGTATAATTAGGCGAGCATGTGACGAAAACAAGTTGCTAAAACCCCAATAGAGGTACGTATATGAGGAAGATATACGCATCAATCCATCACCAACTCATGCGGGGACCAGATGATGACGAGGTAGATGAGCAAGTACGTTCTCACTGACTTGAAGCTTGACAAAAGTGCCATGTTTCGTCATTTTCGCACTTTGGAGCGTGATAAAAGCGCGGCCTGTGAGAGTCAAACAATGACGAAGAACATGGCAGTGATACCTGCTTGGGCGGCCAACCATCTTTGCATTAGAACAGTCGCACCAGACCATGGCGAATGAAGAAGTAGCCGGTAGAGTGAAATGTACGACTTTGACTTTAATAGTGAGGCTGTCTTCTACGCCAGAGATGAGGAGGACTTGTCCTCATGAGGGATCTCTCGGAAAATGCTGTTGACGGGTACTCTTAATACCCCTCAAATTGGCAAATGTTTAGCGGCATACCACGTTATTAAGGCTTGTAAGTATGCTTGACAACTGAGCTTCTCGTCAGTATCCACTTGAAAACCTGGTACCGTCGCTGAGGTGTTTTCCATAAGAGACGTTGCATGATTCATTAGAAGGAATTATGTTGCTGTGTTGACCATATTTAAGCATCCAAGATTATGGTGCTAAAGCTTCATCAGCTTCACTTGAAGCTACGAGTCACAACCAGTATGTATGAAGAGGGCGTGAAGAGTGTACTACTCAATGGCGTCTTTTTTTTTCAACTCATGCCTAGCCGTCTGCAAAGAGCATCCCTTTCATTCTATTGACTGCTGTAGTTAACTTTGGAAGAATCTATATAGCAATTATCAATCAGTCACATTAGACGCTTCTAACATTGTGAAGATGACCGTCAAGGTTCCGATACCAGCGAGGTTGATATCCAGACTGAGACCTTTAATAGTTCGATAGAGTATGTCCTGATTCCAACGGCTTGCGCTGGAACCAAATCAAGGACATAGGCAGAGACAAAAAAGTTAGAACTAAGTTAAAACCAGTAGCTGCGTGTAATTTAGCTACTGGGCAAACGTTAAAGCCTACCTATTTGGGTTGCTAGGTTGGGCTTGAGCATCAGTCACGATCTCAGGCTATCTTTCATTCTTTATTCAATCCAAATCGAAGTTGTAGAACTTGTGTATCCATGCTGAAGTGAGGCAACTACAGTTTCTTATCCAACTTCAGATGTTTTGTATGTTGGTTTACATTTGAAACGAAAGACCAAGGCAGGTACAAGATTGGCGAGATTGCCAGGAAAGAATGGGTAAGCGGTCATATTACGGCAAAGACGATTACCATGACCACGATAGAACAATTCACCGCCCAGCACATCCTGAGAAAGACTCCTTTAATAGTGCTCGGAGGAAAATTGTCTGCGGAGGAAAAGTGAGATGCAGAATGCCGGGAAGCTCAGTCCAAGTTGAGGTAAGTCACGGGCTTTACAGAATCAAGAGCGACACGATGGCAGCAGGATAGATGTTGACAACAAACAGTTGATAAATTGAGGCCCGCTGAACGAAGTGACAAAACCCTTGTCAAACAGCAGACTTCGATCGTTCTTGGCTGGAACAGTAAGAAGACAGCTGCTAAAGTACTCTTGCGAGTTATTAGAGAGCGTTGAAATTATTGCTCTAGTCCTTCCCTCATATGGTGACCTCCACTTATACATCGGATGTAGCATTTGAGCGTTCTTCCGTAAAGCTGCGCTCTGCTGCTACGCGTATTGTAGTGTCAAATCGCGCTCATGCAAAAGTGGCGGAGTAGGGGCGGCGAGCAAATGGAATGGGTTGGAGTGAGTCAGGCGGCGAATCAGGAATAACTTTCATGCCTCACAGTGTAGATTCGCGGGTCTTTGTGCCTGCAGACAAAGGTGAGAATGTCATGGCAACTCAAAGAAGGATTCAATCTGGAGAGATGACCCGTGTAGTAGAGAGACAAAGCAGCATGGTGGCAATGTGAAAGCAACAATTCATAGAAACTGACGTAGTTGATTGTCAAATATGCAAAGGGATTCTGACAGATGGCAGAGCTTTCACTGATATCGACTTCAGAAGATAGTATCCGCTGCAGCAAGGATGAAACACAAACGGCAGTAATAGGGAGGAAAAATATGTAATGACTCCTCAAAATTTAACAATATTGACTTGACTACAACAGCTCATAGATCGGATCATCATATATTGAGCTGCAATCTCCGCGTTGTTTCCTCGCTCCTAAGGATGTGAAGCAGTGGTCTAATGGAGGGCTCTGAACTCCTAGATCCATTTACTCATCTTGGCCCATGACTCCAAGCCCGATGTAGACTCAGATCTGAGCCCAAAATAGTGCCGATAGCAAGTTGAATAGAAAATTTCAAACAAAGGCGGTGCAGAATTCTTTGTTGGCCGGGAGACTACCCCTCCTGCTCTGTGTTACCCCACTTTCATGTGACCGCCGGAGGAGGATGAGGGCATCGTAGGATCTGATTGAATCCACACTCTTTTGAAATCATCAGGTCGCCATTATGAAGTTACATATAATGTCTTCCGTCTGTATTCATGGTATCACTATTAAATACACTCTGTCGGCCTGACTCAATGACGTTGATTCTTGACGCTGAGGAGGAGAATTCGGCCAGACGCTAGCGGCCTAGCGTGTAACGGCCTGCTCGCTTAATTTTTTGGTCCACCACTTGTCCCGCACCTACAAATTCCTCGACCCTCCTCTTCAAAATCTCTTCTCTTCCTTTCCTCTTCGTCGCACATACCCCGATTCAAGCAATCACTCTGTGCAGTACGTCTTCAACACCCACGATCCACTACAAGAGCCTTCCTTGCTGACTTCGACCTCAACAGATTCAACTCTTTTCAAAAGAAAAAAACACACAAACCGTCAATAATCCACAACCGCAATCATGGGGTGAGTCAAATCCATCTTCCTTCCTGCGCCAGCCTTCTGCTATCCACCATCCATCGAGGACATCATGGCGATGACGATCTTGATCTTAATGGACACTTTACTGATCCAGTTCTCCCTCTGCAGTAAGGAGAAGATGCACATTAACGTGGTCGTTATCGGCCACGTCGATTCTGGAAAGTCCACCACCACTGGTAAGCCAACCTCCAACACCTTTACAACGACGTCTCCTTCAAACAACTCGCTCACAATATACAATAGGTCACTTGATCTACAAGTGCGGTGGAATCGACAAGCGTACCATCGAGAAGTTCGAGAAGGTAAGAATATTTCTTTGTCGATGTCTTGAATTTACCCCTCACCTCTGCCTTGCTGCTGGGCTTATCGCAAAATTTGCCCCTCGGTGGGGCATCCCACATTCGATTTTTCTGCGCCCGAGCGTTTACACTGCAACACCTCGCCGCAGTTGCTGCCCAACAACAACACAACCTCACCCCACCTTCCTAACTCGATATTACCACAGCTTTACATTATCGCACCGCAATGTCTATTACAGCTGCTGACCCTCACAATAGGAAGCTGCCGAGTTGGGCAAGGGTTCATTCAAGTATGCGTGGGTTCTTGACAAGCTAAAGGCTGAGCGTGAGCGTGGTATCACCATCGATATCGCTCTCTGGAAGTTCGAGACCCCAAAGTACTATGTCACCGTCATTGGTATGCTACCCATTCTCAGAATCTCATATACATGCTAATCTTCTGCAGATGCCCCTGGTCACCGTGATTTCATCAAGAACATGATTACTGGTACCTCCCAGGCCGATTGCGCTATTCTCATCATTGCCGCCGGTACTGGTGAGTTCGAGGCTGGTATCTCCAAGGATGGCCAGACTCGTGAGCACGCTCTCCTCGCCTACACTCTCGGTGTCAAGCAACTTATCGTTGCCATCAACAAGATGGACACCACCAAGTGGTCCGAGGCCCGTTTCCAAGAAATCATCAAGGAGACATCCAACTTCATCAAGAAGGTCGGATACAACCCAAAGACTGTTGCCTTCGTTCCTATCTCTGGATTCAATGGTGACAACATGATCGACAACTCCTCCAACTGCCCATGGTACAAGGGTTGGGAGAAGGAGACCAAGGCTGGCAAGTCTTCCGGCAAGACCCTTCTCGAGGCCATTGATGCTATCGACCCACCTTCCCGCCCAACTGACAAGCCCCTCCGTCTTCCTCTCCAGGATGTTTACAAGATTGGTGGTATTGGCACGGTGCCAGTCGGTCGTGTCGAGACCGGTGTCATCAAGGCCGGTATGGTCGTCACCTTCGCCCCCGCTGGTGTCACCACTGAAGTCAAGTCCGTCGAGATGCACCACGAGCAACTTGTCGAGGGTCTCCCAGGAGACAACGTTGGCTTCAACGTCAAGAACGTCTCCGTCAAGGAAATCCGTCGTGGTAACGTTGCCGGTGACTCCAAGAACGACCCACCTAAAGGAGCTGAGTCCTTCAACGCCCAGGTCATCGTTCTTAACCACCCTGGTCAAGTCGGTGCTGGTTACGCCCCAGTCCTTGATTGTCACACTGCCCACATTGCTTGCAAGTTCGGTGAGCTCTTGGAGAAGATCGATCGTCGTACCGGTAAATCCATTGAGAACGCCCCTAAGTTCATCAAGTCGGGTGATGCTGCCATCGTCAAGATGATTCCATCCAAGCCCATGTGTGTTGAGGCCTTCACTGATTACCCACCTCTTGGACGTTTCGCCGTTCGTGATAAGTACCCCCTTCCCTTTGCTTCTTGATCTCTGCTGACTTTCCTTTCACATATGCGCCAGACAGTTGCAGTTGGTGTTATCAAGTCCGTTGTCAAGTCTGACAAGGCCGGAAAGTGAGTGATTTCATTCGAAATTTTTAGACCCCGAGCTTCACTAACTGAATTTCTCCAGGGTCACAAAGGCTGCTGTCAAGGCTGGTGCCAAGAAGTAAACTTCCCAAACTTCCGAAAATTTGTTTTCCTGGTCGCAATGTGTCAAGATATTCGAGGCTGGGAGATGGTATGGGTTGCTACGGTCTAGATAGCTATTTTTCGCGAAGAATGGCAATGGATTTCTGAACACCTGAACTTGCAAATATCTCTCGGACAGTGAAACCTCTGTGACGATTGAAACCCCCTTTGTTCCCTTACCGCCACTTGCATGATAATTTACCTGCCGCTTATCCCCTAAGCTGCCGTTCAGAACACACATTTCTCTAGAGGCCTAGGGTAGCGCCTATGCCCTGTAATTCAGGCAGTCACTAGAACGTTAGCGCCTCGCTTCAGCACTACGCCCTGTAAAAGTGTGTTAACAGCAGCTTAGGGGATACGCCTCAACCATCAAGTTGATGCGTCGCTCCTGCCCTTCCTTCCCACCCCACCTGAGTGCCGCCACCTTTTTGTATGTATAATTTCCACCTTGTCCCCTTCACCTCTTTCCGAGCCTTGATGTAGCACATCGAGGTCTCCAATGCAAGATTGAGTTGGCGTTTCCCGACGCTTAGACCTGAGTACAAGAAAATCGTACAAACATATGAATATAGGTGGAGCTTTGTATGAGAAGCCCAGCTAAGGTCTTAAGCGTCGGGAAACGCCAACTCAATCTTGCATTGGAGACCTCGATGTGCTACATCAAGGCTCGGCATAGAAACCCTGCCTACCTGATGAGCGCTTGACATAGTAATACGCCAAATACATCAGACATTTTGGTGATAGTCAATCCAATGTTTGAAACACCAGCAGCTCCTCGGGGAGAATGGAAAATGTGTCTCTGCTGGGAACAAGAGGCTTGAGCTTTTGTTCGTCTGGTGCACCGATATACCCCGGCAAACTCGTTGCTTCTACCTACTTTCTGGGTATCCGCGTATCAGGTTGGAGAGTCATTGAAATCGTGGTTGGGAGAGGTGTTTCGGCCAACGTGTGCTCTGATATTCATTCAGGACATACATCTCAAAACACACCTACGATCGGCCACGTTGGGATCTGCCAACACAATGTCATTACTTCAAGTATGCTCGTCTCTTCAACGGTTCTACATATTGACATCATAGATGTTCTGGATGATGGCAAGTACTTTCATCCCCAGCCATCTAACCGCTTATCAGGTACCCAGCAGAGGGCTCGTCCCTCTCTCCTAAGCAGTTCCTATCAATATAACACGACCAGGATATCTGTCAGAAACAGGAGAGTGAGAATTATGTGACCAACGAAAACAGACTCGACATCTATGCTGTCTAGGCGTCCAAATTTATAGTTGATCAGCTTACAAATGTCTTCTTTTCTTTATGGGACTTTGGTCAGACACTACGAGACAATATATCGGATCCATGGCATGGAAATGTCACGCATGGTTCTGTTGAACGGGCGAAGTTACTAGTCTCACACCGAAGGGTTCTTGCAAGCACTCCTGAGGGGATTCTGCCGATTCTTGCGTTCAGCTCAATGTTCCAACGAGTCTTCAGTACTTCTACAACTACGGAAGTCTACTGTTGGACACCATTGCATTGGTCAGAGACAAAGAATTGGCGAGTGCATAATCCGACTTGATTGAAAGTCTCGGATTATGCGATGTGGCTGGGATCCCGCAACCCCACTCATGTCTGGCGCCGCCAATCGGTAGGTAGGTGAAACTGCCGAATGTCCTCACGAGGTCTGAGGACTTTAATAAGAGAACTTGTAAGCGAAAAGATGGATCCAGATGGCCCTGTACGGGATATGCTTCTCAATGTTTTTTCCCAGGTTCTCCAAAATTAGCAGGGTTTGAGCTGTATTCGCAGGCCACGACACAGGTATCGAAGGCTGAATAAAGAAGTCGAGATGACAAATCTTCGCACCCGACCTTGGTCAATAGAATGTTAAATCACCTTTATTTACCAACAATCTTTGACCGAAATGTTGTCAACTGTGATCAGAATACCCCGGGTCTCGCTTATTTGTTGCGAGTCAACAGAAGGGTGCTTGCCTTACCGTCGGATTATTTTTCTATTTGATGTCGTTGGATACTTTGAAGATATGGGAAGACTGAGACCACTTAGTTCATCATCAAGCCTAAAGGAGTTTCAGACTCTGGATAATCAGACCTCAATCCACGTTAGGATGCAAGGCCACTTCTCTCTGAGTAGCTAAGCTCGCTAAGGAAGCTCACACGAAAACATGCATCTGGAGGCTTTCCCAATGTCCATTGGGTAAACCAAAAGCATGTTATTACTCGCCCAGAAGACTCAGAGATCTCATGTTTGATCTGGACCACTCCCAACTCACCCATTATTATCTTTCACAATTGAACAGTATGATCGGGACCTCTTGCGGCAGTTGCGGAAACTGCGGGGACTTATCCCGCCACGTGATACAGGTACTTTCAACCCTGACACAAATCCCCACATGCCTCTCGCAAATCCCCCGCATATGGGGAGCCGATATCAGTACCCGGCTGACGAGTGAAGTCCAAAACATTGACAACCACTGACAAACCTCGCACCAACCCCAATGCGTTGCCTTTTTCTACGTTTCCGCGATTTAGGTTCATGACTCCTAGGTAGGTAGGCTTTAGTCCGACTTGTTTCGGATCGGAAAACGCGGAAAGTATAGAAGCTATCCAGCTACAAATACTCTGTCGACCCCGCGTTAGATCCAACCATCCTCGCTCTCTCTAGGTCAATCATTCAGATAGCAGCAGCAATTGAACTTCAAAATGGCATCCGAAGAGATCAACGTGCCTCCTATGAAGGACTTAAATATCGACAACATTACAGAAAACACCATTATAATCAATTCGCAGTCCTCGGACCCACGCCTTACCTATGTGATGGAAAGACTGGTTACGCATCTCCACGATTTCGCGAGGGAAACGAGGTTGAGCACGACGGAATGGATGGCAGCTCTGAATTTTCTTGTTAGAGTTGGACAGATCAGCACTGATGTGCGCCATGTAAGTCTGCTGCACGCCTCAAGTCTGCCCTCTCATTGACTCGTAATTACCAGGAATATATCCTCCTCTCCGATATTCTTGGACTCTCTCTCCTTGTTGACGCAATTGACCACCCGAAACCTCCAGCGAGCACGGAAGGATCCGTCCTCGGTCCATTTCATACACACGAAGCAGAAACCATGAAACATGGAGACCTCATGTCGCAAGATACTGAGGGAGAGCCTTGCTTGGTTCTCTGCACCGTCAAGGATGTCAATGGGAAACCAATTGAAGGGGTCAAAGTGGATATTTGGGAAACGGATAGTACAGGCCACTATGATGTCCAACATGCCGACAGAGAAGGGCCAGATGGAAGATGTGTGATGAAGAGTGACAAGGATGGAGTGTTTTGGTTCAAAGCAATTGTGCCAGTGCCGTATCCAATTCCACATGATGGACCTGTGGGTCAGTTATTGAAGCTGCTGAAGAGGCATCCATGGAGACCAGCACATATGCACTTCATGTTTGAAAAGCCTGGCTGGGATCATTTGATCACGTAGGTCTCAACCGACATTCTACAAATTTTTAACCAAGTTAACACTTATTGCAGTGCCCTGTACATTCGTGGCGATCCATACGAGACCTCTGATGCAGTTTTTGGTGTTAAACAGTCTTTGATTGTTGACTTCAGCCCAGCCGATGCGAAAACGGCAAAGGAATACGGAGTGAAGGAAGGCAGTAAGGTGCTAAGACATGATTTCGTCTTGGTTGACGAGAAAGAGACTGAGAGGCTGAGGGATGAGAATGCTCTGAAGGCCCTGAAAGCTCTTGGACGGAAAGTGAAGCTTTTAAACCATTTGCCTATTCCCGATTTAGACTGAGTATTTAGTTGATCGCGGAAGTAGCAAACAAACCACCATGAGGATCACCGTGCAATATTGCAATGCTGGAATGATACCAAAGTGTACTCACACTGCTGTATTTATTATTAGAACAAAAGGCGGTTCCAGCTTTCCAAAAATGATTATCCTCGGAAGCCCTTGCATACCTATTTGCACCTGAGTGCATTGTGGAGAAAATTTTAAACGTTGAACAAAGCTGCGAGAAAGGGGTGCTACATGTACAGAACTCGGCACAGCGAAGCATGATGATTTCACTATTGACAAATGTAGGCTAGCATCGAGAAGGACCCTCTTGAAGATGCGAGTGGCACTGGGCAACATCATATTTGAATGCTATAAAGTTGATGAGATTCGTCAGAGGGTATAATAATTGTACCCAAGTAATACGACACGAGCTTTGAAACTCAGTCAACCGTCATAAGCTCCCGCCAGAGCAAGTAATATAGAAATTAGAACTTGACGCTTTGTGAACTCCCCAATGATCATACACAAAGCAGTACCCACCACGAGGTCAGAGAATCGTTGGGAAGTCTTAGCACTGGGTTCAGGGACAGCACTCCGAACAGTGGGAGACTTCTCTTGCTCATGGACACCATGAGACATGTCAGCCGTAGCGGTCTCATACTGCTGTAGAACAGTCGCATTCTGGGTCAAAAAGTAGTCAATGGCATGCTTGTAGACTTCTCTGTCGGACAGTTAGTAAGTCTAATATCATGGATAATCGAAGAATACAATAGCACTTGTCTCCAGCAAATCTTCGGACGTTTTCTTAGGAAAGAGTGGGTTCACCCAATACCTACAACCGACCAGATTTACGTCCAGATACGACAGACGCGTATCGAGCCAATATTAACGCCTCGGGTTCCTCTCCGTATTGCCCTGGGATGGCAACAACCAGCTTCAGATTATTGTAGCGCAGAAAGGGACGAAATAGCATCTTGCTTGGCCGGACTGTTTGTGTTCCTTTCCAGACAAGATCGAAACCTCTCCACGTAAATTGATATTCGCGTGTATGGAAAGAAAAAGGCGCCGTCCACTTCAAGGACACAACTTCTTCCCTTTTCGGTTTCTGACCTAACTCGACAATTTTCTCTTCTTGCAGGGCTTGTTCTTTATGCCATGCCTTGCCCGATTCTCCAATGTATCTCTTCGAGCGGACCTCGTATCCTTGAAAAGTCCCATCAAGACCCTTGTTCGTCCCATATTTGATATTGACCACACCTCGCCCGTCGACGACTCCAGGCTGTGCCAGTATGTCCCCAAATTCCAATTCCCATGTCCGCCAAAATGCTGAACAGTGCAGCAAGCATGCTGTAGGTGCCGCTTTCGTACCACCATGGCGGAGAGTGTATGGGGGATTCTTGCCGTAGAGACTTGGTAGATGAAGGAAATACGGAGACGTTTCGGTTCTAGGATCACATCGTGGATTGTCGAGAGCTTTCGCTTTGCTGATTTTCTTCGCAGTGTTCGTTCGTTGACAGCTGAAGAGACTCGATCGTGCAGACCCATTATGGCTATCTGTGCCAACTGGGGAATCGGGAAAGCGATTTAGAGGTGTGTTTGAGTCGCTCTGCGCATGAATCGAGTAGCCATTTTTATAGTGTCCAGTATGGTAGATATGGTAGAGAATCGTGTTGCTGGTAGTGTCGATCTCTGGGTGGGGAACATTACCCTCAGAATGCTGTTTCTGGTCCGTGATAGCAACCATCTTCAGGGTCAGGAGAGATAGAGAGCACAGGATTTGGGGGAGGATATTTGAGAGGGTGAGGATACATGGTCACACCATCATCGATCCCCAACACCGTGCCAGATGCTTCATGTCTGGTTGGCTCTTGACTACAGTACTCACTGATAACTTTTTAAATTGGTGGCTGCTTGCGAGTGATGAGAAAAATTGACTCTCATTTGCCAACTTAACCAACCTGGAGGAAATGTTGCAGCAGGATTTACACAGCCTCTTCAGGGTTGAAGCTGATGATGCTACGGGGCTTAGTTCCACCGTGTCGCATAGGAAAGTCTTGGCATTCGCTTACCTTGTCTTCTGCTTTGTTGACCTGAACTATGGAGATTCTATAACTGTGGAGATTGTATAGAGTGTTACCCGCTACAGAGTGTACTTTGAATTTCTAACATTCAAGCTCATGCTTGAGGTTATCAATCCAACGGACAAGCCTAGAGACTATGGATCTGAACTCGTCGAGTAAAGAACGACTGCATTAAGAGCAATGACCGCTGGCAGCATAATGATACAAACAAAGCGAGCCACTCTGGCTGTTTTAGAAGATTTGTCGCGCAGGAACATGAGCTTTAGGAAGAAACAAATCTATGTAATGTGGCTTAAAAAACATGGGACCCAGCAAAGGCATCGCCTGGAGCATTGCCCTCAGTGGAAAGATGCAGCTAGGCTGGTTCAACTATCAATGCCGCGGGATCTAGGGCAAGATGTTAGTGAGATATCCTTCAACTTGGATCAGCGAAACTTGCAATGCTCATAAGTATTGTCGCACCCTTTTCCACAGTAATCAAGAAGCTTGTCAGGCTCAGATCGACGAATTTGTAGAGCTGTATACCCAATCAATAACTATACCAGTGATACAGAACGTAAATAACTTACGTTCACGATATACAACACCATTGAAGACAGGAACCAGCACTTTGGTTAGAATGTTGAAGAGACACTGATCCTCAGCCCTCCAAGTCTGATTTCTCGCCATTGACTTTGGATTCTGGAATGCGCCACAGACGACAGGTGTTCCCTGTGGTTGATCTTCGAAGTAGATTAAGCAAGACATGCCATTTGGGGTTATGAGTTTGCCGTTCGTCAAGCTGAAGTCGGTTTTGTAGTGTGTTTTGGAGAGGACAAGTACATCACCGTTGCCAGCGGTGGCAGCAGATGATGGAGGAGGGAAGTACATGAAGTGTGTTGGCTTGGTTGAATGCGTGTCTTTGATAGTGTCGGCTGCTGTGAGGGAGAAGGGGCCATTGATGGAGGAAGATGAGCTGTTGTTTGGCACACAGAATTTGGCTCGTTGAGAAAGGGATTTGGCTGGGAGGGAGATGGCTGAGATTGTCGAAATGAGAGCAACGACTATTGCTACGAACTTCACTTGATTCATGGCTTTAAACTTGTGAGTTGAAGTCAAGGCTAATAATGCAAAGGAGTTGGCAGGTATCAAAGAGTCAGAAACGAAGCACTGAAGTGACATGATTTTGTATAAATCTAACAACAGCTGCATCAGTCCGCAGGATCTGGAGGGTCAACAAGTCCAGCACGAGGTACATTACCAGTGAGACATTTTGGTCAATTCAGCGGACCTCCCAGTCCTCTTCTCGGGGCGAGGAAACGTTGTACTCAAAGCTGCACTGTGCTCATACATTTAGAGACCAAGGACACACCTGTATGCCATGATATACCTATAGAATTATGAGAGAATGAACCAGTGCCAAACAAGTAAGCATAGAGACTGACGACAGATGGTCAAGGTGTAACACATTATTCGCATTCATCCATAACGTGAAGGAACACTCGCTCATTGCGGAACCAAACTGTAATCAGCTCGGTCTTGGGGTAATCTATCATGATACAAAAATTCCAAATACCAAATGTTCAGTGACCTGTGCCCCCTGACTTCCTTATTCATACAGTACACGCCCCGGCCAATATTTACCAAACTCCCCGTCAATAGTACAACTCGCGTATCACCTCCACAATTACACCATGATCCTCACTCTGTTTCAATCCACTCACGACGACGACGGCAACGACACCTTCCACCCCAGTCACCCTGATTGGGACACCCCCACCATGTATGGCATACTCCCCCGCACTATTGCCCAGGCCATATTTCTCCCTGAAGGCAATCTCATCGCCGTCAAACTTGCAGTGCATGTACCATGTCGAACAACCCCATCGCAGAACCGTCTTCCGTTTCCTTGAGACCCAACTGTCGTTATCGGGCATCACACCTGAATGTGTGCATGTGTGGAAAAGGATCTGATTCTGGTTCGCGAGGGAAATATTGATTACAACAGGTGTGGCGAGAGGTAGCAGGCGATTCCGCAGCGCAGACCCGAGCTCCCAAGCATCGTCCGTGGTAAAATGTTCGAATACAAGGGATTTGTCGATATGAGCTATCGACTCGAGCTTCAGAGATAACGCATTAGCTTCCTTCTAGGCCCAGGTCGCACAAACAATCAACTCACATCTCTCGGTGGCGCCGCAATAGGCCGCGGGGTCTCTGGAGTTCTCCTGCCGGACATGGAGGACATCTTTTCCCTGTATTGCTTTGATATATGTCCTGGGCTCGAAAGGTGTTCCACAAAACGAGTCCTTTTCACACGAGCTCTTATCACTCGCGGCTTTCTTAGCGCTTGCTCGGGAGTGGGAGTGAGGGGCTGTTGCTGTTGCTGTTGCTCTTCCTTCTCCAGGTCGTCGCCTCTTCGACTTCCAGTATCGTCAAGATTCTCCAGAATCGTTGAAAGTTGGTCGTCTCGCGCCCAGTCAAAGTTGGCAGATGGTCGATTAAGAAGGCTTCTTCGCTCTGAATCGATTGGCTCGCGACTAACGTCAAGAGAACCAGGATCAAAGGTTTCGTTTCCAAGCACTGACTTTTCCTTGCCTTTTCCCTTGTCCCTCTTTGCCTCTCGTCTCGGACGCAGAGGCAGTGGGTGATGTGTTCTGCGCAAGCCGCACAAAGTCGACATCGAGCATTGTTGACACCGTTCGTCGTCAGGTTTATTTCCTTGGAGAATTTGTGGGCATTCGAAGCCGACATTGGAAAGCCTTAACACAAGCGCATATTACTCTATCGTCAGGTCTTCGAGGATCATATTTCGGAGGAATCCACCAATATTTGGCCAGGCCCGCAGACTTGGGAACATGAGCATGGTCAGGTCACGTATGCCAGTAAGAAGTATGGCGTGTATCAATGCGAATGCAGCTTTCCAAGCATCGAGATAGATTCCCGAGATGTCCGAGGGCTGGGAAAGCTGGTATGTTCCTTGTCGGAAGGCTGCTAAGTGACGTTCGAACCAGAATCAACTTCGATTATCCTTGTTAGTTAAGATTGCTTTGGCCTGTCATTACGATGACTGCCATCCGAACAGCTCGAACGGCTGCCACGACCTGCCAGTGCCAGAGCGGCCTAGTTGTTTCAAATGGGAGAATATCTGGAAATGCAGATTACCAGTGCCTTGTTCCACTCATCTCGAGTACGCCAGTCGGCGAGAATCACACGCATAATATTACTTGCAATAATCGTCACGAGACTAATTCAAGAATCTCCAAGGGGAGGAAAGGTCATCGACTTCTTCACAATTACCCAATACAAGAATGCCCATGGTCATTCTATATTCAAGTCCTCAAGTGCAACCAGCGCGAGAAAAGCCCACTGACGGGAATGCGGGATTCCCATCTCGATCCGTGGCTTGAGTTCATGTCGTTGACAAGCTTTGGCAAAAATTGAACCTACCAGGAGTTTGGGACTACGCAAGTCCCCATGAAAACAGATTATCTTTATCAGATTTCGTCCGTCACAAGGTCCACAAAATGAGTTGCGGCAAGAACCGAAATGTGATCCAGGACAGTATTCATTCACAGGCACATATTCAAACCCCATTTATATAGCCCATCGCTCTCGTCAGAAACCATGTTAGAGCCTAGTGACAGTCTTTGTTTGGGGATCCAAAATTGGGGCAAATAATCCTGACGATATATTCGGTAGAATTCGAATTATATGATCTGCTTCTTCCTTACAAGAGTTTGGAAAGTTGCCGGCATCCCCACTGTCCAAGAGTGAAGGGGCCCTTGTCTCCATTCCAGCTGTTCGGTCTGCTACAATGCCGCCTGGTTGCCAAGTCCGCGACCACATACTTCCTAGCCGAAGTCACTCATCCATAAACACAGCTCATCAGTTCGAACCATGTTATCCATCCGTATCTGAAAGATCCTGGAATGATATGCCAAGTTTCCCATGCCAGAATCGTTTCGACACTTCCCATATAGATGCCAAATCCGAGAACGAGAACGAAATGGCGATATAACCAAGCATAGAGTCCCTCGGTCGCTCGGAATGGGAGCGAGTTTGGGATGGCAACTCCTTTCGCGAATTAGGCGACAAAAGCAGTCCATAGGGGCTCAAATGCATCCTAACCTAACTGGAGTGGAACGACAGATGTACCAGAAGTATGAAGTAGTATTTGCTTGAACATATGCCAAAACTCTGCCGCAAATGGCATAAACTGCCAGTGATAGCTGGGCAAGATGTGGGAGGCAGAGCATTGACAACCTCAGACTTGGATGGCACTGTATAAATTCGTCGGAGTGTGCTTCGGTCTAGGCTGTGTCCACTGTTGATGCGGGTTTTGTGAACTTGAAAAAGTGAGTCACTATTAGCAGAGGCGCATGTATTCGAGGATCTGGTCGTTCGGGGCCGTAGAAGACGATGTCGATGTGTTCATCCTGGTGCTTCGTTATATGTCTGGCTCAGGGAAAACACGATTGGTACTGGTCCAGAGTGTTGAAGGCTATTAAGAACACATCCAGGGAAAACCGAGCAACATCGGGACGGTCGTAACTTGGGCTGTAATCGATGCTGGTTCCGACGTAAACCACGGCTTCGTTCCTATCTCCATCGGAGAATTGCGTCTCTTTCCCTGTGTCCAAACACCAGTACACTCGATTTGCACGATCAGCGTCTTCTCTCTCGTCCCTGCATACTCTCCTCTCGTGTCGCGCCATTGGCTCTCATCTCCAACTCCCTGATCTTCCTTTCTAAGCCTATCCTCTTTGCGACCAACCCGCCACGTTGTTCCTCGAGCTGTGCGATCTTCTCTGCGGGTGTTGCCTCGCGTTGCTTTTCCACTTTCTGCAAATTTGACGTCAGTATCACAGGGCCAACTGGCGAAAGGAGTTAATACCTGTTTGATTTCAGATCTCGTCTTCAGGCCCACACCGTACCACGCTCCAGTAGCTGTCACCGATGCAATTGCACCCGTCCAGACTATCCTTCGGATCTTTTGTTGCTGGGCTGACATTCTGGAATTCTGAGCCCGTCCGTGGCTGGCTGAGAGTCTTCGTTCGATCGCTGTTGTCGCTCCTGTACTTGAAGTTGGCTCGCCAAAAAGATCAGCAAGGCATGTCTGGCTTGTGCCTCGGTTCAGGGCTGCCTCGATCCAGTAACAACTTCCTCCGAAGTCAATGATTTCCTCTGCGCCTTTCTATCGCAGACGATCTGTGATACTTCTTCCCGAAGAATATTTGATAACACATATTATGCACTATCAAAAGTCGATGACATCTGCAAGCCACCTGAACAGGAGATGTCATGGCCACATTGCAATTGCCTCTTTCGACAACGGAACATCCCGTTTTTCGAACCCAGACTTCCGGAAGAGGCAAATCCAGAAGTGCGACGTGCGTCAAAAACTATGAGAGAGTCCCGTTTAGGAGGCCCTTCATGAGTCGGACTCGCACGTTCCGAAGTGTCTGACACGACGTAGTGACGACTGATGGCTTTCTCGAATTGGCAATTGCACTTTGCGATGTGCAACAAAAGTATTACAGTTTGATCACATAGTAGAAAGATCTGGTCTTCGAAGATTCACTTTCTCCACCGTGGCCGACTCCCCGAACCAAATCTGTGAGCCGGTTCAGGAATAGCCGTGGTCAAACAGAGGCTGAGAAGTGGTACTAATCTGATCAAGTGAGTTACAGCAGTCTACCTACCGTCCACCACTGTAACATAGCTTATTGATCCCCTGCCAAGGGCCAGCGACATTCGTTTTCTGCTCGTCCAGTTGTGAGACTGTCTTCCTTGCTCTCAAGTTGGGTAAGGTTCCCTCGCTGAGACTTTCGAAGATAAATAGATTTTAGATCTCATTGCTGTCCTCCTTGTGCACAGCTTCAAAAGTATCCAATACGATTACAGCTTCGCTCCTTTGGCAAAAAATACACTCCGCTCCATCTTCTGCCCACCACCCTCAAATACAATTCCCTTCCCAATAACCTTGTAGTCGAAATTTGCACCCACACCAGCGTCTTCGAACATCTTTTTGACATCTTCCTGAGAGAAACCCATATGTGTGACAGTCTTAGCAGCATTGTGGCTATCCTCACCATTTGCTCTGACAATAGTCAGCTGAGAACCCGAGCCTTGAAAGATGGGCCAATATCATATGAATGTGTAAGATGAAATATAAATAAACTTACGGAAAGTGCTGATGCGGCAAGAAATCCACGATGAACAACACACCTCCTCTCTTCAACCTCTCAGCCAGCCTCTTTGCTGCCAGCCCGGGATCATCAAAGTGATGAAACCCGAGCCCAACAGCCGCAATATCAAAGTCATGAAACTCTTTGCCGGCTAACACTGGAGGATTCGGCGTGTTGGCATCAATGAGATTTCCTTGTACGGCCAACATCTCGGATTCTGGTATGCCTTGGTTGCGAGCTGACGTATTGTATTCTTTCACCATTCCTTCAGTAAGATCGACACCTATGCATTGGGTGACATATGGTGCTAATGCCTGTTCTATCCATTAGCTTATAGTTCTCTTCTTGATTGCTGTAGGAAGTGGAGGATACACTTACACGTGACACCAGTCCAGTTCCGCAAGCATAATCCAGTAGCCGGACGATCTTCTTTGGTGATGATGAAGAGCTCTCATTCTCGCTATCAGACTCCTCTGTCCAGTTTACGCCGATCCATTCATGGTGCTGTTGGATCTCGTCGATTATCTGCTGGATTGTCTTGGCGAACTTGGAATTGTATGTTGATGCGGCCTCACTGTAGGAGAATCAGTTTACAGATCACGTTTTCATAGAATGCTAGTAGACAAATTGAAGTGTAGGGTTGGGTGACGTCGCAAATGTTCTTCGTATCGCCCATTCAATTGAATGGCACACATATGAAGGAGAATACTTACTTCCAATGAGAATGATTTTTATCAGTATTCTCAGAGTGCGACTGATGGTGATGAGTATGATCAGACATGTTGGGATAGTGGATTGATGTTGTGAAGAGTATATTATTGTTTGAAGGAGAGACTGAGGTTTATATGTGTATCTGTAGTTGGCACCAAAGCTCCGGAGACATTTCGCCTACTTTTCCACTTCCTTTCCAGCCAGCCAATAAAAGGAGAGTAGACATCCGGACTAGACATGTCTCCGAAATCTGGCTCATGACTGCTCGAAAGGCTGTGAAAGTTTCCGTACGAGCCATGTCTGGTTACTTTTGGATAGCTTGGTCTGGTAACATCAATATCACCAGGTTTTAGTCTTTGAAAGACGCATTTATCAGACGCTTGGCGAATGATAGCGCAAGCACGTCAGGTCATCAACGAAGATCTATTTGCTCTCAGCGTCCTCCAATTCTCTATCGAGAACATGCCGCCACACTTTTCCCCACGCCCCAATTCAACGTAACGCCTCGCCATGCAAACATTCCTTCATACATCATGACCACTTATTCGGAAGTGCCCTCCGCGGATGGCAAAGGAATAGCTCTATAGAGAAGAATCAAAGCAGAATGGGATTCTCCACCTCCTGAGAGAGTGACAATCTTTTCTGCCTCAACCTCGGAAACCTTATCGTCATTGAACCACCACCACTTTCCGTCCTCCTCGCCGCGCTTTCCAGTCTTAGGGTCAAGGGGACCTTGCTTCTTGACATAAGAAGTGTAATGGCCACTATCTGCGCTGGCACCTTGATGAGTGACAATACCGCGAAGTTCGTAGAGACCGGACGTGTTTGCTCCTTCATCCTTCAATAATTCGGGATTGATCAAAGCGTGAAGTTCCTTCTTGGCCTCAAGAATAGCTGCGGCCTTCTCAGCGTCGATCTCGGCGTCGGTCTTATAAACGACATCTTCCATCGCAACATCTCCAGTTGCATCTTTGCTATCCTTCTTGTCGTCTTTCTTCTTATCGTCGGTCTTCTTATCGTCGGCCTTCTTTGATTCGGACACAGAATCAACAATGCCTGCAGCTTCATCTGCGACAGCCTTGTCATGGATCTTCTTTTGGCGTTTGCGGGCCCGCTCGATATCCTCTTCGTCTTTTCGCACCTCACGAACCTTGTCTCGTACTGGGATTAACATTGCCTTGAGCTCGTCTGTGCAAAACTCAACCACATCCAGCTCATCTGGGAAGGTGACCTTTCGCATAATCTTCGCTTTCTTCTGCGCTTCGCGCTTCCAGAAAAACCGAACAAAGTGCACTGTAAGATACTTGGGTAGTCGTGCGACCTTCGATTTCTTGGTGTAAATCGCATCTCGGTCAAGAACGCTCGAGTTCTTCTCAATCTTCTCCTCCAGACCAGCCAAAATACCATCCCGGAGATGGTTCGTTGTACCGCTGATGTGGCAGTCCAACTTCAGGAAAACATCTTCACCGTTCACAGGCTCTTCGCCGAGGTCTTTCGCAGCTTGCTCATCACATTCGGTGACAGACGAGAATCGTCCTGCCATGTATTTGTCAACAAAAGTTGTATCCTCGTCACCATCACCCTTGCCCTTAATCCTGAGCTGCTGTCGTAACTGCTGGACAATCTGCGACCAAGCTTCTTCGGCGTCTTGTTGCGCATAGCCATGACCAGTCTTTGACTTCTGGGCGAATTGTGGGAAAGCGGTTCTGAGGGCGTTCAAGAATGCCAATGGCGGGAAACCTTCTTGAGTTTGACCCATCTGCGTATACAGATCTCTCAGAGCTGCAGTCAAATCTGCAGAAGCTCCAAGGCCACCGAGTCCAAACATGCTAAGGTCTCCAAGGGCAGATGAACCAGCGCCGCCACCAGGAGTTGGCGCAGCAGTGTATCTGGACAGTTCTTGTTGCAATTCTGGAACAGCCCGTAGTGTTTGTAACGCCGAGTTCATGTAGCAGGTGTTTCCCAGATTCTGTAGACCAGCAGGAGTAGCGCCGACTTGTTGTGCGGCCTCAGCTTCAGTCATGTCCTCAACAAACTTAACGGCCTCCTTAGGTCGCTGTAGATCACCAGTCCCAGAAGCTGTTCCCATCATCATGAAAGTCTGACCTGGCTTTGCGCCGAGTTTCGAGAGGTCGGTATCATCCTTGAGTTGGCCACCCTTCACTAGAATCTTTTGTCGGTCTGGCTCGACACCAGTCAAAGAATAAAGCTGGAACTTGAAGACTTCGCCGAGGGAGGTAGGATCGAGTTCGACGTCGTATTTCTTGCCCTGGTGCTTGACAACCACTGCTGCTTTTAGTATTATATCATCGAGTGCCTAATGGGTAGATTACAAACCTGGAATGGTAGCCATGGTTGTGGCGGGGTCGCGGTGGTGGAGAGAAGGTTCTTAGATTGGGCTGGGAGAGTATCGTATGGAGGACCTCTAGAATTTCCACAGAAAATAGCCTCTTGCCTCTACCTTGACAAAAGCGTGAATATGGCAGAGTGTCGAAGTAGTGAAGAAGTCAAGGAAGGGTTGAAGCCAAATAAACAGAAGAGCGGCGGTGGCTCAACTAGCGCGCTTGCGAAGCCCGGGGTGCCTGAGATCCAACCCCACCAAGCCAGTGCCAGCCCGGACAACGACCATCCCCCACATCACAGCTGGAGGTAGTAGTTGGTGAACATCACGACTTACGAGCAGATATCATGGTAAGGCATCTTTAAGCTTCCAGTGGGGGAAATTGGCTGCGGGTCATTCTAATGCGCTGCAGTCTCAATCGTTGCGACCATACCTTCAATGCGTCCGAAGCTCCTTGACGGCGGCTCTCTGTCTCTCGAACTTTGCATCGCAAACCTCAGAACGACACAACGTTCCTGAGATAGAGGCCCAGACATCCCCCGAAGTTTTACTGAATCCTCTCACTGTTGCCCGTAATGAGAATGAGCGAGTCTTGATCGAGCCTAGTATCAACAGCGTCCGGATAAGCATTAAGATCAAGCAGGCAGATGAGATTGAGCATATTCTGGTCCATAAGTTCACAAGATTCCTGACGCAAAGAGCGGAGGCTTTCTTCATATTGCGGAGGAAACCGGTCAAGGTAGGTGGTAGACTATGAGGCTGGGACAGCTGGACGCTGACAGTGATAGGGCTATGACATTTCATTCTTGATTACGAACTTCCATACCGAGGAGATGCTGAAGCACAAGTTGGTGGACTTCATTATCCAATTTATGGAGGAGGTTGACAAGGAGATTTCGGAGATGAAGCTTTTCGTAGGTTCTCTTTATGCTTCGCTCCGATGAAACTAATTCCCCCTACAGTTGAACGCTCGTGCTAGATTTGTAGCGGAATCTTTCTTGACACCTGTGAGTTCTATCTACTTTGCAAAACATATATGTTTACTGACAGAGACACAGTTCGATTAAGCGTTCTGGCAGGAATTGGAGTCTACATGACGTTGGGTGGCTGTAGGTCTGGCATTGAATGGAAGATCAAAGTGGCGTTTTGGAGGCACAAAAGACCGTGTCATTTACGAGGCAAAGATGATGACGACTTCTACCTGGATGACAGAATCAATCAAGTTTGACTGTTGCCGTAAGAGTTTTCCTATATCGCTGATCTTGCACACCTCCCGGTGACAGATGGGCTCTTGCCGATGCACAGCACTGAGCAGTGGAAGAACACAAGAGTGGCTCGATTGAAGCTAAGATCTAAAATTCTGAGCCTTCTAAGTATTCTCCGTCCTGTGTCAAAACAATGTGCCAGAGCGCCTCCACTAGTCCTTGAACCTCATAATCGTCAAAGTACCTCCTTACTGTCTGTAATACACCACGTTTCTGATGCCCAGCACGCCGCACGCCTCTTTCAGTCCTCAAGGGTGTCCAGCACTGGTCCCACAACAGACGGCTTCTTAGATTCGACGTCGATTCTGGTAAGAGTGGATCCCTGGCACTTGTAAAGAGACATTGTTGGAGTAACCATGGTCGCCTTGAAAGCATCAGCATGGCCTCAAATGAAATTCAAGAAGGGGAAACCCACATTGGGAGAGCAGCATGCACCGATTGTATTCTTCTGCTTTACCTCCTTAATTATCATTGGGCAATCGAAAGTGATGATCTCCTGCATGAAGTTTGCTATCAGGGGAGTCGCATTGTTGCCTCGGTAGGAAGTCAGCTGGTCGTGTTGATGAGCCAGCAAAGCAAATGGATCACTTACAGCCCATGCCAACACCATCCTTGGTCACGGTCTGGCAGCAGTAACCGTTCATCTCAGCTCCCATTTGGCACTGGAAGATCTCGGCCTTGTACTCTGGGAGCATTGGCGGAAGATTTGGGCGTGACTCTGCTGTTGGCCGTGCTGCATCTGCTACCCGTGGCAATTTGTTATGGTGAGCTTGATTTGGATTAATGTTCCCGTAGCCTTGGGCGAAGACACTACTTGTGGCTACGAGTATTAGGAATAGACCATGTTATAGAAGTTTTTCGTTTCTTGGGTGCCTATTTGCTAGGTTAGACAGATTAGCCACGGCTGCAGAAGATGTTGAGCAGGCTGCGGAAGATTGGAATTGATACGCAATACTTACAGTAGTCAAGCAAAAGAAGTTGATACAATGATGATGGATTTGACACGTCCTAGCGATGATGCTTGCGATGTTCTGCAGTTCCAAAAGTTGATGATATGTGTGAAGAGAGAAGGAACTTTAAGAGAATGGCCATCGTAAGTAGTGGGAGAATGTCGACGAAGGAAGGACCCATTTTCAATCGTTCCACAAACCCAGCAGGTGCAAGCCCCTTTTCTCTTCGCTTAACATGAAGCGAAATCCCGTCTCTCAACAAAACATCCCACCCTGAATTGAGTAATGAAAATACAATGCACACCTCAATAGATAAATCACAAACAGTTAAGGGCAAAGTAGAATATCGTTCTCTGTTCATTCTCTGCGAAGTCTCTTCCGCTGCTCGGGAAACGCTCCGATCTATGCACTTCTGGCCAGGCAGCTCCTCATGTTTAACCCCGGTACTTAGGACCAGTGACACGAAATCCACATTTTGCCCGACAAATTCCAACAGGACAGTCTCCAGAATTAGGGCTTGACGTTGGGGCTGTAGCTATGCCGCTGGCTCCATCTAGTGTGGATCTCATGCCGGCACCGAATGCTGTCTTTTGAAATGCTCCAATCTTGCATGAAGGTGCAGATTGGAGATTAAAAGGGATAGATCTCTCATCAGTCACTTACAATACTCAGCACCACTTCCATAATATGCGTGTTGAGAGCAGCACATTTCTGCTCCAGAGTCCCAAGCCTTGCGGCAGTTTCCCTGGCGTTCGGTGAGGGATAGCTTGACAGCTGCGAATGCAGTGCTTAGGAGTAAGGCGAAAGTGGCGATGAAGGACTGCTATAAATCGCGCGGGGAGAATGACGAGTCTGATCCAGTCTCAGAGCTTCCTCCACTTGGAAGTCGTGTCAAAAAAAAAAACAGGCCTCTTGCGATACTCAGACCTCAGCACGCCATGATGACAGATATGAACCCCATTTCTGTAAATTTTCGAAGTTCAGCTGGGCATCAGCTGTACCCATAGATCTGATAAATAGGTAAATTTCTGGTTCATGGCAGGAAGCTCGACCACTACGTGGAATGAAACGCAGTGGAGGGATGCGAGGGGTATCCTTTGGTCAGAAGGCATGACTATGTCACCTCGCTGTCTTGACAATTTGCAAATAGATGAATAGTTCTGATTATGATCCTGATTTCTTTGTAGTAAAACATGCAGAATGTAGACATCATGAGACTATCAGCGACAGTTGATGTGTGAAAAGCAGACTCTAGAGTCCCGCCACCATTGGGGTTGGCACAATTTGCATGTCTGTCAACTGCAGTCATGTAGAGACTTTATGCTTATCCAGAGAAAGATCTCCTGTGGTGTTGCTTCACATTTGATATCTTATCTGGACCTGAACTGCTGGGTGGGTTTCAAGAAGATTCTACCTTTTAGTTCTAGATTTTTGCCTACCAGCTTTCCTAAATGGTGAGAATATTGATACATACTAGCAATTAATATCGTGTGACCGTCTTCAATAGATGTTCCGCATTGTTGACAACCGGGTAATTTGATATGGCTGTATTGGAATGGAGCCAAGAGCACGAAAGAGGATAGTTCGGCTTTCTCCAATTGAGAATCTGTAAGTAGGATCACGCTACAGCTTGTTGCACTGATGTAAAGCATTAGAGGAGAAAGTAAGCGCTGTACACAACTTCGAAGTCAACATGATGACAACCCTAAGCTAAATTAAGCGAAGCAAACAACGTGATGGTCTATTTCGGGACCGCTTCATCGTTCGTCCACTACCTGTCTGAAGTACTCAGCTCGAGTTACGACTTTGACCAAAAATTCGTTGTTGGAGAATAGCATAAATAACATCTTTTCCAGTTGAAGGAGTGTTTACGAGGGACAACGGGCGAATTCAGTGCACATTTGGATGAGAGTACACTCTCTTGAGTTCCGCCCAGCTCTGTTTGAACACCAAATCCAGTGAGAATGATCCTAACCAATGCCAAAGAGCAAGATCTAGAAGAAAAATCAAATGAAAGAAGGAGAAAAGATTTTGAAGTTGGGACCGACCGTCACGTGGTGCGAGATACCGAAATAACACTCGAAGTCTTTCCCAGCTGACAGCTTACAACTCCTCCAGTGCAAACCAATATTTGCGCGCACATCCGTTGTGAACATTCATACGGCTGGATGGTGATCGCCAAAAGGTCCCTCCATCAGAATCACTCAAAGAGCTGTGTTTCATCACGAGTTTTTACGTTGCGGTTCATCGAGCCTCGGCTTGAACCAGAGTACATATCAACCATAGGCACCATACCCCTTCGATTCCTTGACCAGTCGAGTTTCAATCCTTTGCACGACGTCCGTCAAAGACTTAATGAACCAATGAGATCCATCCCAAGACGCAGGTGAGATCCCGACTCGCCGTGTCCAGGGACACGGGCCATTCTTGCCCCGACGGAGCCCAGCTTTCTCACGTTGTCGAAATTCAATACCTCAAAGACAACAAGTCCTTATTTCACCTAGTATCAAGTCTATTACCAAAAATCTGAAGAAACATGGACTCTCTTCAACACAACTGTCCAAGCTTATCAGCAGACCTAATAGCTGCAAAAGATACTGAAGCGGGTCTCGCACTTTTCAGAGGAATACCCTACGCATCCGTCTCTAAGAGATGGACCCAAAGCCAGATTCAAGACTCGCTTTCATCCCCATTCGATGCTACGAAGTTCGGACCAAGATGTCCTCAGCCGCCCCATGTATCTTTGATAGCAGCAAATGTCAAGGCTCCGGCTCTTGAGGAAGATGAATTCGCTTGCTTAAATCTGAATATCTCTGTCCCGGTAAATGCTCTGCCGAAGCCGACGAGTAATGATCCAAAGTCCCTACTACCTGTAATGGTTTGGATACACGGGTAGGCTAAAGATCCCTTCTTACCTTAATTTCCTCCTCAATAGCGATATAACCCTCGAAATGCTGTTACTAAACACCCTATCAGAGGAGCATTCAAAAACGGATCTGCCTCAGATCCTCGCTTCTATCCCTCAACGCTTAGCACCATCGCCTCAACTCACAACCACCCCGTCATCATCGTCCAAATCTCCTACCGCCTAGGAATCTTCGGCTTCGCCGCATCCTCAGACCTCCTTTCAGAACACGCCTCCACTTCTCCATCTTCCTCAGACCCATTCGCCAATTTCGGTCTCCACGATCAACGCACAGCTTTCCAATGGATCCAATCCCACATCAAGGATTTCGGCGGTGACCCAGATAATGTAACAGCTTTTGGGGTCAGCGCCGGCAGTGCAAGTCTTCACATGCACATGCTGTCCGGGAACCCTCTCTTCGATCGTGCCGTCCTCATGTCAGGATGTGCCCCTACCATGGGTCCTTTTCCCCTCCCACTCCTCGACAAAAGCTGGAGTAAACTCTGCCAGAAGTCCGGAGTCGACGCCTTTGAGACGTCTCATCAACGCTTAGAAGCACTTCGGCTCCTCACCCCCGAAGAAGCAATAACCAACAACGGCCTCAGCACGACTCTCGCCCCCCTAGCAGACGGAATATATCTCCCCAGAGCATGGAAACTTGGCGATGCACACCCCAGTACCCGCTGCAAAGAAATTATAATCGGCAACACCCTCGTCGAAGCCATCATCTTCGACGTGCTCGCCAAACTCCTGCCCCAATCCATATTCCACTCCAAACTCCTATCCGCATTCCCCAACCCAGAGGACAGCACTCGCTTCATTTCTCTCTTCGGCTTCGATTTCGCTAAGGAGAAAGAGATGTCCCCAGAAGCATATAGAGACGCCCTAAGAAGATTCCTCTCCGCAGTGATCTTCCACTACCCGTCCCTCAAAGTCGCCGAATCCTTCTCCTCTGTGTCAACATCCTCAGACACAAAATCCTACCTCTACCGCTTCAGCACCCCCTCTCCATTCCCCGGGCCCTCGCACTGCCTAGCCGCCCACGGACAATGTGCCATCTTCCTATTCAACAACGATTCCGATTCGTGGCCTTCTGAATGCCAGGTCATCTCTAAGGAGATGGCGAGGACTTGGACGGCGTTTGCGTATGGTGAAAAGCCGTGGGAGGAGTTTATGTCAGAGGATGACAAGGTGATGAGTTTCGGGAATGGGGTGTTTGGTTTGAGAGGTCTTGATGAGGGAGAAGATGAGGGCTGGGGAAGAGAGGATGGAACGACTGGGTGGCTTCGGGTACATTTCGATGAAGCGTTGATGTTCGTGCTTGGTTTGATGGGATGATGGAGATATGAATGCCTCTACAATTCAGGATCTTAGAGACCTTTAGAACCCAGGTTCAGGAGCGTTGTAAGCCAATGTCACTTTTTTAGTAACCCACTCTGGAGGAATGTTGATGCTGATCACAACGTTTTGTCTGGCAAGTCCGCTTGACGCAGTAGTTTCTTGACCACTTTAATGTTATGATATTGATTCGCGATTCCCAGTTCGTAACAATGCTTGGACTGTCAATTGTGTGTATTTATTCTAGCAAGTATGTTGTGTAGCAAATGGAATATCTCTAACCATATGAGAAACACCCCTAATTATGTAGCAAAATGGGTATCTTATCCATCAATCATGCCTCATGACCATTCATCCATAATTCCATCTCAAATCTCCAAGCAATATCTGGTGTAGCAAATGTATCCCCTACTCCAGTATTCTCATATCCGCTTCCTCTGGAATAATGAGAGTCGAAAATACATGACTCTGACAATCGACCATGCAAAACAAAGCACTACTCACCTTGCGATCAGACAACACCAATTCTAATCTCTCCGAATGGGATCAATAACTCATCACCAACATCCTGCTCGACCCATACCTTTCTCTTCGTTGCAAGACTCAAGATATGGTAGAAAGCCTGAGCGGCAACAATATAGGAGTTCTTTTCTGGAACGAACAGCTCTTCGAAGGTGACGCTCATTTGTTGTGGCTCAGCATCATCTTCATCACCAAGCTCGTCGCCAGACTTCTCCTCGATACTGTTTCTGAGATATTCGAAGAAGTTATTACTCTCGCGATCCATGACATCTTTCATCCATTGAGAGCTGCCTGCAGTCTGGGTATCAACACCAGCGGCGGCGCCGAAAATCTCAAAGTCATCTCCTCCAGCACCTTGACTGGATGTACGCATGCCGCCAGGATGGAAACCAGAGGCTTGACTTGCACTTCCGAGACCATCATCGTCACGACCATACATAACCATGTCATCATCCATCAGCTGAGAAAACTGCTCAAGGTCCCCAGGTATCGCTGAGCCACGACCTACAAGTGGAGAAGTGAGACGCCGACCAGTGACGGAGCCGACCTGAGAGCCGAGTATTCCAACACGACCTTGAACGGAAGACGACTGACCGCGCTGGTGGGAGTGCAGAGACGCTGAGATGTTCCATGGCATTGCTGATGGAGGATGGTCGGCCAGAGCGCTTGCAGCATCTCTGCCTACCTCAACGCTTTGTTCGTGGGAGTTTGCGTACTGGTCGTCCTCCAGGTTCAACATCATGTCGTCTTCATAACTACCACGTCCAACTTCATCCTCCCTAGCTCGCTTGTTAGGGTTTTCCTCCTCATCTTCCTCGTCCACTACAAGAGTACGCTTCGTACGCTTCTTAGACTTCGGCTCAGGGATTGGGTTGCCAGTAATCTTGGCCATGATTTCATTGCCGGAGAACATTGCCAATGGGTTAGCAAACCTTCCTGCTCCGATGAAATCTCCTGCAGAATTGATACCAGAACCGTAAACGTAATAAAAAGCGTTCTTTTTAGCTTGTGTAGCAGCGTGATGCTTGATCTTGACACGAGCACTTGCTGCCATGTTCTCAGGATACTCCATGATCCACTGGCTGAGAACGGCATTACGAATCTCAGTACTAGCATCAACGGTTGGGCGCTTGGCCTTTTTCTTCCGTCGCTGGGGAGCTTCAGCAGAGACGGAAGATTCGTCGGAAGCAGACATGACTCGATCCTCATCGGATAAATGCAAGGGTCTATCGATTCCACCAAGACCGCCAGTCATAAGAGGAAATGGTTCAGCATCTGGAAAAACGGGCATGTCCTCATCATACAGAGGCAGATCGAAATGGCCGTCGCCGTCGAGACTCTGAATCCGACCAACAAATGCATCTGCGTGCTCCTTTCGAACACGTCCACTGGCAGCAGAATCACTTCCAACTTGATGCTGGGGATTGATACTAGCAGCTCGACGGGCGATTCTCTCACTGGCAGGGATATCGCGAAGTTGCCCATCTGCATCGAAGTCGAAGAGATCATCATCTTGCAAGATGAGGTCTTCCTCATCATTGAAAATGCCAAGGCCGTTTCCGAACGGCTTCTGCGCAGATGAGTCACCGAAAGGGTCAATTATAGGCAGCTGATATGATCCACCATTGCTTGAAGGAATGTTGAACCCGAGCAGCGAAGATGCGGAGGCTTGTGAAAGTACGGAGCCGCTGCGACCACGGATGGAAAGCATGGATTGCGAGGACCGCTGAGAGTCGCCTTTTGGGTTGAGTTCCATGTTTGAGAAGTCGAAATCGAGTGGAGGAGCAGGCATGTCGATGACAAAGGCAGGATCGTCCATCATAATCAGTTGATCAGGACTAGGACAGGTCAGTTCGTCATCTGTCTAACGAGAATTGAAACCTACTGAGCCTTAATTGCAGCCGCGTCGAGTTCCGCACTACGCGCAACCTTAATAAGCGTCCGCATGGTATTCTGAGCTGTCTGCGTGTCCAAGAGAAGGTATTCCCATTGTTGATTGTAGACCTTGGAAACCCCATAGCTGTGCTGTTAGCTGGATTTGGGCTATGGAGGACAAGCTGCTTACAGAAGATTGCTCTGGAGTCTCAATGCCATTGGTGCCTCTGGCTCGATGATGGTCTCGCAAGCTTTCTTGACATTGACATCGAGGATTGCCTTCTTGGAGACTTTCTTGGTGTTTGACTTCGCGCCGAGTGTGGCCACCAACCTTTTCAGTCAGCCGGTGGTCTCTAGAAAACTCCCAAATGGCTATTTGCAGAGATCTGACGCGTTAATGATCAGAACAGCTTACCAGATGGTTGCAACGCCATATTTGCGGCTTGTTAAGACTGCAAGAAATGTTAGTATGGTACCTGTCCTGCGTTGACGCTCTGGAAGTACTACTTACTCTCATGACTGTAGAACATCTCGGCTGCCCCACGCGTTGAGCGCGTCCCAATTCTCCAATCAACCTGGGATTGTTCAGAGGGGAGATAGTTGAAGGAGACAGAGAGACTTGTAGAAGCCCAGAACGTCACAGCGGATACTTGACTCTTCAGACAGAGCGCTGGAAGACGAGGAGAAGTATGTAGGAGAAGGTTCAAAGTGGCCCGCTGGTTTGGAGAAAGGGCTTGATGAGTAGAGAAGGCAAGGTGGAAGGTTGCCGACGCAATCGGGTGGAAGTGAGTGAAAGTGAACTTCTCGATCCTCGCTTCTGGATTCCCTCAAAAGGGTAAGTGCACACCTGTGAAAGAGCACCAAATCAGCTTCGCAACACGTCCACGGAACTCACCCAAGAAAGTTCCTGTGCCGTAAACATATTCGAGAGGCCTTATATCTCTATCTTAGAGTAGTACCAGCTCTTACAAAACTTCATAGCAGCAGCTAATCAGCGAACCTTCCTTGAAGATACACGACACTCGTGATAAAATACATCAACAAAAGACAGGGCTTGAGTGAATTATGAAATTGTATTGTGACGAGCGAGTCTGCATTTCGCAAGAAGCACTCATGTTCGTCTGTTTGCTGAACCTGCAATGCCCTGATCCGCAGATTACCTAGACACCGCTTCATTTCCATCAACTCCATCCCATCCAAATGCAAGAACCAATTACAACGTGTTGAAGCCGCTCTACGCGTACTCCTTCCAACGTCAATGCAAGATTGCAAATGCAAGCTCCAGTCTAGCAGAAAACCCCAGGCCACCGACCATGTGTACAGGCCAAGCCAACCGACAATGAACAAAGGAAATGAACGCCTATGCTGTGCAAGTATCAAGAGTCAACATTCTGGTTGCTCATGGTGTATTCCTGCTTCCCTATTTATCTATCCTCTTTTCATGATGTCGTAAAAGTCAAGTCCCCTGCTATTTACTCGACAGAAGCTACTCTTTGGTTTTGATATTGTCTCTGCTGTTCTCTCGTTGGGGTCGAAGGACGCAGATTGTTGTGGGATGGCTGTGGTCGAACAAGCGGAATTCCAGATATCGAGTTATTGACGGTGTTGTGTCCACTAGCATGTCTCGATGGGGTGTTGAGTGGTGAAGCTCGGCCATTATCCTCCTGCCAGTTCTGGAAATCGCGTGAACTCCAACTGGCTCTGTGGACACGGGCTCCGTATGGTAGGTTGCCGTATGATGAGTAGTGGCTTCTCATGCTACCTGCCATAGAATTGGCTCTGCTGGCACGGGGACCAGCTAGAGAGTGTTGCGAAGCTGCTGGGTTGAGATCGGTCAGATCCGGGACGAAGTCGACGTCTTCATCCTCGATCTTGGGTGCACGGCGAACATCCTTGACTGTAAAATATGGCTCCTTTGGCTCCTCTGGCACTGGCGGAGGTGGTGGGGGAACATCCCTCTCCTTATCCTCCAGGTGTCCGAAGTATTTGAGACGGATGTCTGCCATACCATGGGGTCTGAACTCCTCGCGGTTACGCATGACCGACATGTAGCTGGAGATGACGCTCAAGACGATGAGAATCAGGACAGCAACAACCAAGAATCCTTGAATCACAATGATAATGATACCAATGACCGTCGCTGGAATACGGGCAAGATTGAGCTTGGGGAGGAAACCAATTGAGAGACCAGCTGTTGCCACTTTACTAAGACCAAGCATCCAGACCGCCAAAACAGTGTTTCGACGTCCCTCGAAAGGCTTGATGCAAGTGACTGCGATGAAGGCAATGATCTCCCAGATGAAGAGACCGATGACTTGAGCAGTTGGGCTGTTGCGTGCACCACCTACGAAGCAAGCGCGGATGAACTGGTAGATAACCCAGAAGGAAAAGAACCACCAACGCGTGCGTCTGTATCGAGCGGAAAGCCACCCAAAGCGCTTGGTGAAGTCGGCATTCTGGTGGACGCTTTGCTGCTCCTGGTCGTCGTTGACGAATCTAATCTGGAAGAATGACATGGAGCCCGCGGTCTTCGCCTTATCTTCCTCATCGAGGCAGCTCTCACGGGCTGCACTGTACCATGGAATAAACTTCAGAACCTTCTTGCGCTGGAAGTGGATTCGGTCGGGAGAAGACTCGTACTTTCCAAAACGAATTCGGTAGAAGCAGGCATAATAGCAAACACCAAATCCACCGAAGAAGAAGATAAGAAAGACAATAACAGCGATCGCAATCGGTCCTGCCTTCCCTCCGTAAGAGAATTGGTATAGTGCCAGGGTCATCATCATAAAGAATGCGATCAGTAGGGTTCGAAGAACGATCAATCCGATGAATCCAATCCAGTGCTCTCTAAAGATGACGAAGCGATCCTTCTTCATCATGTTTATGGTACTCAGCCCCTCGAGCAACCACTTGAAGGCGATTGTAGCCCCGATCAAGATAGCAATGAGGATGAGCAGCCACAAGAATCCAACCATGAATGCGTCAGCAGCTGGGACGTCGACAAGCGAAAGCGACCCGGCAAATCCAGACCAGTCTCCAGGGGTTGGTAGTCCAGGAGAGATAGGAACGCCGGCCCATTCATAAAGTTTTGCTGATTGGGTGCTGTTTCCTGCTGCCCGCTTGTACAAGTGGCTAGCAAGTTGCTCACCTTTTTGAGCGATCTCCAAGCTGCGTTGGAAGATCGAGCGTCCGTAAATCTGCTGCTGAAGCCCGCCATTGTTGTTCAATACTGTGGATCCAGCGCCTCCAACCTGGCTTGCGTTCCCATAAATTCCGGTGAAGCTGTTGATCGAACTGATTATTGTTGGAGTTGAGATCATGCCAGCTGACCAAGCAAAATTACTCCAGAAAGCAGGCAAGACGCTTGGCCAGTTCAAAGAGAGTGCTCCGGAGAAGAAGATCGATTGGAAGACTTCGATGATCACCAACACTGACAAGGAATGGGCATAATGGGTTCGCATATGAGGTATGCTGACTCCGTAAATGGCTGTAAAGAACGATGCCATAAGAGCAATAAGTGTGAAGACGCCTAGTGTAGATCCAACGGCTGCTGGGTGTGCGAAGCTTGCTCCATTCCTCATGACGGCCGAGAAGCAGGCAATTTCTGTCTTGGAAGAATTGGAGAAGAATCTCAACATCAGCGTTCCCTCGAAGTCTGGGATACCCAAAGCAATAGGAGGAATTGCGGAAACATCTGAACTCGATACTGGGATGACAGCTCCACCGGTGATGGGAACACTGGCGTTCAATGGACACAGACTGTGCTTGTTAGAAGGCGCTTTCATCCAGGTATTTGGAGTGCTCACCTTCCAAAGTTCGCATTACATGGGTTGAAAACCAGATCGAACCTATCTTCTCCATCTAAAAACTACATCAGTATTCCCGTTCCTTTTGTTTTTCGAGTTTCCTCAGCTTACAGGCATAAACAGAGATATACACTATGGTCAAGGTTAGCCGCATGTCACTGAACAAAAGGCCCATGGATCAACATACACATTAGAGACTCATTTCTTAGGTTGGTTGTGCCTGCGAGGTTGAACAGAACGGTCATATTATCGGCATAGTAGGCACCGTCGAAAGACGTCAAGTTGAGCAAGCTCTGTCCTCCCATACAGTCCCCAAAGTCCCCGCTGTACAATGCCGGGTATCTGTCCACCAATAACGTACTTGTTTCGCCTGCAGCATTCGTGCCTTGTATCGTCTCGAGACTACCGCTGTCATCTTGTGCTTGTACCGAAGGTATGAATGTGTTCAATATCGCGAGGGAGGAGATGGCGGCAGTGGCCCAGGATGCCGGCCTTAACGAAGGTAAACGCGCCATTATTGGAGGTGAATATTAAATTATCGGAAGTTGGAGATCGAGGAATGAAACGGGCCAACGCCCGGCGGAGTTGGTGTTGTTGATCAGATTGAAAGGGAGGTTGTATCACTTGTAGAATTGTTTGATGCAGCCCGAGGCTCAGTGACGTGTTCCCAGGTCGTCCGGCGTCCAGATGAAACGACGCAACCGTTGTTTGGAAACTTGGGCAGGCTCCTCCGATTGTTCGGTTGCAGATGAAAACGAGCGTTGCAGATAGTATTGGATCGATGGGTCGACGGATCGCAGGCTGAGGATAGAAATTGTATGCTCAAATTACTTTTGCTGTACCAAATGGCGTCGTTGCTTGGTTGGCTGCTGGCGACTTCCGAAGGTGAAGCCACCACCAAATTTGGCGAATGACGGCTGGATTAGAGATTATGAACACGACAAATGATCTGCATCCTCCTACGTCTCGTGTCGGTGTTGTAAATATGGGAGAGCAGAGCAACCGTGAAGTCCTGAGACTGGTCGACAACGAAGGGGGGTATGCTGAGGAGAAACAAACGAATGTCGTGCCCTGGATGGAAATGGGCATGGGCATGGGCATGGGCCTGGGATGAGGGAGATAAAGAAAGTGGAGGTGGATTATTGAGCGCTGGCCAGCACGCACATGTGCCCAGGTGGTGTGGATACCGGATGGCGGATACCTACCTATACCTTGCGCTTGCGGGTGCAACTCGAAAGCGAGACCTACCTTACGAGTGAGTACTAGTAGTACCTTACCTGCCTGCCTGCCTCCTTTGCAGCGACCTTACCTAAGGTACGGAGGTACGAGTAGAAGGCCGAGCTTTGCGTGGTGGGCTTGGCTTGGCTTGGGCTGCAATTGAACTGGCGCTGCCCTAGTAATTTACTCTCTCGGCGGTCAACTCAGAATCATATGTTCTTAGTTTGCTAGGCGTGGCGTGGCATAGTCTGCTAGAAATAGTCCTGCGCAATTGAAACATTTGTGCGCATCATCATCATCAAGGGAAGGGATCCGGCAAGAAGGGATTGATAGACTCAAGTAATCGAATGTTCCAAAGTAAAGTTCTGCAAGAGAGGGATGGATCCAGCCAGACGCACGTCGGGGCACGAGTAATGTAAGCTTCTGCACACGAGCTCGAGCTGCAGCTACATAGATACAGTATGCCAATATTAGATCAGACAGATGTCTCCCACAGATTCCCAAACCAGCACAGAGCAAAGCAAGCGTCTGGAACAAACCCGGCGATTGCCATGTCGATCGTGTTTACACTTTGTTAGCCGAGCTGGGTCTCTCAACCTGACGAAACAATCGCTCCAACTGGCCGTGCACAATACTATGAAACTCACGATATCCAGTGTAAGTGACCACTCTCCCTACACTACTGCCATTAGTCAATTCATTACTTCTCTACGGAGTATATCCTGCGGGACGAATTAGGTTCTGCGTCAGCTGTACTGTATGACTGCAAGGGCATAAATCAAGACGGATTAATTACCACTGGCCCACATCCAAATACCCTGCATTCCAGTGTCCATGGATCACCAGCACAGCGGCCTGCATCAAACAATGTCATCCGCTTCAGGAAGCTCATAACATTTCATTACTTAGAGCCACGAAATCCACCAGCCACCCTCCCATTCAGCCTACCTCCAAGTTACATAAAATTAAGAATCTCCAAAATACCTGTTTCCACATCCCCCAAGCTTCCAAGCTTCCCCCTCACCAATCACCACCACGTACCCCCCAGCCGAAAGCGATGCATCTTGGTCCAAAATTCCCAAGAAACAGGGCAGGAAAGTGTTCCCGACTTGGCACATAGCCATGCATCCCGTCCATCTCGCAGATGTGGCCCACGGCATCTTCGGATGCGGATATACCGCAGATGCGTGGCATGGCATGGCATGGCGGGCATGGCAATGTTGTGGTTGGTGTGGCTGGAAACCCTGCACCAGCCCCATGAATGCACACACCGCCCGCTCGCAAAATCGAGGAATCTTCAGTACCGCAGGTATGAAGTACGAAGGCCAGTGATAGCGATAAGAAATTGGTGACAATGTTTAACGAAATTAAAAGCCAACAAACCTCGTCGAGTACCTGTATAAAACTTCATCCAATATCACTCTCAAGAAAATTCCACGTCACGTCCGGCGTCTTCTCACCGCTCGTGCATCTGCAGCTAAAAGAATTCAAAAACTCAATCCAGTCCTGTCTCCCAACCTCTTCCCTGCCACTTTCACCACATCGCCCATCTCGTCACCAACTACCGCAAAACACGAATGGACTTCCAGATCACAGGTACTTGCCAACATAGCAGATGTCTACTCCATATACGGAGATAGCTTCAGGGAAGACAACAAAGGATAGGCCTTCGATATCGCCGCTAAGTCCCGACCCCCCCAAACCATTTCTTCGACGTTCTCAAACTATCAACCCAAGAGCCCAGAGGTCAAGAGTTCAACTTGACAAACATAGCTAGCAAGTAAGTAATAAGCTGATGCCCAAACCCCCAAACATAACATTGCTGCCGAGACCAATCTCTCTCTCTCCCCCCTCTCCTGAAAACCACACTCGCTTGCTAAGCGACACCAACATCGACACTAAACTATCGAAAACAATGACGAAGCCCAAGCAAGCCACTAACTTCTCCCATAATCCTTCTCTAATGTACCAACACCCCAGTATCAACGAACAGTGTTCAATTCCACACAATGTCTAATACGAACGGTGGAAACAAGAGCATTAAACAGGAAACTTGCCAGACTAGCTACCAACTCCATGCACTAACTGCCATTTTCCGAACTTCCGTAGTAGTCTCTCATTCAAACTCAAATTCAACTTCAAGGAAATAGATCCTCAAATAAAGCTCATCCCTCATCCCTCCCCGCGTCTTCTATGCAGCTCCAACTCTTGTTTCCACGCCAGCGACAATCCCCGAGTGTTCCGAAACGTAACGCCGGGGAGCATTGTAAGCCATCATGCCTAAGGCTTTGTTGACTCTTGGATCTTGAAATCCCCCTATCATGATTTGCAGGTCCTGCAGCATCGCCATTGCCTTCTTCTAAAGTCGAGACTGAGAACATTCTATGAGAAATCTGGATTTTTAATCGGTCAGTAGTCTCCCATATATATATATATATATATATTTCAGCTAGGTCGAATGTCACACGTTGATTTTGGGAAGTTCTTTCAGGTCAATGATAACAGTGGCATTCATAACCACTTTCTAGCAATACAGGACATAGCAAATCGCATGCCGATTCATGAAGCAATACTCACCACCCCGATGATCGTCGTCAGTGCCATCTGGGACTAGCACAGGACTGTACAAAACGGCAAGCCGCCACTAGACGTTTACTGTCCATTGATGATATTGATCCACTCCGACAGAGGCTTCATTCCAGTCGGAGCAACTCGCCACCTCGAAGCAACCTCCGCCGTTCTTGCCTCGTCACCAATACCATACACGCCAGACATTTTTTCATCCCACTTTGCAAGTTCTTCAGCCGGGACCGGTGAGCCAAACTTTTCCATGAGTTGCAGAAACCAGAGCCGATTCTCAAGCTGCTTGCCACCATCGAAAATACCAAGTGCATACTCGTAGTATGGCGCCAGCTCCTCGCAAAAGATGACCCTCCAGTCTGCTTCTCTTCCTTCATGTTTGGCTGCGGCGATGGAAACCTCACGAAGATGGTCCATCAGCTTTCTAAGGGTCAGCACGACGCCTTCTTTGATAGCCGACTTCTGGTTCGGTGAAGGGATAAACCTATGATTCGGTATAGGGTAAACTACGAACAGCTTATCAATCTTGGTCTTCTCTGTATTGTAGAAGGTGTTTTCGTTCTTCTCAATTCTCTTTCGGCTCTCGATGGTCATATCGTAATGTCTGATGTCGTAGCACATGACACTTGCTTTGAGCCAAACATTCATGTCGTCATGTAGATTTTCGATGGCATGTTTGTTCCTTTCCATGCAATTCTGAATAATACGAACACTGGATGGGGGCGCCATATTCTCATCGTTGTCCTGGTGGGGAGGATTGTTGGAGTCAGAAACCGCAGCTGTTGTCTACATTGAATTCAACACCCATTCAAGCCAAATTGGGAGTACTATAAGATACTCGAGACATGAAAGACACCTGTACTCACCGACACGTTGTTATTGTTGCGTACCTCAGTTTCCTCTTGGCCAATTGTCTCTGAGGGTACATGTTCCACATCATCGTAATTGACAGTTAACATGTCACCTCTTTGAGCCGCCTCCTTTTCTTCTGTTTCCCTCACTTCCTCTGCCCTACTCGCTTCATCTACCCTCCTCGTTTCTTCTATTTTCATCGCCCTTTCTGCCCTCTTTGCTTCTTCGGCTATCTTGGCCTCTTCTTCTTTCCTCGCATTTTCCTCTTTCTTCGCATAATAATTACCACGTTTCCTGCCCATTTCCTGGAGATACTGCTGGGGGGTAAGCATCTTCCCTTCAGCCCTTCTACGAGCTTCATCTCCCGGTGGAGCAGGTCCTGGACGCATATGCTCATACCTTGTCCTCGCGTCTCCTCTCAGCTTCTCAGCCTCTCTTGTAATGTTCGCGTTGAGGGTATTCTGTGGCTCTTCTGGTTTAGGACGTCCCCATAAACTGCGTTCTATTTTGACTTTTGGTTGTCGAATAGTTTGTGTGCGGATCTGTCGTGTTGAGCCATTGTGGTGGTTCTGAGTGTGATTGCTACGATGGGTGCCTCTGGTGGAGTAATCCTCCGGCTCAGGGGTTACGTTGGCAGCTTTAGGCACTTCTACTGGCTTGTCCTGTCCCGGAGCTGTTTCCTGGTGCCGGGGACGAGCTGGACCACAGAGATCATATCCTTGCTCGGAGGAGCATGCAGCACCCATGATTTGGAGTGAGGTTTGGTTGACCGAGTGGTGAATCACGGCAAGCAGTCCTTGTAGGTTGAATATATCGTATAAAGAATAGTGGCAAGCAAAATTGGAACGGGCTAAAGTGAATGCTGTTGATGATGATGATGATGATGATGATGGGTATGACGATCGACGATGGCTGTTGAGATGAAGGAGGAGGGTTGGAGGTTGTTTACTAGCCTCGCTAAAAATGGCAGGCCCGACCTGCCTTACCGAACACTTACTAGCTACGCAAGAACGCTGAGTTAAATGGACAAAGAAAGCAGCAGTATAGTCTTATTAAATATTTTCTATCTGGATGGAATGTAAACGATCGTGTCGCATCTCGGTTGAGATCCTTTCAACTACTGGATATGCGTGCTTGGAATGGATGAGAGTGGGTCATGCCGATTCCCGCATTGAGACATCACACCTATGCTTGCCATAACTTCTGTGAATTTCATGGGTTGGAGAGTTTGATTGATCGCAACAAAGTATCTGGATCACGAGTCGTCGTATGCATTATCAAATGGCCGCATCTGTTGAAATGTCTTAAGATGAGAGACAATTTCTGATGATCCCAGAGTACTCAACGGATTTCAAATAAGTCAGCAAAGCGAATACCTGTAAATTAGCGAATCATGTGGGATTGGATGTGTACCTATGGACGTGAGGCGAGGTGAACTGACCTGTTATTCACATAAATCCCGTTAAGCGAAACCTCAACAGTTGAACCACATTGTAACATCTAAAAAGCTCTGACAACGAAGCAACATAGCTTTCGCACTCTCTATATAAATAAATCAGACCATGCTCTAGGAGCAGTAAAAGTCAGTCATGCTACGATAACGAGGTCATTGCGATCAAGAACCTTTGGACGATATCAGTCTCAACTATGACTGCCACAAGACAGAAGGCTTGTGCCATGTAAACTTGAGATACGAGAGTAATCTTACATACGTCCATTAAGATGGGCATTTATTGTATATTGTGTCAAGAAGTTAATGTTGTCATCAAAGCCATGATGTTTGTCACACAAAATCTCACTGCCAAACTCGCATCTATGTTACATCTAAGCTTCAAATACCAAGAGGAGGTTCCATTTCTTTCTGTCTGAGTATCGTCCCATGCTCAATAAGAGCAAGCAGGTAAGTGCATTCAACTACCAATGAGCACCTGGCTTTACGAGCCGAATTCAATCGACCACAGACGTTAACGGGAAATGTGGTTGACCGCTTCACAACATAGGAGATCTTGTTGGGTCAAATAAAGTGGATGTATTTTATTCCGCCATGGAAGCAAAGAGCCCGGGAGGTGGAATGAAATTTACTAAAGTCACGTCTGTCAAATTCGCGAGGAGGGCAGATTGATCCAGCTTCTCAATTTCGTTTCATTCGTTCCTCCAGCTGCCATCTACCGTTCATTCTCGGTGATCGCAGGCTCATCTTCTACCAGCTATGTATGCTACACGCGCGCCCAGTAATGCCGCGCACTGTATGTATCTAACTCCCTCCTTCCTCTCAATCTTTATACCCAACTCTCCATCTACACACTTCCTTCTCACATCTCCATTCTTTCCCCATGACCATTCTCAACTCTCATATCTCAAATGAGCATCTCCTCAACAAAGAAAAAAGAGACATGTACGTGTGGGGTGTTATTGTGCCCTTGAAACAAAGAAGAAGAAAATTCGCCCAGAACCACCCACTCAATTTTTATCCCCACAGGCTTTCGCTGAAAATGCATGTATCAATCATCATCCATAGTCCATCATCACTCATCATCCATGCAATCCGTCATCATAATGTTCGTCGAAATGGAGTGGCGTTTGCCCCTTCGTATCCTATTCGTCCTCATAATAAATGAGAAGACTTGAGTGGATGTCTCGCATGGGGGAGGAAAAGGTCGAATGTAAAGTCACGAAATCTTGCTTTTGGCGAGAGGTTCTGAGTACCCCGTACAGGTGCAAGTCAGAGGCTACATGCCCGAACGATCAAAGAGCAGGCCAGCCTACTCTAAGCTGAGGGCGTCACTGCAGGGCTCACGGTATCCAGGGGTGCTGCATGAAGAGCAGGCTTAGCGGCCTCGCCCATCAGCCCCCTCATCTTGCGCTCCATAGCATTCTTGACCCACTCGGCGACCTCTTCATCTTCGGTTCCGCGTCCAGCACCCATCTCCTTCTTCGGAGCTTCTCCATCAGCGAATCCTGTGGGTAATTCGGCTTCTTCGTCCTCATCTTCTTCGGAGATGGTGAGTGGTTTCGAGAGGCCCGCTAGCCAAGGGTGGGCGAGCAGCATGGAGTACGTAGGGCGAAGTTTAGGGATCTTGTTGAGGCAGCCGTGGACGAAATCGCGTGCCGTAGCGGAATAGCCTTCTTCTGGGAGATCAGGTGGCTCACCATCTACAATTGCCTGAGAAAAGTTAGAGAAGGTTCGCCACTATTTGGCTCGAAGTAACTTACGCTTAGTTGCGAGAAAATGTTGTTGTAGGTCTCTGGTGGGTATGGATATCTTCCCATCGCACACTCGATAATACTCAGACCCAAACTCCATATGTCGCTCTGAACGCTGTATGTTCCACCTGCTCCACCAGCTTGTGACATCCCCCCTCCAGATATCCGCTCGGGAGCCATGTAGGACTGGCAACCAATGTTTGTCTTGGCGATACTGGCAACCAAGTTTCCGCTGACGCCAAAGTCGCAGATCTTCACTTGACCTCTCGTGTTGACAAGGATGTTCGTAGGCTTGACATCTCTGTGGATGATGTTGTGATCGTCCTTTAGAGTTCTCAGTCCCTGTGTCGTGGCGTAGGTGATCTTCCGCAGTACATTCTCTGGAATACCATCTCCATAGATCTTGTCGATCGAGCCACCGTCCATGAATTCAATACAGATGTAGACCGCTCCCTCTTGGAAGAAAGCACCATAGAAGTCGATTATGTAGGGACTTAAACATCTGTGCAAGATATCGAGTTCCATAATGATGTTGGCAAACTTAGCCTCATCAAGCTCTAATCTGATCTCTTTCATAGCCATAACAACCCCACTAGTGTTCCCGCTGGGTTTGGGTGATGTTTCTGATGCAACAGTATCGTTCAAGGAGTTGGTCGACATAGAGGATGAATGTTTGTTGCCAGCCAATCCAAGTCCAGGTCTTCTCATCCTAGGCCTCGAATGGCGGACCTTGTAAACGGTACCATAGTTTCCCTTACCCAACTCCTCCAATGTATCGACCTCGTCTAACGATATACTGAAAGTGCTGCCGGAGTTGAAATCGATGCCGTTTCCATGAATGACTGCCTTGTTCTTGAACTTCAAAGTGCCGTTCTTAGCATCGAGGAACTCTGAAAACTTGTCGAACATCGATTCAGGTTTGTCACTATTTGTCCTGGTCGGAGTATCTCCATTGAGGTTTGGCGTGCTTGGGCTGTCAGGAACCGAACCTGGTAGGCCTCCCGGTAGCTTCATGCCTCGTCTGGCGCTTAGTCCGCCTTTCACTGGCATCTTCGGGACTGCTGGAGCTGAGACAAAGTTATGGGCTTGAGGTCGCATGTTCGGTGGCAAGCGTAATCCTCCTGGCAGACCTCCCATAGCCTGTCCACCAAACTTAGGTTGATCTGGCAGAGGACCAGCACCTGTTGACAACGATGCCCCCCCAACGCCTGGACGCATGGGTGGGGTGCCCTGTCTCGAGAGATGGAACGCCTTCATCTTCGCCTCCATGCTTTGTGGTAACTGTTGTGAAGTCTGCGCTGCTCGTAGTCCCGACATACTGGGTGGTGGTTGTAATGGTCTTCGTGCGTTTTGTAGTAGGCCTAACGGTGTTGAGGACGCAGTCATGGACGCTGTACCTTGAGAGTCGGACTTGAGGGAGGGGAGGCGTGGAGGAGGAGTATTTGAGGACTCTGGGGTAGGGCTTGCCAGAGGGGACTCATCTTCTTCGTCTAAGGTAGAGTCTGGCGACTGTGGACTGGCAGCGAAATCAATCGCCTCGATCGACTCGTCGCGCGGGAGTCTAGGTGTGGGGACTGGCGGGGAAGCCATGGTTGTTCCAAGTTTCTAGCTATGTGGCATGAGCAGAGTATGGAGGATCCAATCGAAGAGATCTCTAGAATAGAAATTGAAGATCCGCGGAGTCTGTTCGTTGCGCATAGTCAGCAAAAAGGCGCTTGGCATTTGGGGGATCAAGAAGATTAGGACCGACTCTGCTATCAAAATGCCGCACGCTCCGATTGGTTCTGCCGATGTTGACGGGCTGCAACTATCAAAGGAACGTGGTAGCCTGGGGCGTTTCGAGTAAGAGGGCGATCGGTCTGGGTATCGTGGACTGCCAAAGAGGAGCTGGACCGTCGAAATGGAGTTGTGGAAATAGAAGGGTCTGGATACTTTGGAGGGGAAAAAGTGGTTTGGTGAGCAGGGCAGGGCAGGGCAGGCAGGGTGGGCAATGGTCGCTGGGGTGGTTCGTTCGGTACCTGAGGCTGTGCAGCTAACGAGGACTGGATTAGCTGAACAGCTGGATAGTCGATTAGGCGCGATGCTAAGGTTATGCGGAAGATGGCCGCATCGATCGAAAGGTAGAAGCAGCGCGGGCGAGGACCTTAGTAACGAGGTCAGATCTTGAGTCGTGGAGACGCAGTCAGTATGTCTGAGTTTGGGCTTAGGTGAGGTGCTGGATCAGAAGTACGAGTAGAAGCAGATGCATCTGATCTAGCGAAGTAAGAAGATGCTAGTAGAGAGGCCTGGCTTAAGACGAGACGACACAAGACTTGAATGACTGGGCGTCTATACTTTTCCTGGTAGAGAAAAACCAAGGGATTATATGCTGAGATGTAAGAATGGATCCGTTATAGGTATGATGGAACGAAATGATGTCTGTATGCTCTTGCGTTGACATACTCATGTACTTTTGCGGCAGGGATATATTAGGAAGCCTGCTCGCAACTCTCAACTCTTCTGGACAATTTAAACGTATCAGAGGCGTGCAAAGGGGATAATGACAGTGATGCTCTGGAGCTCGTTGGCTATGAACCATCTGCAAGGTTGAGCAGCTCACACTCATCACATTAATTGTGGTTTTGCAAAGGCATCGGAGACGGAGATGGAGATGCAGATGCAGATGCAGCGAGTGTAGCATGTGTGATGACGTTGCTACCATTATTTGGCAGTACTTTTATCATGGACGAGGGGACGAGGGGACGAGGGGTTCGACGAGGATGCGCATTATTGGATTCTGGGACTGGCACTGACCTTGGCAGTCGTGGCTTGACTTTGTTTCCCCCACTATGAGTGGCTATCGATATCAAAACTGGAACCGGAGCAGTTCTCACATCCAAATCTGAACAGGTCTCCGCCCCGCGAAGAGCTGTTCCAGGGCGCATAAAATATCGTGGTCCTGGTGATAAATCTGGGCAAGGCAAGCCACAGTCGCCATATGATCTCCTTTGGGTGGATATGTTCCCTGGGACCTGAACGCCAGTAGGTCACCGCCGGATGCACTCCAGAAGGAGAAACTTCTCAAAACTCGAGGTCCACCTGGGCGCCCCTAAACTTGCTTGGACCTTCCACATTCAGTTGAATGCCATCCCAACTTGCATGTCAGGTCTGGAGAAATATATATTTAGATTATTCCAAGTAGCGTTCAAGGGTTGAAGTTTTGCATTGTGGCTATGAAATCATAAAATCCGTGCTGACCGGAATATTGCGAATTAAAGGACTACTACCGCTCTTCTTGCATGTTGATGAAATAGCACTTCATGGCACTGATTGGTCGATGGGTCAAGTGGTGATGGATACTTTTTGATGGGCATGCCGAGCAAGTGTGGAGTACCTATGGAGACAGCTACGAGCTTTTTCGGAGGCGAAAGAAGGGAAATTTTGGGTTACATTTGAAAGCGACCACTTCTTTCTCGTCGCCACAATGGCGCACTTTCCGCGTGCTGATCTGTAGAACGTCTGATACTGAACATTGTCTATCAGGTGACATGAAATCGTAGGTACTTCGTATCTACCTAGTGTCAAAGGTACTGGTAACCACGTAGAAAGCCTCTGATCAGCCTTTCGTCGCCCTGGATTATCAAAAACGGTAGTTATACAGACGAGAGAAGAAAATATGAACAGCGCCAACATTTCCATCGTGACACTTGCCAGTGCTTGCCCTTCACATGATACCCAGGTAGGTGAGAGGTACATTCAAAACAGTGCTTCTAGTCTCCAAAGGAGCATATATTTGAGGATTCAATGGTGTCTCTATAATCAAACCCTGATGACCACAGATGTTTCCAGAAACCTACAGGGAAAGCCCCAACTTCATGGTCCCTTACTTTGTGTCCTACTAACAATGGAAGGCTTAGTCTAGCAGATCCACTTGCAGAAAAAAAGAATCTTGAGCTCGCTATACTTGAACAAGCAAACGAAATGTAACGTTCCAGTATTCTTCTTGTTACGAGGCAGATCTTGGCCACACTCAAAACCACCAAGACATCGACAGCTCTGCATTTAAAGTATGTAGCATGCACAGAGCGTGCAGTACCTGGAGATATGGTAAGCTTGAACTAAGAAACAGCGAATGGCGGGAAGAAGCGGACTTTAATCAGGACTCCAAGACCCTAGATTACCATGAAAAGAAATATATGGTTGTCTCCAGACTTGATAGAGGTTAATGCCTGGTCTAAAGGCTGTAGTTTCAGTTGGGTTCAAGACCGGCAGTTGAGTGCCGAAGACGGGGGTGTGAAAACCAGGTCATGAATGCTACTGTACTGGCTTCTGTCAGAGCCAAGAAATTGGGAACATTAGACTGTCAACATGAAGAGCCTGATGGCACCTGTCCTTTACAGTAGCAGCAGATCGAAAGTAAGAGTTCTCCACGGTTTCAGATATCTAGCAGGGAACGGCTGCTTCAAGAGAGCCAGTGTCATACTTCTTTTGCCTTGGTCTTAACGCCTGGTTGGGCTAAGATCGAGGTTTTCGAGTAATCCAGAAGCCAAGAAACACCATAATTGGGAAAGTATCTGAGGATTCATTCGAAGGTCGTGTGTACCTGTGCATCTAAACAATATTGGAAGAGAAAGTCCTGGTGACTTGACCGCCAACCCAAATTCCAAGGCAATAGGCGAACAGAAGGACCCTTGGCAGAGCTTGAAAGAACACCGCGTCATGCCGTGGCTGGGGATTTTTGCAGCCACAGTGCATGATCATGATCTACCTACAATACCATGACGAGTTTGACGTGACAGGCGGAAGACTACCCGTGGAATGGAACCTTGCCTTTTGGAATCCACAGGTACAGGACAGTACTGTAGTACTGTACTGTACTCTAGTTTGAAGCGGTGACCGCTGATAACGATTGCGATGAGGCACTTTCTCTTCATGATAGCAATATCAAAAAGTCGGTATCTGCCTGCCTACCTACAGTTGACATTGACACATTAAGTGCTTCAAAATGGCCGCTCTAGCGTGGGGACGAAAACATTCACGACGCCAACCCTCCACCTGATATTGCGTCTTTTGTGAGCTGTCGACTCGATGCCAATCACGAAAATCACAGCGACTCGGATTGCGTAACTTTCCAGGCCAGTAGCACTGCACTGCACAGCACAGCACAAAGGCCAAGGCACGAACGATAAACTAGAAACACGCAAGGACAACTTCGCCATTTCACAGCTGGATTTGCAGCACCACAATCCTTTCTCATTCTCATTTCCTCATTTTTCGATAAACAACCTCCGTCGGGTTCATCCGGGAATTTACAAGAAACAAGAAACGATTTCCAGGCAAAACGGCAGAATTCGTTGGAGGGTGTTGGTTCTGGAAGATATCCGCTGTGCACGTCCAAGTCCCAAGGCCAAGGCCAAGGCCCAAGCCCAGCCACCTCAGTCAGCTCTTGCCTTGCTTTTTTCGCGTAGCCACGCCGCTTATCAGATCGGCCCGCCCAAGTGTTGAAAGGCAGCGAGCGGCATTACATCTGAAGTCTCCTCTGCCCTCAGCACTTCATACAAGTACAACAGCAACAACAACAAGAGGGCATCTTCCTCGCTCACATCTCCTCACCACGGTCGAGGCCGTCAATCCTCACTCCGAAATGGGCTTCTTCACCAATCCTACATCATACCGTCTCAATGCAGTTGCTGGCAACTATGGCCCTCCCATCGCCACCACCACGAACTTCTCCTTCCTCTCTATCCGCAACGATCATGATGCGCATCCGCCGTTGGGACATCTCATCCTCCTCGTTTTCGAGGCGGTGATGGAGGTCGTGTGTGTTAGTTTGCCGGGCTATATTGTCGCAAGACAGGGCATGTTCGATGCAGACAAGCAGAAGTTTGTGGCGAACTTGAACGTCGCTCTTTTTACACCATGTCTGAGTATGTGCGATAAAGGATATGGTAGCAAGAATAAAATGCTGACTAGATTTAGTTTTTACGAAATTGGCTAAGCAATTGACTGCGGAGAAGTTGGTGGAACTCGCCGTCATTCCAGTCATTTTCGTAGTTCAGACATTAGTCTCATATTTGGTCTCAGTGGCTGTTTCCAAAGGATTTGGATTCAAGAAGCGACCTGCAAACTTTGTGACTGCTATGGGTGTAAGTTCCTCACAATGGGGGCTATTTTCAAGAGACTAAGTGACTCAGGTGTTCGGAAACTCGAATTCTCTCCCAATCTCGCTCGTTATATCACTCGCCCAGACACTTCGCGGATTACATTGGGACAAGATTCCAGGGGATAACGATGATGAAGTGGCGGCACGAGGCATTCTCTATTTGCTAGTCTTTCAACAGCTAGGACAGCTCGTTCGATGGAGTTGGGGATACCACGTCCTGCTTGCACCACCAGAGAGTTACGAAGAGGAAAACTCCGACATCGAGGGAGGCAGATACAGAGATGAACCGGAATTGATTCCTGGCCTTGATGGCAGCGCGCCGGAGGAGTATCAAGTACTGAATGGCCATGGCTCTTCCTCGACTGTGTCATTTGAGTCTGGAGGTAGAACTCCCGTCACACATGCCCATTTTGCCGACTCGGATGACGACGAGGATACCAAAAATGACATGAAAAAGAACGTACAACCTACGCCTACAAATGGAAATGCTTTCCCTCACGTGTCGAACGGCAACATCACTTCCTTCCCAAGCATTCGCACTCCCACTCCAGGTGACGATTGGGAGATTCCAGATGGCGTCAGAGGAATCATTCCTACGATTCAGCTGAAGTCAAGACGTGGTATCTTCCATGTTACCCACGGCATCAAGAAGACCTCTCAGAAAGCTTTTGGAGCTCTCCCCACCCCAGCTCAGAATGTGCTTGCAAAGGTCTACTCTGTGCTCGGCAACTTCTTCGCTGGACTTTGGGAATTCATGAACCCACCTCTATGGGCCATGCTCCTCGCTATTATCGTAGCCTCGATTCCCAACCTTCAACGTCTTTTCTTCGAAGATGGTTCCTTCATCGCCAACTCTGTCACACGAGCTATTGGTCAATCAGGAGGCGTTGCAGTTCCTCTCATTCTAGTGGTGTTGGGCGCCAACCTCGCACGCAACACTCTCCCCAAGGAATCTCTTGACCCAGATTCCGAGGAAAACCAAATCGGAACCAAACTTATGATCGCATCTCTCATCTCGCGAATGTTATTGCCAACCATTATCATGGCTCCTCTCCTCGCTCTCGCAGCAAAATACGTCCCAGTCAGCATCCTGGACGATCCAATTTTCGTCATCGTTTGCTTCTTGCTTACTGGTGCACCAAGCGCTCTGCAGTTGGCACAGATCTGCCAAATCAACGGTGTCTACGAGGGCGTGATGAGCAAATTGCTCTTCCAGAGCTACGTTATCTGGTACGTTTATCTTCGTTTCCATTCTTCACGAAAACAGCTAACAAGAAACAGGATTCTACCCTCAACGCTCATCCTCGTCATGTGTGCCCTCGAGGTTGTCGAATGGGCAGCTTGAAGCTTGTTCATTAACCTTTAAAACTCGTCCTCACCTCATGGACATCTAGCTCCTTGACAACCTGTATCTTCTATTTTGATATTAGGCTTGTCTCGACCCGCGCAAGGCTTGCCACCAATGTATCTATAGTCCGTCTCCTTACCTTTTCATGTTCCGGGACGGGACAAAAATATTGTCCGATTTTGGTTCTTTTTTTCGAAGTACACAGTCGTTTGGACTGGACTACAGTAGCATGGCGTTGCGGCTGAATTTTGGGAATGAAGGTCTTGATACCGATACAGTTACTCCTTAGCAGGATTACGGCTTCCGCAGTGAGTAAACAGAAAAATGCGAATACTGTATATGACATTGAACTCTCCTGGATACTTGGTTGTGATTGTAGCTGACGTGGAATTTTACTTGTGAATTTGAAAGAATTAGCGAACTACTGCGTCACCAGACAAAAAATGTTTGTTTTCAAATCGTAGCCAAGCTATTCCTTGAATGTTACAACAGCGACTGATACTCTATTAAGTCCTCAAGCAGCCAGTCCATCAGCCATTCCACAGACACGAGGCTACCACAAAGACTATTAGCAGCAACTCGATGGTGACTGAATCCCGCTTCACTCTCACCACCATACCTGTCCTCCATTCAACACCCAACCCAAACCCCAAGCTCAAACCCTCCTGCCACCAAACCCCCAAATCTTAACCACATTCCCCACCCCTCCACTCAACCCCTCCTCCACCCTCGTCCCTGCATTACCCTTGTCCTCAAACGTAGGCACAAGCGCCAACCCATCACCCCTCACATCAAGAGCTGTCCATTTCTGCTCTCTATACGCGAATTTCTTCCTCTTCGATTCTCCCCCTCCGCCTTCGTTCTCATCATTATCGTCATCATCATCGTGTATACCACCAAGACTTGGAGCTTCATCCTTGAGGACTTCAAGGACTGTGGTGTAGCGTACGCTTCTATCATCACCACCTCCGATGTCTGAAGTGTGATCTTCATTGAAGACCCTTGGGTCTGATTCGCCGCTATACAGAAGTTCGGCATCGCTCTTCCCTTTTGGTAGAGGATGGAGGAGGAGGTGGAGATCAGGGAATTGCGCGAAGATCTGTCCCAGTGCGGGTTTCTGCGTGGTAGATGAGAAGATGGAGCGGGTTGGATTTTGGATTTGTTGTTGGTGTTGGTTTTGGCGATGGGGCTGGTTCTGATTTGCATTTGGGGGTTGGTAGGCGGTGTTGGTGTTCGTGTTGATGGTATTTGGGTTTGTGGAGTTGTGAAGGATGGTGAGGATGTTGTTTGTTCTGGAGAGGATGTGGAGGGTTGAGGAAAGGAGGGCTAGGAGAGTGTGTGCTGGTCAGGGCTTTCAGTCTTATGCTCTACCATTCTACCATTCTGCCTTTTTCTTTTTTCTCGTTGCAAAGTAGATTTCGAAACTTGAGAATGTTAATGGGGGCAAGAGGAACGAAACATACCTTCGCTCTTCTCTTTCCTAGCAAATAGCTCATTAATGATATGAGTCATATTATCCACAACGATGACCTCCATACCTTCGTCTTCTCTATCATGTTGATCCTTCTCCTTCGAAACGGATGGTGGAATATCGCACGGCGGTGTAGAATCTTCTTCACTGTCCAGGATTTCAGGTGCGTCGTCTCTGATTTCCTGCTCTACCGCAGCATCTACTTCGTGTGTGACATCAAGAGCAGCTTTTGCGTTCTGATTTTGCCCATCCACTTCAGGGCTTGATAAAGACACAACACGATCCACCTCCCCAATGACCTCCCATAAACCCTCGATGTCAAATACGCGACTGATAGCCACCATTTCCAGACACTTCTGGACTTGCTCATCAATATTCGCACTCTCCTTCTCACTCATATCCATGCGAGTACCATTTTCACTAGTCTTAGGTTCTCGGACTGCATAGTTCCCCGTATTCACAGCATTCTGAGTCGCGAGGGAGTAGGCTTCTAAAAATCGAGCTCTGAGAACTGAAGCGAGGAGCGCGAGCGGAAAAGAGCCGGTGGTGTCAATTATTGTTACTTTGGTTCTTGGTGACCGGGATTTGGTGGTTGATGGTCCGGAGAGATGTACGAGTAGAGCTGAGGCGAGCAGGTGTAGGGACAGCTGGAGTTGTTAGCCGTGGCCAAATGCATGTTTGGAGACAAAGAGTAAGGATGAGATAGTAGTGGCGGACAGGATGACAGAGGTAAGCGTATCAAGGGACTTGTGGAGATCAACAAAGATGGAAAGCAGTGAATCGTTGAAAAAATGTAGTATAGACAGCCCACACGTGAAAGAGCCATTTGCCACGAAAATGCGAGTACTCCCAAGTCTCATTCCGGGCATGCTTATCCAACCTCTCACACAAGGCCCATATGACCCATTTCAGATCAACATAGATAATAAGACGAGCCAACTCACCAACCTCCCCTCTCTACCTTCAACAGGCGCACTGATTCCCAACACAATGCCTCTCTCAATACCACCACCACCAAGCACATCATCAAGCTCTTTACACCCTGTACTCAGTCGTCGTGGCCTCCCGTAACGTGTGAACCGTTGCTGTTGCTGCTCTTCTAGCTCAAGTAGATGGGAAGCCAAGATTGGGAGTGCAGGTTCTGGAGGTGGTTGGGTGGCGTTGGCGAGGAGTGAGTGGTCGATGTGTATCATCTTGGACGTGGGTGTAGAAGTGGAGAGGATAGTATCATATGTTGCGAGACAGGGGATCTAAGTGACGAGAACATTCCCGGAGATTTCTAGATGATATGAGGTAACAAGGCGAAGTGGGTAGAAATTCAACACATGGGGCGATTGAACGAGAAAGTGAAATTTGACAAGAGGGAAAAGAAATCAAGATTCTCCTATCTTGCGTGGTGAAGAGAGCATATAATCACTGATGCTTTGAGAACCTGTGATACTCGTATATGGTTTAGTTGATCTCCTGCTCCCTTGGTGATGTTCCAATGTTTGTTCAGGATTAGGCTAGGCTGATCGACAGATGAGAAGCGAGCTTAAGGTGTGAGACCAACACCAACGAACCTGGCAACCGCGAGCTCGTGACGATAAGAAAACACCACGCAGTTTCAATCAGTTCACAGAAATCCAGGACAATTTTGAGCACTCCTACTCTAGCCAGGTAATGAAGATATATTCCCATTGCCATCTATCTATATCTACTTCCATTCAGATCCCCGCAATCATTCCGGCCACGTGTTAGACTAGACACATGGATGTCAGACACGCGTCTCACCCCTGCGCTGAAGATCCGCAGTCTAGACCGGGCGATTCATGCCCCCCAATCCCCAAATCCTGAATGTCCTCCGGGCCTTCCTCAATAATCATCCGACCAAATCCGACTTTGAACTTGGCGAGTAAAAGATCGACCCTACGGCGTGCAACAAAGACTTCTGTTCTGCCAACAATGATTGCTCGCTGCCCAATCCAAAGACTTCACTCCCTCGACCCCCGACCCCCTCGCTTTGCTGGGCGGAGTAAGCCCAAGGCGTCTGTCTGCCTTCTCCCATCCGGTGAAGCCACGATGGAAAAGGCCCCGTCTAGACTCCAGATGCGCCTGTCTGACCCGTAGAAGCTGCCATCTCTTTGCAGATCACTGAAAATGCGACGTGCATCAAAACCGTGCTCACCTTACTGTGCTCTCTTAATCCTGCTGTTTATGGGTTGTTAGGGGTCTTGCTGTTCGGCGAGGGCGTGGGCGTGGGCGTGGGCATGAGCGTGGGTACGTCCGTAAACTGAAAACCTACAGTTGGTTGGCAGCTGGAGGCGCCGGATATCGTGGGCGTGGGGTGGAAGGGGGACCTGAGCTTGCCGCCAAAACCCCAAACTCACGGTCTGGATTGCTCCAGTTTGTTCTCAAAGAGGAAGTCGAAATGTCGCTCGAACTGCGATTTGCAACAAAGAGTCGCCTTCATCGCTTTGTCCTGTTCTGATTTGATTGCTTCCTATGACCTGTCGCTGGGCTGGCTTGGGCAGGGCTTGGAATGGGATGTTGGATTTCCTCTTTCGGATGTTCTGGACGACCAAAAGCCTTCTTGGCAACTGGGCGCTCTTTGCGGCATGCAACAACAATAACAGATTCTGTGGAAATGATGAACTTGTCCTTTTGACCTTACGAGCCTGTCGCGAGTCCAAAGCTTGAGGGTGATGCAGAGCAAAGGAGCATGCTCATTTGTAGCTGCAGCCAAACCAGGATACAAGCACGATCAGGCGAAGCAGAGATTACCCAAGATTCTAAGCGATAATAATGGAGAGCGAGAGAGAGACTCCAACGCTCCAAAAGTGGACGCCAGTTTTGCAGATCAAAGTGCGGCATGCAACAAAGATTGTGATCTTTTCTCTTCCCCTTCACTTTTGACCGTTCGGATGCTCGGTCAGGGGATCTTCCTCGAACAGTGGCTGATGCAGATGGCCGTGCCTGGGGTAGAATCAGGATGAGGTTGACGATCTCTCAGCCCATAACCGCCGTCTGGACCGCTCGATTTTGTGCAGATCCAGCTACGGCATGCAACAGAAATTCAGAACATCCAGCTCTCTCAAAAACGATTCGTTCTCAACTTACAGGCGGCCCGTTGCTTTCTTCGCGTTGCCGTGCGAAGTTGACAGCTGATGCTTGTCTATCGTTGTAAGGTTCCTGAGGCTGTACAGTCGGACAGACGAGGTAGAATTAGAGAACCCTCACACAACAACGGTCAAAAGCCACATTGTATGGCTCCATAATTTACGACGTGCAACAAAGGCACCTTCGTCTTTTCTGTGTAACCCTCCTCCAGCTTTGATCTCCTCTCCAAACCTGCAACGCTTTCCCTCGAGAGATCCCGTGCATGGCCGGTGGCCTGGCAGGTGAAAGGACCCCGACCATCCCGCATGCATGGGATAAATGGAATGGATGACCTGCAGGTCATGCATCAATCTCGACGCTCCAAAAGCCCTTCCGAATCCTTGGATAGCTGGGCCTCCGCTAAGATCGTGCAACAAAAGATGACACCCCCCTTTCAACTCTTCCTACTGGATCGTGAGAGATGTGACTGGAGTATATCCCTTGGAAAATGCAATGCGCCGCTGCACATGCCCGGATGCAATCAAAGATACATTTCCAGGCACAACAGCCACATCATTCTAGACCGGAAGATGATTTTCTGTCGGCATGCAACAGAAAATCCCGTTGTTCTTGTTGTTGAGCAATCAGAATCGAGGAGCTGACTCCTGAGGCTGGGAGGTGATTATTCGAGTCTCAGACGACGAATCAAGGTCAGCTGGTCTCAGCATTCTGGAACATCCCTTCTTCTGAGACACCAGAAAATACTCTAAATCGTCCAACTCCGCTCTCTTGCATGAAGGGTGCGATGTGCATCAGAACTTTTTGCAAAAAGACAAAAGAATGTGACTCGAGATCAGCTGAGCTGAGATGACTCGGGCGAGGACACCGTTGCCGTTTGTGTCTGCCATCATCCCTTCCACTGCTCAGCCCTATCAAGGGTCTGTCAGCATTCTGACGACTCCTGAGTCCTGATACGACACTATCCCCACCAGACCAGAGACTCGGTGTCGGTGAACACTCCCGAAGCAAACCCGCCAACAGGTTACCAGCTAGCTCCGGTACTTGAGAGTGTTCGGGCGGGCTTCCAAGACCCTTCCAAGCTTTGTAGACATGCAACAAAGCTGCAAGCAGGTGTTGTTCATCTCGCTGAGGCTTCTGTCTGCAGGAGACGGAGAAGGATGGCTGCTTCCGAAGTCAAGGGTTTGCTTGGTCGGTTGGGTTTGTTACATTTCTCTTGGGACCAAGAGGGAAAAGGGATGGTTGTCGGTTCTCGCTAAATCTAGACTCTGCTTGTTTGTCTTGGTAGTGGACGGGACAACCTATCCCCTCTCAACCCTCCTGCTCATTTTGAAGAGAATCTTGCAACTGCTGAGTATGAAATGTCACGATATAGTCGGAGACTTTCAGGAGATACCTCTCTATCAATGCATACCAGCAAAGAAGCCATCACGATTTCTGTAAGCGGCGCCTTGTTCCTGGAGATACTCTGGAAGCGATGACCCCTTCAATTTGCCCTCCAAGATCAACTGCACCCTCCCGCCCCTACATCACTAGCTCCTCTTGGACAATTTGTAGACATGCATCAAAAGTTTCTTCACCCCCCTCCCATCTCCTTAATCGCCTTACATCTCGAGCCAAGACCAATATTCATATTGGGACTCTCCGTTTGCGAGCCTAGGGGTCTCGGGTGTCGCCGACACGCTCGCTGCTCGCTGCTCGGTACGGCATGGGCATGGGCATGGGCATCAGAGCCTTGGCGACAGTCAACAGCATGCAGCCGGAACTTTACGTCCTTTCCTTCACAGTGTCTGCGTCTACAGTCATCAACTCCAAGACCTTCTAATCAGACGCCCAGAATTGTAGATGTGCAACAAAACCTTCATGTCTGTCCATCTTGTGGAAGAGAGTGGAACGAGCGGCACTTGGTTGCTGATTCACTCCTAACTTTTACGTGGATATGGAGATGGTAATGGCCTTGGCTGACGAGCTCCCTGCTTTTATTTCCATTATTTCCTGAATCTAGCAGACATTCCCGGAATGGCGTGGCTTGGAGAATTCTGAGATGTGCAACAGAGATGAACGTATTTTTCGTTCTGGCCATCCGATTCGTCCTCTGAGGCTTTCGTTGTCAGTCCTGATTGTCTCTGTGTCGAGGCTGACGATCGAATAAGGAATGTCTGTCTCTCTTGGCTGAAGGGAGCTTTATCTTCTGAGTTCACACAAACAGATATGCCATGCCTTGGTACAAAGTGCGACTTGCAACAAAACTGTGCTTGAGCAGCTGGCAACAAATGACAAATAACGTTCCCATGATCTCCGGCCAGTACTGTTCTTCTGTATTGACTTTGGGCAATCAAACACTATTCGCCCTCGCAAGCGAGAATTGTCCACATCCAACGCATTCACCTCCCTCACAAAACACAATTAGATTGGGGATAATAATTTCATTTTGCTATATCCCATGTGATCGCGTTGCAAACTCCCTCCAAAACACGCAGATCCATCGCCCCTCTCATTCAGGCCTTGGCCAAACCAGAATATGGAAAAAGAAGGATCTCGTATCCTTGGCAGTAGTCAAAGACTCGGATCTTCCCGACCGTGAAGACATTTAAATTTCGAAGCCAAGGAATTGGCAAGCTGTACGACTTGCAACAAATCAAAGTGATATTGGAAACGATTGGTTGCCTTGTACGGTTGTTACTCTTGGCTTTGTGGACTAACTTCAAGACTTTGCCAGAGAAAGGAAAAATAGGTGTCACCTAGGTGTCTTGGCAAGCAGAGACCCTCGGATACTCTTCACCATATCAAATACCACGGCGTCAATTCTATCAGGGCCAAGAGATTGGCAAGGTGTACGATATGCATCGAAAGTATATACCAATTAACTTTTGGCAGTTTATCCAATAAAATGTTATCATGCAAAGTCGATTTGAAAGCTGCAGGAAGCAAAAATAATCGTATGTCTTGGCAGATGGCTCGCTTCGGGCTCGAACGGGATTTTCCCACCTTCGACAGTCAGTGCACAACAAATCCACAATTCCATTCAAACAGCTGAAGAGACGGTTTATTCCCTTCATATGTGTTCTATACGAGAGGTGGGGTATAATGTATTACACCTCCCACTTCCAATCCCCTGTTTCTTTCTCTTGTTCAAAACAAAACCACAGATTTAGAGATTGACGAGAGCCACTTCTGCGAGTGTCACATACATATTCTTATTTACCCGGTATGAAAGCATATGAAAGCCCTCTCAACACTTCCAATAACGAGCGTTCTGAGCAGTATAGTAACCTTTTCTTCACAAGCATTCTCTGAAACATGTTCTCAATTCAATCCTCTCCTTCCTCCACATCTGAAAATGGAGTATCTGATGCTCACACTGGGACGACAGAACGATGAAGTAGCGGGAAACATTGCAAAAGGGCTTCTCCAGGGTCCAAGAATGTTCGGAGAGAAAGTCAACTCAAGAGATGGCGAAACGATACCTGTACATGGTCTCTCCCCAAAGTATCTCGATAGTGCGGACTTATACATCTCAATAGAAGGTACTCCAAGAGGTTTGTACACGAAAGAATAAGGAGAAGGATCGAAGAGATGTTTCAGTAATATGGGGAGGAAATCTAGGAGAATGCAAGACATCTATTTTGCTCACATCTATAGAATATGTCTATATTCAAGATAAAAAGAATCTCGAACGCCCGCCCCGATCCTCCATTCCAGTCAGTCAGTTATTTCATTATTCCCAAACCAGCCGCCCAATCTTCCCAGTATGCAAATCTACCAGATTAGGAAAAACGTCCGCTTCCCTATCCACGCACTCTTCCCTTCCTCCAAAACAACCAAACACGCAAAATAATGGATATGCTGTTAGGATGTGTCTAATACCTGGTTGTTTGTAGATTTGCTCCGATTACGCACTTACAGCCTCCGCCTGCGCAACAAGCCTCGCCCTCCACCCATTACACACCTCCTCAAACCCGCCCACAACATCTCCACATACGTCCGCACATTCTCTATTTCCTAGCCTCTCACTCCAGTTATGCCTCTCCAGCCACCTCTCTCCCTCCTCTCTTGCATCCTCCTCTTTCCGCATCTCCGCAACAAGTTCCCTCACACTGCGCAGTCGCCGCGTGGCTGTGGTGGTCGTCTGCCGTGACATGTGGAGGGTGTCGGAGAGGTAGTTGAGTGTTTGGATGAGGTCGGCTGTTAGACCGTGGAGTTGGGTAAGGGAAGTGAAGGCGGCGGTTGTGGGCCGGGGTATTGAATCCCCGATGGTGACGAGGAGGGGCATGAGCTCGTCGATGAGTTCCTCGTCTGGTGGGAGAGATAGAGGGGAGAAGAGGGGGTATGCGAGGGATTGGAGTAGGCGGGTTTGGTGGAGGATGTGTGTTGATAGTGCGGAGTGGGCGGTTGCGAGTCTGTTTATTTTGTCAATTACATCCCTGGAGAGAAACGACATTTGCGTAGTTGGGAAAAACGAACCTCGTAGCATTACCCTCAACACCAGATTGTCCCCCAAGATCTTTCAGGCCATCTATTACTCTCTTCACAACACCGTCCCTATCTGTCCCATTATTCTCCGTTCCCCTCCTCGCCAAACTCTCCACCATATCCATCCTAGCCACCAAACCTGGCGGCATTCCAGGAGACTCCAGATCTGAGTCTCCACCATAATCACTCCCATCATACTCGCTCGTCTGCCTCCTATGTCCTCTCGCTAGCATTAGAGTCGGCGGAGTCAGATTCGCTGATTTCGGTTGTGCTTGTACAGGTGAAGACGTAACATCCACACCACTATCCCTCGTTGGTTCTTTACCCTCGTCCCCTCCCTCCTGGAAATTCATATCTGGTTCATAGTCCTCGTCTTCTTCCTCTTCACCGTCCTCCCACGCATCCGCCAACTCGTCCGCCAGATTCCCTAACCCATTCGACTGCGCAGCTGGTCCACCACTACCGAAAACATCTGCGCTGATGGAGTCGGACCTGGTGAGACTGTGTCTATTGGGAGATGTGGGTGTTGTGAGACTGCCTTTCGAATGTCGCCGGGGGCTTTCGTTGTAGGAGAGGGGTGTGGCAAAGGAGAGGTCAATGGCAGACGGTCCGCGACTATGCTGGGGCGTTCGCGGCGAAGCAGCCATCGCGAAGGTATGGGTGAAGGAGTGGTAGTCCTCCAATTTGAATATCCGTCGCCTTACTGTCTCCTTTGTAACGCAACTCCCTAAATCTCACACCAAGAAGCAAAGCAAAGCCGGATCAAAACAATGTCCCGTGCGAGTACCCGGATCCTTTGTCCTCGGTGTTCTCAAAAAACCTCAAGTCTGCGTCTGTTCCCCTTTGTCCTTCAACACCGCGAATCGTTATCCTTGCCCTCGTTCTGGTATCGGCGTTTGAGCAAGACACAACGCGTCAAATGGTATTCCGTTGTGTATTCCACTGGTTGTTTTCAGTTTGATTTTGACGTGGTTGATATGACAGGGTTCAGGCACTTGTGCTTTATTATTGCGTTGATGCAGCAGCCAGCAGTCGCAGTAATAAAATAATCGTCCTGGTCAATATTATCGCGGCTCCTGGATTTGCGATTGGCGGTGGGAGGACCCCTGTCGTTGAGATTACGGCAATGCAATGCAAATCAAAGCGATGCTGGATTTGTCCCAGTCCTACCAAGTTGCGTTTACTTTCGGATATCGCTGTGACGATGTCGAGATACTAGGAATCAGGTTCGATATCGCCAGGTTTGTTGTTTGCTTCATAATGTTCATCCACATGTTTGCTGGGAAATCGAGCTGTGCTGTTGTTCCTGCATGTCCGGCTAGGATCTATGTTTGCCGACACTCACCCGGGAATTTAAAGTCAACCATCAACTCCGTCACAACAGACAAACTAAAACATCCCGCTCCCGTGCCGTACCCTCGTGCTATCAGAACACCAGGACAAGAACTTCATATTGTATTCAGCTACCAGCACCTGGACACCATGGGAAGTCACACAATCTTTTTCTAACGACAAAATGACATCTCTTCGACCTTTCCATGCAAGTGATGTATTCAAATTCAACCCCACCAACCTCGATCCTCTGACCGAGACATACGATTTGAATTTCTACTTCTCGTATCTGGCGCGCTGGCCACATTTATTTAATGTAGCTGAAGGGCCAGATGGGACGATTGATGGGTACAGTAGGTCTAGACCTCTTACATTCCTCCTTATACATGTTATTCATTATATACCGGCTTTATTGGGTGGATATGGAGGGGTACAACCATAATCGCGAGTCACACAGCTCCCAGAATACAAGACTGACACACTCGCCACAGTGATGGGCAAACTCGAGTCTTCACCCTCCTACTACATTTCCAGTCCTCACTATCTCCCCTTCCACGCCCATATAACAGCTCTAACCGTCTCGCCCTACGCGCGCCGTCTCGGCCTCGCTCGAACACTCTCCTCGTCACTCGAAGTCGCCGGCGACGAATACAACGCCTTCTTTGTGGACCTATTCGTCCGCAAAAGTAACAAGATCGCTCAGGCGCTGTACAAGGGGCTGGGTTATAGCGTGTATAGGGTTGTGAAGGGGTATTATGTGGATGATTTGAGTGGGGGGAAGAGTGCTGGAGAGGAGGATGATGGGGAGGGAGAAGATGCGTGGGATATGAGGAAGCCGTTGAAGAGGGATAAGGATCATAAACATGTGAGGAGTGATGGGGAGATGCATGAGGTGCAGCCGGAGGATGTGTGGTGAAGTGTTAATCGGGAAGCTGAGAAGAGACTCTTGTCTTGAGAGGGAGACAGCGTTGGCGGGTAATACATTGGCTTTGGGTCGAGCTTTGGGAAGGATAGCGGTCTAAAAACTGGGTGCTTTACTCAGATATGGTCATGCTATATCGAGTCACCAAGAACCAAGCTTGGGGAAACGATGGGTTTTCGATGGCTCAGGGTGGTAATGTGCCTCCCGATAAGTGGTTGCTCGCTTACTCACTTGCCTACATTAGAAAGTGATACTGTAGCCGGGCAGCGCGCAACGATCTGGCAGTATTGCACCTCAGAGCGTGGGTATAGAAGCAGTACGCGTAGGAGGGCTCCAAAGTGGCGCTGCTCTTATGCACAGTTTCATTGCAAACCTAATCTAAAGCAAAGAAACCAAGTTCATTACATTCTGATCTAGCCTAACTCAAGCCTGTTGGTCACTTTCTCCAACCTTTTCAACCACAAAAGCATTACGCCTCGCTCTTCAACTCACCGCCCGTCCAATTCCCAACTCTGGCAACCAAGTCCTCTCGTCCAGCAAGATGCACCAGGATTGTGATACCCAAGATCCCCAGATCCTTCTCCTCTCCAATTTCAGTCTTGACCACTCTGCTAGTACCAACCTCCTCCAACCTCTTCTTCTGGACACAATCATGTTCATGCTCCATCACAAAATCCTCCAGTACAACCTCATCCACACTCAAATTATGTTCCTTGCCAGGTTCCTTCGGCGTCTTGATTTTATTCTCTTCGTCTTTTCCCTCATCCTTAATCTCACTCTCGCCACCGTGGGTCAAATTCGTCCAGTCAGTCGTAGCCGTCGAAACAGACGGCATAGCCTTATAGCTTTCCTTCTCCATTTCACTTACAACCTCATCATCACTCAAGCGATGTTCCTCGCCCCTCTTTTTCCGACCCTCTGGATTCCAATCCACAAGTTTCAACCTCCAATTCTTCTTCTTGCTGCCAATACTTCCCTTGCTGCTGATACTCGGCGTGCGAGTCACTCGATAAGGATCATCTAGATCTTTATTTGCTTTTTGTTCAATTCGCTGTGCAAGTTCCGCAACGCCGCTCCGCGCTGAGAGTCCGAGTTGCGAGGTGTAGTCTTGTTTGCTTTTCTGGAGCTCTTCTCGAGTGCCGAAAACTTGTTTGGGTTGTACGGGTGAGTGATCCTTCTGCTTAAATCTAGTAGAAAGTTTACGGGTGATATTTTCCACTTCTGTAGGTGTGGTTTGTGGTGGGGTTGGTGGACTAATGGCACCTGTTATCTCTGTTGCGTGACTGTGTTTATCGAGCGAGCTCGTTCTGGATTGTGAACAGCTATTCCGCCGTTTGTGGACATGGTCATGCTCATGAGGAGACGGTATTGTTAACCATGCGCCAACGGCTGGCTCGGCACTGGCTTCGAGACTTGAATGTTCCTGAGGGGTACTTCGGAAATTGAGGGTATCTTCTTTTGATCGTCTGTTAACATCTTGGAATTTTTTCTCATTCTGTTCAACTCCAGTCGATCCCGTCTCTTTGACGTTCTTGGTACTTGTTACAATCTCTTCGGGGGCTTTTGACATTGGAGACGTAGAATTAGCTGGTCTGGCTATCTCACCGGTGTAGGCTGGCTTTTGAGATGTATCGTGCTCTTTGGCATGTGTTTCTACATCGCGCTGGAGCTCCAACGAGTGATGTTGAACTGGTGGAACATGAGTCTGCGACTGAACGTTTCTAACGTTGGTCGGAAAGTGCTCCTCAGACCATTCGATTGTGACCACCTTCCTGGGCGTGTGATGGTGATGTACGATTGTTTGATGATCTGTATGCACGCAGCATCTCACACTGTGATGAGTATTTTGGCATGCTGCACACTGGCAATCGTCAAGACAATGTTGACATTCACCAACAACTCCCGAACTGACAGGACTACCATGCCGCGCGTGGCCTGTACGAGGATATCCACGACATTCGACGTATTCTGGAATATCGTGGGTCGAATAATCAGTTTTCATAACTGGAGAATCGCACGAGTCTGGTCCAGATGAGCTAGTAAGATGAGAATACCCCGGACCCGACTGTTGTACCAGACGAGGATCAGGCCTCGACAACGAAGAATTGCATCTAGATTGGACATAGACTGCATCATCGACCCGGCTCGTATCTGCAATGTAACCATTTTCGGTGTCTTCAGGAACGCGCTGCTTCGGCTTCTTTCTCGGACAGTCAGACGCATGGCGAAATGACGGATGACCGTGATGTGTTGCACGACAGATAGAGACGTCACAACCAAGACTTTCCGATTGTACCGTGGATACATATTTGGCAAGCCAATCGTGCTTCCCATGGTACTTGTGGTGATTGTGTGCTGTATGATATGCCTCTCCTCGTCTCACAGAAGGAAACAATTTAAGCGACTGCTTTGGTGATTTCAGATCAGCAATCAAGAAAGGAGAATCCTTCACACTGGTTGTGGTCCTGCGCCCAGATAGTTCTTGTATCGGCACTGGTTCTTGGCAACTATCTTGCAATTGGGGCATCTTCCTCGGTGATCTCTGTGGATTTGTGAAATCGTAGAAATCGGGAAACCTGATGGGTGGACTTGAGGGCTTCCGGGTTCCCTTTCTTGACTGCAGTGGAGTAGGATCTGGCCTTGCCTGATATCGCTTAATTGGGTCATGCTCAATTAGATTCTCTGTGGGCTTTGGCATTGAATTGCGGATTCCCTGTCGGTGCTTGGTGAATACCTCGACATGATCTAAAGTATCTTCTTCCTGAGTAGTAGGCAAATGGGAGGGGTGTTCTGTGCAGTGAATGCAAAATTGATGGCTACATCTCATGCATTTGACTGATGTACGGCTGTTACTCCATGAGCACACATGACAAAATGTCCGGGTACTAGAACCGTTTCTCAGCTCACCCACATCCTGCGACACCTCTCTAGAGGTAAGTCCAGCTGGCCTCTGAATTCCATAGTCATCAAAGAGATCTCGTACATTCTGCCGGCGAATTGTAGAGGTTGTCGCGATAGAAGCTTCCGAGTCAATGAACTTTGGTCGGCGTGGGTCAATTTTGTGACTGTGTATGCTAGCAGTATCCTTCTTGGTAGTGCCAGGCATCCTCGAAGATTGTATCCTCAGCGGTCTATAATGTCCTGAAGAGTTATTTTCTTTCAAAGCATCAAGGTCTGTACTGTAGCCGCGATGATTGACGCCCCGAACTGATCTGGTCCTCGAGAGCACACCCCATGGAGATACAGCGTCGTACTGTCTCCTTGCATCTAACTCCTGACCAATCTGTCCATTTATACCAGGGGATCGACTGTACTGTACAGTCTGGTCGGTCAAGGCATGCTCTTCTTCATGATTAGTTCGGACTGGGTTGAGTCCGAGAAATGAATGTCTACTCTCAACTCGAGGCGTCTCATCAGGTTGGGCACTCTGAATAGCAGGATTTCCAAACCGGCGGCTTATGCGACGACCAAAACCGGAGCGGGAGTCTTCTCGAGTGCGTTTGGGAGCAGGGGTAAAAGATCTCGTTGGCCGTGGTTTGTTAAAACTCTGTAAAAGCTTGACGCGCGAAGCCACAGCTCCCTGGGGAATGGCATCTCGCGAGCGTTTCCGGACTCGAATGGTTGAAGACGTTTCTAGAGACCTTCCGTCATATTGGTATGATGATAAAGCTGGAGGTTTTGCTCGGCGTGGGTAGCTGGCGGCCATTATCAAGTTCTCTGCTGGAATGAAGACATTGGAGCTGCTGAAGTGGATCACCAGATAGTAATAAGGAAAGCAAATGATATGACCATTTAATGGCTGATTTACAGTCGCCGAACAACTTGTCCAGCGATTGTTGATGATGTTGAGAAATAAATTCAATGCTGCAACGCGAAATACTAAGTCCAGTACAGACCATGATATCAAGTGAGGAAGGAACGACTCTCAGTCACTTTACCGAAAGAGAATCAATGAATCAGTCTCCGTGGTATGCATTCAAGAAACAGTGATGTACAAAGCCGCTACCTCTATAAGTCCTTCGTGCTCAACTAGAACCAAGGGTACCTTTACTTGAGAGCAGCTTGCAAGCTCTCCAAAACCTAGATTCATATTAGCGCCGACCTTCAAAATCAAAGGTCAGTATCCCAACCTCGAGCTCAATTTTCGCCTCAGCAATATCCTGCTCACTTCCACTTCCAGCAGCGATCTTCTGTGCCTCCGAGATTTGTGATCGGACGTTCTCGATGTTGAAATCCTCCAGTGGGAAACCTTCAACGGCGTTGATGCTCAATTCCGAGTTTGGCTGGACAGTTGCGAATCCTCCAGAGACTAAAGCAGATTTTTAGCTACGGACTGCTGTTATAGGGTTGGCGAACATACGGAAGAACTGCTTGCTGGAGCCACTCTCCTCAATAACCTCAACAAGTCCGGGCTTCAGCTGCTCAATTGAAGGAACATGGTTGGCGAGGATACCCATCTCTCCGGATTCGGCGGGGATGTTGACTTGGACGACTCCTTGCGACTTGTAGATGGACTGTTGATGCCCGTCAGTTGGGATGTACTGACTCTTTCCCTTAACCGTCCTCAACACATCCGATTCACCCGCACCGCCAAAACTGCCACCATTTCATTTCCCTCTTGTCCATAACGTTACTCGAACGTACCTGATGAGGAAGAACCAAGCTCAACTTAATCTGCCCAGTTGTTAGCCAGGGAAGCAAAATCTGTCTGCGAATTACCGACCTTATCCGACACAGCCTCAGCATATCCTCTGCGCAGAAGGGGTGCCTTGACAGCTGCAGGGCGCGCCCGCAGAGCCACACGAGCAATCTTGAGGGAGTTCATGATGAGTTGAGGGTTCAATTGGAATTGGCGTTGTTAACTCGTCGGCGAGAGCTTTGCGATGTCCTCGCTCCGTACGCTAGCTTCCTTAGCTCGGTCATGTGATGAAGCTCCCGATTGCTGCCGCATTCGGCTCAGACATATCAATGGCTTCAGTATGACTATTTTTGAACATCTTCTCAAGGGAGGGCAGAAGGACATCTTTCAGAAGATTTATCACATGTATCATGCGGTAAGGTCATCTGACTATTTTCACGTGATAGTGGGATTAAAGTTGCTGGCCTGGCCTTCTTCGACCACCATAGAATCCCCTGTCATGTTTGGTATCTCTACCTCACCGCACGGTTTACAGTGTTACACATCTTCATCAAAGCCGTAAATTTTGCTCCCCAATTTTGCACCAAATCTCAACCAGTCAAAAACCTTCAAAAGGGAGGATCCCGAACAGACGGTTGAGACGGTCCCTTTCGTCCACGAAAAATTGGTTGGTGACCATTAATCCCTCATGTTGAATTCTCCCCGCCATGCAGCTCAACCATGCTCTAGGGTCCTTTACTCTGCAGAAGCTCGCTGTCGTGCAGAAGCATCAGCACACAATCGGTAAGTCGTGCCGGATTGCTACGGAGGTAGAAACACTATGGAAGCGAGTTTACGATGCTGTGCTGCGTGTAGCTTTTGAGCCGTAAGCTCTTTGCATGGGGTGAGATTATTCATTGCGGACACAATTGGATGGTCACACCATCTCGTTCTTGATTCAGTGTCTGAGTAAGTTTATTGACTGCGAAGTCATCCGCAGCGGTGACAATTCTTTCTGATGACCGTAGCGAGTAGTCTCACTCTCATTCATCAACAGCCAAAGCCTTTTCACCGCCTCGGCGTATCTCGTATTGTATGGCAGTGTGCGGATGGAGACTTTTTCGAACGAGTGTTGCGGACAAAACATCTTCAGCGGAAGTACTCAAGGGGCCGTTGTCGGCGCGCGTATCTGACTTAGGCTACTTCCTACGAGTACCAGTGTTGCAAATCAGGATCCGCTTATCAGGGTTTGCACCTGTCTTCCTGCTAGCATTTGCAGCTACCGGTACTACTGCAATTGAGCCCATGCACAATTTAACACGTCAAGAGCGGTGGAAAAGAAGAGGGGCAACCTCCAACCTTCTTCCGATAGAATGTGGGGTACATATGGCGGTCAAGATCAAGGACAACACGTTTTGACATCTCCAGATTGCTGGCAAGCCATTGGCTAACTACACCACCTGGCAGAAAGTCGTGAGATGGGAATTGGACAGAAATACATCCATTACTCGTGCTACGCTCTGTACTGTAAATGTACTTCACCGCATGCAGTTTTACTTGCATGCAGCTGTCACCGTGCTGCAGAGGAGTCTTGGGTTCTTGGGTGTTTGGCCGCCACGAAAGCCACGAATGAGCACCGCATCATGTTGTGGAAGAACGACTACCTGCATGGTGCAACGGTACTACTGGGAAATGAAGGAGGCAGAGGCAGAGGCAGAGGCAGAGGCGGTTGCTGCCGACGCGACGCGATGCATGAGAGAAAAGATACAGTACTCGCAGCGGAAAGACAAACTGGCTTGACTAGGATCAGAAACATGTTTCTGGTCTTGGAATAGATGGTCGTCGCGGCGTCAACATGAGGGATGCGACGTTGCAGCTCAGCTCCAAGACGCTGCTGATTCCGGCTGATGTTTGGCTGATCTGACGACAATTTGGAGAAAGTTCAACCCCCACGTTGAAGAATCATGTTTCAACCACGACCCCGCACCGGCGCAGACCACTCGTCAGTTGTTGGCATGCAGAGCGGCGTGTGGAGACTGGAGATGAAGAGGAAGAGGTCACGGACCCAGGTTTACTGACGAAGAGATATATCTGTTGCCGCGACTGCCTACATTCGCGTGTGGCTGTCCAGTCCTGAGGGTACCGAGGCGAAAGCTGTTGGGCGTGATGCCATAATAACATAATAATGACGATAGGGTTTACCAGAAGAAAGCAAAGCGGGGTCGCTTGAAGGGACTTGCTGCGCCGTTGGTCCACTGACAAGTCAGCTTGCCAATAGCAGACGGGACAACACAAAGCAATTACTACAATAGCAAAGCATTGGCAAAGTGAACACTAGACGATAAAGTTACGGTAGATGGCGACGATGGAGCCCTTCCCGCGACCGAATGGGGATGGGGATGGGGATGGACGGGGATGAGCGGCCAGCGCTGACTTCCTGGGCAGACGGATGAGCGTCGATGCCGTTCCAAGACCCTCGACCTCAACGCGCTCTAGCTATGAGACTCTGTTATGCGAGGGACACTCAAGATATTTGTGTGGGCCTAAGTTATGAGCACCACACAAGATACAGTATAATACCTCCTTTGGCCTGCCGTACAGTCGAGTAGCCGGTATACCGACTTGAAGAAGAGGCTGTTTGGCTTTGTTATGCACGACAAGACAAAACCGAGAGATTGGGGCAAAACATGCCGTATTATTCCCGCCGAAGGAGTGCCCGGATCAGCACCTCAAATTTCAGTTCCGCTTCTCAGCGTCCTATTCTTCACCGTAACTAAGCCGTAGACAGTAACAGCCTGGATTGTCAAATTGCAGATTGTTTTGCCATCGTGGCGCGCGCACAAAGGTCAGAGCAGTGTTCCTCCTGTTCAGTAGTTTCCGGATTTGTTTGGCAGCGAAAAATACCGTACCAGAATAATGACGGACGAGCCAAAGGACCGAAGGACAATGCTGACCTGCCTGTGGTAAGGGTTACAGCGCCATGCCCGTCCTATACTTTATTAGCAGCAAAGACAGTACAGTACAGTACTGTAAAATATTAGCCGCCAGCAAAAATTCCATGCTTCCGTAACCTGGTCCTGTGCTTGTTTGCCCTTCGCTTCGCTTCCTACCCTGCCCGGCCCTTTTGCCTACTCGAGACAGTGCAGCGCAGCGCAGCGCAGCGCAGCACAGCAGCCTCCCTCCTCCCCAGTTACATACTAGGTAGTCTTGCTCGTCTTGTCCTGCAAAACAGCGCCAGCCAGCGCCAGCGCGCCCAAGCCCTGAACGTCTTTCCCGCACCAACCTGAATCCACCCGCCCACCCACACACCACACACCACACACCACACACCCACCCACCTGCCCACGTTGGCTTCCATTGCGCTCTCAAATTCTTTGTGCTGCCCACCTTCCCATCCTCTTTCCCTTCCCTCCTCTTCCCCCTCCTCCCTCACACAAACAAATACAAACTCCATCGCGCGACCTCTTCGCATCACCTCTCTCTCTTGGCCTTCGCACATCCTTCTGATATTCAGGCGTGGCCAAGGCTGCGCTGCTGAGATCGATCTCGTACAACGGTCCTCAGCCAAGCATTCCTCCCTGCTTTTGCGGTCAAGAGGCGTGGTCTCAGTTATATTTGTCAGACAGACAGTCCTCCCTCTGAGCCCTGCGCTACCCTGCAACTGTACATCAAGTCGCCCAGCCTGCACCGCAGCCTCAACCACACCACGACAACTCCAACACGAACTCAAAACCTCCCGAACAACCTCTTCCGTCACTGATCATCGCTCACGAAACACTGCTTCTCGTCTCTCGTCCTTTCTGCTTCGTCGAAGTAAACCTGGATACCTGCATACAGAACTATGTCGTCTAGATTATAGCAATACGGTCCTTAGGGACGACTTTCCAGCAGCGTTTCGACGACCTTGCCCCGCGACGGCAATTCGACGACAACACAGCATCGTGTAGACCTGCTACCACTTTCTCGATCAGTTCCGATTATTTTCCAAGTCTCCAGAAGACTCCAATTATTTTCACAGCAATTTCGTACCACATCGCGAACTTTTCTGTTGCGAGTCGCCACCCGGATCCGCAACGACATCACCAACTTTCAACTTTCAACCTTCAACTTTAATACCGCATCCGAACGACGACATTCAGTCGATTCAACGCGGACACATCCATTCCCTTCTTAATACATCAGAACACGAAACAGCCCGAAATGGGGATACAGGATTTCTTCACATGGCGTCCCCAGACGTCTGCCACATCCCCGTCGTTGGCAGACGAAGACCTTGTAGCAGACGTCGACGAGCCGCCAGACCATTCAACTCGTCGCGATCAAGCACAGGCTGAATTTCAAAAATCTTTGATCCGACCTCAGGGCGCTCGAAAGGAGTCCCTCCTAACAAAAGCATTCCACGCTCCAGAGCATGAAACCGAGATTCACAAATCCGATATCCACATTACTACAGACCTGACTCGTCGGCGATCAATGATGAGCAATGCCAGCATTGCGTCGACGGCAGAACTTACGAGTGATGGTGGGCTTACGAGCCCTGCCAGAACTAACACACCGAGCCCTCCTTTACCAAATACAACCTTCACGCATTACTCCTTGGCCGCAAAAGCGGCTCCAATGCCTGCAGCTACAAAGACTATAGGCCACACCCCGTTATCAGAAGTCATGGGCGTCTCTCCCAAAGCGCAGCCAGTCGTGCAACCCGTCGTCCAGGCACCGAAGAAGAGATGTATCACTTTCATGTGTGATGGGAAGAGGGAAGCAGCTGCCAAGGCAGCCAAAGAAGCAGCTGCTCCTGTGGTAGAAAAGCCAGCCACACCACCCCCAGCAGCACCCAGAAAGTGTATGATCAAATTTGCCTGTCCTGGACCAAAGCCATCAGCCAAGCCAGCCAAGGATGATGCCCCCAAAAGTACTTTACAGAAATCGTCCGATGCTACCAAAAGAAACCCCAGTCGATCACCGTCTCTTCCAAGGAAATCTCCACGCCAGCCACCTCGCTCTATTCCCAAGGACTCGAACTCAGCAGTTCGACGTGCTTCGCAAAGCCCAGTCGCAACCCGTGTCAAGCCTAGATACATCATTGCTGATGAAAAGACAATCAATTCATCTGAAGCTACTCGATTTCATGAATTTGCAAGCGAGGAAATTCAAGAGGATGACTGGATCCTCAGGGATGCAGAGATCGTCAGAGCCAAGTTAACAATTAATGATACATTGAAGAAAGAGAATGCTATCCGTCAACTTGGAAATGAAGCTGAGGCTGAGGCATTGGACGAAGAAGAAGAGGATGAGGATGAGGAGACTCAGGACGGAAACGATACCGATGATGAGAATGATGAGGAAGAAGAGGACGAAGACGAGGATGAAGATCGGAATTCCATCGACTACTCGGGCGATGCGGCATCTGATGGAAACGAGTCAGACAACGAAGCTGGCTTTGCTGAGTCTGACGAGAGTGATGCTGAAGGGGAGTTCTCATTCTGGACTCCAGGCAAAAGACTGCCCGGCAGAGAATCTATTGAAGCCCTCATCTACCGTCCATCAGCTCACCGAACTGCCTCAACATCGTCAATCGATTCTTTGGATCACATGGAGCCTGAAGCTGGCCCAAAGAAACTTCGACGTCGTCCTATCAAGATCCGCCCAGGAACCCCTGACCTACCTGATAGTACCGACTTTGTCTGTGGAACCCTTGACGAGGATCGTCCATTGGAGGATGCATATGTGTCGTGCATGGAAGCCCGAAAACACGCAAGGCATAAACAAACACCACAGGATATCGACCCTAGTTTCCCAACGTCCGATCCCGAGGATGAAGAAGATGAGGACGACGCTATCGGCACTGGTCATGATAGTGACGAACCTGTTTGGCTGCATGGCAAGTTTGAAGAGTCGGATGATGAGCGTTTCGGTCGCCGTCGCTCAACAACGATGCGCCGAAAGTCACCTGCTCCTTCTCCACGACGGCTCCACTCTCCCCCTCCCCCTCGGAGACATCACTCACCCCCTCCGAAACAAAGACTTCATTCTCCACCACCACCAAAGCAGCGTCTTCGGTCGCCTCCTCCCCGAAAGCTCTTTGGCCATTCACCAAAACGCATCCATTCACCTCCACCAGCGCAAACTGTCCGATCCCCAGCCGCTTCGCCCACGTCTGCTAAGGCCATTGCATTCGCACCACTTGGTTCTCGGCCAGGACTGACGCATACCAAGTCGCTTCCACGCACGCCCAATGCATTTTGTCGTGCCTATCATGCGTCTCGTCTAATTGCTGCCAACGGCAATGCCACCGAAGGCAACGAGAACATTGATGGTCATGTTCGTGGCGCGATCGACATCGTCAAGGGTCTGGAAGAAAAGCGCCAGCGTCGGAAGGAAAAATATCAAAAACAATGCAATCGTAAGAGTAAGGGTCACTCCGACCGGAGACCTCAACCCGGGAAAGGAGCCGAACGAATGCGAGAGCTAGGACTGCTCATGGCCGGCAAGACTGGTCAAAACGATCCATACATGTTGTCTGCTTAGAAAGTCACAACGACGATCTTAGGAGACACGGGCGTTGGAGTTGACCGCGGTCACTTTACTCGCTCATCTCATATTCTTCTACTATTCCTTTGTAAATACTCACTTCTACTACCCCAATACATTACCGACGACAATGTCTGGAATGGGGATGGGCCACTTGTACATACACGCCTTTTATTTCCTTATCATATTCATATTTAAGATCATTGTTCGACTTGATACCCAGCGCGTGCAACCTGACGAGCGATACAGACAGTCAACATTTGAGTCTTTCCATGCATGCATACATCGATCCAACATAACATTTTCTTCTATTCAATTCTTCAGCGATCTGGAGTCGTGACAGGGATTTGTGTTCTTGGGATCTGCATTTGGTTCTTCTAGCGGGCTTATCGTTGCATTGCATAGCGCCGGATGCATTTGGGAGATGGGAGGCAGTATGAACACTTCTGAACAAGTGAGCGAGCAAGCTTTAGGGATGTCAAAGCTAGCATATGCATATAGCTCGGGGATAGAGTTGCTTTTGGTCAGAGAGAGGCAAGCATCCGCCTGGCTGTATTTTGTTTCTCGATGACTTTGGCTGAGCGGCTTGGGTTCCGCGATGGGATCTGATATTTAGCGATGCACAATATTTACATCTATTTCTGATTATCTCCATGTGATACATATTTGCAAGTGAATCAGAGCTCTGATGACTTTGGACTAGGATTTCCATTAGCGGCTTAAGAATGTCTTCTTTTCAAAGGAGGTAATCTTGCGAGATCTTTGATTTTACCCTTCTTGTATGACCATCGTGGCAATAACATTGTCTTCGCCAGGTGTAATAGTCGCACTTGATCACTTCCACAGACGTACTGATATTGTACTGGATCTGTCATCCACCCTCGGTATTTTGCAATGACAAGGAAGATTCGAAGCTGCTTTAAACCTGTACCATCACATACCGAGGAGAATAAACCCATCGTCATCTTCCCCCCTTTGCTGTGGCTTTTGTACTACTACGGCATTAATTTGTTTGACTGGTAGTGATTAACTCAAGAGAAACATACTGAGCCGCAGCTTCTTCTTGTGTCACTCAAGACAATAAAACGTCATCTATTCTGTCATTGTTCCATCCCAATCGGAATTTGTTGCCTTGAAATCCAGGTCTCAGTGCATTTCTTAGCGCATCTTTATCGAACACCTTGACTTGACATTCAACCTGTGCCAGGAAGACTTGACTTCACTTCTTGATAGAAGCATCGCAGCATCCACAAAATACCCCTTTTAAATCCACCGAATCCGAAGTCCATCTACGCACAAAGCCAAGATGTGGATTGTCAACTGGTGTAAGTGGCAACCTACCCTCTGCAGAACTCCGAGGAGAGCAAGAACGTTGGGCGAGTTGGAACAACAAGCTGACATTCTCCTCTGCACAGTCTGGGATACTCTCGCCTCTTTCGGGCTCCTAAACAAGCATGCCAAACTCCTATTCCTTGGTCTCGACAACGCCGGAAAGACAACCTTGTTGCACATGTTGAAGGTGCGTTGAGCCTGCTTGGGGGGAAGACCATTGTTGGACTGGTAGAGGCCGCCTGCGACGCTGGACACAGAGTTACATGCCTCTTCATATGAGACAACATACTGATCGAGTGCGATGTAGAACGACCGCGTAGCTATCCTCCAGCCTACTCTCCATCCCAGTGAGTACTGCCCTTTCACGAGACGCCAGCGGCGCAAGCATATCAGCACGTGCGGCATACTGACAGCGTTCTAGCATCCGAAGAGCTTGCCATTGGCAATGTCAAGTTCACCACATTCGATTTGGGTGGCCATCAACAAGGTATATATTTACAAGTATCATCTCCGCAAAACTCAGCTTACAAATTTCCTAGCTCGCCGTCTCTGGAAGGACTACTTCCCTGAGGTGTCCGGTATCGTCTTCCTTGTCGACGCAAAGGACCACGAACGTCTCTCCGAATCAAAAGCCGAGCTTGACGCCTTGTTGTGCATGGAGGAATTGGGCAAAGTTCCATTTGTCGTACTGGGCAACAAGATTGATCACCCAGACGCAGTCAGTGAAGATGAGTTGAGACACCGGTTGGGCTTATATCAAACCACGGGCAAGGGCAAGGTTCCGCTTGAGAATATTAGACCGATTGAGGTTTTCATGTGCTCTGTTGTTATGAGACAAGGTAGTTCTGCCAACCTTTCCTTGGTATAAGTGTGGGTTCTGACTTGGTATAACAGGTTATGGTGATGCTATCAGATGGTTGTCCCAGTACGTCTAGATAGTTGATAGAAGGGCATAGGAGGACTGGACATGGTGGCCGGTGGAGTTGATGATTGCAAGCGTGGACGACACGAGATGAGAGAAAGGAGAGACATTTTATGGCTGGCGATCATTATGATTGGGCGGAGTTTATACAGGTCGTTGTTTTTTCATGCTCCTGGGCAAGGACGGGGATGGTATGACTTTGGAGTTCCTAAAGTCGTCTGTCTGAAATGGCCGGCATAATTGTACCAAGCATAGTATCGCGATCAAGCAATATTCCCTCTTTACTACCAACGAACTTTGTTGACGTGCTCTGGCCGTTACTCGAAGCAATTCTCAGGCCAGATTGAACAACACAGGTCTATTTTGTAGAGGGTACTGAAAACCGTTTCATTTGGGTTTTATAAAGCTGCCCTACACAGTCGAGGCCAGTTTTCTGACCTGTCAGGCTAACGATATCAAACCTCGGTCCAAGCTAAAGAGGCTTGAAGTTGGGCGTCAAGCTACCATACTTCCAGAATATTACGCGTTTTGAAAGTAATAAGTTGAATAAGGCAGGTAGAATTTGATTTATCAATTGAGTAAACTTTATGTTTCTCGTATGGAAGTTCTGGAATGTCTAACTAAGAAGATATCACGGCACACCGACGTCATGCGATACAGTAGTCACTCTCCCAACAATCCCCAGACCAGACCATCCTGACTCTCACCACAAACTTCACCCCACCATCAGCACTCACATCTCTACCGCACCAGCAAGAGGCAACAAAATGCCACACTGCTTCTCAACCGCCATTCTTCGATCCCGCCCAACATAAGACAGCGCAGGTATCCACTAAGCAGCAAGCAAGCATCCCAGTGGACAGGCATGGCGGACTTCTCCCACAAGACTGACGGGCCATCGCCCCTCTCAGACGAAGGCTACGATGAATCCCTCCTCCCAGACTTCCACCGCGATTTCCTCTCCGAGGTGCACCTCCAAGCCTTCGCCAGCGCGCTCTCTGCCCCTGATCCAAGCCCCTCCACCGACGACCTACTCTCTCCCACCCCGTCTGGCAGCTTTCATGAAAGCGGACTTGGACATGGCGTCACAGGAGCTCGGAGTCCCAGCATGGGGCGCAGTAGTACGGACAGTGCTCGCAGTAAAGGCGACGGAGCCCGCAGTCGTGAAAGCCTCTTCATCACCGCCCAGAACGACTGGGCGCCTGTGAACCCTGTCCGGCAGAGCAGCAGCAAAAGCAAGAAAACCAAAGCAGGCAGTAAGAGCCGGCGGAAAAAGCAGCGGAGCAGCGATGAGACGCGAGAAGGCTACTTATACACATTATTGAAGTGGCCTTTACTATGTATCGTCATTGCATGGGTTTCAGGGTTAGGAATCAGTTATTTGTGGACACGGCTGTATATTTGGCTTTATGAGCACTTTGTGGCGTGGAGGGGGAAGAGAGAACGTCTGAGGAGGAAGTTGCATGCTACGACTAATTACGCGGATTGGGTTAAGGAGGCCAAAGAGTTGGATACATTTCTGGGAAACGAGAAGTGGAAGGAGGATGATGAATATGCATATTATGACCACAAGACTGTCAAGAGGGTGCTGGACCAGATGAGAAGGTGTAGAAGGAGGATCGAAGGCTCGAGTAACGGCAGTGCTAGTTCTGGCGGCGAAGAAAAGGCAGTTGAGGATCTCAAAGCTCTGGTGGAAGCGTGTGTGAAGAATAATTTCGTGGGCGTGGAAAACTCGAGGTTGTATTCGCAGACGTACTATGGAACGAAAAATCTGGTCCAGGACTTTATTGACGAGGGTATGTATATTCCCTGGGTACCTGTACCCCAGCTTCCAGAGTGGATATGTAACTGACAGCTTCATAGTGGAGAAAGGTGTTACTATATTGGTTAATACGAACCAGTTGGACGCAGAGGAAAAGCGGACCCTGTTCAAGCGCATGCATACCAACTTTGGTCGGACAGCACTATGCCTCTCTGGAGGAGCCTCGTTTGCTTATTACCATTTTGGTGTTTGTAAAGCGTTACTGGATGCCAATCTTCTACCGGAAGTCATTACTGGCACATCAGGCGGTGCTTTGGTTGCTGCTCTGATTGCGACTAGGACAAATGAGGAACTGAAAAAGCTCCTTGTGCCGGCTCTTGCTGGCAGAATCAATGCCTGCTCGGAAGGCTTTACTACATGGGCTCCGAGATGGTGGAAGACGGGTGCTAGATTCGACTCGCTGGAGTGGGCGAAGAAGTGCAGTTGGTTCACAAGAGGCAGCATGACTTTCAGAGAGGCATATGAAAGGACTGGAAGGATATTGAATGTATCTTGCGTCCCGGCAGATCCGCACTCGCCTACGTCGGTTCGCCCAAGCTCCCTCCTTTTGTCTCGCTAACCCGTTGACAGAATCCTCACAAATTACTTGACTTCACCAGACTGCGTAATCTGGTCCGCGGTTCTCGCATCCGCGGCTGTGCCAGGTATCCTCAATCCTGTCGTCTTAATGATGAAAACACGCACCGGAACACTAACCCCTTACTCCTTTGGCCACAAATGGAAAGACGGCAGTCTTCGCACCGACATTCCTCTCAAGGCTTTGAATCTGCACTTCAATGTCAACTTCTCCATCGTCTCCCAAGTAAACCCACACATCAATCTATTTTTCTTCTCGTCACGCGGCTCTGTTGGTCAACCCGTAACCCATCGTCGTGGTCGCGGCTGGCGCGGAGGTTTCCTCGGCTCCGCGACTGAGCAGTACCTCAAGCTTGACTTGAACAAATGGCTTAAAGTCCTCCGGCATCTGGAGCTACTTCCTCGCCCTCTGGGTCAGGACTGGAGCGAGATCTGGCTGCAGCAATTCTCGGGCACGATCACCATCTGGCCACGTACCGTCGTCTCGGATTTCTGGCGTATCCTCTCAGATCCTAATCCTAAACAGCTGGGCCGCATGTTACACGTGGGACAACAGAGCGCTTTTCCCAAGTTGAAGTTTCTGGCAAATAGGATGAAGGTGGAGAGAATGATTGAGAGGGGTAGGAGGGAGACGAGAGTTGGTGTTAGGAGAGGTAGTATTGAGAGCATCTTGAGCGAGGATGATATGAGGAGTCTTTTGCTGAAGGGTGAGGGCGAGGTTACAGGCACAGAAGATGAAGATGGGATTGAGACTGATGTGGACGTTGGGACAACCGGGGAAGACACAGATGAGGAGGAGAAGGATGGCTTGCTGTTGGATTTGAAGGCCGCCATATGAATGAATGAACGGTGCGAGCTACTTGTCGGATCAGAGAGAGGAGGGGATTGTATAGGACCAGAACTAAAACGACTGCATGGATTGGGAGTACAGCACCTTGAGGCGATCTGCCTTGGTTGATTTATATAGTTATTGCATTAGACACGCTTGTCTAGGAGTCTTTTTTCGTCATCGAACGCTCTCTCTGCTTAGACCGCAAGTCGCTGTTTCCTTGATACGAGCTGAAGATCGCCCAGGTTGATGAGCAGCCTCATCGTGTCAGAGCATCGATTGGCTTTCATCTTCCCACAAATAACGTTGAAGCGAGCCCAGCTATCAGCATTCAACCTCACGTATTCAGACAGTACCATCATCTTGAAGCAGATCTGTCAAAAGCTACACCAGCTGATCTACTAGAACTCAGCCTTCTGCATTCGACATTTTCTGCTTCCGCAAAGTTTCTATGCTTCTTCCACAGTACTATTGGTTGCATTCACCAACTGCAAGGGCCGGAAAACTTTTGGAGCCGTTACGGAAATTAAATTGTCCCAAGACCTTTAATCTTTTTGTTACCTTGCCGGTCATGCCTGACAGCGAACACTCAGTGGGATTTCCTTGGTCGGGGGCGTTTTCTGGCTGAAGACATTAATCCGTGGGCTGGCCTTCCATGTAAGAATCAAAGGATCAGACGGACTAAGGATATCAAGTGGCCTTGATGTAACAAACATACATAGAAGCCTTCAACTTGATGAAACCGGATTGGCTAGCCGTTGGCCACCACATAACATGACCATATGATCTATCTGCCAGATATTTTGGATACATAAGGTCTTATCTCCACCGCCATTGCATGACATGAGTGCTATTCTATATGATGCAGAGAAGCTGAGAAGTAATCTCAATGCGGTTGACTTCCAACTTGGTTGGAAGGACATCACTGATTCCGAGACGACAGGAGAACAGCCGACGAGCGGTATGTCTGCACCAACTTAAAACAATTCTTAATACCGAGAAACAAATGCTTCATACAAAGACGGTACAGAGTCTTCGCATCTGTTCCGGGAAACGAGACTCAGCCACTCCTCCTAAACCTGATGGGACCTCCCAGCCAGTTTTTGACTTGGAATCACACTTGATCGAGGAGTTCCAATGAGAATTGTGTAAGTAAAGACATCTGCTATTTACATATGCAACCCACACACGTCTTTGAGTCCTACCACGGAACAATGGCAGACTCAACCCAGCAGGAGGCCAAGATTACACCAACTCAAAGTCCTCCTCCTTCCACTCTATATGAGAACACCCATATGAGTCATTGATCGATATAATTTGGCAGATAAAATAAGTAGGTGAGCTTCGGAAGAACCCATTACGTTCAAGTAGTATTTTGTGCCAGTCCAGTTGTGCATGACACCGGCATGAACACCTCGAGTGATGACAAGTATGTGTCAACATACATGCCAATGGTAAAGGCCAAGATTAAACTCGTAAGGCACAAACCAGAATAGAAAGTTAGGGTTTGCATTGAAGTTGCACATTCCAGGGCCCGCCCCCTCTTTCCTTTCCTTGCGGAATACTGTCCCGAGACTGTTTTCGAGTGGTAAGCTGGTTCCATGCCGCACAGCTTACTCCTTCCAAAACAGCCCGCATGTTGACTATGGAAAATGAATGAATCTGATATTTCAATCAAGATTGGGCCCAAGAACCGAAGGAAACCGAAGAAGGGGATAGCATTTGAATCACACGAAAGTGCTCAAGACATGAGGCGACTTCTGTTCTGCAAGCGTGCCACAGCGGTGACCAATGTGAAAGTGGAATCCATTTGATGTTATACAGGTAGTTGACGAGTTCTAAGACTCGGGAAGTATGATGGTAGCTAAACTGGTCTCCCTAACACACATATCAGTTGGGGGCTCAAAAGGGGGGAATCATGGACTATTCGAACTTCACAAAATTTTCAGCAGATACATAAGACTGAAGACATTCATCACACATTTTCATTCGCTATAGTTTCATTCGCTATAGTTTCATTCGCTATAGTTTCATTCGCTATCGCCAGATTCAACTTTGAATACTCAAGTGTCCGTTCCCAATTACAATAGCCTGCTAGGCTGCTGCTCGCGTGACTTAAACAACACTTAATTTCTAAAATGTTCCCACAAAACCATCCTGTATGATAGGCTACACGTTTATCATAATTATACGCTTAAGAATTGCAGTCATGAGGTGATATCGTGTTGTCCGGTTCAAAGCAGCAGGTAGTGCAAATTTTAGAAGTGATGACTTCGAGATACCGCCTATGGAAGGAACCCAGCAAAAGTACTCAGCTTCGATGGCAACATAACATATGACCTGAGTGGATATGAGACGATGACAGCTACCGAGAAAAATCTAGGCAGACAACGACAAAGCTAAATATGTCCTCCGGACAAAGGATTTCGGTCTTTTGCAATTTGAACATGCTCGCTTGTCTTCTGTTTACAATCCCTCGGCTGTGAGTCGCTAAACGCCCCAGCCCCTTTTGACAAAGGTGGGGGGACTTCAACAACCACCCCGTCTTCCACAGGGATCTCACAGTCCGATCCGGCGCCATCAAAGCCCACAAATCACCACTAAAAGCCCACCTCGCACCGATCTCGCAACCCACAGATAATTATTAATAATATGATTAAAAATAAGAATTCTTCCTCCACAATGAAATACCAGCAATGGTGTAAGATGTCCGGAATGGTGTAGTGGCTAGCATTTCTGCCTCTCATGATCTGTTTAATAGACAGTAAATTTGTTCGCAGGAGACCGGGGTTCAATTCCCCGTTCCGGAATCATCCCTTTTGCATTCTGGTTGTTGGATATCAATTATCTTTTGAGGAGGATGGTAGGTTTTACAAGGCCGACTCTTTGGCTCTCTAGTTCGCCACAGCAATGATAGGAGTCTATCAAGCCCGGACCCAGCCGATTGACGTTGCTTTGTCGCCCTGCTGTCAGCCGTACAATTACTCAACGTTCTTCCGCAATTGATTAATACTCTTATGTTTTGTACTTTTGAATATTATCTACGCACCTGCTGTGGATCCAAGAGATGCGGCAGATAGCTAGTCGCAGCCTTACCTAGGTATAAAACATCGCTCGTAGTTTCTACAAACCAATGATACGAGCTGCCCAATTTAAGATAAGTATCTTTCTGAAATCTAAACCGTCGAGCCAGCTTTTCTGAGTTGCCTCTCTTTTATTTACAATTGAGATCTATACAGACTCTTGAAAGAGACCCCCCACTACTGGATAGGTAGGTATCTCTGCGATGCTGATTATTTTATTCCTCATCTTCCCCAATCAACGCTTTGAAATCAACACTGCTTTCACCCACGAAATCAAATCTCCACCTGACATGTTCCCACCCCTTTCTCCTCCGCAGTCTGATGTCGACATCTTTGACCGGTTTCCGGACTGCGGTGCCGAGTTTTTGGAAAGCCATATCAGGGACCTGGAAAGTGTCGTTGGTCTGGCTGTCGACTGAAAACCCAACCACAATACCAGCCACAAATGCTAGAATTTCCATCATGGCGAAATGTCGACCCGGACATAAATGCTTGCCCCCTCCGAATGGAAAGTAGCCCTGCTTCTGTGCTTGGCGTGTGGGCTTGTCAAGAGTCGCTTTGGTACTGGAGAGGAAGCGTCGAGGATTGAACTGTGAGGCGTCTGAACCCCAAATAGCAGGAGACGTATGGGTTATCCCAGATGGAAGCTGTATTACCGAAGGAGACTTAAGTGTGTACGATAAGGATGATCCAGAGGACAGCGTTGTAGGTTGTGTGACGGCACGGACAGATGTCGCAGCATCTACTAAGCGGAGCGTTTCGTGAAAGGTAGAGAGCAGAAGCGGACACTTAGTTTGGAAACGGGTAATGTCCATTACAGCTTCCTCTTTGCCATCCGTTGTGGCTGGTTGACGATTCACAATGGACTCTACCTCGGTCCTGATTTGTTCTAGGAGTGTTGGTGAAGAGAGAATGTAGCTCAGTTGCCAGAATGACGTTGGTACTGAATTTGTAGTTGCCAAGAAGAGAGTGGAAATCTCAAAATTGGCAATATCGTCAGGAGTGAAACCCCATTTTTGGGAGCAGGCAAGGCGGGCCTGTATGAGTTTCGACGCTGTAAGCTCGTGATTGTTGGCGTAAAAGGACGTAAACGCGGTTTTGATGCGACTTCGCCCCAGATATGCTTTAGGAGCGATGACGGTGGGGAGGAAGTTGAGCATTAGAAGAGTCATCTTTTCCTCGAAGTCCCTATGCTACTTGTTAGCAGATTAGCCAGATTTGATATCTGACGTATAGTGGAAATTTTTCTTGGATTTTTGATAGGAGTAGCACATTAACATACCAAAGGCAGTCAATTAGACTGTGGTCAGTATTTAGGGGACTCTTTGGCCCGTAAAGTGCATCCGCAGTTGCGAGGGTCAGGACATTTCGAACCCATCTGTAAAGACCGAATGTCGCTCCATCTTCGTTGATTACATTAAGAGACGCCGCTACTTTCTCGAGCACGCCCTGATATAATTCCGACAAGCCAGCGCCAGGAGAAAGTGATTCCACCATTATCTTGTGATTCTCGTCCAAAAACGAATTTCCATTGTTTCCATTTAAAAAGGGCCCATTGGGATCGTAATCTGGGGATGTTTCCCCACGTATAATTTTCATTCCTCGTTCCCCAATATTGAAAGCACGCTGTGACGATTCAACAACAAAGGATCCAAAGTCGAAGGTTTTCGTATTCCGATACGCAGCTTGGATAAGAGATGGGTCGCAGATGACGTAGATCCGTGATGAGAATATCCGCAAGGTGAAGGCTGGGTACGAAGGAACTCTCGCGCTGTCTCCAGTCAGTTATGGACTTGCTGACTCAAAAATTCTAAAGTACCTCAACATCTGCATGTATCCAACCTGCCACTTCAACATGCCCAATAAATGGCCGCAAAAGGGTATCTGCGATTTCAACAAGGATGGTTCATCCTCGTCCAAGACTGATAAACTATTCATTACAAGAATTAGGACCCCCACTACCGCCACAGCCACTGTTAGAATTAATGCATCGCTTCCAGTACCGCGAAGTATCGACTGTGTGAAAGAGCCTCCGTTCTCGAGATTTGTCGTCATCTCGGCCACTGATCCTCCTTTGTGCGCAAAACCCTCGAAGATGTATCACCTCAATTGAGGTCGCAAAGCTCCCGTGTCTGCACCCTGGTGCGTCATGAGATAACCAAAGAAAGTAGGACGTAGCAATCGCTTCGGGGAAAATGACAATGAAATAATTAGAATGAACTTGACTTTGCAACTTTTGAAGTCCAGTAGGAAGGCACACCTGGGATTCTATCGGTTTGATAGCCTAGGCTAGTCGAGTACTAGTTCAGTGCTAATCGTCGTAGTCGACCAACTACAGTCCAAGCACAATCCGCAAGACCTGTTCCGAGATCATCTCTAATTCGAGCTTGCTGGTCTGGTCAATCAGAATGGGAGGATCTGCAACTGCCACCGGTCGATGCGATGCCTGCGTGTTCTTTGCATGGTCTGCATGAGAGCTGTTTCAGCATTCAAGACACCCGAAAGAAGGCTAAGACTCGGGAGGTCGAGAGCCGGAGAGTATCGCGGCTGTATAAACCTCCGGAGACTGTCATCGTCGTCAAGCGCTCATTTAGAACTGGTGAAGTTGATCATGGATGGGATCGATGATACTGGGGATTTGATGAATGGATCTCGGTTGGAAACATTTTCGATGTGGTTTGGATCGAAGATGATCCATGGATTCAGCTCGGATGAATCTCGGATCTCCAAACCTTAATCTTGACCTCACACACCTTCCTTTGAAGATCGTGGAAAGTTGGGAAGTGGGCAACTTTTGCCGCTTGGTAAAGTATACCGTATTTCTTGGTTAGAATTGCTTGTCTAAGCTTTGGAAGCTTTCAGGATGTGACATCTCCCAAGAGAAACCAAGCCTCTATCTGACTTTACGAACAGGGATCCTTTGCAAAGCTGCTCGCAGGGCTGGAATTTCTAGTCAGGATGCCATTTTCGGTCTGTTCTTATGAGCCTCAATGCAAAGTCAACTGTCAAAAGTATCTTGTACTTCGAAACAGAAATCTGAGGGGCAGACATGATGTTGTCATTAAGAGTTTGACGACCTTCAGCGCTCGAACTTATTGGCAACGTTGTTGCAGTTTGTTCACTCTTTGGGCGGTTACAGGAGACTTTAAAGCTGTAATAGCCGGACAGCTCGATTTAGACTGCCAGTATTGCAATAGACGATCACGCCATCGGTGGAACGGCCTGGTGATTGCTACCTGTAGTCAGCCTGGTTGAGCCTCATCGACTCTCCCGGCAAACCCAAATTCTGTAGTGGTCTAAACTTCAAGGAATTGCAGAAGCTATGTGCATAGCTTTGGACAGCACATCGGAAAGGCAGTGGAGACCTCCGTCTCCACTAACGCCAGTGATGTTGAAGAACACCGCCGTTGCGGCTAGGGATCGCAGGGATAGAACCTCGCTTAATGGTCAACAAATGTACAGAGGACTGAGTTCCGAGCTACAGTAATTCCATTCGCCATCCACGCTCTGTGATCTGCGATTCTCAGCCTAAGAAGAATTACTATGCCTAGTGCAAATTGCTTTAAACGATATGCTGAATTATAGAGCGGCTGTTAAGTCGTAACGAAAGAAAGGGTATACAATAGTCTAAGAGAGCCTTGACATGAGTAAATCCAAACATCATGAGTTAGTCCGCTTCCATTGTCAACACATGCTCTATTGCTGCTATTTTCGAGTTCCTCCATAAGTGTCTGCACACTTATGACCTCCGCAAGGAAAGTACCAACATCTGCATGGATGAACTGTTCCTTCCTAAAAGGATACAAATGAAGCACGCAATCCAAGCTTAATGCAGATCCGAGAATCTTCCATTCATGAACCTCCAATTGTACAATATATCACTATCGCCAGAAGCTCTCTATATCTACCTGCAAGTATTCCTACCCAGCACATCTCTGCCTATAATGGCTTCATCACCCTCTTCATCCACGGCTCCCCTCAGCCTCACAACCGACCCACAAACAGCCCAGGTCATCTCTTGCAAAACAGCCGAACCACCTATCAAGTTCGAAACAAACACTCACATCCCTCTTCACAAATACCAATTGACGCATAACCTGCTTTACGAACGACACTTCTTCGGTGACTCCTTCATCTCAGCACATCTTCAACGGCTCCAAAATGGCGTCTTCATTTCGCCGAATGTACATCCAACTTCTGCCGTGGATGATCAAGGCGAGCATTTTTCCAAGACATTTGTTACATTCGCTGCCATCGCGTTTACATTGCATCCTTCTTTGAGCGAAGATCATCGTTTCAAGAGTGCAGTGATTGAGATTAGAGCGACTACTCGCGATGGTGCACCATTGAAAGTGTTGAGATTTGCGCCGCATCTTGCTTTTGGGAGGATCAGCAGTGCCAGTTTGAAATGGAATTTTCAGGTGGATAATGATCCATGATTTATCAAACCACGCTGATCATTATAGCTTGGAGCTTCTCTGGGGGTCGCTCAGGGACCTGCCAAAGCTGACCTAGAGCCGAAAGTAGGATTCGAAAAGGACCTCGTGGTGGGAAGCTTCATGAGAATGTACGTCGTTCAACATCTCATATTTTCAGAAGTGGTCACTTTCAATTTCGCATGCTAACGGGACTTCAGTCAAGGGTCGACACGCAGTGAGTTGAACCAATTACAACCTGCCTTAAGGAGATGCCTGTCTCCCAGCTCCTTAATAAATCTAATGAGACCGACAAACTGCTGGATATCCCGCTCTGTCCTCCAATACTGACTTAGAGTAGGTCTCCCGCCAGCTCTCGCTTATTCCACGGGTCCAAAAATCCCTGATACCACTTTGGTGTGGTCACTCGAGGAGAATTCTCAGCAAGAAGGTGGTCTACCACGCGAATTCACATTCGTCTTCCTGCTCGAACGACCTCTTCCAAAGAAGTCAGCATATCAGAGCCAAGTCACAGTTCAGCCTCCAGGCAGGCCACAGATGAGAAAGGCTGCTACAGAAGGCGATGAGGCTGTATGCTGTAAGCAAGGATCTGCAGCTCTGAAATACGAAAGGATCGCTGGGATAGATGCCACCCTCCAGGAGCCCCGATCAGTCCCTCCTACGCCTCCCCGTTCTCCTCCACCTAAGAAACTCATCAAGAGATCTATGGACTTGGCACATACGCTGGTCGCCAAAGCACAATCTAATTTCGAGGAAATTGAGGAATGCGTCCACACAAAAACGACTGAACTGGAGAACGAGCTCTCTCACATGTCGCAAAAATTCCACAAGGCATATGTTGAGCCCGAGCCTCTGCATGTCACTGGAGAGATGCCCAATGCCAGAAGAGTCTCTACCGCAAGTAGTATCAGGAATGAGGATGTGTTCACACCCATCCACTTCCACATATCCGTGAAGCCACGTATTACCAACGCTCCAGACAAGAGTACCAACGTATTTGCTGCGAGTGAGTATGATGAGTCCATTGTGGAGGGACAGGTTGGTCAGAGATTCGGCGCTTTTGAGCATGAGAATAACGTCGATGGTGAGAGTGTGCTTGTTGATGGACTATATAACTTTGCCGCCATGGGTGGCCACTTCGAGGACTTAGTGGAACTACCAGGCAGCTCGGTCGGAACGATTGTGAGATACTAAACTTCACAAGTTCTCATAAGTGTGAGGCACATACTGACTGATCCCAGGAGCCCTCGTTACCAGTGAAGTGAATGATGGAGTGGGAAGATCGATAGCCAAGCAGTAAGTGGATGTAGGTAATTGGTGACATGCTTGATAAAGCGTACCTGTAGTTGATCAGTGGGGGTGCCGTAGTAGAGACTATCGAGGGACGGTACATATACTAGTCTTCTCAAAATTGATGCTGGACTGCTCCTGGTTTTAGCACTTCGACAGGTTCTCCATCAATGATGCTCTCAAAATCGTTGGTATCATCATTCTATTTGTTCGACTATATTACACGAAGTGAAATCACAGCACCAATCTCCCTGGCTCAGCTTCCAGAACAGTCTTCACTCTATCCAGGAAAATTTGTGCCCTCTTCTCCTCTCCTTTAGGAACAGTCAAACTGAATACATTAACTGTGTTTGATAACCCTGGCAAAGGCTTCCCAGTCAATCTTTTCGGAGCAGCCCCCCTGTTCCCGGACAAGATATCAATGATGTCGCTCTTCTTTGCCGGAGTCTTTGCAAATGTCGTCCAAGGAGCAGCTGATGGTAGAGCAGTAATTTGAGGGAGGAAGGAACCCCGAACACCTGATGCAGTAGCGACTTTATCAAGACCGAGAACGGAGTTGAAGAGGTCATCTGCGGTTGGCTTGTAGGAATTTGAGCGTGGGAGATCGTCATTCGCGACTTCTGTGGCGCGTGCGATGAAGGTTGAAAGTGGCATGAACACGCCGAGAGTGCTCTGGATTCGCTTCTGTACCTCCAACACTGCCTTCATCGAAATCGGTACAGCAACTTCTAGATCTTTAACTGGTTCGAGGGTTGGTGCAGACGCTGCGGCCTTCTCTGCTGTTGGCTTAGGAGCAGGTGCTGCAAGCTTGATGTTGCTCAGGTCGAGGTGGCTCAATTTGGAGATCTTGCTAGATAGCTCGGCAGGGTAGGAAGACGACACTGTGCCCAGGTAGGCAAGAACGTCACCCTTCAGCAGGCGATTGTTGGGTCCTGATGGGGTCATCTCGTCGATTTTGGAGGGGTCAATGTTGTGCTCGTGAATGAGGTGCTCGACCGAGGGGAGAAGTGGGTAGGTCTGCTTCTTCGCTGGGCCGGAGGACTTCTTTGCTGGGGTAGAAGAGGACGAACTCTCTGGACTTGATGCTTTCGGAGGAGAAGCTTCGGATTTGGTCTCTGAGGGTGCGGATTTGGATTCTTCTTTTGGAGGAGATGAGTTTGTACTGTCTTCGGCGGGTATTTCAAGAGTGCTGAGGTCGTCGTCTGGTTCTGCGAGAACACCAATTCGAGCGCCTACTTTGATTCCTTTCGTTCCGTCCCCTTGCAAAATCTTTGCCATTATCCCATCGTCTTGAGCCTCTACGTCCATGGATGCCTTGTCCGTCTCAATTTCCAGCAGGATGTCACCAGCGGAGAACGTATCCCCCTCCTTGACTGCCCACTTTGCGATATTGCCTTCGGTCATTGTAGGAGATAGAGCTGGCATGGTGAAGTTCTGAGCGGCGAGACATGCTGTCGACGTGCGGAAGCCTGCCAATTCATCAGTAACTCATTCGGCGAATAATTTGTTGAAAGCTTGGTTGGGATACGCACCTCGAGCGGAAGCATCCTGTCGCAATTGCCTCGAGGTGAGTCTCGCAGACAGACGGCAAGCTGTCGCGAAAGATGACATATTGTTCTGAGGACAATTGGAGCTCAAATGAGCTTTTGGTGGGAGGAACCGGTCGCGAGTTTGAAGAATCTCCAGATGCTTGGAGTGTTGAGACCCGCCAAATCCTCCGTCGCGCGCTAGGGCGGTGACTTTCGCCGACTCACCGATGCGGCTACAATTTTTGGACAACAAGATTTGAAGTCTTTACAGGCATTTTCTACAATGTAGGCACTGACTCGGTTTTTCTTTAAACGTGTGCTATCTTGCTGACTCTTGTGACGTATAGATGTCTGCCTTCTCAAGGGGCTGCCTCTTACGGCACCAGTGTGCATACAAAATCCCCCGAACAGCTCACTTCTTCCTCCTATCCACGAGCTATCAGCAGCCGCGGTTCATATCCTCTACTACTCTTCTCCAAGCAGCGAAGAATGTCCGTTCTTCAACGCCTCTGAAGAAGGTTATACAGAAGAAGAAGCCCTCCAGTACACCACTCAAATCTGCCAGTACAGTTAAGGCTTCCGCTCCCCCAGCGCCTACGCCAGCTCCTCTGGTCTACAAGTCCTACGCCACGAGCTTGGCAGAGAAGACACATTCAACGCATCTTTACGAAGCTCCCTCACATACGGTCTATATCTTGACATGCTATGGAACAGCTGGCTTCTGCTTCACATATGCAGCCATCAGTTTCTGGAGCAATTATTTGCTTGCGCCCCCGGATCTAGCCACCTGGATTCCAGTCGCATTGGGAGGAGTGAGCTTTTTGATGGCTTGTCTTGGTGGTTGGCTAGTTCTGGGACCTGCCAGATTAGTGAAGAGCATCATAGCAGTGCCTAGGAACGTTGGAATGATCAAAGAGGGACTCATCAAACCAGGAAGTGGCCCGACTGCGTCTGAACTGCAAATCGAGGTTGAACTGAGGAAAATGTTCCCTGTACCTTTCTTCCCAGCAAGAAAATTCTATGTCAAACCAGAGGAGATCGAGCTGCCGCATAGATTTGTGCCAGTCAACAAGACGACCAGAATACATGAATCGCGAGAGAGAGCGAAGTTTGAGGCCATGGAGAAACAACGAATGTTGGAATATGAGCGAAACCACTTGTTGACTTTACCGTTCAGGAGAATGAGTCAACTGACTTACAAGCTATTTATTGAGTTGAAGAGGGTCTGGACTAGAGAGGGAATGATGAAAGTGGACATTCAGAACCAGAGATACAAAGTCGATATCTCAGCAGGATGGGCACTAGAGGGTGGAAGAGCCTTGGATCGACTGGCTAAGATCAAGGCATAATTACAATCCTGTGTTCTATGGCAATGTACAATAATGTATGTATCAGAATACTCGCCATTATGAATGAATACAGATATCTTCAGTACTCATCTGGTAACAAGTTTAGTGGAAAGAAACTTTCAAGAGAAGATGAAAAACGTATGAGATTTGTTACTTATGTTTCAAGCCGGACAACTCTAGACATTCTCAAATATAAATAGCACTGTCTGAACTATTTTTACGTCAATAGGTGTATCAATGTTAAAACTAGAGACCCGTCGATTTCAAACAAATACCATCATATCGAATAATACGGCCACTCGTAGATCCATATCATAAACTTGCTGGGGCCAAAATTGACCAATCGGGTCAAGACTCAATCGTCACCGTGTGCGCATGAGGTTGCAAGATGATTTATGTGAGGCTCTCTGCCAAGGAGTGCAGTCTATACCTTAAGGCTGCGTATTGGACCTCGAGAAGAGAACATCCTCAGAGGAGGATTTCATGGTGTGCTCCAACTCACCAACATCATCCTTGTGATCAGCGTCTCGTCTTCCGATCTTGGAATTGCAGCAGGAGGACGTCTTGACGCAGGTCTTTAGTACAACCAGGAAGTGTCACAAAACCTTGCGGTTGGACAAGTAATCGGCTTTGAATTTCGAGTCTCGTGAGCTAGAGAACATAAAATCACGATGGATGGACTGTCGGTTGCGTCTGGGGTCATCGCTGTGGTATCACTGGCAGCCCAGGTTGGAAGTGGTATCAAGAAACTTTGTGACTTTTGGGATTCGGTGAAGGACTGCCCAAAGGATGTCCGAACCATCGCCAAACAGCTGAACATTATCTCACACATCGTCGATGGCATTCGTGAAGAAGCTTCTACGTTGCAGGCTCAGTCGAGGGCATTATCTCCAACACATGCGGCATTAGGTTCATGTGCTGAGAGCATCCAGACACTTGAAGAGATGATTGTTGAGTCTCAGCGTGGTTTGGTATCTAGGAAGAAGCGTAGGCGGACATGGGCTGCAATCAAATTTGCGTGGAATGGAGATAAATTAAAAAAGTACCAAGATGTTCTCAGCCAGATGAAGTCGACCTTAATACTAGCAACACAACATTCGAAGAAGTAAGACAAGTCAAAGCTCCTGAAGGATAGTTTGCTAATTCTGATAGCCAATTCCAACAGCAGGGCCTTGCGAATATCACTCAAGGAGTAGCTGCGCTCTTACAGCAGCGATCACAAGGTACAATGAACGTGTCTAGCGATAGCCAAGGCATAAACGACCACCTCAAGGCTCTGAGAGGAGAGTGCCACAAGGTGTCTGCTGGTATATCCAATCCGGTTACTAGATATGGGTTTGAGAACATGATGAACACAGCCTTGTTCCAGTTTCAGAAGGACTTCAAGCTAGTCACTCGGGAGACAGCACTTGCTGGACAAAATCTCCCATGGTTTCCGTCTCAGCTTCAGCGACCGAAAAGCCGAGAAGATCTTCGCCGTCTCAATATCGAGGGACAAGAACATACAGTTCAACATCCAGCAGCTACCTGGGCACTGTACATGGAGGCACCTGCTGAGCTTAACGAGCCAGATGACGACGCAGAAGAAATTACCCCAGATCATTTCCAAACCATAATCACGTTTCATCCATCTCAATGGCTGCTACGTTTTGGCTTAAGCTTTGGTATTCAGGTGTTACTGGGGACGTCTAACGAAGGGCTTAATTGGGGTTTGAAGTCTTAGCGAGCAGTGCCCAACAATGCTTTAATATTTGAAATGTGCTCGCAAGGGGATAACGAGGCTATCCAAAGGCTGTTCGATAACGGACAAGCATCGCCATGGGATAGGGACTCGCAGGGTATGACTCCATTATTTGTAAGTCTCACTCACTTGTTTTTGGGACGATGTATTGTGAATTGCTAGTGACCATTTGCACTGGATATTGTTAACGTGGATATAGTATGCGGCCAGGTCTTGGAAATTAGACACCTGTCGCCTGCTACTCACCCAGGGAGCTGATATTGAAGCACGGTCTCTTGATGGTCGTGAGTGAGTCATACCTATATGTCCAATATAAATTGAGACGCTAATGGATGGCAAAGCTCCGTGGCATCATGGGCATGTTCCGGGACGCTTGACCTCCAAACGATGAAATGCGATGAAATGATCAATATATTGAGACTTTTTCTATGCCAGTTTGAGTTCCTGGATGATTAGAATTGTCCCGGCCTGTATGCACTCAGATCACTTCTACGTCACGCGAGGTGCCAACACCCAGCTTGTTCTCACGAGAAAGAATATCCTGCGGCATTCTACTGGATGCTGCCGCTTCTCAAAGATCTCATGAATCTGGACTGCCCAGCCACAATGCAAGGTATTGCTCGGATCCTTTCCGAAACCATATATATTAGCGATTGTCAGGCTTTAGGCGCCGTCCTTTCCCTTGTACCGGATGTGAACTCTCCTACCTTTCTAAAGTGGCTGTCCCCTGCGCATCAGATTGTTTTGGAAATGACAATACTTGGTGTCCGGGACTCAGCTCGATACTTGCTTGCCCACGGTGGACTGAACTTGCATCTTGTGGCTTTTGTAGAGCCTTTTTACCCCAAGCATTGGTGGTGGTGGTCTAACTTCCGCGAATTGGGTTTAATACGAGGCAACACTCCTACTTCTATGGCGATACGATACTCATCGACTTTCTTCAAATTTCGGAATTTACTGCTGGAAGTGGGCGTCGAGATCGAAAATTTCGTCAATGACGAACCTCCCACACCACCTTTGGCTGAAGAGGGCTGGACGCGAGAAACACTTCTCTTTCTCTTCAGGCTTGACTTCCGACCCCTGGAGCTTTCGCAGTGTCAGAGTGTTGTCTCTTGTCAGACCTATGTGTCCCCCATAGACGCTCACTGGCTCTCTGCTCTTGAAGAGTTGAGATCAGGCAACATCCAGAGGTCCAACGAGCTTTTCGAGGCACGAGACCAAAACATGCTCGATTCGCCAATGATACACAGGACACTCTGTCAGTCTTGCTTTTTTTTTGAAAAGAGAAGAATACCGGCACGGGAAGATGGTCACTATTCCTGCGACGAATTCGAGGATGAAAACTCTCCATTCTTGTTGTCACTTTGAGCATTCAATCTTTGAACGTGCGTGGACCAGTCAGCAGTCGTTCCGGTGGTCACTACTGTTTGCGCTTGTTGTATTGTTGTAGCTGCTGAGTAACTGCCGCTAACCTACGAATTGAAGCTGGCGCTTCGGTGGATGTTGTTCCTGGGTCCTGTATTGCGGAATTGAGGAGCAAGCTTTGGAGATGCTTCATATTAGAAAATGTTTCTTGGTCCAAGGAAACATGCCCATACTACCAGGTCTGCAATCAATGTACCTTTTCTCTAAGAAGTGTTTAAACATGCCAGTCAGACCGAATACGTGTAGGTTTTTGTTTTCAAATATTTCGAGAGTTCTTTGGTGCTGTCTATTCCCCGGTGAGGCTACTAATAGACGTGAAAGTCAACAGTAAAAGAAGAGCAAGGCATCAACTTGGACAAGTAATAAGGTAGCGCCGTGAGGATTCTAGCTCTCCCCCGATTACACAATGCACATCGACTTTACCCCCCAAGCTCTCCACCACTCCTCAGCACCAAATCCCAAATCCCATTAATAGGCCCCCCTCCATCACATCACACAGCGTCTCGCTTAACTGTTTACACACAGCTCGCTTCCCAATCGATTATCAAACACTTCACCACCCTCTTCCCATCGCCTCACCATCTTTTGTCAATCGTTTAATTGATCAGACGTAAAATTACGAAGTGCAACAAAAGATGAGGTCACTGTTAAATGAACAAATGGGAGGGAGGGAGGACGACGAGGAAGTGAGTGGAACACGTGAAGGGTATGGCATGGATTTGGAGGATTGCCGTACAAAAGGGGGTTTGTGGATTTATTACATTATTGCTCTTGATCAAATATATTTTGATATTGGTTACATGATCGTATTGTAGGTCTCCTTGATTTCTATCTTCCGTAAACCTTAGAAAGGCTGATTGAGGCGGCGGTTGTCACGTGCGTGTTTATTGTTGACCTTTTCGTTGCATTCACCTTCCTCAGCGAGACCCGACCAGCTGCATTGCTGTCTTGTCTCGCTGCGATACTTCCTCAAACTCACCGGATTCAGCAAGATGGGAGGAGGTCTGCACTTTACACATCATCTAGACATCATTCGTGCCTCGTCTACTGCCCTCTCAAACCACTTCACATTTGCTCCTGAGATCTTGTAGTCGCACATCGCAGTTCACACCTGACGACATCAATCCCAATTCCCATTCACTTGCACAAGCTATGACTACGAGCTATCCCATCACATCGCATACTATCCTCCTCAAGAAAACTCTTCTCCTCAGCTGGCCATCAAGAATACTTGCCAACACATTCTATCCACATCCGACGTCCCGAGATACCTCCAAACCACAGATACATCCAAAATCATCAAATTGATGTCCCGATCTCGGGTGTTCTTTGCAAACAGAATATTATCTGATGACCAAACATGTGCGTAGAGGATGCACGATCTCGATCCCGATCTCAGAAGTCAACTCGGCTACGCGGGGACTGTTTATACAGTATAGCTCCGGCGGTAAGTAAACATACCCACACCAATGGCACCGCCAGCACTAAAACGTTGCTTTTGGCGAGTGGATACTGGAGAACAGCGATGGGAGCGAGGAGTTGGAAGTGGGCGGGTATACCAGTAGTCAGGGGCTCGATAACTGATTGAGGAGAGGCTTCTCTTTCCGAGCAGCGGTCTCCTGACCATCTGAACTTCTTCCCTGGCCTACTTTCCGTACTCCAGGATGTAGATACTCTGGTAGCTGCGACGACAGTGAGCAGACACCCGATTTCGGCAGTGGTGATGGTGCAGGAGAGGAGCGGTGGGGGTTGCTAGCGTGGTGATTGCCATCGACTTTGCGAGGACTATCCGAGGACGGTGGGAGATACCTGAGCAGGTATCTCCTACACATCGCCGAATCAATGAAACACCGAGCCTCCTGGCCATCCCCAATAATTCTCCTGACCTAGTGCACCGTACACAAGGTAGAGTAGATCAGGGCGAACGAGCCTTACTAAACGATTGGGTTCGGCCACTGCCTTTAAACCGTCCAAGCTGCAAACAGGTGATTAAGTTCGTAGACCGATGGGATAACAAGCAGGCGAGCGCTGAACATCTTGCCCAGAGGCGACGATCAGTAACGGTGAACCTCTACTATCCCCTCCCAAGCTTGAATGTTAAATCTCATGAAAACTGGAGCCTGTGTGGATAGCTGTCTAGGGTGTCTGTCTAATAAATAGAAATGCTTTGAGCCCTGGTAGGTCTCTAGAACCTTCTAAACCTGCCCTTGCTCTTGATAGAGACCATATCTTTGTTAGAAATATGGGGATTGTAGGCGTAGACTCAGTACTGTAGGCCGTACTACTAAGTACGCTACCCCTTTATATAGGAGATTCTCTCTCTCTGTAGTAGCTCCTTATATAACTGTAATTATGATATAGTAGCAATTCCAATTGATCGAAAAAGACCTTAAAAACTTCATTTTTATTAAGATCTCTACTTTATTAACTCTTAGTATATCTGCTACTACGCTACGATATTATCCTAATTAAAAGCACTAATTCCCTACGTCGCCGGAGCCTTAAAAGGCAAAACTCTATTAGAGTTCGATAACTTCTTTAAATAGGAGCTTAAGACTAAATAAGAGCTAGCTAGAGCTAGTGTTCTTTATTATATTCTTACTAAAGTTAGCGTGCTAAATAGTGTTAATTAGTAGAATACTCACGCTAAGGAAAAGAAGGAAGCTTTTAAAATAGTTATTAACTTAATCTCTAAGCTTCTCTTTCCTAAGTATAGAGATATTATTAAACTAAACGATACTAAGCCTCTTTAGGAAGCTATTCACGTAGATAAAAGTAAAGTAGTTTAAGGGAGTCTTACTTTTACTAATATAAGAGACGATTTCTTTAAGATAAAGTTTATCCTAAGGGAGGAAACACTTTAGAACTATATTATAAGGCTCTTACTCTTTAAAGTAAAGCTTAGCGGTAATAGTAAACCTCTTACTAATAAGAATATACGTCTTAAGCTATTGTAGTTATTACTAGCGTCCGGAGCTTAGATTACTATAGCGCTTACCCTAGAATCGTAAGACTTAGATCTTAGAGATACTATATAAAAGCTTAACGAATATTAAATTTAATAGAGGGAATAGCTTCGACTTGTAGCTACTAGTAACACCGCGAACTACGCGAATAGAGGCTATAATAGAAGGAGAGGTAGTAGAGATAGTAGAGGCTAGAGGGGTAGAAGCTACTCACGTGGGAGAGGTAATATATATAAGAATAGGAGAAGATAGGAAAGACGGAATAATAATAGTAGAGGTAGTAACTAATAGAGATATAGAAGGCGCGTAGAAAAGAGAGGAAATCGCCCTAAATTAGGCTGAAATCAGTGTGCCCGGTACAAAGGCTATAGCTACTAGTATATAGACTATATAGAAGCTAAGAATACTTACGCGAGAGATAGCGCTAATAAAGTAGAGGAAATTAAAGATAATAATACTTATCTTATATTCCCTTTAGAAGAGATTTACTACGCTGAAGACATAGAATATACTTTATTAATAATCTCTATTATAGAATCTGTCTAGAAAATCGACTCTAGCGCTACTCGCTACTTCAGTGGAGTTCTAGCTAAGTTCAAGTAACTTAAGCGCTAGCGTAACGCTAAATATATTAAAATAGCGACTAATTCGTACTTAATAGCTAAAGGTTATAGAGATATTACTATTAATAAGTTAACCTTTAAAGACGTATAGTATATACCTAACTTCGGAGCTATAAAGCTAGTATTAATATATTAACTCTTAGATAAAGGAATTAATACGGAACTGACTAAGATATTAGTAAATAGATACCGGAATAGTGAACTAGCTTTTATAAGTATAAGAAACAGAGGTTTATATATTCTAGATATAAATCCTTAATATTAAGTTATATATAATGTAATTCCGTTAGACTTAAAGCTACTAAAGGAATAAATAGAGAGTTAGCTTAGTATAGAGGAAATAAAGGCAGATCTGCTCTATAGGCGTTTAAGCTATATAAATTACGCCTATTTAAAGAAACTAGTTACTTATAGTAGTTACGGAATAAGACTAATTTCTATTCCGGAGCTAAAGGAAGAGAGGTGTTACAAGACTTACTTTATAGGTTATATAAAAAAGTACTTTAATAAGAAGTCAGATAGTAGAACTAATATACTTATTCGTCGACTATACGCTAATATCTCTAGTATCTTACTACACTTAATTCGCGGCTATAAATACTTCCTTTTAGTAGTAGATAATACTACGAGGACGTGTTAGGTAGATCTCTTAGTTAATAAGTCTACGTTAACTATTTAACTAGTTATTCGGAAATTGAAGCTATAGCTTAAAACTTAAGGGCAAAGTAAATTCTGTATAATTATCTACTAGAGGACTAATAATAGTAAGGGAGAGTTCGGTCCTAAGTTTATTAACTAGCTATAAGAGAGTAGAATCGTTCCTAAACCCTCTCCTCTATATAAATACTCTCTGAATAGAGTCGTAGAGCGATAGATATATGAACTAGCTAAGATTATACGCTTAATTCTCTATAATATAAAGATACCTGAGAATATATAGTGCTATACTATTAAGTAGGCGGTAAAGCTAAAGAATAGACGCCTAACTACTGCTTTACTATATAAAACAGCTACTAGACTTACTCTAATCGAAGTGTATAAAGGATAGCTTGTAAACCTCTCTAAAATAAGAGTATTTAGCTCTATAGCGTACCCTTTGTATCTATTAGGGCTATATTAGAGTAAAATAAAGTAAAGGATAATTCCGGGGTGTTTCGTATTAGTAGGTATAGCTAATACCTTAACTTATAGGCTCTTAAACATAGAAACCTTTAAGGAACTAGAAATAGCTAACTGCGGCTTTAACGAGTATATAATATACTTTATATATACTAGTAGTAAGGAAACTATACTAAAAAGTAGTAATAAGGCAGTAGAAAGACCTCTACTACCGGCTACCGGTCTAGCACTTACTAAGAGGCTAGCTAGGGGTACTAAAAGCTTAGAAAGACCTCTAAGAGAGAGGCTAGCTATAGAAGCTAAAAGACCTCTAGGAGAGAGGCTAGCTATAGAAGCTGAAAATCCTTTAAGGGGAAGGTTAGCTGTAGAAAATATAGTAGGAGACACTAAGGGAGCGTCTAATTAACGCCTCCCTGAATAGACTTAACTAGTAAACGTGTCTAATAATACTCTACTGTTAAGATATAGTAGGAAATAGCGT